GGCTCTACTAACTAACTAATTCCCACCGAAGCGTAACTAATTACGTAGGACCACACTTGCTATATCGTGGATCTGACTACATAATTAGTACCGCACCGTACCGTACCGTACCTTCGTACATAGCAGGCGGCTAGGCTAGGTTGGGTATGTTCCAGAGTTGGCCCATATCATGCTGTCAGCATCGCAACTTCATGTTGCTACTACACTACTACCTACACATCTACATATGTATGTGTGTATGTATGTATGTAAGGCAATTCAAGGGTTTCATGGTTCGTTTTAGCGTGTGTAGCATTAGAAAAGGGCCATGCAAATGACCAAATCTCAACACATTGTCGTCACGGCTAGCTGGCTGGCTGGATGGATGATACTACATAACATGTAAATTGATGGATACGAAACGCCTAGGCTCTATTCGCAGGCTAATATCGCCAACGAGCAACATACGACGACACGAATCAATATTTTCTTGATATCTACTTATCTACTTATCTACTTACTCACCTTTTTCACGGAGCAAAAGCCCACGTACCCCATCCTGGCGCAGTGGGTTTTTGCCATGGCCAGTATTCAAGCCGAGTCAAGCCGAATATATATATATTTTTTCCTCCTGTGATGAACTGGCATGGACTATTGAATTTCTCCATGAGAGTCACGAAAGACTCACAGCATTAGACGGGGGATCAAGTAATGAAGTATAGATCACCAGCCAGGGTCTGAAGATTTCTCGCTGCTAGCCATGATCCATCTATCCTCCTAGCTCTTGACCATTCGTCAGGGAGTGCTGCGGAAACACTCCGTGATAATCATTGTCAGACTCACTGGCGAATATTCCCTGCCGTCTCTAGACCCTGAGAAAGGAATCTCTATTACATACATAGTAGCAGAGAGAAGCCCCGGCAGATGGACGAGGCAATAGGATAAGAGGCAAGGGTGCTCCTAGAGAGGAGAAGAGCCTAGTACAGGATCCAGTCAACTCTTCTATTTCAAGAATTGCCTTGAGACGATTCTTCGTTGTTGTTGATCTACAGTACATACATATGTAATACTAATAGTATACATACATGAGTATACAAAAGTTACATAGAACTAATACCTAGTATACATGCATGGAAGAAAAGACCAAAGTCACGTGTATAATAGTACAAGCAAGAAACACAGGGATTAAATAATGGATTCTTGATATCCACTTATATCTAGCTATATGTGGCTCATGCGGCGGTGTGAACCTTAAACACATCAATCATGGCAGTACTATAACGGTTAAGCCGATCGCCTAAATCTCGGGCTCCTAACTAGTGTATTTCCCTTATGTAAAAACCCCCTTTAATTCAATCAAGGTCCAGGACAGGGTAAAAACGGCGGGCATGTCTTGCAAAAAAATAACTAATATAAAAAAAATATAGTTATGGTATCTCAGGGGTTCGCATTCCCTTTACCAACCAAATAACTAGCCCTGGAGTATTTTATTAACTATTTCAATGCTGCAATTAATCACATATCAAATATAGCAGTTGTTCCAGTCCCAGTTCCAGTTCTAGTTTCCCAAGGGGTAGCACCCAAATAGTCGGAAGGGATCGGGCTCAAAGTCCGATCAGCAATAAACCAAGGTCAACTTACTATGGTAGTAGTAGTAGCACATTGAGTACTAAGTTAATATTTAAAGGGAAGCCGGACTTGCTTCCCAGGCTGGCCCAGGCATGGCAGTCAAACAGCCAAACGGAAGCTCCCTGGCGCAACGCTGTCAGCATTGGCGATGTAGGGGGGATTATGTAGCTTTAGCTTAGCCCTTTCATCCAAAACCAATATCGAGGCCTGCGTGGGTGAAAGGAATCTTATGTATGTATGTACCTACATAATCCTTTCTTATCGTATCTCCGAACACATCATCATCATCATCATCATCATCATCTTGGCCTTGCCGCACCGATCACGAAATAGATAGGCAGGCAGGGTCTCGAACAGGCAAGCCTATTACAATATCGTCCATGGTACACGTTTACTCGAGCAAATGGATACCTACCACGATATTGTCGCAGCCCGTAGCAGGTACAGTAACTATGTAGTGTAGTAGGAGCACTAGGCAGGCCAACTATCAACTGTCAAAATGACGATGCCATGTAATAATGATCATGATAATAATATGTACATACATTATCTAGCTACGTATATTGGTCTATTGAGATCTCGAAGGTGTCTTCTCTACCTACCTGACCGAGATGCTTTAGGCTTTTCTATCTAGACATAGCATAACTAACATTACATTACCTGTTCGCTTCGTATTTCCCAGTTGATAGACGAACTAATCGTCACATCAGCGACACATCCATCGTCCAAGGGCGCAGGCTGACTTTGCCCATCCCGACGGAGGCATATGGCCCTACCGTACCCTACCGTACCCTACCTAACCAGCTAACCTACGTTTGACCTACATTTGGTACATCGATTACACGTAATTTAGCGAATGGCTCGTAAACCGGGCGCTGGACACCCGTAGGGTAGCGAAAAAAAAGTTGCGTAAACAGGGTGGTTGCGTCATGACTGCCTATGTATATAAACGGTCCGCAAATTTGATGAGAAAAGCCTAGCCACATAACATAACATACATATGTATGATAACTATCTCCAGGGCTATATATAATCATCCTCCGGAGCAATCGACTACCATACATTACACTGCGCTAAAGAGTACCTTGCTTAGGTTCAAGTTGCCTGTAACCTGCTACTACCTAGTATGTGCATACATACACTCACACACACAGACACATCTTGGTTACATATCAGGGTATGGTATTGTACATCGATAAAAAGCTGCTGGAGGGGTAAGCCCTCAATCCCACTCGTCGGAAATCTTAATATGGGGGAGGGGGGATGTCACTTTGGGACGAGGTAGATTTTCGAACTAAAGGGGGTTCTTCGGTATGTACATACGAACCACGGTTAGGCTTGCAAGGTACATAACTAGTAACATTTGATAATATGTAATTCTGGAATTCTGGAATAGTTACATACTACATATATACATACATATCACCTGGGCAATTGATGTATGCAACTCCAGGCCAAGCCCTGGCAGGCGGACTGGGCTATGGTATGTAGCCTGTGCACCTATTTTTGATTTAAGGGGAGGCGGTTTTAACCTACATAGTATTACATGCCTACCTACCTAGCTAGTTACTTTAACCTAGGTACGTAGTAGGCAGGTAGAAGCAGAAGCATTGAAGGGAACAGCCAGCATTGAAATAGCTTACATAGTATGTAACTATATATCGTGGGCTTAGTGGCCCGTGTGCCGAGTACGAATACTTCAACAAGGTGCGGCTGGTGTCAGCTTCGCAAGCGACCAATCCTACGTTGAAGCCAGGTTTAGGTGGTTTTCTCGATAGTTACAACTAACTAACTTATCCTACGATCACAATGGCCGGCCTCCTCCCCCATTAGTGTAGTGAACGATTTACTTAGCTTACGGAGTACAGGAAAGCGGCTCCGGTTTCCACAAGAGAGAGCGCGCACGTACTTCAACGCACGCACAGATGCACGCATGAATGCCGGAAGTGGGATGGGATGCAATGCGACAGATAACTAACGGATATGATAATAATACATACCTAGCCTGAGGTTAGTTTAGTAGGGTAATATGTACGAATTGTAATCGATGATAAAATACGTAGGGTATATAACTGGTTGGTCCATCAATATAGATACCTTCGTAAAGTGCCGTATGGACAGTCAAGGTGGCAAACAGGATGGATCATGGAGGAGGAGGGAGGAGGAGGATTGATGCATGAATAAACATAAACCGAATAAAAGGAAATCCATACACTACACACCTAGGTTACATACATATGTACCTAAGAGAATGTAAAACAGCCTTAAACCTTGTAACTATTGCTGTTTACGGTATCCGTACCTACTTTACGGACTATTACCCGTCCCAGCCAGTCAGCTATTAACATTTTCATTTTCAACATCCTACTAGGTACTAGTAGTAACTAACATCCATAAATCTAAACCTTGGAACCCATTAAACCCCCCCATGTGCCCCTACTTAAAGCAAGGTACAATACAGTAGGTAACCACCACTAAAAGTAACGTACCTAATCTACCAATCCAAAGCAAACCATCTTTTACTACGTACAAATCTTACACACCATTTTTGATTATCATTGTCAACTTTGGTGGATTGTGATCCACAGTTTCACCGCTTATTATACCCTAGACTTTTCCTTCTACTGCTACCTACTAACTACATACCTATTACCTACCTACATAGTATTATGATAGTAGTACTAGTCAGTAGTTACACTATTAACTAGTTAACTATACTATGTAGGTAACAACTAACTATCACTTTTCCAACTAAAAAAACACAAAGAAAATCCTGTTAGCATTTAATTCGAGGACCCCTTTGCAGAACGATCGTCTCCAGTCTCGGCCGGTCTTTTCATTCACCTGCCTACATACATACATAATACATACATACATGCTCGCCTACCTAACGAACGAGAAACCAGAAACATCGGCTTTTGCTCTTTGTTACATACGTACCGCTTCTACCAATCCAAGGGATGGGGACCCCGGGATTTAATGCTCATTACGAGTCATCGATCCATGCAAGCCTTTCTCGATGGGATTGTCTGTATGTGTGTTAGGTCGTGGTGTGGTGTGTGGTGTGTGTGGTGTAGTGTATTAGCCATTATCCATTATTGTTTTTCCCCCTTCATTGCTTGCTTGCCCTTTTTGCGAACTGCCACAATTATGAATGTTTCAGTTGAGACTTAGTTTCCTGCAGCCTCTAACACCTACTTGCGTCCCTGCCGACAACCAGCCCTGCCTGCCTGCCTGCTGCTTGCCTGTCTACCTACCTTACCCATCTTAAGAGAAGATAGGCGCCCCGAAGTTAATGAAAAAAATGAATCCTCGTGTTCCAGGGCCGCGTACGTATCTACTAGGCAAGTATGTACGCAAATCCTAGACTTTGGGCTTAAGCTTAGGCTTGGGCTTGGGCTTGGGCTTAGGCATGGACTTGGATATGCTTGGGCTTACTTAGGAAGGGAACGAGATAAGAGAAGAGATGGAAGAGTTTCAAAAAATTAATTTGAAGAAAAAAAATAAGAACAAGAAAATAGGTCACCATGTCCCCGTCACACGACCACGGCTCGCTCGCTCGCTAGCTAGTCACATCTCATAACATGCCTACCTAGCCGATCGTCCAGTTTCACTGAGACGCCACTCCAAGGTGCTTCATCACGTCGGCCCCAACGCCGTCGAATCCGTCCCGTTGCACTTTGCACGTAGCAAGCTGCACAGCAAACTGGACTTTCTTCTCGGTGTCCCAGTCTTGCTGGTGGCACAGCAGCCCGAACAGCATCCCGGCAATGAAGGTGTCACCTGCTCCTACGGTGCTAACGCAGGGATATCATCGTTAGTCTGTGATCTTCTTAAGTTCTCTTTCCCCTTTCTCTCCTGTCTTCTTTCTTTTAATCTGCGAATGAATGCTTCTCTTCTACTGAAGTCGGCAAACTCTCCCCCCCCCCCCCCCCCCTCCCCCCTTGCCCCCCTTTTCCCACTCTGGGGTTGCCCTTCTCTTTGCAGGAACATCCATCGGCCGGGGCGGTCTGACATACTCCACCACGGAAATGTTTGGTTGTCCAGACAAGGCTGCTACCGGGCAAGACACGGCCCTCTGGCTGGGAAGGGATAGATACGACGCACCATCCGAACCCCACGTACACAAGAGGAGGGACCTGCAACCATATTATTATCTCAGCGCATCGCTTGGTGCTGCACCATTTTTAGTGACCAGGCCCAATGCAACTCACGCTTTCCGGGCCACGCCCGATTGGGCATTCAGGCATTGCTGAGCACTCTCGTACCGCTTATTCTATAGGAACGAAAGAAAAAAAAGACCGGGTTTGTCAACGCCATCCTCATCATAGTTGTACTCTTTTTTTGCGGCTATTCTACCGCCGTCCTTCTCGCATAAAGAGGAGAATTAAATGAATTAAAAAAGTAAAACAAGAAAAAAGGGGGTGACTCACTTCAGCCCAACTCCGCGAATAAAAGATCACGTCCGCTTCACCCGCCAAATCTTCTAAGCCCTCTCGGCCCGGTTTTTCGATCTCGACGCTTACTCTTGTATGGGGGAACGACTGCCTCAAATACCGAATGCATTGCAACGTCGTCTCAGGAATCCGTCCCTGTGCATATGTCTTGGGGTGAGTCTAGATCAATACATTCATACAAGCAAATACGTTCATACAGCATACAGCATACATCATACATCATACATAGGTAGCGCGCCTCCCCTACATAAAAATCACGATGGCCATCCTCCCGCTGCGGGGTGTATGTGGTGGTTGGCGTACCTCAAAGTGGAACCAGGCATCGTCGCCGGTCTCGTTGGCGACAGCGATGAACTCGTCGATCGTCATCTCAGGTAGGTCGTTGTAGTTGACGAGGGTGCGACTCCCGGTAGCCTTGCTACGTATGATGTAGCTGCTCGCCGGCTCCGTGTGATCTGTACGGTACACGCACCTCGTAAAATCCACCAGGCTCTCTGGCCCAAACGAGCCGACTATGGTTGCCGTCGCAGGCGCTTCGGCATTGGGCAGACACGACACCAGGTACGGATGGACTTCGCGATGGCGGGCGGGTCGTTGTTGTTCCCCTTCCTCCTCCCTCAGCAGCTGCTGAAGCACCTCGAGGGTGTTGGGGCAATTGCCGCCGCGCCGGACTTGTAGGCTGGTGGCACGTAATTTCGCGTCCTCGCCCGGGTAGTAAGGCACACTACATTGTGCAAGAAGCGACGATGGATCTGAGTCAGGCCATTGTGCTTATTTACGTACATTTGTAGGTACTGTATATCATGCAACCAGGGGGGGGGGGACGGAATGGATAGGGGTCCTCAAAAAAAAAACTCACTCGAGGATGGTATCGAGATAGCATGCCCCAACACAGACGAGTTTCTGCTGGTGCAGCTTCATTATTGCTGTGTTGATACGATGTGATGGGGTGTGGGTGGTGATGTTGTGCCACGTTGTATAATTAAATATATGGATGTGATGTGATGATGAATGAGATTGATGCAAATCATCGATAGTTAGCCGTTTTCTTAGGTAGGCTAACTGGCTGTGTGTTATCACTGTTATGTAGTTATGTGTTTGATAGCCAACAAATGGAGCTTACATAGGTATGTACTTTCTGCCCTGCGTGGAATATCAATGTATGCCGTCACCAAGTGCTCAGAAGCTTTCGATTTAATCGACGTTATGTAACTAACCTAGCTACATGCATACATACATAGTTATATGTATCTATCGTTTGCTGGTTTCCCTCGGTGAAGCTATATGTACATAACTATTAGTTATGTAGAGATCTCATTACAGCAATCCTCCCCCACGCCCACCCCCTTTATCCTTTTTTCCTTTTTTCCTTTTTAAAGCACTCAAGGACCATAAATTAATAGCTCGGGGTATCATTTGACCGCCACATAACTTTGTCTTGTGCAACTAGACTTAAAATAATACATACATAGGTATGTGTGTGATGGAGGGAAGGGGAGGGAAGGATCCAGGACATTCAGAACTCAGCCAGTGCCACCAATGTGAACCCTCCTGTCGCCCGTCCATAGCTCTGCTTATGTATGTATATTGGCACACATGCAATTTGCCTTCTTCCATCACTCGAATCGGTGGTTATTCGAGTTGTTACCTGGTGCGCGCATACACAGGTAGGGTACCTGCCTACACTACACATGTAGGTAGGGTAAGGTAGGTAGGGAAGGTATCTACATACGTACGTGGCTACAGTTTTTCATATCGGACATTCTGTGTAGGTAGGTATTTTGCATATTACTTCGGTACAGGTACCCGTGTGTGCCGTCTTTTCCTTTCCGGTGGGCTACCTCCCTCATACATAGACCTACGTACATACGTACAAAACCTATCCTGTCGCACGTTACAGACGCCATCGCATCACATCATATCATACCTAGGTAGACAGTCAGAAAGACAAGAAAGACAGACGAACGAAGGAACGAACTAGCAACGGTGTAACAAAAAAGCGAAACCTGGACGCTGTAACGTCGTCGATATAATAGTACCTACTTATGCTCAGCACCGCTCGTGGCTCGTCTAGATACCTACCTTACCAAGCGTATCACCCCCCCTTTTTTCCAAAATCTTTTTTCCAAAAGGGTCTCTCCAGGTGAAACAAACAGACAAAATCTCACCACTGGGGCGGAAAACCCTTGGGGTTGAAAGACATTTGAGCGATCATTTGTTCGCTCGTTCGGGATCTACAGATGGATGGGCGAGTTGGTGAGTGAGAGCACAGGAAGATACCTAGACAGAACACCGACCGAGACGACGAGGCTAGCCTCGAGATGGGCATGGTCGCCGAGGCATACTGCCCCCGTGAGTAAACAGCCACGATGACGCGACGCTCGACCGACGCGGTATTATTTTAATTACTCTTTGGTCCCCTCCCGAGCCTTCCTGGCGCAGTTCGATGCGGTCTGGACTAACCACAGTAGTGGTGGCGGTTTCGAAGAAGGCTATGGTATGTTATCTGAAGCGGGAAACTCGCTTCAACGAGTGGTTTGGCAGAACTCCGTGTTTGTCGATCTGATCTGATCTGTTTTATTCCGTTCGTGCTGACGTTTAAACGAGATTTGTCTATAGTGCTGCGCACGCAGTGTCTTTGCCGTCCAGTCTGGATTTTCCTCGCTCCTTATTTCGACTAAGCGGTTCGGGACTTTTATCGCATAGTATGTAGGTAACCTGAGTAACCTACAGCTGAGCTACCTCTGGTTCTGGACACATATGGGCTATGAGCACGACCGATAGCGAGGACTGCCTGAGCAGTGTCTGGTTCACTGAAAGATGTGGTTCGTTCGCATTGACTCAACGATCAGTAGTCCTGGCCCCTTTCTTTCGGTATTCGGAAACCCCCTATCACTACTACGATGGCGTACCTTCGCGAAGCAATCTACAGGTACTCTACGACTATGCATTCTTGGACCCCATATCGTAATGGCATACCTTTGCCTTTCTCCCAAGATAGGATATCTCTTTCCGAGCCCCGAAAGAAGAATGAAAGAATATGATGCTGGCTGTTAATAGCGGTGGCCGAGATACTCACCGCGTATTATTATCATGCTTGCCTTATAATAGGTTTGCGCTCCACCCCCTTTTCCCATGGTCAGAAATACAAGCCATCCGGGCCTGATGAATCTACATAGCTGATGGAGACCCGAGCGCGTGTTAAAGGGGAGAAGTTGCCATGTCTTTGGTTATCTACATACTGTTAGGTACCTTAGATAGGTAGGTTAACAGTAAAGTCACATTGAGTTGTTAATCAGTTGCGCAGTGAATATGTAGGAAGATAATTAGGTGGGAATAACAGAAACCAAAGGAAATGGTATGTGCCTGTTATTACACACCTGCTTAAGTAATGGTAGGAAGCATCAATCTACGCTTCTACCCACTTCATACATCAACTTCCTCTATATAAATATGCCAGGTAGGCAGGTAGAGAAGTAGGTTCAAAGCGATGAGAAGGCAAGACTCCAAACTCCAAGAGATACACCTGCCATCTAGGTATATGCACATGAACCTTTAAGCCATTAGGTGGCTCCTACTACTACTAGTACCTAGATAATAGTAAATATCAAAGCCATCCAACTCGACCACATACACACCAGACATGACAACTCCTCAGATTTATAACTACATAATACAAATTATACTACTTCTTCACCGTCGCCGAGATCATCCAACTCCCACTATCGTTAACCCCAATCCATCGATTTTCACTTACTTCCGCATATACCTTCCACATACTCAGAGCCAGAACATCATAAAAAATGTCGCGAATATCGCCCATGCCGCAAGAAGAAGACCTAGCAGCGGAACCAAAGAACGACCTGTGTAACAGGATCCCCCTGGTAATCCGAAACGGGACGGCATGTACCCTGAATCCTACCCGGCCGCCATGTCCGGTCCAGGGGGGGCCAGAAGACGAGTGCCCCCTCTGCCTGGGCCCGGTCGCCGACCCCTCCCAGCTCACCACCCTCCCCTGCGACCACGCCTTCCACGACGACTGCATCCGCACGTGGACGCAGGTCTACGACTGGGAAGACTACGACGTCGACTGCGCGCACTGCCCCGTGTGCTACCTCGACCTGACGTACCGGTGCGGGGACATGATATCCGCGGACCTCCTCCGCCCCGGCGTCAAGATCCTGCCCCAGGAGCTCGAGCTCACGTGCCCGAGCTACCACGCCCTCGACCGCGACGACGACGACGACGACGACCAGCACTTTCTCAAGTTCTCCGAGCGGCCGTGCTCCCCGCGAAACGTAGCCGACCTATGGTTCGTGCAGCACGCGCACTACACCGACCAGCTGGACGCCCTGAACCACCGCCAGCGCCACATCTGCCAGGACTTCTACCCGGACATCTGGCTGCCACCCCCGCCGCCCCCAACGCGTCCCGCACCACGGCTGCACTACCCATGCCCCCCGTCCTGGTACACGCAAGCGCCCCCCGCCCAACCACCCTCCAACCAAGCGCCGCTCCTCCCCGCAGTCTGGCGGCCCCTGCGCATAGACGACCAACCCCCCACGCCCCCCCCCTCCTCCGCGTCCTCCCCCCCCTCCTCCACCTACCCGCACGACACGACCTGCTGCGAAGCCAGCCTCAACCCCGCCGACCACAAGCACCAGCGCAAGCGACGACCCTCCCCCTTCGCCTTCCGCCTCGCGAACGCGTGCCTGCGGCCCCCCGGCGCCGGCTCCCTCTCTCTCCCGGGCGCCGCGCGCATCGCGCCGCACACGGCCGAGGGGTGGCGGTACAGCGCGGTGCGGCTGGCGCTGGCGCTGGACCGGGGGGACGCGCGCTTCGCGTGGGCCGCGCTCGCCGACCTCGAGGGCATGGGCTTCCGCTTCCTCGTGTTCTGGCCCGCCGCGCAGCCGAGCCTGGCCCCCCTCGACGCCGCGCGCGCGCGCCTGCGCGGCCTGCTGAGGGAGCTGCTGGCGCGTCTGGGGAGGTATAGGCGCGAGCACGAGGGGTGGGTTGAGCTGAATGGGGTGGCGCAGATGCACTGCGAGGGGGAGAGGGAGGCGCTGGAGAAGGCGTTTGCGGTGTTTTGGAGCTTGTACAGGTGGACGAGGGAGCAGACGGGGTTGTTGTTGAAGGAGTTTACGTACGCGAGGGGGGTGTGGTGATGTAGGTGTAGGTGTAGGTGTAGGTGTAGGTGTAGGTATGGGTATGGGCAAGGGGGTTCGGAGTTGGGGATGAATGAGGTTGATATAGATATAAGAAAACAGAGGAAAGTAGGGTCATAGATGTCGTGTCGGAAGCAAGCGAGTCGTATATCTTACCTGTTGGGTACATCCTGTTTCTCGATGGAGGTCTGTCTGCCTTGGTCAGGTAGGTAGTCATACTTACATAGGTATTCTTCTTACGATAGACACCGAGCGGATATGACTTTTTTTTGGATTCTTTGTTTGGGTTTAGATACTTGATATGGGTCGAGTTGGTTAGAAGATAGGCAAAGCGGGAATGCAGAACTCGACTTTCAATGCGAGTGGTACTTTCGAACTTCTTGTCCTGGAAAGGAGTCCCCAACCCCCCCTTTCTCCCTGTGTGTGTATAAATGACTACTCATTTCCACTCATATGTTCACGAGTGAATATGGATTTATGAAGGTAGATGCAGTATATTTGATACGTGAGGATTGATGACTCTGCTGGTTGGTGGGGATATAATATGCCGTTGGGTAGAGAAAAAGGGGGGTGAAGAGTGAATGAGTAAATACCTAACCTAGGTAAGTAGAGATGGATAGATACTACGTATGCAGACTTATAGGGGTGATTTTATATACACACAATACTTTACCTGCTTTACCTGGGTAGATAGGCATGCATGTATAAGAATAATTCCATCTCCCCCTTTATTACTGCCAGGTACCTTATATTTAGGAGCAAGGAGGTAGCAATCGGAGAGGTACGGATAGACTCAATGCTCGTCTTCACTCGTTGGGCAGATCTTGTGGAGCTAGTCTTTATATATAATACCAGCCTACTTACCTACCTAGTGCCTACATGTGTTGCCGAACATACATATTGTCGCCAATACTTCCATCCCATCAGAGAGCATCTACCTAGGTACCTAGTATATTTCCAGTGTCCAAGTTTAAACTTCATCGTATATCAACATACAGCAAAATGTAGGTAAAAATAGTTAAATAACCAATACTATCCCATAATATCAAGTTGACTGACGTTGAGTGTTTAACTTACCTAGGTAGGTAGGTAATAGATAATGAAGTAAGGAGGTATAGTGCCTAGGCATTCTAATAATAGCTACGAGGACTCTGGACCTATACACTAGATAGACCGGCTTGTTGGTTGTCGAGACAAGGGATAGGCACTCCATACGTGGAAGAATAACGTTCGTTGTTGACGACATCCGACTGCTAGGTACTTTGCTTATACTATTTGCAAATATCTAAAAATATCTTATACAAAGACTACTCGATATTCAACCTTACATGCCTCCTACGCACCCTCGTCTACCTAGTGTCACGGCACGCGCAAACCCCAAGACCTAGACAATATTGACTCTTATGTATGTATGGATATCCTCATTTACTCATCTATTTACCCATCTCCATCCCCATCTTAATTTTCCTTTCCCCGTTCAAAACAGTAGGCTGATTGGTAGCTAGGTAGGGAGGTATTGATATGTACAAAAAACTAAGCCTCGCTCTTCAAAATATATACAACCAAGATCCGACTTCAAGCATACTCGTTTTATTTTCTAGCCTCTCTTCTCGTCTTACTTTATTTTCTTATCTCGTGTCACGCCGTCTGACCTATGTACCAAAGACTACGCCTGGCTTCGACTCCGACCCCGACCCCTAACACCAAAACCGACACCCATATCGCAAGTGCTCCTGTAATGTACATATCATGACAACGGCTGGAGCGGTAGGTGGATCGGACGGATATATGTATACGTAAAGAAAAGAGACCCTCCAAAAAAAGACAATTAAAACCGGGCAGTCGTACCCATCTGTAGACTAACCTCCCAGCGCAAACTCCCTCCTTTCCCGTACCCTTCTCCAAGACGATTCTGTATTAGACTCGATATGCGAGCGCGAAGCCGGCTCGTCGCCGCATCATCACAGCTCTTTGCCACTGATAGCTTGAGGTTTGCCATGCAGAGTCCGTAGTGCACCTGCCAGAACCGCGCCTCTTCGACCTTCTCAACGCTAGGTTCGGCCTCTATTTCGCGTACCACATCGGCCACACCGAGGTCCTTATTCCTGTTGGGGGAGCTCGAGCTCGAATGTCCGCTGTAGCTCATCAGGAGCATCAGACCCTGGGCGATGGCAAGTCGAACGCCGAGCCCGAACATGGCAACAGCCATTAGCCCACATATGGCGCTATCGAGGAACATGTGGATCGGGATGGAGAATAAAGGAAGTAGGACCATAAGAGACGACGTGGATAATGTCAAGAAATGGAAGGGGTTCGATAGGACACTAGGTAGGCTAGATAGATAGCTCACACGCATGACCTTGCTGATCCTGGCGTGATTCCTCAAGCCATACGCACTAACAAGCGTTGCGACGATAGCAGCCAGACTCACCATATCCAGGCTACCCCCCGAGACTCTAGGTTCTCCTCCCTCGTGAGGGTCTGGGTGATGTGCCGTGTGGCCACCTTGCCCCTCCAGGACGTGCTTCAGATTATGGCTGACTAGATCAAAGCCACCAAAAATAAGAAAGACGCTCAGAGCAAAGCCGGCGAGAACTTCAGCGCGCTCTAGACCGAAAGGATGCCGGATGCTGCTGCGTTTCCACACCTCGAAGTTGCCCAAAACATCGACACCGACGCATATAAGTGCCGAACCGACGTCGAAGAAGATAAGGTGAGAGAGGGCAGTCATGGCAAGAGAACCATGAGCTGAGAGGAAGACAGAGAAGGCGACAAAGAGATGGCATATACACCAACACAAACGGCGGTGCTGATCTTTGGACATGGAATGCCATGCTTCCCTTACGGTAGGTATGGGTAGATCGCGCGGAAGGGCAAGCGGGGGTCTGGGCGGCGGCTCTTGGAAGATCTGATGCTGAGCGCTAATGCTCGAATGCTTGTATTTGTGGCCACGACGCTGGCCAACATTGGGTTTGACGGGTGAGGTAGATATTATCTGAGTTTGGAAGTTGAAAGGGTTCGGAGCAGCGGTGGAATTGGAATTTGGTATATCAATGGCCAATGAGTTCTCGGTTTGGAAGCCATTGAATATAGCAGAGCTTGAGGTCATATTGGGACTCAAGTGGATGTTGCTGGAGAAAGTGGGAGCGACAGGCGATAAGCGATTGGGATCGTAAAAGGTGTCTTGTGTGGGCGTAAGTAGTGGACTGTTAACCTCGTAGACAAAGTGATTTGGTTGATCTTGGCTATTATCGTCACCGCCCTCGAAGCCGTAATCGTGATCGAAATCGTGATCGTCTGGGGTGTGGATGATGGGGGTGACAGATATGGGAGGTGGAGGAAAGGTCCTGGTACCGGTACTGGGAGCCATTCCCATTACCGTTTCCATTCCCACGCGCAATACGATATTCCGCGCCTTTCCCAATTTAGAACGGTTTATTAGTCTTGTATTGTATGTACTTCGTATAGTTACCGTCTTACTATGCTCAAGGCTTTGTTACCTTTTAGTTGAGATAAGGTCCTTTCTTTTTTTTACTATTTGTTCAATGATAGCATGTCATCAAATATTCGAATCGGCTCTTTTTCTTGACAGGTTGTCTTAGAGCCAAACTTTTTTTTTTTTTTTGCTTCGGTGCATGCAGGAATAACAGATTTAACAGATTTGGAATGCGGAGGATCAGATGGATGGATTCAAGGTTCGTAGGTACTTGGGACTTATTAACAGGCTGAGTCTGGCTGACAGCACTGAGGCAGAATTGACTTTACGAACATTGAATTGATTCGATTACACTTTTTGGTTCCTGACCAAGTACTTGTACTTTTTATCTACCAAGGTCTATGCGATGCCAACCAGTAATTACTTATATCAAACCCATAGACTTTATAATATTGAAGTCCCTCTACATAGTGCACGTGCCACACTGTCTATGATACTTCTCTTGTTGGCGTGTTTTAGAGTTGTGCCAACCACAGCTTGAATCTTGAGCCCTGGAAAGTGCCCATGGGGGTGTTACAATACTGGAGCCGGGCCATGACCAAATGCGCCAAAAAGACCCGCCAGGTACCCTAGGTATGTTAGCTGGTACCTAGTAGTAGCTGGTAGTAGCTGGAGCCTCGAGGTATGTGCATTGTGCATATGGATAATGTTAAATGTACGCGTGTAACTATGTAGATTAATAGTTACGATGGTAGTACAACTTTAAATATGCGAAACTACGTGACTTTATTAAACTTTGACGCCGACGTCAATCGCTTCAATTACAAGACCGAAACCTATAATCTTACACCTCTTCTTTAGAAAACCTTTATGAACACATGTACATTATCATGATAAATTCTAATTTCTCAATTTCGATGTATTCTCAAGGTCGATGAGGTCATTATGGAAAACGTCATTCTCCCCCAGCTCGAAGGACACAGAAGCACAAACCACGATATATCACGATGGAGACCAAATTACCATCCCAGAAGCATTCGCAATCGCAATCGTATACACACGACAACAATGTACCGTCGCCGACAGAGATAACCACGGGAGGGCGCAAGAGGAGCGGATCTGGAGGTAGCATCCTTTCCAAGTTCCCCTTCTTGCGCACCTCGGAAAGCAAATCGAGCCTCAACGAATTGCGACATAGCGATGCCAACCAAGAACCTTCTAATAAACCGCCTCGCTCCCTCGCCGTCATATCCCAACAGCAACAACAAAAGACGCGCAGGCGTAAGGGCTCGCTCCGGAAAATTGCCCTGCTGGGCCGCGGCGCCGCGCGAGAGAGGCGGGAGATGAAGTCTCTATCCATCGACACCATAAACACCGCACCACCAGATGCCGAGCCAGAAGATATTACTCATCAATCAATGCCAATAGACGGTGGCCTCGGCTTAGGAATATCAGACCTAACGCCGCGCCCGTCTATGGATGGCTATGCGCCGAGAGACAGCGTTCCCATACCTTACCTACCACCGCCGGACAGCGATTCGCAGGTGACGAGTCCCTCGATATCGTACACTTCTACCACTGACGAGGAAGATGTCATCTCGATACCCCTCCGCGTTCCTTCTCCACCCCGCCCGGAGCTTTCTTCTGGCTCCGAATCCTACTATGTAAAAGGCACCTCTCCCTACCGACGCCGCTCAGTAAAGCACACCAAATCCCCGCTGTCCCTTTCCGGTCTGACGGCAAGCCCATTACCAGCAGCGCACGAGGACCACGACTACAGCGAGACGGAGTGGTGGGGGTGGGTAGTGCTTGTCGTGACATGGACCGTGTTCGTCATCGGCATGGGGTCCTGCCTCAATGTCTGGAGCTGGGCCTGGGACGTCGGGACGACACCGTACGCGCCTCCGGAGCTCGAGGACGACCCCACGCTGCCGATCGTAGGGTACTATCCCGCGCTAATTATATTAACGTGTATCATGGCTTGGGTCTGGGTGGTGGTGGCGTGGATCGGGATGAAGTACTTTAGGCACGCGAAGATTAGCGGTGATTGAAGTCTGTCTGACAGTCTGGGACTATAGGTACCTACATAGGGTAAGGGAGGCAGGCAGGCAGGTAGGGAGGTTAGATGTCTATACCCGGCGGTGTATCATATGTGGACTTGATAATGAGTGTAATGTAATCGAGAGACTATACGCTGGGTACAATGACTGTGTTTATATAGGTATATATATATACTTAAGAAGCTTGCTATGTAACAGTGACAGTTGAAAGTGAACTTCACCCATCCCTTATTTTCCATCATACTTACCTATACACCTAGGTACCTATTCTACCTGAGATAGGTAAGTGCCTAGGTGTATGTATATTCACTGGTTTAAACTCAGGCATCCGTCTTGAATGTACGCTGTACGCCTAGATACAGAGACCAACGGACCTTGAGGGTGCTTATACGAAGATGAACATGAACAGTGCCTACCTACCTTTAAACAGGTGCGTAACTACCTAGGTACCTAGGTTCCTATGGGAGAGGTCACCCACGAACCTTATCCTCCAGTCCAGACTACCTACCTACCTACCTACCTAGGCCTTCCAAGGGCCACCTCCCAATATACCTCCGACCACAGCTCATAGAGCGCCCCGGAAACACTCATGGGATCAAGGAGATGGGAAGATTATCATGGGATATCCACTAGAAAAAAGCCTTTTGTTGTTGCAGACCTTGCGGTAGCGCTGGGCGGGTTCTTGCTTATCTACAGTACTTCTCAACGATGGTTAAGGTATATAGATAGGCACTGTAGGTATGGTGTTTAGTGATTTTGATCAAGGAGACGAACTAGATCACCACCTACTACAGTAAGTGTTATGGTCTACAAGTAACTATGCCACGGAGCTTAAAGCTATTCCAAGGAGACGACTAAGATAGCTACCCACCCACCCTAAAGGCATTTTGGCTACCTATTCCAAATGTGATAACACACCATATATATATTATAGTATGACATAGATATCCAGTTATTACCAGGTAACCCAGGAACCTTCATGCCGAGCTTCTTAGTTCCAATGGAATCTTCGATCTGACAACCCAGTACCTAGTGGCTAGAGGTGTCAAGGGGTAGCTAGGTAATGCCAGGGTTTATCGATTTCCTTTAGAACACATCTTGGAGTAAACCCAGCCTAGGATAGGTTTCCAACCTAGTGCATAGCTAACTAGGTAGCTATGTAGGATTGTATGCATAAGATACCTATCTGCCAACCCGGGGCATGAATTTGCCGTGACGGAACGCCGATGCAGCGGTAGTACTCTAATATTATATTTCCTCGTGTCAGCGCCGCTGTTGTCGTGGAGTAGGAAAGGGGGGAGTGGCCGAAGAGGTTGCTGTCACTGGTGGTGGATAAAGGGGCAAGAGAGGCAAAGCAGAGAGTTGTATATATTCATCAAGGTTCTGGTTGCATAGGCATTTCTGTATACATTTCTCGCTACTTTGTCTAAAACAGGCATAGGGCTATTATAGGTAGGTAGCTCAATAATACTTGCCCAGGAACTTGGAAGCTATTATCAACTACCCTTGATAACCAAAACCAACACATATGTATCTCGGCTTTATTGGATAAGGCCACTTGAACGGTGTAGATCTCAGCCTCGACAGGGTCATTCCTAAACAGACCAGTAATCTAGTTGCATCTACGCGTTAATGCGTGAAGGGGGGACAGCAAGGTTTGCACCTATACTTTTATGTACCAAAAGCAAGAAATCTGTATGAAGTTCGTTGGCTGCTAGAACGCGTTGTAAGAAAGCTGGGGTAGGTGTAGCATCTGCTTCTCCTTAGCTTTGATGCGATTGTATTCTATGGCTATCTCGGCCTGTGGTAATAAGGAGAGATTCAAGTCGGAGTTTTGGGCGGAGAGGCATAAAATTTGGCTGAGCCTTGTTACAATTCCCACGAGGAATAGTAATCCCATCGAGACAAGCGGTGTTTCATCCCACTCACGTCAACCTAGCCTTGTCCTAGATCACATCAGCAAACAGCGGTTGGGAAAATCATGAGGCTGAATTTTTAAAATAAACCAATAACTACTATTAACTAGCCCCGTATTTTGAAGTAATGGTGTGGCTTGTGCTCGCTTCCCGAGCCTTGCGTTGCACGCACATGGTCGATCGGTTCATTGATCGTATTTTTGTAAATCTTCCATGGCTGGTTCGCTTGGTTTCGGGTCTGGTTTCGGTGGCTGACACGAGGCTCTCTCTACGATGCGACGTCAGATCTGGGATCATTAGGTAAAAGTTTATGGTTGCGAATGTCTTGGCTTCTTGTCTTTCTTTATTCCCCCTTTGGTCCTTTGGGGGCCCTTTTCTTTTTGTGTGTGTGTATTTTGCGGTCTGGCTTGAGCCAACCCTGCTTTTTCACTGCTATGACCATTCCCGAAATCCCGTCAGCTTGTCAGATCCAAGGGGTCCGAACGCCGCTAGACACATGATGAGGTTCGCGCCCAGGTGCCATGCATACAGATTTGTTGGATAGACATCTTAAACATACGACCGACGTCAGTGGAGACAATGTGGGAACATTGAATCTGTTGTCTTGGAATGGCTGGTAAAAAGGTGCCCAGTGTGGTTATAATTATGTAGCTAGGTACTGTAGGTATTGCAGGTATTGCGTGTGTGCATCTGTATTTAAAAGTGCGGCTGACCAAGATTGGGAAGATTGGGAAGATTGGGAGAGACGAATTAGTTTTAGTTTAACTTTATAAGCGCTTCGCTGGAGTAGAATGCACTGGTCGGAACCAATCATTTCTAAAATTCTACTAGGTAACTACCTAGATACCAAGTAAGCATGTACCTAGGTAGCAAGCACATAGTGCCATGTGCTTACCAGCCTACCAGCCTACCAGGTAATAATAACCTTGGAAGTTTACAAGTGCGCCTCTTCCCGCCTTACTTACGTCAAAGTTTAAACTCCTCCCCCTAAGCTTTTCGGTAGAGTCGGTACCTCTATTTCGCCCGTAGCGGCGCCTGGCTGTTTAACGGATTTAACTCGCCAACATTGAAATGGGCGTCAAATGAGCCACTGAGAGAGTGCACCAATCGCCAAACTCAATTGATTCCAAAGATAGCTACATACCTAGGTACACAAGTAGATGTATTATTACAATCTACAAGAGCAATGAAAGCAAATCTCAGAATCAGACTCAGATTCTCAGCAGCAGCATCTTATGTATGTACCGCAAAGTTACCAGGACTATGCATGTATACAAACTTATTTTACTCTGCGAGCCCCGATCTAAAGCCGACTTGGAATCGTTTGAAACACCGATGGAGAAAGGCAAACATTCTAGTGAAGCTCTATTGGCCCTAATGCCTTAATGCAAGACCTATGCAAGACTGATGAGGTTGCGATTCTTAATTCAAAGTTTCGGCAATTTTTATTACAGTAAAAGTGAAATTGGAGATGCCGCCTCGCCAGCTCCCGCCGTCTCCTACATGCATACTAAAATACATCAGGTTGAATAAATTACTTTATCCACAACTTACAAGGCCATCTCCGGCATGCAGGTACCGAATTCTATATGATTCCCCCCCTTGAAATATACATATGTATATTATGTAAGGGAGTCCTGAATCATGTGAATCATGGAGAAGGTTAACTAACCTTAGGCTACTAGGCAGAATGGCGAAGTTCGAGATCCAGTTCCTCCCAAGTAGATCAAAGAAAATTTGTGATTCTCCACGTCTTCGAAACGGAAGCTCCGATTCTTTGGGTCAATTGCTGGAATCAAATCAACCATTCAGTCCCAGCCAAGGACCAATTCGTGACGCGATTCAACGCGCATACAGTAGTGTGTGCATTGCAATGCAACCCTATGCGCTCTAGATTTTCTCTTCTTTTCGCCTTCCCGACCTCCACCGCTCAAGTGTACTGATTTAGTCTCCGACCCTTTGACCACTGGATTCACTCCTAAGTGAGAAATCTGACAGGTAAATTTATCTGCAACTGAGATGCGACTTGATATCTGAGAGGCAAAAACCGTTTGAACATTTAGATCTCACTGGCCATGACCACATCTCCGTTACCCTGATTGGAAGCGTACTTGAAAATCATGCCATGCAGACCATAGACAAAACGGTAAGAAAAGGGAAGATCCTTGGTTTGATGAGCCAGGCGCGGGGGGGGAAGCCAAGCCCTACTTTGAAGCTCACACACCTCGGCCCAACAGTGATCGGAACGCCGTCTACGGAGGATGTGATTATATTATGAAGTAAAGTCTTTCAAGATCAATATCACGGAAGACTAAATATTAATATATCAAACTACGGTATACTATATACTATAACTAATTCGAAGATCGCCGGTGGAAAAGAACCGACGGACCCGCCAGTACGGGCACGGATTCATAACAGAACACACAGACAGAGCAACTTAACGTGTATTCCTACCCAATATTGACTAGGGTGTCCACGATGTGAACCCAACGGAAGGATTGCCAACCTCCAGCTCCCTGCCTCCTTTCTCGGCCGTGTCTTGTCTTCCGGTCTAGTTCGTCAAGGGGTCCCCCGAAGCGGGGATAAGTTATCGGAGAGCGATAGGCCCAAGCTCCTTACGTCTCCTATTCACCAGTTCACCATATGCACCTTACCTACCTAGGGCTGCCAGGTAGGGAGCTAGATAGTGCATACATATAGTATATCTTGCAGGACGAGAGAGATCTTTCAATCCTAGATGGTGCATGTCGTTCAGATGTTTATTAATCGCAACTAAGCTTGTATGTCTCCGGATGAGCTACGAAGTACATAGCTTATTGCTACTCCCAGGGGCGAGTTGTGCACAACGTGACCATAGACGCTGGTGTAAGCTCTCAGAAACCATCGATATTCGAGTGCGAGACTCATGCCACGACAGCATGATTAGGGACAGACCACTTATCACGATATTCGATGCTCTAGTAAGAACGTTATAATAGATGTCTCGAAGGCCATTTGCCAAAGTAAAAAAAAAGCAAGAACTGACATGAGCTTTCTAAGCGGCGCTATTTTGATGGCGGTTTCCGACGACAATTACTAGAACTAGACATTCATCTGTGTTATTAAGTACATACCTATAGTTATATTAACAGTTAGGTATTATTTACCCTACGTAGCAACAGATCCACTGCCACGCGATCAATATTTAAGCAAATATCATACTTCAACGATCTCTGAATAGTCACAAAGAAAAGTGATAGAGTTTATACTATTAGTTCTCCCGTCTATCATTTCGTCTTCCGCTGTTCCATAACGTGGCCACCTAAAAATAACATGAAAATAAGAAGTTAGTCAAAGCAACATTAGTAGAGCTAACTACATATCACACGTGTGATGTGTAATATACCCTAGGGCCTAGGCAGGTAGGCAGGACCTGTAGGCAGGTAGACAGGTAGGCAAAGTCCCTACCATAATTTAATACAAAGGGTAGAGTTTACTAGTACTCCCGCTTTAGTGGATCTGGTTGCCTGAATTGAAATTCAATTTTGCATTTATGTACCTCACTTTAGTTACAGGGACCTGCACACGATACACATGTAGTAATAGGCTGAGAGGTAACTATCGTACACCGTAAAAAGTACAACAATATAATTCATACATGCAACCGTAAGGAAGTATCTAAGCAGTATTCAAAACAAAGGATTCTGAACTTCAATAGAAATTGGTACAGGTAACAGGACAATACTTGAAGTGAATCAGAAATCAGGTTAGTAACCAATCAAAAAATGTAGCTTGTTAATAACTATGGATTGGAATTTTTCGAAAGGTGTATGGCATTATGTCATTTGTCGGATCTGCCGCATTGTTCTTCGAGTCTGGGCCCAGCTCGTTGGTAAAGAAGAACATTGAACCAAAAAAAGAAAAGAAAAACTTGTTACATACATGCTCTCAATGTAGGTAGGCATCGCTAATACATATGTATATTCTGCTAAAGATTTGAATGTGTGAACATTGAATCTGATTATAGTAGGAACACATGCACATCAATGCAAGTCAAACAATAGGTACCTACTAAGCGCTATAATTAACTGCCTAGGTACAATACAATACATATCCAATGCTGTAATAATCCCCAGTTGCCCAGTCCATGTCAGTGGGCGATAGTGGACAACGGTGGGCAACAGTGGGCCAGGACAGGCTACCCTAACAAATCCTAATAGCGATTCGTAAGAGTACTGGAGTCTTAGCGTGCCCGCACAGTCGTGAGATCCCCTAGTTCAAAAAAAAAAAAAAGTTGACCATAGCTTGGCCCTAATTAACCCTGGCAGGCGCAAAGTAGCAGAGTGGCAGAAGTGAGAGAATCAGAGTGGGTGAACCCCTAACCCTCGGGTGGCCTATTCGCCTCTTTTCGTAACACACCTTGTACCCGGGACGGAACCACTTTCCTTTCTTCCCATCAACCCATCTAACTACCCATCTACCCATCTTACATAGTAAGGTCTGGTATTGCTGGTATTGTACAACACCTACCTATTGCTAATTGCTACCTACTACTCTGATTTTCTCCCACACCCCCCTAGTCGAGAATAAGTCATCTTTTTTCCCTCCGATACACCAACCATCTCACCACCCCCGAAACGACTCGAATACCTTCTCTTTCCTATCAGTGCAACGATTCCCTTCCCTTCTTCCATCATATTCTGCTTCTTCTTCTTCTAATCTATCAATCTGGATGGAGACGCCCTTCAATCCATAGAGTCCGTCGCGCTGGAGATTCGGGCCTCCATTTTACTTAGATTATTCCCATTCATCCTTCGAGGGAATCGATATACCCATTAAAGGGAAGCGGTCTGAGGCATTTGGGCAAATTCGCCAGCCGAGTCACGATCGAATGTTCGGATTCACACTCATATACAATTAATCCTATTCTCCCCCATCATTCCCTTCAAACCGCGACAACCTCTACCAAGATTTTCGACCGGTATACTATTTCAATAGTTGAACAATAGTTGAAGAGGCAGAAAATAACCATCCCATCCCACAAACTTCCAAAAGCTCTATCATTGTCAATTTAGTTGGCAAACTGCGCCGAGAATAGACCTGGGTTTCCTTACTTATTACACATTTTTCTTTTCAAGGACATCAGTTTCCGTTGCTGCAACTATAAAAAAACCGAGCACCCGCATCCTTGCATTGAGTTTCTGAATTAACTTCAACGCGTTTATTTTCAATTCATTGAACGAGTTTATCGGGTTATCTACATTTCGTCGACAGAGACCAGAGAATACATTACATTACATTAGGACGAAACAAGTCGCTCTAGTCCGCCCAACTATAGGTATCTCCTATAGCCGGTTCCGTATCATCCAAGTACTCCAACCCACACTCCTCGATTCTACCATCGACATCGACATCGACATCGACTTTCGACTTTCGGCATCGACATTGATCCCTTCTTGGCTTTTATACCAGCCAAGATGAGGGAAGTCAACTTTAGCATCCCTAATGTCAATAAGGCATCGGTGGGCATCACCACTGCCTTATATGATCGCCGGGCACTCGACTGTACATCAACTCTTCCTTTAATCAACTCTCTTAATCACCTCGCCTACCTCACCACCTCGTCAGCCCGCATTCGCGATATTTTGACGGTCGATGGCGGCATCGAGAGACTGGTCTGCATTTTGAAACAGGGACGAAGTAAGGATATGATGGACATGTGGAAATGGAATCTTGCTTTCCAATGTGTGGTGAACATAGGAGTTCGCGGGACCGAAAACGTGAGGACTCGAGTCGTCGAAGCTGATATGGTTCCTGTCATCGCAACCATCCTCGACAATTACATCAAAGTTATCGATAAATGCCGCGAAAAGGCAGAGGAGGCGAAGCTGAAACAAATTGCTGACCACCACCATCGTCATCGGAGTCACAGTCATAGAGATCCTCCATTCAAGTCATCATTTACCAATCGACCTAGTCGTATAGACCTAGAGCAGCGGGCTTTCCGCCGCCAGGCTCCGCCGCCCTCCATTGATGTCTCGGCTGCTTCCTTCGCAAGCACATCGGCAGCGGCTGAGCAAAGTAATACCGAACCTGTACCGGCTATCCCACCGTTCGCCGTTTCGTCACCACCTGATCGCCAAGCTTTCCCCAGTCATCGTCACCACCATCACCACCACCATCATCATCATCATCACCACAGGCATGAGAATCGTCAGAACATCGTCTCTCCATCGCGGCAGATCCAGCCCTTGGCGAGTGCGGTTCCTACCATGGAGGCAGTGGACGGCTTCATCCGCCCCGTTCGAGACATCGACCGACTCCCGTCCATGGTTCCGGTCTTCCATCCCGGCCTTCCGTCGCAACCCACATCGCCTACTACGCCTTTACCTCCGCCACAGCTACGCTCACCAACACTTCGGCCTACCTCGGTCTTGGCACCAAATAGTCGACCTAGACGGCGTCCTTCCATACGTCACCAGAACTCGACTACGGATACGGATGATTTGAACGCAACTGATAGCGTTCAATCTGATGAGTCCCAGGACGCTGAAATGTCTGGCACCACTGAGATTCCACCTACGGTTAACTTTCAGGATATCGCCATGGAGGAAGGTGACAGCACTCTAGCTGGCTCAGCGCTCGACCTGACAACACCGACTGTCTCCGAGATTCCCGATGCGGGGACATTCAATATAACACATCGAACCCCAATGGATGGCAGTCTGCCAAATAACGCTCCAGCCCCAGGACCAACTTTAGGCCTTTCTCCCAATCGCCCCATCGTGCCTACGCCTCAGCCATCTCTACCAAACCACGCCAGTGTTCCTCGCTACCTTCTGGACAGGCCACTGCCCCCCAACCCACAAATGTTGGCGGCAATGCCTAGAGAAGAGGACGTTCTGATGTCTCTTCAATTGCTGGCATATGTGTCCAAATACTGCAATCTCAGGTCATACTTCCAGAAGAGCCACGTGGTGCCACGGCTTCAGATAGGCAAGGAGCTGCAACTGCTTGACGGAGACCATGTGACACTGGAATCTTTAGGTCCGCAAGAGTATGAGGAAGAGTACCTTTTACCCAACGATTTCAACATTTTCCCTCTGGTTGAGAAGTTTACGGTGCGATATCACAGCAACGATATGCAATACTGGGCTGGGGTTGTGATGCGCAATCTCTGCCGCAAGGATGATACGCGGGGTGGCATTCGGCAATGCGCATACTACCAGTGTGGTAAATGGGAGGAGTTCACGCGACAATTCGCTAAGTGCCGCCGGTGCCGCCGAACGAAGTACTGCAGCAAAGAGTGTCAGAAAAGTGCGTGGGCATTCCATCGTCATTGGTGTGTCGCTGCTTCACAATGACCACGGTTATTGTCCGATATTCTCCCCCTCCGTCCTGTCTCCGTCATCTCATTTGGCCCGGCGTTTTCAGCATAATGTCTACTTGATCAACTTCATTCATGAGTTGCATTGCATGGCGAAAGCAAGCATAGCACGAACATGGCGTCCGCGCTTTGATACCATTGGTTTTACTCAGCATTACGGTTCTCCTTTGTTACTATCACCGCCCTCGATCGGATTCTTACGAAACGCGGTTCCCTTTTCTTTTCTTTTCTTTTTTTTACAATTCGCTCTCGAACGCCTCATCCCATATTTGGTCAACTGGGTGCGGTGAAACATCATGAAAACCGTTGGCGGTTCTCATGAGCACCTGTATAGTATTGGCCTGCATTGTGGTGGTTGTTCGCGGTGTCGAGGGTGCTGAATATCGACTTTGGCAAACCACACTCCCCTTTCTCCCTAGTAACCTACCTACCTATCCATGTCATCGAGTGAGTTGCTTCGGCAGTTTTCGAAAACTCGTACTTTCCATTTCTTTAGTCTGGGGAGTTCCGGAACTGGTTCATTGGGATGTGGGAGTGTAGCATTTAGGACACTAATTGGTATCCGTCATGGTCGTTCTCGGTTTCTTTGGGGTTCCTCTTTGGTTCCATCGATTCTATAAAGGGACCACTCGGTGGCCTGCGAGGGTGGGGGGAGGGAAAGAAGATAGTGGTGGACCATCATCTCGGCGAATCCGCCATAAGGTGCTCGACTACCTACTCGGTCCAGGTGATGAAAAAGGTCTCTTGTTGAGGTCACTCAAATGGAGCCGACCCCGAGAACAAACATGGCCTAGTGAAGATGACGAATAGTTACTGCAATGGCGGACTGATAGTCTGTCAAAAACAACCCAAACTCTACGCTTTGTATCTTTACCATAACTAAGAAGATCAACGAAACCAATTCAAAAAAATTCGAATAGCATGTAATATGAATGTGATATGTACCTAGTATGTTATATGTCTACCTAGGCATCTAAAACAACCAGGTTCCAAGTCTAAGATCTAACCTTAAGCCAACTACCGAATTCCCTTTATCGTAATGTATGTACAAGTAGATTTTCATTTCCGGTCCCCTCGTATTTAAGTGACCGAGGAAAGGAGGTGGAAATGGCCTGGGCTCATGGTATTGCCCTTTGCTATTAACATATACACCTCTACCAGGATGGTAAAGGTCAGTTTACCATTTTACATAAGATACTTAAACGGCGGGTAGGTTTGCGGCCTGTGTAAGATAGTGCATCTCGACATACTAGGGATTTGCTTCGGATACAGTCTGTAAGTGGGGAGTAGGTGGACTCTCTGCCTTCTCGATGTGAAGTTTACTTATGATCTTGTCCATAAGTAGGTACTTTCTTTGCTGAGTTTCTGAGCTTGGCTAAGTACTGACACTTTTGATACTTAGCCTCTGCATATATATATATAAATGCGTCTCTTGCTGACACGTTCGTGCCTCCCAGCACATGTAACGCCTTGCCTTGGATTAGTGAGGTTGCTGGAGCACCTGACGATGACTCCGGAGACCTTGAAGACCTCCGCATGTTGCTAGGTGAACACAATGTTCTTAAGGGGGTCCCCCCCAGGCCTGCCCACGAATATGGCAACTACGAAGTTCACTATTTATACCTAGGTAACATAGCTATATTGTTAGCTGCTTAGGTACATATGTACCTAACCTTGAACCTTACATAATGTAGCCGAGATGATGGGCGCTGTTGGTATATGCCACATTTTTCTACTCATACTAAGAGGCATCTGAAAAGTTGTACATATTGTACATAGGTATAGTCTAGTTGGGACGAGACGCATCGTATCCAGATGAACAAACAGCATTTCTACAACTTATAAAAAGCAGTATCGGATGACGTTGGGTTAGGACTGAAATGCTTGACGTTTCCAACTTAGACAAGTTGAGGCTGAGCCCCACTATAGAAACAGGAGAGAGTTAAGGTTGGGATTTTAGCACCTTTTAGCACCCGTTAGCGCTATAATTCAGCTGAATTAATTAACCGGGGGTACCTCGCCACCTACAGGTACCTGTTCAGCATTGACACGGAACCATTGGCCTTTTATCTTTGTGACAGCGGAAATGAATTATCGTGGAACTTGTCCACTTAGAATACTAGGTACCTATGTCGTATGTACATGCCCAAGAGGTACATGTATCTGGTAGGTGCTAACGAGGTCAGATAATAACAAGTATAGTATAGATGGATGGATGGATGGATGGATGGATGGATGGATGGATGGGTTAAGAAATATGTTGATACAGCGATTCTTGAAACTAAGCCGTGCCTGTTTCAGAGCCTCGCGTCAGCAACCTCCTGAACTTGAATTACTATCATAGCTAAGCCTCTTTGAAAGGGGTATTTATTAATTGTGTTGGTCTTGAGGAGAATAAGTAGTATGCTTCTTTGTCTTCTCTTGCGTTTCCTCAATATTATTTGTACATACATGTAGGACTACCTCATACCAGTACATATACCAGTACATACATTGAATACCACCTGGGTACATAGTATTTAAGGTCTCCAGCTGCATAAACTTACCCCAACCGTGCTGTAAGTTGACTAATGCAATTACCCCTTCGCCCCCCCTTTTTTTTACTTTTTCCCCTGTGAGAACGTGGGTTACACAGCTATCCAACATATCGTTGAATGCCAGGAACGCTGCAATGGTGTCTTGATTTCTTGGCAACCACGTTGAATTGAACCCCACCATTAAACCATTTCCAACCCCTCCTGCATCTATCTATCTATCTATCTATCTATCTATTTACCTATTTACTTATTACATATTACATCTTACTTGAGATATATACAATTTAGAAACTTACAAGCAGTTAACACGTCAAGACCAGGCAAATCGAATCTTATTTAAATATGGCTGCGCGACCGACCTTGTTCACCAGGGGGCTCTCCTCCCTTTCACAGACCACCGATCCCAACTCGCCAAATGTCAGCTCGCCCGCTGAACAACGTGACGATGCGAAACGCAACCTATTCAAGACCATGCGGCCCTTGCCCACTCAGCACTACTGGAACGTGTACTTTGACAGGTAAATTACCCAGCTACCTGTCTTCTAATTCGCGCTTCTCCTATTAACCTTTAACCTTTCACCATAGACAAGCCAAGGAGCCAAAGAAAGAGGACGATGACAGCTACCAAGTATCACTGGAGCAGCTAGGCACGCAAATCGAATCGGTCCAGGACTTTTGGCGATATAACAATAACACTCCCGTCGACCAAATCAAGATGCGCGAGTCTATTTATCTGTTCAAGAGTGGTTTCAAGCCCATCTGGGAGGACCGCCGTAACGTGTTGGGCGGAAGCTGGACGTTCCGAGTGCCTAAGAGCGCGGGCCCAGACTTCTGGACACGCGTACAGCTCATGGCCATCGGCGAGAAGCTACAGGATGTGCTCGAAGAAGGCGACACCATCTGCGGTGTCGGCCTCTCCGTCCGTTTCAACTCCCACCTCATCTCCGTCTGGCACCGCGATGCCTCCAAGTCCAAGTCCATCGATGCCATTCTCGAGGCCGTTCTCGAAGACCTCCCTGCCGAGCTCCGCCCCAAGCCCGACAACTACTTCTACAAGAAGCACTCCGACCACCCTGGCTTCAACCCGCCCCCGGAGCTCAAAGCCGTCATCGACTCCCGCAAGCGCGCCGAGGAAGCCATTGCTGCGGCAAACAAACAAAATGAGAATGCCAAGCCTGCACCGGCCGAGTAAGACAACCTAGGTTACTCGGCAAACACCACTATATTGGGAAAGCTCAGACTAGTTGGCATCTGATCGAATCCTGACCCAACATTTTCTCTGGCCATCTACTTCCCTACCGATCTACTTACCTTGAAATCGGACCCTATTCATGGCAAACATCTAGTGATGCATCATCGGATGAAAGTTTCGATGGATCTTGCTTTTAGCTTTCCGTATCGGCTGAATTTCGTCTCATTCCCCTTTACAAGGTTCGGTCGAATATAGAAACTAAACCAAACTCAACCGTACGAGGTGGGGAAGACTGCATTTTTCTGGCGTTTGCAAATGGATCATCAATATATTTACTACGCTCCTAGAGGACAATACATTTATTATATATGAGCAATGAACTTTTTGGAGATTGAAACTATGATGAGCCATTGACTATCAGGTGCTTGCCTACCTCGCAACGTGACTTTTTACGTAGGCATTGTCTATCGACGTAAATTTCGGAATGGTAATGTATCCAAGTATAAGACTATCTATAAATAACTAGGTGATCTGCATTTGCTATAAGTGTGTCTAGCTGAGTAGACACAAATGGAGGGTATGGATTTAAGGGGAAAGGTATATCGCTCTTAACTAAACGTCCACAACGCATTGGCGCTGGCATAAGTATGCAAGCATACATACCTAAATAGGTGCCCCCCAAAACCTCAACCCTTTGGCGATCCTAGAACCCGTAATCTCTATGATACCTAACTATTAAGTCCTGAGTCTCTAGGATGCTAGCTTCGGTATTAGACATTGTTCGTAAGAGAGGTATGCTCGTTGACCCAAAACGCTATAAGAGGTGATAGCGAGGGGGCGTGAGCGGAGGTGATGCTGACCTCTCGGGCCGCAAAGATCTGTAGGACATGTTGTATACTAAGGTTACCCATCGTGTCAGTCTGTCTGTAAGGCTTGTTAGACGGGAAATTCCTAGGGAGGGTACGAGGACGGGTATACTTACCTAGGATAGCCAGTACCTAGTATTGATATCACGTGGGTTGTTCAACTTGTGTGTCTGATATCCAACCTTTCCTCTCCTTCTTTCTGTTTTTTTCCTGATCTCCCTCCTGGAGCCAGCTCCCTGGAATCCCATATAAGGAGACACATTCCACATCAACCCACATCCGCCGAAACCTCAGCTCCCTACTTCAGCGAGGAAATTATTTGTAAGGCAGGTAGGCATGCATATACGCATATTCGTACAATAATCCAACCAGTTCCGCTTCCCTTCCTTTCCCATCACTTCCAAGCCCCCGCCCTCCGCATAACCTCCTCGAACTCCGCCCTACCGACCCCCTTCCCGACCCCAGCGCCACCATTCGCCTCGAGAATCATGTCCTTGAGCAGCTGCTCGTCAACATCCTGCTTGAGCGTCATGGCGACGCGTTTCAGATGCGCCAGCGTCAGCGTTGCACCACCACCACCACCACCACCACCACTCCCTCCACCAATACCGCCACCACCGCCCGTGAACAACCGAAACGCCTCGTCGACTTCGTCGGGCGCGGGCCCGCCGGTGTCCGGGCGCGCGTGCAGCTTCAGGGCGCAGATGGCGACGAAGGGCTCGTAGGACGCGTACCCCTCCTCGTCGGGGTCGAGGATCTCGAGGAATTCCTGGAGCTCGCGTTTGCTTGGGGGGAGGCCGAGGGCGCTGTTTGTCATCGAGTTAGCTGGTACGTATATAGGTAGGTAGGTAAAGGAAAAGCAAGTGAGTTCGGGAAGGAGGGGAGGGGATGGGAAGAAAGAGGAAGGAAGGAAAGACGCACACCATAGCCCTCCTCACATCCCTGGTCGGTATGACGCCCTCCTTCTCGCCCTCCATGGGCTCCGCGAACAGCGCGAACGACTCCTTGATCTCGCGCTCCTCGCGCGCCGAGATGTTGTGCTCCTTCGCCAGCTTCGACTGCCGCTCCTTCGGCGCCGTGGCGTCGGCGGCGGCTTTGCGTTTGGGTGCCTGCGTCATGTTAGCTATAGTGCCATAGCCGCCACCATTTCTCTTTTCATTTCCCGGCTGTTTCTAAAAAAATAAAAAATAAAAAAATAAAAAATAAAAAAATAAAAAAAATAAGAACCGATTGTATAAACTGACCATTTTCAAACGTTGTGCTGTCGAGAGAATGGCGATAATTGGGTGATTGGTTGGTTATGCGACAAGGAAGTGGTTTGCTCAAGGTTTGCTTAATACTAGGTAGGGAGCTATGTAAGCTCGAGGTCTTACGTACAACAGTTAACACAGGCCCAATAATATTTAAACTTTAGAGTTGCCCGCCTGTCGGTGGGGCTTAAAGCCGCTTTTTCAGTGCTGTTAGGTACGGCCCGTTCTGTCTCAAAGAACCTTAAAATCACCAATTTCTATATCAACCTACAACAGTATGTAACCTACAACCGTGAATAGTGTGCCCACGAGTATCACCAAGTATAAGACTAGATATCTACTGGGTAGATAGGTGTCCAACGTAGTATAAAAGAATTCCCTTATACCTAGGTGCGTTATATACATTGACCCTCTTAGAAGCAGTATGAGCAACCGTCTCCGGAGAGGTAGTCTCGTAATTACAAATAATGAACACCATAATAATAGAGAGAAAAAAAAAACACAATTGGAATCGTGTTCGAATCCAATGGCATGAGAGAATATATATATTGTGATATAATAGCTTTTTTTTATGTTCATGTATCGTTATGTGCTGGGGTAGGGAAGGGGTGTTTCTTTTTTTCAGACTGATTATCAACCACACAGTCGTATTAGGTATTACCTGCCGGCTTCTGGCTGTTTGAACTTCGAAAAGAGGCCATCAAGCTTGTAACTCCATTCTATAGGCAAAGCCTTATAGACTCCCCTGATTTGCCATTCTCCAGCTTTGCCGATTAGCCATATATGCTCGTAATCAATCCACAACGACATGAAATGCGCCAATACCACCATAGCTCTCGGTCTCCTCTCTTCTATGAATCGAGTAAACTCCCTCGGCATCACAATCGAGAACGCGGCCAATCTTCTAGCCACAGTAGCGTCCGTCTCGCCCATGTCTATCGATCTCTGCACATTACATATGTATGAAAGTGCTTTGTCGTACACCGACCTGGCTTCTTCGTCGTGCAATTCGTAGTCGTCTTGTGCTGCCATCGACATCGGGCTACCAGGATATTCCAGTAGCCAGTCCAACGAGCTATGGTCACAGCTGAGAAACTCTTGTGGGTTCCGAATGTTTGAGTTGCTCATAACGTTTAGATAAGAAGTCGGCTTGTTCTCGTTGCTTAGCAGCCCGCTCGCCGTCGCTATCACTTCACCGGCACCGCGACCCATATGTAACCACTGCACAGGCGCCTCCCACGGGTCCACCGATAGTGTCTGGACTAAAGCTATAGAATGGGCCAATATTCGGAGGCTAGTGAAACAGATATAGTCCGCGTTATGTATGATCCCCTGGGTTAACTCTTCAAGGTCGCGCCGTTGTCCTTTCATGCACATGACCTGATAGGTTTGTTGCAATTTCATGAGATCATCCCGCTCTCGCTTGTCCGTGGTCCGCGCCCAAAGATGTAGGGCTGAATTAGCTAACGTTATGTAGAGAAGACTACACCGATTGTGTTCGTGGGCCATACGCATGGCTAGATCTGGAATATCGTACTCCCATATGCGCGCGAGCTCCGGGTTGTTCTGACCAGGGAATGGCTGTGCCATGGTTTGGTAATTGTGTAGCAAGCGAAGTTCCCATATTCGACGCCACGGCCCTTCAGGTATATCGATCTCGGGATCTGCCCCATCATCTATAGGAGTGGGATGAGATGAACCAGGAGAGGGATAGAATTCTAAGCCGTGCGGTGAAGACCCTGACACTACTGGCTTGCTCTCGTTACCGGGCGAACCTCCTGTATTGATCGGACTTGTCGAAAACATTGATGGCCCGCCATCATTTCGAGTAGCCGAGGAGGCTCTTGCGACGCCAGTCGACAATTGGGTCGCAACCGGGTACACGCATTCGACGGCATGCCTCGAACATGAGCCGCAGCTAGGGCGAACTTCGTCACACTGGAGCGGGGTGTTAGAGCTTGAGGTTCTACGAAGGAGAATGATTGCGAATAGCCGAATTGGTCAGGCTGCTGCTAAGTAGATATATATACCTTTACTCGTCTCTGCTTACATCGCATACAACCGGTGCGAGACTTTTTGTGATACAAGCGCGGTCCCCGTGGTCGGTGTTCTTGCGAACCGGCGTCATTCATGCCTAGAGGAAAGGGTGACATGTGTGTGAAGACCGACGTCCGATGAGGACGGCTTACAAATCGTGCGACACAATGGCCGTACTATGGGATGTATCGCAAACAGGTACCTCGATCGATAAATGATAAGTGTGCACCCGGTTTTGGTTCCGCGTCTTTGATTACCCGCGGTGCTGGGTCTGACCTTACTTCGACTGGTGGTTCCCAACTGAAGGTTCCGACTGGGGGATGGATAAACCTGGAACTCCATTTTGGATTGAGTGGCTCGAGGAACCAGTGAGCCAGTGAGCCAGTGCGGCACAAGTAATGCTTGTCCATAAACAGCTATAGGTACTTCAAGCGCTTGGGGCTACATGTACCGTAGCATTGGCCTACCCTTTTTCTTTACCTTCATTATGTTCCATCTGGCTAGACTTCTAGACCCGGATTTTACTAAGCAACCTACGGTAGGTAAGCTTTACACGACAAGAAAAATCTGCAAGACAGAAAAGGATCGAGGGTCAAGCCGGTCTTTTATATCGATCTATTAAAACTCATGAGATTCGAGCTAGGACCGGAGCCCGACCAGAGCCAAGTTCTGGGGCATAGATTCGTTGATCTATGAGGTTTTTGGGTACAACCGCACTTATGTTCGACTTAGGTGCGAAAGCGAAAGCGAAACCAGATGGAATGTTATCTGAGTAAGCGAGTTTTGGGAAGGGTTGGTAGGCAAAATGGGTAGGTAGTGTATCATTGATCATGGAGGAGTGGAGGACATCGGAGTGGACTGTGGATTGTTTGAGTGCAAATGTCACTATGTGGGCTAACAACCCGATTTATTTTGTTAGTGCACAGCGTACCTACTAACGTTAATGTAATGTAATGTAAGGTAAGGTGCCTGAGACCTGAACTTGTTCCTGCATCATGTAGCCCTGAAGGTTATTGTTCTTAGTTAACCCATCTATCCTAGTAGGTATGTAGCTTGATAGGTGCAGTACATGTATGCACCTAGCTTTCAATGCTTTTTTCTTATATGGATGATTATTGATGACAAAAAAAGAACTATATACATCATTGATGTGATGTATGTAATACGATTAATGGTGTAGTAACTAGGTTAACCTACATAGTTATGTATGTTTGATAATATGTACGATAAGAAGGTTGGCGGCTGCAACCTGCGGCCTTGCTGCAGATACATAAAGTGTAAGTGGCTTCAAAAGTGGTGGTTTCTGATCTACTAAGATGTACATCAAGGCTACTTATGGACATGTCTAGGGTAGTACTGTTAAGTGTGGCTTATGTCCCAATTTCAATATATTGAATGTATATGTAAGTACTGCATAGTAATAGGTCCACGGCAGATTGCAGTTGTAGTCCCCACTCTGCTATCGTAATCCCGTTTCAGCATGTCAAGCTGCCAGTTGTTACTTTTACGACGTTCAGCTGTAAGCCATGTGTAGGTGCATATATCCACCGCCCAGTGGCCCAATGGTTTCTTCATCAATCAATTGTGAAACTCTCCTTCGACGACTTGACGTCGCTTTCCCAATTCCCAATTCCCAATTCCCAATTTTTGATAGGCGAATAGTACTACTATTAATTGTGCAATTGCTATAACGCCTACTACAGTACCTAGTACTACTAGAATACCATTGAATAAAATTTCGAAGTTCCTTCTGACGCAATTTACCTCATTCCCGTCTAATACGACCGACAAATACAATATTACCTTCCCGTGCCGGTGCTTAGCATAATCCTTTCCAGCTAACCTCAAAGTGTCATCCCACGAGTTTGCTTCGACAAAACCTGCCGATTTTAGGTCACGATCTTTTTTTGTGAGATGCCCCGCGGGGCTATGTTCTTAGTATGCAGCTGAGTCCATTACAGTCGCGGCTGGCTGCGTCCGTGATAGCCTCATGTCTGTTACTCGTTATATATCTATTTTTATTCTCCCCGCCATTCGCTCTCGCCGCCGAGCTCGCTGGCATATCTGTCGATAACGACGCGCGCGATTGGACTTACGATGATGCACAGGATGCTGCCGAACCTCTCGAAGTATCCGACCCCAGACGTCCAACTTACGAACCAGGATTCGCACTATTCGACCGAAGCATAATAGGAAGGCAAGCAGGTGTTGCGAGTCCCCTAGCCGACAACGAGCTTACAACCAGTAATCTTGCCCCTGGCATTACGAACATATATGTTTTCTCTGAGTCGTCAGTGACTAGTAGGGCGGCACAAAATCTGAACGAGCCATTGGAGCTTCGCAGGGGGTTAAATGAGTCAGGAGAGTCGGCTGCCGATATACCCAATGAAGCCATTGATCCCGATTCGGAACTTGTGCGTAGACAGTCATCGAAAACGTTGTGGATATCTGCAAATACTTGCCAGCAGCCATGGCCCCTTTCAACAGATCAACCCACGGTAGAGCCTCCGCAACTCGTTCTCTATGTGTCGACGTCCGCCGACAATACCTCCCCTGGACCGTTGCAGAGCAACGATACACAGCGGGTTATCCCCTTTAATGATGGCGCGGTTATGTTTAACATATCCCTAGACGGGGATGTTTACATGTCAATTACAGCTCCAACGGTTTCTGCCCAATTATTCGACATTACGAGAGAGTACAACTTCAATTTAGTCGCTTCTACCGAACAATATTACTATTCCTATGACAATCAAACAAAAGCAGATCTTGTGTGGACCGATAGCGATGCGGGGGCGGCTCTATTGCAGACAAACAACCTTACGAGTTCTCCGGACCAACAGATCACTACGATGCCGTATGTATTGTTCGCTCATAATCAAAACGATTCGGCCATCAGTGGAATGCGCAACTCTTACTGCGGACTGAGCTTGCACGCTCAAATTAGGAATCTGGACGACGGGAGCAGTGGCGCAGTGACCATGGGGTTAAAGCAAGGGGGGGATCGCAACCTAACCCGACAGCAGTTTTATGTTAGCGGCCTCAACGCCAGTTCTAAGTACGTTGGAATTCTTGCGCGTCCACCGGGAAAGGCGGTTCAAAAGCGACAGGATGATTCCTCTAGTGTGGGGGGTGGAGTTGTTTTTCAGCCGGTTCCGTTCGAAACTAAACCCAGTAAGCAAAACGCCAGTTCTTTACCATGATGGATGGAATCACTAACTTGGACGTACTACGTAGATGGCGCTTGTACGGTTATCTTCAATCTAACACTATGCGACCAAACGCAATACGCCGTACCTGGAAACCAAGATCTTTTCCCTAACGTTGCGGCGCTCGCTGCTTTCTACGAGAATTATACGCAGACCATGTGGGACAACTTTGATAAAGTCCTGCAGCAGGTTCCTTGCAATACCTCATCGACGGCTCAGTACTCTCTAGCTAGAAATTGCGATGATTGTAAAATCGCGTATAAGAATTGGCTCTGCTCGGTGGCCATCCCACGCTGCGAAGACTTTTCGACGCCTCCTCGCGAGGGAGTTTATCTACACGAGCGCAACATCGCGGCCCCGTTTCCGAACGGGTCGATGGTGGACCCGGAATTGTTGAAATTGAGGGGAGACGATAAGGCTTTTAGCTCGTCCCGGAACCCCGCCATTGACGAAACCGTTCAGCCGGGTCCGTACAAGGAGCTGTTGCCCTGCGACAACGTATGCTACGAACTGGTACGGAGCTGCCCAGCCTCCATGGGCTTCGCCTGTCCACGCGATAAAAGCATGTACGGCTACACTACGAGCTACGGCAGGCAGAATATCGATGGCTCTCTATCATGCAATTATCCCGGAGCTGCGCATTTCCCAGGCGCCGCCAGTACGCTCTCCATCTCGCGGTACGGCCTCGCCGGTGCATTAGGTATACTTCTGATAAGCACGATTCTGCTATAAGAGCTAGGTCTCCTTCCTGTGGTTTGGAAACTATTCTTTTTTTTTTTTTTTTGCTTCCCATTTTCTTTTGAATGAGGGCGCCGGCGGTTTAATACTGCGGTTTTACGAAGCAAGCATTTTGCATCGTTTTAATGATAAATCGGGTTCACGAATAGCAAGCAAATACGCAAGCGAGGCACCGAAATGGATGATGAGCATTGCAAAGGCGTTCTATGGGTTAGATATATATCGCATTTTCCTTTTACTTCTCCTTTTCTTTTTTTTATTTATTAAACTAAGTCAAGGCGATAAACCACAAACCCCCTTGAGTCGTTTGGCATAGGGGTTAGATACCTATATGTATACCTAGGTACATATATAGAAATCAACTAGGAACGCAGACCTAGGTATTCTTGTTTTTGCAGGTTGTTCTGTTCATCTTTTGGACGGTTAGATCATTGCGTGGCGAAGCTGTTGGGTAGTGTTGTAGGCATACCTGATATTATGATGCTTACCATATAGGGGCATATACCCACCACTAGGTATTAAGTACTAGGTGCCCGGGTGGGTAGTATGCAATCCTGGATATTAACGCGCCTATGTACTTTGCGCGAAGGGCACTTCCATAGAAATCGCGGATGTACTAGCTATCAGGCATAGTTTCTTCTCTGGGGCGTTATGCTCGTCTTGTTCTATTGACGAGGACTGAAGCTAAGCTGTGGCTACTTCTGTCGCGCTTGCTCGAGTTGCTCGATCCTGGCTTCGAGGTCGGCAATGGTGGCTGTTGGGTTTGGTTTGTTAGCTACATGGCCCTGTATACGCGCATAGAGAGAAGGGGGATAAGTGGGTAGTAGGCATGTACCTCGCATCTCGCTCTTGATCTCGTTGTACTCCAGTTTCACCCATAAGTAATACGCTACCTGGTATGTGAAGACGGCCACGAGCAGTACTTTGGCGATGGGTCGGCCGAAGGTCTTGTAGAATTGTCCCTGTAAAAAGTGTGAGTTCAGTGCCTTCTTTTCCTTTTTTTTTTGGGTAAGCCCCCCTCCCCATCCTTGGGCGCGGAAGCGGGGTGGGGGGGTCTATGAAGGGTGGGGTGACTGACATTTATGGATTTCTCTTCTGGAGAGGGGGGCGCCGGTGGTGTTTTTACTTGCTGTGATGACACTGAAGAGGAAAATAGGCGCGCGGGTGATTTTTGCATCTGAAGTTGGAGTTGGAGCTGGGCTGTGAGAGGATGTTGGGAGGTGGTAGATCGGCGCGCGGTGATGGTTCGGAGGGGCGCCAGGTGTCTGGCTGTTCGGGAGGAGAACATTGTAGTGGGCTGGGTTGGGTTGAGTTAGGGTTGGTCTGTGAATGTCGGTATTGGAGTTGAAGGGGAGGTATCAGCTAATTGCTAGTTCGAGGAGTCTTAAAGACGTTTATAGATCTAACGATCAACGTGAAGAGAAGAACGTTGTGCTAATTGTGTATGTATGTATGTAACTACCTCGAAGCCTTATCTCGAAGTCTATCTCGAAAAGTGGCTTGGTTGGGTTTCTTTCAAGTGGCTTGATCATAGCCCTGACTGGAGCTGCCTAGGTAGGTACATAGATCCCTGACCCCTGTCTTCTCGCGCAAGAATGTCCCAAGACTCCCAACATTGAAAGTTAATTCAGGCCAATTAACTTATTAAGAAGTAATAACGCTAACTAATTCAGGTAAGTTAACCACCATTTTCGTATCCGAACGGACGTAGATCAAGGAAACCCTGAACTCGGGCTACCTAGTACCTAGTACCTAGCATTCCATTATCGATAGGGGAGTACGTTATTATTGCTGTTGCAGACACATGTCCATTCGGGGAAATGTGAATTACATCTCCAACTCTCCAAAAAAAGAATTGGAACAATCTGTTCTCTGGTTTGCGACTGGAATATCTGTCGTTATTCTTTGTCTTTTTCTCTTTTTTGATGCGGCAGCCTGTTTATTAATATATAAAAGAAAGGCTTGCACCCTTCATTGAGCACCGGGAATCCAAAGGCGCGACTCCGGTCTCATCAGCAACCTACCTACCTACACATACCCCCTTATATTAATTTAATACTGCTAGGTATTAGCTTGCAATCAAGTTCAGTTCCAGATCCTGAACCCCATCGCGCATTATAAGCTTTCCGCTTTTCCTCACAAGCGCAACCTCCTTCCTCCAAGCTACATAAACACTCACTCACGTACATACAATCTACACACAATGGTATGCTTCTCCCAGCTTCTCATGCAATAGATTCAAGTGCTGATACTAAACCTTTCCTCCACAGGCCCAGACTCTCGAGCAGCGACGGCGGAACGCCAAGTTCACCAAGGAGCAGGATGCGCGCCGGGGCAAGTCGGAGAACGACATCAAGAAGCGCCACAAGGAGCAGACCAAGTCGCCCATCTCCCTCTTCTGGCTGGGTAAGCTGATTTTCCTTTTCCGTTGCCCACTCTACCTACTCCTTGCATCCATCCCCAGTCTCGTACCTGCCAATTTGTCTCTAACTTGGATTCTGCGTCCTAGGCATCCTCGCTTTCATCGTCTTCGGCGGTCTCGTGTTCGAAATCATCTCGCGCGTCTTCTTCCGGTAAACGAACACCCCGCCACGAGGCATAGCATCCCAAAAGTTAGTGCTGCGGTTGAGGAGCCCCAATGCGAAGTGCTCTCATTACCTTACCCAAGAGTTCAAGTCTATCCAAGAACAACGAGAGAGGAGAAAATACGGCGATGTGGACAATTCACTAGGATTATAGTCACGGTCGAGATACGGGCACCGGCTGGAAGGTTCAATTGGAGTGGGGGACAGCTAATGAAGGGCAGTTAAAATGTGTATATGTGTGTAGCTGTCCAGAGGAGCCATGATACCTGAGCACCGACTCTATGAGAACAGTTCATATTTCTGGGGGACAGACCTTGCCCTCCTTTCTCCAACCATCGTATGTTTTTCTTTGGGCCAAGTCATGCATCATTGGCCCCTGTCCGGACGTGAAATTCACACAATAGGTATCCTAAGAAGACCAGTCTGAATCCACCATCTAATCACATGAAGTCAAGTTCCATTCAACTAATCTCGTATAAAGAATACAATTGATTTCTTGACTGATACACGGAGAGGAAATACATTAGCATAGTGATCATCCTGCCAATAAGAGCAAGCAAATATCAGATGGTATAATTAATCCCCTGCCCTTTTAAAAACGCCATTTTTCATTTTTGAGAATACACACATAAGTCATCATGCCCCAAGGCCTCTCCTCTGACCAATACCTCCGTGCTTTATCTTCATCCCCATGTCGAATTGGCGTTCCAAGTCCTGCTGAACTTTAACGATGTTGGTGCTTGATGTCGTAGAGCCACTTGTAGCCGCCACTGCATTAGACTTCTTAGCTCCGAGGAGCCTCAGAAACTTCTCCTTTCTCTTCTCATCGCCCTCTAGAGCTTGGACGTTCCATGGCCCGCCGCCATTGGTATTCGTGCCGTCTCCATTTGCGTTAGAGGGTACCTGCTCCTCAGCTTCGGTCTTCTCCTTTCTCTTTTTCTTCTTCTCTTTCTTCTCCTTCGGTGCTTCGACCTGGTTTACTTCCTCTAGCTTCCTTTTCTTCTTATCCTTGGGTGCCTCAGAATCGGCATCCGTTATGCTATTCGCGGCTGCATGCGAGTCCTCCTCTTCACTGCGCTTGCGCTTCTCAGACTTCTTATTTTTCTTGTGCTTCTTTTCCTTCTTGACCTCAGCATCTGAACTTTCAAGGTCTTCCACCTTCACCTCAATCTTCTTGTGCTTCTTTGCCTTCTTGACCTCAGCATCTGAACTTTCAAGGTCTTCCACCTCCATTTCAATCTTCTTGTGTTTCTTTGCCTTCTTCGGCGGCTCAGGGGCCGAGTCGCTGGAGCTGGAGCTAGTGGAACTGGAACTGGAGGTGTCACTATCACTATCGCTGGAGCTGGTGTCACTATCTGCAGGTTTAGTCGAAGTAGGTGCAGCGGCAGGAGTAGTGTCGTCAAGAGCGATATAGTTATCGTTCTTAGGGTCCGCTGCCATCTGCGCAACCTCAAGAGACAGCTTGTTCTTCTCGGCTTCCTCTTTCTAAAACACAATCAGTTAACTAGATAGCCTCTGACAGTGGAGGATAGCCTGATAACTTACCTGTTTCAGCTCGTCCAGGTAGTCGGCACGAGCTCTAGCCTTTTGCGCCTCAACCATCATCTTGATAGCCTGGGCCTCTAACTTATCAGCACGCTGGCGCAAGCGTCTATGTCTCTTCTCCTGCTTGTGAGGACGGTTGGCTATCTTCTTTAGTTTGTCGGCTGCTTTGCGTTCGTCATTCCATTTGGCGGCACGACCGACATTGGCCTTTCGTGCTTGCTTGGCCTCGGATTTGGCATGGCGCTTTGCCTTACGGGCTTCGGCTCGTGCAAGTCGTTGTTCTTGCTGTTTCTTAAGCTTAGCCTCTGTGGAAGGTTAGCACTTGGAATCAAGATTAACTATAAGCTGAAGTAAGATCAGGATATCCATACCTTTGGCCTCAGCTTCGCGACGAAGCTTGACTGGGTCAAGCTTCTGCCAAGGACCCGAATCAACCTCCATCTTTGAGGGAAGTTATCAAAAGGCAATAAGCAATTAAGTATTAGGTGAAGACAGAGATAGTTTTAAGAGAAAGATTTAATTAAGGGTGTTATATGTTTTAACAAAAGCACCTTCACGATCAATGTAGGGTGACTACCTAGAAATTCACGATGCTAGATTTGCTGGTGAAGAATAATTATTATGGGGTAGTTATCCGGCGATTAACTTTTGGACCCCAATTAGAAAAAAAAAAAAAAAAGTTAACTACCTATCCAACGAATTCTGCCGCGGGGAGAATAAACGGGTACCTAAGTTAGGTACAAGTGTACCTACAGACGGCGGGCGGTGTGGATTTTATGGGGATATATGGGGATAGACCGACCTGATTTGACAGCTGTCAGCATGGGTAGGCAGCACTACGCACCTAATATACAAAGTAACTTGGCAACCCTTGGGGAAGTTGCATGATTTTAATGTTTGGAATTCAGATGGAAAGCGGGATCATTGATGACTTAAGAATTGTTTCTACCAAATTGAGAATTAACAATTTCAACAATTTTAAAGATCCTCTCTGACTGTCTGACGCCGCAAAAAGTACAAGTACTTTGCAATCCTGATGGCAGCCAAAGTGATTTCACCTTTATGTTCTTTTTGATTTGTATTCTTCTATGCCTTCTTATTCATCTTTCATCTTAATATTCATTTAGGTACATATATGTAGTGGTTTGATACCCAGTACATATGTAGCGGTCTACCCAAAGTACCTACCTTTGTCTACTTCTATATCTGTACCACATTGCGAATTCCCCGAGTACATATCATACCTCAGAATAGAATCGACACCTCGTAAACATGTCTACTTTCAAGCGTGCGTCGCAGCATGGTGCGCCGTCTAGGGCCAGTATTCTCGGCACGTTACGAGCCACTTCAATGGTTGAGACGAAAACCTTTTTACCAGCCGGTATGAATCAGCCTTCCTGGCCAGGAGAATAGATATGATTATTAACATCAACCAACTACAGAGATTCTGGTTTCTATCTTGGATTACTTACCAATTTCCGATCAGCTCCGTTTTGCGAGAACGTCATGGCGAATGCGTGAAATGGTTTATGACGATACGAGATGGGTAGCAAGACTGAAGAGCATCGGCTGCTGGAACGAGTTGGAGGCCAGGAAAAGGTTCGATGAAGCTATGAAACGCAAAAGGGATGCTGCAGGCCACACCAATGCCAACGGCGGCCCAAATCCAAATGCTGTAACTCAGCCCAGCACCACTTTATTCGATGCTGCCTTGGAGGAGGAACGGAAACAAGCCCTGGAATCATCCAAACTTGACGGCTTCGAGACCCTGACTTTGAACCCACCCCAGGCTAAATCACCTTACGAGGATCCAGCTGTACTACTCGACGTTCTCAAGAACGTCAAAAGTGTGCGTGGTCATGCTAGGGAAGAGTACGGAAAAGTATACGGGGCCTTAGCACCATTCTATTTTGACCTGGTGCAAGCCAAAACTCATACCGAGCCCATCGTGTTTAAAGTCTTTCGAGATCCAGAGAGGCAGGCACAAATGCTGTCTAATCTCCAGGTCTTTAGCAAAAGTGACTGGGCCTCTGATTACCTGCAGCGAGAGGCTAAACTCATCAACATGATCACCATCTTTGAAAGCGCCGTCCTCAGAGAGTTTGAGCAAGGATACGAATTTTGGGATGTGGATGGAAGAATGCAGAGGTACGCACACGTCCTACATACTCTGAACGGTGGCAATGCGGCCATGGAACTCTTTATCCAGAAGCACCCACTATTGAGCGACCGTGGAGTTTTGGGCAACCCCATGGACTGTATCAACCGAGGCTCCGATGAGAACGTTACGCTTGAGCCCTCGCGCGCGTTTTTCGATTTACTTGTCAAAAAAGTAAATGAACAGAGCGAATTGATCAGCCGTATATTCCCGCAACCGGCGACTGTCTTTTGGTTTTTCGTTGACAAAGTTCGAGAGGAAATCATCATGGAATATGTCACCCCCTTGTTGGATGAATGCCACGAGCGGCACATGCCTTCCTACCTAAAGGCCGTGTCTGGCCTATTCGAGCAGTGCATGCAATTTGTTCGGTCGATAGTCCCGCCGAAGGGCTCGGAAAACAGCTTGGAAGAGCATGCAAAAGAAATAGCTTTAAAAGTCTTCGAGCCACACCTAGATCTGTACTTGCAAGAGGAGCTCGACAGCTTTACAAAGTACGCTGAACACGAAGTTGACGATTGGGAACAGAAGCTTTCGGAACAGGATGCTACCGCTGAATCCCTTTACATGGGGAACTTCAACCGACAAGCTGACAAGAATGATTTCCTAAGTTCCTTTAAGAAGGTAGTAATGATGCCAGTTACGGTTTTACCCAGTGCGTTTGGAAGTACTCGGCCCATGTCAACACCATCTGCTATTAGCTCAACCCATCGAGCTTCGATCGCCAGCATACCTAGCAGCTCGTCTCGGCCTCAGACGCCAGGACTTGGGAGTGCTTCGGACCGGTCTCGAACCCCGCTGCCTCCAGAAGTTTTTAACGATGAACTTAAGGCGAAGGCTGCACTTATGGCCAACCGGCTAGAGGGGATTAGAAGTCTTTTCAGTATTGAGGTCGCGCTTAGCTTAGTGCGCGCTGCCAAAGAGAGCCTTGGGAGGGCAGCGAAGTTCATTACACTAGGTGGCCAGGCCGGCGAAGAGGCTCGAGAGCAATGTGAAGCCATGTTCGTGACGTTGCTGAAAATACTTGGACAGACCCATGTCAAGAATGGGTTTGCAAAAGCCGTGGATCACCTTTCTCGATACAATCCTCGGGAGATCAGTGACCATAGCCAAACTGGAGTTGCGCCGCTGGTTATGTTCATCGAACTGGTCAACGTAGGTGACATCATCTCGCAAATGATCGACGTATTCTACGAACAACAACTCGCGGCACCAAAAATTGCCGACCGTAACGATTTTCTTGATCCTTCAGGTCTAGCCAAGAAGAAATTCGAGCAGATGCTGGATGAGAGCGTGGCAGCGGGTCTTAACAAAGGTATCGATGTGCTCATGGATGAAGTCGAATTCCTTTGCGCTACCACACAGCTTCCTACCGACTTCAACCCCCTGCCGCCTTCGGAAGAGACTGGAATCACTAATGATCCTGATATTGGTCCAACGACAACAGCGATTCGAATCACAGAGCTTGTGGCTTCCCATACGAAGATGTTAGTCGGAAGCACGGAGAAGACTATGCTAGACGTGTTTAACAGCGAAGTCGGTCTCCGCTTATTCACAGCTGTATGCAAGCATATCAAACGACAACGTATCAGCACCGAGGGCGCAATTAAACTCATTGCAGATATGACCATGTATTTTGATTATATCCGGACACTTAAGAACCAAGATCTGCTGGCATATTTCAAGGCGTTGCGGGAATTAAGTCAGATTTACCTCATTGATCCTCGGCATGCTAAGGAGATGGCAACGATTATTGCGGACGGCGATCGATTCGGAGGCATATTCCGCGCCGAAGAAGTGTATGAGTTTGCCGAAAGAAGGGCTGACTGGTATCAGGTTAAGAAGGATGTCGAACGGGCAATGTACGGGCTAGAATGTCGGATCATGTAAAGGTCTACTTACCTAAGTAGGCAGGATAGCGTTTCGTTGTTGAAATGCACACCTCCCACTTCCCGTACTATAATACGATCGGGTCAGTCCGGTCCCATAGCCTTGCCCCTACTGGCCGTTAATTCTAAGAATCAGAAGTCCAAAATTTGACGCTAAGATGATGTGACCAGGGGCGAACTTGTCAATAAGATTGAAAACTCAAGTCACGTCAGCAATGAGCGATTTATTCTACAGGACCTCCTATAGAACCTCCTAAAGCAGCAATAGCTCCGAGCTCACAGCCATCTCTTCTACTATGTAGTCAAGTATGAGAGTCACAGACTCACAGCAAGCACCGACTAACAACTCGTTCCCATAGAAATATCCCGACGGTTCAAAGCGAACGATATCATTGGGACACGAAACTGCCCCTGGGTGTTACTATCTTGCAATAAGAGATGGCGGGGGATCGATAGTCTAAGCCTCAAAAATGACGAACAATGTCCTAGCGGTATGACTTATTTCGTCATAGTCATCGTCACTGGTCAGCAGCTTATACAATACTTGGACACCGAGATATATCAAGATGAGACAGCATTTTCAACCAGAGCCCTACGAGCTCACCATATCAACAAGGACTTGCCGCTATAATGCGGTGTAGTTTCTGTTAACGAGTAAAGAGTCACGATCGGAAGTGTACCTAATCGCGAATCGAAGAGCGTTGAATAACGAAGCAGGGAGTGTCCTCCAATCCAATGAACGTTTCAGACTTCACCATTGTATGACAAGGGCGCCCTTGTCGCTGTTTTCTCGTATACCAATTATCGTCCCTAAACATGCACTGCATCCTATTACAAGTTTACAACTACGGATACTCAGGAACTTCACTTGTACTGTGTAATGTACAGTACTGTAGTGCACGCCTACCTTGCCAGTTGACTCACGACGGAAGCAATCAGCAAAGCAAAGAATATCGTAGGCAGAAGTATACATACACCATTATGCCAGATCCCGTCTAGCACGTCCAACACGTCGAATGCATATGTAGGTGGTTGGCTTCCTGACGGGGACTCGGTGTTCCTTATTTCGCTTGTTTATGTAATGGGTCGAGTAACTGTTGGCCATGTCATATTGCAGAATAACTCGGGAATTCTGCAAGCAGACGACCGGGGCAGATCCAATCGGCTGGGTCGTAAGGTTGGCACGTAAAGCTTCTCGAAGCTTACGGGATTCGTTACGATAAACGTTGGATGATACCTACATACAGTACATCCGTATTGAATCGAGGATCAGACGTTTATGTACGGACTGTAGGCTGCTGACAAAGGAAAGATTTAGCGAGTTCACCGCCAGATAACGTAACAGTACGGGCTATATAGGTGCTCATAATGCAATGCAACGCCCTAGCTGATTCACGAATGCATACTTGAGCATGGGAGACGAAAGTTGCATACATACAGTATACTATCTACCTACTATACCTCTCTTAGGTAGGTATATAGGTAGGTAGGTATGTATGTATGTATGTATGTATGTATGTATGTAATTCCTGGGGTATCGGTACCTAATGGGGATGGATGTCTGGGTTCAAAATTGAAAGCCTTATTTTCATCGGATAATCAACCTGGCAAGGCGGAATTGCCGTCTTCGTAGAGCCACAAGTTGGCGGCATCGATCATAGTCGTCCCCCTTTTATTTGGAGTCTCTTTGGATATACCTAGGTACTATTCTACCATGCACTACTATGTAGTACAATACCTACATGCATAACTTACATAACCTAGTACGTTTATAAGACTGAAATACTAACTACATATGTAGAAGGATGAGACTGCCCACAAAGGTTAAGGTTAGGGCTGGAACGTTTTTAAGGTTCAGCCTTCAATCTCGCAGGAATGCAGTGTGACCCATACTTTCCCTACTACTAGTAGTAGTATGTAACCTCTTAGTAGCCATCCGAGGCTCGTGGCAATTCCTTCCTACTACTACTACTACTACTACTAGTATATCTTCCTACCCTACATCCTACTAGGTAGGGTATGCATTGTACATTGGCCATTTAACCATATTTATCTTACTGCATGCATATCTTAGTAATTACCTAACCTACATACACTAGTTCCATGAATAATCTATCAAGGCATACCGGAAACGCCCCTGTCGTGTATGTAAGTAGGATTCACCCCCCACTCACCTTAAAGTTGAGACGGGGAACGGGGAACGGGGAGCCCAAACGCGAATACACCAGTACCTATCTACTTGCCTAACCTTAGGTATGTACCTAAACCTTTTCAAACATTGAAATGGCTCTCTTTTTTGCTGTTTTCTGATCAAAAGATATGGCTATGGTCTTGTTTCCTTCGGTTATGTCTTTTATCTTGTCTTCATTTATCGCGAATGAATCATCTTAGCAAAGAGAGAGATCATCCATCAGCTTGTCTCAAAAGATTTCAGCCGCACGAGAGCTGATCTCCATAACGTCGATCCGGTAAGCCTCCTCATTTTCTAGTGCCTACCTAATTATGGCACTCATTCCATCTACAGGCACCTTACTCCCTACCCATCTACCGGGGGCTTGTTCTAGGCATTACGGCATTCACATGTAAGTAAGTATACTAGTAGGTGTGTATGTAGGTACATACATACCTACATAGTACCTATCCATGTGTCTACCGGCCGGGCCACCCCGAGACATGGCTTGAAGTAAAGTAAGATAAGCTAGCCTAATGGACTTTATAGTTACGTCGGAAAGATACTCATCTGTGTATGGAACGGTAGTCATGAGATCTTGGGGACTCAACTCATATTGCCGACAACAGGAAGCATCCAGAAGGAATATGAAGAAGAACGGAAACTTGACTATGTGTGGGGTGCCGTGATGGGCATCCCACGATTAACATGGGTCTTGGTGATATAGAACAGCGGTTCTTTCGATCCGCTAAGGCTGTCTCCAGTTTGAGCCGTTTCCTATTCGCCGAATTGCCCCTTACGTTGGTCCCCAAGGTATCGACCCCATGCTCTGAAGCTGATAACTGAAGATGCAATTCTTCACCCCGGCAGCTGCCCGGGAATCCTCATATATTCCTGCTTACACCTTCCAAGCTTCCTCACTACATCCTTCCTTCACGAACGGATAGGGCCGTGGCTGATCCTGTTTCGTCGATGATTGGCACAATTCACGTACTCGTCCAAGTGGATCCAAAGATGATTTATCAAAACCACTTGCCGTAGACTAATCCACACAACTTGCCCCTTGCCCCTTGCCCATGTGTCGATGTGTCGATGTGTTGATTAATGCCAAGGGAATCTAGCCCATGACTCGTCGTTTCTTATACGGGGGTCGTATATCGGCTTACCATATTTTCCCACGAGTATGGGGATAACTCTGAGAGTGGTCTTGCCCTGCCGATCATCTATACTCCAATCTCAACGGCTTCCGTCTGAAATAGGTTAGGATGTCAGCCATGCCTTGTAGTCTCGAGAAAGTGGCTCTCAGGGGTTGCTAGATCTAAATAGAAGACTCACCAACTGCTTGTTTCACAGAAAGCTTCAACTCTCCAGATTACTTGCAGAATACTCCATTGGGTTAGCAATATTATCATCGAGCCTCTCTCATTATTCCCCTTGCCGTAACATCGGTTATACGGGCAGGAGAGCCCTGTCTGACCATAGCTGCAAGCCAGTGCATCAACGTCATGTCACAATCGTGGCTTGAATCCAGATTACACTATTGTTACCTCCCTATAACTCACACACAACTCTAAAGTTACAACGCTTCTTATCGTGTCAAGTGTATATCACTTTGTCTCGGCGCTCACATGAATATAGAAAGACACCATACCTAAGCCTTGACCGTGACAATTCGATTCCAGCTTCGCCAAAGGTACCGAACTCGTCTTAGCAAACTTCCCATGTATGTAGATAGGACTATCATAAGATGGACCTATGTTATCAGCCCTATAGCTAGCACCCAAGTTACTTTCCGGACACGGACACGGCCCCCAAGCTCCACTCACATGCGTATAATAAATACTGCGAACGCTGCTCATTTAGGGTGCTTCTAGTCCTAACTGAATTCCCTCTACATATTGTTAGAAGAGATTTTACAAACTATATCCGGCTTGTGAGACTCGTGCTTTATTATCATCGTCTCTTTCGAATAAGAGCCTGCTTTGATATTCAAGGGGCCAGTCCTGGGCATAGATATCAACCTGTATCAAGCACAGGCAGCTCATTTCGAAATAGGAAATCCCGGTAATAAGATAAATAAGCTTATTTATCGACCCTTTCCGGACTTTCGGAGTACCAGGGGAGGAGTATTTCCTCGAAAACGAAGCTCCGAGCTCAAGCGTTCTGCCGAACTGAACTAAGATGTCTTCGAAATCATCTACGAAACAAGGATCTCATTCCACGAAACACTCCAAGTCACATTCCAAGTCGAGCTCAAAACACCTGACGGACGACTGGACGGACATTGCAGAGCCAGAGGAGAGGAGGCGGATCCAGAATCGGCTGGCACAGCGCAAGTTCAGTAGGCAACACCACACACTTATAATAGACTAGCCTCCTATGCGAGAAACTAGCTGCTAACGTCTCTTTGAACAGGGGAGAAAGCCAAAGAACAAAAAGAGAAAGCGGAGCGGGAGTCACGGAACCAAGAGAACGCCGGCAGCAGCTACCGGCTCCCCTCGTCGGACGAGATCGCCACTGATGACGGCGTAGATCTGTCCGGGTTGCCGTGGGGGAGCCTAAGCATGCGGCACGTACTGGCGCGGGGCTACGAGACCGAGAGCCGGCGCAGCGGCGGGAGCGGCGGTGATCACACGACGCAGGACGGGACGACGGCGCAGCATCATCACCATCGTCAGTACTACGCGGCTTCGTCGGCGACGTCGAGTCCCTACCAGCCACACCATCAGACGACGCCGGCGACCACCTACGGCGGCAGCAGCACCACGAACAGCAGCGGGGGCGACGACTTCTCATACCAGGATGCGGCGTCGTATTACTATGACTATGAGTACGACTATGATTACGACTATGATTACGACTACGATCAGAATAACAGCCACGGCTCTTCGTCTCATCACTAGGTAGATATGGGGTAGCAGCCAAAGGGGATAAGGGAATAGGCTAAGAAAAAAGGGGGGTGGGGGGAAGAGAAAAGCTGCAAGGACGGCATCTAAACCCACCCTCTATCTTCTCTTTTTCTTCTTCTTCTTCTATACATACGCCTAGCCTCTCAGCTCTAAGAGCTAAGAACCCACCATCGGGCCAGGGGTCCGAGAATAGCGCTCCAAGGGGAAGAAAAGGAAATAAAATAGGAGAAAACTAGTTGTTGGTCGGGGTACGAAAGGCAAATGATTGATGATGATGAAGGTTACTTCGGTGCCTATCTGGGTGGCTAACGAGGATCTTGACGGACGGGCGGACGGGCAGATAGGCGGGCATTTTTTTTTCTTCTCTTCTTCTTTTTTGCATTAAAATTTCCTTTCTATCAAAGGGGCGTTTTCATCCTTCAAGGCCTTTTGCAACCAATTAGTATGTATTTATCATGATTTAGCTCATTTCCTTCCCCTTCTCCCTCCTCTACATGCATACCTACCTACCTTCACATTTGCTATTACTAGAATACCCAACATCCAAACATCCAGCATATCATACCAGGTATCTGCCTATCTTGATTATGTATCATTATATCGTCATTGCCAGTCAGTCAGTCTCGTCGGATAGAAATGGATATTATCTACCTACTACTATATATTTCATCGATGTTGCTGCTGTGTATTGCGGATACTACCAGGTAGGTGCGCACTAGGTAGAGACTCAGGTAGACAACCCGACCAAACGCCAGGCTGTCTAACCTAGTACGAATGGGATGAAGGAATCCTAGTAGATAGGGAGGCTAGGGAGGCGAAACAAGGCAAGTGTCAATATGTACGATACACACCCAGTGGCTATTAAAAGAACAGAGGCTACCTAGGCACAGATTCACGGTGTTTACTATGCAGTATGGATATAGTGCCGCGCATACACATACACAACATACACAACATACGCCATAAACTCACACGCTCTCTATCCTCTGAGTAAATAGACGGCCCACTGTACCCCCCCTACGAGCCTCCTTCCCAGGTAGGCACAACAGTAAAACAATATAACTAACAGGATCCTGTACCATCATGCATCATATACACGTGGTATACATGCACATTTTCAATATAATATACCTACCTACCTACCCACATGCATGTAGGTAGCACACACACCTATCTACCTAAGTTAACACCTCGTACATACCTACCTACCTAGCTAACCCAAAAGTGGCCCCACGCTCGGTCAAAAGGGCTGGGGGGGGAACACACACTCACAGAAAGAAAGATAGATAGAAAAAAGGGGGAGGTTGAGGTTGCAGACAATACCGAATTAATATAAGTGGCGTCTGGCGTCCGGCGCGGCGTGTGGAAGAACTAGGGGTTAGGGATAGGGGTAGGCATGCAACGCAACGTAACACAACGTACGTCAGGTCGATGTGTTGTCTGGGAAGGAAGAAGCTATTTATATACTTACATACATACATGCAAGACACAGAAAATATGTAAACGTGGAAAGGTGGGAAAAGTGTAGGTAGGTAGGTTGTCCGGATGAAGACGCGGAGGCTCGCTCAGCTTCCCCCCCCCCCTCCCCTCCCCCCATATACCCCCTAATACCCCCTCCTCCAACCACTCCATCTAACAAGTAAGTGTGTAGGTGTATGTGCAATATCGAAAGCCAAAATCTACCACCCAACAACCAAGAAAGACGCGAGAAAGGAGCCCCGAAAGAAGAACAAGAAGATCGCCACGCCACACATAATTTATACAAGCTAGAGTACATAGTTACCTCCCTAACCTTAGTAATGATGATGGTGAAGGGCTAGGCTACATAGGCTAGGCTATCCAGACGCAAGGCTAATGCGTATGCAATGCTACCTATGTAGGCTACGTGCGATCCGAATAGGCAGGCTTCTAGAAGGAGATCTTTTGTTTTCTAGAAGAGAAAAAGCAAAAGAGGAAAAATTGAAGGAATAAGGGATGCGGAAAAGGGGGGGTTAGATACCTCGCTACCACCTAACCTAGGTAGGTGTGTAAGTATGTAAGTACTGTATGTAGTGAATGGCTGGCTGGATAGATAGGTATACTAGGTATGTACACAGACGGCTCAGCTGAGACATTTCCATTTTACCTAATTTTGGGCGTTGCCGTCATCAAGCTCAACGCTGTGCTGCAATCTTCTACACATGTACCTACATACACGGCAGCGCAGTGCCGTACCTACCAAGTACGTAGAAAACGGGCGACGATCGATGATGAAAAAACATTGAAGCTGTGTCTCGGAGTTTTCTCCATCTGCCCCCCCCCCCCCCCCCCCCCCCCCCTTTCAGCCATGTGTCTATCTATACATAACTAGTGCCTTACTATTTATTTACATAGTACTACCTACCAGGCTACCACTGTCATCCATGTAAACTGCCCAACTTAGAAACAAGGCCTGAGACTTTGGCTGCGGCGTAGAACATTCTATTCTTCTATATGTGCTGCCGCTAAAAATTAAAAAAAAAAAAAAGGGGGGCGGGTAACGGGAGGATCTTACTTTATTGAAAAGCAAAAAGAGAAAACAGAAAAAAAAAAAGAGAAAAAGAAAAAGGTAAGAAAACTCCCAGGTGCAGATTACATAGGTAGATCGGTAACACAGCACTAACCTAGGGTAAACGGGTATCTTGGCAACGTGTATGTGCCGAGGCAGACAGGATATGCCTAGGTTAGGTTCATATTTCAAGAAAAAAGGGGGGACTAGATAGGTACAGTTTTTATATACTACTAGGTAGGTATCTAGTATAGTTACCTATAGTATACCTTATTTTTGCTGCAAGGCGTATTTATCAGCCTACCCAACCTAGTAGTCAGCCCACCTGAACACACATACAAGCGACGTCCTCGGATGCCCCTATTTATGGACACACTAACGGGTCGGCGCAACACCATCATTAGGTATCATACTATGCATATACTTACCTAGCCACAAACAAGGGGGCGTACGCGTGCGATAAACACAAGCAATCATGAATTCCATAGCACAGAATGGCTCGACTACTACAAGTCCAAGGTTAGGTACCTGAACTGACAAAACTATTGTGGTATCATGTAGTTATCACCCTACAAACACAATAACGCCATCCTCTTCTTCTTCCCATCATGAATATCTCAGACGCCGCGTTTTTCCGACCTTCATATACATACAAGGCCTACTATACAATGTAACATGGGCACGAAGCCTCTAAAGCTTCTAGCCCGTATGTACACCTATTAAGAAACCGCCGGTGGCTACCTAGTCTGTATGCCCGTAGCCGTATTAGGACCCTATGTAGGTACTAAGTCATTACGCACTTGAACTGTCACCTGCTTGTGTTGAGTCTTGTCCTGTCCTCTCGCTTCTGTAGCGTCGTCTGCGAGAAAGCTGACCACAGAGGGATTGTTTTTCGAGACGTGACCGAATAGACACTGCCAAAGGTCGTTGTTGTCGACAACCTCCCCCAGAGACTGGTCCCTGTTCATGAGCTTAGACAGGGAAGCCTGTTGAAGTTCGAGCGAGTTTGCTACTTCAAGATTCATATCCGAGACCTCGGCTAAAGATTCCTCTTCATCCCCTGTCATGTTCCTTCCCAAATGCTCTAGGCGACGTTGGACTGACAGGTCGTAGATAGACTCCTCCACCGTGCCTTCAATTAGATAGAGCCACACTGTGGTCTCATGTTCTTGACCAATTCGGTCTACACGGGCAATGGCCTGTAGCTCCAGAGCGGTGTTCAGAAGTGGCTCGCACAAGAAAACGTGGTTGGCGTTGACCAGATTCAGACCACTAGCATGCGCTCTGGCATCCATCAAGAAGCACTCGATAGCAGGGTCTTCCTTGAACCTCGTAGTGCCATTATTCTTCTTAAAAGATGTGTATCCGATCAGGTACTGGTCAAAGGCCTGGGCCAGAATGTCGAGAAACCCACCGAATTGCGAGAAGATGATCGATTTGGCTCCTGGATCTTCGATACGTAGCCACATTAGATGCTTCGTAATGGTATCAATCTTTGTAGCAAACGAAGGCCCGTTTAGATCGATATTCTTGATCACCTCTAGCTTTTTGCTACTAAACTCCGAATAGATGCCAGACTTTCTAGATCTTGAAAATGGTACGACATCACCTGCCGCATGTGATTCAGGCTGTGATTGTTCCTGCAAGATGGGCTCTGGGTGGAGCTTCAGCTCCTGTCTTTTCAGTGTGATATTATGGAGCATCGATCTCCCGAGTTTCTTCTTGCAGACGGGACAGCTATGATGTGCCTCGAACCATTTTAGGATACAATCATTGCAAAATTGGTGGCCGCAGACTGTGAGAACCCCATCTGTGAACGGATCTTGACAAATGACACATATCTCTTCTGAGTTCTGGCCCCCCTTTTTGACATGGAGAACTATGAAAGTTAGCCTAAGTCTAGCAAGTATGGGTATGAGTATGAGACTCACGATAGCGATGCTTTGGTCGCGCCGAAGCAACTTTCTCTTGTTTAGCTTCTATGTTCCTCAGTAGAATTTGTGCCTTCTCTTCAAGATCTGGGATTTGCGATACGTCAAGCGGAGTAACCATATCAGAAACTACCTGCAGCTGTTTGTAGTATTCGACACGAGTGTTCATGGCTGTAACAAAGCTGTCCAACTCTCGCTCCAAGGCTATAGCCGCCTTACTCTGCAAAGCACTCTGCTCCTGTGCTGACTTCTGGTACTTTTCGACAATTCCTACTTCGATTGCGGCTCGGTTAGTTCCATGAGCCTTATGGCGGAGCCTCGTGGCCAACTCTCGCAAGTCCGTAACAATGCTTCGAAACGAGGCCGCGTGGCGTGACGGTTTGACTTGATCGCGTCGTCCAAGTAACTCGAGAGCCTTTTTGGGAGCATGACCTTCGCCGTTCAACGCCTGTTTCTGTGCATTTCCAGTGTCGTATCTGACTCTCTCGTTTTCTAAGCCGGTGATCGCATCCTGTCGGTCTGCGATGACGGCCCTCAGAGCGAGTGTGTACACCATCAAGTGGTCCTGAATCTGCGTTGAGTCTTCGTACTCTTCACCAGTGATTTCGTCTTTATCCTCTTCGTCTACGAGAGGTTTCATCAGAAACTGAACGATGATTTCCCGCCATTCGGTAACCAACTCTGCTTGCGCGTTAAGTGCATCACTGAGTAGCTCAAAACTATGTAGGGCTCGCTCGTTCTCTAACCCGTCAAGGAGAGGAACCTTGACTTCAGACAACTTCACGAATGAATGCGCGGCTGCATTGTCCCGAATCTTAGTCATGGAAGATAAGGCCTTAGTACGTGCCTCGTGCAGGATTTCCTTTCGGATATTCTTCGCGGTCTCGTATCCGGTCACTTCTTTCTCCTCGAGGTCTTGCAAATCTTTTGTTTGAGGGTTGGCCGTCTGTAAATTACTCTTCATCTGGTAGTAACCGCTAGCAATAAAGAAATGTGCTCTGTGGTGTATATAGAGCAGAGACCTGAGCTTGCGGCGACACTCATTAACTTTCTCCATTGCCTTTTCTTGATCAGTGTCGTCGCCATTCGGGGAATCATGGCCCTTCATCTGCTTCAAAGGATCATGGGAACCGTCATTAATAGCCTTCTCAAGCTCATCTTCTAGTTGTTTTCTGCATTCATCTTCAAAGACCTCAACCTCATCAACAACTTGTTTCCAAATATGTAGAGCATCCGTTGTTCTTCCCATGTGCATGAAAACTTGACCTCTTTCTATCTTCAGAGTCAAGTAATTCCTCTGTTCATTTCTTATTTCCGAGTCCGACTTCTCAATCATGACATCGAGTACCTCTTCAAGTGTTCGTGGGCCTTTCCTCTGTTCTGTACCACCACCACCGAATTTAGCAGGCCCAAGGGACGCGTGTAGGACTATTTGTCTGAGATGTGCGAGAGTGCGTTTCATCTGATCTATTATCACGGGATCTTCAGGGTCCCAATCTTCGTTTATTGGCGTTCCTACCTCATCGAGGCCGAGGCCCTGAACCAGTTGTTTCACATGAGTGCGGTAATGCTCTTCCTCTATCACCGAAAAGGGTGTAGTAATGACGTAGCGCTTCTGAGAGGGAAGCTTCAGCTCATCGCGGACAGCGCGCTTTGTGTGTCGAAGGGAAATACGGTTGAATAGAGTCTTAAACAAGTCTCCGTATGAAGTTATCAACGCGTTCCATATGGTCATAGAGGAGACAAAAGGTTCGTAGTGAAGGAAGGATAACAAGCCCCACAAGTCTTTGATATCCTCTTTAACCGGTGTGCCTGTAATGCCCCAGGCATTGATACGGGGGATCAGCCTTGCAACTTTCGCAGCACTGCTTACACCACTTTCAATCTGTTGAGCTTCATCGATACAAACTCTCCACCAAGAGATCTGGATTAGTGGCGACTTGGGTCGCTGGGGTTTCCTTCCATGTCGCATTGAACGATCGGGCGGGTCTTCTGTATAATGAATCTCAGCCTGGAGAACAGAATAAGTAGTGATCACGACATCTTGTCCGGCCAGCTCAGATATCAGTTCTTCTGCATCACCAACGAAGCCTTTCATGCCGTCGTACATCTTCACACTTAGTTGAGGTGCATGTTTGCTAAATTCAGAAATCCATTGGGTCTTCAGTGTGGCGGGCGTGATGATCAAGGTAGCACCACTGAAACGCAAATCTCGAGGAAGTTTGATGGCTGATGCTTGCGCACCTTCACGTTTATGCATACAAATGAGCGAGATGGTTTCGACAGTTTTTCCTAATCCCATTTCCTCTGCTAAAATGCCGCCTTTGACGGCAGTCTCACTCTCGTGAAAGGGTGTGAGATCTCTGACCACGATTTGATAGAGACTACTGACATAGATGGGTAGTCCATTGACATCCCTTGCTGCGCTGAAAGAGAATGGTAGGTCAGTAGCTAGCGGCGGCGACAATGGCTCAAGGACAGGCCCCCCATTCGGACTAGCATCACTCCACTTGACTCCTTCCCTGCTGAGAAGCCACTGTAGGGCCCTGTGTTGAAAAGGATATAGACTCGAGGCGAGTCCGGGAATTGTAATGGACGAGACATTAGCATAGTCCTTTTCGGGAGTAAACGCCGCATCATAAAAAGCCTGAGGCAATAGTCTTTCCTCGGTGGTGTTCCGTGTCTGAATCTGACCCTCAAAGAAGGTATCTAGAACAGGTTGGCTCAGAGCACGCTGGGAGGCATTACGAAGGGTGTAAGCTGATGCGTTCCAATTCAACTCGAAGGTGATTTTCAAAGAGTCTTGGCATTGTTGCCTGTCCAAGTCGATTGACATCCTTACCCAAAGCGCGCCCTCATCATCTTGCTTGTCTCGACTTCTGCTCAGCACTTCGAGGATCGTTAATAGCTTTTTGGCAAGCTTTGATGGAGCTACCTCAAATCTCGAGTTAAAACTGCCATTTGGAGATCGAGGATTTGAAGAAACATCGAGGATGCGATGCTGCTCATCGTAGTACAACTTCATGTGATTATTAACATTCTTACGCGAAATCGGCTCATTGAACACCACCATGGCCTGGATTGGTTGGCTGAGAGTTAGCGATTCCCTAGCAATGGGAATAGTGTCGACATGGCCAACACGAGCGCGCTTCCTAGGGCGCTCATCAGGCGAATCGGTGGATGGGATTGCATGTAAGAAGGCTAGAAACTCTTTAGGAAAAGGATCTAGGTAAAACATTAGTAAATCAGTATGTAAGTAAGGAATATACAATTATGTAATCCTATAATAGTGTGCTTGAATCCACAAAGATTCTCATAGACAAACCTGTTGATTCCACGGGCCGGGCTTTGACGGGACAGTTGGCCGACAGCTTGAGCGCCGGTGCCGAACGCGGGGGGCCCATGGTAAAGAGTAGATCGCCGGCAGTCAACGGAGATTAAGATGAAAGCTTCGAATTGATTAAGGAGATCTGGTTAAGGTGAATGTTACTAAATTACCAGGTAGCATGAAGATGAACATTACAAAAGAGAGACAAATCTGATGTTCAAAGGCGAAAAAAGTAAAAAGCGAGCACTGGCTAGTAATGGTTAAGTTATAAAGCTATAAGTCAACAACCTGCCCCAGTGGTAAGAAGAGAACATGAATGAAAAGAAAGCGGTTGAAGCTTTTGGGTTGCTAAGCGCAGAGTGGAACCTGAAAGGTGCGTTTAATTGATTTGATCCCTGCCATTCCCAAAGTCTAACTCGCACGCGCCACAGTTTCCACTAGCCACCGCAGTTGAAGGTACATACATACCTAACCTAGTACAGTACTAGGTACTAGGTATCAGGGCTCCATTGAATTTTTTGGTGCGGCTCAAGCTAGACGGATCTGATCTAAAGATTCATTCATTTGTTCCCCTTCCTTAATCAGGAGGACATGTTTACTACACGCCTAATATATTAAAAAAACAAAAAGGACAGTCCTAGACGAATTCAGGAAGGGATTGAGTGGTTGATTAATCAATTGGCTGGCGAACGACCCTCAAAATGGTGCGCGTAAAGGTATGTCTATCCATATACAACGCCCCAAGACTAGGATTTAAATATTGCTGGATGGATCAATGAATGAATTGAATGTCCCCATTGCTAAACGAACTCATAATCCCACAGCCTCTTCTCAGACCGCAGCAACTGCGCACCGCTCTAGCGCCTATGACCTGCCGCTCCGCATTCCTCCAGCCGTCCACACAACCGATCCGAGCAGCCTCCTCCGCAGCAGCCACCCCACCAGCGCCCGCATCCTCCCGGATCCCCGAGATACCGCGGCCCACACCCTTCATCCCCGATGTCCAGACCTTCCTCACCGTCATCGGCCGCGGCCTAAGCCAGCACGTCTCCAAGTTCCCCACGTGGGAGGCGCTGTTCTCCCTCTCGTCCGAGCAGCTGCGCGAGCTCGGCATCGAGCCGCCCCGGACACGGCGCTACCTCATACAATGGCGTCAGCGGTTCCGGCGGGGTCAGTTCGGTATCGGCGGCGACTTGCAGCACGTCGTGGACGGGAAGGCGGACCTCAAGGTCCTGGAGTCGTATAGGGACGTCGCCAAGCCGCACAAGTACGTGGTGAACGTGCCGCAGGGAAAGCGCCTCAAGGAGTGCGGCCTCGAGGAGATATCCAGGGTGAACGGGTACAAGGTCCAGGGCGCCAAGACAATAGTAGGCCCTTATGCGCTTCCGCTACAAGGAGGCGAGGGCGTCCGAGTCTCCATTACCGAGGGCATGTGGGAGGACCGCCGCGGCCACAAGATCGACGGTGGTGAGAGAAGGCAGACCGAGATTCGCTACAAGAAGCGTGTCGCCGAGCGCCGGGAGATGCGGGAACGGGGCGAGCTGTAGAAGAAGAAGCTGCCCAGGCAAGCCTTACTGTAACTCTACTTGTCCATATACCAGAAGCGCAGAGTTCTGCACATATCCTACATCAACTTAAAAAAAATTTAAAGTAAAATCCCTGTTACGAATTCTTCCTGCGGTGCCTAGATTCGTAAAGTAAACGTTGACCTATTATGCCTTGGTTGATATATAGACAAACTCCCAAACGCCAGACTGATATGCATCGTAATCTTTCTCATAGGATGAAAATATCCTAATTGCCTCCTCCAAAGTCTAACTTGCGGGCAACCTTAGAACCCTTGCCTTCGTCTTCTACCATCCCAGGCCTTCTCTTCAAGTCCGCACCGACCTTCTCCTGTCCACCAGACTTCTTGGGTAGGTCTTGCTTACGGGTAGGCTTGGGATCTTCTTGCCACCACTTATGGTTCAGCATCTCCCGAGCCGTGACTCGCTTCTTAGGGTCGAGTATCAACGTCTTCATCAAGAGCTCAACACCGTGAGTACCAACCGTACCAAACATAGACAAGAAGTAATCCCTTCCTCGCACTGGGTGGACTTCCTTCTCCGCGGTGTACTCGGGCAGCTTGGTAACCCCGGGCCAGTTCTCCTCCGTCGGCGTACCGATACCCTGACAAATAAGGCTGATTTGGTGCATCTCTGTGTTCCCTGCAAGAAACGGCATCCTTATTACCAGCTCTGCAAAGACCAAGCCGACAGACCAAATATCCACGGCGCCGGAGTAATGCTTGGCACCGAACAGTAACTCTGGGGGTCGGTACCAGCGCGTGATGACATTGGAAGTCATGGGCTTGTACGGATCCGAGAAACTCCTGGCTAAACCGAAATCTGCTAGTTTAACCTCTCCGTCGGCTGCAATGAGCAAATTGTTGGGTTTTATATCGCGATGCAGCACAAAGTTCTCGTGGCAGAACCATACCGCCCTGGTGAGCATACCCATCCAAGCCTTAATATCAGCCGCACCATATTTGACACCCTTTTCATCACGAATAAGCATTTCCAGGTCACCTAGGGGCAGATACTCTAGGACGAGGTTGAGATTCTGGTCTTTAGAGGAGAATATCGAGTGCAAGGTTATTATGTTGGGATGGGAGAGCTCCTGTAGGTGTCTGATTTCGCGAACGGCGTCAGGTGCCATTCCCTCTGTGTACTCCTTCTGTATCTTGATCTTCTTGATGGCAACCGGCTTCGATGGGTCGTCCCGAAGAAAACCGAGGTATACGTTGGCATAGGTACCCTCGCCGAGCTTCTTGCCTTGGAAGAGTCTTGTATTAGCATGTTCCTGTATAGCAGATGTCATCTTTAACATTATATCAAGAACCAACCTTTCACATATTTGCGCTTCTCCTCCTCGTTGAGCTGCTCGGCAACATCTAAAGAGGCGGGCTGAGCTCCAGACGGCGCGGTAGGCGCAACTAAAGGGGTGCCGTTTGACGATGTTTGTGCTGAATTTGCATTCTTGAGCGGTGACGATACAGATCTAGGGTTCGGTAAAGCATCTGTCGGATGCACGATCAGAGGAGACACCGCCATTGTGAATCACTTTGTCTGCCTTGGCCTCTACATTTACAGACAACTATGTAGTAGATGATTTGCTGAGTACCTAGTTGTAGAAGGCTGAGTAGGCTTTAGGAGGAGGCGACGAGGCTACGAGCATGAGATAGGGAATTGTTTGGGCTGATTGGTTGGAGGTTGAAGCTGCAGGTGGGTGGCAGGTTAAGGTACGGACGGCATCCTTTAGCTCCTTGAAATTCGAATCGCTCCCGAGTCCGTCTTAGCTTATGTACTGCAACGTCAATGCGCGCTTAAAAAGAACGGTTCTTTTGCTAAAAGACCGTTCTCTGTATAGTAAGCCTTCTATGGCAAAGAACATTTGAACGTTTGATTTTAAAGAACCGTTGTTGAAAAGCCAACGCTTGTTATGTAGTAAGGTAATAAGAGCTCTGATTGATTGGCTTAAAAGCTCTAAAGTGGGCCACATGTTAAATAGAAAGACCGTCAATTCTTTAAAACTCCCATTTGACGCTGCGGCAGGTACGTACTCAATACTGAGGTACCTAGTAGGTAGGTACCTAATGCTTCCAAAGTTCAATGTTGTTTCCGCTTTTGAGTCGATCAATGTGGTCCTGGCGCGCGTTTTTGCCAGGTTTAAGGTTTAAGGTTAATCGACGTTAGATGATCCTCCCGGTACGTACCGGCGGCGTTGAAATTAATTCCAAGTTCATCTCTCCGGAGTTTTCCATTGACGTCATGTATTTATTCTACAAATCAAGTCGCAAACGGCAATAAGAAGAATAAAAATAAGGACAACAAAAACATAACATTGCCAAGTCGGATACATAATAATATTATGTATAATATGCAAAGCACAGCCAGCCCTAAGCCATGCGTGTCCCTATGCCAATGACGAATCTATCAGATTCTATCGATGGATAGTACATAAGTTCAAAGGGGATAATATGGGCCGTCCCTGAATATGGGCCGTGGGGCCAAGTTGGCCAATAAAATTTAAGAAGGCCACATAAATTCTATGTATTTTTTGATATTTTCCATTTTATCTTTTAGCCAATGAAAGGTCTTATTCTTATCGGCTTACTAAGATGACTTTTATCGGATAATTTCAATTGGATGATTACTTTAAGAGTACAAAAACATTAGATGCATATGGCTCTAATGGCCCGTACGCGGTACCGCTACCAGTTTAAGTATCAAATAACTTCGGCAATAATAATGTTGAAGTCGTGCAACCTGGCAAATTCAAAATCTCTAATTAAGGGCTATTGATCTGTATTTTTGAATAGAGATTTGATCTTGAATTGAATTAATCGCACCAGGTTGAAGATTGGTGTGTACTAAAGGCTCCGGACTAGCGGCGCTTAGCGCACCAAGATTAGGTACGTAATTATGCAATATTATGAAACCTGTATAAATCTTGAGTGTCACGTGATGCGAGCATTTTATTACATAATAATTCTTGTAATTTTGAACTTATTTAATTGGCTGACTTATACAGTCTAGCACAGTATTAATATTACTGTTTCACACATGGCCCTTCAAAGAGTCTGCCAAAGCTCGGACCTTAAGGACGTTTTGATCCAAATTGAGAATTAGAACTGAGCTAAACCTAGGTTGTGCTAGCTCCTTGATTTCATTGGTTCACTGCGAAGCTATCCCAACCAATCACATTAACTAAAAAAGCTCGTTTCGCTTCCCAGAATGTACCGCTTCTTACTTAAAGTAGTAAGAGCCTTACTTAAAGCAGTAAGGGCCAGCCCCACGGCCCATATTCAGGGACGGCCCATATTATCCCCTTTGAACTTACAAACAGCCATCTTTAAATCCGATCGACCCATCCGATCACTCCGTGGATACGCGGAAATCTACACTATTATTATTATACCTTGTAGGATACGTACAGCCCAAAGTCCAGATGTCCCAGCCCAAAAAGAATCTTCTGTAAAATGAAATCATACGGTCGATCCCTTCAACTTAGTGAGACAATGCCTCATTGTCGTCATCATATTCCATAACGTGACTTTTCCTAAGATACCAACCTACCTAATACATAATTCTTCTTTACGCGCAAGCATCCTTACTAGCGTTATACTTGTCACCACTCGTGAAGATTCCTCTCTTATTTAATAAATTCCACTCGTTCAAACTTTCTCTTGTTTATTTCAGTACCCTTCAGAATAGAGTTTTAGTATAGACATACATATAACATCTACCTACGATGTGGCGTTTATCATACTGGGTAAGTCAAAGAGCCTTTAACTGTTTACTTATTTACCTACCTTCATTATCCTATTAATACTTTTTGCGCATTGTATGACTAACCTTATGGGTGAAGGTGTTTCCCATCATATCCGGCCTCATGTGGCTGGCGACGCTCTTGGGACTATTATTACACTGGATCATCGACACGCACAAAATAAAGTACTCGTCCATGCAGGGCGACCAAACAATCGCGTATATTTCAGATGTTGGCGCTGCCGAGCTCAAGCCCCTGTTTATCACAGGCTGCATCATCACCACTATATTCCTTGACCTATCCTTTGGGTCCGATCGATTATTACGGCACCGGGGCCGCTTAGTACCCAACACGTCCACTGGCGAGAAGGTCCTAAGCGCACTGACGATCGTTTTCGCTGTCATTGGCACCATTGGCTTGACATTCCTCTCTGGCTTCGATACCGCCCGGTACCCGAGACTACACGATGTTTTCCTATTATTCTTCATCGCCGGGTACTTAATATCGGCCATCTTCATATGCTGGGAGTACCAGCGTCTAGGCCATAGTAAGTATACTCCATGAGTTTTCTTGTTTCAACTACCTTCATAAAGCAATTGCTAACGTCCGACCCCCAGAAAACCGCCAACACCGCGTCCTCCGCATATCCTTCTGGATAAAGCTGATCTTCGTCATTGTCGAGCTGCTCCTCGCCATCGGCTTCGTCGTCACCAACTTCATGGGCTACTACAACTCCGCCGCCATCCTCGAGTGGATCATCGCCTTCATCTTCTCCTTCTACGTCTTCTCCTTCGTCGTCGACCTCTACCCCGCCATCGCCACCCGCAACAACCGCTCCTCCAACTCCGCCCACCAGATGGAGGAGACTTACTACGCTACCCACCCCAGCGTTCTCCCTCCCCATCAGCAGCCGCAAAATCCCCAAGATACGCGCGATAGCGAGCAGACTTTGACGGATGGCAGCCACCACCATTCTGGGCACCACGGGCAACAGAAGGTCAGAACAGATCAGAGAGATTTCTAGTTTTAAGCGGGAGGGAGGGTGACTTTTTCTTTTACGGGCTAAAATTGCATAGCCTTGTGTATAAAAGATTTTACGAGAAACGTAATACTAAACCATAAACAACGGTTTTTGGAATAATTCCACCGGTCACGGACGGCAGGGTAACGATGCTCTTTACTTTTACTGGCACGCTTTAATTTGCGATACCTATATGTACGCAAGCAGGCATACATACTATGAGAGACAAAAGAAACATGGAGGTTTCTTGCGGCGCCACGGCGTTTTCTTTTTGGGGGGGCTACGCGAGTTAAGTCAAGTTGGGGGGGATCGATAGATTCTGTCGGCTAGGTACGATGGTATACCTCACTGGTGTAAATTTATCACTTGTACAGTATCTATTATATTGGTACATACATAGATATATAATGATTATTCGGGAATGATTCCTGCAATTTACTCAGACATAACACACTGTCTATAGTACAAATATATGAGTGCCAAAAAGTTTCAATTCTATATCAATGCCGTATATAATTCAGACAGGTAAGTTCTTGAATTTGCGTAGAGTTGAATCTAAAATGCCTTGCTACTCAATTGAGGGCATGAATCCCTAAACTCTGCGTGCATAGATGGAGGCATATAACTATTGAAAGGACAAACTATTTTCAATGTTTTCATAAAAAGAGGTGGAGAGGGTACATAATTGCATTTGTTACATCCCATCCGTTACATTTAGTCATCACTCCCCCCTTTTTATGACACTGAATCACCAGTACCCACCACGCGCAACTACATACGACGTAAAACCCAACAACCCGAACTCTCGAACAAACAGCACAAAGCAACCAAACGGTAGGATATTCGTAAGTGGAAAAGTAGAGCAACCAAACCCATTGAAAAGCATCAAGCTAAAACAGTAAAAGAAAAGGAGCAAAATCTCAACAAAAACATCAATGTCAATATCGGTTCCTTGCGGCCGTACACTCTTCATCACATAAACCACCCACCCTTCCATCCGATGACCCTTAACGCCATAAGAAAGACAGGTGCCTATATAATCGTGTATCCGAATGTGATATGCTCGTCGTAGCATACACGAGAAACCACCTAGCCAAGATCCTTAACTAGGTGCGTAACTTCCATCACACCATTTCCCTAAACCTAGAATCCCGACTTGGTGTTAAGCTCACCGACGCCATAAGTTGTCTTGGTGGTGTAACAGCGGTGTCATGTGAGTCTCTTGCGTCGGTGTATGGGTACTCGTCATCGCTTAGAGTACTCAAGGAGGGCGCTGTGTTTACGCCTGCCTCCCTGTAAGTTGGTTCGAACCCGGAGGGTAGCGACCCCTGCTGTTCCCTGCCAGCTAACGCGACAGAACGTACACTGGCGCTGCGATTGTCTGCGCCCGCTGGGCTATCTACGCCTGTTAAGGCTGCGCCGCCAATGAAGCCTCTTCCACTCATCTTCTCCTTGCCCTTCTCTTCGTCTGCAGGCTTGCCAACTCTAGAAAACCGGTTCTTGAACCAGGTCTTGACCCCAGTTCGGGAGGACTCTCCGTCAGGTGAACTGGGCTGTCTGTGTCCCAGAGCATCGCCGACATCCTCGGTAGTAACACGTTCAAAGGCCGGCGCAGGCACGCTTACGGGTTGGCCGGCGTCATTTAGGACAACCATCTCCCTTGCCGACTCAAGTCCCTCCTGGTTGTCCTTGGAATGTTCTGTTGTGGATTTTCGCTTATCAGCCTTGGCAAGTCGCTTCTGTTCTGCCTTATTTGCACGGTCTTCTTCCCTTCGAAGCTTGGCCTCGTGCTTCTCCTCCGCCTTCTTCTCCTTTTGCTCTTGCTTGTCTTGCTCTGTCAAGATGTTAATAAGAGATACCCAGACAGCACATTGTGGAGGATAACTGACCCTTAAGCTTTTTGCTGATATCCTGGATTTCCTTCAGCCGGGCCTTTTCAATTTCCTCGGCCTCCTTCCTTTTCTCCATCTCTAAACGTAATTCCGTTTGTCTTGCGTGCTCTTCTTCGATCTTCCCGTTAATTTCATCTAGAACAGGTTTGACTCTGGCAGCTGCGATCGCGTCGATCTCTTCCTGGTCCATGAGTTTCCCAGCGCCAAGATCGACTCTTCCATGTCTTGTATCTACTCGTTGGTCGCTTCTGATTTGGGCTGCAGCGTGTGCCTTCGTCTCCCACTGGGTCATAGTAGATGGAGGGACCATACCAGTTTCAGCAGATATTTTCTCGTCGATTTCTCTCAATCTTTCATGCACATTCCTCTGTGCTGCAGCAAGTAATGTCTCCTGGTCATGCTGTCGTTTCTTATCGTCCATCTCACTTAATTTATTTGAGAATAATGACATCTGCTGCCTAATCTTCTGAGATCGCCTGCGGTCTTCTATGACATCCCCGTCGCTCGAGGCCCTCTTCCTGAGTTTACCTCTGATCGAGAAACGTCGATTGGGTTGTTTGGCTCCGTAATACTCCTGGTACTCCCGATTCTTAAAATGCTCTTCATGCATCCTGGCTAGGCGGGCTTGGGCTTGCTTGTAAGCTGCATCTTGCAGAGTAGTAAGCTGCGCAGGCTGTCCATCATCGCTAACACTACTTATGGCATCAAGCTGATCATGAGACAGGGTGGCGCTGTCGTGGGCCTTCTTCGCATCGATCATTTTTTGCTGTTGGGTATACATCTTTTTGGCCATAGCTAAAGCTGATGCATGGAGAACGTCTGCTCTCTTCTGCTCCTCAACTTCAGATTTGACTGGTGGCCGTGACGTATACATTTGCCTGTTCATGTTCGTGAAGGGAACGGAACCGAACCTCTCACTTGTTTCACTAACCGTGGGTGATCGCACAGGCTTATGCGCCCGGGTCGCGGCACTGAGAGCGTTGGCGGCCGCGTTAGCTTCATCTGGATATGATTCCTTTGGGATGGGTGATGATTCAGCCCTCCGGCGGTTAGCCATAGCACCCTTGGCAGCGAGTAGCGATTTCTGGCGTTCCAAGGAGTGTGCGTGGGTATCATGAGGTACGCTACGATCAATCCTAAAGGCTATATTTGCAGCTGAATGGCCGGGCTCCGAAGTGGTAGGCTTCTCGGTCTTCGGGGCACTCATGGCAGACTTGGACGCGAGTAAGGCGGCTTTCGCGCCATATTCGCTAGGCACGGGTTCCCAGACCGGACTTGATTTGTAGTCTTTGGCCATCATGGCGGCTGCTGAAGCCGGAGCGGACTTGTCCGGCCTCCACAGTTTCGGCGAGGTATTGCTAGTCCAGCCTAAAGCTGCAGCAGCACTTGCTGCCGATCCCTTTTCTGAGAGGCCAATAGACGGAAAGCTCGGAAGATCTTGAGGTTTGGCGTAAATGAGTCTTCCCGAGTGAACTGAAACTAGAAGGTAAGCTTTTAGGTAATGCCAGGTGGTTATTGTATAGGAAGTATTGATAGTAGACTTGAAGGAGAAAAATGGTATGAAACGCAAGATATCAAAAGTAAAATAAAATAAAAGTAAATAAAATAAAATAAAATAAAATAAACTGTAAAACATCAATAACAATAGCGTTTACTACAACACAACTCGTACCAGAATACTGGGTATAATAATTATAAGGATTTGAAAGTATAGGTATAGGCTTAGGTATAGGTATAGGTATTATGCAGGACTTGCCGCTATTCCGCAACAAAAGAGCTTACCTGCCAATTTAGTGTCGTCATCGGGTAGCTGTCGTCCCAAACCCCCCTGCGTCTGCAGTCCTGTCTTATTGGTTGTCGCCATTGGTTTGTGGCTTAGAACGGCGAACACCGAGCTGCCGTCTGTATGTAGCTGCGACTGTAGCTATCGATCGGGTCGGTAGTGTATGTAAATGGATTGAACGATCCTTGTTCTTAACAAATGATCGACATATACCAAATGCAACCTGAAGTCGAGATATGGGGAAAAGGTGAAGAAGCCGTGGATTGAGGTGAGTTTCTCGGTGAAAAACGAAACACACGGAAGAGATGGAGATAACTACGTCGTAATGTTATTCTCTTTCGAAAGGATGAAATCGAATGATGTAGTTATGATGGATGGAGATGTAATTGAAAGTATATTATTCACATACGCACACAACACACATGTGCATATATGTACATAGAGGTCAATGTACACTTCAATGTCGACGTTGAAGATTGATGTCAACGTCCGTCGCCTACATGTACTTCGTCAATGATGTATGTATGTACAATGATAGGTGATATATGTAGGTACCTGAGGTAACAAAGGGTGTAAGTTAATGTAGGTATAGTTGAGGGTCATTGAGCTTCCAGGTTGACGTAAGATGGATAAATAACTGAAAGGAATAGTACGGCGTAAGATAAGATGGGCATAATCGTAGGATTCATATTGTTATTACTAACTTAGTTGATTCCTCACTGTTTATTGTTGATCCTAATGACAGAGAAGGTACCTTCTCTTTCTCTCACCTTTGTTTCCGTCCTCGTCGCTAGTGAATTTAGTGATACAGGTATTGGCTCTTACGTCATTGTTCTGCTATGTACGACATGCATTCGTACCATGTACCAGACGGTCCAGACTACCTAGTACCTACTACCTACACTTTGACCTGCAAATTACATGTAACTACACGTACAACATTGAGCTTGAAGTAACATTGAATTTAATCACCGTTATATTATGTATCGATAAAGTCTCCCACACAACATTGAACTTTTGCTATTACTGCTACTAGTAACTGCTACAGCTACACACCGAAAATCAACCGGTTCATATCTTTCCACACCCATCCGTAGCTCATCCCATCACATCCATACTTACCTATTAGCTACCTACGTTACATTTCACACAAAAAAAACTTCATCTCACTTTTGTGAGTTGGATCCATTTTCGGCTTCTTGCACTGCTTCAGGGCTGCTCGATGTCGGAGCAGGGTTGCTAGCAGCCTGATTCGCAAACCTATAAGTTTTGTGATCTGGATTCATCTCTCCTCCGTCGATCTCAAATACAGGCTCAAAATTGCCAAGACGATCTTGATGCTTTAGGCACGGTGGTAGCCTATCGCCATGATTGTTCCTTGGCTGGTAGGTAGCATTGTTGCTCAAACGCCAGACCAGCGATTCGTGTAGGACAGCGTCTTGTGGGATATCACGCGTGGAACCCGCGTTGAGTGGGAAGCGGATATTCTCCCACTCGTTGCGTTTGTGATTAAGCTCCCAACGTGTGATGATCGGAAGCCATTCTACTCGAGTTAGCATTGATGAAAGTCAATCATAGGTTTGTAAAGATGTGTAAGATGTATGCTTACCCATAAATTTCCAGAGCAGTACGGTGAAAAATCCTGTTCCGTGGCCAAAAAGGAGCGAGTCGTGCATATATCCCTTCAATGCCTGCTCCTTTTTTTTGTTAAAGCGCTTCTTGAATCCTTTCACACTATCACTCCACTTGACTGCCGCCGACGTGTCTATTTGGCCTACAAGTTCGACTTCACGAATCATCCAGGCTAAGGGAATATCGCTCATCTGGAAGGGATCAGACTTAATGTCCGCGCTAGGATCCTTGGATTTTCGCGTCGTCCAGAAATTCTTGATACGCTCCCAGATGGTCATTTTTTGGCCATTATCAAGAGGGTGTTCTGCTGAGGCTGGCCAACCACCACCAACGTCGCCGTGGCAGCCCGGGAACCAGACCTCTTTAATATCCTCGTGGCCATGGCTTGTGTCCCGGATGTCCTGTGCGAGGAGTGCGGCCTTGAATTTGACACGGCGCTCATCGACTGCGACGGCGTGTCGGACGTAATGTGCAGTGCCTTTTACTGGCACTGGCATAGGCGCCTTGCTCTCCAAGATTGCGACCGAGTTCACGCAGTCCCAGATGCCGAGGAAATACACCTTAATGTTAACCTCTTCAGTCTTCCCGCATGGCAGCTCTATTCTCTCCTTCCGGCAAAAGGTATTGCTGAAAGCGGTAACCTCATCCCGTGCTCGCTTGTACTTATGGCCGTGGTGTTCGTCGTGATCATCATGGTCATCATGATGCTCTTCATCTTGATTGTTGAGCACCGGCTCCGCCTCACCTATGTCTGTGCCTGTACTGGCCTTGGCAATCTTATTCTTCTTCTTTTCCTTCTTATCTTTCTTATCCTTCTTGCCATGCTTGGGGTGCGCAAGATTGAAATTATCAGTCTCTCCGGCTAAATAGCGCTGGTAGAGGCGGTATGCGAAGGATACCATTTCCTCATTCCCCTTGCAGAGCAGTCCTACGGTATTGACCATGCGTGCTAGGAACTTCGCCGTGAATGCGCCACGACTAAATCCAAACATGTAGATCTTGTCCCCCTGAGCATCATAGGTAAGCAATAATTGCCATCCGGTCTTGGAAAGGATTGCTTACACGGTCATAGTATCGCATCAAAAATCGATATCCAGCCATGACGTGAGCGTCGAACGTCGTGCCAATTCCCTGGTCGATGGTCTGAGAAATAGAACTCTTTAACTGACCAAACAAGGTCTTATTGACAGATTTCTCATCGATATCATAGGTACCGATGCCGGCTAGTTTCTTCGTAAGCAACAAAAATATGAGAAGAGCAAAGAAAAACTCACTCTGATAATAATGATACTGTTGAGGGTCTTGACGATCCAGCTTGTTCAAGATCTTGACCACGTTGGTATCAGAATTTGACCCGGTGTACGCATTGCCGGTGCCATCGAAGCACAGTACGAGCTTCTTAGGTTCTCGAGGTTGGCTGGAGCCCTCATTAGCATGAGTAGCCATGCTGCTTCCTCGCTCTCGAACGGACGGCGTATTGCCAGCAAGACTGGATGGTAACTATGCGCTTCGAGAGAGTTGGAGGATATTTAGATATTACAAGTCAAGGAGCAAGTCCGGCCAGACCGAGGAGATATCTTTCACGACATTCCAAGGGCTCACAAGCTTCATTTATCATTTGTTTCACACGCGGTCACCTACCCCCCATCCCTACATACACATGTTCCTTTTCACTGAAATCTTATCAACGCCGTTGCACGCGCTCAATAAAATGAGGTGAGCTGACTCTATTTGATCAGCTACTTTGATCCTCGTTCCGTCTATTGCTTTTTGCTGCCAACGCCAAGGTATCAATGGCGCCCCGATCGACATTTGTGTTCAGATAGGTGTACACCGACTTATAGTACCGATAAAGACACGGCGAGGTACAGAGGCGGTACCCGGGCTGTGTCGCCTGTGTTTCTACTTTTTCTGTCAATCTCAGGTTTCAAGGTCGCCACTCATCGTGTGACTTCGTCTCCATCTTCTACTAGTCTTCTAGCTAGTGTAGAACAAGCTGCGGTGGCTTGCATTTCATCGGACATGACAAGCTCGGCAGTCTTGCCAGCTATTACGAAAAAAGCCACTCTATATGCATCCGATTACATACGACGTGCATGCTTATGTGTATTATAGGATGTGATGCAACGTATGACACATACGGGGATCTCAGACCATGGATATATTCTAGTTTCTGGGGTAGGTATCATCCACCAATAATGAAGAACGTTATGACCTCGTCACAACTGTTTAGATGACCGGGAGCGGCCCGCTTACATCAAAACAATAAATTTTGAGTCCGCTCTTGGCGGCTGATATCTACAACCTCATCCGGTGTGGCGCGCCTATTGCTTGAACCCCGACTCCAAAGTGGATGTTACTGAGCCTATCATGACTGCTCAATTGGTTATCGACGAAGAATTGGACTTTGTTACGCAGCATCTCAGCTCCTCTTTCTCCTCGGTGGCTTTTCCTTCGTAACGGCTGAACCATATAGACTGGGCCGGAATGCTTCAACGCACGGCTCAGGCTCGCATTGCGGATATTGACTATGTGCTTCACGTCATGGACCTGGGAACAGGAATGAGGGGGATGAGGGGGTGCGTGGTTTTTCGGTAGAATGGGTTGACAAAGATGAGTGTATGCCGTAGGTAGGTGGTTAGCTGTATATCTCATATATATGAGGTGTAGGAAGGTAGTGCCGGTCAGTGGCGCGTCTATATTCCCATGTCTCTATGCTCTGTCTCATTTTCAGCAAAGAGAAGTTCGTATTCTGGAATTAACTATGCCCTCCGAAGAGAAGTTTCAGGCCGGCGAGGCTTACGGAGATGTGGAAAAAGACTCTGCCAATTTCTTTTCTGATCCTGCCAAGATCGCGCAAGATCTCTTGAAAGACTGTGCTGGTCTTGCGAACCAGACAACTCTTCCCGAGCTCGTGGGCCTCATCAAGGAACTACTACAAAAGGGGCAACCTCTTGACGATAAGAAGGGGTAAGGTGGATCTTATAGAACTCAACGAACGACATATCTAACTGCCTGTCATAGTAACACTGAGCTCTTGATTGGGATCCTTACCTCCCTTCCTTCTACGTCAAAGGCTAGAGTTCAGCTTACCAACAAGCTCATTGATACGCTTTGGGATAACCTTCAACATCCACCCTTGTGCTATGTTGGAGGTGACGTGAGGTACGAGGTGGTTGACTCTTCGGAGTCAACTGGACCACATAATGTGGCACCCAAGCCCTACGACGCGATCGAGTTCAAGGCCCCGGACAGCGACATTACCCTGCGTGAGCATATACCACAAGCCCCAGATGGTCTTCATCACTATCGAACACCGGATGGGAGTTATAACAACCCCATCCAGCCTAACTTGGGGAGGGCTGGGGCCCCTTACGCGAAGACGGTGAGGACAACAAAGCGCTTGGCGGGCGTCAAGCCTGATGCAGGTTTACTTTTTGACCTTTTGATGGCCCGCGATGACAAACACTTCAAAGAGAGCCCAGCAGGTATCTCATCCATGTTCTACTATCACGCGGCCATCATCATCCACGACATCTTCCGTACAAACCGTACGGACATGAATAAGTCAGATACTTCGTCATATCTCGACCTGGCCCCCCTTTACGGCTCTTCTCTCAAGGATCAGCTGGAGGTCCGTACCATGAAGGAGGGCAAGCTAAAGCCTGATACCTTCCATGAGAAGCGATTGCTTGGCCAGCCTGCAGGGGTTAATGTCATGCTTGTTATGTACAACCGTTTCCATAACTATGTAGCAGACATCTTGCTGCAGATCAACGAGAATGGGCGCTTTACGCTAGACTGTGGGCTAAATCCTACTCCAGAGGAAAAGGCTCGTGCCGTTGCTAAGCAGGATCACGACCTCTTCAATACGGCTCGCTTGATCACTGGTGGGCTATACATCAATATCAGCTTGCATGACTACCTACGAGCCATCACCAACACACATCACTCCAAGAGTAACTGGACACTGGACCCTCGTGTCCAAATCGACAAGCAATTCGATGGTGAGGGTGCGCCGCGGGGAGTTGGGAATCAAGTAAGTGTAGAGTTTAATCTACTATACCGATTCCACTCGTGTATTAGCCGCAAGGACGAACGTTGGATGAACGAATTCTTCCATAAGCTCTTTCCAAAGCACGCGGTGGAAGACTTGGAGAATGTGAGCTTGAATGAGCTGGGTCAAGCCTTAGTGGAATTTGAAAAGAAGATCCCTCAGGACCCTAGTCTTCGCACATTTGACGGCATAGAGCGCCAAGGGGACGGAACGTTCAAGGATGAGGACCTCGTACGGATCCTCAAGGAGGCTATGGAGGATCCCGCTGGTGTCTTTGGCGCACGTACAATACCAAAGGCCCTCAAAGTTGTCGAGACCCTAGGAATATTGCAGGGTCGCAAATGGCAGGTCGCTTCGCTGAACGAGTTCCGCGAGTTCTTCGGACTCAAGAGATACGACAAATTTAGCGAAATCAACTCGGATCCGGAGATCGCCAACATCCTCGAGAAGCTATACACAGATCCTGACATGGTCGAACTCTACCCGGGTCTCATGATCGAAGATGCCAAACCTGTCCGCAACACGGGCTGTGGAATCCAGCCGACGTACTCGGTGGGCCGTGCTGTGCTATCTGACGCCGTCACTCTCGTCCGCTCCGATAGGTTCAACACTCTCGACTATACCGTCTCGAACTTGACCAGCTGGGGCTACAACGAAGTGCAACAGGACTATAAGAACCTAGGAGGGTCGATGTTGTGTAAGTGGCTTCTTACCTAGTTTCTATAGGTACTCAGTAAAGTACAATGACTGATGTTATTGCAGATAAACTCATTCAGCGAGGTCTTCCTGGTTGGTTCCCTTATAACTCAGTAGCTGTCATGCAGCCCTTTTACACGAAGAAGGCCAATACGGCAATTGCCAAAGAACTGGGTACTATTGACCAGTACACCTTGGACGATCCACAACCGCCTAGGCAGTCCGTTATTCTATTTTCAAGTGCATCCATCAAGGAAGTCCTTAGTCACCACACGGAGTTTGTCGTGCCCTGGCTTCCGGCCATGAATGCCTTGTTCCCCGGAAAGAAGGACCTTGGCTGGTACATGCTGGCGGGCGACGCACCCCGGAACGAGGCCGACCGTGCCAACATGCTCAAGGCAATGAACAAGGTGCCCAACATGCACAAGGCAGTACACGAGTTCGTCGAACGCGTGGGCTCGAAGCTGATCCAGAAAGAGTCGTTTATGTTCAAGGAGGGTCTCAACCAGATCGACCTTATTCGCGACGTTGCTATCCCACTCAACGCACAGCTTCTCGCTGATCTCTTCTACTTCGATATGAAGACTGACGAAAACCCCAATGGTACCCTCAGCCATACCGATCTTTACCGATCTCTCCTGGATATCCGTATTTGGGGAGTCAACAACAACGACCCAGCCCAGGCATGGACTCGTCGCCGCCGCGCGCAGGAGGGTGCCAAAGTCATGATTGACTCTACTCGGAAGCTCGTTGATGAGGTCTCCATTAGTCGTGGATTCGGCCTCGGCGTCGCTTCCACCTTATCTAACCTTGTCACCCGGAAGGGTAGCCTCAAGGATGGTTCTCTACGTTCTTGCGGCTATAAACTCGTCGAGCAGCTTCTGGCGCAGGGCGGTAAGCCCGAGACAGTCGTTGATATGCTGTGGCTCACGGCCTTTGGTGCCATTGGTGTGCCTGTAACATCGGTCAGTATCTACATACCTAACTCTCTAATACGTGTCTAGAAGTGTACACTCCTTTTTTTGAAAGGGTTTTGTAATTATGTGTACGTGGTGCTAATTTCTTTATTTCTATTCTTTTAGTTCTACGAAATTCTGGAGTTCTTCCTCCGTCCCGAGAACGCGTCCATCTGGGCAGAGATCCAGTCCATGGCGCAGAAGGGTGACGATGATGGAATCCACGCCTACGTCATTGAGGCCCAGCGCCTCACAACCACGCAGCGCAACGTGCGTGTTGCGACGAAGCCGGCCGAATTTGAGGGCAAGAAGATTCAGCCCGGTAACCTTGTGGTCATGATGCTCGTAAGCTTTCTCCCATTCCTCATCATTTTACACACAAAGGCCGCTAATCCCATTTACCATTCAAAAGGGCGAGGCCGGACGCAACGGGTCTGATGTCCCCAACGCGGACAAGTTCGACCCGAAGCGCAAGCAGGACTACATCACGGCCCACAGCTACGGACAGCACGAGTGTCTAGGCACGGAAGTAGCACGCGCCTTCATCAGCGGGCTCGTCAAGCTCGCGGCCGATCTAAAGGGTCTGCGCCCAGCACCTGGCCAAATGGGCCAGGTCAAGACGATTCACGTCGGCGCCGAGAAGGCCTATCTGAACGACAGCTGGTCATATCTCTGCTTCGACGCTAGTAGTACGTATCCCACCTGCACACCCTCTTTTCTCTAGTGACATAATAGCTAACTCCTCGATAGCCTGGAAACTCCACTTCGACGGCCATGGAAAGGGTGGTTACAAGAGTGACAAGGAGCCTAAAGCGGCGCTGGAGATGCAGGAGTACTACCACATGATCCAGAAGGCTAAGGACAAGGTGCTGCAGTAAAGGGGTATTACAGGCTTACTCACCAAGTAGATAGGTATCTAGGTAGCTATGTAGCAGTGCTGGAAGATAGTACTATCATGACCCAGGCTTGGAACATAAGAATGGAGGTCTACCAAATAAAGTGCGTTAAGTTACCGACCGATTCTATCTGTGTGCATATGTTTTCGCGTTGCTAAGGAGGGTGATACACGCTTGTATATTGAAATAGTTACGCAACATTTGATTACCTACATATATGATTATACCACCACATTCTGCTCCTCCCAGCTACACAACTTACTTGCTTACCTTGCCTACCTGCCTACCTGCCTACCTACATAGAGCATATTTATCAGCTCATCCGCATTTTCCTCCTATTAACCGTATGTGCTCACGATATCCTGTATATTGCCTTGCAACGGCTACGAGCCACGGATGAGCTCCTACGTACGAAAACCCCATCCCCACCATCTCCACCATCCTCATCACCATTAAGTTGACATAGGTCCGGCATACTCCTCTCACCTCTACCTATCTACATTACCGCCACAGACGGACCCCCAATGCGTAGTGACATTAATTACAGCCACCAAAAGCCCATCCGGGTGCCGGTATAACGTACATACGTAGGTAGGTATGTAATATCTTATGTGGCGATTCCACACCCCGATCCCCGATTCCCGACCCCTCTTCAGGCCCGGCCTTCCCATGCGTGGAACTGGGGCCGACTACCTATGTAGCTAGCTAGCTACTGAAACATACATGCATAGATACACAAACTTGCATACACACATATATGTCGTGTAATGCGCAGCTAATATAAACAACAATTGCCTACATATCTTCCCCTCCTTTCTGTGCTTGCTTCATCCCTCACCTCCCCTCCCCCCCTTTCCCCACATCCAAAAGAAAACAAGAAAAGAAAAAGGCATTGATATTGGGTGTGAAACAATATAACCCAGCATTTAGCTCTGTCTAGCCTCAAGCCTGCTTCTGCGGCGGGCACCAATGAGTGGGATACATGGATATATGGGGTGGGTAGTTACGGTGAATCCCATCGTCGAGCATCGAGATAGGGGGGTCGGCCGCTGACATCAGATTTGTGTTTGGAGGGTATTATCACTGCTGTGTGTGGGTAGGTTGATACGTGGGCAGATATGTAGGTAGGTATTGAGGTAAGGGAGTTCCTCGATCTGTGGATACTTACTCGGTGGGTAGGCCAGTAGGTATTTAGATACTAACCTAGGTACCTAGGTAGGCAAATCCATGCGTGTCTAGCTACCTATTATAACCTAGGTATGTAGGGTACTGCATATACCTATCTACTTACCCACCCAGATACGCAAGCGCGACTGCCACCCACGGGAAACCCCGTAGGTCGACGGGCCGGGATTGAGACCTACCTCAGGAGGTACACGGAAGTCAAGTGCCTTGAGACAGCGCTTTGGGGGCTTGTACTACATGAGTAAGTATACGCATGGCTTGCAGACTTCCACGGCCGATACCTGGTATGGCGCTTGGGGGAGGGCTGTTATGTGTGCTAACCGCTAGTTGCCATAGCTAGTTTGATGCTTCCTTCCCTCGTCATCTTTCCATGTTTCTTCTTGAGGGAAGTAGAGACTCGGTGTCTCGTCTCAGCCAGCCCGTCATCTGAACACGGGAGGAACCGCGGCCGGGGCGGCGGGGATAAATTTCTGCATGAGAGAGATAGAGTGTGTAGGCATGTGTGAGAATGGGAATGGGGGCACTAATATTGATAGATAGGGTTGTCTTCCCTCGAAAACTAAGGGGCATGTAGATAGAGCGTCGATGTATAGCATCTTAGAATGATATTGGCGATTTTACTAGGTAATACCTACCGATGATACGATGTCCTTCAGTATACACCTACGATATGGCTATTGTCCTTATTCATGATGCGACAGCCTTCAAGTAGACGTCTAAGTTAAGAGATCCCTACTAGGTACGCAACGACGTTTCGCCATCACGACAACGTTGACTTTGTAGAAGACAGTTGAATGCGAAATGCTTGACAATGCATTTTCATCTATGACCATGACTGCTAAATTTTGATCGTTGAGAAGTCTTTTTGGAAACGGGTTTAATAGTGATACGTCAGAATGGTGAGGTGGGTTGAATACTCAAATAGGGAAGTAAACAGAAACTAAAACCTTGGAAGAGACCCGTCCGTAACGCGGGACTAAGAGGCACAGCAAGTCCAAGTCCTTTGCTTTGCTGATCATGATCATGATTCTTATTTTTCAATCACAACTTTTTGAATATCATACCTAAAATATCTAACCTACATACATACCGGTAACACACAACACCCAACTATCGCTAGGTAAAACATGTCAGTCACATTCGACAACATCCTCAACTTCCGAGACGTCGGAAAGACGGTGAACGACTATCTTGGCCAAAAGTAAGCCACCCAGACAGCCATATTTCAAACAACCCTTCTAAAAAAAATTTGGGAATAGGTTACTTCAGGAAGGCGTGTTATATCGTTCTGCGCGTCCAGGTGAGACACCATTCGCCTTAGATTGGAAAACTATACCATCTCGCAAAGCCCACGCGCTAACCTCACCCCCCCATCACCCAAAACAGACGATGCCTCCGCGGCAGACCGGCAGAAGCTGAGAGATGAGCTGGGCATCAAGACAGTGCTGGATCTGCGGACCAAGTAGGCACTCACTCTCATACGACAACGCCTCGTTGTCATATTCGCAGCACTAACAAGCCCATCCCCGCCAACAGAACAGAGCACCTGCACCAAGCGCAGAAGCGAGGCCTCACCGCCAATGCCGCCGACTCGCCCGTCCAGATCCCCGACTTGCGGTACCGCGAGGTGATCGTGACGGGGCGGCGCTTCGAGCGGCGCCTGCTGCGCCAGCTGTCCTGGTGGAACTACATGTGAGTTTTTCTCATCTCGTCCCATCCCGGTACACGCCTAGATACCTATCTAGATACCTACGCGAGCTGACAAGGTGCTTTTACTACATACAGCAAACTCCTCGTCCTATTCTTCCTCGGCTACCGCATCCAAGCCACCAGCCTGATGGGCCGCGCCGTCATGCAGCCGATGGGATTACTCGGCATGGCCTTGGTCGCTATAGATGAATCCGGCGCCGAAGTCGCCGAGGTACGTTTCCCTTTTTGCTTCTCTCCCCCTTCCCCGTCCCCCCTTCCCCGTCCCCCTTATCCCCTTTCTCCTCTACCTCCCCTCTCCCCTTAACACCCCTCTCAAACACGCCATACCTATACCCCCACCGCACCATACCCCACCCCCATTCTAACCTCCCCTCCCCATCCATCTAGGCCCTCCGCACCACCCTCCCCCCCTCCTACCCCCCCGCGACCCTCGTGCACTGCACGCACGGCAAAGACCGGACCGGCATAATCATCGCCCTGATCCTCCTGGCCCTCGGCGTGCCCACGAGCGCCATCGCGTACGACTACCAGCTCTCGCAGGCCGGGCTGGACGCCGAGCGGCCGCTGCGCGTGCGCGAGTATCGCGAGATCGGGCTGCCCGACCACTGGGCCGACACCGTGCCGGGTTTTGCGGCGAAGCTGGAGAAGCACCTTGACGATAGGTATGGTGGTATTGTGGGGTACCTGGATAGCATAGGGTTTGGGGCTGATGAGCGGCAGAGGTTGGTAGAGACCTTGGGTGCGTAGGGGCGTAGGGAGTCTTCGTTGGGACATGTCAAGTACGGCATACCTACTAACTGGCTACTTATTGTATTACTTTTATCATATCATACATAGCAAGCCTACCAGGTAGATTAGAATACGTCACAGCATCACATTCTAGCAGAGATTCAAGCATGGCAAAGATCATCTATTTCTTTCTAAAGCGGCCCTGTAACCAGCAACGATACATTTTAAGCCGTTTTGCCCTATTGACGAGCATTCTTCTATCCACTCCCAGCTCCTCAACCTCAAAGAGCGACTCTTTCGCCAACTTTGACTCTATTGACTCTTTAGTTTCATCAGCTTCTGTCCCATCTTGGGGAACCGCAGTTACACCGGTCCATATCTCAGCGAGTTCATCCTTCTCGAAGAAGTACACTCGTGTGCCGTCACCCCTAATGTAGAAGTTCTCTTCCAGATACCGACCTTTCTTGAACCGAACCTGTGCTAGATCACCTCTGCCATAGTCGCGGAAGCAAACCTCACCACCTGGCTTGAGTACTCGATATATATTTCGGACAGCCTGCTCCCACTGCCTCGGAGACAGGGCCGAGAATATGAAGACCATGAGAACGACATCTACGCTGCTCTCTTCCAGTCCCGGAGGGAGCTCGTCGCTAGCGGCATCCCACACATCGGCTTGCATGAAGTCCTGGTTATAGGCTTCATGGCTACGCATCACTTCAACAGCCTTCTTGGAGAAGTCACAAGCATGCACTTTCAGCTTGGGGTTCTTGTTGCTGGCTAGGATGGGGAACGCAGTGTTACCGGCACCAGCGCCGACTTCCAGGATGGTGACTGGGCCAGCATCTTCAGCGGTAACCTTGTCAAGTATGGGGAATTCTTGTTGTAACCACTTGCGATTTTTGAAGAAATTGGCGGTGTTATTCTTATAGAAAAGATTCCACCACTTCGCTGGGTCCGAGTTAAACCTATCTTTGTGTTTGTTAGCAACCATGTTCAAGATAGCGAGTAACAATATTGAAGTTGATAAAATGAAGGTATGTCAGATGGGAGCGAAAGAAATTGATGTAATTGGTCATCATAGAACTCAGATGAACTATGCATTGTTGGGTATCATCACAAAACCGAATAAAGTAACAGAAAGAGAACAGGGAGATACTCACGTTTATCAAAGTCGGAGACTGGCGACTCTCGCTGCATGGCAAACTGCTGCTCTGCGTACTCCTTGTACGTGTCGTCAGTCTCCACATGATCCCAAGCGTTGAACTCGAAGACATCGTCATTTTCTTGAAGGTACCGAGATCCAAACTGAAAGGGATCGGTTCTCTTCAAGTTGTTCTGCGGATCATGGCTTCGGTGGGGAGGCAGCGCAGTTGTTGAGACTTCCTCTTGCACTGTCAACGCCGCAGCTTTCGTCAACAACTCTTCGTCCGGCGATGGCACCGCAACAACAGGTGCAGCGTCAGCCATTATGAGATAGGACAAGACGATGCTTGTCAGTTAATGCCTTCACCAGGCCAAGCTTTCGTCACCGACAATAGTTGTATCCAAGCATTCTAGGAACGGAGTGAAAAATCCTAGAGCTTTGAGAAGTTGGGAAGAAATAAGAAAAGAGAAGGAGAGGAGCGCAAGGAAAAAAAAAAGAGTATTTAGTAGGAAAAAAAAAGTTACCCAAGTGGGGCAATGGGAAATCCATTATCGATAATCGGAGCTTATGGCTGATCTTTGCTTTTAAGCTTCACTAGCACTTGTCGCATATTATTTCGGCGCCGACTTCAGAGAACCTTATCGTCGTTTACCTATTGTTGTTTGAATACACCTTCTCTTATATTGTTTGGGCATATAAAAAGTTATAGACTACTATTTGTAGAATGGACTTTTTATAGGCATTGTTGTAAAACCCTTCACATTCTTTCCGAATACCTCCACTAGGTAGTTACCCTCTCTTATAACTATCGCAACCCACCTCGACCAGCAATACAACCACACAACCCACAATCCAATGGCAACACCACGCACCCTCCCACGAACCGCGCGCCGCCTCTTCCTCTCTTCGCCCAAACCCTGTCCCCGCCGCAGCTTCATAAGCCTCCCCTCCTCCGAACCACAGCTCCTGTCCGCCGCGCGACGACTCCCCTACAACCACGAGCGTCTGTACGAGCTAATCGCCGACATCGACTCATACTCGAGCTTCCTGCCATACTGCCAAGTGTCGCGCGTGACGCAGTGGTCCGATTCTCTGTCCCCTCCCACCAACACCCCCACTCCAACCACAGCCAACGCACCCCGCCGCTGGCCCACCCTCGCAGACCTGACGGCCGGCTGGGGCGGCTTCGAGGAGACGTACACCAGCCGCGTAACCTGCCGCCCGGACCTCGGGATCGTCGAAGCCGTGAGCGGGACCGGCGTATCCGAGATCTCCTCCTCACCACACAACAGCAGCCCAAACAACGGGGTATTCCAAAGCCTCATAACCCGATGGACTGTGACACCCACACCTCCACAGAAGCAAAAGGAGTGGAGCGACGTCCGGCTAACCATCAAATACTCGTTTGCGAACCCGCTGTACGCGGCCGTCAGCGCCGCCGTGGCCGACAAGGTCGCGTCCGTCATGGTCGAGGCCTTTGTCGCGCAGGCCCGGCGGAAGCTGGGGACGGGGCCGGAGGAGGCGCAGGCGTTGCCGTGACGAGGGAGGGCCCGTTCGGCCTACCTGCCTGCCTGCCTAGGTATGTAGTAGGTAGGTAGGTAGGAATGTAACCTCATAGCTTGATACGAGATACGATCGGAATCAGAGACGGAAGAAAAAGGTCGGGATATGTACGATACGTAGCTGCCTAGGTAGGTAGTGCTTTAATACCTGCCTAGACCGTAGAAAATGACGATGACGGCGACGACGATGACGACGCCATGCCGAGAACCAATTTCGCTAACAGGCGCGGACTTAGGTCCTGCGCTTAGGCCTCTCTTTATACTACCTACCCGCCCATATAACCAAGATCTATATAATGCTCAGATCATCATGTATGTACACACAAGAAGACCAAGATAAATCTCACCATCAATTTAACAACCAAAAATGGGGAAGAGAAGAGCAAGAAATATATATATATATATATGTAAAATCATCAAATTTAAATCCAACATCTAACTCCTATTTAATTCAAATATCTGACAGATCAAACCCATTGTATTGCTCCTCATGCTCCCCCCTTCTCCCCTAAACAAGCCTTCCTCTTCCGGCGCCGCGATATGAAAAAAGTCAAACTAAATTTCACATCACACCTGAATGCTTGGTCTCATGTCTGTCGTCTTGGAATTAAATTAAAAAACAAAAAGGAAAAGGAAGAAGAGATCTTCAATGTACTCGTTTGTCTCTCCCTTTTCGTACATATTCGTCGTGGATGCTTTGGGGACCATAGATCAACTCTTGAAAGTAAATATAGATCAGAAGAAAATGAGAGAAGATGCCAAAAATATGCGGTAGCAGGTGCAAATTATACAGGTCAGTCTACCGTAAGTGTATCAGAATAAGATCGTAGTGGAAAAGTGTTGTCTCGTGGTAATAGTTACCCATTATCCAACTTGCAGTAAGGTGCTTGAAAGAGGAAAATCTGCGAAAATAATGCCGCTTCAGAAAAAATGGCGTCGTCTCGAGGTAGGGTATAATGCAGAATCAGGTATGGAAGACCATCGCAAACGCCTCGGAACTGAACATTGAAGATGGTACTGAAAACAGGACTGGTGCTCCGGTAGGAAAGGCACTGAATAGGTGCTAGATAGCATCGACTATGGTAACCCGCCCAAAGTGCCTTGGACGTAGTTTACGAAGAATAATGGATTATCGTCTCGTTCTACCACTAGGGGTTTACTTGTAAGCTCACGTAACGAAGAATAGGATGGATTCGAGTACTGACCCTCCCTTTTTATTAGAAGTCTTCCCGCTTCCTCCTATCCAGCCGAGGACACCGGTTTGGACCTTCTGCTTTGGCTTCTTAGGTTTGTTAGCCTGCATGACTTGCACGCCGTGCGGGATAGGCGGTCCCCCAGCTCCGCGTTCATGGCCATCCGGAGGTCGCCCACCGCCGCCCATGCCACCCATGCCACCCATACCGCCCATGCCGCCCATGTTCATACCCACAAAACCAGTGTGTTGTGGAGGAACAGGGGGTTGACCAGGACGTTGGAGTGGAATCCTGATATTCACAGGCGGCCGGCCACCCATCTGAGCTGGCCCTGCTTGGCCGCGTCCCATCATTGGATTTAAAGGTGGCCGTTGCTCCATCGGCCACATATGCATCGTGACCGCCCAGTCGGGCTCGATGACCTTCTCCCACACTTGAGGAAGAATAATTTCACCGTTTGGTCCGATAAGATCATAGTGGCCGGCTTGCACATGCGGCCCGATGACGTCGACATGCAAGAACGCTTGCTTGATGAGCTCTTCCATGCCCTAAGTTGAACGTAGTTAGTATGCAAATCTGGAGCAAAGGCCTGTAATCTCACGTACCTGCCAGGTTTGACATAGATGGAAAGGGAAGCTGAACTTTCTCCCAACGGCGTCCTTGAAGCGAATGGGCGCCTTGTCTTTGCCCATGTCTTTCTTATTCGCCTCCTCGGCCTTTGCCTTTGCCTCCTCGAGAGCCTTCTTCTTGAAAGCCTCCTCCTCTTTCTTTTTAGCGTCTTCGGCGGCCTTAGCTGCCTCTGCCGCTGCCTTTTCCTCCTCGAGCTTCTTACGGGCTTCAAGCTCGGCTTTGATCTTGGCCTCTTCTTCTAACCTCTTCTGTCTTGCTGCTTCAGCAGCAGCCGCTGCCGCTGCCGCTGCCTTAGCTGCCTCTTCGGCTTCGACCTTCTTGCGAGCTTCCATTTCGGCTTTGGCTTTAGCTTCCTCCTCAAACCTCTTCTGTCTTGCCGCCTCTTCAGCAGCCTTGGCCGCAGCCGCAGCCCTGGCCGCTTCTTCAGCTTCGACCTTTTTGCGGGCTTCTAACTCGGCTCTGGCCTTCGCATCCTCCTCAAACCTCTTCCTTTGCTCTGCTTCTTCTGCGGCCCGCTTGGCAGCAGCCGCCTGAGCCGCCTGTTCGGCCCTAATTGCAGCTTCTAACTTAGCTTTAGCGGCAGCCTCGGCGAGAGCAGCAGCTTCCGCCTCTCTTTTCTTTCTCTCTTCTTCGGCTTTTCTTTCAGCTTCTAACTTATCTCGTGCAGATCGCTCAGCCCGGGCAATTGCCTCTGCTTCTCTGCGGGCACGCTCTGCTTCGGCTTTTCTCTCAGCTTCGATAGTTTCTCGCGCTGTTCTCTCGGCTTCCTTCCTCGCTTCTTCGATTTCCTTTTTAGCTCTCTCTAAGGCCGCTTTCCTTTCCTCGGCCCGCAGCTCCTCTTCTCTCTTAATTTCCTCCATCTTTCTCTGGAATGCTGCCTCCGCCTCCTTTCGAATCTGAGCCTCGAGCTCCTTCTGTTTGGCTTCCTCTTCCTTCCTTTTTTGTTCGGCTTCAATCTCAGCCAGTTTCTTTTTCATGGCCTCCTTCTCCGGGTCTTCTTTTGGAGGCTCTGGGGGAGCGGGCGTTCGAGGGGGGGCGATGTCAGTTGGCGGGGGCGGAGGAGGCGACCACTGGTATTGTTGCATGGCGTGCGGTACAGGAGGATACGGTGCACCCCCATAATAGTTCTGACCGCCTCCACCAAACGGCATCATCTCATTACCTGGCGGCCACCTGTGTTCGTTATTGAAATAATTACCGCCGCCATTCCCATTCATCGGAGTGGGGGAGAATGGGTTTTGGTAGTGGGGCTGAGGCCCGTACGGCACTACCTGGCCATTGCCACCGCCATACGGAGGGGCGTAGCCACCGACATGGCTCTGGGGGTAACCGCCGCGGCCACCACCATAATACTGACTCCCACCGCCGGGCGGTGGGTAAGCGGCACCGCGGCCGTAGTAGTCGTACTCTGAATCCAGGCTGTTAGTGTTCGGCGCCGGCCGAGGGTCGTAATGAGAGGGTGCTCTTTGTGCGATAGTTCTGTGCTGCCGGGATGGAGGGCGCGCAGGTCGAGTTTCGTGGTGACGCCTTGCAGGGCTGGTCGAAGCAGAATCTTCTGGGTCAATTTCGTCCTCCTCGTATTCGTCGTCGTCGTCGCTCTCGTAAGAGTTCTCGGACCAATCTTCTTGGTGTTCGTATGACCCTCCGCTGGGTCCCTCTGTCTCCGAATAGCTAGGCTCGTCCGAGATGGGGCCGCTGTGGCGTATACGGATACGGGTAGACTGCCTGTGACTTGAATGGGAAGGTCAATTGGCGAAAGATTGAAGTCAAGGGGACAGTCGTGTCTTACGACATTGGTGATGATTTGCTTCTCAGGTACCCTCTGCCCACGACGATCTACCTAAGAAAGTCGGAGCAAGGGATATTAGCAATGAGTCGGTACGTGTGCTACGTGTCCAACTCTACCGTACGTGGGTGGATTAATTTGCAGATGAATTCCTTGAAGGAATTGTCGTTCAGGATAATGCGTAGAGTCCGGAGTTCGGATAACAGGAGCAATGGCGCAAACAAAACAACTTGTCTCTGACAACGTTGTTAGTAAATTTAAGCTGATCTAGGTCTGTATGAAGCAAATAGTGATCGCAAGAATGTAGCGAAATAGCCGGATGGATGGTGGATGGTGGGTGTTGAGTGTGTATGTTTCTGTCCGATGGTACAGAACAATGCAAAAAGATGGAATGAGGAATTTGTGTGGGCTTTTGTAGAGGAGATTCCCGTGAAACAATTGAGTGGCGTTCAGCTAGAAATTATCTAGGTTCATCCTGGTCCTTCCAATGAGACTGGATCAGTTGGGCGCAAAGCGGACATCGAATTGGGTTCTGTCCACTGACAAAAAGTTGTGTGTGGGAATTTGCAAGGAGCGGCACGAATTGGGAAGCGGGGTGAATTAATAAAATATTGGGACTCGGCTTCAGAGAGATACATCCATGATACTAGGTAGTATGTATGTACATGTCTGGATCCAAGGCAGCTGCCAGCAACCTACCTAGGTACCCCAGGTAGAAGGGAGGTATGCAATAAAGCAGTTTCAGGCAATATTAGGTAGGTACTACCTAGGTCTAATGAGGCAAGGTGTGTATGGTGTGTGTGAGAGAGCATTGAAAGGGTAAGGACGAGACAAGACTTACCCTGTTTAAGTCACAGTATGCCGGGTAGCGGTGGCCGGTGTTCAAGGTACTGATTTGTATATGTATGGTACTAAACCAGTACCTAGCAAATCCTGGTATGAATGGATTGATCCTTCCGAGTTGAGAGACCTGGCTGCCTAGGCAGGTAGATATTGTACCTAGGTAGATACTTGGTAGGTACTGTGTATGTACCTTCGATGTTGAAAATGTTCAATACTATGTAGGTACTAGGTACCTAGGTATGTATTGATTCTTCAATGTTATTCCCAACTTGACCGAGATAGGACGGTCTGGTCTGGTCTGGTCGGTCTGGTCTGATCTGATCTGATCTGATCTCGCTAGCGAAGGTAGTAAGTATTTGTTTACTTCAAGGTTGTTTATCTCTTCCTCTTTAAGATATGAATGAATAGGGTATGTAAATAGGTAAATAGGTGAATAGGTATCTACCGTTTCTGGCCTCGGAGGGCTAAAACGAGAAACCGCGGTGAGCCCTTCTTATTTCGAGGGAGGATATCAATATGTATGATCGACCACTTTTTTTTCCCCCAATGGTTGTGTGATAAGGAAGAAACAGAAAATTTTAGGGAACAGGGAGGCTGTCAGGACTTATAACAGTGGCACTTAACTAATAAGCCCACGATTCCATCGTCAGCGAGGGGCCAGCCAGCGTGCAGTGACTAAAGGTGGACGAGTGACACAGCCCAGATACTAGATATATACCTAGGTAGGTACTAGGTGCAGTAGACAGGCTGGCAAGCCAACTGACTGACTGACTGACTGACTGAGGGGGCCAAAGTAGGTAATAGATAGCATACTACTTAGCCTACACGCAACTTTGTACCCGTACTACGGAGCACATATACATAGTAGACATCAACGCTCTAGAACCTTCACCCCAGCTGTATGGTAGATCCATCCTCGCAAAAGTAATAGCGCAATACAACACTAGCTGACGTTTGGAAGTGATTGTTGTTTGGGGGGAACAGGTGACTCGGGATAGATGCAACTTGTAGAAAATATCAGAGGACAACGTACATGGGCCAACGTACATGGGCCAAGGCTTCGATGATATGAAGACGAGTTGTGATGTACATATATCAATTACTACCTGGTAGCAAACAAAGTAAAGCACTAGGTAGGCTCTCTTTTATTCTTGTCCCCTGGATGAGTTTGGTACAAGTAGCTTGTATGGTATTGAGTGATAGTAAAAAGTAGATACTTGGTAGGTAAATAAGTAAACAAAAAGAAACGTAGGCAGTAAATAGAAGAATCGGCGATGGTATCTTAAACTTGTTAATCGTCTCCGGGAAGTTTGGGTCTTGGTAGCATTCAAGTATGTTCCGATGCTTATTCTGTTTTAAGGCCGCGTACTGTGTACAAACAACTCAGAAACGAGGGGGCTAATAGGAGAGCGAGAAAAGGCCGGCAGAAAGCTGGCTGAAGAGAGTAGAGAGAGAGGTAGGTAGGAGAGATAGAAATACACGCAGAATTTGGTCCACACCGCTGCGCAGCGCTGCGCCTGCGCATGGCTAGGGCAGATGCAAGAACTCACAGGCTACCAATGGTTTCCATCCTGGATTTACACCGAACACGACAGCATTATCTTGACTGGTGCCCTTCATCTTGCAAGCTCTTTAACCTTCACTCTTCGCTTTTCGCTCTTCTCTCTCTTCTCATTCATCCGGGGTCCCTATTCTCACTAATCCTCTTTGTCTCTCTTTTACCCCTAATTCCCGATAGCTTTTTTAAATCGCCCACTCATGATCTGCGGTATGGGGCCGTCTTAAATCGGAGTGACGGAGTACTGTGGTAATATTTTTGCGCCGGGTAATGGGGCGATTCCCGGTATGACCCCTCGTAATTTTGGCCTTGGTAACCCAGTGTTTTTTTTTGTCATTTTCGTTCATATTGATAGTAGTAGGTAGCGCAAGTCCGACATGAGCCACAGCTTGCTAATCTTTTTTCCCTTTTCTCGGGATCATATTGCGAAAGATCTGTCATCAAGAGTTGTGAATAGTTCTGAATGGTTCCAGGTTCCAGGTTCTGTTCCACGTAGATCAACGGGTATTGCTGTTAGATGGACATGACATGATGAGATTTATTCATTCCTCTCATTGTCTCGACTTGAAACAAATTCAAAGTCTCAAGTTAAGAATCAAGGGACAGCGGCTATCCTATCTACTAATAACGTCTCTCTCTTACCCCGTCGTTCTTCATTAGATTTAGTACAAACTGTAGAAGCCAAAATACGTGGTCTCATAGATAGCCTGTAGATAGATACATAATTGGGTAGCACATGGGGTCTACGCCTTGTTGCTTGTAGCGACGACTTTCGTTATGATGGGCGTGTGTATGCTATCGGGCTCACGACACCCTCATCGAGATGCCGAGAAGAAGCCAATCCCAAATGAGAAAAGCATTAGGAATGCCACCCCTACTCGACCCCTACACGACCGATATGGAAAAAAGAGGAAGGATGTAGAGACTTGTCTGCGGCTAGACCCGTCCCAGTTGTCTCTAGCAGTGGAGCCCCCGACGAGATTTTGGCTCTGCCTACCACCTAGACGCTGCCCGACGAAGTAAGTCAACTGTGCTTTGCTGCCCAAATCTCATAATACGGTACCTATTACCTAGTTACCTACCAACTACATATGTATGTATGGCGTCGCGATGCGTCGAAATCTTGAATACGTGCCGAGTAGTATGTGCCATGTACCTAAAGCATTAAAAGGTGAGCCATATGCTGCATTCGTACTCATTTCGATGGCAATGCCGCCTGTATGATTCATGATAACTACCTAGGTAGGTACATATAGGGTTGCGCGACTGGAGCCACGTGCTACTCATACTGTAGGAACAAGCCATCCAGTAAGGGGGTTGGCCAAACTAGATACTAATAGTAGAATACCTACTTGCATATACCAGACACGTCTGTCTGCCTAAGGATCCACCGCTTCTAGATATGAACTCCATGAAATCCACCTAGGCCACCAATTGGAGCTTTTACGCCCCTGCACATGCTCAAATGTTCAAATGCAGGTCCTCTGTCTTTGATAGTCGTACAATGCAAAGATTTCCAAGGTTACATTTTGTTCGTAAGCAAATCGGTCATGCGAATAACTGAGCTGGAGCGTGCAACATGTCGGAGCTACCCGAGAATTTGCTGCGCGGCTCTTCAGACATCACAACTTCTTCCAAGATACTCATCTAATAACCGTATCCGTGCTTTTCTCGAGGAGTTCTCGCGCGGCTTGGATTTCGGCCTTATCGTAACCTTGCCAGCCTCTTTCTCCTGCTGAACTGCGTCGCACGATTTCTGTGAGCTTCTCGGTAGCCACTTCATCAAGTTTGCTAACCGTAGCTGAGTCGGGCACAGAGAAACCATCAGAATTTGCCTGGCTTGGTGTCACTTTCCGAGCATTGCCTAGAAGTTGCCTTGTAGTCTTGTTACTCGAGTTAGCCTTCTTCTCACTTGACAGCTAAGGCTTGGTGATACTCACTAGTTTAAGACCGTAATACCCTCGTAGATATCCATCACAAAGCTCAATACTTCGACTAAATCGTTTTAAGGCTTCGGCTAGTTGACCTGCATTATCTGACGACGTGGCCGAAACAAATAAGACCTCGCCTAGTCGAGCATGCACCTGTGACGTTACAAGATGAGTAAAAGGGAGACACTTTCAGGAAGATAAGAAGACCAACATTCCAGGCATTCGGCTGAAGGACGAGAACCTCCTCGAGCGCAAATATGGTTTGGGGGTACAGGCCTTGGGAATAATATAGGTCAGCAAGCTCGGCCCAGGATTCTGCATCCGTAGGCGAGATATCGAGAAGCGATACCAGAGCACTGACGGACTCGGAAATGCGGCCAATAGAGCGTAAAAGAGCTACCCGACGTTTCAATACAGGCTAGGGAGGCTAGGTTAATATAATTGCTATAGAAGATGATAATAGAGGGGCTCACAATGTTGGTGGGATTGTCCTGCAAGATCTGCTCATACTCTTTCAAGATGGCATCAAGAGTGGCGGCATCATTGGCACTGGCCTCCTTAAGAAGGCCCATTAAGGCTATGATGCGTTCATTGTCGTTACCAAATCTATTCACAAGCCTCGCTAGACATGAATGGGCGGACTCGTCGTCTCGTGTCCGAAGGCAGGACAGCAGGAGATTCTCGTATATGGTCCATAGCTCGGGCGTTTCGGGAGCAGAGAGAAGAGATTGAAAGACAGAAGATGATATAGCACCTGTAGAATTTGCAAGAATACCAGGGGCCTTCTGTGATTGCTGCAAGGCTACAGCTGGAGGTAATTGACTAGAAGGATGGAGAAGGGAGGAAGACATGGCGACGACGTCAAATTAATCCCTGTTTAGATTGAATCGAGGCTTTGCCAGATTTATATATTTGCAGTAACACTTATGTAATAGTTACGGGAGTGTGCATGAACTGGATAAGGTAAGTAGCAGGATTTCTACCTAGGTATAAGTATGTAAAGGTATGGTTATTGGATGTAAGTTAGGTATGTAGTAGTGGTAGTGGCAGTGGTAGTGGTAGTAGTCAATAATGTTGAATATAGTAAAGGTTGGTGATTGATTATAGTATAGCCGATTGCGTGGCATTCAATTGATCAATGTTGGCAACTGCGCATGTGCATGGGTCCATCATTGAAGTACTATGTAGTTATACATATGTACGGATACCTGCATACCTGCATACATCAATGATAGAACCTACTAACCTACACTACTAGGTACATACCTAGTACATATGTATGACAATTCAAGGTTTCAAGCCTTACCGCACTTTAAGTTACGCTAACCGTAGAACATTCATAGGTTCAATGTTATATTCTGCCATTACTCACCGCTATAAGTTTTAAAGCATTTGAGTACCCTGGCCTAGGGTAGTTTATTCCTTATGATAGTAACTGGTTAGCACATGAGCAACTGAGTATACTGGTGCATGCAGCTGTAATAGGTCCGCTGACTGATTGACGTGAATGCTCCCAAAACTGATCGTGGGGCATCCATTATGTATGCTTGCTCTTGTTGATATACTTACATAATTCTTGGGTTCTCGTAGCTCAACCTTGGCGCCGATATAATTCATATGACCTTCTAAGAATAAACGACAAACCTACACGACCCTTACAGCGCTTCTTCCTTGTCCAAATGCTACCACATGGTCAAGATGGTTACTTGTTCTAGGCCAACTTGGAATCTGCAGCACCTCGTCTACCTCGTCTACATCTTCTAAACCACCTATTTCCACCGCGCGGCCAGCACCGGCAAAGGTGCGATTCGGGCAATCATGTATGTTATCATAGCTACTCTAGTTAGATATGATTCGCAGCTTGTTGACAGTCTGTCCCCAGGTTCGAGAAGTCGCTATACGACCTCATCCGGGGTCTTAGAAATCACAAAGGAAACGAGAAGGAGTATCTACAAAATTGCCTGAAAGAATGTCGTGCAGAAGTGCGAAGCCAGGACCTAGGTTAGTCAAATTCCGACTCACCTGTACTCCGACTATAGTTGACCTTTGGCCTTCATGTTATAGATCTCAAGGCGACTGCCCTATTAAAATTGATATATCTCGAGATGTTTGGTCACGACATGTCCTGGGCCTCCTTCAACGTCCTTGAGGTTATGGCTTCTCCCAAGTACCACCAGAAGCGCGTGGGATATCTTGGTGCTATCCAGAGCTTCCGTCCCGAAACTGAAGTCCTCATGCTCGCAACGAATCTCCTCAAGAAGGTGTGTTGGTTGCTCTGTGTATGGGAAACCTTCAGAATGTTACTAAACTTGCCTTTAGGATTTAACTGCGGCATCAACGACTACCATCGCCCTTCCGATCGTCACCCTCCCCCATGTCATCACACCCTCCCTCGCGCTCTCTGTTCTACCCGATCTCCTCCCGCGACTGAACCACACTCACCCCACTGTTCGCAAGAAGACCATTGTCACGCTATACAGACTCGCATTAGTCTATCCTGAAACCCTACGTGCCGCCTGGCCTAGAATCAAGGAGAGGCTCATGGACAGGGCCGAAGACCCCAGCGTAACGGCTGCCATCATCAACGTCATATGCGAACTGGGATGGCGCAGGCCCCACGACTTCCTTCCCCTAGCACCGAGGTTGTTTGAATTGCTAGTTGACAGTGGTAACAACTGGATGGCAATAAAACTAATTAAGCTGGTGAGCGGCCTAGGATCCCTATTATATTGCTCTTGTTGACTCTGTGGACTGCCTAGTTTGCTACTTTGACACCTCTCGAGCCAAGGCTCGTTCGGAAACTCCTGCCACCTTTGACCGAGATTATCCAGACGACTCCTGCCATGTCTTTATTATATGAGTGCATCAGTGGCATTATTCAAGGTGGCATTCTTGGGAGCGGTGAAGATGCGGATGGGCGAGAAGAGATCGCTTCCCTTTGCGTCAACAAGCTCCGGGGAATGATCATGGTAGACGGCGATCCAAACTGTTAGGTTACCCCTGACTCAGATGTACCATCTCAGTTCACTAACGTTGAACGATTTAGTAAAATACGTGGCGCTCCTTGCTTTTAACAAGATCGTTGTCACCCACCCGTGGCTAGTTGCTCAGCAGGAAGACGTTATCCTGGAGTGCATAGATAGCGCTGACATTTCTATCCGTATAAAAGCGCTAGATCTTGTACAGGGCATGGTCAGCAGTGACAATCTAGTCTCTATTGTCAGTCGTCTCATGAGGCAACTCAAGCTGTCCTCCGTGGCAGACCGCAGAACTGCAAACCTTTCGGGTTCGACCATCGGTGATTCAGACGAAGACGAACTAGACAGGACCGTCGATTCCGGCCCAAAATCAACGAATCAATCCCCACCTCTTCCGGACGACTACAAGGTTGATGTGATCAACAGGATACTGAATATGTGCTCACAAAATAACTATAGTTTCTTAACAGACTTCGAATGGTATATCGATATATTGACTCAACTTATCCGGACCGCACCATTACCTCGGCCTATCAGCGACATGGAATCCCTTTCCCCATCAGGAAAATCAAATGATAGGGATATATCTGAGAAAATAGGGGGCGAGCTACGGAATATCACCGTCAAGGTCCAGGCTCTTCGTTCTACATGCGTTCGGGCTGCTGAAGCAATATTAGCTCAACTCACCAGCGAGGCACCGATTGGTCAGAGCATCGTCTCGGGGGCATTAAAACCAGTGGCCTGGATCATCGGTGAATTTTGTTCGGAGCTGTCTACCCCAGACGATATCCTTGGAGCTTTCCTACAGCTAACGCCCAAAACTTCGTCCCCAGAATCTCTCGCGGCCTGTCTGCAAGCAGCCATGAAAGTGTTCTCACACGTTGCAGGAGACGAACTAGCTCCTTGGACACCCGAGCGTAAATCGAAGATATCACTACTTATGGCTCGTATCATTCATTCTTTCGAGGCTTTGGCATTGCATCCGAATTTGGAAGTTCAGGAAAGAGCAGTGGAATTTACAGAGCTCCTGAAACTTACCGCAGAGGCGGCTAGTAGTCAAGCGGCTTCGACAGAAACCGTTCATCAGGATCCTCCCTTACTTCTTACACAAGCAATACCGTCTCTTTTTGCCGGGTGGGAATTAAATTCAGTCGCCGTAGCGGCTCAAAGGAACGTACCGCTTCCAGAGGGGTTGGATCTTGATGAGCCTATCAATCCGAACCTAAACTCGCTGCTCGCGTCCGCTGATTCCATAACGATACCAGTCGACGAAAAGGATGAGTTTGAGAGCTACTACTATCAGCAACCACAAGCTACTAGTATAGCATCCACGCCAGCTATCAGCAGACTAGCAGATAGTCGTGAAGAAGTAGCGAGCTCTTACCAGCAACCTACCGAAGAAACCTATTTAGATGCGGATATCCTAGCGAAGCGGAAAGCAGAACGATTAGAAAGAAATCGTGATGACCCATTCTATATCCAGGAAAGTGGCTCTCTCCAAAGATCGTCGACCCCAATTCATAATATTCTCCAAAATTCAAACGGACCTGATCTAGACGTCGACTCTATTCCCATTATGGAACTTGACCTCGACAAACTTAGTGCTGGCGTTGACCACTCCCGACCGCAAGCACCATCGAAGCCTGCGCGCCGCACGCCGCGACAAAAGATTGTGGTGGCCGCGGACGAAAACTTGGGCAGCAGCGGTGGAAGCACGCCTCGGAATTATGATTCTGAAAACGGTTCCGATGCATTAGGCAAGGCGCGCGCGGGCAACATAAACGCCAAGAAGCTCAAGCAATCGTTACTAAGCGTAGACTCGACTAGCATCGGTGCGCTCAGTCTCGATGACGATCCTAGCAGCCGCCCCTTCGACCTCGAAGCCCAGAAGCGCGAGGAGGCTGAGATGGCACAGGCTATGAAGGAAGTCGAGCGATTGCGCCTCGAGATGCAGCGTGCGAACGAGAGGATACAAGTCGCACAAGGGGTTGATGCGGCGGGGACAGTGGTGAAGAAGAAGAAAGCCAAGAAGCCGAAAGTCGCCGCGGTTGAAGGCGACGAGAATGGGAATGGCGAAGGAGTAGCTGTAGGAGTTAAAGTTAAGAAGAAGAAGAAGAAGAAAGCAGTGCCTATAGATGGCGGAGATGGCGGCGCAGGACTGGGGGAGGCTGCCGGCGAGGTGAAGACGAAGAAGATAAAGAAGAAGACGAAACCGGCTGATATACAGGACGCAGAAGCTGGTTAAGCGATTCTAAGGTGAAGGTGCGAAGGTTCGCTGTCGTCTATAGGTGACTTACCTCCTACCTACATACCTACCTAGGTACATATCTACCCAAATAGCGAAACATCCATAAAGACAAGATATCATGATGGAATGAAATCGTGATCTAAAATATTGATATGTACCTAGTAGGTAGGTATGGTACCAACATAATATAACCTACCCTCACGGAAAAACTCTTACCACACGAGAAGGGCTGCATATATATACCTACACATGCCTACCTGCCTACCTACCTCCTAATACCTAGCGATTCACGCCCCATTTCTCAAGAAGACATAGCAAAACGTGCAAACGTAATACGTAAACTACCTATTTACGTAGTAATAGTTAAAAGGAGCAGTGCAACATTAAAAAGGAAGAAGAAAGAAAGAAAGAAAAAAAAAGCCCCAGAAATACGTAATAAGTGTAGAGAATTTTTTGGTTTTCCTTTGCCTTTTTCCTTGCCGTGCCTTGCCGTCACCACCACCGAAGCCGAGAAAAAGGGGGGGTTAAGGAAGTAAGGGAGGGGGAAAAAAATATAACAAACACACTTCCTCTCCGTCCAGAACGGTACAATAGAAAGGGCAAAGAAAAAGAGGTAACAGTGATTCTGCTCTTTCACGAGGTCTTCTCCGAAATATATCAATCGCCTTCGTATAGTATGTAAAGGTGGGAAAGGGGGTGCGTATTAACTAGGTATCTACACTGCATAGTGTAGTACCAAACCACGATCTTATACATCAATATAGTAGCCGGGCCCTTTTCCTTTTCTGATATTTATAGCATTAGGTAAATAGGTAAGATTCTGTAAAAGAGACAGAAAGATACATTACGCAACGCCATCATCTGGTACTCGTATTGGTATTGGTATAGAGAAAGCCACCGCCTTCCAACCCCAAGCCTTAATCCATAACATTTCAAGTTTGTCCATAATGTGTAGCGAGAGCCTGCCGTCGCTGGGCCTTTTTTAGAAAAAGAATAGGAAAAGAACGCCGTATACATGCGTATGATAAAGTATTAGGTCATTTGATCCGTCTCTTTCTCGTATGGCTCAATTTAGCGCATCCCACATCACATCCAAGTTCGTAAGTACCTTAGCCGTACCCATCCATGCATTACTAGTAGTCCATGGGTGTATCAACAAGTGTTACACCACGGTCCTCCGTTGGAGTTCCACTGTCTCGGTCTCGGGTTATCTTGCTCACGGGTGTGGAAGGTGTACTTCCGGTGCCCGTGGTCGAGTTCGTCCCCACACGCCTTCCGCCTACAAACCGAGCACCGCTTCGGCTTAAACTATCTCTCTTCGAGATCATGGATTCACTGATGATCTTGGGTGAATCTTCATGAGGGGCTCCATTTGGTTCGGATGGGGGTGTGTGCGTCCCATCGGGAACCTCAAGACTCGACCTCTTGACCGTGCCTAGACTGCCGAGACTGCTTCGCTGCCTGTCATTATTGGCCGTAGGACTGGCTATGGGGAACCGAGTCTCAGGTCCACCGGTGCTTCTATCGCGTCTATGACGAAATCCGGGCGCAGGACTTGTGGCGCGACCGCGCGGTCCTACTTTCTCTAGCAAGGCTCGTTGCCTTTCTTCCATGTGAGCTCTCCTATTGCTCTCGTCTGTGCTGATGGCTCGGGGTCGGCTATTGTTATTGGTGCTGGTGACGGAGCCCGAATGGGTAAGAGTTGACATGCGTTTCAACTCGCTGAAGATAGCGTCCTTGTGCGCGAATAGGTCACGGATTAGGCGGTAGGCGTGCTTCTCCTCCATGGTCAATGAGGTTTCGGTTCGAGGCCGCAAGATGCAAGGAGCCAGAGAAGTAGCAAGTTCGTTTACATATTTCTCGTCCGCTGAGGTCAGGTCTATCAGTCTTGTAAAGTGGTTCATGCAGGCGTCAAGCGTGGCGATATTGGTGAGCCGTAACTGCGAAAGGGTCTGCTGCAGAACGGGGATGCGCGCCAAGTCAGTGGTATCCGTTGTCGGGGTTGCATATATGGTTCTAATGATCTCATATACGTGAGAAGATACCAGAGAGTCTGAAAGTATCAGTTAGTATTTATCGTAGCCTCGGCAGACTTGGGGAGGGGGGACATACCAGGGAGTTCCAAAAGATACAGCTTGAGTAAATGCGCAACGGTAGGGACATCAAACTCCGAAAATACCTCAGGGGAGAAAGATTTGCCATCATTGATCTTTGCTCGCAACTTATGAACCTGAGGGAGCGGAGCTTCAATAAGCCATACTCCCCGTCTCGCTTCATCGCCTTCTAGATCCGGATAGTGGTTATCGAGATACGTCAAGATCGTCGTGATGATGATAGGAACACGTTTCTTATCTGCTCGGGCTCTAGCTTCAAGATCTACACCAAAGGTCTGTTCATCGACTTTGTTGTAATAGTTCTCGTATGTGATGACCTTGGGAGAAAAGCGGCCTGTCCTATAATTCTCTAGGAGGTATCTCAAATCACCCAGAGGTTGAACGGTCTCCTGATAGAGAATCATGCGGTCTACAGCAGACTGTAGGCTTGGGATGACGTTTCCAATGGTACCCGAGAAATCGAGGATGACAGTCTTGATGGCCTTTAATCGGTCTAGCTCGCAACGTTCGAGAAAATTCAGATGCTGGAGAATCGCTTCTTCTAACTCGCAACGCATTTCGTCAAGCTTTCGGACCCCATCCTTATACTTCTCGTCGGCCTCCCTTGCTTCGCGACGCAGACGTTCGGGTGCAGTTTCGTTCGGGTGCTGGTTGTTGAGAACATTCCAGCCAGATAAATACCCACCGACGGCACCAACGACAGGAGATTCGCTGCCATCTTGAGAAGTAGGCATAGAGAACGTCCTGGAAACCGCTTTCTTCTCCGGTACCCCTGAAAGTTGGAATGCCTTTGGTCGCCATTGGTAAAAGAGCTTCGAGCTGTTGGCGAAGTTGTTCCCCACGTTTCCGACCAAGCGGAGGAATCCGCTTGACACTAGATCTTGGCCAATTCGTTCGGAATAGCTAACGCTAGTCGATCCCATGTGTCGTTGAAGATACTCGACGATATCAGAGCCAGAAGATGTGTTGAGATACGTACCAAGAATGGGCACTTTTGTTTCTCCCATCTTGATGGTCTCCAGCATGTGAGCTAGGATCTTCTTGATCTGCTCAGTCTGGTATGTCTCGTCACCAATTTCGTATATTACGTCTTCCTCTTCCTCCTCCTTGATGGATACCTTGATCTCGGGTATGTTTTGGTTCTGCTTAGGACTTGTCTCCGGGTCTTGAAAAGCCAGCTTGTTCTCCTCCTCGAGGTCCTCGACTAGGCGACATTTGTTGAAGTAGTTGCTTCGTAGCTTTTTGACTGCCTCAGACTGGCGATCATGAGTTTTAATACGGCTCTGCAGGTCCTCCTGTGAATCTTGAATGCGAGATTCGTGAGCATCACACCATCGCGCAAACGGATTTACAACCAGGTCTCTGATGCTCTGTGCGATCTTCTTGTGGGTTTTTGAGGCATCCACCATCTCGCTTCGGACACCATCGTAAGCCTAAGAAAGGTGAATAAAGGTTAGCTAGGCCACTCTGTAAAGAAAAAGGTAATAGGAATGCGTTTCATACCTTTCGCACACTTGCGCCATCATCACGCGAGAAACCACCATTGATTTTGTCGGCTGCAGGCGCGATTTCTCCAAGTTTCCCGCCATAGATATCCTCGGCTTCAGCTCGCATCCGAGCGATCGTCAAGACCTGTCGGTTTTCCTCTACGCCTTGCTGGAGCTTGGTGAACAGAACGCCCAGGCCTTTTCGGAAGATGTTAGGTTAGTCTCTAGTACAAACATGAAAAGAATAAGTCGGGCAGCGACTGGATGTCGCACTCACCTGCGGCATAGTCTGTTGACCAAAAAGAATCTGCGAACCCCGGCATGTTGATGACGCAGCTAGTTAGGGAAACCGGTAGATGTTAGGGCCGGGTCGGGGATCTGATGGAAAGTTAAATCCAGGGGCCTTTTTGCGTATTGTTCGAGTTGAGAGCGGAAGCTGTAAGGCGCAAACGCAAGGCCGGATTGTAAATGCGATGCGGAGCCAATGGCAGAAAAAAAGGAGCTGGCTGAAAAAAGAATCGAAGGCGAAGGCGCTCGGGGACGTATAAGGAGATGGAAATCGGCGGTGGGTATCACAAACGGGTAAACCGTGTCACTATTACAGAATGAGAGAAATGGAGGGGGGGAATGAAGAATGAGAATGAGAATGAGAATGAATAAAGGTCAACTGTTTTTGATTAGATGTAGTGTAATCGTTGCCGAGTGCCGTGCTACAAAGCGAACAATTTGAAGAAGAGAAGAGACTAAATGCGAAATGTATAAGGTATACAGAAAGAATGAATGATAAGACCGAATGTCTCCATATGTTTCTGTCTTGCTCTTCTTTTCTACGAAATTCCTACACCAATAAAGCAAGTTAAAAGGAAGCTTGGACAGCGAAGGAGGAAAAAAAAATATACCTGAAGCTGAAAACTTCAATGATCATTGGTCAAGGATTGGACCTGCAAACCCCAGGGGTGTTTCTTTTTTGGTTATTGCTGCTGCCGCCTTTTTGTTTCTACTGCAACTAATGTACATGTAACTACATGTAACTGCGTTGTAGCCCTGGAGTATGTACTTGAATAATGTTGTAGGCTGAGTTACAGGTACATTACTACAGGCACATTACCCGCTGGGCTCAATGTACGCTTGGGCTTTTGGGTTTGGGTTGGTATGTAACTAAATCCATACATCCAACTTGAATCCACAGTTGTATATACATATATGGGGGGGTAATGCCTGGTACCATGACATACTCCCTACGTACATGAGTACGCATGTATGCAGTGTATAATGTACGTAAAACAGGTACGCGCATACCGAGTATTTCGTAAAAGCCTATAACAAATCGGGGACTAACAAGGGTCACTGGTATCGGACAAACATTGAACATGTACATTAGTTAGTTACAACTACGCAGTACATACATAGTTAACTACTAGGTATGTAGTAGTTATGTTTTAAGTACTACTATGCAAGTACCTCAGCACTATGTAGGCATTACATGGGCCCAGCCCACGCCATAGGAATGAGCAAGAGAGAGCCCTGTATAGACTCGTTTCACCTGAACCTTTTGGGCATCGGCCCTGTCGAGCCTTACAGGAGGCACGTCAGCAGCAGCCAAGGTTCCAAGGTTCAGCATGGTTCAGGGTTATGAGAGAGGCCTCTCCATTATCGATATAATTAACAACTTCGTACTCTCTAATTAGCTATACTTTGTTACATGCCAAACATACCAGACCACCAACTTGGCCGGTCACGTAGATCGATCACTATATATGAATTTAGAAACACCCAGCGTCACGGTATATAAATCCCTAAATCCTATCTACCTAGGTAGGTAGAAACGAAGGAAACAAAACATCCATCCATCCATCCATCCATCCATCCATCCATTCATTCATCCAGTTTTAAGCCCCGTACCAAGTTGACGGGTTTTAGCCTGTGGGCTGACCTGGCAGGCTGACACTATTAATGATCATAGCTTTGCTACATAACCGGGGAAGATAAGTCGAAGATAAGTCGAAGATAAGTCGAAGATGAGATATGTATTGTACATACAATTATACATACATATGTACATGCATAGACAATGTAGTATTCACGGCATGCTACATTAGGGGCAGCTTTGTAAGCCACCGATAGCATGTGTTCACCTCGAACGTCACGGATGATTGACTTGAATGTCTCAAATATTACAAAACCCTCCTTTCTATTGATCACGTACACATCAACTGAGCTAAGACAAATGATAATAATTCCATCACTTGATGTTGTCAACCTACAAGATGCATGAGAAGGTAGAGCCGAGAGTCGGGACCACCACACCCACTCGTCCTCGCCTCTCATTTGCGAAGACCGCAATTGTTGTTCTATCGTCACTGTTAATCTTGGGTACACTACTACATCCAACCTCGCGATGCCATCACCCATTCTCAAAGGCGTACTCTCATTTCCATCCATTGTCCGTTGAGGAAAGAGTCCATAAAATACTCTCGAAAACTCCTTTAATAGGTAGATCTATATGAATCTCAAGCACCTTTTGATTTCCAAATGTAAACAAAACAACTAATGATCGACAAGACGGACACAATGACTTTGCTATCTTCATCCGGGCTCTCTACAATAACCACATCTATAACGAGAACTTTACCGACCCGTTCGAAAATGGCGGGCTGAAAATGCACGTCGACCTGCCCAGGTTGAGGGCAGGAAAGAATGGAGGTGCTTTTTGGAGCGTCTTTACTCCTTGCCCTGAGAATGGCACGGATTACTCAGACGAGAACTATGCTCCTAGTTAGTCATCAACGCCAAAGTTACTATCTGAGTACCTGGTAGTCACGTTTGTGATCACGTCTAACAAAGTACCAGGCGTCCAACTCACTCTACAGCAAATTGATCTCATGACCCGGCTGCAGAATGCCTACGCCAAGGACTTCTCTGGGATCCCGGTAGACAGCGAGGCGGCCCTAGCAGCCTTCAAGCAGGGCAAGCTGATATCCCCACTGGGCATTGAAGGGCTCCATCAAATCGGCAACTCCGTGGCCAACCTAAGAAACTACTATGCCCTGGGCGTCCGCTACGCCACGCTGACCCACAACTGCGGAAACCTGTTCGCCGACGCGGCGCTCTGGGAGAACCCCTTCCGCAAGGCTCCCCCGGTATGGAACGGCGTCTCCCCCAAGGGCAGGCAGCTTATCAACGAGATGAACCGCATTGGCATGCTGGTGGATCTCTCCCACGTCAGCGCAGACACCATGAGGGACGTACTGGGTGGGAGTGAGGAATGGGCCGGTAGCAAGGCTCCGGTTATGTTTAGCCACAGCTCTGCCTACGCCATATGCCCGCACCCTCGAAACGTGCCCGATGATGTGCTCCAGCTCGTGAAGAACAAGAACTCTATCGTAATGGGTAGGTACCTGCCTATGTCCTGGAAGCTTCCCCCCTGAATATGGCTGACCGTTGGCAGTGAACTTCTCCCCCGACTTCATCAGCTGCGTGGACAAGGGCGCCGAGAACGGCGTCCCCGAGTTCTTCCCCGAGAACAACACCCTCGCCCAAGTAGTCAGCCACATCACCTACATCGGGGACCTCATCGGGTACGACCACGTCGGCCTCGGGAGCGACTTCGACGGCATCCCGTCGACCCCCGCGGGCCTCGACGACGTGTCCAAGTACCCCGACCTCGTCGCCGAGCTCCTGCGCCGAGGCGTCTCGGACGAAGATGCTGCCAAGGTCGCCGGCGGCAATATCTTGCGCGTCTGGGGAGACGTGGAAAAGGTGGCTGCGAAGCTGCAGGGCCAGGGGGGGCCGGTGCTGGAGGATGACCTTGCAACCCTGTTTGCGGAGGATTTTGCCGACATGTGAGTATAGTTATCCTTTTGAGATCTAGCCTCGAGGTCAAAAATCAACCTGGGGGGTTGTGTGGCTTTACGTTCGTATCTAGGCTAAGTAGGCACCGAAATAATTACCTAAACGGTAGAATAAAGCATTGTCGTTATTCACGTACACATATGTAATACAGTCATCATTTAATTGGTAGTCGATTTCATGAGAATGTAGTGTTTATACACTCGAATATGCGAGGGAATAATGTCCCAAGTCTGATATGCAAGCAAGAGGCCCCTCTCCTTCTTGCCGCCTTTACAGTAGGTACCTAGGTAGGTAGCTTGGAGTATATTATAGACCTCTATTCTAGGGGCTTTCTCTGTAGCTGCCTCCATGATTGTAGTAGCCTGGATCTCGAGATCAAGAATAGTTCCACCACTATGCGATTCATTTTAAAGGGCGGCACGGCCTTAAATCTTAGACTGAGTTCCTCCTCTCTCCAGACAGTTGAACTTCCTAGCCGTGATGATCTGGTTCCTCGTCCGCTGTCCGCGCACCGGCAGACCCATAGCATGTCTTCGTCCTCGGTACGAGCCCATGTCTCGCAGCCGCTTGATGTTGTCCTGCACTATGCGCCGCGCGTCGTTTTCTATCGTCATCGTGGACAGCTCGGTGGTCAGGGCCGTGATTACTTTGGGGGCGACGGACTCGCAGCGGGCTTGCGGGTGGATCGTGTACTTGGCCATGATGCGGGAGGATAGCTGAGGTCCGAGGCCGTAGAATGTCTCTAGGGCTTTCTGTATACGGGTTGACTGCTGTTAGAGAGAGAGAGAGAGAGAGAGAGAGAGAGAAATAATGTGTGGGTGTCAATGCGCTGGGTAGCTCGACTAGAAAATTACCTTGACGAACTTCCTCCCGTGGAAGTTGACACCCATGATGAGCACCTAGATTCCAGTTAGCAGCTATAACAGTAACAGCTGGAGCTAACTTACCATCTTGGGCGATTTGGACACTCAGTCTTTGTAAGATGCGGTGGTGGTATATGTATTGTGCCCTCTCTTGAAGGTTTGTGGTTTTGCGGTTTGCGGCAACGATAAAAAGAGTTGATCTGTATAACGCATGTGTGTAATTGGTTAATGATTTATCCATCCATGGATGCTACGTACGTACATAATACAGCTTAGAAAGTCAACACTTTTGTCCGATAAGCTGATAGTCTTGTAAGCGTTAGTTATCTGCACTAGATATAGTAGATAGGCACTGTACCTTAGGTAGTGTAGTTGAAGTGGAACCCCGCATTCACCCGCCGTAGGCTATTGATCAATTTGACCAAACAGCGGATTTAGTGGTTCAGGGGTGCTAAACTCTTGCGACACGCTCTAAACATGGAACCTTGGAAACGTTGCTGCTGCAATTGGCAATTGACAATTGGAGCTTGTGTGTCCTTTTCCTATTTCCACTTTCTTCCTTTTTATCTCTTTTCAACACACCCCCCTTTGAACAACTATTAAGCAGGGACCAATTCCTGTAGGTAAAAAAAAAAAAACTCTCCATTATCATATTCTCCCAATCTTCCACTTATCATTCTAACTTGGATAGTTCTGAATAGTACATCCCTATCCTCATCATGTTCAACCTTCGACGAGTGCTCGCCGGCATCCTGCTGCTGGTGGGCGTAGTCGTCATCTGCTTCTCGCAGACGACTGAGGCTGCCAAGGGCCCCAAAATCACCCACAAGGTCTACTTCGACATCACGCACGGCGATGAGCCCCTCGGTCGCATTGTCATGGGTCTCTACGGCAAGACCGTCCCTAAGACTGCTGAGAACTTCCGAGCTTTGGCTACTGGCGAGAAAGGCTTTGGTTATGAAGGTTCAACCTTCCACCGAGTCATCCAGCAGTTCATGATCCAGGGAGGTGACTTCACCAAGGGCGATGGCACTGGTGGCAAGTCGAGTAAGTGTTTCTCAACGCCTTCAACTGTAATTGGCTATGACAGTACTAATCTTTAATCTTCATCTGAATAGTCTACGGCGACAAGTTCCCTGACGAGAACTTCAAGCTAAAGCACTTCAAGAAGGGCATGCTGTCCATGGCCAATGCCGGCAAGGATACCAACGGCTCTCAATTCTTCATCACTGTCGCTATTACCTCGTAAGACTCCCCAAATCCCTTTCTCTCTCTTCAGCTAGCAATACAGTTGTAGGGAAGATATAATTTGCATTGGTGCTAACAGCAAAACAGGTGGCTCGATGGACGCCACGTAGTATTTGGCGAGGTTCTTGAGGGCATGGACGTTGTCACATTGATTGAGAACGTCAAGACCAAGCCTGGTGACAAGCCTGAGAAGGTGGTCAAGATTGTCAAGAGCGGAGAGCTTCCGGTGCCGCCTGAAGGTATCCACAACGAGCTATAAACATAAAGCCTCATCGTCCGTTTTCATACTGATACGTCTACCGCACCTCTTTCAGGTTCCAACGACCACAACGGAGACTCAGAATGGTCTGCAGGATCTATCGACGAAGAGAAGAACCCATTTGTGGATACTGCCGCCTCTTCAGCTGGGTGGTCTGTCCTCCAAAAGGCTCTCCTTTTCAGTGTTATCCTAGCCGCTATCGGATTCTACATCCGCCTGTCAAAGCGTAGAGGCGACATGGACGACGTAGCGTACCACAAGACGATGGCTTAGAATTCCGATGTTTATAGTTTCAGATTGAATGGAATACAAGATGTGTTTGACCACCTACTAGCATAAATCAGTTAATTGGCCTCAAGTAAATGTGTTGGGTTTATTGTTGCCGTTAAAATCATCACGTGTGACTTGTATAATAAGAAGAGAAAAAAACGTGTTAAAACTCGAACTTTTTTTTTTCGCGCCAGTAAAAGTATAAAATTCTAGCATTTTACCTATTTAGCACCTAACCCAGCAAAGCAAGCAGCTTGGGCACCTTCGCGCAAAAAAAAAAAAAAAAGAAAGTGTTATACCCCTGAATTAGCAGATATTTGTTAGCCAAATAAAAAACGGAAAGGAGACACAGAAAAAGAAACAGAAAAGAAAAGAGAATATGAAGGTCCTAAGCCTAAATTTCCTGACCTGCGCCGTCAAGGCATGCAAGAGCAGCTCGGACTCGTACCCGCTGCACCCCAAGGACGCCGAGCTGGTGCAGGACGACGTCGAGGTCAACGCCCAGCTCTTGATCAACCTGCTGCCGCGCATTGACTGGACTGCGCTGTCGACGACTGCTAGCGAGGTATGTGTTTTTTTTTTTTTTTTTTTTTTTGCTTTCATTGTCCTCGTTGGTGTTGAGGTTTTGTTCGGTGGTGGTTTCTTGCCCACAAACCAAACCAAACCAAACCAATCTAACCACCACCCTACTTCTACCTACCTAACTATTTCACATCGTTGTCCATTATGCATTACCATTACCATTACCATTACCATCCCGACTAACCACCTCCCCCTTTCCCCCACTAGCTCGGCTTCCCAGCCCTACCCCCGCAGCCGCCGTCGGCAGAGGACCTGCAGGCGGACGCGAAGACGCTGCAGGACCTGCACCACCTGCTGGTGCAGACGCAGATCATGGAGGGCAAGCTCGTGTGCGCCAGCTGCGGCCACGAGTACGCCGTGCGCGAGGGGATTGCGAATTTCCTGCTGCCTAGTCATTTGGTGTGAATGGATTTCGAGGGAAGGGGAGGGGAGGGGAAAGGGTTAGGACGGTCGTGGGTTCGTTTCGTTTTTATGCGGGTGAGAGCAGAAGAAGGGGGGAAAGCTTGTGAGATATCCCTAGGTTAGACGGGTAGACTAAAAGAGGATATATGGAAAGGGAGCAAACAAGAAAGAAAGAAAGAAAGGGCGTTTAGGTGTTTAAACCCTTTTGCGCTTGAGGCAAGCTGATATACTTTGATATCTGATATCCTACCTACTTTATCTACAGGTATCACGATGGCGATGCCACTATAACGCGAAGAAAAAAAACACTTCGCGGGAAAGAGAAAAAAGCCGTTCAATTCTAGTTGCATACTATATCTACAGTCTCCTCCCGTTTGATGACAAGCTGTCGTATGTTTGGAAGCCTTAGTCGACTTCTATGCTACCCATTATCCGGACTCCCGTGAACCCAAAATCGTACATTGCTACTGACTACTTGGATCATACCACCTAATTATCACACCCAGTTGGATTGCTTTGGCATGTATGCATGTATGCCCTTTACTGCTGCTTCTTTTGCGCGGCCGGGCCCATCTCCTTGTCAAACGCGCCGTACGGGACTTCGAGACTAGCAACTGCGGCGATACCGCCGTACAGAATGGTCATCAGGACTATTAACGTGATCAAAGCCATAAAGATGCCTATTTGCTTGTTAGCACGGGATGGCAGTTACTAGCGGGACTTGGAAACTGAAAACTGACCTGGGGTAAAGTATTGGTATTTCTGGAAGAGGGGAAGGTTGGTGGTATTGTCTGCTCTCGGTTGGACGGGGTTGAGCTGTCTCTTCAATTCCTGACGCGTAGTCTCCTCGAACTCGGGCGTATAGGTCTTGAGTGTCTCCTTCTTGGGGCCGCCGGCATAGATGACAGTGTAAGAACCCTGCCTTTTATATTGCTCCAGAATGATGCTAAGCTCCTCGTCTGTATCATGTTCAGCTTTACAGTCCCTAGTAAAGGTAATAGTAAATAATATATACCATTTTGTTTCAGCGTCTTAGCGCCATCATCAGTTGACGGGAGAGGAGCAAAGGTGAGCTCTTCGATGAAGGGCTGTCTCTTATTCGCACAGACTTTCCGGATGTATGCCGATATTTCCTTGGTGTCCATCTCTCCAACGACCTCGACAGTACTCCATCGCGTATAAGCCAGTTGTACTGCGTGAACAAGGTTGATCATCTTGTCCAAGTTTTTCCAGGACAGGTCGGCATTGTTGAGATTCGGTTGGTTGATAATGAGGTATCGCTCGGTTGGGCAATTAGCCAGTATCTGCTCGACATCATTATGAACTTGGGTGCTTGACTGTATTTCTTTGTGATTCCCAGGGAAGTAAAGGCTGGTTAACAGCTGTGGTTAGCAATGGCCCATAGGAGACGCGCAAGTGAGGCGAGTATTGAAGTTCAATTGCATACTTAGCTGTCGAGAACAGGATGAAAGGGGAAGTATCAGAGAATGCTTGCGCCGATGTGAAGCAAGCTGCTAACACCGCAGCAGTGTGGAAGAGACGCATATTGTTGATTGAAGTTGAGCCTTTATGTGGAAATTGGTTACGTTGGTGAATTGATGTAATAATAATGAGGTACGTAGAATAAGATGGAGCTTAGAAGGCTGAAGCTTCTAAATGAAGTTGACGTTTGAGCAACAGGGAAGCGCTCCAGGGCTTAACTATCCAAAACGGCTTATTCCGGCCTAGCTACATACAATACATAGATACTGGGTGGCAGTGGGTGCGGCAGCCTCGGGGGCGAATATGGGCGATAAGTACCTGAACGGGTCACTAAATTCACTGGCTCAAGGATGGGGCGGGGCAGGTTAGTTGCAGAGTTAGCGCTGTAAATTATAGCCTTGAAAGTTTCCAGTGGCTAACTCAATTATCAACTTTCTAAATTTTAGCAGTTTATGTACTAACATTTCAAATATTAACATATTAACGGAATTTGCTACTTATCCATCCTTATCCAAACTTCAACAAATAGCAAAAAGTCATAATGTTCGCGCGACCACGAGTCAAGAAAGGCGCACTGCTTCCGCCACCCAAGAAGAGAAAAGTTCAGCATCTGATCGAGGAAATCAAGTTCGACAACGATGCCCGCGATGATTACTTGACCGGATTTCATAAGCGCAAACTACAGAGAGTCAAGAATGCCCAAGATCAGGCGGCCAAAAGAGCAAGAGAAGAAAAGATTGAGATGAGAAAACAGGTATGTACTATGTTCACATATACAGTAGCATGCTTCCTACGATATTGGAATTTGGGTCTCATTAACACATGTTCTACTTATAGCTACGTGAAGATCGCAAGCGGGAAGTCGAAGAGCACGTTCAAAATGTCAATGCACTTCTAAAGCAGGCAGAACAAGCCGGTTACGTGGGCGGAGATGCAACATCGGAAGATGACATGGGCGAATGGGGAGGATTTCAAGACACTCCTGAACTAGAGCCGGTAGATCACGAGGAAGAATACATCGACGAAGAACGATACACTACGGTGACGGTGGAGTCGGTAAATGTGTCTAAGGATGGACTGTCAAGTTCCAGACCAGAGGAAGAAGACTCGGGCGAGGAGGGACAAGAAACGGCGACAAAGGGGGATCCTAATGCCTCCCCAGGGAGCAAGGAGAAACCCAAGCCGCCACAGAAAAGGAAACACAAGTTCAGATACGAGACCAAGGCGGAAAGGCAACTGAGCCAGAGGAAACAGAAAGCCTCCAAGATTAGAAGGAAACCACGTGATTGATTAACGCATTCTCTACCCGTCTCGCAAAGGTTTGCTGTTGCAAATACCACATATAAGTCCACCATAGAATAAACGTGCCTCTACCACTCGAGTCCTCCCCCTACTATTACCCATACCACGGCCAATTTCGTATCCTCGAGATGGACGGAAGGTTCCGGTCGGTCGATCGGTTGGTTAGTTGATGGATGGATCGATCTAAATAAGCCCCCTTCGTGTAAGTTGACATGGTGCCGGTGTTGGTATGAACGAAATCCCTAAGTCTTCCCCTAAGCAAAACATTCGCATCGCGGCACCGGGTTCGACGAACGGTAATACCGAGTTTAGATGTTGGCCATCTCATTTTGGAGGTCCTCGAATTCCTTCTGGAGGCCCTGGTATTTCTTCGACATCTCCTCGTACTTGGTCTCCCACTGGTCCCGCTCGGCCTCCAACGCCTGTACCTTGCGCTCGAAGTGACCGGCTTTCACGTCAGTTTGGCGAAGCCTATATAGTTGAACATGGTTAGCTATCTGGCCTTCTTCGTCTTTTCTTTTATTATCTCCGTAAAAAGAATGTAGTCGGTGGTAGTGTTTAGGTTGTGACTTACTTTTCATTTGTCTCACGGAGTGTCTTGTCGGCTTCCTCTGCTTCTTCCTCAAGCAGTTGGAGTCTTCGTTGAAGGGTTTCGTTGTGCGTACCATGTTGCAAGCCCTCATCGGCAGCCTTCTTCAGATCCTTGATCGTAGTGTCCATCTTCTCGTTCTCGCCTTCCAGGAGGCCATTCTTGTGGGAGAGGGAGGTGATCTCTTGCTCCTTAGCCAGGTTTTCCTGTTCAAGAGCCTTGAGCTTAGCCTGCAACTCTTCAACTTTGGCAGATGACTCGTCAGCCTCCAGGCGGAGCTGGTTCATTTTCTAGAGCGTGCATCAAAGTTAATATCGTAAAATCCATGATTAAGACTGATATAAACAAAGAGGTAGATAGGAATGATATTCTCAAGCTCCTCAAGCATGGCGGTATTAAGACTCAAGAGTTGGGCCCTTGAGTGCTCTTAAGATCGCGCATGTTCAGAGTGGCTGATAGTGGGGTAAAAGGGGGAAAGCTGTGAGATATGATAATATGTCGGTAGGTAATGTATGTACGTATATTATCGACTTACCTCTCTGATGCGGTCCGCCATCTTGAACTGTTTCTTCTGGAAAGTGAGTCAAGGTAAATTAGAATAACAAGAAGGTTGATCGAGAAACCTGTTGAAGTTGGTGATGTGTAGGTAGTGGTAGCAGTGGTGGCAGTGGTAGTTGATTTAGGTAGGTAGGCAGCAAATTGTAGACTTTTGCGAGTTTTGAGGAAGAATAAAGAAAAAGGGACTTTATTGAATGGAGTGATCGACTAACTTCAAATGTTGCCAGTGCCAGTAGATGGACAAGCGTGGAAAGCGTGGAATTTCATAATTAGGTATGTATGGTTGATGCGTGGGTTGGTACCGGATGGTACCAGTTAGTAACCAGATTGCCCCGCCTTCCCTCATTACCTGCCCTGGAAAGGTTGACCGATAGGGGAATAGAGGGAATAGAGGGATCCGTCTCATGATTTGTTTTGGGCACACAGCACACAGTGCGATCGTTTTTTGTACTAGGTGGGGGAATTATGGAAACCACTATGCGTAATGGGACTTTACGGTAAATTATGGTAATTATGGTAATTATGGTAATTATGGTAATTATTATGGGGGGCATCTTTTAGGTAAATGGTGAGGCGACAACTGTTTGTAATTGCATCTATGAAATATCTATGCACTGTACGTGATATGTAACACAAACGAGGGGCTAACTTTTTAGTACCTACCCTAGGTAACTTTGTACTAGTTGCTACTAGGTAATGTTGAAGTCGGTATCCACCCACACATGCCGTGCATTACAATAAGTCGCCGTTGCTGTGTCAACTGATTTACCAACCCTAAAACAGTTAGTTACAAACATTCCAACAAACATAAACCATTCTCTCGAGAACTTGGAATTAAGGCAAACCTTTGGTCCTAATTCATTCATCAATACTTCTTCCTGCTTACCGCTGATTTCTACCCACTATACATACGAATTTAATTCATTGTTGGAAATACACTAAACCTCTACGTTGACAGGGACACTCCCTTTTCAACGCCCTAGGCATACACATAGGCCGAATTGCGACACTGAATTAAATTCCCCAGAACTTGGAACTACGTGGTAACTTACAACTTGTCAATAATCTTCCCGGGACCACATACTTTGTTTCTCTACCTATAAACAAGAATAGAGTCTTAAGTACAATGTTGGCCGCTCGAGATCAAGAGAACCTTTCGTTCAACCGACAAAATGGCGCTGCTCTCAAGCAACAACAGGGCCAAACCAAGCGCCATCTTCAGCCCAACACTCCGGGAGCAAGATTCGCCAATACACCAATCAAAGTTCCTTTGAATGATGAGAATGGTGCCCACGCAGCCGGGGGTGCCAAGAGCATCCTCGGTGGCAGATCAAGGGGCAATGAGAATACTCTCACGTCTAAAGGAAAGAAGGGATCTAGCAAGGTTAATTTTGCTACACCTTCCGGTGTGTAACCTACCAAGAGTCCACCAATGATCTGGTTGGCTTCATAGATGCGACCAGTATTATGTGTTTGACCGAACTGAGACTAATATGTGTCCGCAGAAACACGAAGCCGAGCACCCCTTGGTAATAAGACGACGAACGCAAAAGCCAGGAGTGGGCAAGCAGTGAGCGTTAAGAGTGCTGTTCATGAACTTGAGAAGTCTCAGGTAAAGGCGTCAGCAACGAACAAACAGAAGCAGAAGCATGCGCAGCCTGAGCTACAAAAACTGGAAGTTCATGCTGAGGAGATAGACCCAGAAAATGAAGAGGAGATCGAGTACTGTCCACCAAAGCCGAAGGACCTTCCGTACGATTCTGATGTCTTCCCCGAAGGCGTTCTCAAGTTTGATGCTTTGAAACCTGAGAACCTGTTCAAGGGCTATTATGACTATTACTACAACCCTGTCGATGAAAATGGGGTTTCTCTAGCCGACAAACAGCTCAAGGAGAAGAACAAGAAGGCCATGGAGGAGTGCGACAGACGAATCATGGAGGACATTGACAGCTTTGAATGGTGCATTGAAGATGAATTGGATCCTGTCAAGAAGAAGGTCCCCGCTCTGGCCCCTATAGATGCCAATGCGAAGAGACCATTCATCAGAGCTCCTTCCACCCTTCGATCCAAGAAGGCTGCCGATGCTCTGTCTATGGATGAGACAACAATGTCACTGCAGCGAAAGGCAGCTCGATCTGCGGAAGTTAATAGAGCTCCTACCAAGAAGGCTACGTCCATCCCCTTGCCTAGTCTTAGGCGACAGCCCAGTGCACAGGCGCACGTTGGGCCCAACAAAACGGCCAGTGAAATTGAGGCCAACTCGAGAACCACGATTGGGTATAATAGGGGCCGATCTACCGCCTCACTACTTACCCAAGGAACCACAAAACCTAAGAGGCCGGCGTCGAAAACAGGGTTTACTCGTTCTGACACGACATTGTCAACAGACTCTGACAAGACCATTACTCCCGCCCAATTCGCCAACGACCAGGCTTCTGCTGCTGCTGCCGAAGATCTAGAATGGAAAGAGAGGGTTCCGTTCCTTTCAATTTTCAATCCCGAAAATGAAGATGACGAAGATGAATACGATCTCCTAGCAGGTGGAGTGTCTAAAGGTGTGGATGAAGACGAGGAGTTCGAGTTTAAGCTCATGGATTAAGAATCTCATATTAATTAATGGCAACCGGCGTTCATGGTTAAGTCGGTTGATATGAGTGGGAACTCAGGTTGGCGTATACATATTTGATTTGACTAGATTCGGAAGAAACGCTTCGGATAGGATCAAAAGCCTGTATTCATAGTTCACGAAGGTTGTCACGCTACTACGACTGCATCTTATCCAACGTATGATAAGACGAGCATTTGTAGGGAGGTTGGACAGCCATATGAATCTTCCCTAATAGTCTAAACCAGCCTACAAAGTAGGCCAATATTTATTAGGTACGCTTGCTAAGTATCGTGGTATCGTAGAGATACATCAATGACAAAATGATACATACCTACACGTTTATAAATAACATTAAAATATGTAACATGTTGGCCCCTAAACAAAATTTTCTTAACTTTCCAGTTTTCTGTTTGCCCCTTGAGAGGCCTAACAAGTAGTTGGGCCACACGTCGAGTTTTTGGTCATGTAGACTCTTTCTCGCTGACGTGGAGGGCTGACTACTGCTAGAAACAAAACAAAACAAAACAAAAAGATTATGGCCAAATCTTACGTGCAGACTCAGGTTGGGAGTCTGCTTTGTACCTGATGCAACGTCCTGCTTGTACTCGTGAGATTTACTAGGCCGGTTTCGTCTATATGTATGGGTTATGACAGACAATGAATAGATATATCATTGCCAAGGTTGGGATATGTGACTTCGAAGCAGCATCGCCGAGGACAGTTTGCATAATAGCGAATACATGTAACAGATTGAATGCGCTCCTCTATGTGTTATGTGTTGTGTGAAGGTTTGCCCTCTCTAAGCCCCTGAACACAAACAGAATCTTACTTACATACATAGTGGTATCACAGCCAGTATACTACCTACTAGTAGCAATACATACTTAAAATAGACATCATGTATGTGTGTACTTTGAATGTAACATGTGTAGATTTTCAGGTAGATACAGCACTACATACCTGACTAAGAAAAAAAGAAAACGGCAAATAAAAAAAATTAAAAAGGAAAGAGAAAAAAGGAGTTGAATCGAGTTCTAGATTTATCGTGTAAACCCGATTCTATTCGCTGCTACTTCCTTATTGCTGATACATTTAGGTGGGAAACAACGAATAGTATAAAAGCGGTGACGTTGTACTGCATAAGAAAAGGTACAGGCAAATTTGGCTTGTGAAACATGCGACACTAGTACATGTAGGTATTAGTAGGTACCGAGCACGGGTCCTTATGTACTTTATGCGTAGAGTTGTAGTGAAGCAGTACCCAAGCACAGTTCCATGATACCCTGAATATGTACCTGTGAAAGCCACATAGCGCGCCTAAACTCTCTCAGACTCCAAAAAATACATACATAGCATTCTTAATAACATTAAACATCATTGATGCATGTATTTGTACTGTCTTGATATGTACCTTCCTAGCTACAGTGACTTAGTGTGGCGCATATTGTGGCTAACTCCCCGGACTTGGTCCCATCCATCCCTGAAATCAGAATCTGGCTTTGCTCATCGACCGTCAATTCAACTTTTCGACATCAGCCTTCCCATTTCTGCATTTCCCGCCCACTTTGCTCAGCCATAGCAAAGAAGTGTATTCGTCGGCGCAAATTCAACGGACTTTCACTTTGTATCTATTTGCGACCATATTGTATCAGTTTTTATTTCTCCTGTGTTGCTTTTCGCCCTTACATCTGCACCTAAAGAAGAGAAGAGAAGAGAAGCAGAAGTTCACTTACCTACTTAGTACTTTGGCCCTTTTTTTAGAAGTCCCACACGTCAGAATCTCCGATCCTGTCGCGTGGACGCAGGAGTTTCGCGTATCCTCCTAACACCACACATTACGAAACTACCCTACCCATCAATCGCCTACACTTTTTTTTTGCTGAATGAATGGTGTTTTCGATTCATATCGATCCGGGATATGATGGTCGGTGGATAGTCGAAGCCGCAGACTTCGACTCTCCTAATTATGGCTCCTAGCGCTGGCTATAAGGAGTTCTTCCCTAATGCTCCTCGCGCCGCTAGAGACAAGGCTAATGAACGGGAACGCGAGAAATCTTCGAGAGCATCAGAAGCTGCCGACAGTGATTCCAAGACAGCAACCCCTGCTCATCGCGATGGCGCGAAATACGATTCGTTGTTATCTGATGCCGCACATCCCCCGATAGATGATACCGAGTCTTTGCAAGGAGATATCTTGAATGGAGTCGGTTCCGCCAGTTCTCACGCGAGTACTGCCTCATCTGTCTTTACCACCTTCAATTCCTCCGCGGCTTTGAACCCTTCATCTCGCGCTTCCAACAGTAACCTTACACCCCTTACAACAATGGGCTCGCCCACATATCCTTCACATATACAATCCGCAAAACAGCGCACCTCCGCCTTTCACAACGTCACCACAAAATCTGAAAGCACGACCTCAACCACAGTCACGGGACCGCTCTCTAATTCCAATATTTCTGGGCGCCCCCCAGCTCGAGACCCTAGCAAGCCAAGGGGAACCAAGTTAATACACGATCCTTCAACCGACAAGACCTTGTCTTCGAACGAAAGGAAATCCCTGAAACCCAAGTATAAAAATATTGGTTTGGTACGTATAACAATATACAATATACAATATACAATACAATAGATGTGGACTATGGGGGGGCGTCATCTGATTTGTATGAGACTTTTGGCTAATTTGTTGAATAGGATGATGACGCCCCCCCCAAGGATCCCCGACTATCTAAAGGGAGTTGGTTGGATTATATAAATGTCGACTTCCATTTACCCAAGGCAAGGCTGCGCCAGACACCATATAACCTTAAGCCATATCAGTACGATGCAGCTACCTCGATCGGCCCGGGCCCGCCAACCCAGATTGTTGTCAGCAGATTCAACCCTCTAATCAGCTTCTCTAAGGTCACAAATATTTTTGGCTCATTTGGCGATGTGGCCGAGAGTAGTAACAAGATGCATCCCGAGACAGGGATTTATCTTGGCTTTGCGACCTTTCGATACCGAGACCAGAAGCAGCCACGACGCTCTCCCGTCTCTGCTGTTGATGCAGCGAAGAGAGCTGTTAGGGCTATGAATGGGAAAAGGATAGAGGCCAACCCAATTAAAGTGGAATTTGACCGAGATGGCAAGAAAAGTAGGCTTATGCTTGAGAACATTTTGAAAAAAGACCACGAAGAAATTGCGCGCATCATCAGTACACCATCGGTACCAACAGGCCCAAGAGTAAAGCCTCCAGATGTCGCAGGCCGGGCACCCCCTACCGCCCCGAGAGGCCCTGCTGCTGAGCGACAACAACGACCGGGAGCTGGGCCCGTTGCTCAGCTAGCAGCAGAACCGAACTGGGTGCTTCCGACGAAACCCAAGACTCACCCCATACCACCCGATACACAGCTCGTATCTTCTACTTTAAAAGGCGAGCCTTATGTTTTTGTTCCCGACACGAGCGTACCATATATGGCAACGACAGTACCCCACATGAAGAAGCGCCTTAAGTCTTTCCAATTCGACGACATACGAGCCGATCGGACAGGATATTACATTATCTTTCCCAATAACTCCTTTGGACGCGATGAGGCCTATAGGTGCTTTAGGTCGGCTGATGGTAGTGCTTTCTTCACCTACACCATGGCTATGCAGCTTCATGGTGTCACTATATCTGGGTCATCTCAATCTGTCAGTCAGTTGCAACGAAGCGAGCCTGAAAAGCGGTCGTTTACGGATGCGCGTTATAGAGACGAGCACCAATATCGGCCACGCGATGAGCGACGTCGGGATGAGGAGGCGGTACTAGAAGAAGAGAAGAAGCAAAGAGCTAAGAACTTTGACCCAGTCTTTGAGGCTATTGAGGTAGTCCGGCGCGAGATGAAAGAACATCTAATTCGGCACATAAGAACGAAAGTTGCTGTGCCAGCATTGTTCACATTTCTTGACCCGGCCAATCATGTAGCTAAACGACGCAAATTGAACCTCCCAGACCCATCAGGACCATCACGACCTTTAATCAGTAGCGAAGAGCGGGAGGTTACGCCGATTAGCACGCCCAATTCACGAGCTGATCCGATTGAACGTCGCACCGCCCGTCTAAATGTCACTACACTACCTCGGATCAGGAAAGCCAAGGGCCAGGGTGCTGCACAGCGAAATTATGGATTTACAGATCCATTTGCGCGTAAACGATCGTCCACTGTCCACACTGCATTCCGTTCTCTTCATCATCGACTGCAACCTCCAGATAGTGACGACGAAGTTTCAGGAGATGAGACTGAGAATCGCGATTCGATCCTTCGCGATGTTGAGGAGCCTGACTCCCGCCCTCGCAGCCGCATGAGCACAGAGGACGATGCCTTTGAGGATAACTTTGGTGATGAGGACTCAATGACGGATGCTAGTTTCCTAGTAAACGATGGTGCTATCAAGACAAAGAAGCGTAAGCTCGATTTGCAAGTAGAAGCTGCGATCAAACGACAGAAGAAGTCGGACGAGGAGCTTTTTGGTGTTACTATCGATACGCTGGAGCACGAGTTCCCGATTGTTGATGTCGCTGTGGGTGACGGTGAAATCGAGCCTCCTGAAACTACAAAACTTTCCACGCCTCTTGAAAAGACCCCCAAGGGCCGAAAGAAGGCAGCCGCTGCAAAGCCTAAGAAGAAGACTAAGAAGCAACTCTTTGAAGAACGCGAGGCTATGAAGAAAAAGCAGCAGGAAGCATATGTTGAAGAGGCCTTAGGACAACCAACAAAAGAAGAAACGCAAGAGCCTGAGGAACCCACGCAGAAACCTGCTCCTAAGGTTGTAGAAGAGGTGGTCTGTGAGGTGTTGCCGCGGGATGAGCGCTTTTCCGATGCAGTCGTTCGCGCAATGGTTCTACCTGAATCATTTGACTTGTCACTGCGGTCACTCCCAGAACTTACCCTTCAACCAAACGATCAACCTGATGCTAGCAAGCTTCGCAAAAAGGTCAAATCAAGCGATATTGGTGAACCCCGACTCTGGGTATGGAAGCACAATCGCGTGCGAGAACTCAATTCTGAACCTGGTTCAGCACCCATGGAGCCACTAATCATCGAAGGGTATTACGTACCCAATTCCACAGGTTGTGCCCGTACCGAAGGCGTCAAGAAGATCCTCAACTCGGAAAAATCCAAATACCTTCCTCATCATCTCAAGGTGCAGAGGGCCAGAGAAGAGCGAGAGCTTCGTGCCGAAAAGAAAGATGGCAAAGACACTGCAGCTGCAGCAGCCGAGGCAGCGAAGCTCGCAGCTGAGAAGTTGCTCGCCAAGGGTAACTCGAGAGCAAACCGTGTCAACAATCGCCGTTTCGTAGCCGACCTAAACGACCAAAAGAAGACCCTGGGCCAAGACTCGGATGTTCTGCGATTCAACCAGCTTAAGAAGCGGAAGAAGCCTGTGAAATTCGCCCGCTCCGCAATCCACAACTGGGGTCTCTACGCGATGGAGAACATCAACAAAGACGACATGATTATTGAATACGTCGGCGAGGAGGTTCGCCAGTCTATTTCTGAAATTCGGGAGAACCGGTATCTCAAGAGTGGCATCGGCAGTAGCTACCTGTTCCGTATCGATGATAGTACGGTTATCGATGCGACGAAGAAAGGTGGCATTGCTCGCTTCATCAATCATAGCTGTATGCCAAACTGTACGGCAAAAATTATCAAGGTGGAAGGCAGTAAGAGAATTGTCATTTATGCTTTACGAGATATTGCTCAGAGTAAGTCAACGTCTCTTGGAATTTTGATGGTAATACTAACACCCACGACAGACGAAGAGTTAACATACGACTACAAATTCGAGCGAGAAATCGGAAGCTTGGATCGTATTCCTTGCTTGTGCGGAACAGCAGCTTGTAAGGGCTTCCTCAACTAGTCCTACCGACTTACTTCGCTTTCGCTTTCGCTTTGCTCACGATTCGGAGTTCCATCTCTGTTGCTTGTTCGTCCGGAGTGGGTGGTTTACTACATCGCGATCATCTTCATTTTTTACCAACGGCGCACCTTTGGTCCAGTCTCGATTATATATGCATGCCGAGGGGACCACTCGGCCAGGAACCAAAAAAATGGCTGTACAGTACCTATGTCACTGTTTGATCCTCCCTCGCGGGGACTTGTGAACTACGGCGTTTTGTTGTATGATCCTTGATCTTTTAGAGGCCAATATGGCAAGGGTTTCAAAAAGGACTTCATTGTTTAAGAGGTGGCTACGTGGGATCGTAGCACCGAGGAAAAATGGACCGAGATCAAATGGCTGGCTACTGCTACCTATACTACTTACATGATGCTGTGGCTATCCCATTTTTTCTTTCTTTTGGTCGAGGCTGTTGGGTAGAGGAGAGAGGAAACCCTTCAACAAGAGGAGGCTGTCGACGAAGTGTATATAGGAGCATCCTCCACCCCCAGGTGGTCTCAACCCCCCTACCCCCAGTGTGGCAAGGCATAGCTCGCTGGGGGGTAATAATTGTGATTGCCCATTTCCACATGAACCAATAATGGAGTCATTATGACTGACAAGAAAATAAGAAGTTTTCATGAGGATTGATATGTATATGTTTTTGGTTTTTCTTTAGCCCTCCATAACTCCGTCTTACAACATCGAATGGTATGATGCTGTGAAGCCTATAATCCCCAAAATACTTTTTGCACCCCCTAAAACGCCTAGAATGCTACCAATGATACATCTTATCTACTCAAGTTCGATCATACCTATCTATCTAACCTAGCTAGGTAGATGGCGACTATTGCGGAGCGCCGGGTAACCTCTCGATCACATATTTTCCTCGGGCGACGTTCATGATGGGGACACCGGGGATCTTTCGTATTCTTCGGCAGAGGTCCTTGTCGTTGGTGGCGACGATGTATATGCGGTGTTTCCTATATTTGGTAGCGATAGTATTAGCTTTCTCACTCATTCTATGTGCATTACGGATGGGTGTATGGATGTATTTGATGTGGCAGGAGGAATAAAAGAGAAGAGGAAGGAAAAGAATCTTACATGACACGATCGACAATGCAGTCATCGGCATATACACCCTTATGGTCGCACTGGAGGCGCTCCCAGCGCTCGTCGCGGGCGATGCGGAGGGCGATGCGGTACTTGGGCCCCAGCTTCTCGAGCTCGGCCATGACGCAGCTGGAGATGATGGGGTGGCACTTGGCGAAGAGGCAGTCCATCATGGACTCGAGGAGCGGCAGCTTGCGCTGGACGGTGTGCGAGAGGAAGTTGGTGTCGACGAGGACGCTGTAGGGCGGCACGAGCGCCTCGTTGTGCTGGAAGAAGAGCGACGAGGGGAGCTGCGGCACCTCGCGGCGCACGATGTCGCCGTTGCCGGCTGCGGTGGCGGCCGCCGCCGCCGCGGTCTTGGAGGTCTGCGGGTTCGACTCGTCGCCTTTGGTCTTGTTCTCCTTGAGGCGCGCGTCGCGGCGGGAGATTATTCGCTTTACCTATAGAGAGGGCAGGCATCAAGAGGTTAGCTATGCGATGCGCTTCTTCATGTGGCTTATCGATAAGAGATTTGGTTCATTGACGGACCTGGGCGAATTTGCGTGTCTTCTTTGCTACGCCCATGGCTTTAGATCGGTGGTTGTGTCTCGGGAACTCGTTGAAATTAGGTCGGTTAATTCTTTAAATTTGGGAAGGAATGGTTGCTTCAACTCGAAAGATACCGTAGAAGGCGTGGCTGTAGATGGCTGGCGGGTCTGAATTGGAAGGAATTCAAGGTTGAATAATCTGCCACTTTGGAAAATCTTGACCGCCCTGGAAGATGGAATATCTGATTAGCCGCGCGAGGGCGCGGCGCACGCAAGCACGTACTACGTAGGGGTCTAGCTCGTTCTTAGCCCTTGTCTCGTTTTAGCGTGTTGAAACTTGGTCATTGCGCAATACCCTACCCTATGATAGGCTACAAGTATGTACACACATGTGCCCCAGCCAACCCACGCTATGTACATGTAAGTACCTCTATATCAAGCAAGTACCTACATACATACACAATGACGATTTACACTCAGACATTGATGTTATCTAATAAACCAGATTCAGTTCTTATTCTTACATCTATACTCAGAAGTTATTTAGTCAGGTCAAAAGGCTGATCATGATATGCATAGCGCGCCTGTAAGAATCTTCTCCACAGCGTGGAACTAGATTGCTGATTTACCTATCCTCCAATCTTCAGCAACATTTAAAGATATGTCCATATATTTGAGAGAAAAAAGAAAAAAAGGGCAAGTGAGACAAAACGAATGCGGTGTAATGGATTTGTACCTATCACAGCCCGTCCCAGGTATGCTAGGCTTGGTAATAACTGCTGAATTAGTCCAAGTGGCTGTATGCTGTGCGCTGTGCTACCAGGTCACACAACGTTGCCTGCAAGCCTACATATGTAGTACACATTACATACTAAATTTGCCGACGCTGTACCTACATACATGGCATACGTAGATATATAAGTATCAGTACATTGGACCCTGAGAAAGTTGGAGGACATTAATGAACTTAAATAGATGGTGGACATAGATCGCGCGGAGCTTGTACCTCACGTTACTGAACTTGGCGCTATTTTACTCTCAGACTATACCTAGTTTGACCGGGAAAGTACTAGTACGAGTAGTACGAGCCTACGAGGTAGGAAAGTCATCTACGCGAGCCTTCCTCGTCTCGTCTTGAACCAATTTGCTTTTTTACTGCTTATTTTAGCCTTTTGCTCCTTTTCTCGTTTGGTGTTCTATTTTCCCTATTTTCCCCCCCCTCTCTCCGTCCTCCGTCTCACCACGAACCTATTCACCAAATAAATCCATCAGCAAACAAAGAGGTTTTGTCTGGTGGGAGAGAGAGAGAGACAGAGAGACAACCTTAGAGGCGCATAGGTTTGGGTAAATCCAAGGTCAACAATATAGTTACTATCACTATCACTACCACTACGGCCGCTACCACCATTACCATCACCACTAACCACTAACCACTACCAAAACCAACTACTATCACTTACTACTATTATTACTACCACCATGCTACAAGTGGTATACTTTATTGCTATATCTATCTAATCCAACATTATTTTCGTCCGTCGTTAGTGACAAATATTGACTCTCACGACTCTCTTTTATAATCTCTATTCAATATCCTTATATCCTATTCCCTCCTTAGTCAGTCTTCTTTCGTAATTGACTTAAGGCCGAATACGAAGTTGGCAAACTCCGCCACGGCATCCTCAGTTACCTAACCTAACTTAATTGCCCATACACCTGGCTACCTACTTGTCCCATCCGACTTGAAAATCCCAAAACTTGTTTAGTTTTATCATTTTTATCCAGAACATTTTGCGATTGCGCTTGCGCGTCCCGAGTGACGTCGCGTTTTTTCATTCATCTAATTATTCCCCTCTCACTTACACCTACCGATCGCGAACTCGCCCATCATGCGCACTCAACCAATCCTCTTCACCGTGGTCGCTATCCTTGCTTCTCAAGTCATCGCTCAAGATGATACCACAACCGCCAATACCGGTGATGCGACTAGTACCGCACAGGACGTAACGACGACAGCCCAGACCACCGCCGATACCCCTACTACTACTACCGAGCAAACATCGGAGCAAACAACGGATCCAACTTCTACGGCTGCCTCCGAGACTACTACCGAGGCCTCTACCACATCGGACACCTCCCGGACAACTGGTACTTCTTCTGATATCACCAGCTCCACTACGCGTTCATCCGCATCTACATCCTCGTCTGATGACGATGTTCCGCTTCCGACCCTTCCTGGCCAGTATAGTTACCCTTCCCCTACCGTACCCCCCACCAGCAATGCTCCCTTTATGCAACCATCGAGTGTGCCAGAGGGTACTGTTTTCATTGCCGTGGGTGCCATCCTCGGAGCCTTCGGAGCGGCGGTCTTAATATGGCGGGCTGTTGTCGCCTGTCTCCTACATCGCTCCGTTAAGAAGGCTGCGATGGCTCAACAGCTTGCTAATGACAAAGCCACCTTCCCGCCGCCGCCTGCTCCCTTCTACAAATATACCGATCAAGCGTCCTCGGCCTCACTTGGTAACGCTATGGCAGGTCGTGGGGTACGGAGAACAACGCGAGGACCGATTCCTTCGTCCACTCCGAGCCAGTCTAATCTGTTCTTTTCCCCCACGGCTGCCACCCCATCTGGAAGCGTGAACAATCGTGAATCTCGATTTTTGCCCTCTGGTTTCTATGCTGCCGGTCAAGGTTCTCCGCAATCGGGCCACGGTCACTCTATCAGCTTGACCAACTTACGGCCGGATTCGCGTGGCGTTGGACGACCTCTTGGACATACACCTCCCGAGTCTCCTAGCCTAGCGCCCCGTGCAGATATGGTGCGGCAAAATATGAGTGCCAGCTCATTGAATCTGAACCGGCCGCCAAGTGGACGAGCACCAAGTGCTTTCCTAGAGGACTTGTTGGATGATCCTCAGAACCAGTTTCCGCCGCCAACTCACCCCAGCACCTGGAACCAGTCTCAACGACATTAGATGATTACAGTAGGCTAGCCAGGGGTGAGGAGGGTTCCTTTCTTCGGAGTCCGGAAAACGGAAGGCTATGGTGTTTGGCATTTTCAACTTCTTCTTCCTTACCATTTTTTATTTCATGGAAAGCATGAGCCGAAAGCATGATTTAGAACGAATCGAGACGAGGCAAATCACGGATGTGTAGTGGATGAGAGAAGAGGTAAAAGAGGGTTTGATGACCCTTTACTTTATGTGGTGAGATGCTCGTTCGGTTGTGCCTGTCGAGCAAACTGCTTGTGTAAAAACAATATGCGTGTACTAGGCATTAGAGAGTTTAGGAGTTTTTAAGGGGCAAAGGGCATAGCTGGGTGCGTCGAAACCCGCGGTCTGATTTGATATTTTTGGACTTTGAATGAAAGAAGACACACCGCTAGGTACTACTAAAGGTTATGACCTATATATCCCGAGTCCTTACTACGTCACGAGAGAGAGAGAGAGAGAGAGAGCAGAGAGAGAGAGGAAAAAGACGAAAAGGTAGCACAGCACTTGCAAACTACATTATTTAACTACATTTAACTAACCTACATATATACCACTATCTACTTTTTGCGTTATCTAATATTTACATATTTACCCCGGATCTACGTTAACAACATGGGTTTTGTTTATTATGTGGAGGTTTTTAGTTTTTGGTGGCGTTTTGTGTTTGTAAAGCTAGTAAATACGCACATACAGATATACCCCGTGGAGATGGAACTGGAGATGACCTGGAGATAGCCGCGATGTGGCTGGCTGTTGAGATCTAGGGGTGTGTGCGAATACGTGCGAATAGGAATGAAGGGATTTTTCTTTTTTTGCTTTTTGCTTTTTGCTTTTGCATAAAAGGTCAGGTACCTTATGTGTTGGGTACCGTGCATAAAAGATGCAGGTACGTGATGTGTGGGTGCATATATTATTATACACGTCCCCGGATTGGATAGATCTATGTAATACTACTACACGTGTAGTAGTAGAGGGGATGAGGTAAGATAAGATATGATGGTCGAATAGGAGATTTATTGGAATCAGATGTTAGATATTAACTAGTTAGATGTAAAGGTGTGTATAAGATGGAGGATAGGCACCTACATAAGGAGATGGATGGATAGGAGGTGAGAAGTGAGGCTGTTGATCTAATTAGTTATCCTCATTGCGTTTTTCAGCTTACCCAACTTCCAAGGCTACTTAATTACCTAATCTCTTACTTGTATTATACTGGCACACACACCCAAGTCTCAATAGTATCTGTATCCGAGTATGCCGCGTATAACTAAGTAAGATAGCACGTCTTGGAAAGTCTTGGGGGGCCAATAATCACACACACACACACACACACACACACACACACATGATGTAAAAACAATACCTACCTACATATGTACTTAGCTGCCTAGTTACCTAGGTAGCCTCCTATTCTTACCGTTGACCTTGGTATTTAGGTAGACTATTGGTTACACGTATAACATAGGTAGGTAGGTAGGTAGGTGGATTACACAACGTTCGATGGCTGGATCTCTCTACACGTGTATAACTTAACTATAGTTATGTACTACCTAACCCTAGGTAATACAACACAGGTAAAACCGTTGCCATTGCCAGCCTGCTTCGAGATCTTGTTTCCCCCTTTTCTCGTTTCTTCTTCTTTCCTCTATTTCCTTTTCGTTTTCGTTGTACGCTTTCTTCGGCCTCGTTCCCCGTGTTTCCTGTAGAAGTAAGTGGTACATAGCTATTCAGCTATCCGTAGGTATCAAGGTTCTAGGTAGTACTGTCCAAGCCATCCGTTCTTTCATTCATATAGTTATAGGTAGGTAGGCACACGTACGCCGGCCTACCAACTGGCTTGGTGTCTAACCTACCTACCTACCTACCTACCTACCTACCTACTGCTTATTTACATACCGATGACCATCATAACCCATAGCCTACCTATATATCTACATCAAACGAACATGGCGTCAGCCAGTCCACCGATTCTATCCCATCCTATCCTATCCCATCCCATCCCATCCTATCCTGTCCACCTAATCCACGTACGCATCAAGCCATAGGTATACAGCAAAATACCTGCCCAAGTTACCGATCTAGCACTTTTCTTGCCGTCTGTTGTGAGATGTAGTTATTATTGCAACGACACCATTACCAAGTAAGAAGCACCAAGAACCATATATCGAATCGATGCCTATGGTTGTCCCTATTAACGCTTGTCTACCTAGGCACCTACACTGTTACCTACCTACATTTGCTATGCACCATATCGTCCATGTAAGAAGCAACAGGCAATGGATAATACCTATATACTAGGTAAATAATAAACAATAAATAAGTAAGTAAGCTGGTAAGATATATGTATGTAGGTATGTATGTATGTCAGTAGGTGTGCACCCTCCATATCACCATACCCCCATATGCCCACGTATCTCATCTCATCTCACCTCATGTTCTATGTATCCCGTATCTCACATCCCACATCTATCCAATACCTATGTCCGTAAAATCCGCAACACCGTCCGTCTTTACCTACAATACCCAGGTACCTACCTACCTGTGCTATTCAAAACACATTTCCCCCATCCTTCTCCAACACATCATATCCAAGATCTTGACTAATCCAAACATCATCTACCTACCTATACCTCATCATCCTTCTCCCTCCTACTCCCCTCAGCCCCCAAGTCCCCCTTTTCCCCATCCCTACCCTCTTCCTCATTCTTCTCATCCTCATCATCAACACCATTCAACCCCGCAACCGCCCCCTCAATATCCTCCCTCCTAATCCCACTCCTCTCACACATCCCCCTAAATATGCCACCCCCCTCTCTCGCCCACAACTCCATCGGGCTGCCCAGCTCAGCAATACGCCCCGCATCCATGACGCAGATGCGGTCGTAGCCGACGATGGTGCGCAGGCGGTGGGCGATGCACAGCAGCGTCTTGCCGCGGAAGCCGGTGGCCATGGTCTTCTGGATCTTGTCGTCGGTCTCCATGTCGACGGAGGAGGTGGCCTCGTCGCAGACGATGATCTGGGACCCGCGCACGAGGGCGCGCGCGAGCGCCATGAGCTGCCGCTGGCCGAGGGAGAAGTTGAGCCCGTCTTCCTCGACGACGCTGTCGAGGTGGATGCGCGACGGGTCCTTGTCATCGATGGCGGCGTCGGCGGGCACGAGGTCGGCTTTGCGGAGGGCCGACCAGAGGTCTAGGTCCGTGTGCTCGTTGAAGGGGTCCAGGTTGCCTCGGACGGTGCCGCGGAAGAGTGTTGGGTCTTGGGGGATGATGGCGAGGCGTGAGCGCAGGTCGTGGAGACCGACGGTGGAGATGTCCACCCCGTCGATGACGATGCGGCCTCCTGAGATCTCCACGAGGCGGAACAGGGTGGACATGATAGAGCTCTTGCCCGCTCCCGTACGGCCCACGATACCTATTCGCTCGCCGCCGCGAACATGCATAGTCAAGCCCTGGAGTACCAGGGGCAAGTTGGCACGATATTGCATCTTGACATCCGTAAACTCAATCTCGCCCTTTTCGGGCCACGTGGGACGGACCTCGATGGTGTGCTCTGGAGCCTCCTCCTCGAGCTTAGTGCCGTAGTACTGGAGACGTTCCACCGCATTCATGCCGTTCTCCACCTCGGCTAGCTGCCTGACTGTGAACTGCAGCATCTGTACGATGGAGAGGATATACGAAAGCACGAGGCCGCCGATCGATGGTGAAACGCTGAATCGGGACGTCACGACCAATATTCCCGTGGTAAACACGAGCGCATTTCCAATGGTGTCAAGTCGGACCGACAGCCATCGTTGATTGGAAAAGGTCAAGTAATACGCTGCGTTCATCTCGTTGATGGCGTGTTGAAGGTCGTCGATGAATCGTTGTTGCAGCCCGTATGCACGAATCGATGCCACACCGCTGAGACCTTCGCCAAACTTGGCGAATACCACGGATCGGAGAACAGATTCGTAACGCTTGACTTCTCGGGCAGAAGCCCGATAGTACGATGCGGCTAGGATGAAGAGTACTGCCAGCGGAACCAGCGCGATAGCGAAGTAGTAGAAGAAGGCAATGATCAACGCGAACACGGAGATGATCATGCACAACGTAAGGAAGTACATCCTCAAGGCGTCGGTCAAATTGTTATCCATCACATCCACATCCCTTGAGAATCGATTCGTGATACGACCTAGCGGTGTCGTGTCGAAGAAGGACATGGGCGCTCTGAGAGTTTTGGTCACTGCCTGTCTCAGAAGCGTCTTGCTCGCAGTTGTACCAAACATGGTTAGCAGTATCGAGTAGAGGAACATCAGGAGGGCCTGCAGCGTTCCCAGTGCGGCATACACGCCAATGTACACGCCCATAGTGAGGCCGAAATGGTCCGATGTCCAGTAAGAAAGCCACAAGCTCGTCATGATGTTGGCACCCTGGGAGAGCAACAAAACGGAAACAGTGATAACGGCGTTGAAAATACTTCCCGAGGCTCGAATATAGGCGGTATAGACAGACCAAGGTACACTAGCCACTGCTCGCTCCTCTGCTTGCATCAACCCTTGGCTCTTCTTCTTCTTCTTTTTATCCTTAGCGCCATCCGCTGTTTTCTCCTCGACAGCGGCTGGATCGTCCTCCTTCTTCTCTTCCACCGCCGTTGTCTCCATCAGATGCCTAAAGCTGGCATAGTTCGCCATGAGGTTGTCAAACGTGTCGACCGCTTGAATCTTACCACCATCCATCCAGATGATCCGGTCGCAGCGGTTGAGCACCCACAATTGGTGTGTGGCAAGAATACGACATTTGTCCTTTAGGAGTCCTAGAATGGCATTATCCATGATATGCCGGCCAACGTGAGCGTCGACTGCACTGAGCGGGTCGTCCATGAGCACGATATCGGCATCGAAGTATATGGCTCGAGCAATATTGAGACGCTGCTTCTGTCCACCTGAGATGGTGATACCTCGTTCACCTATTTCAGTAGCATCCCCGTTCGGAAGCATGTCTAAATCTTGCTGTAGGGCGCATCTGGGCAGGGTTAGTACTTATCACCCTATTCCAAATAGAAGGGAGTATTTGCTTACGCTTCTACAACTTCCTTGTACCACTCACGATCCATCTCCTTGCCAAACAGAATATTATTACGAACACTTGTGTTCTGAATCCAGGCGTATTGTGGGCAAAAAGCGCGAGAAGCACCCAGCACAACCTCTCCTGACGTCTTCCGCATGTCTCCAGCCAGGGCAGCAAGCAAGGAACTCTTCCCACTCCCGACAGTTCCAATCACAGCAACCAGCTCATTTCTGCCGATTTCAATATCCAGGTCCTGGAGTTTGAAGGGCTCCCGTTCCTCCACAAGCGTGCTCGCTGTGTCTTCGCCACCATTATTGTTATTATTTGTATTAGAAGTCCGATTCGCACCCTTTGTCATGTCTCCATCTTTGCCCTTCTTTTTCCCGCTGGGACTTGCGTCCTTCTCGGAGTCTTGTGTTGGCGTTCTCTCCCACGTGAAAGCCGCGCCGTGCATCTCGACAGCATTATTTCCCTCAGGTCTAGAGACGACGTCTTCTTTCTGCTCCTCGGATAGCATATACTCTTGTATGCGCTTCAGTGATGACCAGGCGTCGACCGTCTGTCCTATCACGAGAGGAAGCAGGTTTAGAGGCATTCTCAAGCTGTTGAAGAGCGCAAGGGAAGAAAAGACTTGTGCAGCCGGAAGGCCGTGATTAGTGAGGGAGTACGTTATGAAGGACAACATAGAGGCATAGATGGGAAGCGACATGCTGACAGCATTGATGGCGTTTCGAATCGACAGAAGAACCTGAATGGCATGAATCTCCCGGTCTCTGATATCCTTGAGACGTTCCAAGAAAGCCCTCTCCCATCCAAAGAATTTAACAAAACGAACAGATTGGAGAATCTCCTGCATCAAGCTCACACGTTGATCCGTTATCTTGTTGATGGCAGCACGGCGCCTGAAGAGGAGTCGAATGGCTCGAGTCAACGCCGGAACACCTATGACGAGAAGTGCGAATCCTGCAAGGGCACTGTACGTCAAGTTGATGAGAAGAACAACGAGAGTGATGATGCAAGAAATCGGTGCTGTCCAGTTCATGTGAAAGAAGGCACTAGCTTGATCTATACGGTAAGTATCGACACTCATCAAGGTCACGATCTTTCCATTGCTCCAGCCGGTCCCGTCACCTGACACACCGGCCTTAGCTCCCTCTGGGCCTCCTTTTTTGGACTTATCAGACTTGTCTGCCTTTTCTGCGTTCACCTTTCCTTTATCTTCCACGTCATCTTTGGCGGAGACACCGGTGATCTCCTGTACACCACCAGCCCTTGCTCGGCCGGAGAGAACCATGGATTTCTCAAAGATTATGCTGATAAGGACAGCCCGTACTTGTCCTCCAACCATCATACCGCGGTAAATGAAGTGGTTGACTCCCAAGCTCTGCAGAACCTGCATAGCAGTGACGCCAATGACGAGACCAATCCCTCCACCGATTTGCGGTGGGGGCGTTCCGTTCTGGGACGCGTCCCAGGCTTCTTGCGCGAAAGTGATGAGATATCGCAAAGTAAAGGGGGACATGACTTGGAGGATGGATGCGATCAGTTGACAGAATCCGCCGATCCAGAACTCCCAGCAGAACGATTCGTGAATTGCCCAAAGGAGCGGGTACTTATCACCATTTTTCATTCGTCTCTCAAATGACTCCTTTACTTTGGCAGTCATCTTCTCGGCAGTCCTATCGGGATTTACCTTCCAGATATCATCCTGCTCTAGGGGCCGCTTATAACCAACCTGGATATATGTTAATACGGCAAGATGGAAATATACATGTGCTGGAGGTGATATTTACATTCATTAAGGGGGCCATCCACTGGAAAGTCAATTTGCTAAAGAAACCAGCAGTGTACTCCCTCGAGACTTGCCGCTCTTTAGGAACGGGCGGTATCGACCCCCATCTTAGTGGATTGGGGGTTTTGTACCATGGCTTAGGTACGGGCAAGGTCGCCCTTGAGGTAGTGCGGGTGGCGGCGCTTGTGTCGGTAGCATAGCTCTGAGTATGCTTCAGCTCTTCGCGGCCGACTCGCTCTCTTTCAGGGTCATCGTCTTTCTGAATCTCCTTTTCTGAGTCGCCATTTCCTGAGATGGGACTTGCTGGCTCAGAATTGGAAGTGGTGTTGACTTCTGTGAGCGGATCTGCCGGCTTGTTTTCTTTGTCTTCGGGTTCTAGGGCCATAGTATGGCCAAAAGTTAAAGCTCAATTAGGAAATCGAGTGGCAGGTAAAGCGAGGGCGACGGTATGTACTGTAGGTACTTGAGGACCTTGGGTACTTAGGTAGGTAGGGGTAAGTATATTCAGTGTTCAGTGTATGTAAGTCTCAAAGTCTCACTCATTAACTTCAAGTTTATCCAAGTTATTACACAAACTCTGAAACTGAAACTTGAGTCTCAGGTAGTTTACTATGTATGATATGCCGGAGAAAAGTGAGGAGAGGTGCGCGCAGGGAGGCGAGGGATATGTATGGCGATTATAAGTCGGCAAACGGCAAACGGCAAACGGAGTTATAAGAGACGGGATACTAGGTATGTATGTATGTAGGACCTATGTAGGTAGGTAGGTATGTACATTGAACAATGGCGGCTTAAGTGTTCGGCATTTACATAATCAATTTGAACCAGAGTCACCGGCGAATATAGAAAACAACGGATGAAAGAGCAAATTACAATGGGCTTCGGTCAGTAGGTATGGTAAGTATGTATTGTACAATCCTAGGTAGCGCATCCAAAGCAAAAGTGAGTAGGCATGAGTCTTGTAACCTAGTATGCACGAAATATGCACGAAATAGGCAATAATAGGAAGGGTCTCTGGACTTTTACGACGGTATCAGGCCTGGGAAAAAGGACAGTCAGGGGGCAGTTAAGAAGTACCGATGGGGCCGCACTGATCGTATACCATACTAGATTAGGTGTTAGCGTTTTAAGCTTGCCCCATAGGTACTTAGGAAGACTAAAAGTAAATAAACGATTAAAAGTACTATCATTAATAAGATAAGTGCTGTTAATAGGCCCACCCATTAGCGCGTTATTTAGGGCTGTCCTTTTTCCCACCCCTAAGACCATAGTACAACCTTTTAAGTATGATGCTTCCATTCATCGGCCCCACCATCCGGACCTAACTCCACTTATGAACAGAATTATACTATGTAGTTATATTAATGCTAAGAATGCTAAGAATGCTAAGCATACTAAGCATACTAAGCATACTAAGATATCTACACAATGTAGTAGTTGTGAATACCGAAGACCAAAACAACATTGCACCGTTTCGCTTCTGCCTATCGAGATTGTCAAAATGTCGGTAAGGACATCTTCAGGAGAGGGAAGAAACAAGGGAAGAAACAAGAGAAGAAGCGAGTTGTAAGCTGAAGTGCTTATTTCCTATTTCCGTATACCTAGTAGGCATACGTAACATGCCTAGAGTTGATTTTTTTTTTCTTTCCCAATCCCGTCCGTACTCGGATTTCCGAGCTCGCACTCGGCACAACTATTCGTTTCGAGACCCTTGAGCATTTGATTGGTGGATAAGCCTCAATCGAAATTATCTATCTAGATAGGGTATTATACATTAGGTATCTCATGCAGAAAATCTCTATACAATGTAGTTATACATTACTTTCATTCATGGATATGGCACATACTGTACATAACTACATGTACTTGGTTCAGTTCAAAGTTGTAAGTACATACAAGTGTACATGTGTAGTCACTTGACACTTGATACTTAAAGTTACAGCACGAGTAATACACTCATCAATGTTACTAACTTAAATAATCTACCTAGTAGGTACCCACTCTTTGCGGGCTGACAATGGAGATTCATTTTCATTTTAGTCTGGGGAAAGAGAAGAAAAAACCAGGTTAAGCTTTTAACCGTCCCGCCACTTCGGACGCTTTAAAAATCATTATATTAACCTACTAGGTAGTGTACTACATATCTATTATCCCGACGCCGGTCCCGAAACGTTGGACATCACTCCGAGAGAGAAGAGTTGATTTGTAATACTTGCAACTCCCACTTCACTTTGCTTTCCTTCTTCCTTTTCTAGTTACCTTACACTTGCTATACGATTGGGACATTAATGCTATGTATACCGCTGTTGCGAGATATACAGAGAATGACAACAGAGCCAGCTGCTTAGCTTACCGTGAGCCGTGCTGCCATGCAGCCGCCACCCCTTAATGCTCGTCATCAGCACTTGAGGTCTTCAATATTCCCAACATGTCTTACTATTGATGTACTTACTTAGGTACTTAGGTATTAACCAACTTAAATAAATCTCATTATCAATCAACCTTACAGTAGAAGCCTTCTTAGAACTACATTTCGTCAATTGACATTACGTCCCCAAATATTAGCCTAGCTACGCACTAGGTACTAGGTAGTCAACCTTTTCTTGCTCTTTTGCAATGCCATAGCCATAGAACCGTCGCCTTCCGTCCGTGATCTCTTCCTAGGAGTACAAAGTGTTCACTGTGCTGGGTGAACTAAACCTGCTGAGCTGAAGCCTGCTAGCGAATGAAAGTAAAAAAGGTCGTAAATGCGTCACGTACAAGGTGACAATCAATGACCAGAAGCAAATCGGCTCAGGATGTATCTGTGCCATCCGAACCATCGAGTCCCAACAGAGCCTTGCCAATAACATCAATGTCTTCGTAGTCGTCTCTGCCTTCGCCCTCGCCATCCTCACCGTCCTCACCGTCCTCACCGTCTTCACCATCCTCACCATCCTCGCCACCACTACCAATGCCCAGAAGCTCTTTCTCCATGGGATCTAGGTCATCCACATCGTCCATCGTGACATCGCCGTTAGCGTTGCCGTTCGATTTTTTCTTCGAGCTAATTTTTCCTGGGCTGCCGTTTCTGCCATGGTCGGCGTGTACGTCCGGCGACGCGTAGCGCGATCCTTGGGTGCGCCTCTTGCCCGTGGCTATGACCCCCAAGTCTAGTCGTCCGTCCCAACGTCGAAGTCGTCGATCAGCTCTCCGAAGTGAGGCCGCGTACGAAGCAAATTCCTCGCCGAAATCGTCTTCTTCTTGGTCGAGCTGGCAAAGACCACCAAAGCCTCGGTCTATAAATGGTCCCTTTTGGTCTCTGTGCGATCCCAACCATGTCTCTTCGTCACTGTCCATAAATGGGTCCTTCATAGCTTGTAGGCGACGTCCTGCTCGCATGATTGCACCTTCCTGTCGGCGTATCTTTCGCGCATGATGATGCTGTCTACGCAGTCCGCGTCCGAGAATGTGTTCTACTCGTTGGTTACGGTTGCGTTCGACGGCGAGTTGATGCGCAGTGGGAGGACGTGGCTTGCGCGGGACGATACCTTCAATAACGTGCGATCCTGGCCCTGCGGGAGACGAACCTTCAAAGACCAAATTCTTTAACGGTGCACCACCCCGTCGTCCAGTGCTATTGAGTCCGATGCGAGACAAAGCTCTCGGTGGCGGAGTAGATCGTGTGCTATCTAAATCTGACTCATGTTTTGATGGGCGTATTCGAGGGAGGATCGCAGCTGTTGGGCCTTCATCGGCTAGAACTCTTCCTTTGGAAGCTCTTTTGTCGCGGGGGTCGTTTATAGCTTGATCAGCGGCGATGATCCTGGCCCTAAAACTTTGTCGCTCGCGTCCAAAGTCAATCTCCTCTGGCGCGTCTATATTCTCACGGTCTTCCTCTTCTGTTGTCATCTCCTCCATCTGGGGGACTCCCTGGTTTGCGACTTCCGTGCCGTAGTCAACACCGGCACCAAAAGGATTCTCTTCACAACCCTCTTCCGTAAAATCAGACTCGAGGTAAAACCACATTAACCACAAAAAGGCTCTCGCACGGGACTTGCTAGTGTAATTAGTCTTCATGATGAGATCGTGAAATTCGCCACCAGGGGGGAAATGCAACTCTGCAATGTAAGACGCTTGCTGGCATATGAGGAAGATGAGGTTAACTGGGTTCGAACGTGGGGGGTCCTTGCCCTTAAACTCGCCTAGCTCGTGCGGTTCTGGTCGGTCTTCGGCGGCACCCTTGAGAATTGATTTTAACCTCGGCGCATCCTGTAGCTGCTTGTAGGCAGATGTATCCTGGTGAGCTTGTAGGGACGGGATAGCATGATATGTTCGGAGCTGAGCTCGCATCTCGGGGAAAACTGGATTGGAACCATGGTTAGCATCGATATATCGTGAAGGCTATGGGCAAGATGGAACATACAGTTCAACGTCGTATTCATCCGACCCACGTTAACGAGCAAGCACACCATGGCCATATGCTTTGCACCTTCACGATCACTAAGCAACTTATCCCGCAAAACCTTACTTGTCTTGCTGCTTCGAGCCATGGTATCAACGTAGAGGTCTGCGAATGTCTGCTTATCCTTGCCATCGCCTATAGGCTCGTAGCTGTTCGTGAATACTTTATTGTCGTCGTCGAAAACGGCCTTGAGGAAATCGTATTGGATGTCTCGTCGCCATAGCGGTTCTCCATCTTCTTTTTTCAAGTGTCTGATTTTTCCCACGGTGGGAAATGATGATGATGCGGCGCCGCCAGTTGACTTGCTCTTGGGACGCTTACTACCATGTCCAGATTCGGATCTGATGATACTGATGTCAGCGTTGTCCCCTGGCGTGCTATCCCTTGGGCCAATGCTGGAAGCGCGCGACCAGCGTCTTTGGTCAGGCGTGCTCTCCTTCGACGCCATTTCTACAAGTACGCATGTGCTCGTTTGGCCACTCGTTGATGATGCCGCGCGTTTGTCGTTGATAAATTGGTACAAATGGAGATGAATGGAGAGACTAGAAAGATGAGGTTAATAGGTGCCGGTGGACTGATTGATGAATTTAAACCAGATGACTTCTGCGACGATAGCTTCTCTGGCGTGAATTATAAAATGAAGGGAAAGAAAAGAACGTTTAACTAATGGCTGCTAAGGATGCAAGTGGGAAACTTATACAGATCGCACCGCTATTGAATAGATACTATGTAGATGGGGGAAGAGCACTGTGCGGGCTGCAAATTTAACAAATTGGAAGTTGCGAGCCTCGTCACAAAGAAAAGGAAACCGTGCTGGAATCAATCTGCTCACGTTTGTCTACTAAATTACCTAAGTTTAGTCGCGTCACCTTTTAGAAGCACAGAACTCCCTGTAGCCACGACAAGTTCAAATTTTGTTGGCTCTAGCCACAACCCAACGCCACCGCCCCGTGGGTACATTCAATACTGTGCAATAAATATTTAGTACGTACTACGTAGTACTATCGTACGTACATATTCATCCAACTGACACCCGAAAATCTTTAACTGACGATAACATTGATGACTTTTCATACATACATAGGCAAGCAGGTAATACCTATCCGACAACCTCTTCAAGTTGTAACTTCAATGTTGGGGATTCAAGGGGTGTGCACATTTACATATCTACTTAATACTAACAACGTACCCATTTTTTTGGTTTACGGATAAAAGATCTATATCATGCAGACATAACTGTTTCAGGCCTACGGTATGTATCACTCATCACACAACACATTGGAAGAATTCAACTAAAGGAGCAACTAATTTTTTTATTTGGGAAGTTCTCAGTCCGTCGTAGATGGATTCTCTAGTCCACCACAGCGCGAAGAACCTCAAAAGGGCCTGAAAGCGTCTCAGCCAATGTTCGCGAAAGCACTGCCATTGGTGGCAGATGGGGATCGATCTAAAAGCAATTCCCTATGCCCTTATTCGTCTTGAGCAGATCCCAGACCTACCCTCCAATACTGTTGTTTGGAGAGGTCTGGAGCCTATGCCTGCTCGCCCGAGACGCCGATTTTGTTTTCTCGATCCACCGAAGATTACCATTCTAATCATTGCCCTCTATGTGGGTTCCCTCACCATGGCGAGTCTTGAATAAGAGCTCTGCCAACCAGAGAACCGAGAAATCCACTTTTGTCTATGAATATGCCATCAACGCAAATCCACGGCCATGCGAAAAACGCATTACCCCATTCTATGGGAAAACGAGAAAAAAATCTCGGCCGGCTTCCAAATGGCAAATACTAGGTACATCGAAGCGGAGATCGTCATCGTCGTTAAGCGTGCCGCCGCAGACCCTAAGTGCAGCACTTCTCTAAGTGATGAATCATCTCCGGAATTTTCTTGGTCAAGGTACGTGTTTGACCTCCAAACGTCTCATGCGGCTGCTCGCATGCGCCCCCCTCGCAGTCTTCTATGGGTATCAAGTTGTGAGGGGTGCAGCCGATAATAAAGACAAATGCCGTCTATCGTATGCCAGAGCTCTATCTTTCTGTAGAACTCGAATCTGCCGATCCAGGTTGGAGGCTGGAAGTCGGGTGTGCCGTAGAAAGGAGTATGTCGGCGGGAAAGTGTCGAAAAATGCCAGTAAAAAACGAGTAAAAGACCTTGCGTAACTCGATGAGAATTGTGAAAAGCAGAAAATGAGACCGTGAAATCTATGAACCGCATCGCAAAAGTGCCCGTCCCCCTATCCTCATTTGCGGCTTGTGGAAGGGAGGAAATCATTTAGGCATGTCAGATGTTGTTAATGAGATTACCACCAGGAGGCTTGACCACCTGGACCTCCAGGGTTACCGTAGCTACCCCCACCGTAGCCTGGACCACCGCCTCCGAAACCTCCACCATAGCCCGGGTTGGGAGGAGGAGGGCCATTGAAGCCGCCGCCACCGCCGCCGCCTCCGTAACCGCCGGACTGCTGAGGTCCACCGAAGCCGCCACCGAAGCCAGGGCCGCCGCCGCCGCCACCGCCAGCACCAGCGTACTTTCGGAAATCGCGGTTCGCGCCTTGACCGCGTCCACGGCCACCGCCAGATCGTCCACCACGGCCACCACCACCGAAAGAGCTCTCTCGAGCAATCGTCTCAAGGAAAGCTGGTACTTCCTGGTTAGCTTCCTTCAAAAGCTCAATGAGATCTCGCACAACACCACGGTTGCCTCGGTTGAAAAATGCGGTCGAGTGGCCCGTGTTACCCGCACGGCCAGTACGACCAATTCGGTGAACGTAGTCGTCAATATCAGTGGGAAGATCGTAGTTGACAACGTGAGTAACGTTGGGAATATCTAAACCACGGGCAGCTACAGCAGTAGCGACCAGAATGGGGCATCGCGCATTTCGGAACATCTCCAAGGCACGTTCACGTTCGCGCTGCGTACGGTCGCCATGGATTGAAGTTGCGGGGAAATTCTGGTTGATCAAGAAATCAGATAAAGAATCTGCCATGCGCTTCGTCTCAACGAAAATCAAGGTGAGACCGGCACCATGAGTGTGCAAGATGTCTAAGAGAACAGAACGCTTGTCGTTATCTTCGACGTACTCGACCTTCTGAGTGATATTCTCAGAGGTTGATCCAACACGGCCAACCGAAAGGAAGACATAATCCTTGAGGAAATCACGAGCGAGCATCTGAATGTCGCGAGGGAAAGTGGCTGAGAACATGAGAGTTTGACGAAGCTGCACACCAGGCATATCTTCGCCTTCAACAATACGTCGGATTTGAGGCTCGAAACCCATGTCCAACATACGGTCAGCCTCGTCTAGGACAAGGTACTTGATGTTCTGGAGGGAAATGCGACCTCGCTCTATGAGATCGACAAGACGTCCCGGAGTAGCCACGAGAAGATCACAGCCACGCTCGATCTGGCGTAGTTGAGATCCAATGTCGGCACCACCGTACACCACACAAGGGCGAACCCAGGATCGGTAGGCAAACTTGCGGGACTCGTCGTAAATTTGAGAGACCAACTCACGAGTTGGAGCAAGGATGAGAGAAGTGGGGTATGCCTTACGCTGACGGCCATAACCACCGCCAGGAGCGCCGACGGGGACAGCCGATGGACCAGTAAGGAAGGCCTGAGAAAGGATAGGGAAAAGGAAACCACCAGTCTTTCCGGAACCAGTCTGAGCACAAGCCATGAGATCTCGTCCGCCCATGACAATGGGGATAGAGTATTTTTGAACAGGGGTGGGGACTTTGTAATGAGCCAGCTCAATGTTGCGGATCAAGTGATCGTCTAGAGGCGGGTTGCTGAAAGTAAGAACGGGCTCGGGAACATCGTGGCCAGAGGCTTCGACCGGAATATCATCGTACTTCTCGAAGTTGATACCAGTATGTTGTTTGGATGGATCGTCAGGTGTGCCGAACAACTCACGCTCCACGCGAGCGTTAGCAGGACCTGGAACATGCTTTCCATCCCGCCACTGTCCATCGCCGGAACCACGAGCGTAGCCGCCGCCACCACCACCACCACCACCGCCGCCGCCACCGCCACCTCCGGCAGCATTCGGGTTGCCGTAAGCATTACGATCGAACTGTCTGTTGTTGTTCCAACCACCACCGCCGCCGCCGGGACCTTGGCGCTGTTGCTGAGGAGGGGGGAAATCAGGGCCAGGACCGGGAGCAGGACCAGGAGGGGGACCCCATCCTCCAGGGGCGGGACGAGCGTCGAAGTTGTTGTTACTAGAGGACGTCATGTTAGTGATTGCTCACACAATGCCCAGGACATGCTAGGAAGGCATTCTTTCAATTCGGTAAACAATATAAAACAAAATTCATAGGAAATATCAGGAAATAAGATGCAAACGAGATTGTGAATTGAGGATTGCACTTACCCAGCCCAAGCGCTACTGTTGAGGCCATTCATGGAAGGCGGAGGACCACCTACGGCCATGGGAGGGGGGGGACCGTTGCTTCCACCACCACCGACCTTGCCTCTCATATGAGGCGGAATGTAGGATCGAGGTTGAGAAGCCTGCTGCTGGTCACCCAGGCTTAAGCCGCCCATGTTTAATTGATCGGCCATGTTTATGTTAAATTGAGATGAAAGTAGATCAGGTTGAATTTGTAATGTGAAGATAGAAGTATGTGTTTCTGGGAAGAAATTTTCTCGTACGGAACCCTGCCGAAAAATTCTCTTTCGAAAAGAACGAACGAGTTCAGTTGAAGAGAAATTAAAAATATGGTTGGGTAGATTGTAGAGAAGAAGTCCAGAAATGAATGTCTGGAGATAAGGTCGATGTAAAAGGAATCAACGACCGAAATGATTGATTCTATTAGGTAGTTGCTAGAAAACGAAACAGATGCACCTTCTCTCTCTCTCGGAATTATCAAGAGACGTAAGTTGCAAAGGCTCGTTTGCTGATTGATGCTGCGTACTTCTGTAAAATGATTACAGAACACACGTCTAGTAAAGAAAAAGATGCCTTTAAGATCCCTTGAGAAAAGAAATCAAAACCAAATCTTTTTCAAAGGAAAGAGAAGAACCCCGAACGAAAATGCAGAATATGCCTTTTTTTTCAGGGGAGGGGAGGGATGTGGTTATGTGTTTGAGGGTTGGTATGGCAAAGGGATTGTGGGGGAGAAGAAGAACGGATCAGATGAAAAAAATTCAGGAAGTTTTGAAGTTGTGTCGAAAATCGAGAACGCGTTAGCGTTGGGTCCGTGACTAAGGGACTTACCTAGACTTAACTGGGTAAGTATGCTGTAACTGCAGTAACAACAGGGCAGCAACTACCAATTAAAGATGATATTAGGGGGGGATTGGGGGGAGGGGGGGGGCGATTGTCGATATCGATATTACCTTATCGAAGATTAACCCTTGAAAATCTTGGAAAATATTTCCATTCTTAGGAAATTCTATGCAATTATGCAGTTATGCAGCTATAGTGTAGACTCTCAAGGTATGGACACCCATTTCATTTGTTGTAATACATGCAGGGATGATAATTTTTCAGCTACATCACATCATTATTACTAACCTAGGTAGGTATGTATGTATTTATCATTCGCCCCTGCCTCAGTTATTAATGTTTGGGCAAACTGCGACTTTTTCTCTCAAAAGCCACCTGGGCGCTAAACTTGGAAGTTACGAGTGGTGGTAGGTGTAGAATTCCAGAATCCAAACTAAAATACTAAAGCGCTATGTACCTGGGCGCTCCGATGTCTGTACATAGCTAGTACATACCAGTTACATACATCATTGATATTACATAGTAGTATTTGTACTGCAACCCTTTTAACTCCAGGTTTGATGGAAAAGTTCCCTGACTACAACCTAGATTGCCCAAGCTTGCGCCATTAAAGATTTATCTTCTCTAATGCTGATACAAAATGCGGAACACTCAAATCATCTCGGATCTTCTAGAAACCATACAATGCATGTACATATGTATGTATATACCTACACTGGTCCTACAGCATATATTATGTATGTACCTAGTCATTGAATTTGCATTTATCCGAATCTTGTTCGGTCTTGTCCGGTGGGGGAGCACGCTTTTTTTTTTTTGTCTTTTGACACTAGATACTTCCATTTATCAAGCTACCCAAGGGGCTTAACACATAGTGGTTCAGTAGTAAAATAATTCCTGCTTCCTAGACAATCCAACAGTGAATGATGTACGACTTTAATCCATCGCCACCGATGTCCCGGGTTTATAGTTGCCATATTACATATACATATACAAATGTATGTATGTATGTTAATTGAGTCCTGGGCAGCAGCTCCCCCCCCCCCCCCCCCCCTTTTCCCACTTATTTTCTCTTCATTCCTTCCTTTAAAGATGCTGCCATGCATACGTAATTAATCATAATGTCCCTAACGATCTCGTATTCCTAGCCAGGTGCATACATGTAAGAAGTTCAACGTTCTCAGGAGTTAGCGAAATCTACTAGGTTACATATACGTACATAATACATTATGTATGGATAGTATCATTGATGTATGTAAATAGTTCTAGGTGGGTCGATTGATGAAAGGCTTTCAGAATTAATAAAGTTCAACACTAATGATAGGGCTTGGAAGCTTGATGGGCGTTCATGCTGTTGGTCAGTAAGGGGCCAGGCGGATGTCACTCTACTGCAACGAGGCTGCGGTGTTCCAATAGGAAGCCTGCCTGCATGGTGAATAGGTGTGGTATCCTGCAGCAGTCTCACCGCCCAAAAGACAGTACACCGCCTAACGAGTTGCTCAGTTTGCAAGTAGAATAATAGCACTTGACATGCCTATCTAAGGCTTCTGAGAGGGGGATAGCGGGAGTATACTGGGCAATATGAATTCCTTCGAATATAAATAACAACATTGAACATCAATGATCGAATTACATATCTACCTAGTTACTTACTACTAGGTAACTACCTACCTAAAGGCTAATAGTTGAGTACTCGTCCACGATCGTATTCCCAAACATTCAACACTCGAATCTTTGAATTACATTATAGGTAGGTACCATGGATAAATACGGGACCACGTAAGTAGCATGTCCAACAAATATTTCGTGCGTAATCTCGTCATTACTAGCTATGCGGATGAAGTGTCCGTCTAAAGACATCATTTAATTACTCGAGGCTCCACGGGCTAATAAAAGAAACAATACTTGCTACCTAACCCAACGATGATTTAGGGAAAGTACAATTACTTGTCATGACGTTGTGTATTCTATATACCCCCTAGCCCTTCACGATGCGTTGTAGCTGTAGCACTTGTCCCTAGCAGGTAAGATATGGTCATAGCGGTTCAGGTCTCTGCCTGGTTGACCACACAAAATAATCCGTAGATGAAAATGCCTAGGTACGTAGTATGCAGTTGCAATTAAGACAGACTTCAAAGGCCAGCTTGCGACTTCAACACTAGGCCATGATATGGTGATTGTCACCTATTGCCCAGGGCCCTAATGTTACACGTGTGGCCACTACTCCGAGTACCTAGCCTTAGCATTGACCCTGCCTTATGCGCCCTTGACAATCTTATCATTATTGAACTCCATCTCCCGAATGCCATCCTTTGTAACCACCTTGACTATCACGCCCTTGAAATCAATAGGTAAACGTCGCTTCAGCTCGTCCGTGCACATCTCGAGCACCTTGAGGCCTTGAACAAGCGTCATGTCTGGATGGTGGTGCTTATCTAGGATGGAGAGGCAGTAGTATTGTGCGTAGCCGTGGGCGGCATAGGGGACAGCAGCTAGGGCTGCTAGGTAGTCCAGCCAGAACAAGCTCGGCTTGTGAGTGATGGGATCGACGCCTCCTAAAAGCAGATTGACATTGTACGGCTTCCTCGACCGTAAGCTCGACGCAAGCTCACCGCGGACGTAGTGCGCCAAAGCCGTGGGAGATAGGTCGCTTTCATTTCGCATGGAATAAAGCTGGGCGTTTGCTTGGATGTACTCAGAGAATTGGACTACTGATGATTAGCTTTCCATTTTCCAATATAATACCCCGCTGCTCAGGAACTCAGCGCACTTGTATCTCCAGCTTCGCCAGAGAATGCAACCAGTGTATGCTTGTTCAGCGATCTCGTCTTGTCATCGGTAGCCTTGAGAATGGTAGGACCTCGCATCGCAGCCTTAGAAGCTGCGATTATCGTGAAGTCCTTGCCGGTGATTCCTAGTAGTATCTCCCTAATCCCACCAGTATTAGCTTTCTTAATCGAAGAGGTATGTACCTAGTATGATGTCAGTAAAGTAGTAAACGTACATGTTGATTTATTTGTAGTAGCAGTAATGAAGGTTGTAGAGTAGTAGGTATTATCTTTGGTGGGTTAAAGGAACCTGTCGTTCCTAAAACTGTAGGTTAGGACCGTTAGGTAAGTAAGTAAGTAAGTAGCCTTATGCTTGACACGCAAGGAAGCTACAGCCTAGCAGTTGCTAGCCTATCAGCATACATAGAGCTCCAAAACTGATTTAACGATCAATCACCGCGGCGGATCGGAACGATTGAACGGACATCGGAAAGCACAGCCACAGTTTCTCAGCCGCGCCCCACGCTGACAAGGGAAAGCTCAATCACCTAGACCAAGGTGGGTCCTGTCAACGTCCCGCAGAACTTATCGCAGAACTTTTTTTTTTTTAGTTTAATTCTTCTCAGTAGCCAAGAAACGAACTTTTCTTCTTCTTTTGGTGTTTAGAGTATGGAAATATTTTGAAGACAACATAAGATTTAATACACAATTGCATTGATCACTTGGGACCCTATCCCTTATCATTATGTCTTCTTTTTTCACAGTTCCAGGTGCTCAGAAAAAACGAAAACGTGCACCCGTTACTGACGCGCCGAAAAAACGAGTTGCGATTTCCAAGTCCTCAAAATCTTCCAAAACACCGTCAAAGCCTACACCAGCACCCAAAAAACGAGTTGAACGAGTTGAGCGAGATGAATCCATATCAGGCAGCGATTCTGAAAGTGACGGGGTTGCCGATGAGCCCGAAGAAGTCGAATCGACCTCCGAATCGGAAAACGAAGGAGAGACAGCAGCAGAGAAGAGGTTGAGGCTAGCCGAGAGATATCTTGACAACGTTCGACAAGAGGTAGATGAGGCAGGCTTCGATGCTGAAGACATTGACCGCGATATAATAGCCTCGCGTTTACAGGAGGATGTTGCTGAAGCAAAGGGAAAAGTATACCGAACAATTGCTTCAGAGCTCGCCATTGACCAAGCATCTCATACACTTTTCCGATCCAATACACACGCAACGACCTCGGTCGCCATATGCGCACCGTATGTTTACATCGTTACAAAAGACCAGTGCTTGGTCAAGTGGAAATTACAGGAATTGCCCTCCAACCAATACCCGCAAACTACGAAGAAGAAGCCGAAGAAGCCCCCAGCACCTCCGCGTCGACAGCCAATTAAGGTTGCAATGGTAAAGGGGAATCGCAAAAGGGCAAATGATAAAAACTACCAAGGACATATAGCCGATATACTGTGCGTAGCTGCCTCACAGGACGGCAAGTTTGTTGTCACTGGCGGGGCAGACAAACGCCTAGTTGTCTACGATGCCAAATCATTAAAGCCCCTACGCGTCTTCACACATCACCGCGATGCTGTAACGGGTCTAGCTTTCCGACGAGGCTCAAATCAACTCTATTCAGCCTCCAAAGACCGTACCGTAAAGGTATGGAGCTTAGACGAGCTGGCATACATCGAGACTCTCTTCGGTCATCAAGACCAAGTAGTGGACATCGACGCGCTTGCACATGAACGATGTGTGAGTGTGGGCTCTCGAGATCGTACGGCCCGATTATGGAAAGTTGTCGAAGAGACCCAGCTCGTATTTCGTGGCGGATCGATCGACAAGAAGCAAAAGCCAAATATCGATCCGCGATCACTGGCCCACGAGGGCAGTATGGATCGTGTGGCTATGATTGACGAAGAGCTTTTCGTCACGGGAAGCGATAACGGCTCGATAGCTCTATGGAGCATACAAAAGAAGAAGCCACTCTTCATCTTACCACAAGCTCACGGACTCGAGAACCCGTTGCTACCCACGGAGGCGTCAGCCGAGGTGAACCCTGATCCCAAGATTGTGCCACCCCCGCAACCAAGGTGGATCACTGCTTTACGCACATTACCATACTCTGACCTCATCCTGAGCGGCAGTTGGGATGGCTACGTTAGGGCCTGGAAGTTAAGTAGCGATAAAAGGAAGATCGAGCCTGCAGGGATCTTGGGCAATCCATCCTCCAGCGTTGAGACTACATCAAATGGTGCATCTATTGCTGCTGCTGCTGATGATGATGATGATGCCGGTGACGAGACGAAAGCCAACGGCGCAAACGGGACGAAACCAGAGCCTTGGTTGGTCAAGGGTGTAGTGAACGACATTGCCCTGTTCGAGCGGGGAGACCGCGGGAAAGACGGGCTTTGTGTCGTAGCCGGCGTGGGTAAGAACCACCGGCTGGGTGGGTGGATCAATTTTAAGAAGGGGAAGAACGGCGCCGTTGTATTCGAGGTGCCGAGGGCGAAGAATAGTCTCGAAAATGGGGCCGTGGATGCAAAGGCATAGAAGCAGAATAGTATACAAAAGTTAAAGAGGGAGAGAGGAGAGGAGGCGAGGGAGGGAGGGAGCATGGGAGCATAGGAGCATAGGATATGTGGCTTCAAATCCCACTCTGGAATTGATACCCATTCTTGACACTTCAGCTAAAATGTGCATTGGACTTGCGTGATGATCTCGTTGTGATACGCAAATGGACTGTTTTTGGCCTGTATATGCCACCTTACTTGGTGAGTCCTTCGTAGAGAGTAGAGGTGGGTACCTGCCTATGGGTATAGGTATTTGCCTCTTTCCTATAATTACATGATGGAAACTTTTAGGTCGGGTTATTCCTGCCTGACTTACTCCTTCGTCTGATATAACGTCGTACTTGATTCCAAGTAGGCCTTTCAAGGTAGGTAGTAGTGGCACCTAGTGGTAGCGGTAGCAGACTGTGGCTAAGTGTGAGCTTGACTGACTCCTACAAGAAAGGCCAAACACTACAGTTACCTCTCTGAACCAAGTTGTTCTTGTCAGGGGTTTTGAAATAATAGGTGGTTATACTCGGACGAAACCCATGGCCATCCCTTACGGTGATGAAACGTTTCAGTGGAACCTGTACAGATTCTAGATGTCTTTCATGCATTCATCCATCCTATTTCCACTGCCACTATTTACCTAGTATTACAACTGCTGCCGCCGCCCTTACAGCAAGCACACTTTTACCAAGGCACAGCCCAATCCTTTCAAGAAACCAGTTCTTAATTTAGAGGTAAGTACGTTAGTAGGTATATAATTCTACAACAACCAATTTACTATATACCACAGGTGTTTATGTTATAATCTTATCCCATGACGACATACTTCGACAAGAAGAGTCTGTATATACAAATTAGGATACACACTATATATCGAGCACCACAAGAAGAAAGGTCGTTATTTCATCCAACCAAGACTAGCAGTTCCTCTCCTACCTCTCTATGTATATACCTCGGTAGGTGCTCGGCAATGATCTATGACTCGAAAGCTATAGTCCAAAGTATCATCAGTCCAATAACAAGACGGGAATTCTTCCACGTCAACCTTCCATACGCTCCAGAATGACTTTATATTCCTTGCGCGTCTTGGACTTCTTCGTGCAAGCCACCTTGACCTTGTCGAATGCCCGAACCAGTCTCTGGAAGAGGTAGACCTCGCCGATCCAAGAGATTATTAGGTATGTAACACCGAGCACCACGAGGGTTATCTTAAAAGATGGGCTGATATCGGTCAGCTGCATCAGCTTCTTGATTCCATGTGATGGTGCGAAGACCATATATATGACGACGGCAAGCGCCGCGAGGATAGTGGTCATGAATGGCCCTACGCAAACAGTTAGCAAAACAGGGGTTACAACTGTATTTGAGAAAGATGAGTGGCAACTTACAGTTCTGGGTCATTGGCTGGCGGAATGGTTTCCCAGCACTTAGAACAACCCCTATGAATATGTACTCAAAACACGACATAAGGAACAAGGCTGTGTTCTGCGAATTCTTGATGTTGGACTTGTCTGGGTTCACATGAGGCGGTATGTACCTATATTTCTTATGTCAGTACACTCGATTAAGTTGAATTTACCGACGTCCGACTTACCAGCTTTGCTCTCGTACGATATTCCACGCAGCAGCCTGAATGAGTATACAAATAATCATATGTCCTAACAAGGGTGTAAGGACCTTCCTTGACACCAATTTCGCAGTTGGTCGTTTTTTGCTCAGAATTGGGTAAGGCCCAGACCAGCCCACTGTTATATGAATTAGCACCCTAAACTCAGACAGACTACAACATACGGATTGCTTACTGAATATGGCAATTGGCAGTATGATGAGCACGTCGATAAATAAGAACTGAAAATTATCTGTTAGCTAAAACTTAGAGGAGTGGCAGTGGTGATTCCTACCTGAAAGTCGCCTAGATTCGAAGCCGAGGCGTAGAGAAAGCTAACAGAGGTGAACTGAATAGCAGAGTAAATGCTCATGAACTTGAAGCAGCTGAAGCTCGTTACTAGAGCAGCCCGCCCTTCTCTAAATTTCAAGTTAGCGCCGTCGATATATGCAATAGTTGGACTACTAGCTGAAAACATACCGAATCACATCAGGTACACATCGAATATCGAATACTCTAGATGTGAAAGGGGCGGCAACAGATGCCTCCGCTTCGGAAAGTGAGATCCCAACGTCCGCGGCCTTTAAAGCACCGCAGTCATTTGCTCCATCCCCGCAGAATCCACAGCAGTAGCCTATGCTTTGAAGTTTCTCTACCAGTTCATGTTTCTCGTCTGGAGACATGCGTGCAAAGACTCTGCCCCGGACCAGCATCTGATAGTCTGTTAGCTTCTTTACGTAGGAGAGCGGAACCACCAAGCATTGTGCATGTGAGGATAGTAATAATAAACATCAAGAGTCACTCACCCTCTGCATAACCTCATTCGGAGCAAAATCCACTATCCATCGGAAAACATCCCCGCTTACTGCAAGGGAATAGTTCTTTAGATTCATTATATCGTACGGCAATGAAGCATCCCTGTCTACAGGGGCTGGGAGCGGCTATAACACATTTACTTAGTCAAGTTACTCGATGGAAAAAAAAATGATACGAGGCTTACAAGTAAAGTCCGATAGTTTAGTTGAAAAGCCGGGTCGTCTATGCTTTCCCACTGTAAACGGGCATTGGGGTCGCGGAAGTTTCCTATAATTGATTACTGGGTTAGTGGCCGATATAGACTGTCTGTCGGTTTGTTCTCGAGAGCCAACTCGTATCAAATTTTATCAAGGTGGTAAGAAACTGACCTTCTGCAAAATGGGGCACAAAACAATGAGCATCTTTGTCGACGAGACCGCAGTTTCTCGCTACACTGATGGCTGTCAATATATTGTCACCTGTGACCATAATTGAGCCAATGTTTGACTCTGTGAGCTCTTTCAGTACTGAAGCAGTCGTTGGCTTCAACTTGTTTTCGAAGATGATGAAACCGACAAAGTCGAGGTCTTTTTCGACTTCTTCACGCTTGATCTTCTGGGACTTTACCCATGAAAGCTTCCTCATGTATTTTGTGGCACACGCGATGACTCGGTATCCTTTGTGAGTATAGTAGGATAAGAGTTCGTCATAATCAGCCGGAACTATGGGGGATTAGAATGGGCCAAAATAGGGGCATTATTCAAGGGAACACTTACAACTTTCAGGTCGACATATATCCCGCATACATTCTGGTGCACCCTTGACGTATATGCTTCCACTTTGCTGGCCAAATGCCCGCACGATCACGCTAGCTCTTCGTAGTTGTGAGACGAACTCAAAGGATCTCAATATCCCAAGTTCAATAGGGACCTGTAGCCATGTCAGAAAAATTTAAAAACTACTCCAGAAATCAGACTTACGTTTTGCCCCTGGTAAGAAAACCCGTACTCATCTATGTCATACAGAGTTGTTACAGGTGGCCGGGCAATTGAAGGGGATAGACCACCTTGCTCTTCATCATCCTGATCAGTATTGCCTTGGCTACCCTCTTCGAATTTCCAGCCAGTAAACTCAAACATCTTGAGATCTAGTGGATCTCCAACTAGTTCGCCGTCGACGGAGCGAAGTGAATGGCATGTAGCCATGGTGAATAGACAAGCGCGATATATATCATATTTGTCCCCAGGACCGGCATTCAAACTTGAGTACGGGACTAAATTTGACGCCTTGGTAACAATATCATCAAATCGGTTCGTCGATCGAGACACTAGTCGCATGCCTAAAACATCCAAGCCGTCCTCCGTCAGAGTGCCTGTCTTATCGAAACACATAACATCTAGTTTACCGCCGACATTAACTCTCTGCGGGCTGATGCAAAATATCTGCTTCTTTTTAAGACGGCTCAGAGCGAAGTTCGTTCCTATAGTAAGTGTAGCCGGAAGAGCGGGTGGAACGACGATGGTGATTAGATCCAAAGCCCTCACAATTATCAAGTGCCATGCCAACCCCAAGCGGAGGAAATTGACGAAAGACACAACGAATCCAAGTAGTGCGACACATCCCATGACAGAGATGTAACGGAAAGAGTCGCGATAGAATTTAAACCCAGACGGTTTGGGGAAAAGCATGGAGCGAACGAGTGAGCCCTTGGTCGTGTTAAACCCGGTTCTCACAACCATAGCAAGCGCAACTGCTTCATCATCTCTATTGTCCTGTGGTCGTCTTGCCCTGATGATCCTGGTGCCACAGAAGAGAAAGTGGCGTGCAACATCAGGAGAAACCGCAGCAGCACTCAGATTCATGACTTGGAGGGTCTCATCGGTAGCGGGGATTTTTGAAACCGGCACGGATTCGCCTGTAAGCATGCTCTCGTTGACGATACAATCTCCGCTGAGAAGTAAACTGTCACTCGGGAACTGTGTGAGGCTAGGGTCGCTGACTTCATATACATCACCCGGAACCAGATCGCTCGATGGAACATGGGCCCCTTCGAAATAGTTAGAAACGTATAATTAGCCAAAAAAGGGATCTTCTAACTTACAAAAGCCGTTTCGAAGGACTCGAACATCGCATTCAAATCGAGAGATATCGCGAAGACGCCGCATTGTCTGCCCTATGTTAACTATGAAATGTTCAGGTAGTTGCGGAATAGGATTGTTACGTACAGCTCGTGTTTCTACTAGTGTTGCTATTATGCTGCCTGCTGACATGACGAAGATACAGATGGCATAGTAGTAATATTCGTCCAAGGACCAAAGGATCAAGCTCGCTATTTGAAAGACATAGAATGGGTGGAAAACCTAGAGCCCGTCAGTTGTGTGATCATAGAAGTGCCTGCTACAACTTACCTCATCTATGAGCAGTTGGGGAATGGACTTTTGCTCAATGTCAATGATGTTCGCTCCGAAAACGCGCTCTCTGTGGTCCTTCTCATCACCATCAATACCGGCACGCAGGGCTCGAACGCGGGTCCACGAAGGATCCTTCCACCCATTACTGATGACAAATCTACCCTTAAACGGGTGATAAAAGAAGCGCACGTATCGGTAATTGATGGTTCGGAGCTCAGGTACTAATGGATCGGCGTCGTCCTCCAGTATCTGGGCAAATATCTTTTCTGGTGTTCCAAATACAGCGGATAGAGGATGGTTGTAGGCCTGTGTCTTCACGTCCAGAATGGCCATCTCACCCCATTGATTCTAAAGGATGTTTAGTATGGTAAATTAAATATTGCACGAATTTCTGAACATGAAAACTGACCTCGAGTACTACCCATTGACAATCATGAAGCGGACACGACTCGCCGATCAACTTGACTTGCCATCTTGGAAGCCATCTCAGGAGCAGATATGCGAGTCCTAACGTCGCAACGGAAATGAAAACATACACAACGTAGCCAAGTTTACTTGTACGAAACCCAGCTATGACAATAGTGAGATCCTCGTTGGCCATGTGTAGTTTCTGGCTGGTTCTGCCATGACCTCGACTGCTGACATCTGTTACGCCGCTGTCTGTTCGGAGGAGCCTGGTATGGATCGAGTTTCGCGATATAGTCGAGGATCTTCTACGCATCACATAATCTTCGTATGTTTCCCCGTTCTCAAGTTCCTGCTCCGAGCTACCTTCTTCCCCCTCTTCCTCATCAAAGTCGAACGGCGTTTCGTCTATATCAAATGATACAGCTCCATCCTCGCCGAACAACATCCTGGTATCCGGCTCGTTCTCGTCTTCGTTATAATATGCAAAGCTTGCCGTTGAATCTGCACGTTGGCGACGGTGGGAAAATGTGGAAATACTCGTAGGTAGGCTTTCTGCCATGGGGCCGGAGTACAACTAAAGCAACAGAAATCAGGAAAACAAAGCCTTAATGTAACATGGTATGATAAGTAAATATACCTGATCTTGTGCCATCTCGACATCCTCGAACACGCTCGAACTACTCTGGTTAGAGTTCAGTCCATACATTGGTACGGGACGGGTGCGCCTAGGCTGCGCGTCTCCATGGTGATCCTCCATAGTGAACCTTGGTGGAAGTATCTTAGCTACCGATACGGACTTTCGAAATATGTATTTAAATTTCACTAATTTTTATCATTTATCGGTGGCGTCGGTTGGGAGGCATATGGTAAGCACTGTTACCGATTTATCGGCACGCGAGCAAAAGTAAGATTCTAACAAGTAGGGACATGCTGAATCACTTATGGAAGTGCTGAAGCGCAATGCATCTCTCATGTAGGAAGGGAATACAAGTTTCGGTTATCCTTAATCAGGTGGTGATATTTTTCCGATTGAGTTATTCGCATTCGTGGGATCGAGTCGTCGAGGGTTACATAGGATGATACCGCAAAGGTTGTTTCCGAGTTGGTCCCGAGGCAGCTCATCTTCAAGATTGTATATAAACATCTTTATTAAAGCCATTGACGATAAGAGATAACGATAACGATAATAATTATTTACCTAGGTATGTATGTATGTACTACGCCGTACACTGTACGCAGGTACGATAACAATTTTAAGGTTTTCGATAAGGATAAGCAGAGTCCCTGACTCTGGCCATTGAACCATGTCTCTGTAAAGTTGTATCGTATTACCCAAAACGGCAAGGCGAATTACCAAGTCTAAAGTTGCACAAAAGGTACATTCCACCACAGCAGCTACATAATACATAGTGCATGTATTACTTGTATAGCTGCATGCAGCATACTACATACCTACACCACACTACGTAAGTTGACGTGGCTACCTGCCTACGGCGTATCGTAGATGATGCCCAGTGTGTGCAATGCATAATTTCATTTAGCATTCATGGAGAAAACCTTTAACGTTCAATACCTTGAGGGTGGTGCGAGGCATGTACATGTATATGTAGCCATGAAATCCTTTGAGGCTACTAGTAATAGTTAACTAGCAGTAGTATTAGCAGTCGTATGAAAGTATGCAATAATGTATATAGTTACATAACTACAGTAACCCACACCGCTTTCTACCAGATTTAGCTTAAGCACTATAATATGTAGGCATGTACACTTATCCACAGTGTTGTGTACCCTTTACAGAAGATGAATGGACAGCATTGCAAATATGATACCCTACCTTGCCATATGAGGACATACAATATAGCATTATGGGCATTCATCAGGTTTCTTGTCTGGATAGTATCCAATAATAATAGTACTATGTAGCACCTTAGGTTAAAAGTGATAATAGATGGAGATGGTTGAAGCATGGCAGCATGGTTTACTGCTATGTACTATCTAGTATCTAGGGTAAGCACTGGTACTAGGTACCTACTAACTAGTAGTAACTTTGAACTTTGAACTGTGATTGCTGTGTTGTACTACCTATTCTAAAAACATCCAATACATCTAACCTAGTGGGTTCACTGGGTTGGTAGTGCACATTCTATAGGTACCTAGTAGTAGTAGGTAGTAGGCACTGTATTTGTAAGTGTTTTTAGGAAAGAAAAAAAAAATTCAAAAATTTAGAAGAAAAAAAATTAAATTTTATTTGAGGGAAGGCGGCGGCGGCACCCAACAACTTCTCTTCGTCTTTTTTTTTTCCTACTACCTTTGGAGGGGACACTGACAGGGTTGCGCCTTTCCCCCACTTCGCCTCTCCCACCAGACTAGTTCAGTCTTGCTGCCCTCTCTCATCAAATTCCCCATCACCATAGACCAACTACTTACTTTCACCACTACAACTTCTTCACTTTTCTCCCTTTCAGTTGGACTTTAAATCCCCAGTTCAACTCTTTTTTTCGTCGCACCAATTAATTTTATCGCTGCCTTCTTGCACCTGTCATCGTTTAACCCTGACGTGCCAACCCGTTTGAGTTGCTGCTCTGTGACTTCAGTGCCTTCAGTGCCTACTAGGTAAACTCCACACATCACCCTCCGCTTAATCTATTCCTACCTTTCTCCTCCTTGCCTCTTTTTCTTTTCCAGTGGACTTAAAAGTCCCCTATCAGATATCGACGCGCCTGCTTCCGAATCAATCATAAGCAATACCATCCGCGACGGAAATATTAGCAATGGCGGAACCGATTAAGAATCGACGTGCAGAGGTTCCTGCTCCGTAAGTATATGATATTTTCTAACATATCGCTTATCTTTCCTTCTTCGAACGGCATTAAGTTCTAATTTTTTCTTTCTTAATTAGTACTCCGCAGAACACACCTGCTAGCAATGCCCCGATCTCATCTCATGCTCAACAACCGGGCGTTGCCAGCATCAAGGAGGGTAAGTTCATCTGTGAAATCAATACCAATGATTGTTTCCGAGAGCCTGCTATTCCTAACACTCTTTGCGCTATAGAGGATCTCGACCGCGCTGCTGCCGCGTCTATTTTCGCTCAGAACCCCAAGCTGGTTCAGATGATTCAAGGTCGACTTGGATCTCTAGTCGGTCGCTCTTCCGGCTACATAGAGTCACTTCCTACTGTTGTCCGCCGTCGTGTTGCGGGCTTGAAGGGCATCCAGAAAGATCATTCGAAGCTCGAGGCTGAATTCCAGGAAGAAGTGCTCCAGCTAGAGAAGAAGTATTTCGCCAAGTTCACACCCCTCTACGAGCAGCGCGCTGCGATCGTCAACGGCAAAGAGGAGCCCAGCGAGGATCAGGTCAAGGCTGGTGAGGATGAGGATGAAGAGGGCGAAGACAAGGCTGAGAAGGAAGCCAAGGACGAGAAGGATGAGAAGGACGACGAGACTGCCGCACTTGTCAAGGGTATCCCCGAGTTTTGGTTGTCCGCCATGAAGAACCAGATCTCTCTAGCCGAGATGATCACCGACCGCGATGAGGCTGCTCTTCGCTATCTAACTGACATCCGAATGGAGTACCTCGACAAGCCTGGATTCCGTCTAATCTTCGAGTTCGCCGAGAACGACTTCTTCACTAACAAGACTATTACCAAGACGTACTTCTACCAGAACGAGAGTGGTTACGGTGGCGACTTCATCTACGACCACGCCGAGGGTGACAAGATCGACTGGAAGGAGAATCAAGATCTTACCGTTCGCGTTGAGAGCAAGAAACAGAGAAACAAGAGTAAGTGACGGAAAACACGACCCCACAAATACCCCCTACTAACACTAGGTAGACACCAAGCAGACTCGTATCGTTAAGAAGACGGTCCCAACGGAGTCCTTTTTCAACTTCTTCTCGCCCCCGAAAGCGCCTACCGATGATGATGATGATGCTGCTTCTGACATCGAGGAGCGTCTTGAGCTGGATTACCAGCTCGGCGAGGACATTAAGGAGAAGCTGATTCCTCGAGCTATCGACTGGTTCACCGGCGAGGCCTTGGCCTTTGAAGAGATAGATGATCTTGAGGACCAGGACTTTGATGAGGATGATGACGACGAGGATGATCTGAGCGAAGATCGTGATGATGAGGAGGAGGAATCTGATGATGATGTTTGTCAACCATTTCCCCCCCCCCCCCCCCCTGCCACCAAGATGTTTTGCTAACTCCTAATTCAGGACGATGGTGCGAAGCCAAATCAGGACGCACAAGAGTGCAAGCAAAGTTAAATGTTGTCCTCGTTTGATCACGCATTCCACTTAATTTTACACATCATGGATCTTGCTCGGAAGGGGGAGTATTGAGAAAAGGATGCCTCATCTCTCCCAGCCGCTTTCATCGTTCTATTAACCAAGGCAAATTTAATGCTGCAAATTTGTCGACGCTCTACAGAGGTCTTGCACCAAATGGTCTGAAATCAGGTGAAAAATAGACTGGCCATTCCTATTAGGTTCTAGGCTGCTTTCGGAATCTTGTTCTGTATTGATTGGTAGTTCTCTTCGTCGTTTTTTCCCAGCATGCGGCTGGTCTGGAGTAGTTCGGTCGGCCGGAGGGTAGCAGCATATTACGACGAGAGACGCTGGAAATAGGGACCAAGGGGCAGACTTTATGCCAGCACTGGGAAGGGAAAACTCGATGGGTCGTCAGTAATGCATTCGGACAGATAATCACACGAAGTTGATAAACGTTTGGTACTTGCGTATACGTGTACTGTTATGTTTCCGTGAACACAGATTGTAATTCATTAGGAATCTGAATACTTCTACATTCTACGTTCTACAACAAGCACGTTGAAGTATCTATCTGGCTATCCACCAACCTACCCCAGGTGGAAGACTTGGTTCGTCTTGAGGTAATATCAGCATACCTACCTATATCTAACTTGATAGGCTTGATAGGTTTCCATGATATTACAAGCTGATGTCCCATCTAGTTTGGCTAATCCCGTGACTCAAGGCTAGTTGCAAATGACATCCGATGACGGGATCTGACCATGAAGACAGAATGTGATAATCTCATTTTTCCTCGGACTGATTTTGCATACTATGTAGTATGTATTGTACATAACCTAGTAGTTGCATGGTATGTAAGGAAAAGCTGGGTCGGTCATCCCTGAAGACCAGTAAGAAAAAGAAGAACCTTGAAAGCTATAGTACCTAGCTTAGACTGCTTAGTACCATGGTAGTTCAGTGTTGTCGCTTACGACCTGGGCAACATGTTAGTCTGACATGTTAGCGAAAACGCCATCACAGGCTAAAGTCGAAGTACATAATGGGAAACTTGATGACTGTGAGTCTAACTCTACATACATAGTGCCTTATACATATACGTTATATAGGTATATATGTGCTTAACGTTAAAACGGATCATAACGGCATTGACGTATTCAAGTTTCTATTTCTATAAATATGGGATAATTAAGATAGCAACATGAATAAGAATTTCACTACTACATATAAAAACTAAGGTACTTTCTAGGTAGGCTACTATTATCAATGATGTACATGTAGATAGTAGGCCGGTACTGAGGACCGGATGAGTTAAGAGTTTGAAAGCACCACAATTGCATGTGGTTTGCAGCTGGCATGCTAGGCACCCAGGTAGGTGCATAGGTGTTGTACATAGTAGGTATTAGGTATGTAACTAAAAGGGTGATATAATGCGGCGGAAAAATGATTGATCTATCCAAGCATTTTCAGGACATCGGACCCCTGAGACCCCTAAAAAATCCCATGTGCCAACTGTAAAGGCCCGGTACATGAACAAAAATTTTCGGAAGTTCTGAGTCAACTTTCGATGTTGTATCCCGCTTTCTAGCCATTGCTTCTAGCTATATGTAGGTGATCAATTCCTTCAAGGTTTTATTTTAAGAGTAAACTTTTCACAATATACATAGTATACTTATACTTATATATTTAAGTCTAAAATCTCATAGTCTTACAAAAAAAAAAGTCTCTAGACAATCAATCAATCAGTCAGTCAGTCAGCCACTGGGCAGTTCGTAAAACCATGGCACAAACAAAGAACATATTGAAGACGTCCGAGGCCGATCTATCGCATCGCCTGGAGGTGTCGACTTCACCAACAGCTACTACGTTCCATTCCCCGCTGTCGAGCTTTGGCGGGGCACCTTTTGGTCAAAGAGGACAACCGAAACAGCTTAAGCCGTTTAATACCCAGGATATTAAGATCCTTCTGCTCGAGAATGTCAACCAGAGCGGAATAGACATTCTAAATGCTCAGGGTTACCAAGTCGAATCCCATAAGAGTTCACTGCCCGAAGATCAGCTGATTGAGAAGATTCGGTGAGTCTCATCACCCATCACTTACAACTAAATAGCTACCTAGCAGCTACCTTGTTATGTAGTAGTGAGAGTATATAACTTGTTAGTAAGACCAAATTTCTGACGTAACTTTGGTAGTGACGTCCATGTCATTGGCATTCGATCAAAAACCAGGTTAACTGACAAGGTCCTCCGTGAAGCCAAGAACTTATTAGTTATTGGGTGCTTTTGCATCGGTACCAACCAGGTTGACTTGGAATATGCCGCTCATCATGGCATCGCCGTCTTCAACTCACCCTTTGCCAATTCCCGTAGCGTTGCTGAGCTTGTCATTGCCGAAATCATCTCTTTGGCCCGCCAATTGGGTGATAGATCCAATGAGATGCACCGAGGCACCTGGAACAAAGTGAGCAACAAGTGCTGGGAAATTCGTGGCAAAACCCTTGGTATGTGCCACAACACCTAGCCGTTTAGACCTGCCACTACACTTAATGGTGCTAACATCATTGGCCACATTGAAGGAATCGTCGGGTATGGGCATATTGGCTCGCAGTTGTCCGTTCTTGCGGAAGCCATGGGTATGTCGGTCATATACTACGACGTCGTAAGCTTGATGGCGCTGGGTACCGCTCGACAGGTGCCAAAGCTCGAGGAGCTCCTCCAAAACGCCGACTTCATCACGTTACATGTCCCGGAGCTACCCGAGACCAAAAACATGATCTCTGCCGCACAGCTTGAGCTGATGAAGGACGGCTCGTATCTCATCAATGCCAGCCGCGGGACCGTAGTCGACATACCTGCCCTCATCAACGCCATGCGTTCTGGTAAGATTGCCGGTGCCGCATTGGACGTCTATCCAGGCGAGCCGCGTGCAAACGGCGACTACTTCACCAACAGCCTAAACGGCTGGGAAGAGGAACTTCGCAGTGTGAACAACATCATTCTTACGCCACATATTGGTGGCAGCACTGAAGAGGCTCAGAGAGCCATTGGTGTCGAAGGTGAGGAAATTAGCAGGCGATTCGTGTAACTCCTTGAGCTAACGTAAGCGTGCCCTATGTAGTTGGCGAGGCCTTGGTCCGCTACATCAACCAGGGAATCACTTTGGGCAGCGTCAACATGCCCGAAGTTAATCTACGCTCATTAACTCTGGAGGAGCCTGACCATGCACGGGTAAGACACCAGCCGTATAGACGACCATGGCAATAGCTAATCATCACAGGTTATCTACATCCATAACAACATACCGGGCGTTCTTCGCAAGGGTTAGTACCATGACGACACATTATATCACAGGAAGAAACTTACACTTAAGCAGTCAACGAGATCCTCGGCGGGCACAACGTCGATAAACAGATCAGCGATAGCAGAGGCGACGTATGTTAACCCACCTTCTGTTAATACTGTTATTCCCAAACTAACAAAGCCCTTAGCTTGCATATCTCATGGCAGATGTCAGTGATGTCCAGACAAGTGATCTCAAAGAGATCCACGATTCACTTGAGGGTTTGGACTGTGAGTATTTGCCTAGCCATACCGCTTGAAAATAGTAGTTATTGACAAGCACGCAGCTCGCATCATGACCCGGGTCCTCTACTAATACCAGCTTGAAATGAGGAATTAAGATGGTATGAAATGAGTGAAGAAGACGAGAAAGACGAGAAGAAACATATTGCATGATAGGTATATAAAATTCAACCTAGGGCGGGACGGACACCTTGGAAAATTGCATGCGAGCATGGTTAGAAAAAGGAGGCATGGAAGGTTCAACATCATAAACAGCCCAAGGCGTACAGTACTTCGTAGTGGGTAAACGTGAAATTAACTATAGTACCTACCTACTATCATCTACTAGTACTAGTAACTATGTAGGACTTACTATGTAGGTAGCTACTGGGTACTATATGTATCATATGTCTTCTAACTCAACACTCCACGAGCAACAACAACAACACTCCACCAATGCTGCAACTCATAGCTGCCTTTGGTCTTTTTTTTTTCTTTTTTTTTTCTTGGGATATGCGTACAGTTGTATTTTGTCGGTGAAGAAGCAAGAATAAGCTAAGAGAAGTAGAGGACATTGGGATTTCCCGACAAATCCGAGCTTAACGAGTAATAAGTAAAGAAGTAACTAAGAATGGGAAAGGGTCTTTTTCGAATTTACGGAGATGAAACAAACATTAGTCGTTATGAGTGGGCAGGGTAATGGATCGCTTGTTCCCCGAAGCACCGGCCTATTAAGCACGGTCAAGGAGAGGGGACGAGAAAGAGGAGAGAGGGGCAAGGGATGGGATAGGATGGGGAGGGGGAGAAAGCGGTCTCGCTGGATTTAAAAAAAAAAAAGAAGAAAAAAAGAAAGTCATCGATTGGAAGAAGGAAGTTATTAATGCACAACAAGCTGTGCGCAGCAGTCATATAGTTGTTGGAGAGACCAAGAACCCGGAGATCAAGTCTGGTCATTAGTTAACTAGTTTATGTAGAATAAAAAAAAGTCGGGTTTCTATGTGGCAGGTTTGGGCTGCTTTCCCCTGCAGATATTCGGATATGTATTTGACACCAGACTATGGTTACATAACTAATGTAAGTATTTGCTGTAGAATCCAAAATTTGATTCGATGATAATTCCTTTTTTTCTTTTTCGTCTTTATAATCTTTGTACGATGGTCACAAGCCGAATTTGTTGACTACCAACCAAACCAATCCCATTGACTTAAAGTCGGACTTTTACGGTTTCTTGAAATTATATTAAGACAAGCATAATATAGGGCAGGCAAGTAAGTAATATGTAGGTGTAGTTTTTCATGAAGACTACGGGAGAAACCTACACTCAGGTCCTACAGTAGGTAAACTCGCCTATTATTAGACGGTCAGGGATCCGTCTAATTCAATGGCTCGGTGCTCGGAGTTGGTGTGTGCATGGCCACACCATAATGGCATACATAGTATGTACATACATAGGATGGAGGTTGGGGGAAGAAAGCAGGTATACTTCAATATCAAAGTTACGTGTATTAAATAATCACCTAACTAACTACACTATATGTACCTTTGATATTGTCTTCAATGTTGTCCTGTCTTGTCTTGCGCTTTGTGCTTTTCTACTCATACGCACTGATGGTATGTATATTCCCCTGATTCCTTCGGAAACACCGTCTCAAAAGCGTCAGAAGAAATAAGGAAGTATGTCATCATAAAATCCAAGTGACTCTACGTATGTAGGTATAATAATGAATAGTCACATATGTATATCCCATATATTTTGTACTTTGAAATACATCCCGATATATGCAGGTACTGTACATCGAATACATGCCTTCATTTCTCTGCTTCAATTAATTGAATTTATCTGCCACAATAGCAGATTAAATAAAATAATGAAGCTTGCAAATTCGATGCTTTGCCAATACATCACTGGGTTCATAGGTTTCTAGGTAACACCGTGATGTATGTACATGTATGTATGTGCACGCCCGTTTCTGCAGGAAAAAAGGAGAAGTCGAACTGTGATAACTACGGATACAGGTACAATGTACACATCCTTAAAATGCAGAGCACACCGCCTAAGAAAGTAGCCAGTACATCTACTCAGATTGGTTTCGAAACAGAACAGGCAAGAACATTAAAACAACTGAACTTGAAATGGTGAAGGGGATTTAAAGATGGCTGGCCGCTGGCGGGGGACCCTTTTGAACCAACCCCTGTTAGTTGAACTGACGCTATACTGTGATGGGTATAGCGCTCCCCCTTTATCCCCTACCTCCTCTAAAATTCAACGACTTTTGGAGGGTTGGCAGGGCGGGCTGTCAGTGTGTGACAGGATTAAGTAAAAATGCCTAACCTACACTACTGTACAGCATTAATTCAATTGATCGTAGTACCTAATAATACGTACATAACCTAGTGCATAGTACCTATTGGTAGGTAGTAACGGGTACACAACACCCACACCCACACCACACCAGCAGCACAGTGACCACACACCTACCTTATTGCATTACATTATTGTACATACAACGGTGCAAGCTTGCAAAAGGTGCAATATCACAACGCGGTCGACACAAAAAATTGTCCAGCCCTTTTTTTTCAACTTCCTCCCCCTTCTCTATTATTCCTTCGGGTTGTCAGCAACAGCGACATTCCATACCCGTCGTCGTCGTTGTCGTCGTCGTCGTTGAGGCTTGCCCATTCTAGGCTGCCTCAGGTTCTCTCTGGTTTCCCTCTATTCGTTCCATACAACTTTCTAGCGGCTGTGGGCTCTTCTTCGTCCAGTACATAACCTCTCCTCTCGCTTGTCGTTTGTGTGTCCGCTCGTCGTCCAAACTCCACAAATCAACACGAATGCCTCTTGCTCTCGCCCTTCCCTGATAAAAAGTGTCCTAAAATCCTCCCGTCTTCCGCGACGCGGCCGAACCTACTTTCTATTCTATACTCGATCCGACTTCTCAACAGCCTCCCATGTCGCATACCTACGATGTCGGTACGAGAGCTTGGCAGCCAGATGTCACCGAGGGCTGGGTGGCATCCGAGGTTATCAAGAAAACCATCGATGGCGACAAGGTGCACTTGGTCTTCAAGCTCGAAAATGAAGAGGTACGCCCAATCCAAAGCTGATATTATCACTATCGTTGTCGTCTTTGAGTCTTTGAACCTAGCTGACCGCCACATCTACAATCCAGACCAAAACAGTAACCCTCTCGGCGGAGGCCCTGGGAAATTCTAGCGACCCGTCGTTGCCTCCGTTGATGAACCCCTCCATGCTAGAAGCTAGTGATGATTTAACAAATTTGTCTCACTTAAACGAACCTGCCGGTACGCATCATATCGCCAACGGCTACTAGTCGGATCACAGTTTTAGTTATTGACTCCCTTGTGTGCAGTGCTCCAGGCTATCAAGCTACGATATGCGCAGAAAGAGATCTATACGTACAGTGGTATAGTGCTGATTGCTACAAATCCTTTTGCTAGAGTCGACTCTCTCTATGTCCCGGATATGATTCAGATTTACGCTGGCAAGCAGAGGGAGACGCAAGCGCCCCATCTGTTTGCCATCGCTGAAGAAGCTTTTATGTGAATACTCCCCAATCTTCGTATGCAAGTCCACATCCACAGTAAGCTAATGTCATGGCTTCTAGGAAAATGGTAAAAGACAACAAGAATCAAACTGTTGTAGTGTCGGGAGAGTCTGGTGCTGGAAAGACTGTCAGTGCTAAGTATATCATGCGATACTTTGCCACAAGAGAATCCCCAGACAACCCAAGCGGTCGTAAGAAGGGATCCGACGCGATGAGTGAGACGGAGGAGCAGATTTTGGCAACTAATCCCATCATGGAAGCTTTTGGCAACGCCAAAACGACAAGAAACGACAACTCGTCCAGATTCGGAAAGTATATCGAGATTATGTTTGACAATAAGACAAACATTATTGGAGCTAGGATCCGTACGTATCTTCTCGAGCGGTCGAGGTTGGTCTTTCAACCCCTGAAGGAGAGGAATTACCACATTTTCTACCAGCTCTTGGCCGGAGCATCAGATAAGGAAAGGAAAGAGCTTGATCTGTTACCGGTCGAGCAATTCGACTACCTCAACCAAGGAAACTCTCCTACGATCGATGGAATGGACGACAAGGCTGAATTGGCAGCTACTAAGAGCTCGCTCAAGACGATCGGCGTAGACGAGACTCAGCAGTCCGGCATCTTCAACCTCCTTGCCGGTTTACTGCACCTAGGTAATGTAAAGATCGGTGCCTCCAGGAATGACAGTGTGCTGGCTCCTACCGAGCCCTCCTTAGAGAAGGCATGCTCCATTCTCGGAATTGACGCTACCAACTTTGCCAAATGGATCGTAAAGAAGCAGCTTGTTACCCGTGGTGAAAAGATCGTGTCCAACTTGACGCAGCAGCAAGCCCTAGTCGTGCGAGACTCCGTTGCTAAATTTATATACTCGAGTTTGTTTGATTGGCTTGTAGAGGTCATCAATAGGAGTCTTGCTACCGACGAGGTTTTGAGCCGTGTCAGCTCCTTCATCGGTGTTCTCGATATCTACGGATTCGAGCACTTCGCTAAGAACTCTTTCGAGCAGTTCTGTATTAACTATGCCAATGAAAAGTTACAGCAGCAGTTCAACTCCCACGTGTTCAGACTCGAACAGGAAGAATACGTCCGAGAACAAATTGACTGGAAGTTCATCGAGTTTTCTGACAACCAACCGTGTATTGATTTGATCGAGGGCAAACTAGGTATTCTATCTCTCCTGGACGAGGAGTCCAGGTTACCCATGGGTGCGGATGAGCAGTTCGTTACCAAGCTTCATCACAACTTTACTCCCAACAAGAACAAGTTCTACAAAAAACCCCGGTTTGGCAAGTCAGCTTTCACCGTCTGCCATTATGCCGTCGACGTCACCTACGAGTCAGAGGGCTTTATTGAGAAGAATAGGGACACTGTGCCGGATGAGCACATGGAAATTCTCCGTGCTACGACGAACAAATTCTTGAGCCGAGTGCTCGCTGCTGCATCCGCTGTCCGCGAGAAGGATGTCGCCGCTTCTGGCTCTGCTGTGGCTAAGCCCACCCCCGGGCGGAAGATAGGAGTTGCTGTTAACCGCAAGCCGACTCTCGGTGGTATCTTCCGCTCGTCGCTCATCGAGCTCATGAACACAATTGGCCAAACCAATGTTCATTATATTCGTTGCATAAAACCTAACGAGGCTAAAGCGGCATGGGCTTTCGAAGGTCCCATGGTTCTCAGTCAGCTGAGGGCTTGTGGTGTTCTCGAGACCATCCGCATTAGTTGTGCTGGTTACCCAGGTCGCTGGACATACGAAGAATTTGCTCTTCGATACTATCTTCTCATACCCTCCACTCGATGGCAGACAGAGATTAGGCAGCTAGTCAAGGAAATTCTTGGCCAGGCTCTGGGCTCAGGAACAGGCACTGGAACCGACAGCTACCAGCTTGGTATCAGCAAGGTCTTTTTCCGCGCTGGTATGCTTGCCCATCTCGAGAATCTTCGACAAAGTCGCATGAGTGAAGCCGCTATCATGATCCAAAAAAACCTCAAAGCGAAGTACTACCGCCGAAAGTACCTCGAAGCACGAGATGCCATCATTGTTTTCCAGTCGCTCAGCAGAGCATACGCAACTCGAGCAAAGGCAAACGAACTGCGCACCGTCAAGGCGGCGACCACAATCCAAAGGGTGTGGAAAGGGCAAAAGCAGCGCAAAGTGTTCCTCCGGATCAGAAGTAGCGTCATACTTGTGCAGGCAGCTGCCAAAGGTTACCTGCGAAGGAAGGAGATCATGGAAACCCGTGTGGGTAACGCCGTGATCCTCATTCAGCGAGTGTGGCGTTCAAGGAGACAGGTTAAAGCATGGAGAAGTTACCGAAAGAAGGTTATTTTGGTCCAGAGCATGTGGCGCGGAAGACAGGCTCGGACGGAGTACAAGGGGATGCGCGAGGAAGCTCGCGATCTAAAGCAGATTTCCTACAGGCTTGAAAACAAGGTTGTCGAACTTACACAGTCGTTGGGTACTATGAAGACCCGCAACAAGGATCTTCAAAGCCAGGTGGAGAACTACGAAAACCAGATCAAGTCGTGGAAGAGCCGTCACAATGCTCTCGAGACACGGACAAAGGAACTCCAAGCCGAGGCCAACCAAGCTGGTATCGCCGTGGCCAAGCTACAAGCTATGGAGGAGGAGATGAAGAAGTTGCAAAACAACTTCGACGAGTCAACTTCAAGTGTCAAGAGGATGGCGGAGGAGGAACGAGAATTAAAGGAGTCTCTGCGTACCGCGAACGAAGATTTAGAACGCATCAAGCAAGAGAGCACGCTTCACGAAAACGAAAAGATCAACTTGCGGGAACAACTCTCCCAGATGGCCGAGGAGCTCGAGCTGGCGAAACGATCAGCGTCAATGAATGGAGAGCTTACCAACGGCAACGGCATTTCTGCTGTTCCCAATGGTCTCATCAACCTGGTGTCATCCAAGAAGCCGAAGCGTCGGAGTGCGGGTGCCGAACTCAGCGGAATGGACCGCTTCAGTGCCGCCTACAACCCCCGTCCAACCTCTATGGCTGTCACGAGCGGGGCTCACCGGCCTGGTGTGGGCTATATCGCAGCTGCCGACACTATCGAGATGGAATTGGAGAACCTCCTTGCCGACGAGGATGGCTTGAACGAGGAAGTTACTTTGGGCTTGATCAAGAACCTCAAGATTCCGTCACCCAACACCAACCCACCACCTTCGGACAAGGAAGTTCTGTTCCCTTCCTATCTTATCAATCTCGTCACATCCGAAATGTGGAACAATGGCTTCGTCAAGGAGTCGGAGAGATTCTTGGCCAATGTTATGCAGTCGATCCAGCAAGAAGTCATGCATTACGATGGGGACGACGCCGTCAACCCTGGAGCCTTTTGGCTTTCTAACGTACATGAGATGCTTTCGTTCGTCTTCCTTGCTGAGGATTGGTACGAGGCCCAAAAGACGGACAACTACGAGTACGACCGGCTTCTGGAGATCGTCAAGCACGATCTGGAGAGTTTGGAGTTCAACATTTATCACACTTGGATGAAGATCCTTAAGAAGAAGCTGCAGAAGATGATCATTCCCGCCATCATCGAATCTCAATCGTTGCCAGGCTTTGTCACGAATGAAAGTAATAGATTCCTCGGCAAGCTGTTGGCCACTAACTCGCAGCCTGCATATAGCATGGACAACCTGCTGAGCCTGCTAAACAACGTCTTCCGAGCGATGAAGGCCTATTATCTTGAGGACAGCATTATCACGCAAACTGTCACCGAGCTACTCAGGTTGGTGGGCGTCACTGCCTTCAACGATTTGCTCATGAGGAGGAATTTCCTGTCGTGGAAGCGAGGTCTCCAAATTAACTACAATATCACTCGAATTGAGGAGTGGTGCAAGAGCCACGATATGCCCGAGGGTACTCTACAACTCGAGCATCTTATGGTAAGTTTTTTGAAAGTCCAGCGTGGCCACTGTCATTTCAAGCAATCTGGTGACTGACATTTGTTTTAGCAAGCAACGAAGCTTTTGCAACTCAAGAAGGCTACCCTTAATGATATTGAGATTATCCAAGACATCTGCTGGATGTAAGTGCAGTGCCGTGTAACACGAACCTTTATAGCGATGTCAAATGGCTAATATCTATATTTGCAGGCTTTCCCCCAACCAGATCCAGAAGCTTCTAAACCAATACCTGGTGGCAGATTATGAACAGCCTATCAACGGTGAAATCATGAAGGCGGTAGCATCCAGGGTGACGGAGAAGAGCGATGTTCTTCTGCTGGCAGCTGTAGATATGGACGACAGCGGGCCGTATGAAATCGCAGAGCCCCGAGCGATTACCGCTCTAGAAACATATACGCCGTCGTGTAAGTTGGATCCTTGGACTGTCGTCACAAAGACAAAACATGGCTAACCTGTTGTTTCTCATAGGGCTGCAAACCCCTCGACTGAAGAGGTTGGCGGAGATAGTATCTGCTCAGGCCATCGCTCAACAGGAGAAGATGGAGGCAGACGAGTACGATAACGATAATGAACTAGCAGAGATCGAGGAAGGGGATGGGGATAGTGCGTAGAGCCGCAATATCCACCACTTGCGACCTCTGCAAATAGTACGCCTTCCGTTGACGACGTCGACGGGCCCATGAGACTCACAGATGGGTAGCTAGGCTTTTAATGCGAACAAGTCTTTTACGTTATGCGCAGTATATGATTTTGAGCAGAAGCTCATTTGGTTCGGGAAGGGGAAGACGATGTCACCCAGTTTCATGGATATCTAGGCACGATTGATTGACTTGATTGATTGAACTAGACGGGTCACGCGAACAAACACCACGCACTACACCATGCATGGGCTAATGGGGCGTTTAAGTGATCGCGTCTCTGTTGATTGCTATCTTCGTCGCTGTCGCTCTTATTGTGGCCGGTTGCTACTACTTCTTTTTTTTTTTAGACATTTGAGGTTCCCTTGTTGCGTGTGTGGGCCAAGGGAGGGAAAGGAGAGGGAGGAGGAGGAGGAGGAGGAGGATGGGGGGAGTGTATTAAAAGATGGACAAATACTGTAGCATCTAGCTTAGGTGTATGGGGCTACTTCTGCTTCTGCTTCTGCTTCTACTTTTGCTTCTATTGCTATTGTCATCGTTTCTGTATCCGATGCGATGCGATCTGATGCGAGGAGGGTGAGAGAAGAGGAGCGAAGGGGAAAGGAGGAGGAGGTAGGGGAGGTAGGGGGTAGCAAGATAACCTTGAAAGGAAGACTCCATTCTATCATATTAGTTTTGGGGAGGTAGTAGGTAGCGCTTCTACTCCGATATCTGAATAACGAGATGATTTTTTACGTGTTACATCACTTATTCTTTTCTCTGTTAAGAAACATTCCATCGTGATTTTGGGGGGTTTTAATAGGGGGAAGGAGGCAAGAGTAACGGAAAGTTTGCTCGTAGCACGTGACTTGATTACATAGTTAGTAGTAGAAGAAAAAACCTTGCTAACCAGAATTAAAGGTTTTTACTTAGAGGGGGAAGGATGTTAGGGAATGCAACTAACTAACAACTAATCCCAACGTTGGTAGTCAGAACCAAAAAGATTCTACAACCCAAAATTATCAAGGATTCTTTGAAGAAAAGGATTTATTATTGATTTACCCCCTCCTTTTGTTAAAAAAAAAAAAGAGAAAGGGAAAGGAAAAGGAAAAGGAAAGGGAAGATATATTGTTCATCATCTGAGGGTGGTGGCATTGTTTTTCCGTTCTGCGGGTTCTTGGTGCGTGAAGATTCGTGTCGGAGGTACAAACCCCTAAGTCTATCTACACTTTTTTTTTTTTTAAAAAAAGAAGGGAAGATATAGAAAAAAAACTACATTATATCATATCATTCCACCACAGCACAAACAAGCGGGTTGAAATATTAATCCCCCCTTCCCCTTATACACACACCCTCACCCCCAAAAAGGAAAAGGGAAAAGCCAGAAGGAAGAAAAGATGCGCGCGAACCCGAACATCATCATCACGGGCACGCCCGGGGTGGGCAAGACGACGCACGCGGAGGCCCTCGCGGAGCGGACGGGGCTGAAGCACGTGTCCGTCAACCAGGTGGTTAAAGATAAGGGGTGTCACGAGGGCTGGGACGACGAGTTCTTGAGCTGGATAGTGGATGAGGATAAGGTATGTTTTTTTTTCGGCCTCTTTCTTTTTCTTTTTCTTCTTCTTCTTCTATTGATCTTCTGGTTTTCTCTTGATATTATTTCTATAATTAAGAGGGAAATGTGGTGTGTCTACGTACCTAGTATGAGAGAGAGGGAGGGGCAGGGAGATTAAGGAGTAAGGGGCTTGAGGGGGGGGCAAATAGTACTGAGAATGAAAGAGAAGCTAACGTTATGGGGGTGCTAGTTACTAGATGCGCTTGAGGAAGAGAACATCAAGGCGGGCGGCTTCATCATAGACTGGCATGGTTGCGAGATCTTCCCGGAGAGCTGGATCGACCTGGTGGTTGTGCTGCGGGTTGACTCTAGCACGCTGTATGACCGGTTAACTGCAAGGTACTTTTTTTCTTCCTTTTTTCTCTTTTCTCTTCTTTTTTCCTTACCCTCCCCCTGTCTCCTTTCTGTTCTTCATATTTAGGTCCATTTATCTGCCTACCCAAGTATCTATCACTTATATGATCAAACACTACGGATAATACAGTACTAATGATACACACAAAATAGAAAATACCCCGAGGCGAAGCTGCAGGAGAACCTAGACTCGGAGATCATGGAGGTGCTGCTCCAGGAAGCGCGGGACTCGTACGAGGAGCGGATCGTGGTGGAGCTCGAGAGCAACACGACGGAGGAGATGGAGAGCAACGTCGATCGCATCGAGGCGTGGTTCAAGCAGTGGAAGGAGGACCATCCTGTTGTGGGTGGTGATGGTGAGGGTGGGGGGCATTAGTATGTTTGTTGTATTTTATAGAAGATATGGATGGTTTGCGTGAGATACGTAGTGAATGCGATGAGAATGATACCCATGGCTTGTGTGTTTGATTGTGTTTTCGTTTTATGCTGCCTAGTGTGTATGATGATATGATACTAGGTATAGATAGATATATGCTGCAGGTAATCGATAATGGTGATATCCAAACCTTTAGTAGCTCGTAGTATTGCTAATGTCGCTGTACCAATGAAAAGGCTCGGCACTACCTACTGCAGGTTCCCGCTAGGGTGCTTTTCTTCACCGGGTGCGTCATACCGGCCAGTTTTTTATACACACCTTATATATTACTCCCTCCCAATATACCTCTCTTACAAATACCTACAAATACCAAATCTGTCTCCCCTTAACCCCCCCCCAATAAAAGAAGCTCCTAGTAAAAAAAAAAAAAGAGACATATAAAAAAAATAGACATAAAAGCAACCAAAAAAATGTCCCGCCCAACCCTGCACTTCATAACCGGCAACGCCAACAAGCTCTCCGAGGTGCGGGCGATCCTCGAGCCCGCGGGGATCGCCGTGACGAACAAGGCCCTGGACCTGCCCGAGGTGCAGGGCACGCTCGAGGACGTGACGCGCGAGAAGTGCCGGGCCGCCGCCTCCGCGGTCGCTGGCCCGGTGCTCGTCGAGGACACGTGCTTGTGCTTTGACGCGCTGGCCGGGCTGCCGGGGCCGTATATGTGGGTTTTAATCCTCTCCCCCCCCCCCCCCCCCCCTTTTTTTTTTTCCTTTTCTTCTATGGTTCTTTTTTCTCTTCTTCTCTCCTGCTTTTATTCGGGGGAGGGGCGGAGGGTGAGATAGAGAAGGAAGGGAGAAGCTACGTTAGGCAGATTATGGGGTGTGCTTTTGAGAGAGAGAGAGAGAGAGAGAGATGATTGATTGATTGATGACAAGAAGGTACTAATTCAATAAAAAAACCACACAAACAGAAAATGGTTCATGCAGTCCATCGGCCACACGGGCCTCAACAACCTCCTCGCCGCCTACGACGACAAGTCGGCGCAGGCCGTCGCCACGTTCGGGTTCTCCCAGGGTCCCGGACAAGAAGTCCTGCTGTTCCAGGGGCGCACGCATGTGAGTCTACCCCTCTTTATTTCTTCTACGTTACGTTTTTTTTTTTTTTTTTTATATATTCTTGTTAGTGGTGGTTGCAAGGAAGACAGACCATGGGTTGGGAAAGAGAGAGAGAGGGGGTGGGGGGGGGGGGGGGGGGGGGGGGCGGGGGAGATGGATGGATGATGACATATATAACTAACTAATCGAACCGCAACAGGGCAAGATTGTGCCTCCGCGAGGCCCGACTACTTTCGGTGAGTCTTATAATAAATAAGCTTACCCCTACTCCAACACCTCTCCTATCCTTCTTCCTCTTTTCAATCCTCATTCCTCACAAACACGAGTTCCCCCTTCAAACCACCATAATGCCGCGCCAACTAACTAACCACCGAAAGGCTGGGATCCTATATTTGAGTATGATGGACAAACGTGAGTAGTACCTTATTCCTTTTCTCTCCCCCCCCCCCCCCCCCTTCTCTTCTCTTCTCTTCTAACCCACCACCCTCCCTTTCCTCCCACCACCCGCTTCTTTCTATAACCTATGATCACGCTAACCCCCCCCAACCCAAACAGCTACGCGGAGATGGACAAGGCCGAAAAGAACAAAATCTCGCATCGGGGCAAGGCTCTCGAGAAGCTACGCGCGTGGATCGAGGGGGGCGGGATGAAGGAATAAATAAATACCTACTTTATAGGTATGTGGGCAGGCAGTTAAACAGGAAGGAAAGGTAGTAAGCAGCGAGTAGCCTTACCTAGGTCGAGCATGAAGAAAGGGGAGAGATCCCGGATATGAAAGTACCTACTTACCTAGTACCTCATCTAGCTGTCAAATGGGTTGAGATATGTGCTTAGACACAGACAAGCAACAGTAAAAGGAATCTAGAAATAAATAAAATAAAATAAAATAAAATAAAAAGGTATCTCGTAAATAGGTACTGTATCTAACGTTACACGCCTACTTATTACAACAACTCCAACCCCAAGGCAAACGATCAAATCTATGCAACGAAAACGTTTCGATATCAAGTCGATTTAATCTTAACTCCATAATACGTTGTACTCCTTGCGTCCATTCATCCATTTCTTCTTGTGAAAGAAATAGGTGAAAAAGGGGGAAATGCCCATGGCACCTAGATGAATAATGGCAACACTAATAGACATCTTGCCTTATTGTGGGAAGAACTCTCCACGAACCGTACTCATCTATCCGAAGAACGGAGAGGGTAGGTATACAAGGGGAGAAAGTGAGAAGAAAACGTGGGAGTATAGGAGGTTTATCTCAGGCTAGATTGGTACCGAATGTGTTAGCTTCAATAGCTACAAAAGAAGGAAGAGAGGAGCGTCTGAAACAGAAAACAAATATCATCATGAGCATGGAAGAAAACATACTAAAGAATCTCGAATTCCTTGTATCTGTACAAATACTTCGGGCCGCGACGGTAGACCTTTAATACGTGGTCAGGGTAGCCATGGTCAACGTGGGCTTGGCCGACGTAGCGGGTGACGCTCGTCGGGTCAGTGTACGTCGGATCAAAGACGAGCAGATTCCGCTTGCCGTTGCGGGATTCGATGCCGACGATGGTCATGGAGTGGCCTGTGCATAGAATCATGCGATTAGTAGCTTTCTTTTGTGTGGTCCGAGGATCAGGAGTACATGATACGTGCAAAGAAAAGGAAGAGAATAGAAAAGCAAATAAATACCTTGATGTTGAAAATACAATGGCGGCCGCATTGTATTTCGGACTTTGTTAGTCCGTTGGTCGACGTCTACTCCATCTGCGAAGTATTTCTCAACGGCGTCGTATAGCCTGTGCTCTGAAGCATTTGGCTGGTCTTCTGGACGATTCTTAAACCCTTGAATCTCGCATCTGCTAAGGTATTAGAATCGATTGACGATAGGGAAATGTTTATAAATCATAATTATTTCAGGCGTAGAAAAAGGGGTATATAGGCATGTAGGTAAGAAACTTACGGTATCTTTAAGCAAGTAAAAATCGTACAGGCCTAAATATTTTAGTAGCCAGTTAGTAACACCGTCGTATCAAGTTAAAAAGGAGTTTATGACGCAAGACAAAAGTTCCACCCCTCCCCACCCCTTTTCCAATACTCGAACAGTAAACTTCTATCTTAAAACGGAAACAGGAACGACATTTGAAACTGAAAACTGGAAAAAAAAAACTGACCTCTGGTGTCCCGATATATTTTCTCGTGCCCCTTACGCCACCAGTCTCAATACGACCCTTAGGATTTATCCCCTGGTCCCAAGCCTCCTCGATGAGATCCTGAATGCGGAAAATACTAGGGATCTTGTTCTCGAAGGCTACGCTGCCCGTCGCCCCTGACCCTACGATATATGATATCACCATCTGTATGTTACGATATCCACAGAAGCTACCTACGGAGTTGAGTGACATTAGTTGGTGTTGGTGAGCCGGGATGATTTGACCCAGGGCAGATGGCTTGAAATAGATATGGGAGTGTATGTGCTAGGACAGATGAATGAGAACGTACCTTCTCTCCGTAACTTGGAGATATGCTGGACGGCCGGGTGGCATAAATAGGCGTAGTGCGTGCGCGGGTTCTGCTGTAGGATCTTTGAAAGAACAGGTATTATGCCTAAAACGAGCCATAAGTTACAAATACAATGGCTAGCAAGAAAAGCACGTTATAGAGCTCCCTAGCAAAATCGCAGGAGCTTGCGAAAACTTACCTTCTGAGCTTTTAAAGGTACGCCTCGTCAGCAAGTCCGTGAGCCAAGCCGGCATCTTCTCCTCGCGGTGGTATCTGCCGAGATCACCCTTCTGAAATAAATGTTAGTACTATTTCTTGTTCCTTCACCTTTGATTTTATTGCCCATCTTTCCTATCTTCCAACTCCGCGCCATCTAGCAGAAGAAAACTGTCCAGGATGTCCAAATATCCCAGGGAAAGAAAAAAAGAGGACTGAAAAAAACATACCCCAAGCCTCTTAACGTTACTAAGATCTACCTTATTAACCTGCGTCCTAATCGGTGGTGGCGTTGGCGCCGCCGGCAGGTCGTTCACACCCGTCCGGCGATGTGTCCGGGAGGCCGCCATAACCGGGTAGTCGCTCTCGGAGGCGGGGCCGTTAAATTGAATAGAAGCGGGAGCGGCAGCGAGAGTTGAAGTCCCGGAGTGCCCTGGGGTGCCGTGCAGCTCGATATGTTCCTCGATTTTGAGTAGCTGCACCCATTCGCCGCACCCGTCCACAGGACAGGCGATCCACTCGACCAAGGTGCCGTTGTTCCTGCCCTCTTCCTCTTCCACATCAGTATCAGCGTGATTCATGCCGCCTTCCCCATCCAAATCCAGAGGACCCTCCTTTCCCCCCTCCTCATCTGCGACGACGAAGGGAGACTGGCCTTCGCAGTGCTGCGTTTCTAAATGCTATGGTTGGGAGTATATAAGCAAGCGTGTATGCGGATAAGCTAAGAAGGATGAACAACGGAGGGAGGTAAGATAGGGGGGAGGTGATGAGACAGGGACAGGGATATATAGGGCGCAGGAACTTACAAGCAGCATGGCGTACTCGTTATCCTCCTTCTTATAACAAAACGGACAAGCAATCGCCAAGCCAGACATAGTGACTTATGCAAGTAACTGACTAAGTGAATGCTCTGCCAAGTACTTGTATGGGGTTTTGCGATTTACGCTTTTCCTCCTTCCTTATTTTAAATAGATAGGTTAGTTTCTAGCTTCAACGTTCTTTTTTCGATATTTGTTGTTAGAAAAAAACAAGAAAAAAAGGTTGTTCAGAGGAATAGTAATAATAATAAAAGGAAATAGAGGAAGAACAAGAAGAAGAGGCGGGCTTCCCGCCTTTCCTTCCTTCCTCTTTGTCCACGGATGAGGGAATGGATGAATGAATGGACGGAATAATAAAAGGCTGAGATAGATACTACGTATAGTAGATAGATGGAGAGAGAAGCGCGTGTGTGTACCTTAGCAGGATATGTATGTAGGTGGTGTTGCGTGTAGTACGTGCGTCAGCCGGGCGTTGGGAAGTTGGGGATGTGATTGGACCTTTTCGTTTCATGTAATAACCTCGAGGTTATTAGGTTAGCAAGTGGTAGGTGACCGACAACAAACTCCTTTATTGATCCAGTACCCGTATTCCATGGTTGACGAGGGTTAGTTAGGTTAAAATGGGTAGATGGGCGCGAACGTTGCAAAAAAAAAAAACCCACGGGCCAAAAGGTAAGGCGTGCCTGGCCTGGTTTAACGGATACGAGTACAACTTGCAAGTCGTTTATGACCGGGTTCGGATTTGCTAACTAACATATGGCCATGTGCGGCTGATGCATCAATCAATCTTCATCGGAACCGGACCCTTACATAGAATAAAAAGGGCTCGGAATGTGAAGGCTTAAGAAAGATGAGATAGAGGTGGTAGTACAGACAGTACAATGTAGCACACCATGTATTTCAACGGTTTGTAGATTTGGTTGTATGTACATATGTAGGTACATATATAGTACATATCAGCCCTATATAAAAAACATATGGAAGTCCAAGCAAAGACGGATTAGAACATTCGATGTACATGAATTCAATTTGATATACACCAGTGACATTGTGACATCAATCACATTTAAAGACGGCATGTACTTGCCTGTTAAGTGCTTACCTACTAGTAATACCTACTAGGCTACCCTAAGTAGTATGTAGCGCCTAACCTAAGTAGCAAACAGTTGCTACAAGCAGCACTGACAAGGAGTCCGGCTAACAACCCGATTAACTTCCACTAACCTAAAAGATCAACCTCCCTGCGATTGGTCAAATATTTCCCAGCCGAAAACATCAAAGCTGGGGATGGATACTACGTACTACATACTATGGAGATGGTGGCAGGTACGCCAAAGAGGAAAGTGCGAAACACTATGGTTATATATTTAAGAACATTTTAATAGCAAGGTCTAATCCTTAGATCTTATCCTTTTAATATACAGGTCCACCTACATTTATCTGGTAACCCCCCACCGGAAGAGCTGTGGTAATAGCCTCATTTTTAGTTTTTGGTTTTTTTTAATAATTAGGACCTTTATTATTTTCAAAGTTATTTTAATCCTTTTATTAATTAAAACGTTATTATTAATTAAAAGCTTTATTTTAAAAGTCAACGTTTATTTAAAAAGTCGTTTATTTTAAAAGCCGTTTATTCAAAAGTCGTTTAATTAAAAAGTTTATAGTTAGTTTATTTAAATTAAAAAGTCCAAAAATTATTTATTTAATTTAAAAAGCCCACAGTTTATTAGCCATTATAGCTTATTTTGTTATTTTCCATATGGGATACACTACATTTTATCTATCCGATTAATTCTTTACTCTAAAAAACCACACTTTTAACATCTTATTGCTATTTCAATATAACGTTACCTATCTTTAATACTTATTAAATGGCTATATAATTTGGGAACGTTTATATTAGAACTTATTAGCGCTGTTAAAACGAAGCCTAGAAATGCCTGGGATAAGCATTATTATCCCCCCCCAGTAAATAGTGGCAGATACGCCAAAGAGGAAAATGCGAAGCATTATGGTTATATATTTAAGAATATTTCAGTAACAAGGTCTGATCTTTAGATCTTATCCTTTTAATATACAGGTCCACCCATATTTATCTTACGGATACATAATGCAGCATTCCAAAACCGCCCAAGCGCGAAAGCCTCACAATTAAAGTTTCTCGACTTCTCAAGTTCTCATATGTAGCTTCAAGATACATACTTAGTAATTGGTTCGTCTTTATTTTTGTCTTTTTTTAACTACTAGGTTCCTAACGTCGTGAGCTACTACCCTCCCGACATTGCCAAAGAAGAATAAGAATGCGGATACCATCTCTACCTAACCCCATGACAACACGTTCATCGAGTATCATTGTGTAGAAAGCAATCAAGTATATTCCTGGCATCATCCTCATGTCCCTAGCCTCTTATATGGGCAAAGTATGTGATTCTTTAATTGATATCTGACTTGCCCTATAATCTAACCTAGGTTAGTCAGTTATACAGCCAAATCTTTTAACTTCTCCCCAGCTTCCGCCACAGCAGCTCCTGCGGCAGCTGCCTTTTGCTTAACTCCCTTGTCTCCCTTGCCCTTGGCCTTCGCCGAAGTTGTATCCTTGGGTAGTTCCTTGGTGAAAGGGATGAAGTCGGGGGCGCCTGGAATATACTTCCGCAACGGTTCGGGAACTCGGAGACCCTAAGACGATGAGACAATGAGTATTGTTATTAGCCAAGGATCGGGGTGGCACTTACATCTTCAGTTTGGTAGTTCTCAAGGACACAGCACAACGCTCTCTCCGTGGCACACAGCGTTGAGTTCAGGCAATGAACGTATTTCTTTCTGGCATCCGTCTGTGTCTTCTGTCCGAACCGAATCTCGAGGGCGCGGGACTGGTAGTCTGTGCAGTTGGAACACGACACAAGCTCTTTGTACTCTCCTTGGAATGGGAACCACGCCTCCAGGTCAAACTTCTTAGCCGCTGCATTGTTTAAGGCCCCCGAGACGATGGCGACTACCTGATACGGGAGACCGAGTGATTTGTAGAACCCTTCGGAAGTGGTGAACATCTCCTCAAACATCTCCCAAGACTTCTCGGGATCCGTGAGCACGAACTGCTCCACCTTCTCGAACTGGTGGACACGGAAGATACCCCAAGCATCACGACCATGAGAACCAGCCTCTCTCCGGTAGCACGTGCTGAATCCGGCATATTTGATAGGCAGGTCCTTGGCAACAATCCACTCGTCGGCGTGGAAAGCAGAGATGGGCTGTTCGGAAGTGGCGATAAGGTACTTGTCGTTCTGCGCGTCGCCGTCAACCACCTTGTAAAGTTCCTCGTCAAACTGTTCTAGTTGGGCAGTCTTGGCCATGTAGTCCTTGAGCATGAACTGGGGTGTTTGTAACGGGGTGAAGCCCTTGCTGGAGAGGTATTCTAAACCGTAGTTGATGAGAGCCTGGTTGAGGAAGACGCCCCATTGTCGTAGGAAGTAACCTCTGTGACCAACGACCTTGACTCCACGATCAGGATCGTAGCCATCTAGTCGCAAGAGAACCTCGTGATGTGAAAGCACTTCCTTCTTCTCTACCTTGACACCTTCTGGGGCCCACGTTCGCAGGATTGCATTATTGTCTTCGTTATCGCTGATGGGGACTGAGTCGTGAACGATGTTACCAATAGTATTGATTTTAGCCTTGAGCGCAATGTCTTTCTGAACTGCTGAGTCGAGAAGAGCCTTCTTCTCCTTTTCGAGGTCGGCTTTTTGTTGGAGTAACTCGTCGGCGTTCTCCTTAGCCTATAGAAGATCCAGTGGTTAGAGAATAGGAGAGAGGATCGAGTGACTCAGAAAGATCTTACCTTTTTCTTAGCACCGATCTGCTTGTTCACGTCGTTTATCTTAGTGTTCATCTGAGTCGCGGCGTATTGGGCTACGATTGTAGGAGGGTATTAGTCTGATTTATTTTATCGCGAAAAAAAAGGAGAGGCAACTGACTGCGGCGGTGGTCCTCCCACATCTCAATGACCTCGTCGACGACCTCGACCTTGGCATATCTGCGGCGTTGAGACTCGCGGATCTTTTCAGGGTTGCCACCCCTCTCGGTGATGAAATCTTGAACGTCGAGCATGGTGATAGATATAAGGGGTCGCCTTTACAAAGTTTGATATGTGTATGAGTTCTGTCAAAGAGAAAAGTATCTAATTGCTGTGTTTCTCAGTAGACACCTCGTAATTTGACTGTTCAAGTTGCGCAGACTAAATTTTGGTGGGGTGGTTTTTAGAATGTACGTACTTTCTCCTTGGAGGGGCTGAGCCTCTGAGGGGCAGAGTGACAGAAATAAGACATCTGGAACTTGCAAGTTGCGACCGGATCGTTTAGGTGGGGCGATTGATGACTACTAACTTGAAGACTCAAGTTGAAGTACCAGGTACCTAGTACCGGCGTATCTATGTACCTAAGTACATACATATGTATCGATCGACGCCTTCCATGCACATGAGTGCTCAATGTCCAGTCTGACTTGCCCCTATTCTCATGCTATCAGATTCTTACCTACCAATATATTACGTATCGACAAACCCTGGAGCTGTCTCATTGGTTTACATGATCAAGATAAGTATCTGAAATATCGTCCATCTAGTATGTATGTTGTAACTTGATAAGAAACTTCAAGCAATTACTATACCACTTGTTTTCCTTCGTCCTATTTGAGGCGACGGATTATGTATTCTGTATCACAATTGCACACACAAGGTTGACTTGATAGCTTGCAAACAGATCCAATTGACTCCATAACCAGATTTAAATCTTAGCTAGTATATACATTCCGCATCAATCATCCCCTCTTCTACCCGATAAGAGCGTAATTCATGTGGTCAAATCGACCTCGACAAGAAAAGAGCCACCTGAATAAAAGCAGTAGTCCCTTGAATTCCCCTTCACTCTACTATCCAGCAGTAGTGATACCCCGATGATCCTTATTCTAGTCTTCCAAACGTACCATGCTGTAGTTTGTCTACTTTTCCAACGTGATCATAGTGTTGATAGTGTGAAGACGCCACAGGCCGATCGAACCGTCCTTTACAGCTTCACATAACAAGACACTTGCCACCATCCGTCGCTTCGTTCGGGTTCTGCGACTTCTCTACCTGGGCAATTAGAAGTTCAAAGGCCTTGCCTACATTCTCGTTGTACCGCGCGCTCGCCTCTGTCCAGCCACAGTTGAACTTCTCCGACAGCTTCTTGCCATCCTCTTGGCTGACCTGCCTCTGCTCGGGGCGCAAGTCACTCTTGTTGCCCACAATCACGATAGGGACCCAGTCCGTGCCCTAACACCGCCAACTTGTCAGTTGCCATATAATCGAGAGAGTTGTATAAGTTTTTTTTATGGGAGATAATTTGAGAATGAAATAGAAAGAGGGAGAGATGGAGAAACGAACAAGATGGTTAAGAATCTTCTCTCGGATAACTTGCACCATCTCAAACGACGGCAGCGAGGATACCGAATACACTAGCATATAGCCATGAATGCCAATAAAGTGCTTTGAGTTTAAGATGCTATACTCATCCTATACGAGGTGGTGCGTATCATGTGTTAGCGCCGTGACGAAGCTTGAATGGACCGTGAGCAATTAAGTTTTACCTGGCCGGCTGTGTCGACAATCTCAGTAGCATAGTCTTGACCTTTGAAGCGGATGACCTTGCTAAAAGTATTTTCTATCGTAGGATAATAACTCTCAACGAAATGGCCATCAACGAACTGGACGGCAAGGGAAGATTTGCCTGCGATCGTCAAGGGTTAACATGTGACATGAGGTATATCATATGCAATGCAGGATCCATGGACGCTTGCAGGGAAGATATAGATCAAGGTATGACGATATAGATGGAAGACACCATGGAACCCTGGATAGCTAGACGTACCTACGGATCGGCTGCCGACAATGGCAACCTTCCGCTGTTTGGACGGCGACGGCATTTGTGGTGGCGTTGACAAGGGGGGGTAGGAATCGTGTGCTGCAAGTATCAAATTATTGTTACTAGGTAGTTATGTTAGGCACCTTATATATACCAAGTACGATGGGAATGCTGCATGACGCGTCGGACGTGGGGGAAACCGTGTGTTCATATACCTCCTACTAGGTAGGTAGGCACTGCATAAGTAGGTAATGTAGGTAGTTGAGAAAGGTATGTATGCAATTGATATGGTTCTGTACGGTATGTATATGTATGTAGGTATGTAGGTATGTATGTAGTAGTAGACTGTGGTAGGTAGGTAGGTATGTGATAGGTAGAAGTTGTGTAAGGGTATGTCCAACTTGGACGTGGATGGGACGTGGACGTCTGGTCCTTAACCTGAGCGTGGGATGTGCACACCTCTTTTAAAACCTTTCAATTCAAGTGTCTTCTTATCTTGACATTTGTCTTGATGTATTATAAAAGTGTTATGTGTGTTGTGAGTTGTTATGACGTGCAGATGTTACCCAATATTCACCACATTTAATGACTGTAAGGAAAACAAAACGCCTGGGTTGTTATGTGTTATGAGGTCAGAGAGATCAAATACCTAGGCGATATATAATGTCATGTAGAAGTATAGATAGAAATATAATGATGGGAGAAGAGAGAACGGAGGGGTTCTCTTGTTTGTAAGTATTATAATTGCAGGTATGTACAGATATGTATGTGTATGTAGATAGCTGGTTTGTATTGTACTCGCTTCCGTTCCTTTTCCTTTCTTCTCTCTTTCTCTTTTTTTTTTAATTGACCGGGAAAAGCTCATACCATGTAAAACTTAAGTAAGCTTAAGCTTGATATGGAGCATTGGCGGGGTACGGCTATATACATTCCAGGTTGAATAGCCCTGGAGAAGTCAATTGTAACCAGCAATCTTGGAACATTAGCGGGCTATTCATAGGCACCCAGGGGACACCCAGGGGCACCGCATTTATGCTTACATCAATATTGATACTAACGTATCTGGGTATCAGATATCTACGAGTCTACGACGTACTATTAGGTAGTAGGTAGTAGGTACCTACCCTACCCACTATCCGCTACCCCCTACGCTGGATCTTTAACGGTTAACCAAGGTAAGGCAAGCTAAGGTTAGGGATGCAGCTACGCAAGAACGGCTAGCTGAGGACCTACATGTAACTTGTGTTCCTATTAATACCTTTGACATCACAAGCTAAAAGAAACCTTGGAAGCCAATAAGCCTGCCAAGAATACTTTGCAAAACCATCATCATGGATTTTATGGGTGAACGCCGCCGCGGGGCATTTACATCTGTACTCCGGCAAAATACACATGATCAACTACATACATATGTACCAGTGATACCACATGCATGTATGTAACTCGGGGACCACATAGCACCATGTACTATCTAGGTCAAGTACATACCTACATACCTACATACCTACTATGTAGGCACTCATTCCTACATACGGCTTCCAAATCCAAACTCAAAACGACTGTATATTGTAGGTCAAGTAACTCAAGTGCAAAGTGCAACATCAAACTCAGCCATTCAACTCAATTCTATGTCCTGGGTATAATGCTGGCCCCCTCCCCCCACGATACCAGTCCGCCTTCCAACCTATCCAACATATCCATCTTTTGTACGATTCCACTTGTTTGATTTGATGGCAATGCCGACTTCGCTTGATGATTTGTCGTCAGGGAATTGCCAACAAATACGTCGATGTGGTGTTCAATTTCCTATCTCCAAGGCTTCATCTGCTTGTCGAAATAGAACATATCCCCCTTTTCTATCGTGTCTCGTGTCACGTTGATACCCCCCAACTTCCAATACGATCAATTATAAGAATATTTCTTAACGAGTAAGTCATATGATGAATAAACTTGATCTACCATTGTAGGCTGTTTTTGTGATGTATTCACTCATTCTTTGCTTGGAGTTGGTACACCAACTCCTGAAGCCGATCCGTGTAACTACTTTGGCTTTCCGAACCATCCTCGGTCTGCTCAACGGTTTGTTCCACCTTCTTGTGGTGAGCAATGAACTCGCGAATCGAATCTAATAAAGGGGCGATGTTCTTCGTCGAGAGGTTCGACCGCAGCTTTTGTCGCACTGCAGGGTGTAGAGCTAGATATCCCAACAGTACTGACAAGTATCCAAATGCAACGTTTAGATGACTAGTCTCCATTGAATCGGCCTATGCTCTTGTTAGTGGGGATAATGTTAAAAATCTGACCTATACCGGACGTACCTCTGCTGTTCTCCGATAGTTTTCCGAGAATAATCGGACTAACTCGTCGACTGGTCGTTTGTCATCATGGTGACAATCATTGACTACCTTCCTCACGAGAGTGTTGTGTTCACAGAAATTGATCATGATGCCCAATCGCAAGACTAGGCTATCCAGAATCCCATCAACCCACGTATCCTGAGAAACAGATGCCCAGACCTGGGAGAAGTTGCTGGAAATCGAACCAGCCAGCGCCGGGATCAGCCCTTTCGATACGAATATGTCTGGTGCTTCCAAACTGTTGTTGACTAAATTGATCGTAAGTTTCAAGACGGAGTCCTCAAGGATCTTACTCCCATTCTCATTACTCGCATCTGATGCGACATTCCGTGAGGAAGCCCCGAATATATCAGCCACAATTGGGAGATATCGGGCGGCCCAATCGGCACTTGCACGCTGGGACTCTGCAACGCTCACGGCATAGAAGTCGAGTACTGATAGGGTTTGAGCAAGATCTATGGCATCTGTGGCTTCAGGATAATTCCAATGCTCTGTACTTTCGGCTGCTTCTGAGAGTATTGTAAATAGAGCTTCTGCTACAGTTGGCGAGAAAATAGTAGGATCCTTGGCCGCGTTGGTGTCTTGGGTGACTAGTAAATGTAGGCATTTGAGGACAAGACTCCTCGGAGAGATACGCGACGGGGGAGCCTCGCCCCAAATCGGTAGTTCGCGCAACGTAGTCTGAATGGCGAGAATGGATGACTGCGCTCTCTTCGATAGGTTGCTCTTCCGGTCTCGGGCAATTACTTTGATATCTCGAGATGCGCCGAGAAAAAGAGCAAACATGCCTGCTGGATTCCCGAGTCTGACGAGCTGCTGGATGTGTGACGAGGGCCATTTTGCAAGTATCGTTACAAGGATAGACAGGATGAGATATCCTGATATCATGTCCGTCTCTTTTCCAACATCTTTTAGTAACGCCGCCTCAACGCCATAGTCGCGGCATTGCCTCATAAAAGTCTTGTCCTTAATTTTTTCAGCTACCTGTAGCAATGCAGCCCTTCGAGACGACGATGGTTTATTATTTGGAGAGCCGATCTGGTCGGCTAAATCTTGCATCGTGTCAGCTACACGAGAATTCGCTCCAGCTTGCCTTAATTCATGGATGTCTTTGAGTTTCGAATTAGGCGAGTTTAGCATTGCAGGATCTTCGTCGTCGATTGCTCCCTGAGCGCTGGCTGTCTCTTTCGGGGCTCGAAGTTCCAAACGCCTTCCTTTTAACGGGAACGATATTTCCTCCGGGAAAGTAAGGGCCTCCAGTATATCCCCTTCCTCCTCCAAAACCTTTCTCCCTTGGCCATACGTGTATTTGAGCGCACTACTCGAGCGCGCAAAAGTTCTGGTGCCCGTGACTTGCGTCACTCCCGCCTTGTGGTCAGGGGTCTGGGGTAAGGGTTGTGAGTCCATCATTGAAATATCACTTGGCTCATGACTCAAAACCGGTAGACTTAAAGTTTGCTGACTTTCGGCGTCTTCGTCGGCTGATTCTATCGCATCGTCCTTCGTTTGTTCTACCAGTGCGTCGATCAAGCGCCTTTTACGTCTTTTCGAAACGCTTGAAGGAACCGAATGCGAATGAAGCATTGGCCGGACCTCTTCATCCTCTTTATTTGAGGAGACACCTGGGACCTTCGGCTTTGCACTTGCTTCGCGGGCGAATCGCAAGGGGATTTGATGCTTTATCTTCTTTTGCTTCGCTTCGCCCGCGGTGTTTGTACGTAATGTTGACGATGTTGAACCTTTCATAGTAATAGTTGACGGCTTTGAGGTTCGTGATAGAGTAGGCGTTTGAGGGGGGCTCGATAGGCTAGGCTCAGATGTGCCCATATCCATAGATTCTGCAGAGTTGGAGCGTTTGCGTTGTCGCGCATTTGGAAGAACGGTTTGGTGGGCATTAGCAGGTACAGATGGACGCGACTGTTGTGGAATACGACCGGGAAGGGCCTTGTTCACTCGGTTCGTCTGAGCGGGTTCTTGCACTCGTCCCTTAGACGTGTACACTTGGGATATCTTGCGTTTTCGATCTGAGCTCTGCACTTCATTCGGCTGCTTATTCGACTTAGGCTTCGGCTTTGCATCTGTTGTCTCATCAAGACTTCGAGAAGGCGGCGAGTAAGGATCGCGCGTTGGTGATGAGATTAGCAGCGGTCGGCGGCGCGTTACCGTGGCTTTATGCTTCGACGTAGAGTCATCGTCTTCCGGGATAGGCGGGAAGGCGGTGGGCGTAAAAGTTGTCTTGGGTTGCCGTTTACGAGGAGCCTTTCCATAAGTCGTCAAGGTTTTCTTGCGCGGAACACTGAAGTCTTGCTTGGTAGACATGATGCCTAGTGCGTGATCGGATACTGTTACAACAACCGAAGTGGTACCATTAGAGGGTTGGTCAATGGTGCATAACGGGTAGAAAGTGGTTGCGGGTTTGCGGGTTTGCGCAGTGTGAAGAAGAACTTTGAAGGGGTGAGGTGGAGTTGGTGTGTGAATAAAGTGTAAGGTTTATAGTTCAAAGGCTACGAGACGCGCCTACTTGTAGCCTTGCAACAACAAGGTCACAGTGGATAAAAAGCAAGGTATTAAAACTTGGGTGACTGGGAGGTGCCAGGTTTTGGAGGAAACATGAATGTGCAAATAAACCCCAGTTCCAAATTCAAGTTCAAGAAATGGGTAGGGAGAAGGGAGGGCAGGAAGGAATGAATGGGTATGGTCAATTAACCAAAAGTGAATAATGAATAGGAGAAAATAAAAGATGATTGATGCGAATGGTACTGAATGATACCGTGATGTTGCTAAAGGTTGGAGAATGATTCGATGTTTCTGATATTTCTCCAATTCATTTAACCAGTCGATTTGTCAATATTGCCGCGTTGCTCTTGCCTTGTTAGCTACTTGTTAGCTACTTGTTAGCTAATGACGGAAGCATCCAGTGTCATCCACCCATTGAATTCAGCTGCCGTATATTTTCCCTTTGTTGACTGGTCCAACTTTGGCGTCGGTGGTGTCCGTGGTGTCGGTGGTTGTCCGTGTCTGCCTTCCCAGTTCTAAGCTGAAGCCTGGGTGGCACTGGGTGCAATTGAGATACGAAGGTTCAATGTTGCAGGTGGAGGGGTTCATTAGCGTGCCAAGACATGGGCCATGGCAGCCACGGTAGCGATAGACCCAGATCAATCCCTACTGTGTAATAGAAATATGCCCTATTGGGCAGCTGATTACTGTGTACGTTAGTATTTTATATAAAGTTGGGGTTTATCTGGAAGTTTATCAACACAACCCCTCGTTCATTATCTAAGAAGTACTATTATGTACATAGTAAGAACAGTTAAAGAACTACTAAGAAGAAACAAGTTTGTACTTATCCATACCTAGTTGCAAGCTAACTCCACAAGCCTCGATTAAAGCGTAAGATTATCACTGTATTAGAATAGACCAAGAAATAACCTATCATATAACATTGACTATTTTCACACTGAGGGTTCCCTCGTCTCTATTTAGAACCATTTTGGACTCCATTGGGATTCGGTGTTGTCAGTCCTCTAGTCCCTCTCTTACCTTATATTCTCTGCTCAAATTGTGACGCCTTCATCATTTTTCCTTGCTTCTTTTCAGACCTTCTCAACTTCGACTATCTTCTCAAACTTGCCAAGATATACTTACTTACTTTTACCTATCTATCTACTTACCCGCCTACATAATCTACCAGATCATACCTATGTAAGTTGCGCTGTCGAATCATCCACCTAAGGATATTCCTATAATTACCTACTTAGCACAGTCTTAGCTACGCCATATGACCTTCCTTAAGTGAACCTGCTTCTTTAGGCATCGCTGGAAAATATATACTATTCACATAGCGTGCCGCCAATTATAAACCCCATTTATTCTACATTCGCTCTATCCAAACGCTAATACTAGGTATCTTTGAAAATAGATAGGATGGCTACGACGTCTGGAACTCTTCCCCAAGTCGGTCCCACGCAATGCGTAGGACCTGACTACCGGGAGCCCAGTCAAAAGCCTGTTGCCACGGTTTCGACAGAGGTCGAGCATGATAATGTCATTACATTACCACAGACACCACAGCTTATTGCGCTGCTCACGTGAGTGATTGCCCTATTTGGCGACTTGGGCATATTAATTATGCTCAAATCACTCATACATTATTCATGGAACAGGAAGATCCGCGATAGGAAAACGGAGCGGGCCGACTTCATTTTCTACTCGAACCGAATCATTCGTCTCCTTGTCGAGGAAGGGCTTAACCATCTGCCCGTGGTTGAACACACCGTGACTACTCCCGTCGGCCGCACTTATGCGGGGCTGATGTTCCAGGGGAAGATATGCGGTGTTTCTATCATGCGAGCTGGCGAGGCCATGGAACAAGGTCTTCGAGACTGCTGTAGGTCAGTAAGGATCGGTAAGATCTTGATCCAACGGGACGAAGAAACGTCAATGCCGAAGCTTTTCTATGATAAACTGCCCGAGGATATCTCCGATAGATGGGTTCTTCTACTCGACCCCATGTTTGCAACAGGTCAGATAGCCACGTATGTCGTATTCTTGACCACACGGGGACTGACTTGAGATTGGCTATATTAGGTGGATCCGCCATCATGGCCGTAGACGTCTTGAAATCGCGTGGGGTTCCAGAAGAAAGAATACTTTTCCTAAACCTGATCGCCAGCCCACAAGGGGTTCAAAACTTTGCAACCAAGTTCCCTAAGCTTCGGGTTGTCACTGCATTTATTGACCAGGTGAGAAGTCCTTCGTATGGCCCAGAAACTTACCATTACAAATACTAATCTGGGACGCTATACAGGGCCTCGACGAAAAGAAGTATGTTGATGAAATCTTTCGAGTCACTCATGCATTGCTGACCTTTCTAGTTATATCATTCCGGGCCTAGGCGACTTCGGAGATCGATTTTACACCATGTAGAGCATACTACTCACAATTACAGGCGCGTGTAGGAAATAATAATGGATATCAAGAGGGTAGAACCTTGCATTTATTACTCCCTATAGCCCAGTCATCGCCTCTCTGTTGCGAGGAGTAGGACGAATGAGCCTTTTTAAAAGTAATCTGAGCATGCAGTTCTAACTGCAAATGACTATGGTATAGCCACAGGATGGCATGCGAGCGTGAGTGTGACCCATAACCATTGACAACAATGACTACCTAAGTAATCTTAGGTACTTTTCCATGAATCATGTACTCGAACATTGCGTCGTGTGCCAAATGGTTGCCACTGTAATTATTGATTAGTCTATGGAAAAATCCTCCAGCCTAGTACTCGTCGTCGTCCGCCACGATTCCATCTCCTTCGTACCTGCGATCGTCCTCATCGTCGTCGTCATGTCGGTTTGCTGCTGATGGCCTCGGCCCTAGGCGAGATGATGGGCCTGGTGCAGTTCCACTACCACCATCCTGTTCATCCTTTTCCTTGGCTACGGCATCTGTTTTCAATCGTTAGTAGGTTTTCGTGTTACGTAGGATTCCTCGCAGAATAGCAGAGTGTTTCTAGAAGCCGGGAGTAGTATACCTGCTGCGTCAACCCATTCGGCGTAGACATCGACCGCGGCGGAAAGATCTGGTGTACGTGTTAGCAGCTGGGTAGGTAGGGTCGATCGTGTAATAGTGCTTCTTACAGTTAACGCCACACTGAAATTTTTGTCCGCAGACCTTGCATTCCAATGTTCCGACTCCGAGCTTTTTGTTCAAGTTGACAGTGACAGACTGCTCGTGGTTGCAGAAGAGGCAAGTGAAGACTGTGGGAAGGGGATCATTCTATAATAATATGAGTCGGTAAGTGTTCAATCTGGAGGCACGTTGTTTGTGTCGCTGTCTGTCTTTCAAACCGTCGTCTGAGTTAAGGTAATGGGGAAATACCTTCTTCTTGCCCTGAGGCTTTCGCGAACTCTTCTTGCGCTTGCCCTGTAGTGATGGGATCTGTCAGCAAAAGTTTTGACCATAGCCGCTTTGTGCAAGGAGTTGCCTGCTGCTGCTAGTACTTACCATGTTGATCAGGAAGAGGATTCAATCGGGGAATTCCTTTGATAGATGAGCCGTGGTAGAACCAGGTCGGGCGCGAAAAGGTGTGGATATGAGATCGAAGAACTAAAAGTTATTTGATCGCGGTCAGTTTAACTATTTCCCATCTCAAATTTGGGGGAATGACGTCGGCTGGTCGCGTAAAGGAAATCACCGTGCGCGCGTTTAAGTTCATACGCACATTCAAGTTGTACTGTGTAGCTAATAGCTATATATACGTACCTAAGTACCCTAGGTAGTTACCTATGTAGTACCTAGTAGTTATATAGTACTATGTAGGTAGTGTAGGTCTCTACCGAATTTGACGTAACTAAATGGGAGTTCTAAGGTTACCTATGCTGTCAGCTCCCAATGGTGCAGATATTTATGACTATTATAATCGCTCTTACCTCTTGTTTATGCGCAAATAAAAATTCAGCTTCAATAGTAGCAAACAAACCCTTTGTGAGTTGCCAATTGCACGTGTGTTGGTGTTTCTGAAAAGCTTGTCCAGTTGAGTGTAGTACGCCGTACTTGGGTAGAGATGATGCATGTGTTCGATTGGATGGTCAAAACGTGCACTGATAAACTACAGATATCGGAGCACCTTATCGCTTAGTGTGGAGTTTAGCAGCAAATGGGGCTTGGCTGCTTGTGTGGAATACATATGCAGTTATGTGGGTTAATAGCAGTTAGATCACGTTCGTACCCTCTATAAGCATATTTTATAGAGGGGTGAATCCATAATGCTCCATTCTTGACGAGATACTCACGACTGATATAGATGCAATCATGTATTCTTTGATCTTTTAGTTCATTAATTAGGTGTTATCCTGACAATCTTTATTATAACATCATAACATCAACATTGAATGATAGCATGTACGTGATACAACAATAAAATGCAGGTACGAGCTACATCCAGTGGAGACTGGTAAGTGGTCTACACCTAGTCCGGTGGATTACATAGTACATACATGTAGGAAAGTCAATAAAGTCAGGTGTCAGGTGCCAACTTTGGGTATCTACTAATACATAGTACTAGTTATTGAATAGGTATGTAGATAGGTACCTTATCTATTGAGCTTTGGGTACTTACAGGCATATGCCATGTATAATGCCATGTGAGTAGGCACTGGCACTTAGTTACATAACTCCTACATATACGTGTGTTGTGTATGTCTGTACTTCTCCGGCGCCATTCCAATTCGTCGAGTAGGAGTCAGGTCCACGATATTCTATTAAATTGTACATTCATGTAGGGCAGGTCCGAGTACTCGGTACTTGGGACATTTAATCCAAAGTTAGGCGCCTCTTCTTCTTCCTCTTCCTCGTGCCGTTGGAATTCACCGACCACCCATTTGCATGTTGATTATTTCAGAACAACCTGACTTACCGCAACTCACCCAATTCTTTTGAGTCTCATCCTGAGTTAATCATATTGTTATCGTTGTCCTTAAAATAAGAAGCATCAATAAATTTACAATATTCTTATCTCGAAGTCGTTATACCTATTTCTACATAGAACCTCATCTCTCTTCATCTTTCCTCCTCTTTCTCTCTCTCTCTCTCTTCCTCTTTCACCCTCTCTCATACACCTTCTCTCACCCTCGACCCCTCTACTTCCTGAAATTTGTTTCTCGTCCAGCTGTGATAATGGCAAGTTCAGGTTCAGGCACAGATGGTGCAGTAGGCATGGCCGATGTTCTTCAGGCCTTGAAAACTATACAAGAGAGCCAGAGTAGATTAGCAACTGAAGTTGAATCCGTTTCCCATCGACTTGATGCTATCACCCCATCCGTTCAAGTGCCAAGTTCTGGTCTCACTAAGGAAGCCCTTTCAGCTCTTGCTGTGGTTCCGTCCTCTCCGGTCCAAACGGCTCTGACCGGCAACGACCCCGACCCCGACAGCACTTCTGTGTCCGGGGAGGTAGTCCAAGCACAGAAAGCAGGCTTCACATCTCGCATCATTCTCACGTAAGCTTTGCAACTTAGTAAAACGCCATAAGTAATACCGAATTAACTATCGGTTAGTACGTATCCTAAACAGATCGGTATCAACCCGATTTCACTCAATTGGGGTGCTTCGGACGCTATCAGCCGTGGTCCCGTGGTTGTTTCTCGATCATCGTCCACGATCCGAAGACGAAATGGTGAGTCTACCCGTCCCCTCACGCTTTATTTAGTCACTAACATCGGGTTCAGCTATCGGAGGTAAGTTGTGCTTCTCTGCCAGTATTTTAGGCAACCCCTTTAACTCTATGATATAGCACATGGCGGCTCCTATTCCATTTACTTCGCTCTTGCTGTCGCTAGCAAGCAGCTTAATGTCAACCACAGGTATGAAAAGGCCAGGCAATACTGATCTTGAGTTTGACGTTGATCGTAATGTGGGATATAGACCGGATTTCACCAATACGGAGCCAGCAGCCAATATTGGCCCATTTCCCCAATGGGGCGACAAGAAGAAGATTGTTGCTATGGACCCATGGGGTCATTTAGCGCCATGGCTCTTTTCTGATACTGTAGAAAAGGAGAACGGTATGGAATAACGCTCGGCGATGCATGAATTCCTATATATCACATACTGACGGGCCACGACAGTTGACATCCGCCCGACTATTGCTATTACCAAGGCTCATATGAAGGTAAAGGGTCTGGACTATTCATGTTATCGCCATTACTAATTCGCAATAGCTTCCCGAGCTCGAGGAGAGTGTTCGAAGTGGTAGACTGTGTGTACCTCTACCATTCTATTTATTCATAAGCTAATATGAATATAGCGTCCCTGATGGGAAGGTCTGCTTGAATAGCGCAGGTGAACTTGCTGTGACCAAGTTCGCAGTTGAGCCAGTAAGAAATGCGATTTATGAAGTTTAAAGTGGTGCTGACTATAATAGGTTTGGTATCTTCCTGGCGTAGCTGAAAGATTTGGCATAGGTATGTATAGCATACTGAAAGACCGAGGCCAACTTACGATAAAGGGAATTGCTGACTCTAGTAGACGAGGCCGTTCTAAGGCGCTCGCTTTTCGAGCACACTGGTGGTAGTTATCCAGAAGTAAGCAGCCATTAACATACTGACAAGAATTAACGCATTTCTAACTGTCATATAGCTCATCACACGTGGTGACATCAAGGTTTTCTTACCTCCAATCGGTACCTATACCCCTAATGCAAGGGAGCCCTTACCGTCTTCAATGCTGACATCCTTTTAGGCGGGCTGACTGTCTATTGCTTCGGGGACCCAGCAAAGATGTCTGATGCAAACTCCAAGCTAGCCTTGCGTGTACACGATGAGGTAATTTCTCTACACTGATCATTGGCCGGGAGAATTCTGCTTACAGGAGACCTGCAGTGCAACGGTAGTGATGTGTTCGGATCCGATATCTGTACTTGCAGACCATATCTTATCTTCGGCATTGAGGAAGCTGTCAAAGAAGCACAGAATGGTGGCAGCGGTGTCGTCATTTACTTCAGAAAGGAAGGACGAGCCCTAGGCGAAGTTACCAAGGTACGTACTTGCATTACCACCCGGTCCCCGAATTCTGACGATTTATGTGCTAACGTTTGACAGTATCGTGAGTTTGTATGATTGTCCAACTTGAGAAACAAACCCCTAACCATATTTGATAGTTGTATACAACGCGAGAAAACGAGGAGAGGATCGCGCCTCGGACTATTTCAAGCGAACCGAAAATGTAGCTGGCGTGAAGGATATGCGCTTCCAAGCCCTTATGCCAGATATCCTGCACTGGCTCGGCATAAAGAAGATTGACAGGATGCTAAGTATGAGCAAGTGAGTCACACTTCTAGAACGCGTGGAAACAACGTATTAGATGCTAAGACAGCACCATGCAGCATGAAGCACGATGCTATCGTTGGTCAGGGGTAAGTCGATTTCCCGTACAGCGCATCAAAGCCGCTATGTCTAACTAAAAACAGTATCCCTATCCACGAGCGGGTCGAACTCCCCGAGGATTTAATCCCCGCAGATTCGCGGGTCGAGATAGACGCCAAGATTACAGCTGGTAGGCTTACATGGCTAAGAGCACACCCCCCCTCCAACTTTTGGTTACATGACTAATGGGTCGTAGGATACTTCACAACCGGCCACAGGATGACTTCTGATGAACTGAAAGCCGTGCAGGGTCGGATGTGGGAAGAGTAAGTACCACCTCACCAAAAAAAGACTGCACATCCGCATTAACGACAATGACAGCATCGACCACTGATAGAATATGGAACATGGACTGGAACTTTAACTGAACTGAACTGGGAGCTCAGCTGGGGGAACTGGGCCTTTCCCGATGACTGATGTAGGAGTCAACTGAAACTGCGTACGTGTATGCGCACAGCTAGGTAGAAAAACTTGATCTTGGCCTAAAATCCCCGCTTCTGCCATTGCCACGAGTGAGACTAATGTATGTATGTATGTATGTATGTATGGTATGTATGTACATGTATGTTATGTACACTATGCATTGCAAGAGGCGCGTCTGGTCTGTACCCTCTCTTGTGCCCTGTGACTGCGGTCCCCCATCTGTGATATCTTGCAGCGTGTGACAACGGCCCAATTGCAGCATGTCCAAGCGGCGGCCATTGCAGCACAACTACGTAGTTGTACGTTTGAACGTTGAGTCAAAGGCCAGATCAACCAAAAAAAAAATGATCCATTAGACAATCTCGCAGCTTTTCTTTTTTTAATTGAGACAAGTTCGTCCACATCAGCCTTAGAAGGCAGACAGGCAGGCAGGCAGGCAGGCAGGATGAGGTGCATTTGGACAGGGTGAGGAAAGGCCCGCCGTTTGCTTGCCCTAACTAGTGCAGTTAGTGGGTTGATGAGATGCATGGATTGGAAAGATTGGTTAGGTAAGTAATGTACCTAGTAATTAGTATATCATGGCAAGTTATAGTATAGCATTACACATACAGGGGAGTATCATACATAGGAATGGGGGTGGGAGGGGAGGGGAATATCTCGGAATAGGGCCTCGAACCCGTTTGCTGACCTCCTTTTTTTTTTTCCTTGGAGCTTGGGAAGCTTGGGAGCTGACGGGTCGCCCCTTGCTAGCCACTTGAAGCTTGCCGTGTTTAGGGAAAACTGGGGAAAGCTCTTTGTTTTTTTCTTTGCTACGTTGTAGAACGGGATGTATGTGGTGGATGTGTGTAGTACTACAGTAGCCTGTAGCCTGTATGCTGGCTGGCTGGCTGACAGTGGTAGAACTACATACTAGAGATACTACTGTAGGTAGACTCTGAGATGGCAAAGAATGGATACCGGTACTGGGGGGTGTTCAAAGGTAAGCAATGCAAGGATGGGTTGCAGGTATGTTTACTTAGACTAATAGTATGGATAGTATGGTAGTTTAAGAAGATACTACTATAGTATAAACCCCTGGAGCTTCACGAGTGGTTCAGTTCTCTCCACTCCACCTCTCTAACTGGTGCAGAACGGCCCAACACCGCTGCAGGCGACCTGCGCCCAAACCACCCAAGCAAACGGAGACCACACAGCTTCCACCACATGCGAAATGTCCCCATTCGTGAGTGACATGTGGCATCGCCCACAACCGACCGTCTGGGGATGTCGTTCCACAACAGCCGGTACCTAGTAAAGCGCTGGTACTCACTGGTACTAGCGGCCTTTTTTTTGCCTTACTCCATGCTGGTCTTAAACGTCTTGAGATATCCATACATCAACGATGGAGGGGGAGCCCCCTTTGCATTCTCCAGCCTGTTTTTATATTATCAAACTCATTCCTCAAATCGCAACTCTTCTATTCTAGGTTGCATCAAGAAAGCAAGCATTGCTATCAAAACAATCTTAAACATCGCATACAAATCATATTACCTACCTACCTACCTACCTACTTACCTAGGTACCTACAACTATAAATCCAAACTCCGATATACTGGCGCTGAAAGTGAAGATAAAAGGAAAAAATTCAACAAAAATGGCTGCTGCTAGATATTCACCCGATAACCTGTCGCGGAGGGAGGCATCTCCAAGACCCAAGAACGCTGAAAGGCGGCGGCCCCGCTTGCTCCGGGCCTGTGCCACGGAACCTTCCATCACCACATCCAACGCCTGCAAGGGCGTCCTGACGGCCCCTAACACAAGCCGGAGGGCGACCGACTTGCTCAGCCGCGTCGCCATTTCCAATGCCAGCTCTTCACCGCCGTCGGCGCGCAACTATGGCATAGACTCGGCTGAAGGTCGCGACTCCCACTTATCACAATCCGAAACTTCACGTGCGTTAATACCTACCCGCCCACCACATCCTCCCCTCCTCTCTAAAGGGGGAGGTGAGGGGATTGGCTCCTAATATTGAAAGCCTTTAATGCTAACTTGATGAACAGGCTCAGCTTGCTACTTCAGCTTCCCCAGCTTCGATGCATGGGAAGTGGGCGAGCATCCCGATGAGGAGAAGACCGAGAGGGCGCCGTAATCCCGCGACCTTTGGAAATATAAAGAAAAAAAAGATAGAAAAAAAAAAACAAAAAGAGATAGAGAGGGAGGCAGAGAGATGCCTCGTGTGCCAGAAGGAGAAAGGAGAGGAAGAAACTGGAACGATGGGCGTTGAGCTAGTTGAGAGCTGCGAGAGGCACGGAATTCGCCGAGATCCCCCGAGAAATTCTTTTCCTTATTCACGCAATCGAAAAGTCGTCTCACCCCTTCGATGAATGACACGATGAGGCGAAAGCGAAGGCGAACGATAAAGCATTTTTGACAACCGAGTCAACAAGGCGCTGCGGAGTTTTGCGGTTTTTTCCTCCTTTTTTTCTTCTTCGTCTGAAAAATTATCACCACTATTGGCTTGGCTGTACCGATTTTTTTTCCTTTGTTCCATCATATTATGTATATGTTCATCAGGGGGTTGATCTTACATACATACAACGCCTGGGTTATAACTCGGGACAGACAATTGGGGCGCTTGGGCGGATCTCTATTGTTTAATGTTGTTGTTGTTATTATTGTTGATGATGATGATGACGTTGATTCTTGTTATTTCATGATGTGGTTATACCTATTGGTTTTTGTTATGATAGGACACACCTACACACAACACACACTCTGTACAGACATATTTTTTAATGGGCTGTAAAGGAAAGACTATTGCGCGCAAAGCACACGAAGGGAATGGCAATGGCAATTGGAAACAGGAATGGGAATGGGAATGGGAATGAATACCTCCCCCCTTGGGTTTGTAAGGAATCAAACAAAGGAACGAACAGATACAACTGTTGTATGTAATAAGAGATAGCAAAAGCCGACGAGTTGGCAAAACCTCGCGGATTGGGATATTTTTGATAAAATTACTATTAAACTTGAACTCGGTATTTTGTATGTGGAGGAGTTTAAAGGTGCAATATGTGGATTGGCTTTGCTTAAGTTGGAACGATTTTGAAGCTGCATGCGATGAAAAGAACTTGAATAAAGCAAAAAAGAGACAGGGCCAATTACTAGGTATCGATATTGAACAATCGACAAAAGTCAATTCAGTGGCAAGGTGTGAGTGAAAGGTGTAAGGTGTAAGGTGTAAGGTGTAAGTGAGGTTTTACTCTACGCGTTTATATTCATAACCCGTTTCTTCAATAATTGGTAGTTAGAGTAATGCATTTGAGTATTATGCATTTCAGCGCACATATTTCTAGGGCAGTCAAATTACATAATCGGGAACAGCCTTTAGTGTGGTACACTGGTACTACTAGTACAGTACTAGGTAGTTAGTAACTAGTGTACCATCGCTAACAGCACCTATGATTCGACACGTGACTGCCCCACAGGTCAAAGTTGATTTTCGCGCACAAACGAGAAATTTTGGGCGCACTAGATTTCAATGTTCAAGATCCATCCTACACGCAACACCAACAAGCCTTTTTTTTTCTAATTCAACACATCTTCAACATCGTCCTTAATTGCGAGCTACATTGACACCTCGCAAACATGGCGGTAGGAAAGTGAGTAAATCCTGTTGTCTCATTCATCTATAATGCGACAATCTTGAATTTCCCAATTCTCAATCATCTACCCGCGATCTGGGCGTCGTTATACTTTGTGCCCCTCCGCCACCAATACCAACACCAAGGCAAAATAAGAAAGATATATACTAACCTTCTACCCTCTATAGGAACAAGAGATTGTCGAAGGGTAAGAAGGGACTCAAGAAGAAGGCCCAAGATCCTTTCGCACGAAAGGACTGGTACTCCATTAAGGTAAGTCGAGTCCATTTGATCTTCCCTTCCGTACGCACATAAATTTTCTCGAGACTGACAATTTCCCTGTCTAGGCCCCCGCTCCCTTCAACATCCGAGAGTACGAATTATCCCTCCATATCCATTCCCTGGCCTTTAGGACTTTTCGTAATTTCTAACATTCGATATGTAGTGTTGGAAAGACCTTGGTCAACCGAACCACTGGTCTCAAGAACGCAAACGATGCCCTCAAGGGCCGAATCTTCGAGGTTTCGCTAGCCGATCTACAGAAGGATGAGGACCACGCATTCCGAAAGGTCAAGCTACGTGTCGATGAGGTGCAAGGCAAGAACTGTTTGACCAACTTCCACGGTCTGGACTTCACCTCCGACAAGCTGCGATCTCTTGTCCGAAAATGGCAAACCCTGATCGAGGCCAACGTCACCGTCAAGACCACTGACGAATACCTACTCCGACTCTTCGCCATTGCCTTCACCAAGCGCCGGCCTAACCAGATCAAGAAGACCACCTACGCCGCATCATCCCAGATCCGTGCCATCCGCAAGAAGATGGTCGAGATCATCCAGCGAGAGGCTGCTACCTGCACCCTGCAGCAACTGACCTCCAAGCTGATCCCTGAGGTCATTGGCCGTGAGATCGAGAAGGCCACCCAGGGCATCTACCCCCTCCAGAACGTACGTACCTGTCGACACCTTTATTTGTCGTCTTGTCTTGCTTTATTTCGGGATTTTGTATTAATGTGGGATTTCGTCTTTCTAGGTTCACATCCGCAAGGTCAAGCTCCTAAAGTCGCCCAAGTTCGACCTCGGTGCTCTGATGAACCTGCACGGAGAGTCCACGACGAACGAGGATGGACAGAAGGTTGAGCGGGAGTTCAAGGAACGAGTCCTTGAGGAGGTCTAATTATGATGAACTCTGGTCATGGTACGGCGTGGGTTTTTGCAACGGCAATAGGTCTCACTTCTGATTGCATTCGGCGCGGCACGGCAGCCGCGGTTACAGCAGGCCCCTCAGGACAGAAAAAAATGAGAAAGGTTAGCTGAAAAGTTATGGGCGTTTCTCCGTTACCTACGTGATATACCGATATGTTGATTCGTTGTCTTGCTATTCTCAGGCAGTAGTTCATCTGTCTCAAGTTTTTCGATGCATCAACGTGCAGCTCTTCCCTTTTTTTTTCTACTTTGATACCCTTGCCAAAGATGACTTGCCACGTGCATAGATATTGGGTCATCAAGCATCTCAATCCATAATCTTTAATCCATAGGTGGCTCCCACTTCCACTTCCACCCCTCCCTCCTTGATGAGATGCAGTCCACAAGTTCGTAGGTTATAAGTAATTAAGAGTTACAGCAAATATTATAGGACCACATGGACCGTGGTGTAGAAGATGCCGGGGTTTCATATGAAGCATATTTCGGGATTTTATAGCTTAAGGACGAAACTCGAACCAATAGTTTATTATACGTCACAGACCACTACGTGCAGAACACTACAGCAAGGTGACATGGGTAATAGGCAAGTAACATGACAAGCGGTCATGTTAAAGTCATTCATACACACCTAACCTACATATACATATGCACCGCACTGCAGATAACAACATCTACAAACCTAGCTTCGAACCTTGGATACCTACTTTTCTCTATCCTGTCTCTATTAACAATTAAAAAGGGACATTTACGAAATAATATAACGAAAAAAATCTTGGAAGAAAACATCGCCACCTTATTAAGAAAATAAAAAAAAGGCCAGGCTCGATTGATCGCATGACCAATTAATTCGATAATTGCAGCGTGACTATTGATAGGTGCCTCGGTACTTTGCTCTAAACGTTATCTATCTATTAACCTAAGGAACACCAAGACGAAGAAAGAAGAAGCTTCAGGAAACAAGTTTGGATAATTGATACTTACCTACTTGACCTGCCCACTTTCGAAACATCTCTCCCACCTTAAGATTGAAGGATAGAAGGAGAGCGAGCAATAGAAAGCAAGCAGCCTCGGTTTCGATACACTACTTACTTAGGTACCTAGAGATACATATATTTAACGCCTTGCGTCGCCTTTTGCATACCTACGCACCTACCTACATACAACGTTAGCCGACGGACGGACCTAAAGATAAAGAAAGCCACACTTGCCTACTACGCACCAAGAGCGGATTTTATGACTTGAGACAATATACCTACGAGAAAGAAAAAATAGGGACTTGAAGGAGGAGGAAAGGGGGAAAAAAAGGAAAGAGAAAGAAAGGGAAACCAAAAAAAAAAAAAACCATGGTTTCCGAAGATGAGCTGCCAGTGCTCAAGGTCCTGATCATCGGCCCCTCCGGCGCCGGAAAGTCTGCACGTATGTATATGTATTGATATCTAGATCCCTACCCTGCCTGCTTATTCTTATGCCGGAACGGGTTCCGGTCGCAAAATTTCCGCTCTGCACTTACCCGCGCAATATATGATACGGAACGAGATTTAGGCTAACGGCGTGGATTGCTTATCCCGTATGTAGTGCTGTTGAGATGTATGTATGAACCCCCCCAACTACCTATTTACTTCCAGGGCTACCTACCTACTCAGCCTCTAGCTGCCTATCCAGTATTCTATACTGCGCGTTTATCACTACGTCGGATGTATATTGTTAGCTGGGTAGCTAGGCGGTAGGTACTGACCGTACTTCGACGTTCTACTAACACGGTCGTTATACAGATTGCGATGACCAGTTTGACCCGGAGTCGACGACGGCGACGATAGGGATCGATTTCAAGGTGAGATTGATTTCTCTAGAGGTCGTGTCTGTCCCGGACTAATACTGACCTCCCTCTAGATGAAGAAGCTCGCCGTACGGGGCAAAGCGTACCGCTTAAATCTATTCGACACTGTAAGCATAGCCAGCCCCCCAATTACTTACCTACTCTTCCTCGCTCACCCCTATTCTTAAAACAGGCCGGCCAGGAGAGATTCCGCACCTTATCAACTAGTTACTACCGCGGCGCCCACGGCGTCATCATCGTCTACGACATCTGCAGTCGGAAGAGCTTCCTCAGCATGGAGAGGTGGATCGAGGAGGCGAGGTCGAATGCGTCGCCGGATGCTGTGATTTACCTGGTATGTTTTTTTTTTTTTACCCGCTTACTACCTTCGTCCCCTTTTCTCTTGTTCTTCTTTTCGTACATCATTGCTCTTTATGTATTCTCATCTTCGGTTTCTTTCTACTATCCATCCAATGTAGTCTATGTGCACTTCGTCTATAAATTTACTGGGGTATCCATCTATCCATCTATGTATCCCACCAAAAATCGCTAACCACAAACCTACCACCCAAAAAATAGGTCGGAAGCAAACTAGACAAGATAGCCACCAACGGCCGCGCCGTCTCCTTCGAGGAAGGCAAAGCCTTCGCCGAGTCCCAGGGCGCCGGGTTCTGCGAGGTCAGCTCCAAGACGCGGGAGAACGTCCGCAAGCCCTTCGTCGAGGTCGTCCACCATATCGTCCAGAAGCCTGAGCTCCTCGCCGCCGCCACGCCCGCCGCTTCTTCTGCCGGCGCCGGCTTGAATCTGGGGGGTGTCGGGCCGAGATACGCTGGGGATTGCATGTGCTGAAAGGGCAGCGGGATATGATTGATAGGCTGGGATAGGATACGACAGGACAGGACAGGATAGAATGGGATTGGATGGGCATTGCATGTGGTGGCTTTTCGGATTTCTATTATATTTCGGTTTGCGCATGCGCGCGTGCGTATGCGTACTTATGTGTTCGCTCATCGAGTGGTAAGATGAGCAGAACAAGGGTATTGGGGTATTGGGTCTATAGACGCCGAGGTCGACACACGGCAAGCAGGCGTCGATGTATATATTTTCTCTTCCCTCGTTAGAAGATGATATCCCCTCCGTACCTACGAAATAATGACACAACGGCTTTTACGTTGAGAAGTCGCAGGGCTTTATTCTTGCTTAGGTGATTTTGACTCCTGCTCTCTGAGGAACGTTTTGACGGCTGCGTGGGTGGATGGTCTTGTGAGTTTTCTACTAATCTGGGAAGGGAAGGGAAGGAAAGGGAAGGGCAAGGAAATGGGGGAAAGGGGGAAAGGAGGGACTTAAACTTACCCTCCATAAATGGCTGCGGCTTCTCCGAGATGACCCAGTGTCCGCAGTCGATATCGACCAGCTGCATATTCGGGAAGAACCGACGAGTCAGGGGCAAGACCTTATCCGAGACGTAGTGGCTCCTGGTGCCGCGGATGAACAAAGCCGGCTTGTCGAAGTGGGTCGCCTCCGGGTCGTGGAAGGGGAACTTGCCGAGGCGGACGAGGGCCTTGCGCAGGGTGAGGACGGGGAACTGGAAGCGGTAAGGGCCGTCGGGGGAGGGGACGCGGGTCAGGTTCGCGAGGAGGAAGTGCCGCACAAGGGGGTCGGAGACGTAGGTGGAGAAGACGCGGTCGACGTCCTTGCGGCTCGTGTAGTGCCCCGTGTCGATCGCGGTCATCCCTTGCATGTACGTCCAGAAGTCGTGGTTCAGCGGGCTCTCGACGGGGGCGTTGTCGACGGCGATGAGGTAGGCGAGGAGGGCGGGGTGCGTGAGGGCGAGGGTCATGGCTACTTTGGCGCCCCTGGGGTTGTGTGAGCTTCTTCTTTACTTTGCCTCGCTGGAAGGGAGGAGGGAGGCGCAACTCACATGGAATGGCCGATGAGCGTCGGGTTTTGTAGCTGCAAATTCTCGATGAAACCCACGACGTCGTCGGACATGGCGGGGTAGGTATGGTGGCGCGCGTGGGGACTTTCGCCGTGGTTACGTAGGTCCTGTAGCGGGGAGGGTTGAGTTTTAGAAAAGGAGCAGAGGAGGACGGGTGGGCAGAAGATGAGACTTACTACCGCATAGACATGGCGCTTCAGATCTCGAGCTAAGGCTCTTTATTGACACAACACACAACCCTCTAGTCAGCTAAACATGCACATGTTGCTTGTCGTCTCCTCCATCTATCTTGGGCTTCCGAAGAGACTCGAGAGCTGACTCACTGAGACACGGCCCTGAAATTCCTCTTGAACCCGAAGAGGCCGTGCATAAATACTATGGGCGAATCTCGCGCGTCGCGGCCCTCTTCTGGGGGGGTAAAATGGTCATATTTTAACGGGACCTGAGACTGAACGGTTAAGTGGCTGCGCGTGTAGGGCCGCGATATTATTATGCCTCGAGAAGGGAGAGCGAATGGAGAGCGCGGCGAGACGATGCGCCGGGTCGCCATTGTCGACGGTAGGTTCGGGGGTTTCGTGGTGAATGTCTGTGCCTGGGTATGTATCAGTCGCTCTTTATTGTATTAGGCTTCGCTAAGAATCAATTGGCTCTGTTAGGGTGTGTTGTGATTGAACGTCGTTATTCTCGTCTTGTTTTCGGGAAATTTTAGAAGTTAGAAGTGATGGGTACTTAGGTACAAAAATAAATTCAATTCAATGTCGATATCGGAGCTTCCGGTTCGTTCTTCCCGCTTTAAATACAACCTTTAATGCCGAAACGGCAGCCCCTGGTCCCGGCTCTTATTAAATACCTACCTTCCGTATAAAACTAAAAGTCTATAAAAGGAAAATGGATCAGGTACAGCGGCGCGCGTGTGTGGGAAGCAGCACTATACGAGGAGAGGAGGGGAGAAAGGGGGTTATCACTTGGATGTCGATAGTATTCGGGGTTAAGGGTCCCACGACAACGACACCGATAACTTCATTTGCCAAAGACCAGGCAGTAGATAGATATCTAGATACGCTCTATCCTATTTCATGGCCTACTCTACCTCCATCTCGTCTTTGAGCCGCAACGGATAGACCAATAATTCCACGTCGCCGTATAAAAAGGAGACTGGCCACAAATCAGGTTTTGCCCATATATTTATCACCAACGCACACACCATTATCATCATCATTATGATAGCACAAATGACAGCACATAATCAATGTTTTAGAAATATTAAATGAAAGCTCATAGCAAGTAACTAAATACATGTGACTATCATGAGGACCGAAAGCCTTTTGCCTGGCCTCAACCGTATAATCTACTTAGGTAGCCACCTAGGTTAGTGAGCTTCTCTCAGGCCTGTCAAAGGTATTCACATATCTAAGACCCATCTTGCTCCGTCCTAAACGCCATGCTGCAATGCTTTACTTTCGTTTGCCTCACATCCCATAAAGACACCTGACCACCAAATTACTAGGTATCGAAGGAGTGATCCGACGAGTCGAATTCACATAAAACAAGCAAAGAAAATGTTTTAAGAGTTTAGAGGTAGGGCATCCAAAGGGCATCGCACTGTGCAAGGTTCATGGGGTTGACAGCGCGAGCGATCAGGTCGATAACAGTTTGGTTCGCAGGCAGGGTACCCTCGGGACGACGAGCTAGACTGACGGCACGCTTGACTATCATATCGCAATTGGTCTGGACCGTATCGCGGAGTTGGTTCTCGTTGAGATGAATAGTACGATGGCTGCTGGTAAACCAGAAGATCACTTCATCTCTCACGAATAAGGTCAATGCGTGCTCCAGCTCGAATTCGGGTTCAGTTAGGCAACGTGCGATGGCCATGATCGAGCAGCTGAATATGCCTTCCGTTGCTAGAGGTCCCATGAGGGTCTGGAGATTGGGGGTGAGACGGAAAGGAACAGGCTCCGGGTTGTGGAAGAAAGGCTTGCCAGGTGCCATGAATGACATAAGCTCAGAACCCCATATTTTGCCTGAACCACGGGCGATGTTGATCTTGTGGGGATACCTTCCGGTCATGTATAGTATATATGTCATGAACGTGAGTGCTGAGAGTTGGTAGGAGAATCTGCGTCGGAATAACCAGAACTCGGAGAACTCGGGGAAGATGCTCTGGAAGTAGTCGAGGACGATAGTGTGAGGCACCCACTTCTCTTGTATGGCCGTGAATACTTCTAGGCGGGCCGTCGCCGTCTGCTCAGGGGGCTTCTGCAGGGAGTTGTCAGGGCCTGCTAACTTGGAATTAAGACCAATAGTACTTACAGTCGCCTTAGGGTCGATGAGATTTCTCAGCTTATCCATGGTGAACATGACAGGATCATCTTTAAGCATTGAGTTACGCCGACAATGATCTTCATAGATTCCCTGCAGTGTGATATAGGATGTGTCCTCCTGTACAATTCTTATATGAGGAGCAAGAGGGACCATCAATGGCACTGTGAACTGCAGGTCACGACGCCTGCTTTCCTTCTTTTTGGCAAGTGTCTCGTTCAGATGTCGGAACAGTTGCAAAATCCTCTCTTCTCGTCGACAGTGTCGCGCTGCTGGGTGCTGAACAGCAAATGAGTGAACACTACCATCGTGACCACGGATCTTCAACCGCCGATAGGAGCCACCAATGCCTCGAACAAGATCTACGTTAGGTAGGAAGCGATCGATCCGAATAAAATCTTGGTTCTTGTCCTTATGCTGCAAATACTGACCAGGCACCTCGACGTCATCGAACTTTTGATAACGAAACTCGCTGAGGTGACGTGAGTACGATTCCAAGTAAGCTTTTGGATTTCTGCGGTCAAGCTTCTCCTCGAACTTATCACGCCACTTTCTAAGTTTGTGGATGTACTCGTACATCGTTGGCTTCACTTGGACGAAGTCGGCCTCGAATGATTTTTTGATGTGTGCAGGGAGAATGGTCTCGGCGAAACGAGTGATGTTGGTCTCGGTAGCGACCGGAAGCTTCACATCTCTTGCGTAAGAAGCGGGCATCCGGCTCACATATGCCAAACCGTCGTTTAGGAGTGCGACTATGAGACGATATGCATCCTCATCAGGAGGGCACTTGAAATACTTCTGGATTTGGTCCACCATCGTCTCCATGGAGAGTGCAAGTAGAGGGAAAGCCGTCTTGAGAACAGACATAATCTCTTCCGTCAGCTCCCACGGGGGTCTTTTCTGGGCAGGTACCGAAGCAGCGCCGTTGGGTTGTTGGTCGCCATTTGGCCCAGGCGTGGCATTGGCCTCAGATGAATCTATCTTGACCTCGCCATTTGCGGTCGCCGGTCTGGAAGATGACTCTTGTTTCGCCTGAGTATTTTCCTGTTTGGTAAGTGATGGTGAGCCGCTCGGTGGCTTGCCGGCGGATGGTCCCGATACCCTCTGCCGTGCCTTCTCCTTGGCTTCCTGGTTTTTCTTGATAGCAAGCATGTCTTCTCGGTTTGTCCTTAATTGGAAATACAAGGACTGCGGGTATGCCTTGGCTATCTTGAGAAGGATCGCATGGACCTTGGGGGCCTCTTTATGGGCCATGCCGGTCAGAAGTTGTGGTATGAAAGTTATCCAATACCACACAGGGGTTTCTCCCTTGTAATCATCGAAACCGGCAGCAATGCTTCCATTCGAGTCGTCCAAACTTAAAAGCCAGAGAATGCGTGCAATCAGTTTCCGGGCCTTGCCGCTCTTGTAGCTACCAATGGCTTGTAGATACGAAGTTAAGGCTTGCCTGGCTGAATTCATATCCGTAGGATCCTCCTTAAACTTGCGATCGTTGAAGTAACCCCATTCTGCCCAGGCTTTGGCTTTGCCGATGTCGTAGTACAATGCTGTGCCATAAGCTGCGTCCGCCTCGTCCTTTTTACTCTGCTTCTCAAGGAACATTCCCTTCAGGGTGAAAAACTCGGCTTTTTGCTGGTTATTGAAATAGTTGAGGTTGGTGTTATTAATAACATCCAACCCACTGGAAAGCTCCAAGGGATTCTCATAATGACAACGTGCCTGCTCCCTGAGCTTGAGGAACGCTTCTTGAATCTCTATATTGGGGAGTGTATAGATACGACTGAGCTGATTAATGCACACATCAGGGAGGTTGTGTTTGCGGGCCACGTGCGCAAATCTGTTGATAATCCACGCGGTTTCATGGTACCCACGATACGCGAATGAGGCACCGTTTGCTCCTTGGCCCTGTTGAGGAAGAAGCTGGAGATAGGTATTGTTGATTAGCCCGAAGATGTGCTGTCTCCAAGTAACCAAATCCTGCCAATCGGTTATGTCGTCCCATATGTTGGGTAGTCTGTCCCTCCAAGACCCAAGGAGCAGCTTCAGCTCACCCGACTTCACGTCCAGGTTCCCCTGGTTCGTGTTGGCCAAACTCTGGCAAATTACACTGGCGTCGTGCAGTTCAACGAGCTGTTGGAAGTTATGGAGTAGAGGAATATGAGCCGCAGTGAGACGTTTTGGAAGCTGGTGCCACTTTCTTATGGATAGCTGTATAGCTTCATCGCAGACACGGCCAAAGTCTTGAACAGTCTCTTGTTTATTATGGAATTTCAGCAACGACATGAAACTCTGGAAGAAAGCCCGACGAGCCGTGGGAGCGTCCATGACTCCCTTAATGAGCATGTCCAAACTCTCGCGCTGCTCTTGGGTTTGCCACATGTCGATACTTCGCCAAGCACATTCCAGTAGAAGATCTTGGAGGTTCTCGTGCTTTGCAAAGTCCTGCAAGATTTCCCACTGCTGAAGTTTCTGCGCACAAAGGACCCAATGATCTTCCCAGAGCATGTATTCACCCTGGGAGAATGGGATAACGCCCGTCCGAGCTTTGATTTGAGCCGCCTCGTACATTTTCTGTGCCTGGTCCCACATCCCATTCTGTTCGTAGGATAGGGCAGCATTGGTCTCAACAAACTGGCATCGCCGACGCCAGGTGCCGTAGAAAAGATCATCTTCCTTCAGGCTCGAGTACAGTTCAACCAACGCATCAAGATTACTCTCTCGCACCTTAGGCGAGTCGACATCTGGCTTGATCGCCGCATTCTCGAGTTGTACCAATGCAGTATACCAAGCATCGTACGTTTTTGCACCGAATTTGAGGATATGAGGGGGAATCTTGCATTCGGGCCAGGCCTTGGCGGCACCCGTAATCAAGGTTTGCACCACGTTAGGTCTCTTGTCGATCTGACGAGAGTGGAAGTCTTTCGAAAGGAGTACAACCAAACCCTTCTCCAACTCTGTCTTTTCGTCTCTCGCGGTGGCAGACCAAAACATGGGGAATAGAGTTACCCAAAGGTCGTGGGATAGATTGGGGTCAATGTGTTGAAGCTGAGTTAGTGGCTCTGCGATGTCTCGAACCTTTACGTCCCCCAATTCTGCGACAAAACGTCGATGGTTCGCCATAAATATTTCATATTTGTCATCAATCATTGTAGCGGGCTCTCTGGTGTCCTTGGCGTAGGTTCCGAAAACGACAGATGCTGGAAGCGTGCGGAAATCCTGGTGGTGTAGCTGAATGCTAGAGTTCATCTCTACAGCTCCTAGGAGAAGCTGGATGGCTTGAGACAACCAAAAGGAGTCGGCAAGTGTATCCCAGTTCTGCGAACAGATGACATAGGACAGACGAGCCGTAGCTGTCTTAGACAAACTCTTGTCAAATATAGTCAAAAACCGGTTGCGCATCTCGACGTCTTGTGCTCGAGTTCCTATCAAAAAAGCATGCTCCATACGCACAGTGAGTTCGGTTCGCGTGATCTTTGGATCTTCGTAGATGCGGATGACCAATTCGAGAAATTTCGTCAACATTGTTGGGTCACTTCGATGTTCGAACGAGAGCATTTTGTGCAATACGGCCGTCTTCTCTTTGAGCGTTGGCCATGTTCCTTCAGATCGGAACACCCAGCCCTCTACCATATCAAGGATCTTCTCACAGAGAGGTATGTGCTGTGATTTCTCTACTAGAGTGGCCAACACACTTAAGAAGGGTCGGCGATGGTCGCCAAGTATTTCCATCCGCATGGCGGTCACCTGGATAGCTTTGATCATCAGATCCGTCTGAATATTGAGGTCGTACGGTGACAATTCTCCGGACTGAGCATTCGGATCTTGGGCTCGTATGGCACCTGGGCCCATCGCCTGCTGATGTGTAGCCGCGCTAGTATAATGCTGGACATGCTCTCTGGCAAGTTTAGTTTGTAAGGCCTTCATCAAGGAAACAATGTGTTGCTCGATAATCGATGGTTTGCGTTGGCCTAGAGACCATAATATGTTAACCCCTGACACGTAGTTGGCATTTGCCAAGGACTCCGTGGCGATGGTAGACAGGAAAGTGATGATTTCCGAGATAGGGGCTTCTGGTTCGCCTTCACCATCGGCATCTTCCATTGGCACATCTTCTGGCACGGCGTCAAGAATCCTCTGAATAGTTGACCTAACATCACGCCCATCGTCGTATTTTTTGTCTGCTAGGTGGAGGCAATCTTGTAGTTCTGGATTTTCTGACTTGAGGCATTTCTCGACAACCTTCTGGATAGATGCCATGTTCTTCAGAATCCATTCATCAGACTTGAAATTGAGAATGATCCGTACCACTTGTAAGGTATTGACGATGTTAGTAACGAACTTCTCGTCATAATTATCCTTGTCTGCCGGGTCGGTGCCTAGAATCTTAGTAGTCCTCTCACTAGCCAGCACAACCTCAGTAATACTCGGGAACAGATCAACTTCGAGATCACCCCAGTATTGTGGCTGTAGGAGGTTGTATAAAAGTGCCATTGCTTTCTTGCATAGTTCTGTTGACACAGATGGAACGACCGAAGCGGATGATAATGCAGCATCTCTTGGCTTCGCTGAGGGCAGTGGGAACCTCTCGTTAAGTTGTGCGATAAATTCGATCAGATACTTAACCATCTTGTGTCGGAAACTGGAAGGAATTTGGAACTCATTTCTGTCGATTGGAGCGGCCTGTCGAGCGACTGGAGGCGAAGAATGAATAAGTTCCCCATCTAGTCTTCGCTTCTTGGAGATTGGAGACTCGGACAACGTCCTCTTTGAGTCGCTGATTTTACCATCAACTCTCCTTTCTTCCCACTGCCAAATGAGCCACATCATATTTAAAGCGAGTCTTTTACTTTCGGTCGAAGATGAAACGAAGGGAGAAACCTTTCGCAGAGATGTGATAATCAGGAGTGCAAATTTATCCCTGGATTCATAGAATAGATCGGGATGCCTAACAAGGAAGTGAAAAATGCTGGTCATCTGCTGAACGTTCTGCCCTTCTTCAGCCAAGATACGACGCGGTGCCATAGCCCAGACGGCATTACGTTCTCCAGCGTTACGGTCGCCCGGCATGGCCGTACAACGCTGAGGTAATACCGGGGCCATTAGTTCAAGGGCTTGAGTAACCAGGGCGCGCCCTTCATTCTGATTCGTCCTGAGAAGTGAGTAGTACACCTGGGTGACAATCTTCGGAGGCGTCTCGTAATGCGCAATGAAGTATCCTATCACAACATAGGCGGCATGCTTGTTGATCACATCATCTAATCTGATGTAGGTCCAGCCAAACTTAATGATGTCTTTCCTCGCATCTTGTAGGATGGAATGGTGATACTTGACTAACATCGCCGAAAGTTGGAGGACTTCCATTCTTGTGTGATCAATACCTGGCTGTGCCAAGTCATCTTGAGGGTCACCGGGATTAACTTTCCATATCTTGACATTGATGGATTCGATGACGGCCCGATCTACTAATCTCTGTGCTCTCGGCTGATTCCAGTGTCGCATAACGTCCATCGCAACAATTGGATTAACGACATTATGTAGCAGGAAACACTTGGTCTTCTGAGTTGAGCTCCTTCCTGCGTATATGTCCAGGCAGCGAAGGACCACCGATTTCCAGTACTCAAGAGATTCACAGGATATAACATACTTGTAGAGGAAATCAAACAAGGATGGCGTGGCGCGCAACTCTTCTGCTGTAACAGAATCCACGAGACTGAAAAGAGCATCCAAATCCCTAGGATTTAGAGACAGGGCTTTGGTAAAGATGCCCATAAGTTGTTCTGCTGCTTGGTCGGCTGGGAGCCGTAGAGCTGGGGGGAGACTGTTTTTTCGTAGATGGCGTTCCAAATCTTTGCCCGTCTGTCTTAGCCACGAGATCGTGTCCTTGCGCTCCAGCCAATTCTGAGTGTTGGCGTGTTGGCTCAAGGAGTTCAAGATGTTAATAGTGTTCACAACCGCCACGAACCTGGTCTCTTTTCCGGCATTGACAACTTGGGTGCAAATGGAGATCAACCCATCGATATTAGCAGCAGCGTGCTCCCTCAAAGGCTTGCTTTCCGGATCTTGAAGAACCTGGGCTAAGAATCGGCCGTATTTCAAGTCCTCCAGTTTACTCAGCAGAAAGTTCCAAACTTCCGCAGGGTATCGATTCAGGTATTTAAATAAGGGGGGTCGGAAAGGGCTGTGGTGCGTGCGGCGCAGCTTGTCCTCAAGCTCCAAGCAAGTATCGATCAACCGCTCTTTGAACTGCTCGGCGGCAGGTGGTAGCAAGTGAAAAATGTTGAAAACGGCTGCAACGACCTTCATTTGACTGTGCTGCTCGAAGAAGGTGAACGATATTTGTTGAAGAAGGTTCGGGTCTGCAAGAACCTTGATGTGATCCAACAGCCTAGCGCCGATTTCTACTTTGAAGTAGGTAGTAAGGAGACGCAGAAGCCTTGCAAGGTTATCTAGGCCGTGAGTGCTTAGTCGTTTAGGGTCCTGTAGATTGGCTAAAACAGGTCTGAGTCCTTGCTGTAGCAGGTCCTTCGGAAGCTTATTGGTTTGAGAAAGGACCGCCTTTAGAGAGTCATTGGCCGCCTCGATAGTCGGTTTGGATTCCGAGTATAGGCACTTGAAGAAGACTGATACAATCTTGGTGCGAGTTGGATTGGCCTGTCCTTTTTGGAAATCATCAAATCCCATCGCCCTGCTTAATATTTTGATGCAAGAAACCCGAAGGTTCACGATCGATTCATGCGTGCGGAATTCGGCATGTTTACCAGCCAAAGACTCGTCAGTAGCATCAGCTAAAGCTAGGGACTCCATAAGTAGACGGTTGAGATGATCATCAAAAGAGACGAAATCTGGTTTTAAGCTCATGTAATAAGCAATCGCGTCGATGTATCCGATCTGTGTCGAAAACGGTAATGCCCGGAGGGGTTTGGCATAAATGGGCTGTAATAGCCGATCTTTGTGAGGTTGTAGAAGCTCCCAGATCTCTACTCCAGCAGCATGAGCTATGATTTCAAGCGACCGCCTAGCTGTACCCCGAACGTGTTTGTTCATGTGAGACAGCTCATCGTTGAATAGAACACAAATTTGGGTTAGGCGCGAGGGCTTGGGATGAGGTTGGCCTGGCTGTGCAGGGGTAGGTAAAGCATCTTCTTTCTTCACGTTTGTTGTGATTCTCCTGAGGAGGGACTCAAGTGTTGTCTGGGCTGAGTTCCTAGTCTTCTCCGGTAAGTCCTGCGGCATATCCTTAATCACATACATCAAGGCTCGAATGAAGTCCATTTGCTTAGCTGCGACCCAAGCATCCCCAAGATCGACTTCAACAAGAAGGTATCTGATGCCGAGGCTACCACCCGTCTTCGTATACCACTCTTCCTCGTTACAAGCATGACAAAACGTCCTGCTCAGATGGTTGAAAAATCCCAGTCGGCCAACATGGGCCTCAGATCCAAAAATGGTTACAGTAGAATCGTAGACAGCGCGGATCGCCCGGAACGCAGCATCTCGCACGTCGGGTAGATCCGAGGCGAGTGACTCGACGATAGCATCCGCAAGAACCCGCGTATCAATGTAAAGGGGCCCTTCTCCTGCTCGCGCATCGAAAAGGCTCAACTCCTTTTTAACGTCCACAAGGCCTCGCCCGATCTCAATGATAGTGAAATGTCGACACAAATTCATGAGAAAAACATCAGCTTCTTCGCGGAACTCGGGCAGTGACTCGGCATACATGATAGCCTTGATTAGCCGCTTCATGATGTCGTCTTGTTCGTCCTTCTTGGCAACAGATCGCTCTCGGTCCGATGTGTTGAATACCGCAAAGTCAGCCGCTGGTTTCCGAGCGAGAAGATCCTGTGCCTGGAGACGAACCAAGCGAGGAAGGTCTTCAGGCAGATGATCGACCCCAACACGTAGTTTCAGCTGAGATTTGATTAGCTGCAGCGCCTGCTTTTTATAGTATCCGTCAAACTGTCGTCCTGCGTTGGCCTTTGAAGGCTTCGGGATCTCAGTCAATTTACGAATAGCAAAATCTACCCCGAGTTCGGCTGGAAATGCACGATCCCTCTTTGACCCTATAAGTCGCATATCGAAGCTAGAGGGGTCATCGGCATACTTCTGATAGTTAACAGGGAGCGCTTCCGTCATGAACTTTCGGTTCCTGCCACCAAGTTTACCGAGGATACGCATTGTGGTGTGGGCGTGGAAATGACTGTATGGGTGCGGTTTAAGGTGTTCGAAGAGCGCGTTCATTAGATCTTCTATGACTGGTGCCATTATAGGGTCCAAGTAGTCTGCAGTGAGGTTATCTACACAGAGCTCGAGGGTCCTAAGTCCCTGACCTACAAGATCCGTACCGGCCCTGAGTGCGACTACCAAGGGACGCATCAAGAAGCTTAAATGGGGCAACAAGTTACTTAAGCGTGCCGGTACCGTGAGACACAACTCAACATAGAGATCCCGTTCTGTCGGTTTCCGCGCTGCCATCAGAAGATTGTTGAGAACGTCAAGAAGCATTTCTAGGAGAGGCAATATCTGCTTATAGAGGTGTTCAAACTTCCCGCCGCCAATGCTTCTGAATAACGAACGAAGGAGTAGAAAATAATTCATAGGCTCCTCGGCCTTGGTTGATAGATCGATCGACTTGGTGACAATATCCACAACATGTGGAAGAAGAACCTGTTCGTTTTGATTCGCGAACAGGGTCACTGCCATGAACGCAAGCTTGAATAGCCGTAAGAGGATAGACGATCGTTTCACGTCAGCTGAACCAACGTCGTCAATCCGCTCCATCAAAAATTTTAGGAGCATGCCACAAAAGCTCGGTGACGTGGCTTCGCTCGCTAGGAAGAACTGAGGAATATGTAAGAGAGCGGTATGTTCGAAAATCATTTCGTAGAGGCGAGGAATCTCCTGCTGGAACACTTCGTGGAAGGTGGCTGGGTCAATACAATGGAATACGGTCGCAAAGGTTTCCAGGAGGTCTTTCTCCTCCTTGCTACTTGAAACCATATAGAAATTAGCCATATATTCAACTGGGGAGGCGTATTGTGATTCGGCGAGCGGCTTTTCGATCTCGTAGTATCGGAAAACGTAAGCCCCTTCTCGGAAGAGCTTAACAATAACCTTGACCTCCTCGGCAGAAAACCCGTACGACACATCCTGCCAATGTGCTGGCGCATTCTTGGGGTCGATCTGTATTGAGGCATTACATGTTCTTAGCTGATAGAACGTGTTTTTGAGGCCATTCATCAGGTTCTTGAACAAGAACTTGTTATCCGCAACTGGGTCAGTGCCACGGTCTCGAGGGTTAGATGTCTTTATCGGCATGGCTGTGAAGATATCGGTTTCGTCCCACATCGGATGATGTTCCTTGTCTGCAAGATATGTATCAGGGACCTGGTCGGCAGCTTGCTGCGCATAGAGCTTAGAAAGCTTTACGGCATTGGGGTACTGTCTATTCATTGCCGCAAACTTATCGCCAATGGCATTGAGAATCATGAGCAAGTAATGTCGAGCGTCAGCTTTATTTTGCATTTTTGATATGCATTCTGCCATGTTCAATAATAGCTTCGCGCTCATCGTCTGAAAGCTGGTGCCCGGGAAATTGTCTTGCAAGTTCTTCGTATAAACCTCAACCGTCTTTCGGATTTGCTCTGGGGAGAGCGACTCCCGAACGTGGTGTATCAAGTCGGCCAGCATACTATATGCCAGTGGCCTAAGAGTGTCGTAAACCGTCAAGCCATCTCCAATCAACGTCTTCTCTTCTAAGAGCTCATCAATCTTCGGAAGGAAAATCCTCCGGAAGTTGAAATTTATGATATGACGTATCGCAACTAGCAGCTCCTTACGAGCTGCGGACTTCTCTCTTGGGCAGTCCCTGAGTAGCCGAACCACAATCTCAGGCAGCGTCGGTAGGAAATCGGCAAGCTGGCTAGAATATTGGCGAAGTAGGTATGCCAAAAAGCTCATCGTTTTCACTTGAGCTGTGATGAATTCCCCGAAAGCCGCACGATTCTTGATGTTCGGGCTAACTCCTGCAAATACGACCCCTTTAGATTTCGCCTCGCTGTGGGCCTGTTCCTGTGCCTTGGCCTGGAGGCACAGTACAGCCTTAATCAAGGGAACGAATGCCTTTACATTCTGCTGAATGATATTTCGATATGTCTGAAAAACGGAAACGACAATGATTGGGCATTCGGATAGAACCTTGAAGGACTGCATCCCTTTTAACAAAGGCCGGCTCTGCTGTTGAAGATCCTGACCCAAGTCTGTAACTGATGCGACTGGTGATCCTGGGCGCGGCGACTGGAAGTTTGTCTGCGTGCTACCAGGCGTAGATGGTGGCCCCGATGCGTTGAACGGAATGGTTGGGCTATCGAGTTGCTCTCTCACAACTTTCTCCATCTGCTCGAAAAGTTCCTGGATCAAGTCCAAGAATGGTTGAACTTTCACATGCAGCACCTTAGGCTGATGCCTCATGACATCTGATATGATCTTCACACATAGTGTAGCATTATCTTCGTTATCATTTCGAACCAGGGTCATTAGGATGTCAACTATCTCTTCGGCGTAGGGTTCAAAGGGTTCCGGTGACGTTTGAGGTTGAGAAGTAGGTAATCGGTGCAGAATCTCGAGGACGCAGTTCCTGAGTTTCTAAAACCGTAGTGTTTAGCTATAGTTACCACACACATCAAGATTTAAGTAACATACCTGCTCCGGTGATGTGCTGTGGAGAAGACATGGTCCTCTGAGGATGATAACGAATATTGGCATCAACCTCTTGAGGAAATTGGCATAGTGAGGGCCATTTGTATAATGGTCGAGGCTATCTCGCAGCGAGGTAGCGGCCTCAAGTTTAGACTTGGGCTCTACAAAAGTAAAGGTTAGTTATAACCGCAAAAAGTCGGAGAGTAGAGTAGGATAAGTCACGGAATAGCATATGGGCCACGTACCAGTTTCTTGAGTTGTCAGCCTCTTGACGATATCCTCAAGCGCTGGCCCCGACATGACTGCGACCCCCGCCTGCGCGCAGTATTTAACCCGACTTTACCATGTAGTATTCATGTGTGTGTTTATGGGATTCGGACGCAATTATCGTATTAACATCAGCGTGAGATGACTGGCGACGTGGTAGTGCACAAAAGTGTTGTAGACTTTGTTTAAATAGAATATTCCACTCCGAATCAATGGTATGGTAAAGGTAGGGATCAATCCCAATTGACTACGTAAAAGAGAATGGTGATGTGGTGGACGAAGGCGTGTAACACTACCTCCAGAAAACGACGGTATAGATCGATGCGACGGAACCGGGTAGTTTCTAAGATATATGTGGTTTGAGATGACAGAGGCGCAAAATATATCTACGCCTTATCGAGTGTGCCTGTATCAAAGAAGAAGTGAAGAAATAGAGGGTATCATGAAGTTATCAAAAGAATTGTACAGGCTGAAGTTTTGTCGCGATGCTGAGGTAGAGGTAAAGAGGTAGGTAGGTGGAATTGATTTGGAGAAGCTCAAAAAGTTGAGATTCGCGACCAGGGACCGAGAATGAATTTGGAGGTGGGCGCGACGCTTGACGCATCGTACATTTACAAAGCTAGGCTTTATTGATTTTCCGAAAGCCTAACTTAGTAACTTACATAGTACACAGTAGAATGTACATAATTAGCTAACATGGTAAGACCTTGATAGGCTTACCAGGATTACGAACCAATCATATTACTAGCTCCCGTATAATCTTTATCGATACCTGACCTTGAACTACATACGGCGTAGTACCCGTGGCTCTGGACCCGTAATAATTCTAGAAGCCTGGGGTAAGTCCATAGGACCATAGGGTACATAGTTATCTTTATCAGTCCTGATATCGGAGATAAACTGCAATCACTACGTAGGAGGTATTATGTATGTCATATTTGATGGACTCCATAACACTGAACCATTCCTACTAAATTATAGTTATATCAACCTTGAAATACAGTGCCTTTTCCAATAACGAACAATATTACAGACATTCGGTTATGATTACACCAGGGCAAGAAAAGTCCTAGTACGATAAATCCAGTACACTTTTTCGAGTGATACCAAGGTTATCAATATCTTGTCTTCACTATAACTCTCCTCTCTATATATATAGTAGATACCCCTCGTATACGTCCTCAACTCGGCAATTTCGATTCTCGCACAAATCTCTAAGCTATCAGTTTAACACGGAGCATCTAACGTTAAAAAAAATCCCCGAATTGTATCCGTTACGTGCAGTCCAAAGGAAGCCATGTCAGAACGCACTTATGCAGCATTCTTTTATGGTGAGTTCATATATTCCCACCCTTTCTATCTCATGTGTTGTTGTTAATCGTTCCCAGGCACGCTAGTGAGATACTCTTCAAGAGATGGCTCGGGGAGACTGTGCTGATGATTACCAAGATGGCCCCCGAGGTGTTCTTCACTGTCTGCTATAGGTCCTCGACAATAAACGTGGCCTTACTGAAGAGTCTTCACGAGTTCAAGCCTGCCATATTACATAAATATTGCCGTCGGTAGGTCGATCTTATAGAATGCTATTACCTCAGAGTCAATATGCCTTAGTCAATCTACCTCTTTCCATGTACCCGAAATTATTTGGTCTTTTCTTTCAAGCTTGGAGCACACACTCTATTAAAAGAGTCTAACATAAGCTTGATAGTCGGGTGAAAAATGTGGATTACCCAGGCATTACACCGGATGAGGACCACGAGGTCAGGGGAATGTATGTGACGGGACTGTCAGACGCAAACATGTATCACCTTGACTTCTTCGAAGGGAGCGAGTACGAACGACGGACAGTCAAGGCTCGCTTACTTTCTAATGTTGGTGACGATAAGGGGCATGGTAATGTTGAGGGCGAAGAGGTCGAATGCGAAGTGTACGTTTTCAAGGATACGAGCCAGCTAGAGAATCGCGAATGGGACTTTCAAGAATTTCGAACACAGAAGATGAAGAACTGGACGCGGGAAGATTACGGTTTTGAGGATACCGACCATCTCGCCCCAAATGGTGTTGAGGGTGAGGAGAAGGCCGCAGCTGTCTGTGAGTTTCTGATATTAGAGCTCTACCAAGCTCATGCTCTTATCCATGCTTTTCTAACCCGGAACAGGATAACGAAGGATAACCACGATATGGGCCAAGGTCTACACCAACCTGCCATTATAGCAGCGTATACTTGCATTTCTATCTCATCGGTATAGGCTAGTGAGTTGATTAGGTAGGTATGCAACGTTACAAGTCGCCCTCCTTTTAACACCTTTAATTTATACGTAACTTGATGCTTCGAAGCCCTTGGTATAATGAAGCTGTATTTGGACTTCGCTTCTGAAGGAGCCTACCACATCACTGTTCTGAGATGTAAAGAGTAGGTACCTGTAGGAAGAAAATCCAAGGCGGACTCACCTCACAGTCTTATGGTCTCGGCCAGTTCCATAAGTCTGCAGACACATAGGGAGATGACGTTGAAGTTTCATGTTTCTCCTCGTAGATCACTGCATAACACTACAGCGTGGGGTGCATCAGCTATAATAGATAGAAAAGGGCCCCCAAAAAGACTTGAGGATGTTGGTTTCGCGGTAGGCTGTCATACTACCTTCGAGCAGAGTTGCTATCAGTGTTGAAACGTGGGCTGACCCAGGTGAAGCCTCAATAGTTCTATCTCAATGGCTGAATCGTGTGCTTCATAAACCTGCAACTACACAGGAGGCTCAAATAATTCGTCAGCTGCGAGGTCAGACTCCTATTCTCCCACTTATCGGCCATTAGGTCAGCTTCAATTTACGTGCAACTGTAGGTAGGTGCATATGAAACCAAGTCTACTCATAACGATCGATCCCCTCAACGTAGCCAACTAAGAAAGGCGACGAGCGGCACATAAGACACATCTTGAAATCGTATGTGTGCCACGTTGATTATAACAAGCTTGTCTGTGGCTACAGGTTAGAACTTGTAGCGCAAAAGAATGTCAATGACATGCTACATACTATGAATTCTATACCAAACCCTCCTGGTCTAAGCTTAACAAGATCTATTTTCAGTTCTTTTTGACAACAAGTTCGGGTTGTTTCATCGATCGAGTCCCATAATTATCCGAGAAACATTCGTAAGCGGGAGGCGTATGGAGGCTGACATACATACATGTGAGCACTTGCATTAACATAATATGCGCGTTGCCAAGGCAGAACGATGGCGGGGTTCTCTTCTTCTTTGGGACCACAAAGCTTTTAGCAATGCTAAAAAAAAATCCCCGAATAGACATCTAGAGGAAGCTTAACTTTTCCATGTTTATGCGTTATCTTGGTCGTACGTTGGAGTCGGCTAGGAGAAAAAACCCACGTGAAGACTTGACCTTGGCGCCTTGCGAAGAATGGTGTGATAGGTCTATCCACCAGGAATCCCTTGGAAACATTTCAATTTAAACCCTGGTCTAGCCAATGGCGTACGTAGGTCCTGGTTTGTTTGCATGAATATTGAAGGCTTCATAATATACCTGACTTACTGTAGGTATGCATTTTTCTACAGCCACCTACATAAACACCGAGGTGACGTCGTCAGCAAGTTTGCGTATGCCCAAATTGCAGTGTCTAAAGTTGGCATTGAGCCATGCGGGTGTATGTATCTACACTCTGCAGGGAGACGATTCGTGAGATGTTGGCTGGCTGTAGTGTCCGATGAAGAGAACTGGAATCGAGATAGTGTCTTTGGTAGAGTACAATCTATGTATCTAGAATATGGATGTATTGTGCATAGATCCCGCTCAGCCTTCCCGAGCCATTCGGGAGCTTCCCACTCGCGATAAACCAAATCGTATTGTTTGATGCCTAGCTTTGGTGTACATAGTAATACGAGATGGCGACAGTTGCATTTGTTGTAGTGGCTAGGATTGAATCAATAGGGTTAGACTTGAAGGCAAACAATACGGATCATCCCATGTGCTATGTATGTACTATGTACTACAACTACCTAGTAGTCTACTAGTAGTACTATGTACCTAAAGACAGTGACATCATTTGAATGACATTTGAATGATGTCTTGGTCACCTATTAATTCATACTTGCCCTCTTCTTATTTTCTTTTTGTGATTGTAGTCTAATCAACCTTAATTGTGTCTTAAATCGAAATCGAGGATCATCAAATAAGTTAGTCATCTGGAAGCAGACGAACGAACTTCCATGGCTTTTCATGTCAAGAAAAAATCTGTATTAAAAAAATTATTGGAGATGCTGCATCGCAAGGTCGGACTGAAGAAACCCCTGAAACCGGTACTGTTTCAGCATTTTACCAAGCTGGTGGGGGTGGTTGCCTCTCACTAAAATGCAAGTTAGCCCCCTGCCATTCGTTTAGGTACTGGTACCCTAGGTAGATGCTAGGTATTAAATACTAACCTAGCATACCTAGTAGTGACTAATTTCAGGGGTATTGGGGGCTATGGTTGGCTATCGCAAGTTTAAGGACTTTTTTAGAGTTCTTACTAACCCCTGTCTTTGGGCTGTGAATGGCTACAAGCATAGTAGGATACTAGATCTCTTGGCGCGCCCAAGACCCGGACTGGCTGAACTTCGACCTTCTACACGCTGCAGGGCCTGACATTCTTTGCATGCGCAGGAAAAAAAAAATCTCCTCAAGTCCCCTATTCCCCTGAATAAGCCTATACGTAAGTGGAAAGTCACCCGTCTCGCCGTCTTTTACCTTGTCACTGGACATTGGACATTGGACGACCTCCTGACGATCTCGTGTTGGCTATCGTTTTGTTTGCCCTTGCCTTATTTATCATTTGTGTGTATGTGTTAAATGGAAAGGAGGTAGATATTATGTAGATAGGAATGTAAATGTGTATGTGCTCGTTTCGCCTTGTCTATGTCATGGGTATTTTCAAATTCAAAGGTACATGTAGTTACTAACCTTGGGTTATGATAATAATATCAAAGAATGGTAGAAGGAGACCCGAGCATTAGGTAAATTAAATAGGTGGCTACATATGGTTGTCCAAATCAGGCAAATAAATCCAGTGAATATGTCATTTGATTGGCTCCAATGATTTGGGGGGCCTCTGACCAGGTCTAAAAAGGCCCAAAAGTATTTCTTGGGAATTGGAATTTTGAAACTGCACGATGTACATGTAATGGTGTACATACGTATGTACTCATTGTGCTGAAGAGGTCCTGCGTCGTAACCTTACCCAATCTCCTACAGCAATGGTACTGCAATGGTACAGTACTACAGCTTATATAATTACCTACAAAGATATTCTGCACATCATCTTTCTGCAACAAGCCATCAACCTGCGAGCGCATACAGGAAGAGGCCTACAGGTCCAGGGCTGACCAATGCGGGGATGGAAAAGAGAATACCACCCTAAAGTCGTTTGGAATCTTTGGATCCATGAATGTGCACATCTAAGTCAACCTAAAGTCAACCTAAGCGACAAAGATTCAGCCTAACAGGTCGGGAAAGAAAAGGGAATAAAAAACAAGTGACAAGGAAAAGAGAAAAGACTGCTAATACGCAGTATGTTCGTCTACTACTAACTATGCAGTACATACTAGGTAGCATACAATTGTCTACCCACTTGGGGCAATGTTCAGTCTAGTGTAGAGCCGAGACGAAACAAGTCAAAAGGGAAGTCTAGTTGTAGCTCAGCGGCCTCAGCCTATCGTTACGTCCGAACACTCTCCTTCTTTGCATCCCCTGTTCTCCAACCGTCTCCACCCCTTTTTTGCCCCTACCCTGCCTTGCCTTGCCCTGCTTGCCTAACTGGGTCTATGGTCAACATGGTGCTTCGAAACCTACGATAGTCATCACGATGGATAATCTCTACTGGCTACGTTCCATCCGGTATGCCAGGGCAGAAGTGTGGGGTCTTCGATCTGCTTTGAACTCTGCCCTCCGAGTGGATCAAGTGCTTGCGTAGTAAGTAATAAGTTCGTGAATGGGAGGTCAGCTATGTTCTACCTCATTCCTTCTTCATCCAATCACTCTTCACTCTTTTCCTGTTCCTGCATCTTGCAACCAAGGCTAGTGACTTTCGTTTATTCACTCTTTTTTCGCCATCATCATCCATCTAAACTTGCCGCCTTACATTCTTTCGCCCATTCCTCTTGGAATATATAACTCTCAACAAGTCCACCCCAGTCTGTCGTTTCGTTTCTTCACTCTTTAAGCCAGCGGCAACAGTCTTGACGGCATTCCTACCAACATAACCTCCTTCCTTTTTACCAACACAGTAGGCTAGACCTCACTTTTCACCACTTGTTTCTTCAAACTCCCCATTGCCAGGAGCACTACCAATCCTTTGAGTTGAACTCACGAAGAAACATCTCGATCGATCTCACTCCTTGATTCTTACCAAATTCCGCTCTGTTCACCTTGTTGGAACAAAGCCAGAACCAGGTTAGTATTTCATTGTCCCTCGCCTCTCCCCTTGTCGAGACATTGTACAATCGCCTTGTTCCGATCTCTTGGCTGGTTCCTTTCCTAAGGGGCCACTCTGTTCGACAACAAGGAGCCTGTTCGAGATCTCTCTATGACAATTTCTTTGTATAATGTCGACCAAAGGGGATCGAGGCCATTCGGGCATATATATGAGCAAGGCTAACTGAGACCCGTTTCAAGGTTTCTCACTTAGACTCAGCAGTCTCACATCAAATCGATCTTTCAGTTCATTTCACTCATATCCAGGAGATTTTATCGGCAGGAACCAAAAAAATCGTCTTAGATTAACTTTACCGTCAAAATGTTTTACGCAAAGACTGCCATTACTGCCGGGCTCATTGCCACGGTCAACGCTCACATGAAGATGAACAGCCCTGCGCCCTTTGATCCCGCATCACTTAACAACAGCCCTCTTGACGCCAGCGGCAGCGACTTCCCTTGCAAGTTCGGCAATGGTTACTCGGCCACGGGTGGTACCGTTAACTCCTACGCGCTTGGATCCCAGCAGACCCTTTCGTTCATCGGCCAGGCCACGCACGGAGGTGGTTCTTGCCAAGTCTCGATCACCTACGACACCGCGCCGACCAAGGACAGTGTTTGGAAGGTGATCCACTCGATCGAAGGTGGCTGCCCCGCGAAGGGCACGAGTGGTAACTTGGGCGAGAGCGCCGATGCTGAGGACCCATACACCTACCCTTACACCATCCCCAGCGACATTCCGGCGGGCAAGGCGACCATTGCTTGGACGTGGTTCAACAAAGTGGGCAACCGCGAAATGTACATGAACTGCGGACAACTCGAACTCACCGGAACCGGAGGTACTCAGGACAACTTCGACAAGCTACCAGATATGCTCGTGATGAACATTGCTGGTAAGCCCACGACCCTGGAGAGCTACGACTACAAATTCGAGAACCCCGGCTCCTCCGTTGAGGACAACACCAGCGGTAGCCAAGTTGCCACCTGTGGTACCAGTGGCTGCACAGCAGGAGATACTGCCCCTGTTGTTAGTATTGGAGCAGGCTTGAACGTGGGATCAGGATCAGGATCTTCAGCTTCGGCGGGATCGGGAGCGGCATCGTCTTCTGCCGCAGCCCCGGCGGCTGGTACTTCTACCAGCTTTGATGGTGGTGTCTTCCTCACTCAGCCCCTGTCCGGATCGCCTGCGACCTCGACGGCACAGGCTGCCCCTACCACTGCTACCCAGGCTACTCCTACCACCGAAGCTGCTGCTACCACTCCTACCACCCTAGCTACAGCTACTTCCGCAACCCAAGCTGCCCCTGCACAGACCTCCGCAGCCAGCAACGCTGGTTCCGGTACCGGTTCAAGCACTGGCTCCGGAGCCGCCATGTCGGGTGCTTGCACCGCTGAAGGCACCTTCAACTGCATGGGATCCAGCTACCAACAGTGCGCCTCTGGCCAGTGGTCCGTAACGATGCCTCTCGCCGCCGGAACCTCGTGCAGCGGGGGCCAGAGCATGTCGCTCAGCATCGCCGCCTTGGCCGGAAAGGTGAAGCGATCAGGCCGTGCATTCCGCGGTTAAAGAACCCCTCCCTTCCCACCCACAATCTTTTTTTCTCTACATATATCCAACTGCACACATTTCATGGCCGCTTTCTTTTACACACGGGTAAAAAGAGAGAGAAGGAAGATGAAAACAAAAAGGGATGTGTCATGATAACGATGTGTTGAATATTTAGCATGGCAAACTTTAAGGGATATATCCACGGGGTTCTTTTTCTGTCTGTTCCTTCTCCCTATGGCCCGGCGCGCATTTGACCGGAGAGGGGGGTTTTCTTACTTTTTATACATCTTTGTACCATTACCAATTCTTCTGTACATATCTTCATTTGATTTTCGAGAGATACCTTAGGTAAATACAAGGCTACCTATTCATGACCTATACTATATCGAGCCAGGAGGTAAATAGCCTATTATGGTGATTGGGGTGGTAAATACGTGGTGTAAAGGTCACAGTAAGAGGATTGGTTCATCAACCGGTCGTAGAATGGTTTTATAGATAAATGGATTCAGTAGGTACTCTAGAAATACAGTATATAGTGACAAAATGGCAGGTCTATCATTCACTATCAAGTAAAGTTTTATCGTGATTTGTGTCGTTCATATATGTATGTTAGGTAGTTCTCACATGATGATGGCAATAGGGGAATAAGGTGAATATGGGGAATAAGGAGAATGAGGAGAATAAGGGGGAATGAGGGGAATGGGAGGGTTGACATAGAAAGTATAAGTGGACCTCCACCACCTGTCGAGCAGCTGCCCAAAAATCGAGTTTTTACAGTACTAAGTGCCTGCATGAGCCTAATAGTTATACACTGTAATACTGTGATCTTATCGATAACGACACGCATCTAATCTCGTCATCTTCCAACTCTCTCTACTACTAATTAGTACTACTAGTAGCACTCTCTCTTTCTCTCCTAACTTCATATCAATAAATAATCCCCATCCAAACAATCATGGAACAACGAATAGCCATGGATCACAAAACAAGCGTATCTACAGCGCTTGTACGCAAGAGAACTGACATGGAGTTAATGCCTCCACCACCACCCCCGAAGCGAATTAAACGACCGAAGAAAGTCATCGACGAAGACAGCTACACAGATGCATTATCCCAGATCATTGCCCGCGATTTCTTCCCCGGCCTACTGGAAAGCGAAACCCAGCAGGAATACTTGGATGCAGTCGAGTCCAAAGATGCGGCATGGATCTCAAGCGCAGGCCGACGTCTCCATCAGGTTATGACCCCAGGAAATCGAAGATCGAGGAGGGGAACATCACTAGCACCAGGCGCGCAAACTCCAAAGGGTTTTGTTGGAGACACACCCGCATCTGTATCTTCCGAATCAACTACTACTACGATATCGAAAGAGAAGGATGAGGTCGATACAAATATGAGCCTGGGCGCCTTCCAATCGAAATATACGAGCGAGGACAACGAAAGTTTCTATAAACTCCTGGACAAGCAGAACATAAAGAAAGCCGAGAAGTATGCGTGGTTGTGGACTGGGAATAAGCTACCGTCCAAGATGCAGTTGAAGCAAAGGCAGATCGAAGCAAAACTAGAGGAAACGCGAAGCCTAACGGATGACGGATTCTCAAAAGACCGTTTGGCTATCAAAGATCGAGAAGAAAAACCCGCACAACCCGACACGTGGAAGTCGTTACCCAATAATTCGTTGATGTTCATTCCCGAGAGCGTGGAAGATGCGATGGAAACTAGAATACAAAGAGCGGAGGCTGAATCTCGGGCTGCCCCGAAGGCTGTGAACTACGCAAATACTAGATTACCAGGACCAAAGATCAGTGATGAAGAATCAGTACCGTCTTCACCTTCACTATCTGCTGTACGGGATGCTATTGCTGGTAAAAGAGGAACGAGCGATTTGAACTCGACTACGGCAGGAGGAAGCGAAACACCCAGAGTCAATGGATATGCCTTTGTCGACGACGAGGAACCGGAATACGCAGCGCCACCAACACCAAGAATCGATCTTGGTCCTGGCGATTCCACCCCCAACCCATTCATCATCAAGGAGCAGAGCAAGAGAGAGGCTCTCCACCACCGCATGGTTGATAAGATCTCGCAGTCGAAAAGGACATCCCAAAAGATGGGGCTGACAGGGAAAGTTGATAAAACACCTGTTCCGAAGTTCCCAAGCAGCCCTCGTGTTGCAGGTGGTTTGACACCGGCAGCTCAGCGACTCTGGAGCAAGATTGGAGGAAGTGGTGGAAATACACCTCGAACTCCATTCGGTGAAAGCACAGCGGCAAAAGGGAGAAGCTCTAAGTTGAAGCAAATGCTGAAATGATACCAGGATATATATATATATATGAGAAAGAGAGAGGCTACGATAGGATAATGATACCCCCCAATAGAGAATGCATGGATAGATTTCATACATACAAGTCATATATAAGAATGATATCAGATTACTGAGATTACTTTTGTTTCTTTTCCGTTTCACTTGTAGTCTGTGAATAAAGAATAAAACGTGACGTTGTGATAAAGAAGTCGTTCAGTACATATATAGCATTTGCACCTCTTTACAGAGCTGCGGACCTACATAGTACCTACTAGGTAGTAGACAAGCAATACTAGGTACTAGGTACCATCCCAAGTCCATAGTTACGGCGTACAGAGTTATGTACCTAGAGGATCAGATTGATAACTTAAACGCGAATGGTGATTGGTTGTCGGATTGGTTTTGGTCCAGACTGGTGCATGGGTATTATAGGTACGTACCCACGTAGTTAGCGGTTCCAAGTAAATTTAAGCTTCGACAGCTTTGAAAGCGCGACTTCAAAAAGTTCCAAGGTTGCAATTCACTTTTTACATATCGCCATCTTTCCACTCGACTATATTCATCAGCCACCGGAAGCTCGATATACCACCACTATTTCTCGCCAGCACCCAAAAGTTACAACTAGATCTGAGTATACCACATCATGTCAAAAAGGCACGCCTCTGAAGCGTTAGAGGATTTATATGGCGTTGGTTCGCCTGCATCCAAAAGGTCGCGATTAGACGATGGTCCAGAACACGATGGAAGCACCGCCTCTATCTCTGACGGAAGAATGGACGAAGAGGAAGATGATGGATTCGAAGACGATAATACAAAAGCCCCGATACGGCAAGCCGCCCCTACAGCAGGTTACGACGACCTCTACCTGGACACAATAGATCGCAACGTGCTCGACTTCGACTTTGAAAAGCTATGCTCTATTAGCTTATCCAATATAAATGTCTACGCCTGTCTGGTCTGTGGGAAATACTTTCAGGGACGAGGACCCAAGTCGCATGCATACTTTCATTCGCTAGAAGTCGGACACCATGTCTTCATCAACATGGAGACGCAAAAGGTCTACGTGCTACCGGAGGGCTACGAAGTGAAGAGCAAATCCCTGGACGATATAAAATACGTATCCGATCCGAGATACACGAAACAAGAAGTGATGGAGTTGGATCGCAAACCCCGAACAGCGTGGACACTCGGTGGGAAGGAATACACTCCTGGCTTTGTGGGAATGAATAACATTAAGGAGAACGACTACCTTAATGTGGTAGTCCAGGCGTTATCTCATGTCGCGCCACTCCGAAACTACTTCTTACTAGAAGAACTCTCGTCACGACCCGAACTCGTTAAGCGATGCGCCATCTTATTCCGCAAGATTTGGAACCCGCGAGCCTTCAAAAACCACGTGTCCCCACACGAATTGCTACAGGAAATCTCCTTAAAATCCAATAAGAAATTCACCTTGACCGTACAATCCGACCCCGTCGAGTTTTTATCATGGTTTCTCAACAATTTGCATTTAGGACTAGGTGGAAGCAAAACCAAGCCGGGTAGCAGCATCGTACAGAGGATATTTCAGGGGAAGCTAAAAGTCGAGTCGCAAGCCATCACAGCCAAGGCAGATGCCAACGACCGGTTACGATTTGAGGAGGCCGCAGAAGTCAAGACGAATATCAGTCGCTTTTTGCTCCTAACTCTAGACCTTCCAGCAGCGCCTCTCTTTCAGGATGAGCTGGAGCGCAACATCATTCCCCAAGTGCCACTGACGACCATCTTATCCAAGTACGACGGCGTCAAGGCGCAGGAGCATCTCGCGCAGAGGAAACGATACCGGCTGATGCACCCCTTGCCGCCGTTCCTCACCTTCCACATCAAACGCTTCTCTACGAACAAGTTCGTATCGGAGCGCAACCCTACGATTGTAACGTTTGACGCGCGCGTCGGCCTCGACGTATCGCCGTATGTGGAGCCGAGCCCGGCGGACCATGCACCAGGCGAGCCGATCTGGTACGATCTGGTGGCGAATGTGACTCACGAAGCGGTGCGAGCGAAAGAGGACGTGGCGGATTCGGGAGAGGAGCGCAAAACGTGGAAGGTCCAGCTCAAGGATAAGGGGAGAGACGAGTGGGTTGTCTGTCAGGATCTCTTTGTGGAGCAGACGCAGAAGGAATTGCTGTATCTGGGAGAGTCGTATTTGCAGATCTGGGAGAGGAGGCGAGATGGTAAAGGGAAACGGAAAACGTGATAGATGAAGAATTGGCTTGAGATTGAGCAGTGAGATACTTACCTACCTACTGGTGTAGGATAATTATACCATCCATCGCATTGAAACTTTTTTACATTCAGGGGATCTCTCTTCTACCGTGTTTGAACATTGATCTGAAATTCCTTCAACTACCAGCATATATCTCCGTACCTACATAACCATACATACAGTACATACATACATATCGTTACCCAAAATGTACCTAGGCAAGTATCTTATGCATTTTTATCGTTTCTGTTCCTCTAACAGTCTCCACTTTTCGCTTTACACAGGGGCTAAGAGCTGCGTGCGGCGTGCTACGTAGGTAAGGTAGGAAGGTACTAGGTTAGGAAGTTATCGTGCATTAGGTATATGCATGTCGATTTAGACGGTGAGTGAGACATCCCTCCTCTCCATATATACCTGTTACCTACCTGTCTGCGTGCCTACCTGCCTACCTTAGTCCATCATCTATCTATCTATCTATCTATCTATCTATCTATCTGCGTACTTGCTTAGCTGTATTGTACGTACGTGTTAAACCTAGAATTGGGACGACGTCTGATATTTTCTACCCATTACCCGTCCATTTATTGCTTTATTGCTTTATTTTCGATCTCTTTTCTCTGAAAGTATAAGTGCAATTAGGTTGGCATATATACCTAGATCTACATATATCAGAAGTTAGAAATTACCTATCACTCGTTCACTATGAATTTCGGTAAGCCTCCCTCTCCCTCTCCCTCCCTCTTTCTTCGCTCTCCTTGTCGTTTTTCTATGTATCCCTCATTGTCGTCTCTCCACGTATCTACCTACAAATATAGCCCCATAAAAAAGTTACGAGTCACACATCAAGGCTCCTTATTTCCTTCTCCCCCTCCAAAAAGAAAGAAAGAAATAAACCAAGAGAGAAGAAAAGAGGCACAAAGAAGAGAGAAAAAAAAATCCATGCAAACCAAAATCACAACCACCCTACTAACGACAAGCACCGTAACAGACTGGCTCCTCGACGGCGGGTACGTCCCGAACGCCGTGATCCGCGTCGGGATCCGGCGGCAGCTGGCGGCGCGGCTCGCCGAGATCGGGACCTCGGCCGCGCAGGCCGCCGCCTGCGAGCGCAAGATGCGCTACATTGACTCTTTGCGCGCTAAGCCTATTGCTGTCGACACGGCGGCCGCAAACTCCCAGCACTACGAGGTCGCCGCCGGCGTCCTCCGCGGCATGCTCGGCCCCCGCATGAAGTACTCGTCCGCGCTGTATCCGAAGGGCGGGGAGACGCTGGCGCAGGCGGAGGTCGCGATGTTGGCGCTTTATGTCGAGAGGGCGCATATTAGGGATGGGATGAGTATTTTGGATTTGGGGTGAGTAGACTAAACCATTGGAGGAGAGGAGAGCCTCGCCTCCTAGTTTCTTATTATCCCCCCCTTTCCCCCCTCTCCTTATAAAAAAAAGAACGGGTTTATTGATCCAACCATCATGATACTAGATGCGGCTGGGGCTCCGGCGCCCTGTACCTGGCCGAGATGTTCCCCAAGTCCAAGGTGACGGCCTTCTCGAACTCCAAGTCGCAGAAGGAGTTCATCGACGCCCGGGCCAAAGAAAAGGGCCTGTCGAACGTGAGCGTTATCACGGGAAACGTGGTAGAGTACGAGTTCAAGAAGCAGGCTTATGATCGGGTTATTTCGATAGAGGTATGCTTATCCTGCTTACTTACGATATGCCCGTGGAAAATTCTCGAATTGCTTTGGGTTGCCATGTCGTGAGGAGATTATAGTTGCTAACTTTTAAATAGCTCTTCGAGCACATGAAGAACTACGAGCAGCTCATGGCCAAGATAGCAAGGTCTTTGAAACCGGGAGGCAAGCTGTTTGTTCAGATCTTTGCTCACAAGTCGACGCCGTATGATTTTGAGGACGGGTGGATGACTACGCACTTTTTTACTGGTGGGACGAGTACGTATAACTCCGGGAGTATCTATCTGTCTGCCTTGTGGATGGGCTTACTAACGTGCGGCTTTGAAATAGTGCCATCAGCAGATCTGCTCTTATACTTTCAAAAGGATCTATACATCAAAAAGCAGTGGTGGGTCAATGGCAATCACTACTCAAAAACATGCGAGGTGAGTCAATTTGAAGATTATGTCCTGGCTGTATATGCTAACCTAAGCGAAGCATTGGCTCTCCAACATGACGTCAAATAAGAAGCAAATATGGCCGTATCTGGTAGAAACATATGGCGAGGAAAACGCAAGCATGTGGTACAACCGATGGCAGATCTTCTACTTGGCATGTTCGGAACTGTTCGCATATGAAGGTGGAGACACATGGGGAGTGTCACATTATCTGTTCGAGAAGGCGAAGACGAAATAGACTGGATTGTTTTCTCTTTTAGATATAGAATGTAGGTAGGACTAGGCAATACACCACTGGCACGGATTGGGCACTTCGATGACCTTGCTCTTCTTATTCCGACTCCTTTGTAGACTATATTGTTAAAGGGATATTTGGAAACCATCGCAGTTGCAAACTCCTTCCGTCGTAGTAATCCAGCGGCTAATTCGGTATTCCACATCGCAAAGTTCCATGCCCATTTCTCTTCTTTCTTTTTTAGTGTTTGTAGTATTTTTTCGTTTCTCGTCTTTCGTTGCGTATATTCTCGTCTAGTGATCCCACGGGTGCTTCCAGCCCATCAACACGGCGCCTAAAAGAGTACGTGTAAGCTTCATCAAAGTCCATAGTTGGGTCCGGGTTTTGGGGGAGGAGGGGTTTAAATACCATCTTTGCGTGCGCGGTACATCAACTATTGGAATTGTTAGTATTTGGTATTGAGCTTGTAGGTACGTTGGTAAGGAGGGGAGAGAGAGAGAAGTAGACAAAAGAAAGAAGGCTTACGAAGAACCACATGCTCGCACCCAGACCAGTAGCGGCGAATCGGTAGATCAGGGGAGCGTTGGGCGCCCTGATCGGGGCGCGGGAATGCATTATTTCTGCGGTGTTTTGCTTCTGTCCGGCTGGTGGTTGAGTTGGGATCGAATGAGTCAATCGGTATGGATTTGGATGGGTAGGTTGGCAGGTAGGTGAATTGATTGAAGATTGGGGAATTGAGGGCCGGAGGTATTTCGCTTACATACTGTAGTATGTACATAGTACAAAGGCTGTTGAAACCTTCATCAATGTTGATAGTCTGATTGGAAGCTGCTAACTGTCTGTGGCGTTACTGGCGTTACTGGCGTAAGACGTCAATTTCAATCTTGGCACAGGCTGGTGAACTTAAATGTCTCCATTTAATTTTACATGGGTCTTAAGTCGGTACTTTAGTACATGAGCGCGAACAAACAACCTGGAACTCATCACGTACCGCATTTACTTTATTTCTCTACATATTAATTACATACCACTTACCTATACCAACTCAACCATTACTACCATATCCCTATCACTCTTCTCATCAACAGTTCAACACCCCAAAGCACTCGGAAACCATTTAATCTACCTCACCATGCGACCACAATTTTAATCTTTCAACTATTCTTCCCTTCGCAACCTAGCTAGTTGCTAGTTTGCGATGTCGACGAGTTCTTGACCTGATCAACTCGTCCCAACGGCCTTTTCTTTATCAACCAATACTTTTCACCAACGCCACCGTTGCCTCGTCACATCGAAACCCTCCAGATTTTATAGTCTACGACAATAATTCTCCGGGATGGCGCAAAGTAGCAGCCAAGGTGCTCTCTCACCGCGATCTTTTGCGATCCAGCACCAGCGACCCAAAGACAGCTTCGTCGGATGCTCCAGGATTACCGACTATGAACTCCTAGGTAAATTAGGCGAGGGAACTTTTGGGTAAGCCTCCGATGCACTCTTTGACTTCCATCTATTGCCTGAGTATTTGACAGCAATGCTTACCTTCTTTCTCCTTAGTGAGGTTCACAAAGCGAGATCGCATAAAACCGGAAACCTGGTCGCTCTGAAGAAGATTATTATGCACAACGAAAAGGATGGCTTTCCTATCACTGCCCTTAGAGAGGTTAAGCTTCTCAAGTTGTTGTCGCACCGAAACGTTTTGCGCTTGGAGGATATGGCTGTTGAACATCACAGCAAGATGAGTATGTTGTCTCTGGCTTCATGCGACGACTCTCCGTACTAACCTTACTAGCCGACAAGCGAAAACGGCCCATCATGTATATGGTGACACCCTACATGGATCACGACTTGTCCGGTCTTCTCGACAACCCTTCCGTCCAATTCACCATACCCCAAATCAAATGCTACCTACACCAGCTTCTTGAAGGTCTTCGCTATCTACACGACAACAAGATTCTCCACCGAGATATGAAAGCAGCCAACCTTCTGATCAACAACAAAGGCATACTCCAGATTGCTGATTTTGGTTTGGCGAGACATTACGAAGGTCCTGTCCCCGAAAATGGGAAAGGTGGTGGTGAAGGACGGAGAGAGTATACCAGCCTAGTTGTCACCAGATGGTATCGACCTCCCGAGCTCCTATTACATCTCAAAAAATACACCACGGCTATTGACATGTGGGGTGTTGGGTAAGAACATATTACTCTATATGCTGATAAATAACCTACTAATGCCCTTTTTCTAGGTGTGTATTCGGTGAGATGCTAGTTGGCAAGCCCATCTTGGCGGGTGAGAGTGATGGGCATCAGCTCGATATCATATTTGATTTGGTCGGGTCTCCAACCGAACAAAACATGCCAGGGTGGAAACAATTGCCTGGTGCGGAGGGCCTTAATCCACGACCAAGACCTCCAGCGTTGTCACAACGATTCCGTGAGCATGGCTTAAGTGCAATCTCTTTGCTCAAGGAGCTTCTAATGCTTGATTGGCGTGCCCGCATCAATGCGATAGATGCACTGGAACACCCTTACTTCAAGACATCACCTTTCCCGGCAAAGCCAGAGGACCTTCCCACCTTTGAGGACAGTCACGAATTGGATCGTAGGAAGTTCCATGATCGGAAAGCTGCACTTCCTCCAGCTCCTAAAGGTGGTACCGTTGGTGTTGGCGCTTTCGAAGGTCCTAATGCATCTTTCGGCAGCGGTGATGGCTATGGCGGCAACAGGATGAATGGCAGATATCAGAAACATCACGGCGGTCCATATCGGGGTGGTGGTGACGAGGGTCGTAGACCGGCCTGGGCCCGAGATCAGCCTCACATGGACCACCGACTACCACCACGCCCACCTCCTCCTGAATATCCAGGGAATGGATGGGACAATCCGGCCGAACACCACGATTCCTACAGGGACCGGCCACAAAGGAACCGTGGAGGAAATCGACCGGATGTAGACACTTATATCCCCAGCTACCGTGCTGGCGGACGAGAAGAACGGCCCCCTAGAGAGGACCGACCACCCAGAGAAGATCGTCCTCCTAGAGAAGATCGCCCCCCTAGAGATGACCGGCGAAGACGGGATGATCGTGATGATAGGCGCCATGATTGGGATCGTCGTGATAGGGAATACGAGGATCGCACTAGAGTGAGCCAGACACGAAGCCGCAGCCGCACGCCTACTAGAGATAGGGACCGAGACGTGTATCGCCGATAGGGACGCCATCACGCTCGGGGAAAATTGAAACGAGGGTAGCCACCTCTTCCTTCGCACTGTAACCCCGTTCACGAATGCCCCACAACCAAACAAAACCCTCATAAGTTCGGGTTTATATGCAGGCGCCTGGTCTATATGGATGGAGGGTTTTTTACTTTACGGATAATGGTAATGCAGCAGAGGCCCTGTATGGTAGAGAGGGGCCAACGCGACACAGCCTCGGCGTTTCTGCTTTGGTGGGTTTGGGGCTCAGGTGAGCCGCTACTGCTGTGCCTTGTATTATAGTATTTAGGTGCGAATGCATATGTGCCCATCTGTCCATGGCATAGGGTCTTAGCTGTGGGTTGTGAGATGTGGGTTTGTGCTTTATCTACCAGGTACCTGGTTTTAATGGCAGTAACAACAAGGACAATGGCAACAACAACAACAACAACAACAACAACAACAACAACAACAACAACAGTAGCTACGTTAATATAAGCACTATGTGATAATGTGGACTTGGCTTGTTTATACTGTAGCAGTGTAGTGCTGTTAACCATGGACTTAAAATTGCCGTAGTAGTCACTACCTACGTACCTACTTACTACGTACCTACGTACCTACTTACTACGTACCTACGTACCTACCTGTCATAGCTGTCTCTAGGTACATACATATAACAGAATTCCTCAGGGGTTCTTTGAATGAATGGAAAAGTCACGTCGTGGGGATGCCTGCTTGTGCTTTGCCGAGGGCACTTTCAACGTACCTACACCTGTAGGTACCTGGCCACCTACTAACTATGTATATATATACTTATGTATGTAGGTCGGATACCTAGGTTTTCAGGGGTTCGGTTCGTTCATTCTGTCGTTACTGCTAGATGGAGAAGGGTCAAGTGTGGGTAAGTTTGTCTACCTACCTACCTACCAACCTACTTATCTACTAGGTTAGATTAACAGGTAGGTATATGCTTATGATGCTAGCTAACCTAGGGGATTGGGTTAAGTTAGGTAAGTTAAGTTAGGTATTGAGTACACCGGTCACCTACCTAGTAGATACCTATTCGTAGGTATACCTCCATATGATAGATTGATATGCGAATTAGAGAACTACATAAGTCTTAGACGAAGTATGGAAGGTTGGTAGCCTTGTATGAGACTAGGTTAGGCTGTCAGCAGGTTTTGTACTGTACTACCGCTGTATTCTACTAGTATTGGGATATCTCACAGATCGTTCAAGTAAGCATCTAGGTTAGGTAGCTATAGCAACAATCAGAGCTTACAAGTCTAGCTAGGCCGTGACATTATGAATCTATAGTAGCACACCAAGGGTAGCGTTATTATCATGCTAATAATTGATCGTAATGTTTTAACGACTACCTATTTTATATGACCTAGATATCTGAACGCTTAATGATATGTCTTCTACTACCTAGAGCAACCACAAGCCAAGGACTGTTGGCGTCATCATCTTAGGACAAATCACTACTGCTCTCCTCGTGGATCGTCTGGGAAAGCAACCCCCTTCGTCGCCTCTTAGGCTTCTCGGGCGACCTCGACACTTTCCACTTCCTCTCGAAGGCCTCAAACACATCGTCCTTGATCTCCTGCCTCGGCTTCCCGCGCCGCGAGGGCCCGCTCGAAGCAGATTGTCTGCCAGAGCTATCCTCCGACTGGGTCTTGAATCCCGGGCGGTCGAGGTCTTGCTCCTCGGCACTCGACGACGGCAGCTTAGACCTGTACCGAACCAGCTTCCGTTGTTCCTCTGATGATGTATCGACGCCTAGCGTGACAAAGATGAAGTTGGACGTTTCATGCAACATCAAGCCAGCGCAGATGCCTATAATAGCAGCGCAGGCGAGCTGTACTCGGTGTTAGCGTTCATGCGAGAAAGGGCCGTTTTTACGCTTTAGTGGGAATGCCATCTCCATGGGTGTTCTTACGTAGATATAAAGGTACTGTAGTCTAGTTAGTAACGGTATATATGTAATTCAGTGTCCTATCTAAGTGGGGTTTACAGGGAATCGGTGCGGGAGTGTCAAAGAATTATTAGTGTATAAGTGTCAGTATTAATAAGGGGGGCTGCTAGGTAGACAGGCAGGTAGGTATACCTTAAATTTAGCAACTAAACTCGCAGTAGCTAAGGCGAGTTTTGAAAGAGCCTGGAGCATATACCAGAAAGGCGACAAAAGGAAGGCGACCAGGGCAATTATGGAATAGACAAGGTAGTAGGCGGGATAGTGGAGAGGTATCGTGACATAGTAGGATAGCTTCAGTATCAGCTTTAGCGTGGGATAGAGGTATGACGTGCCAAAGGTCTGCAAGGGCTTCAGCCAATCCATTTTCATGTAAAAGCCTCATGGCCTGTAAGCTACATGTAGGTTAGGTACCTAGGTAGATGCCTTATAGCAAGGCGCGTTTAGGTATGTAAGCTGACTGTTCGGGGTGGGTAGATAGATCTCTTTCTCTGTTCCCTTCCAACTGCTTAACATTGACGGATCCTGGGATTTTCGACCGGTGAAAAAAGGCTTGTTTAGTTTGTATGTAATTGTAAGTTATGTTGGTTACCTAGGATATGTTGGATACCTAGGTAAGTAGGATTGTCTTGGCTTTGACCAAGATATTATTACCGATGGGTGAGGTATGACGAAGGTGACGATTCTTGTCTAAGTTGTCTTGGCATCATCTCCAGGTGATCATGACAAAGAAAGGCAACACGAATACGTATGTACTACTAGTAGTACAAGGTAAGGTACCTTCTGTTTTATGCATCTCCAGGTGTCATTGGTATGTGTGTGTTGAGTCTTGAGGTTTACTGTTAACATCAAAGGTCAGTTACATACATACCTAAGAATGTTACATACGCCGTACACATTTTTGAATATGGAGAGATTCAAATGTTACGCTGCTTCTAGACCGCTGGCTGGGATTTAAACTACCAGTAAACTACCAGGGATTTGAAGCTAGGGTGAATGGAAGGTGAATTGGTTAGTCCGATCCGGTGGGGTAAGCTGGGGGGGTTATGCGCATGTGTTGATGTGATGGATCACGGATCACGGATCACGGATCTTGGCTACTTATGAATGTACCTACATGTACATGCCTACATGCGTACCGGGTAGCCATGGAACTTCTGCATACCGTAGAGGTACATCAAAAAGTATGTAGCTTAAAAGACCCAAGACTTGGAGACTTTAAGGCTGTTATGGTTGTTATGTAACTGAAAATCCACGTGTAGCCAAGGCTACTAGGTCTGGCTTCAGGTACTGAAATTGTATCTGGGTATAATTGATATCACTGGACAATTTACATATGTATGTAGTTCAAATGTTAGCTAGAACTCTCGAACCACTGCTCACCGCTGACATACATAGTACTGCCATTGTACTGGATGGCTTTCAGCTTACATGTATTGTACCTATACATACCTAGGCATTGACGCTTCTATATGTAAGAACTAATGTGTGTATACATGTAGACTCACTACTCACCGGCTCTGAGTTACATATGTATGACTAATAGTTTTTGAATTTCTTTCCCATTTGTTATTGATACTCTGGGTACATACATATACATGTAATATTAACGAACAATGATGAAACTTTTGAATGCATGTGAATGAAAAGGAAGAAAAAGGTTCAAGTACTAGTAGTTACTGTAGTACCTGTGCTAGTAAAAGATACTTTGAACTTTGGACCCTTGTTGTGGTATTATTCGGTTGATATGGCCCGTGCTAAAATCTTCTAAACCGGGGGAGGCGAGTTAGACAAGTCTGACAGGGGAACATAGAGAGATGATAAATGATTGGTTGAAATCGTTATCAAAGAATAAAATAGTGGGTACATTAATTGGGGACCTGAACCTCGTCCTTCCTCGTTTAGATCCATGATCTTTTTTTCCCCAGTTACCCAATCGCTCCCCATCCTTCCGACTACTTGTCTCATCGCCGGACTACGCCAAAAATAGGTCTCATGACCACTTTTGCTTGACATGATCCACGTCTACTACCTCTCATCTACCAAGTCTACCACGCCTACCACGCCTACCAACTTGTACCAAGCCTACCACGCCCATTATACAGAGCTACAGAGCCTTGATTCACTTTAATCAAATTCGCTCCGTCACACCGCCTGATACTTACTGGCGCTTTCTTGCCCTTTTCCAGCGCACCCGCCCACGGAGCCACGACGCACGACGCACCACGACGCACCACATCCCGCCCGTCAGCTTCCGACTTCCCCGCGATTTACCATAATTTCTTTTTCTTATTTTTCTGCCCAAGAGGAAAAAAAAAACAAGCAAAAGGTAAAAGAAAAAAAAAAGGCTTTAGGACTAAAGGGGGGGATTCTCTTTCCTCCCTGTCCCCCCACGTTGAATCATGGGAAATAATCCATCTTCTGCCTCGAAGCCGGCCACACCCACCAGTGCTTCGGTCCATGATTCTCCCCGGGCTTCCAAGAGGGAACCCAAGAACCCGGTATCTATACAGAACCAACATATCAGGTCCCCAGCTTCTCCCGAAGCCTCAGCCGTTCAGGCAACCGGCACCTCTATTTTGAATAAGAATCACTCGAGGCCGCTTTCCATCCTTAACTCATCCTCCCCCTCGACTAGCTCTAATCAATCTGCTGCACCAATTAGGGTGGCTGAATCGAAGCAGAAACCTGTCGAGATCAAAGATGAGCATTCTAAGCCTGTAGCTGTTCCTTTCTCCTATACCCACACGGAACAGGATCCCTGCTTTACACACGGTTCTCAGTACGCGGAGAGCTTGACATCAGGCCCTGCCTCTAGTAGTATGCAAGATATGTCCTATCATAATATCAATCGCCCCCCGCGGCTACCGCTGCCAATTGAAGAAGAAATTCACACACCCGGATCACCCATAGTCGCCCCAGCCGATACTGACGATAAGGACATTGATGACGTCGGTACCCTAGATGACTCGGCTAGCATACCGCGTCGTTCGTCAGGGCTAAGCAATGCCACAGACGAAGACGACACTGAAGAGCTTCGTGTTGATAAGACGAGACCGGTTATCCCAACCCGTATCGAGTGGTCACGGGGTGGACAGAAGATTTATGTCACGGGAACACCGTTTCAATGGAGCCGGAAACAGCGATTACTCCCATCGTGAGTCTTTCCCCTCTTGCAGATCTGGACATGAGTCGCAAAAGTTTGTGTTATTTGATATCGTAACTCTTGGCGTTTCTAAGTAAATTTGGTTAGAATGGTAAGAATTGTACTTGTTCATCGCTGACATTTTCTGCTATAGTAAGGACAAGGAGGGTGTCTTGGAGACAATAATACCCGTTTTCCCTGGAACCCATCACATCAAGTTCTTGGTCGATGGAAGTATGCAGACATCACCAGACTTGCCCACGACCGTCGATTTTGGCAACAATCTGGTGAACTACATCGAAGTAAGTGGCGACGATGCTAGTTCGCGGAACGTACCCCTGGATACTGGTGTGCCCAAGTCGAATGAGGCCGCCTTATCTCTGCCTTCTAGGCAGCCTTCACACGATGATTCAGCGAGGGTTCCTCAACAGAAGGTTATAGATCCTGTTGAAAATTTCACCGCAAAGATCCCTCAATATCTAGATGATTTCGATCAACCCGAAGACACGCCAGGTTACAGGCTTTCTGCACTGGCCCTGGAACGCCTTCCGGCCCCACCCAGTCTCCCTGGCTTCTTAAGCAAGCCAATCTTGAATAATATCACTTTAATCAAGGACGACAACAGCGTCCTCAACATGCCGAATCATACCATGCTTAATCACTTGGCCACTTGTAGTATTAAAAACAATGTTCTTGCTGTGTCAGCTACCACCCGATACCAGAACAAAGTAGGTTTATCCAGCTCTATTACTCATTTTGAAAATTTGGCTAATCATGACGAAGTACGTAACCACGATCATCTACAAGGCCACGAAGAACCAGTAACCTTAAGGCGTTTGCGTTTTCAACTCGCCAGACTTTGTTAGGATTGCACAAGAAAATGCTATATTTCAAACTGTCAAGAATGATCTCATTGAAAACAAGGGAGCTTTCGCTTCGAACGACCTTTTGCCTTGCCTAGGACGACCACGGAGTTCTTAACTGCCTAGGGATATCACTAATTTTAAGTCATGTACTTTACGATAGCCCGGGAACATAACGATCTTGGTCACGGGTTATTTATGCGAAATGACGTGCGTTTCGAGCACAAATATCACGAAAGCAACATGACGCTACGCCGCCATGAAGCTCTAGATCTAAACGTACATGATCATGAAGATCATAAAAACGAGATTAGAGGGATATTGCATCCATTATTAGATGATACTCATAATTAATACAAGATTTTGATTCAAGTATGTCGATAGGGGTTTACAGCCGGGGGTGATCATTTAATCTCTCCATTTAACATAAACTTCATCTGTTCTAAATCTCTGCGTACATGTGCTTTCCTCTAATGGGGTACGGAATCCAGTCCGGTACGCCAACAGACCCGCATGGGCAATCATGATGCCATTGTCTATGCAGAAGCGCTCGTCCGTCGCGTACACGCTCCCGCCCCTCTCCTTGGCCATCTGCCCCATCATCTCTTGGAGGCGCTCATTGCATCCCACGCCGCCTACTATAAGCACCTGGTTGCTGCCCACGTGCGCCATCGCGCGCTCCGTGATCTCCACCAGCATGGCGAAGACGGTCTCCTGCAGACTGAAGCACAAGTCCTCGGGGGTGATCCGGTCTTCCTCACTAACCTCCTCGCCCCGCGCGACTTTAGCATCCTGCTCCCGCATCTGCGCGGCCAGCAGGTCGGCGGCGCTGAGGATGCCGCTGAAGCTGCAGTCCATGCCTTTCACGGCGTAGGGGAGGTCGAGGAGGCGGCCCCGGCGACGGGCGAGCAGCTCGATGTTGTAGCCGGGCGCGGGGTCGTTGCTGATGTCGAGGGTGCGGGCGAAGCGGTCGAGGCAGTTGCCGACGGCGATGTCGAGGGTCTCGCCGAAGATCCGGTACCGCCGCTCGGCGTACGCGATCACCTGCGTGTTGCCCCCGCTCACGTACAGCACGACTGGGTTCTGCGCGCCCGTGATCTCGCGCCCCATCTCGATGTGCCCCACGCAGTGGTTCACCCCGACGAGGGGGAGACCGCCCCAGAGGAGGGAGAGCGTGCGCGCGGCGACGGCGACGGATTGTAAAGGTGCGCCCATGCCGGGGCCTTTGGTGTAGCAGACGCAGGAGAGTTGGGCGGAGGGGTCGGTTATGCCGGCTTCGGAGAGGGCGCGGCGCGCGATTTGGGCGAAGAAGGAGCGGTGGTGGCGCGCGGTGTCCTTTGGGAGGAAGCCGGTTCCTGGCGGGGAGACGAAGGTGTGCCGGATGTTGGAGAGGACGGAGGATTGGCCGGTGATGGGGTCGTGCGAGATTATGCCGATGCCGAGTTTGTTGGCGCTGCCTTCGCAGCCGAGGGCGATGAGGGGTTTGGGCATTTTAGGGCTGGTTGGATGGCTGGCTGGCTGTATAGCAACTGCCTACTATCTTGGGTATCTAGTAAGTTACTTTGAGTCTTTGACACCTTCACGTTTTGGAAGTGTGAGGTTTTTCAACGTATGAGTTGGATAATTGGATGTTGGTGGTATGATAATCGTTGGCTCTCGTTGTTTTGATATAAAACACAAATCTCCACTCGGCTACAGTTCGTTCGATATGAAAAAAAGAGGGTTCGTAAGTTCGTGGTTCGTGGTTCGTAGATACCCAATACTTTGTGAGGTTTATACCGACAGATGGGATAAGATGTAGTGGGGTTTTGTTATATGTATGCAGTATGTATAGTATGTACTACCCTGGTATGTAAGAGTACATGTATGAATACCTAGTATGTACGTTACCTAATCTAACCCTCACTAATGTACGAAAGTTAAAAACACTGCAGACTGCAGACTGCATACTTTTATTTTATTTTAAACATACATCACTGGATTTCTGTAAGTCTGGAGAGTAAAAAAGAGTGGCCCCTCCAATGACGACTGATGCGACTTGATGACCCTTATCGATAGACTGGGTGGCTTAATTGGATAAAGTGTATCCACGTGTGGGGGCTTTTCTCGGCGCCTTAAGGCTTAGGTACCATAATACTGCTGATACTGCTGTCGAGTTACGCTTGGGAGTGGGGCGCCACACTTATTCCACCCTCTCTTTTGACGGGTAATAATAACCTTCAGTCCTAACAAGCACCAAGGCCAAGGAGAAATAATTCCCAAGTTCGCTGTTACTGTCTCCGCCAACCTTCCTGTCATCTTTTTCCACACCTGATCCAATTTTGTAACTTCTTTTTATTTTTATTTTTACATTCTTCTTTTCTTCTAATTCTTTTTCTTCTTCTATAATTTTATCATGTTCTGTATTACTATGAAGAATCATCCTTCTTACCTACCATTATGTAGGTACCTAAACGCTTAGTTGATATTAGCCAAGAACTCCTTGGCTAAGAGCTACCCAAGTTCGTCATTGTTGTCGGTAATCCGAGACATGCCCGCTTTCTGACTTGTCGCTAACTTTGATCTTCTTGCAGACATACATCTCCTATCAGTCCTATCTTTCTCGCCGTCCTGACTTCCCATCTCCTTCCGCAACAAGTTATGACAATGGCTGTGTCCCCCCCTGCCCTGTGGGGTCAACGAATTCACGCAGCAATTTCTGTCTGCATTGTCTGTCGGCAGTCATGAATTGTTCCGGGAATCCCCTCGCTCCTCGACAAACCTATATTGCAAACTACCGGCGGGTAGGCATGAACATCTACATCAAAATATATATACATATGTATGCTATATGGCCTCGTAGATTCTACTTATCTGTCGTCGTTTCCTACATACCCAAGCAACATGATCTCCCATCTAAGCCGATCGCTTCCGAGTTATCGCGGGTACCAACAACGTATGCTCTACAAGACTTCCTACGATAATACAACTCGATATGTCTCGCCTCTTACATATAGCCGGTCTCTCTCGGTCCCCTTCAATTTTGAAAGCGACCCTGAATCGCACACTACACCGTCAAATGAAACCATATTCGCACGGTGTATTTCTCCGGCTATTAAACCTTAAGTTTTTTGCACAACCCGCCAAAAAGACTTATTCTAACTTTAGCATTGAGGCTTACAATATTATTACATTGTAGGCAATTCTCATATAAAGAATTTAAAGACACCACAATTTTAACAAGCTTGTGTGACTTTTCGAACTCCTGTCGTTGTCACCGAAGTCCCGAAAAAACTACGGTTATAGGATGATCAGCGCTGAAAGTCAGACAATGCCCCTTTCCACGAAAATAAGCCTTCGATGACGAGGCATGGGCCGCGAAAGCCCAACCATTTCCTGTCTGAGGAAGGAAATGTTTTAGGTCATACGCTTGGGAAAGGCATATGCCTTCGGAGATATCGAGGGAATCTGGGAGCTTCCCCTTAATTCCTCATGGACACAAACAATCGCGAAAGCAGCAACATCACCAACCGACATTCTGCGGCATCGATAACGGGATACCGCTACCCATGACAAAGACTTTCATGGAATCAGCCAATACACACTTTTCACACAACACAAATCAAATTTCACACATATGACGAAAACGTGGGGGGAACAAATATATGAATATTAGCTCCCCATGCATCTTTCCTCATCTGGAGCATCATGAACGCCATTACTGGACGCCTTCCAACTCCGCCGGCTATGCATATGGCCCCGAAAGCTATACTATAATCTCAGAGCAAAACAGCCGCCAACGCCACCTCCTAATCTGACCTTTTCGTGGAGCCCATATGTGCGAGCGATTTTATGTACATGTTGGTGCGATGCGAATACAAGGCAGTTGATTGAGCGGGATTAATAAGTCGCTGGATGAATATGTCGCTGAATCTATGGTCTCATTGGTGAAAAAAAAAAGTGCGACCCAATGAAGCCGTCCTCGGGTTCCTGGTCGCACAGAGCGGGTTTCCGGTATCTGCAAAGCTCGCTTGCACTCATCCGCAGGGCGAGGATAAGACTCAGAATACCCATTCTCTGGGCTCTCGGCTCGGCACACAACGTACTGAGGCTACCCACTCCGAATCCCATGTCCTTTCAGCATTGGTTCATTTTAAAAGCTATGGGTCGTATCGATGATCATCCATAACTCTAGGCTACTTTGTGTAAAATCTGTTGTGGATTATTCCAAAGTTGGCCCATGGCTTATCAAGCTGGTGATGACTGGGCTGGCTGGGCTGGCTGCGGTTGTGGTTGCTGCGCCTGGGGTTGGACTGGAGCTGCTTGAGGCTGCGGTAGAGCTTGCCGAGTTGCGCCATTGGTCTGAGCAACAATGGGATCCCCGCCTTGTCTTCTAAACAAGAATTGGGACGGCGGGATCGTTGATCGGAACTTCATTTGACGAGCACTATTGGGATCAACTTGATATACCGGCTGTTCATCCTCGTCGTCACTATCTTGGTCATACTTCCAACGGTCACTCTGCGCATAATCTATTTCGCGAGGGTCCGTCGGCCCATTCACCTTGGGTGGTCGACGATCGATGAATAAACGGTTTAACCTGCCTACGCGACGGCGGAACGAAGACATCCCTCGTTCATCCTCAGTGCTAGGGCTAAAGCCAGGGAAGTCGGGTTGTACAAGAGAGTCGTGCACATCGGCCAGAGACGTCAAAGGCGCCACCTCTCCCTCCATCGAATCTGATGCAGACGCAGGTGGCGTCATTAAGTATCTGGTTTGTGCAGGCCGGAAACTAGGCTTCGTCTCTTGCACTGGGGGAAGCGGATCAGCCGTCATATCGACATAATTCTGGTTCCACCTTCTGTGATTCTGGACCTTCTGCTCCACATCGCTACGCAACTCGTTCTCTTTTTCAGCGAGCTTGTCAGACAGGACAGCGAGGTCAGCTGGCTCCACACTTTTCCCTCCGTCAGGGCGGACGACAAGACGAAGTTGAGTATGAGGTACAGGACGAGGCGGTGCCTCTGTTCTGGGTCGTTTCTGTGGCCTGGAGTTGTATAAGTCATCATCCTCACCCCTGATGCCGAGCCGAGTCTTAGTCTCCTTCAGACGGGCTCGATGCTCGAAGACCATACGGTCGCTGCCTAGCAACTCCTTCTTGAACAATTCTCGTTGGCACGAGAAGACGACAAGCTGACGAGCCTCTTCTAGTTCTCTACGAAGTTTCTTCAGCTTGTCGCTCACCTGGGCATCACGTGCTCTCGTCTTCCTCGTTTGTCGTACTTCTCGTCTTCGGAAACAGACATATGGGTCCATATCATCATGCTCCTGGTGAGTTTCGAACTTTAGTGAGGACTGTAGAGGTTTGTTGGTGCTCCCTTGTCGTCGAGTCTTCCAATACTCATAAACATTTTTTGCGTGAGATTGAATGAGTTTTGCTGAGATGATATGATTCAAGGCCTGAGCCATAACCTCGTATGGCACTACCGTGTTGTCAATCGAGGCATAGGGAGTTTGCTCTCCCGCCGTGTCCTCAAAGACTTCCATTATCTGCTCGAAGTCATCCTCGGAGAGTTGAGTATTCCCCGTCCACTTGGCATTGTATGACTTGAGATACTCCTCATCCTCTGTTGTCATATCATATAGAACACTGAGCGTCTCCTCGACAGTTTCAGAGAACTTGATATAATTCCGAGGCTCTACGTAGAGCTTGGGATATAATTCATTATAACATTGCTCACTCTTCTCAGGCGGCGGGACGGGAATTTCATTGTCCGTACTCGCGCCAGCTCCCTTGAGGCCCTTAAGGGCATTCTGCAGATGGTATTCCTATTGACGGGTGCGTTAGTGTCCTGTAAGTGATAAGTAGGGACAAATAGTGATGCATAACGGTGCGTAGTGGTTTGCAGTGGTGCATGATAGTCAATGTCGAGTCGATATCAAATTGATATCAAAGTGAGCATGACCAAGACTAGTGATGTCACGTGCCAAGTCACGTGATTGGGACATTCAAGGTAACAAATTGATTGATAACGTACATTTTCTTCGGCTTGCTCAACGCCAGTAGCAATTTGAGATTCAGTTGTGAGAGATTCATATTCGCTGGGGTCGATTTGATCTTCGCGGAGTACGGGCAGAGGCGTCTTTGTGTTAAGCTTCTTGTATCGCACTTTCCGGGTCGACATGGCGGTCGGCGGTGTGGGAGGATGATAGGGAAAAAGTCGCGAAGTGGTCGGAAAAATCCCGAAAAAATTCGGGGACCCAAAAGTTTAGGTCATGCGACGATGAAAATTGAAATTATTTATGATTAAAATTGGCGTTTTGGTGGTTGTTTTGATGGGTAAAGAGTCGTCGTCGGATGAGGTGACGTTGAATTGTTTGGGGCGCAAATTTTTGCTTGGTTCGCCGCAGCAGGCAGCCCGAGCAGTAACAACAAAGCAAAAGTTGAGCAGTGGTTTTTTTTGGTTAGGTAGGGTAGTTAGTAGGGTATTGTGCAAATTGTGCAGACCAGAGCCTTGCAAGGGGGGGTGGAATTTTGGTGGGGGGTAACTGAAGGGAATAGTTAGGGAAGGGGGGAACAAGGAGTACAGTAGTTAGAGGAGGAACCAGCGCGATAGGTTGGATAAGGAGATATCAATGATCGAATGTGCAAAAAGGGCGCCCCACCCCAAAAAAACCACACTTACGCTTTCCCTTCCCCAGCTCGTTAGCTGCTGGGTTAGAGGGAACGTGGGCCGCTGATTGGTTGCAGGTGGGTAGCATGTAATTTTGGGCAACAACGACTTTCTTTGGGGGAGGGGGGAAAAGGGGGTTCGGGCGCTGATTATGCCCGCTAGAATACGAAGCGTTAGGTACTTGCTCAAGTATGTACTGGGTACCTAACTTCTTGAATACAGGAGGTGCGTCTTGCACATTCAATGTTCACTTTCTCAAGTCGCAGTGTACATAACATTAGATACATAGCCCCTAATTACTCCTCAGATTATATACGCGAAATAATTTGAATAAACACAACATATGTATGTACGCCTCTTTCATCATTATTAGCGAAACAAAAAAAAAAACATAAAAATAGAACAGTGAAGTTCCTAAGGAGAAGGAGGCGAGGATGACTTTGCCAGGTACACAACTATTGTTTATCTAAGGAATTAAAGAAAACTTTTGGTGATGATACAGTAGTATTGTTGCATGTTCATTCAACAATTCCGACGATGTACATCTGTAAATTAGGTGGACTACTTGTTTGGAATAACTACCTAGGTAGTTACATAATTGAGCACAATCTAATTTTATGAAATTGCATAGTTATTTTGGCTTTTATGAGCTCATTTGAATTTCCCAGTGCACAATATCAGTGACATAACTTAACTGCATGCATCATTGATACATAATAGTATGTAGCTTCAATGATGCCAGGGTATGCAGTTCAGCCACATCTCGTATGGCACAGATTATCTATGATAAGATAAGAGATAAGGTACTAGTACAGGCATAGGTACTACTAGGTTAGGTACTTAGTGACGGTGACCCGGCTTTATGGACCGTGCAGTTCGCGTTTTGAAGCTGACAGGCTGTGACAGCAAATAAAAGGCAATTGAAATCTGAATCGTCTTGCCGCCTTGTCAACCTTGACCCCACCAACCCACATTCTCACCCAACTCGGAACCCTCCCATCAGCCTCATCTTCATCCTTCGCGAACATCACACCCACCTCTCTCTCAACCCCCATCCATAACCTCGGCGAATTATTATATCATATTGTCGCAAGCACGATAATTATACACGATCGAATAATACCCGCTGTTTTATAAATAGAAAGAAGAAGCAAAGAATAACAAAGAGCTTCGACTTGGATCACTACCTCTTCACCGTCTTGTACCCTTAGCTTAAATCCACCTCCGTTCAGGAGCTTCCAGCAAGATGGGCAATACAACGAGCGCCGTGCTCGACAACATCGTGCAAGGGTCCAACTGTATGTTTCACGCCCCTGTTGCGATTGCGACGGAGTAGATTTCTAATTGCGCTTTCTTTCTTGTAGTCGACCGAGAGGAGGTGGACAGACTCAGAAAGAGGTTCATGAAGCTTGACAAGGTACACCCCTAACCCCTATATTATATCATTTCACCTTTCATCCTTTACACCCGATGCTAACAACTCGCTTCTTCTTTCCTTGTTATAGGACAACTCCGGTACGATCGAACGAGATGAGTTTTTAAGCTTACCACAAATATCATCCAACCCACTCGCCACGAGGTACAGCCTTCCCTCTCCTTAAATCTTGTCCAGACTACTATTAAAACCCGTCGACTTCTACTTGGAGAGGAGAATAACCGAATGAACTAACCTCCCCGCGCAAATAGAATGATAGCAATCTTCGACGAGGACGGTGGCGGCGATGTCGACTTCCAGGAATTCGTGTCGGGGCTGAGCGCGTTCAGTAGCAAGGGCAATAAGGAGCAGAAGCTACGGTTTGCCTTCAAGGTCTACGACATCGACCGAGATGGGTACATCAGCAATGGCGAGTTGTTTATCGTATTGAAGATGATGGTTGGCAGTAACTTGAAGGACCAGCAACTGCAGCAGATCGTCGACAAGACCATCATGGAGGCCGACCTGGACAAGGATGGCAAGATCAGCTTCGAGGAGTTCACCAAGATGGTTGAGACTACCGACGTTAGCATGAGCATGACTTTAGGTAAGTCGCTATTCTTTGTTGTCGCCCGAATTGTTTATTATTATTGTTGTTATTTTTGGAGCTTGATGTGCTGACAGACCTTCCCCTGTAGATCAATTCTAGATACCAAAGCTATACCCACTGCGTGGCCCTACGGTAGTAATAATGAATCATGAAAATTAGGAACGTATATATGGATCATTAAATGGCTCTTTTCGCATCACGTGAACTGTGATGTGGGAGTGTTATTGAAGTCCCATGAGCGAGCTTATAATAGTAAAGAAGACGCATTAAAGATCATGTAATTCCCATGTATAACTCCAAACTATAGGTACAGAAGTTCCAAGTTTCCACGGATTATCATCCTACTCTCTTCGCCACTACATACTTGTCTAAGTATATATATGAGCCCTGGCCTACTCAACGAAAACAATAGTCGGAACCTACCGACGTAAACTTGTACTAAACTCAAGACGATTCCAACCTCCTGACCAAGTCTAAGTATCGAGGGCATATATCACATTGCCAAGGCCGGGATATGTATGGCCGTGGAAGATAGTCGATGCCATGATTGGCAACTCCGGTAAGTACCTAGATGGAGCATTCTATTCTATGGAACTATGTTGTTGCTGTTGCTTGGGGGGTAACATGTGTTGATCTGATATATCACGCCCCCTTCTCTCTTTCCATCTCTCTCGTTTGGGGGGGGGGGGGGGGGGGGGGGGTTAGAGATATCCGCCTAACAGCTATATTACTCTGCGTCTTCTAGGTTCAGCCTCGCTACAAGATAGGCATACAGATAGATAGATTGTCAGAAAGGGTGAAATGACAACGCGTTATGGGCCGAGTAGTAAGGGTCTAGGTCTGTGGTGATACCTTCAACACAATCTTATTCCCAACAACTAACCTAACTACTTTACAACAATAAGTCATGGGAGACATCTCATAGGCTTGATTTGGCATAACTAGCTAGGTATCAGCTATTAAGAAATTGTACAGTGAAGCGATACTCATTCCATACTTGCCCCTTCTACCTCTATTCACATCTTTCCATATAACTCCCTCTGACTTCATTTTCTTTCCACCAAGTCCAATACTTAATCTCCTTCCCCTCTTGCCAAAATTTTCAAGACTATAGAAAATTGTTAATTAAAACATCCTTTTGGGCCTTATGTGTTTATCTCGGGTACACCTTTGAAGTGCTCCCTCCTCTCAATTTTCTTATCCCCCTTAATTTCTCACTTTCCATAGTCTATCATCTCCCCGATTCTTAATCTCAACAACCTTGCCGTTTTTATCGATGTCAATATCGATTTTAGTAAACCGCCAGACGACCTGAGTTTCGGCTTTATATCCGAGTCGCGTGAAGACCCCCTTGTGAAAATCAGCAATACATCCATTTGCAGCTTTAGGAGCTAAAGGACGGGCTACCTTAGAAGAAGCTCAATACGAGTAACGACTTAAGTTATACTTTGAGTCTTGTGGCTTTGGCGTTGGTCGGAAGTGAGCTGATAATTACTAGGTACCTACTTCAAAGAACCCTAACCCTTCCGACGGTAAGAAATGAAAACTTATGGGAGGCTCCCTTTAATCTAGCTACGTAATTCTACCACTAGATTTAGCTTAGGTATATTGCTAGGCTCCAAAGGCTCCTTACAGCTGTCGAAGGGCTTGAGACCGTTCTAAAAACTGCCAGCTGTCACGAGGGCGGAACCTAGAAGACGCAAAATGATATCGTTCTTGGGCGGGGATCTTTAACATTTTCCCCGGAAACTATGGACACTAGGTACACATACATGTAAATAAGCCATTGATAGACTCTTAACACTAGCCGCCAATTTTCCGTAGAAGGAGATGTTAAGGCCAGGTAAGCTGGTGCTGTAGGCTGTTAATTTTGTGGGTCAGGAATTATTCTGCCATTAGCATAGCTCATTGAAAGGGAAAGCAGACTAAGGAGGAACAGGCTGAGGAGGAGGGGGGGGGGGGGTTAGATGATTAGAAGGGAAAATATTGCAAGAGGGAAGTAGATTAAAAGGGGGCGGCAGTGAGGTTGGTGATAACCTTCAGCCACACATGCTTTGAGATGGGTTCGTTTACACTTAATGTATCCAAGCGGCTTCCATACCTAACTTATAGACGGGATATATCTTCTGCCCCTATTCGCACAAATAACCTGGATACTAATTCATCCTCATACAGCTCACGTTCTTGAATTTTCTTGTTTACTACCTAGTAGTATTTACATAGACACCGACGCAGTAGCTATGCAAATTTTGAATCAACTTCGCAGCTTCTGCAAATAGATCGGTGATAGTGCTCACTAGCTACTTATCCTTATAACGTTACCTTGGTAGAAGTTTGTATTACGGATCTGGACAAGAGAGCCTTGAATTCCTAAGTGCCTTCCCGGGAGTAGAATGTTGTAACGATATGAGACCACTACTCGCAATGTCTTCAATACAACTATAATAGATAAACGTCCCCGTATCTATGTCGACGATCAAATACCTGGAAAAGGGGGCAGCATCACTCGGATACCCGGAACTGGTGATATGAGCCGAGGTTATGTTGTATGATGGCCATAACCTAACCTAGGCTATTCCATAGCTTTTGAGAATAGCTCAACGTACAAGACCATAGCTATATATTTGCCCTTTCTATGATATAGGATAATCGAGCAAGCGTACCCCCAGGTGGATGTTCTATGGTAAGCACCGTCTACTAGCTATGACCATCCAACCTGGGCAACTAGATTCAATGTGTAGGTAGGTACAGCTCTCAGACTTTACCCTCATCCAACGGATTTTCCCGGCAGGGCAAGGCCTTGCTAGGTATTTACACCAACCGGATCACGGGCCTAGAGGTAATCCCTCCCTCCCTACCTATTTAGTACCTGCTCACTTTACTGGGTACATGTATGATATATCAGCTGGAAGAGATCCCTTCTCCCACCCGTCCCACCCTTTGCGGAGAAACAACTGCACACCTATCAACCTACCTACCTAACCTAAAAAGAAATAAAGAAATAAAATAAATCAAGGTCTCTCCTCCGGAACCGAAGTTCTTGTCTCGCGTCGGACTGCAGAAAACGACCCGGCCTTAATTACCCATAAACATACATGAATGCGAGATTCTGCACCCACGCACACACACACACACACACACACACACACACACCCAGTGACCTAAAAGGAAAAGACTACCGAAACAAGACACGGGAAAAGGTTACCGGTGGCCCGTGTATCTGGTGTCCCACCCACTTAGTACTGAGTACATATAAGGAGGTATTGGTGACTCAGTTTTATCTGATGTTTCTTTTCTCCAGCTCCTACATAGTTATGTGTAGACCACGGGACCTGAGGTGACGTGCTCAGATGACTCAAACCGCTGCAACTACTAGGTACCTACATACCTACATGCAAGTAATAACTTAACAAAGTAGATATGTAGGTAGGTAAGAAAGGGAGGTGAAACAGCTGATCTTCCTGCAGGTGCTGGAGAGCGGGAGCGTCCCGTTAGATGGCGCTAGACTATGTGACTAACTACAATTGTGACATGCATTCGTATATTTATATAACACAATATATACATAATAGACTACCTCTAATCTGGGCCAGTTAACGAGCGAACGAACCCGCATCTGTTATTAGACATATGATTGATCATGTATGCGAGATGAGATGAGATGAGAGCCTGCATTGCATACGATGTTGCGTAACATCCTAAACCTGAACCTGACGTTATCATGCTACGATGGCGGGAACCTCGGAGAAAGGGAAGGGGGGGATTGGGGGAGGTGAGATGTATGTAGCTATAGATAGATAGATAGATACATACATACATACATGTAGGCATATGGGTAGGTTGTTTCATGGCTAGTACCATGTAGCAGGCCAAGGAAAACGCCTCATCGAATTCCGTGGTATCCATGTTCCGGGTTACCTACCTCCAACACCGAGAGAGGTTCCGGCCGCAAGGGTACCTCTCCAGTAAGTAGAGGCTACTTGTATGTAGGCACATACCTAGATAGTAAAGACGTCTTCTCGGCCTTGGGCTAACGCCTCGAATCTGCGTCGAGGTAGCCATGAGCAGATTTCTGCATGAACGGCACGGAACCGTGCCGTGGTGCATTAACTGGTGGCTTCTTCAAAAATGCCGTAAATGTAGCAGCAGCAGCAGCAGCAGCACTAGGTAATAACGCTCCTGCTTTTAGATCGTGCAGATTATGTAGGTACCTACATAGATTCAGCAGCTAAGGTTCAAGCCGCTAGATAGTATCATATGTAGGTACCAAGCCCAATGCTTGCTCGCCGTTACGGCTCACGCTTCCGGCGAGAGAAGGGGGGAAAGGGGATCGACGCGGGAAGCTGCATGACTGGGATGTGTTTTCTTTTCTAATGAAGGGTCGTTTCGACATGGGAGATAGATAGATGGCTTATTTACCACTGTACATAAAGTGTAGTATATGTAGTACGTAGGTGTATGTATTCAGGTACTTTTTGTAAGTATATAGAATGTAGTATGTAGTAAGTAGGATCGAGTCATTACGAGTTCAAGTTCAGTTCAGCTCTTCGCGAACATGTTTTGCTGGATGCGACGTCACAGTTTCTCAGCCTCCTTTTTTCTTTCTCTCTTCCCTCTATAATCCAATAGTTCGGAACAGGGTGACACTTGATTGTGTAGCAACCCAGCCCTACATGGGATGGTGTTTGACCTTCACTTTTTCTTTCCTTCCATCTTTTTTCTACCTAGAAAGGACTTGGATTTGTGTTCTTAGCGCCCCTCGGCGATGTCGGGCCCAACTACCTGGGTACGGTTTGCGATGAGATACAGGTTCATGTCGGTTGATGAGACACGAACTGGGATCGTGAAGAGTCGTACAAATATATCATATGGATGTAAGCCCCCCTTCTTTCTAGCCTCTCTTCAAGGCTCTAGTGAACCATCACCCTCCCTTTTACCCACACACCCCTCCCCCCTCTTGGCCCTCTCTTCAATCGATGTCTTCAGATTGAGCAATAAACAAGCACCTTGTTTGCTGAAATTGTTTCAGAGGAGTTTAAGCAAGTTCAGCGGCAAACAACACTAAGGGTGGAAAAGGAAGGGACCCGTTCGTGACCTATGTGCCGGTGTTACGTGATTAAGAAGGGGGTGGCACAAGAGATTGATAAAAAAAAAGAAGAGTCCAAAAATATATACACTTGTTGACTAACTATTGCAAAAGAATAAAAGATAAAATAAATAAAATGCCTAGTTAATACGCGAATGTTCTTTTAATCATGCTCTAACCATTCGTCCATCATATCTCATACCCCCTGTTCGCTTAAAAACGAAAAGGCGCAACGCAGATCCTTTTCCCTGTCTGAAGTAGAAAAGGGTGCGAGTCTATCAAACAGTAAAAAAAGGATGACAGGTTACAAAGTTGAAGCTTTCGCAATTACAACGTCCCTTGTTTTTTTTTCCTTTTCTCCCAAACTAACACCCTTTTCCCCATGTTTGCTTTGCTTTGTGCCCGTGATACCCCTGGATCAGTTCAAGTTTCGTTTCCATGATGGGGTGGTTGCATTGATTGGAGAGCGCCAATTATAGGCACGGTGCATCTATCAAACCAAGCTGACGAACAGGGGGGGAGGGATTGTGTGTGTGTGTGTGTGTGTGTGGAAAAGAAAGATGGAAAACTGCCTATCCTTCCAAGGCGTCGGGTCCGATCATATCTATCTATGCTATACCTAGGACCTAACAGGCCTGGGTTGTAGGCATGTATGAATGTAGGATCATTGTAGGTAGGTACCTATCCATGAGTGCCTACATGGTACCAGAATAAAAACACACAAGGAAGATCGCAGCTAGGTAGATGATCTTCCGTCACCTGTCTGGGCTTTGTCAGAAACACAAATCCAGTTGATTCGGAAAACTTCCGAAAGATCGACTTGCATCAGTGCCCTTTTTTTCCTATTCTTTTTGCGACCGGCCAATCAATATCGACTCCTGGCCGCAAATGGTAATTCTTAGAGGGGTGTGGGAAGGGGTGGATTATCTAACCTTTACTCGGATTGGACCTTTCTTTTTTCTTCCTTTTCTTCCTTTTCTTCTTCTTTTCCAATTATTTCCATCTTTTGGTTCCCCAGTTAACTCGTGTCTTTCTAGGAAAAAAGAGGTCCGTATGTAACGAAACCGCCTAGTAGGGTGGTATCGAAGCTGGAGTGAATTGTCCGTTCTATACTATGAAAGTACTAGGTAGTTAGTGGTAGGAACAAAATAAAAAAGAGGCTTAAGAGGGATCGTCATGTGGGGGTGGGGGTATAATAGAATTGCCAACATATACTACATTCATTACCCAGATACCTATAGTTAGTAGGTATAAAGTAGTATACAATGTTGTTGAGGTAATCGTACATACATATATGCACATGGATTTCTCCACGCAACTCCAGCTCCAGTATCCATCCATCCACCTAGGCATTATCGTGACTGGATTTGTACTAGGCAGATACCTACCACATACGTAGCAGGTACCGCTGGTATGCACCAAATTATGTACAGTGAGTAATGTGTATCAACGAAACTAATTGCACAAGCTCGTGGGAGCAGTGAATACCTTTCTTCTCTATAACCTTCCTTTTTGCCTATTCCTTCCTTCCCGCCGACCGCCAAGGGTATCTGCAAATATCATCGTACAGCCATACATCTCCTCTCCCGAGAAACCATGTCCTTACCCTTTCCCGTCATATTCGTGTCTTGATATGCCATCCATCCGTCATTGTCATGTGTACCACTCGCCCTAGTCGTGCCATCCCGCCCCCTTCCAGCCCTGTCGAATTCCAGACTTTAGCTGGAGCTTGACTGGATAGATACGGCCAAACTGCAACGGAAAAGTGATCCCATAACCACGCAAATTGGCTGCCTCAAGTAAACACAGCCCAAATATACACCTCCGAATGCTGCCTCGTGAACCTCCTAACTCCAGGACCCCCTTGTTGTTTACCATCCATATTAAATCGAACCGTGGCCTGATGATCTTCTCGCAATATCCACGAAGGGCTGTGGAGATCACAACCATAAAGTTATAGGTGAATAATCATCATCTGTTGAAAGCCGTGAGAGGATCCCACGTCTCAAATCACAATACATCGACACTGAATGGTATGACGCATTCTGTTTGGTAAACGGCCTTGCTTGTTAGCCCTTAGCGGGAAGTACGATGACCGCGATGGCCTGCCCCGGGGGGATTCGCCGCAGAGGAAGCGGCAGGCTCAGCCTCGTCCTCGTTCTCGTAGAGATCTAGACACGCCTCGATAACTAGCATATAAAGTCAGCAAGAGGCGGGGCGTGGTATAGAACTGTTATATGGGACAACCGTACTGGCAATGATAGGTTCTTCCCAGACACCATATTCATAGTCAACCAGACCGTGTCGGTCGATTCCATCGCAAAGTCTGACTATTTCTTTTCCCATTTTTCTCAGACCGTCCTCGCTGATCAAGGTTTGGCCTCGCTGTAAGGGCACGCCTGATTCCATCATATCCTTTTGCTTTTGAAATAGGGAGAGCCACGCGTGGTTGAAGTCTTGCCACATTCTGATGCGGTCCCTGTAGAGATTCTCATCGTCCGCTGAGAGGCCTTCAACAGTTAAACGTCACGAAAGTTACCGGATAATGAGAGGAAAGACGACTTACCCAGTTCCACGACTTTCGATAATAACCACTCGGAAATGTTTAGAAGCGAGTCGCTTGCGGCTTGCAACACACCATTTCGAATATTGGAAAATACCTCCCTCAAGGCTGTCTGGTATTGTTCATAGGCTTCGCCCATCTCCGTAGTTTGCGCGTAGTCTTGTTCCTCCATAGCCTGTTGCTCCGGCGTGCTTGTTTGTGCCATGCTGCTCATGGGCGCCAACCCTCCCGAGTAATTCTGGAGCATTGTACGCTGTTGAATAGCTGGGCTCTGTTGATATACTGTCGACGCACTCGAGGAGCCCGCGTGTGACTGTAGAGTAGATGCTGCAGCCGCGTTTGTCGGTTCGCTCGGGAAATAGGGGGTGGCTACATCCGTTTGCATCATCTGCAGCGCTGCAGGTTGCCGAGACGGGAATTGCTGACTCGTATCGTAGACGGCACTTTGCGCGCTCGCTTGCGGCACGTTGTACATCATGGGTGTATTATTATACGTACTAAAGGCCTGTGTCTGCCGAGTATCCTGCCCGTATTCAGACTGGTATGGCATTGTATTTTGCTGCATGGCAGTGGAGAAAGCTGCGGCCGGCTCCTGATAATATCCACTGTAAGCAGCCGTACCCCCTATACCTCGAGCTGCTGTTGGTGATGTGTTGATGGGCGTGGGCCGGAACCTATCGGACCCGCTTGCGCCGTACGACCTTCCCTGTGCATTGGGATCGTGAACTGGGTATCTGGATGTGGAAGGGTTGTTGACGGGCGGTTCGTTCGGCCTCCTCCGCCGTCCGTGATCATCCATGCCACGGGTTTACGAGTTGAAAAAAAAAGGCTGAAAGAAAGACGAGTTCTACCCGATGCGCCCCCGGCAACGGAGCTGGCGTCGAAGTAAAGGGGGGGCCACCTTGTGTCGTTTAGGCCGTGCCACAAACCGGCCCGTCAAGATCGTCTGAGCACTTCACCGCGTGCAAGTGGAACGTGTAATAGTGGTCGCGAAATAAACACTATAAAATAGAAGTCGACCTAGAAGAGTTGGCTCCGGTACTTGTTGGATAATGCGAGGTCGGATGAAATTCTGGTTTAGAAGTTCTTTAACACAAGACAGAGCGCGTCCGGCAAGGATGGGAAGAAAGGATGCCCTGGGATAAGACGCTTTCTTTTGTTTTTTTTTTCGGATGAAAATCCTGGCGGGAGGAGGAACTAGTGGGTTGGCGGTATATATGGTATCAGGTAGGCGTTTTCTTGAAGACGCGTCTCGGTGCGATGCGTTATGTGGTTGGGTGAAATCCAAAGCTTGCTTGAGAATGCCGCCAGCGTATGAGATGCCGAAGGTTTAAATAACTGAAAAGTCTTTTCTGGGTGCAAACACCGCCAACCACATGCCAGGTGGCCCCCAAGTCAGTCCCTCAGTATATGAGGTGTAGGGATGACGATGCCTCTGGGGAGCCCCAGAAGTTTGACTTCGTCCTTAGATACCTACTACTATAATAGTATGTAGGATTATGGGATGGGTTTGTCCACAAAAATCCCGAGTAGGTTAGACGGCGTATTTTGACTTGTCAACGGTTCTCACTACATGTACTGGGGAAATCCCAGCACTTCTTGCGACTAACTGCTAAATCAACAGGTAATGACCTTGCCAACCCCAATTGAATAGCAAGCCGCACTAGGTACAGAGACCCAATGCTTCGAATTTCTGAAAATATTGCGTCTAGACGTGATTAATCGTCCTAGTTAGCCTGCCCCTTTCAAGCGGCGATCACACAATATTTGAGTAGGTAATCTATTAGGACAAGAGTAAGAAAAAGAGTTGAGTCTGACCTGGGATTTGATTTGATTTGATTTGATTTGATTTGGTAGAAGGGTGAAGAGAGAAGAGGCCGTGAGTTGTTTTCAAGTATATAAATGAAATGTATGTAATAGTAGAAACGCCTAATGAAAAGGGACTTCGATGTATGTACCTAAGGTAACGTCGTGTGTGTGAGTGGAAGTGGGAATAGAGTTGTTGACATCGGAGGATTTTAAGCAACCCGGGGATTTCTTCTTTTTCTTTTTCTTTTTCTTTTTTCCTCCTCTTCCTTTTTTTCTTCTTTTGCTTCTTTCCTTTTCTTCCTTTCTTGTTCTTTTCTTCTTCTTCTTAACTACCTAAGTAGTGGACAACAAGATTTTAGAACAGAAAAGAATAAATACCTTTCTCATGACATCTGGATATATTATTCGGTGAGATGTCGAGAAGTTATGTACCTAACCTAGGCTGCTAGGTAGGCTTGCCTGGTAGGCTTGTCTGGTGTGTATTAAGGTCGGCAAGCAGGTGGGAGTGGAGCCTCAATTAGACTCTAGAGCGAGATAAGTAGAATGAATGGAAGGTTTCGATCCCTTATTTGCATGCACCCCATCAGAGCTGTGGGTAATGCAAATACAAATACAAATACAATACATGAAAAACACACGAGACTAAGCGACGGGCTGCCAATGAAAATGGAACAGAAAGGAGCACTTGAGCTTTAAAGAAATCCCCAAAACACATTAACGACACCAACGCCTTAACATGCGCCGTGCGGAAAGTAGCTGGGGCTTGCTAGACAGGGCAGACAGGGCAGGCGCAGGGCTTGTTTTGCGACAGGGTGAACAAGATCTGCGCAATGCGCACAGGTAATAGGGAGCGGGTCTCAATGGAATAACCCTACTGATACCCCTCGGGTGTGTTCCTACGAGACATTGGGACGATGATTGATCTAATCTGTTCAGACTGAAAAAGTGTGTATGTACTATGATGGTCTCTAGTCTCCAGATGAATGGATACCAGATGGATACTTTAGTGAGAGGGTGAAGAAAATGTAGAGCTCGGAGAATAGACTAGGTAGTAGGTAGGTAGTAAACCAAGTAGATAGACTTATTGGGTGGTACGGGATAAGTATATTGGGTAGGTACAGTATATTGGGTATATTGGTCAGGGGCATATAAGACAAACCTTTCCAGCCTCAAGAAACATTGAAGGCCTTACCTACTTCAAGTCCTCACCTGACCTACCTACTTACCTAGTTAACCTAGTACGTACAATACATACATATGTAGGCAGTAAATAGGCAGTAAGTAGGTAGCTGACCTTAGAGTATTTTAACTCAAAGGGTGTCACTGGTCACAACGCATGTTCCTGGTGCAGATCGGCCTATCAGAAAATGACCGTCAGATCTTTTGTCCTTAGTCGCTTGTACTATTGTGATTGTGCTGCATCTCGTGTCGTTGAGCTTGGGGACTAACAAGACATTAATTAGCCTGGGTTACTTACTATCATGGGGGCGATAGATCATAAGACAAGCCATAAGCTACTACGTATGAGTCTTCCGAGAGGGAGTCGTAACAAGTGGCTCATGTTGAAGAAGAAGCGAAGAGAGAAGAAGAAAATACGAAATAAAAAACTTGATATCACTTAGGTTCCAACGTTGCCTCAACCGAAAAAAAAAGGATGTGGGTAAAAGACATGGGTAACACACGGCGACGTTTTGCTTTTTTTTTTATTTTTTTTTGTATTTCATGTGCTGAACTCTAGTCGCGTGGCTGATGCTGATTGAGAGATAATTTGTATTCTGCATCGATCGGTCATCTTTGGAGAAAGTCATGAAAATTCAAGGCTGCCTGTGAATAAGTAATCATGCTTAGTTGTGTGTCCGACTCCTACATGTTAGGCCTACTACATGTAGGTGTAGGTGTCTACATAATCTCAACAGTTCAAAAATAATAAGTGAACGGTACCTACATACATTGCCGAGTGACTTGAGTCCCTTCACTTTGGAAATGACGATGGAGCGGGGATAAGGAGCTTAACCTTTAGTAAAAACTCAAAATCAAATGTTCTACATGGGATCCATGGATGTAGAATGAAAAGCCAGAGGTACACGCAGACCGACTTCCTATTAGGTAAGTGGGAGGCAGGTAGTGACCGTAGATTTCGAGATTTGACACATCACATACATAGGTAAGGCACCTTATGTAATACTATGTATGGCGTTGGGATCAATCATTCAAGGTTGTATGACAATGTATGTAGATACTGAGGTACCCGTACCAAACTTGCAAAATGGTAACATTAAAGTTTACAGACAGCACGATCCATAATCGTTCGGCCCCCAATCATGAGGAAGACACGGTATAGTCCTAAACCCTGATGATATCGACCTGGGTTTTACCTACATACATTAGGAAGGCATTGGATGTACCTCTCTTCAATGTTCTTTCTTTCTTGAACCTTGAATCTTACATGCTATGTAGTACATATGTACCTGCCTGCAATCTTTCAAATAGTACAAATACAATACATTATACAAGACATTTCATGTAGTTTAGAGCTGAAGTTGATTATGATATTAAACCTCTATTTTACCTCTTTGAGACAAAAGTCACTTGAGGCTAAAAATTGCTTTATCTTGCAAGTTTACCTATGTACCCTAATACATTCGTTTTCATTGATGAACTATTTCTGAGCTCTTGCTTATTTGTAGGCACAGCAATTTTGATATTGGTTCATTACATTATTAGTATCCTCTACGCGCTTATTTGACGATCTAACTTAGTGGCTACTTAGCTGGAGTACTGCCGAGCAGGTCAATTGCTGTCAGTGACAGTCAGTCATCTTAAGCTCATAAAGGAAGCTGATTCGATACGGGGAAAGAAAGCCGGCAGACGTTTGTCGGATCTTACACCGAAACAGACCAAGAAGCCGAAACGAAGAATTTTCTGGGTTGTGCCATGATAGCAAAGATTATTGGTCAATTGGAATAGAAGAAGGGCGAGACTACACAGTTAGCTCGAGCAGGTTCTCCATTGAAGAATACATACAAACCTGGGTAGGCAAGCAATGTAGACTTCTTCATCTTACCTCCTTATGATACAGTATGGTATGGCATCGTTGCAGTCCAGCAAACCAATTGATGCCCAATCATTTGCTAGGTTTGACGGTTTGGCAATTGTCCTCATGGCACGATCTGAGCGTCTCAGCAGGTTTAGGTATCGAACAATTGGTATTTGGCATTTGTCATTTGCCAATTCAAGGCCCAGACAAAATTGATTCCATCTGTCGAGTCTAGGTACATCGTTCTGGAGTACATGTATTCCTCCTTACTGAGGATGAGATACTGCCGTTCGGGGTACCCGTTAGGCCGCAAGTAGGTTTCTAATCAGAAATGGCGGGTGTTTGGTCGTCTAAATAAGATCCTTGAACCATGCTGGAGACAAGGCGTTGCTAGGGTCTATCGCAAGGCGTTGAGATGTCGTCAAAGAAATGACCAGGGTCTGTCTGGCATTGTCCCGGAGCCAGCCGGGGTGTTGCATCAACCAGCCCACACCCACTCTCGAACAATTCCCAGATCTATTTTCTACACTCAATACCGACCAAACACGGTACTTGAATGGCACCCTATTTACACCTTGGTTACATATGGTGCCATCAGGACCAACACATCAAAATCTCGACAGCCGCTTGCAGACGACCACTGTTGTGGGGGGTGTTCAGCATAGTAGGTATGCAGCGTATGCTCACATGCTTGGCAATCTCAGTTTTAATCCCTTTAGCAAGGGCTGATCGTTCGTTCTAGTATATTTGCCTACAGTACAGTATTGTACAATACCATACAATACAGTGCAGTACACCTGCATGTATGTATCTGCATATTCGTACATACTTCCAAGGTCATGTTCAAGATATCAACATTCAATACCGGGACCTATGTTTGGTCCGGCGTATCACTATAATGAATAATAGGCACGGGATATTTACCAGTCAATGAAAATCCCCCGCACGTAATAATTTGACGCAGATGATGGACTTACCTAGACAAAGGTACGTAAATAATCCCTGCTTGTATAATACTCTGCCTGCCTACCTAGTAGTACCTAGTACCTACCTACCTATTGGTCCTACTCAGTACTGTCTACCTACTGTCTTTCGAGTCTAGGTTGCAGGTTGGCGTTCTTCGTTACTTGAAATCACCCCATTTTTACGGGCTATCATGACTAGTGCAGGTCCCCGAGATTCGAGAAGTGCTCTGGTAGAAATTGGACCTCTCACAAGACCCACACAAGCTTGGTTTCCCTGGTTCTACCTCCCTAGCTGTTGAGTCGGTTGAATCGTCATACTTGTTACTGGCCACGGTCTCTTGACTACATACGTACTACATAGTATATGTATGTACGTCTCAACGTTCTTAAAGAAGTGCTGACTTTTAACATTGAAGCAGCAACATTGGAAGCGTTGTCTAGGTAATGTATGTAGCTCCACGGGGCAGCTCCAGTGTACCTATGCAACGACTCTGGATCCGATGAACCTATGTACACATGGCATGCACATACCAGGTTAGTTACATGTGCATATGTACCTTCAACTCCCCCATCCCCTTTAAACTCCGGCAACACACGTGAAGCTTTTTATTCTGAGATGTTATCTATACTAGCTGGGTTGGCATCATATTACTATAAGTCTATAACATACTATCTATTATTATATATATAGTATAGTATGTTATAGTATGTTATGCTATGCTAGTTTTCCCCAGCCTGACCTTCATGTTTTTGTGACTTCCTCCGGCGTAGTATCAACAGATTGGGCAAGGTACCTCTGATACATAGGTAACATTGAACTTCAATGCTGACTTGGCTAGGTTGATTCGGGCTTGCGGTAACTATCTTCGTACCGGATGCAATAAAGTGTCCAAAGCCTAAATTACGCGAAACTATTAACGCGTACCTGTAAAAAAGAATCCGAAAAGGAAGGATCCGCGCGTTACCAACTAGGTTAGGTAGTTATTGGCTGTTGTCTGCTTGGTCAATCTCAGCCTCATCTGTGCGCATCTGGGAAGGAGAATGAGGCTTGCACCCATTCCACCAAATCCTCTGGAAGCATAACATCAATTCTCGTATTTATGTGGTTCCAAGTTCGGGAGCCAGAATTTAGGTAGGTCGTGATATGATTCAGAACTCACATTGGGTCGAATTTCAATTTACTTAGCTCACAACGATTGCTAGTCAGTTCGCTTGTCTGGTTACATACTTCCGAGTCAGTCAATGATTGACGAATGCCCCTAAAGGATCGCATCAATATTCTTTTTTTATCAATCAATGTCTTGGGCATCTGCGCTCCACGCCTCCATAGTGGGTAGGTAGGTCGGTAAGTACTCTATTCTGATTGGAAAACCGAACCTCGTCGTTGACGGAAGCACAAATAAAAGCACAAATAAAGGCATCAAGAAACATACCTGGACATCAAATATAATATTAACGTCTTTCTTATACATGTCTCCGCCAATTCAGTTAGCGAATAACTAACTAATACATAACTAATACATACACTCTCTAAACTGTAGGTGGGCTGGTCAGCTGGGGCTACTTCTACGCGCCATACGGATACATGCCGTATCTACAAATGCCATCTTAAATAGCCATGTAGTTATTACTTCTTCTAGAAATATTCTACGGCTACCGTTGTTTCGAAGCTAGTTTAAATTCGGCATATGACTTCATTTATTTGCTTTTTTCCCACGAAGCGTCATCTACCTGGTGTGGTAGTTAGCCACACCAGGTAACTAGGTCCATACATCCATCCATGGATAATATGTATGTCCGTGCTCATCTGTCTGACTTGTCTTAATCGTGTGCTTTCTAGTGCTTCCCCCTATTCAACCAAGATATGAACCTAGGTATCTATCTACCTAGTACCAACAATACATATTACTGGGAAAGTCTTCACCTCAATTCATGCCCGAGTTGTTTCAAGGCTAAGTTGTTTCCATTTATTATTAACCTTACCTGCCTGGTATGTCTTGTCGTATTGATTGAATGAAACTGGCCTTGGTAGTGTGGGTTCGGGTTGCATAAACACGGCATTTGCGGCGGTCTGTACTGCTTTTGTATCATGCGACTTGACTGACCGACCTGAGTCTTGTGTATATTATAGCCGCGTGTCACACACATGATACAAAGACAATCCGGGTACCCGGTTCATAGATCCGAGCCCGACCTAATCTGTATTAATTTATTCTAATTGGTTGGCAAGCCAGATCTTAGGAGAGCTCGTACTTGGCAGGGCTCTGCATGCTGATTTGTGGCCAGGGCCCCCAATCAAATATACACACCTAGGTAGGCAGGTATAGGTGGACAAAGAACCGGTGGCAAAGAATTTCAAGGCCCTGCATTGGGCAGCTGAACTGAGGTGTGTCACACGGAAAATGTCCCATCGCTCTCTAAGATTACTCACATTTTGGAGACAACCCAACTTAACAAGCCGCCATGGCTGGTTGGCTGGCTGGCTGGCTGGCTGTCTAACTGGAAAGCATCTTGAGCAGGATCGATATCGGCGTCACCATGAACATCATCTTGAGTGCATTCCGGATTATGAAGTGGGTACATAATGATACATGACCTTTATACATACGGCCCGTTGCGCGAACAGTGCGGTAGACCGAGCCAGACCAGAACCCCTGCAAATAAGGCTGACGATGTTCGCCTCTCCGAAGAACGTGGAGCAACGAATCACCAGTCCCCTTGGAAACTTCGACGTCGAGGCTGTTCTATCTCTTGACCCATGCGGGCATTTTCCTTGCTTTGACGTGGCCGGGCTTCTTCCTTTCAACCTTTCGAGCATCGCGAGTGAGGCAACCAGCTTTAAAACCAAACCAGATTAGCAAAATACCGAATAAGCATTAGTAGACGCTGCTTTAACTTACCCTTTCTCAGGGGTGTCTTCAAGGCCGGCTCATGGACAGCCAATGCCTTGGCAATAGCCATGGCAAGAGCTTCGGCTTGTCCAGTAGTCCCCCCACCCTCCACCAGGGCCCAGACGTTGTATTTGTCCATTCGCTCCATTGTTTTCAGCCCCCAGAGCGCACTTTCTCGGTCGTGGACTCTTCCAAATGCGTCATTGATGGTCTTTCCGTTGATGAGAACCTCCCCTGTCCCTTCCACAAGCCAGGCCCGAGCCGTAGAGGATTTCCGCCTGCCTACACCATGCGACCTGCCAAACCGATCGACCGGGATGGGTTTCGGGGTGTTGAGGTAGATGTTGATATCCCGCTTGAATGGCCGAATACCTTCCTTGACCTCATCTGGCATGATGTCAGGGTGAATCTGGTTTAACCTCTTGACCAGCCCGATACAGGCTGCGTAGTCTCTCGCCTTGACGGCCTCACCGATCGCCAATCGATACTGCTCCTTCGTCTTCCACGCCACACGCTCCGCCAGATTTGGTGGGATTGTGGGGAGTCGTCCGTATTTCCGCGTAAGGTCCTGGACTAAAACGAAGCTGTCGTTGAATTCTATATGCCGCGAGAAATAGGACGGCGAAGCGGGCATAGGACGCAGGTAAGGGAACTTGACAGTAGCCTCTTCGGGAGTTGTCTCCATGGAGTTTTCCTCCGCGGCCTGCTCTAGTCGACGGAAGTCATCTCGACGAACGGTGGTTGCGAATGTGCGGCGTGTGTTGGGTTTCGTCGAGGCGGTTAAGGATGATGATGCGGAGGACCGCGATGGTCGGGTCGCGGTAGCCCGGAGATCTCTAAGACAGCGGAAGCTATTTCTTAGAGTGGACATTTTTATCTATCGTATCTTCGTCATGACCTTGTGTCCGAATACCGTTAATCAATTCGCCGTACCAATTGGGTTGATCGAGCTCGGTGGTTTGGTGATAGGCGAAATATATAGGCGAAATAGAGGTACTTTTTGGATTTTTTGGCGCGGAGGCACTTTTTGAAACTTTCGCCGACATCAATTAGCTAAGGTCTCTTTCCCATCAATGAGCTTCGAATTTTGATTTAATTGATTTTAATTGGCCGGTAGATTATATATTCCGTTCGCCGAGCTTCAAAAAGAGGTGGATCTTTCAAGTTCGATCAGGTGCGGTGCAGCATGCCCAGTGGGGAGGGGTCAATAATGCCTAAGGTTGAAAATTCAATTAAGCCATAGTACTAGCGTGAACTGCCCCGCCTCCTCTTTAGTGAGGTAGGAAAAAAAAAAAAGACAAAAGAAAATTTTGGTGAGTCAATCTTAAAGCACTCCTCTTCTCTTCCTTCCATCTCCAAACCGATCAACACCAGATTCTTAAGCAACCATGGCGTCTTTCGGAAAGATCTATACTAAGGAGGTGAGCATCGCAACTTCATCCTTAATTGTCTCTTTTTACTTTTTCTGATAAAAAAAAACTAACCTGGAATCTTCGCGTAGCTCAACCCCCGCACCACCGCGATCCTCGCGGTTGCGAAGGCCAATGGGTTGAACTTGGAAGTTGTCGAAGTCGACACCACCAACCCAACTCCCGAGTTCCTCAAGGTGAACCCTCTCAGCAAGGTTCCCGTCTTCGTCGGCAACGATGGATACGTCCTTACTGAGTGCATGGCCATCGCCATTTACAGTACGTTTTATTCCCCTTCTACACCTGATAAATAATCGCCATCAATCCCTCCCCCCGCACCGATAGTGGGCGTCTTCATGATGACCTAGACATTTCTAACAGTTATCCCTATCTGAAATATTTCTGTTGATATTGGTTCTACTTTCTGATTAATTCACCTACTTATCATCCTCATTATACCATCTCCATGATGAAATGACGCGAGAATCTGGCTAACATCCCATTCTCAGTTACATCCCAAAACGAGAAGACTACCCTACTCGGCAAGACCAAGCAAGAGTAAGATATTATCCAAAATAAACTATGAAACCCAAAACATGCACTAACACTTTATAGCTACGCCTCTATCTTGAAGTGGATGTCTTTGTTCAACACTGAGGTTCTCCCCAAGCTCGGTGCCTGGTACCGCCCTCTCCTCGGATGGGACCCCTACAACAAGAAGGGTGTCGAGGATGCTGCCAAGGGTGCCGCTAAGGTCATCTCTGTCATCGAAGAGCACCTTCTCCACAGCACTTACCTCGTTGGCGAGCGTATCACCCTCGCTGATCTGTTCGCCGCAAGCATCATCTCTCGCGGCTTCCAATTCTTCTTCGACAAGAAGTGGCGCTCTGAGCACCCTAACGTCGCACGATGGTACGAGACTGTCTACAACCAGCCCATCTACACCGAGGTTGCCAAGCCTTTCGAGCTCCTCGACACTCCTAAGTTGACCAACGTCGCGCCCAAGAAGCCCGAGCAGGCCAAGGCCCCCAAGGCCCCCAAGGCTGCTGCTCCTAAGCCCGCTGCTGAGCAAGAGGATGCACCGGCTCCTAAGCCCAAGCACCCTTGTGATCTCCTACCGCCAACGGAGTTCTACCTAGACGACTGGAAGCGTTACTACTCGAACCACGATGAGGCTGACTCTATGAAGTGGTTCTGGGAGAACGTTCCTTTCAAGGACTTCAGCATCTGGAAGGTCAAGTACAAGTACAACGACGAGTTGACTTTGACTTTCATGTCCAACAACTTGATTGGTGGATTCAACACCCGTCTCGAGGGCTCTCGCAAGTACCTCTTCGGCTGTGCCTCTGTGTACGGCGAGAACAACGACTCGATCATCGAGGGTGCCTTTGTCATCCGTGGTGACGAGTACCTTCCCGTCTTTGACGTCGCTCCCGACTACGAGAGCTACGAGTTCACTAAGCTGGACCCCACCAACGCCGATGACAAGGCTTATGTCGAGTCCATGTGGACATGGGACAAGCCTGTTGTCGACAACGGCAAGGAGTACAAGCACGCTTCCGGCAAGGTCTTCAAATAAGCTAGTGCGCCTTAAGTTTCATACCAGGATGGTTACGAGCTAACGAGATCATGCAAAACGAAAGTTGGGTGAAAGGGAAATGGGGCAAAGGAAGGAAACTGAGCATTGCAGCTAAATAGGTTGCAAATTTAGGTAGCAGAAAGACTCATTGGTAGAGCCTCAATCATGCAAACCAACGGCTTTTACCGTATTCCCTTTAACGAATTATGGCTTCATGTAGATGACTTATAAGGGTGAATGAACTGCACTAGACTCCTATTTTTAGTAGCTTAACAAAGGGATTCTGGTAGGTTGACTTATCTAATGCCCACAAGGACAAGTCTTTCCAGTTCAGGTCAAAGGAAGGGCGGAGGCAAATGTACCTTGGTAGGGAACTCGTAGAACACTATAAAATGTCAGGGCCGCTGCTTCAATACCTTGAAATCGTTCTGATATATACAAATCAACAGAAAAGAAACACCTACACATATAATACTCAAACAACAATTACCGAAAACTTTTTTTTATCTTACGATACACCATTCCTAGGACCTAGGCTACTATTTTAAACATCGCAATCATGAAGGGCAGAATTCAGCAACAGACACGCCGTAACGATATCGGTCTCTCTTTCGACAAGCCTGGCAGCGACCCTTGCCTTTGCACGGTTATGTGAGCTAGCATACAGACAGATAGACGGATAATGGTGGCATATATATAAGGTTCATATATCTATATTTGATACTGATATGAGGGATCTTGTTCCACCATCGATGGGCTGAGCGGGAGGAAGATAGAGGGGGCGGAGTAGACAGGAGGGGGGAGAAAGGGGGGATGATGAATGATGAATGAGCAATGACGGATGACGGATGAGGGTTGTACTGATTTAATGTACCTATAGACTTGTTTATGTTATATATTGGATTGTAATTGTGTCTGTGTTCGATGGCGTTCCTTTTCTGATGTTACCTGTATACCTCCTATACTTTGCCTGCAAACGCCTACTCTCGTTTTATAGCCCTCCCCTCACATTACACGCCTAGGTTACCTAGGTAGGTTAGACATCTATCTTCTTTATCACTGCCTATGCCTTAGTAGCAGCAGCCACCATAATCAGCATAAACAGGTGCAGCAGACCACCACCCCTTCATCTCCACCGCCACCTTCCTCATATGCTTTATCTGAGCCGCCCCCCTTTCTCCTGTTTTCATTCCCTATAGGCTACTAGTCGGGGGTGTATATTGAATGTGGATAGGTGCCTACTATCATCGGTTTCTTGTTCTTTACCTAGGTAAGTAGGCTCTCACTATAGTATCACTGTATCAGGCATCTATCACGACGTTTTGCCTTAACAGTCCTTTCTAAGTTTCAAACGCGAGCGGGCGCCGTGGCTTTGGTAGTGTGAATCGGAGCTTGTTTCGTATGCACCCTAATTAACTAAAAGCCACATGGCATTTTTTTAGCACACACATAACCGAGGACCGGGTAGTAGATATCGGCATTTGGGCAATCATTCAATGGGGATGGGATGGGATGGGAGGGCTAAGCTAATTCTGCATATAAGAATCTGAAACGACGCTGCTAGTTCTAGTCCAGCGGACATCCTTCTCCTTTCTCCCCCCCCCCCTTTTTCCTTTTATAGCTGGATACTTATTATTATGTATGTAGAAGTGTCAATTGCCTATCACAAGCTTCGCTCTATATACGACAGTAGGTGTCAACGGCGTTTCTGATTGGCTGGCACTGGGAAATCGGGCTAAATCGAGCAATTGGCGGAAACCGAGGTATGTATGCAGTGGTTACTACATATGGTACATACCTTGGTAGATAATGTATATCATGGCATAGATTTATTACAAGCTAAGCTAATTATATTTACAACACTTGTACGTATGTAGGTACTTGTACCCTTTTCCCTTAGCTTCAGAAGGTTAGGGCCAGATACACACATAGCTAATTAATCCCTGAGCAGCTGTAATCTGCCTACACTAAGAAGCACGAGGCTGGGTGTTTGGGTCTTGGTACTTGGGTTAGATTTTAAATAACTTGGCAAGTTTAACGAATAGTTAGTTGGGTAGGCAGCGAGTTAGTTAGTTGTTGATTGACTCGTATGCAAATCTCGGACATGGTGGAGCTAACGGGCTTAGGTGGCTAGTCATCCGATATTAGATGTTCATTTACCTAAGCAGTTAGTAGCTTTAGGTGGTGATGATGATGCTGGGGGTTGGGGGGGGATAGGTGGTGTATACATCTTGGCAATTACTTAGATAGGTAGGTATAGGTATAAGGGTCTACATAGGTACGGGCTGAAAAGTGTACTATTGCTGCTGATCACCACGCTTGGCTCTAAATCATCACCACAAAGTCCTTCTTTGCTTACCAATCCAGTCTTCTGCTTTGATATCGACACGGTAACGCGGTGCAAGTCACTTAGTTACTCATCATATGTAGGTTACATCTCTGTTGATGAAAATGAACGCGGTCATGAGTTTGAGATTGCTCAGGTCTAAGCTGCATGTTGTAGGCTAGAGAGAGATAATAGCTAAATACATTCAACTGGGCTTTCTCTTCTCGAAGAAGCCTGCCGTAACGAATCTCCTAGTGCTTTTCAAAGCGATGCCAACCCACACACCCTTTGCAGAGCAGATATCTTGCTCGGCCGCTCCTTAAGCTCCTCTATCGTTCCACCGGGACCAGCCCCTTACGCGGAGTTGTGGTGTCTTCGGACTACCAATACCTAGAGAGCACCACCACCACCCATAGTCAGGTGGCTTGGATGGCATGTACATATCTGGTGGTCACGACAACGCAGAGCAGAACAGACCAGCCAAACTATGGCTTTGCTGGGGTTTCTGCAAGGCTTGTGGCAAAGGATGTAGCAGTACCACCCAAGCATTGCGACGGGAAGGTCGAGTTTTCCAGTTCACCATCCCACTAACACCTCGATCGTTAACACGGCGGGAAAAATCTTCACGCTGGGTAGGTTTACCTGCCTATTAGATGCGTCAGCATCTCGGTCAAGTTTGAGCCCAAACTGTTTGTGATTCCTCGGGAAATCTTCTGGGCGGTGATATTAGGCTGGTAGTGATTATTGGGCGACGTAAGATGGGTATATGAGGGACCTGCATTTACACGGCAACACACACACGTTTATTCCTCGCGGAACAATCACAGAAACCGTGAGCAGCGCCGCCGGGCCGCGAGCCGCGAGCCGCAGCGTTGGTTCGGCTTGGATGTTCAGGGCCTTTTAGCGTCATTCTCATCTATGGTAGAATAGATGAGGCTTTCTTATTGTTACTTTTCGGATTTGATCTTTTTTTCCCCAGGACAGAGACCGGGTTAAGTACCTTGTTTCCCTGGCGATGAACAGGGAAAGTGGGGAAAACGGTAGAATTCGCTCAGAGTTTCATAATTTTGGATAGGGATACGTTTGGGTGTTGTATCTGAAGATAAATGGAGAAATGAGGGAGGAGAGGAGCTGGAATAGGAGCCAGCATCTGATGGGTGTTCTTATTTTATGTATAACTTTCTGGTATTTAAGATACTAGGTAATAGTGGCTATAGAAGAAATTGAAACAGATGGGTATTTGGATATTTAGTCCTCACCGACACTGTAGAAGAGTAAAGGCTAGTATCGAAGAGTGTCTGTACCTAGACTAGATCTATCTAGGTTATATGTTCACATAGTCCTATTTATTCTAACAGATACTGTCAAACTTTTCACTTCTCAATAAGCTCAATTTTCTGGATGGAAATCTGGAGCACATGATGGTAGAACTGAGAGTATTGCGCCCAAAGTGATTCTAGAATACTGATAAACCAGAGGCTTCTATATACAGCTATAAGAGCCCCTGAAAGGTTCGGGAACAGCAAAGGAAACAACCAGGTTAGGGTGGGAGAAATAATAGGCAAAGTAATTCAAACAAACCTAGGCACTCAGTAGTTTTATGGCATCCAATGATATGTAACCCCTGAGAATATCAGGAAAGAAACAGGAGTCCAAATTTATATCATAAGAAACTCCATCGCTAAAAGACTCACTCTAGATTACCCATGCACCCAACAAATAATCCCCCCTAAAAGAAGAGAAAACCATCTTAGTGAGTCATATCCCCTAAAGTGAAATCAATCTTTCCAGGTTAGGCCCCTATATAGGAGTTAGGTGTATAGACATACAGGAAACGTGGTAATCACTTCATGCTCCTTACTATCTTGAACCTGTATATCTTAACTACTGCCGTCCTGCAGAGTACCTGTCGCCTAAACCTGTTTGAGGTTCATGAGGCGTATGGAAGGCTAGAAGGAGAATGCATACTTGTAATAGAAATGGAGAAACAGAGTACATCTCCTCTGGAATGGAAAGTTACCATGATCGACTGAGATCCACCCCGAGTCGGGGTCCCCGACTCACGTGAAGATCAACTAGACGATACAGTACGGACCGATTCTACGAATTGGAAATTAACAGATGAATATGAAGAGAAAGTGACTTTGATGTATCTGTGAAGCTTCTGGCTATGCCTGTATTGAATGGCCTTTATAACTTATGCCCAAGTAACTTGGTTAAGTTGATTGGCAACATGGTTCTAATGTAGTTAACCTAGAATAATCATTTACTAGATACCTTGAGGTACTACTATCAGAAATCTACCCTCACCGAATGATAAACGCCAAAAACTTGTATATTGAGTATGTTGGTAAATATTCCGGTAAGGTTAGCTTCGTGAATTCTTAGTGTATAATACAGTGCACGTAAATCCAAGTGGATTAAGCGAACTACAACTTAAAACATCTTATTCGAATCTGTGCTTAGGTAGGTAGGTAGGTAGGTAAGTGTATCAACAATTCGCCCGCACCTCACCCCCTAAACGATGAGAACGGCATTGATATCCATTCTCTAAGGCAGAGAAGTACCTTATGGAGCGATATGACTTACTAGTTAATGCGAATCTATCATCTATCTTCTAGCTGTGGTTGTCTGATTCACACACTTCAACCATGTCAGTCGTCGAGAAAACCCGACAGGCAATATGCAAGATTTGTAAGAATACAATCTTCAACACTTTTTGCCCAAAAGGCCTGGAGACGCTCGTTTCTCACTTGGCCATCCATCAATTGAATTACTTATCCGTGAACTTTTAGTCTACCTAATCCCGAGGACCACCTACTTTTCAACTGACGTAAATTGCCATGGCCTGTCTCCCTTCATCTGTGAGCCTGTCCATGTAAGTGGCGACTGCTCCGTTATGTCGAGCGTTGGCCTCTGTTAGGTATTGCCGTACCCAAAGCTTCACATCCTGAATCTGGGGGTATTCGTCACGAATGGTTTTCTTGCATGTGTTGAGTGGGGTGAATCCAAGGCCGAAGCCGATGTCGTCAACATCCGCCTCGTTGACAACATCATCGCCCATACCACCCGCTACCTTGGGTGGATTCATGAGCATCTTCAGCATTGCTTCACACGTAAAACGCCATCCCTTCTGGTAACGCTGGGCGAAAGCAGCGCTGTCTCCCATTGACTTGGCGAATGATACAACAGCTAGCTTGCGATCTACTGGACGGACGAGCTGTTCCGAAACCGGCAGGACAAGGGTTAGGTAAATCTGAACGAACAGATTATTTTGGACTAAGTCCACTTGGCTGACGAAGAAATCAGCTCCCAGACCAGCCTCCACCCTGGCTGACACGAGGTGATAGAACCGTGTGAATCGCAGTTTGAACGAGTCTGGCGGGTTATTTTGGAGCTTTGTGAAGAGAAGGGCGAGTATTTGCTTGAAGTAAGGCTCAAGAGCGTTCCTGTTGAATGAGTCAGTCATAACCTCCATCAGTTACAATTTCATTAGAACATACCTATCAATCGATACAACAATTGTTTCTAGCAAGTCAAATGCGTTCTGTTCCGTCCTCTTGATGCTAAGCAGGGTCTGGAAAATACCTAGAACTGGTTGGAGTTGATTTTCCGCCACTATAGATTGAGAGGCTCTAGGTATTATAGCAGCTAGTAGTCTTGTGAGAGCTGGAACATTGCCTCTTGTCTCCCAAAGCGTGGGCATCATCAAGGGGGCCACCAGTGCTTGATAGCGAGTAGGAAGTGCCTCATATGGGTTGAGTTCTAGAAGTTTCGCGATAAGTTGGAACACATATGGTATGAACTCTAGAAAAGTACGTGTTAGCCTCTAAGTTATAGCTACTCGTTGGGAGATCACACTAACCGTTCACTTCTTCAGTGATTATTTGGTTGAAAGGCTCCCATAGGAGGGTTTCAAGCGTCGATGAGCCGTTGGGTGAACCGCAGCTATAGTTTTACTTAGTTAAATTTTCACATAAAAAAGGACTCGGGAAGAGAACATACCTCACAACAGCACCTAGGGCCTCAAAGTGGTAATAGTAGAAGCGTGGGTTGCTGGGGTTGACTTTGATGATGCTCGTGATTTTAAGTAAATGGCCAAGAACCATGTCAGCGTAGCTGAGAATGCCCGTGCCCATTACGATAAGTACTCGCATGATGCAGCGCATAAGGAACTCATTTTCTTGCATCTTTGCTGGGGATCCCTCCTTCTCAACCAACTTGAAAAGGTGATCGAGGAGATCTTTGGCAAAGGGTTCAATATCGGATTTGCCAAAGAAACGAACACCGGATTCATCGACCAAGGATAACAGTCTCTCCACGCAAATGGCTGCATACGTGTAAACAACATAGTCCGACGAGCCCATGTTCTGAATCAGGGGCTTGAATGCAGCTTGCCATTGGTCCTTTGATAGTTGACTTCGGAATGTATACAGATATTTGATAGCGTCGACTTTGGAGATGGGCTCGATGCCCGTATCCTGAATCAGGTCATTTGCAACATGTTGTTCGAAGAATTCGACCACGTTGACTAGCGGGTTAACGGTCTTGACACCATGGGCCGCCGTCACAACACCTTTGGCTGCAATAGAAAGGAACAACGAGATTGCTGTATCCTTGTCTTTCCAGCTTGTCTTTCCTTGCTCCAAGTAGTGGCTGATATATCTTCCCGCAACGGTAGTGACCAACTGCTCGAACTTACCTTGGAGTTCCCTTAGAAAATCAGTCGCCGCTCTTCGTCGAGAATCAGTATCTGATCCCTCGAGATCACGCCGGATGAATTCAATAGGCTCGTCTTCAAACAATTCGATATCGGACTCTCTTAGTGCCACATTAGGTAGCACAACCTTCTCTACTACTTGACCCAAGACGCCCTCCTCGTTGAACACCTTTGCGTGATTCGGATTAGCAGCGATTGCCGTCAGAAAATGCAGCGCCTTGCTGACAAGATTGTCGTACTTGGTTTCAGGGCCGATTGCAGAGAGCAGATTCCACGCGCTCGTAACAAATACGTTAGTGTAACGGCCAAAATCATCGTCAAACTTGTTGACGTAGAGCTGTAGGACTTCACAGATGTCGGCCTTGACTATCTCAATGACTCCGGCTTCCGAGTCGTCGTCGGTTGCTAACAGCGGGTTCTCGTAGGTTAAGTACTTGTGAAGGAGTGTTGAGATGTGTTCGAGGTTCGACTCGAATTGTGGTGGCATGTCCTGACAAGATAGATCGTGGAAGACCTTGATCAGTAAGCTCATCGTATCAAAGTAGCCCTTTAAGGCGACCTTGTCATTGGCATGCACATCAATCTGCTGGTCCGTAGCCTGCTCGGTATTAGTCTGAAAACTATTGAAAATGAATTATTATTAGGGAATCAACGTACACTCAAAAGGTTGAGGAAGGGCCCGGCGAAGATGTTGAGTACGTGGTTGATCTCAGTATAGAGTCCATCTGAACGGTATAAGGGTCGCCATCTCACGAAGATGGAATGGGCAACCTCCAAAACACCGTTGTTGACCTTGAAATTATCAGGCGAAAAGCGCGATACGAGGTCGGGTACAAGGGTGTCCCATCGTTCCCAGAAATCAGAGTCGGCGATTATGCTGATAGCCTCTCCTAGCTGTGTCTGGATGGTAGAAGGGCACCCAATCATAAGCCCAATAAGCTCTTGCTTGATCGTTTGAATTTCGTCGATGGGAAGCTTGTATTTTCCGTCCTCGTCCTATAAGATACCAGTATTAACGTTGCACTTCTAAGATAACAAGTATGGGAGACGTTGGAGGGCGGTAACGTACTACATAGTTGTGTCGGATAAAGTTCTTGAAGCACAGCGCGCCAGAGAGACGGGTCTTTGGCTCGAGACTTTCAGTCGCAACTATCTTCAATAACTGTAACGAGTATTGTGGCTTTTTTTCTTCAGCCTTAAGCGCAGCCTCGGCTGTATTAGTTCAGTTAGTCTGGATTTCAATAAAAGCATAGGCTTCCTAAGTTATCTATGCTCCTTAACCTTTCTAGACTTCGTAGTCATCATGCCCGCCATAGTGGTGGCAGAAGATGCGAATATTGACAAACCATGTGTATGTACGTATTACAACAATGTGGGGTAGTGAGTAGTAGTAGCTCTCTTAACATACCTTTTTTGTGCTTGACCGGATCAAGGGTCGCATCCAACAGCTGGGCAATCTGGCTTAGATCTGAAGCCATGATGGCTGGCTGGATGGTGTGGTGGTTTACGAGTAGAGCGTTGTAGGTGTCAAGGTTCGACGCGATGCGTTGTAGTGTTTTTTTTCTTAGTTAAAATGTCGTTGAGGTTCTTAGTTGTGTTCTTAAGTTGTAGGTGTTTTTTTTTAGTTGTGTTAGTTGTAGCAGAGGCTCAATGTTGCCTAGAAAGTGCTGGGTTCCCCTCTGTGGAACTACGTATTTACATAGTATTAGTGCTACCGTACCTGTGTGTCTTCGCGCTAGCCGAGTGGCATGAATTTTCTTTAAAAAAAAATTGAGGCTGCCCGCGGCGGCAACGGCAAGATTCAAAAGAAGACTACCTACGGTGGTCTGTGCGTTAAAGCTTGAGCTACCTAACCTAGTGTAGTAGCCGTGCTAGTACTAGGTATTGCTAGATATTGCTAGGTATTGCTAGGTATTGCACCTGCATAAGGAGGGGAATAGCGGGGCTGATACCAATGCGCTTCTATCAGATACCAGATAGCTAAGACCTGGGCAGATACCGTCATAAGGCAGCAAGGTGAGATAATTAGTACACCTGTAACTTGCATAGTCTGAGCGCCAACTAATTAGGCATAAGCTCAACAGCTAACACTAAATATACACTAAACATAAAAGCAGGGATAATGATAGGCGAAAACGGAGAAAGAGATGGTGCGGAAGCTGCAAGAGTACCAAAAAGGTCATTGTGGAGAAATCTTTTTGTGTGAACACCATCCATTTCTAGTCCATTTCTAGTCCCCGAAAGTCCCTAACAACCTTGGAAGTCTCCAATCTTCTTTACCCAAAGCTTGCGACCAAAAAAAGAAAAAAAAAGATCAATTTATCTCCATATGTCCTGAATACCTCACCGAAACAATTAAAAAAGATAAAAACAAAAAAAAAAAATAACAAAAAGGGCTTGTTGCTTTGTGTCTCCCAAATGTCATACCACGTTCCACGATCCAAAGAAAAACTAAATCGAGCTCACAGCAATCCTTCGTGTCCACCACCGTCTATACCACCTTCGTCATCGTCTCTTGTACGGTACATGGTAGTGGTTGCAGAATAGAGAGGGTGTGAGGAACTAAGTCTGTATTACTCTAACCTAGGTCTAAGAACACAGAGAGTGTGTCACGCGTCTACATACCTCGGCCGCCAGCCATACAGCCATACAGCCAGCCAACCTTCACTACAACTTTTGTCTTGGCCATTTGTATCACTCTATTCCTTTGATTCCCACCCTTATGCAAGACCCCATTTGCTAGTAAGTACACATCTTTTGATTGCTCTGCTTACAATTTTACCACACCTGTAGTATGTCATCTTCCCTTATCGCTATTATTTTTTCACGATTTCACGATTTCTTGCTTTTGGAATCTCGTATTGCATTTATCTCAGCAGAATCCCATAATATAAAGACTATGGATAAGACATATTCTGCAAGCTAGCAGATATGACTCGGCAGCAGCTAATATGCTTCGTCGCATAGTTATCCTGGGCCGGAAGGCCGGTGAAGAACGGCAGACGGAAGCTATGTCGCCATCACCAGGAGATGATGCCCCGTCGCCCCAGGATTCTAAGAACATTGGCGGCCTGGCGAGCGTCTTTAAGGGCCTCGCCGGTGCCGCCAAGTTAACCAAATCCCCTCCCGCTCCCGCTCAACCGTCCGGTGCCCCTATCAATGCGCAAATTGCCGAACGTCTAAACGCTACACCGACCATCCTCCGCGGTTTACCACCACAGCATACCGAATCTTTCGACTTACTTAAGAATGGGTCTATGAACGAACGAGTTGCCGCGGCTAGTACGTTGCGTATTGCTGTTGCAGACTATCCTCTCAATCCCGTCTTGGACATCTGGTACGCAGCCAAAGACTTGGTAGACCCTACCAATTCCAGGATTACTCGACATGCCGGCTGGGAGCTCCTAAGAGAATGCGTGAAACATGCTTCTTCCACAGACCTCGAACGCAACGAGTACTTCCAAACTATATCCGCCGATGCCAACCCGGACGATTTCCACTTGCAACTAGCCGCTCTAGTTGATTTAACGAACCACGGCCGCAATCTGTCTGGATTTGATTACGATGTTTTCCCGCTTTTATCAAAGTGGCTTGTGGAAGCTTTTGAGGCAGTGCGATCGGCAAGAGGTGCTGCGAAAAAGCAAGGTTCGCGGCTGAAGGGAAAGGCGTTGGCTACTGGTGAAGACAGAAACTTCTCTGATCTGTTCGGCTTCACAAATGACGTGATCAAGTTTAATTTTAACGTTGCCGATGACGAAGCTGCCGAAGTTCTAATCGAGAGACTGTTGCAAATTTGCATGAACACCAGCGTGGAGGACGACCTACAGGCTTGCATTGGCGTTATGGATGCTATTGTGACCTTTGGGGCAATCCCTGCGGACAAGTTAAAGAGCTGTGTTCATGTTCTATGCTCTATACACTGTCTCGTTCCCAGTCTCCAGAGAGACGCATGGCATACAATTGGCATTTTATGCCGATCCCATAACGGACATACTACTGTAAGGCTACTTCTTGATGTTCTGACAAGCCTTCCAGCGAATGCAGACAAGAAAAAGGAGATCGTTCGAGAAGTAAGGGGCGCTCTATCAGTTCTTAACAAACTTGTGTCGAAGAGCTCCGAAAAGGGGTACCCCGCAGTTCCTTATGCTCTTTTGGTCGATGGCTTGTCTACCGTAGTCAAGGCTACATCTGCTTGGAAAATACATCTCGATATATTACGATTGACGAATTCCCTATTCTGCGATATCCAAGGAAATATTAATAACATGTTGATTGATGAAGACTGGACACCAATATTTGACGTTGCGGCTGTTTGTTCCGAGGCTGTTATCACGACCCTCTCAAAAGCTGAGATTTCTATCCAATCACTCCTAGACCCAGAAGAGACGGACTCCGCCGAGGGGATGCTTGCCCGAGAGTTGACAAGGCTAATACGTCGACTCGAAAGCATACTACTAGATGAACCCATCAATACCGCCCAGAAACCGGAGAGTATCCTTCTAGATACATCTGACATTAGTACTCAGAAGCCGGAAAGTTTGCTTCCGGAGCAACCTAATACGCTTATTCAAAGACAGGATTGCATTATCTTTTTTACTAAGATCCATCACGCTCTTCCTGACTCAGCAGCCATGCTAGTTCTTGAGCACTTCAAGAAATTCCGGTGTTGTTCCCCGTCGGATGTTTTGTGGGAAGCAAACTTGAGCCTAGTTTTGGATGCGTTCCTAGCAGACAGAAAACGGTCGACCGATGTTCGCATACGTGCTCTGCAAGCTTTCACGGAGGTTTATGACATGATCGAGCTTATTAACGATCAGTTCGAGCCCAATTTCATACCAGACTTGGTTGAGCGACTGTTAGCGAATGTAGTAGGTGAGACAGATATCGGGTTGTTGCAAGAGGTTGTATCGTTTGCTGCCACCGTTGCTAGCACGGCGAGTTTCGTTCTTTTTTGCTACATTGTCGATACGCTCAGGGGTATCATAGGGAATGGCCGGTTACGTTCACCTAATTCTTCGCATTCTCGTGCTTCGGAGCCACCTCCGGCTTTTCAACGCCCTAAACCGAATTTCAGCCAAACTCCGACCAACGTGGTTGTAAGAGGATATGTACAAATGTTTCTGCGTGTTCTAAACTACGACGCCGAGAAATCACTACGGTTATTTTACATTCTCGTATCAATAGCCGAGTCGCCTAATAGCGAGACAGACGCCCGAGTTACCGCGATGCAGTTGCTCTTTCGATTAAGAGCCGATTGGGCCAATCGTATTTTCGTCACTGCGCATACCGAAACGGGTAATCTGGCTGCCTCTCTATACCGAACCGAAGAATCAGTAGCGCGCAAGATGGCGGAAGAGGCGTCGTATCCTGGGAGAGTTTCGAGAAGTGAGACTACTGGATCCGCCCGCTCATCGCGCGGCGTCTCTCTTGGACAAGGTCAGGTGCTAGACCGAAGTCATTCGCTAAGGGTAGCAAGCGGCGGTAGGCACAACGCAAGCGCGAGTCAACTACTGTGGGTGGCTTCTGATGCGGACGCCTTACCTGAGGCTCCATCTCAAGCTGCAAGCACTGTGCTCTACTGTGGCGCCTCCGATGATAGCATCGAAGAAGATGGTATGGTGCAAGCTACAGTCCTACAGACCGGAATCTGGCTTGAGACAATTTTGAACCTACTACGGCAAGGCTGTGACTGGGAGGTCTACAGCTTCATTCTGGTCCACTTACCTTCACAACTGAGCAACCACGCCATTTTCAGAAATGCTGTGCCACAAATCCAAGACTTGAGACGAACAATTTGCGATCAAATAAAAATGAATAACATCCAGGAACCTCCCAGCACACACGGATTGCGCAAAGCAGATGTTGCGATCTGCCTATTCCATATTCTAACCATGATCCTCAGCTATCATCAATACTTTCAAAAGGCAGAGGAGGACGAGATTGTTCGGACGTTTGTGCATGGTATAGCAACGTGGGAGCGGAGTGCAAAGTGTTGCATACATGCACTTACGATCTGCTGTCACGAACTCCCCTCCTCTACAAGCAAAGCTCTAGTTACAATACTGCAAAGGATGGCGCAAATCATCACCCAGCCAAACGTAGCTATGCATATTCTAGAGTTTCTAGCTTGCTTAAGCAGACTACCTTCCTTGTACGCCAACTTCCGAGAGGACGAGTATCGAATTGTTTTCGGGATTTCTTTCCGATATTTACAATACGTCCGTGGAAGAAAACAAACGTATAGGATTAGTACCATTAGCGATTCTTCAGCGGCAGCAGCAGGCGAGATCCAGTTCAACGCAAACGCATTGGATGATCTACCTCAATATGTTTACACACTGGCGTACCACGTCATCGTATTCTGGTTTCTGGCTCTGAAGCTTCCTGATCGTGCGAATCAAGTTGGCTGGATTGCGAAGAACATGTTTACAGATGTTGATGGATCTCAAGTCTCAGACGAGCAGGCACATCTTACGATGGACTTCATGCAGAGAGTCACGTACGCTGATGTGGATGAATCTGCGGCAGATCCATTATTCACTGCTGATAGATTCGGGGAAATACTTACCAAGAGATGGTTGATTGGGAATAGCATCGTGACAGTTGAGCAAGCGGTTACGACAGGCTGGGCTCAAATAACGAAGAGACAGCCGTCTGGGACTTCTTCCTACACAATCCGTGAGCTCTTTCGACCACCTGCAGCCCACCAGCGGCCCGCGAGTGAGAACGCAAGGGATGGACATGCTGCACCTCCAAATAGTGTTCTACCAAATCATTTGCTGGTGCAGCTACTATCCTCAATGCCCCAAGGCAGCGATCTTTCACGGCCCATCCCCTTACCTGACGATGATGCTGTTGACAGGGCTATCAGAATGTTCGATCACAATTCGACGGTGGACGGCCACAAGGTGGGCGTGATATACATTGGAGAGAACCAGACGAAGGAATCTGAAATTCTAGCCAATGTCACTGGGAGCGGGGACTACGTGGAATTTCTAAATGGCCTCGGCACGTTGACCAAGCTCAATGGTGCCACATTCAACACCCAAGGTTTAGACCGGCAATATGACAGTGATGGACAGTACACATTCTGTTGGAGGGACCGGGTGACGGAACTCGTGTTCCACGTCACTACGCAAATGCCAACGAACTTGGACCATGACCCGCTGTGTACTTTGAAGAAGCGCCACATTGGAAACGATTTTGTCAATGTCATTTTTAATGATTCCGGCTTGCCTTTCAGATTTGACACCTTCCCATCCGAGTTCAATTTCGTCAACATTGTGATTACTCCGGAATCACGTGCTTCGTTCGTTGCTACTAGGCAGAGAACGCCGAAAGACGTGGAAGGATCGTTCTATAAAGTACGGCTCATGAGTAAACCTGGCTTCCCCGAGATTTCCCCCGCTTCCGAAACCAAGATTGTGAGTCTGAAAGCCTTGCCCGACTTCATCCGGCTTCTGGCACTTAATGCATCAGTGTTTTCGTTGGTGTGGGCTCATCGGGAGGGTGGTGAGCATGTGTCAGCTTGGCGCAATCGATTTAGGGAAATCAAGAGGCTTCGTGAAAAGTACGGCCCAAAGGTGACGCCCCATGGGCCGACGCCTTCGCCACCAGGAACTTCTCTAGGTCATAATGCCCCTATTTTGACTAGTAGCGCTGCACAGTTGGAGGCAGCCAGGTCGGGTAACACGGTTCGGGATAGCTTCAGCAGCCTCAGGCGATCTTCTGTTGCCACTTTCTTCACCGCTTCGAGCGAACAGAATTCTCACCGCTCATCAATGCTATCTACTGCGACGACAGATACCGAAGTCATGACGGCTAACGGATTAGATGCGCTAGTAGAAAGCCTCGACTTCTCTAAATGGTCGGCGTAAAAGGTGTTGCATTACATTACCTACCTAGGAAAACCAATTTTTGGGTCTTTCTGGTTTCCTTTCTCATCTTTTTTCCTTGGGAGGTCATGCATATACGATTGTTTACGAAAAAAAAGTTACGGTTTAGGAGGCTTCTTGATGAGAACCAAAAAAAGCATGGCGTCTGGGCTGGTTGGGAGGATACCACTGAAAGTTGTTTGTTTAAAAGATTTTGGCCCCCTTTACCTCCTTTACAATCACTCGCCCTTCACTTCTGAATGAACATATTACTGTCAATATCCGAACTGTATCTAGATGGTTTGGTTTACGGAGGGCAAGAAAAGAAATACTTCCTCATCCACAAACACCAACAGAAAAAATAACTTATCCTGTAAGTGGTAGTGGTGGTGATGGTAAGTGGTGAGATGTATCTCTAGGTACGCATAAAAAAAGGAAGGGGGGAAGGGGTGGTAGAAGGAGGTTTTCAAAAAATGGATTCCTACTTACCTAAGGTTAGGTACTTGTCTTACGGCGCCGCTCGTGTTACTTACTATAAAGAGATCCCCCGGCACGCTGCCGCTAAATATATATATATATATTCTTTTTTTGTTGGATATCATTTTTCTTTTTTGGCACCCCGCCCCTTAAAAGGCCATGTCGTCTTGTATGTGTGTACCTACCTAGGGTAGATAGGTAGGTAGGTATTCTGTCTCCCCTCTTAATAAAGAGAAAATATATTAAATTTTATGTTTCAACGTGCTACCTCCCTCCCCCGTATATACAATTTGGGGAAATAAACAATAAGTACGTGTTGAGGGGGGTGGTCATATATACCTAAGGTAGTATGTTACACAAAATGGAACTAACTAACTGACTTGCCCCCTCCCCCCCCTTTTTTGGGTTTCTTTTTCTCTTCTCGCCCTTCTGACACCTTTTTCTTTTTCCAACTAGGTAGGTATTCCCTTTTTTTACCTTCTCTCCGAGAACTATTATTTCCCTGGATAAAATAAAATAAAATATAAAATCTTGAAAATCGGGATTTGGGATTGGGGAGGAGGTGCACGTAGGGTAGTAGGTAGTAGGGTACGAGGGAATGGGGAGGAGGTGCACGTAGGGTAGTAGGTAGTAGGGTACGAGGGAATGGGGTAGAGGGGGTAAAAGGGGGGGAGGGGAGGGGAGGGGAGGATGGATGGAAGGTTACACAGCATATAGGTAGGTAGGTAGCTATGTGAGGTAGCACGGAGATTCATGGAGTTATGGATGCGCGGACGTTCTGCAGAAATACAATAGCATTGAGTATTGGGGGGGGGGGGGGGCGAGGAGAGCGGCGGGGGTCATTGGTTATTGGTAAGTAGGTAAGCAGGTAGGTATAGTTACTAGCAGAGCTCTATGACAGCTTTAACGCCTATCGCCTACCTAGGTTAGGCACATAAGGCTTAGGTGAGAGACATCAGGTGAACGGTAAGAGAGAGCCGCGGAGACAAGCAAGCTAAGTGGGGAAAGGTGTAGCGGTGGGCAAAGTATCTCTACCTCCCTCATATAAGTACATGTAGGTAGGTAGGGTAAGTATGTATGTATGTAGGCAAAATCAACGAGAATCGTCTACGCTACGCTACGTTATGCACCATATCTACACTACACACCTACGGTACTAGAAAGCCTCAAGTGTAAATAGGTACTAGGTAGGTAGGTAGTTGCCTATTGTTATCTACCTACCTACATCGTAAAGTACGATAGACCTGGGTAGGTATGTAGATTCTATGTAGGAAGGAGAGGCTGTTGTACAAGTACCATGTGTGTCTGTGTGCTTGTGTTAGGGGGTTTATTCCCGAGTCTGGTCTCACCAGGACACGTGTTACGGCGAGGAGAATAGTAGATTGAACGAGTGTAAGTTGGGTACACATATACCTGAGTCATGTAGGTGAGTGAGTGAGCAGGCAGCTATGTAGCGTACATAGCTGAACAAGAATTGAGCTTGTGCGACCGATGAACCCTTGGTAATCAGGATCGCACCAGGGGTGTGTGTGTGTGCAAGGAAGGGAATAGGGAAGGGGGTATTCATGAAGCTCACCGTACAAGGGTATATATGTCAACCTACCTAACCTAACCTACACCATATGTAGGCAATGATGGCGGGAGACATACGTATATCTGATGAGTCCGGGTATGTATAGATGATGAGATATGAGATGAGATGTGAGATGAGATGAAGGAAAAGGAGAGAGATGTGAGTAGTAAAGTAAGAGTAAGCGCAAAGCGGTCTAACCCGCGCCCTGCCCTCCTTGTTTCCCGTTCCCGTTCCCGCCTGCCATAGGGGGATCGATCGCAGATAAATGCATTCGTTTCGATAGATGAGGTAGTATTCCTCCTCTCGCATCCACGTGCCGGCTGAGTCATGGGTGCACGCCCTTCGTATGTACATACATATCTAGGTAGGTAGGTAAATATTTGATGACATACAGGTAGGTACTAGGTCGGTAGGTACCTTGCCTTCCTTCATGCAATAGGGGTGTGTTCTTCAACGGGGTATGTCGAAAAGAGCCACCGAGGGAACAAGACGTATTGTCTCGAGCTGGTAAGAGCGGGAGATCGACCACCAGTTAGGTAGGTAACGTAGCTGGAGATACACTTGTACGAATAGGAGGCCTCTAGCTAGGCAGGTCCTACCAGAACAGGGGCGGTGGGAAGAAGAATGTTGCTGAAGAAATCCATAAAGTCAGTATATGCTGTTGGAACCTGGCGTAACCGAAGCAGGAATGTGAGTCGCAATGAACAAGTTGATACCTATACTGTATACATAGTAGTAGTTGTTGATTGAGGGTGGTTGCACAATGAAGCGGAATATGAGGGGTGTACAATACGATACACGCATACATACCCAGGTAGATACCTAGGTTAGATAGTAATGCAATACGTGTAGCTATGCATACCAACCTGGGTATCTACCTAGGTAGATACGTATGGATGGATATAAACATGTAGGTACTTACCTACGCAGCCTATATACGACGATGAAGAAAAGAAAACGACAAGGGGTCAACAAATTACAGAAAAAAAACCGGTGTGAGGTATGGTGGATGAACCATGAAGCGGCGGCAAGCGGCAAATCGGTCACATGGTTTCGTTACGTCGTGTTTCCTGACGCACGAGTGGCCTGATGCAAGTAGATACAGCCTCTGGTTAACGTACATTGCATCCATTTGAAATGATATATCGCGGAGCATTCGAGGCCTTGGTATGATGAGCCCAGGTTAAGCCGTCACCGTTTCTACCGAAGTCGTCCACGGCTTAGGGTTAGGTAACCCACCACAACAAGTCTTTCGTCAGAAAGCTCCTTCTGCCTAGGTGCCTACCTAGTAGGTTGATAGATAGTAGGTAGGGGTTGGCGATATGCTGTAGGTACCTGTATGTACAGCTTACTATGCGTTCCTCGGCCCGTGACCAAGCGAAAAGGCTACTTGGGGGCCGTTGTCATACCAGACTCTGCATGAAGATGAGTCTTTGCGTATGACAACTGTAGCAGCTGTAATGGTTAGGTGAGGTCCAGCAGAAAAACTTCATGCATGTTGGCTTGTATCACCAATGAGAACATCGACCCGGAAAGCCGCTGCAGAAAAGCATAGCCCTAGTAATAGGGGGGCAGATTTTATGGGTGCTAGGTAGGTATGCATGTTTATACGTACCAAGTCGTGTATATAACCGGGCGAATGTGTACCTAGGTAGAAGGCACTCGCCCAGTTAACTTCTAGGTAAGCCAGGTAGGTACCTATGTAGGTTGCATGACTCCGAAGACCTGTCGCTTAACTTTTGGTTTAATATTCCTAACGAACATAAAAAATCATTCAAGATAAAAAGGTAGGTAGGTATCTTCCCCGGAAGCCCTAGGCTAGGAGCTTGCAGCTCTTTGTGTCTAGGTCAGATTTAATACTCTCACCCCTTAGCCATTTTGCTATAAGGATATACCCACGATATGAGTCTGGATGGATATGTATATATCTATCTAGGTAAGTATGTTTCAACAAACAGTGGGTGGTCTCGGAACTAAATAAGATGTATATAGTAGAGGCATTATTTACTTTGGCCACAAGCCTCAGCAAACCTAGTACTACTTGGTTGGCAGGTAGGGACTTGGGTGCTTACTAGAGCAATATCTGCAATCTGCAATCTGCAATGGGCGTAACGCTGGGCAAGTATTTAGGTACCTAGAGACTCTGAACTCCGGATGTCTGTCACTAACCGCAGCATTGAAGATTCATAACCCAGCAAGGCACTGAGCAGTTACTGCTTGTGGCTAGTTCGCACTTCGGCATTGGACTCTGGAGTGTAAGACACGCATGCCTCGCGTGGCGGCTCGGCTGTAAGGAGGTCGGTGTGGCTGGAAATGGAATGGATCGGAGCTAGCTCTGTCGTATATGCTGACGACTTTCTGTCCGATTGCCCGAAAATACGGAAGCGCCACGTTACGCCCTATATCACTACACGGTATGATGAATAATATACACATATATGTAGGCACATACCTAGGTCTTAGGTATATAATAGGTAGGTAGGTACGTGCTCCACCTCCGCGCGTTTGAGAGGGTTCAAGATTGCCCATGTGCGCTTATGGTTTGGCATCATGTGATCATCTCTTGCAGAGATAAATTGATGCTCAAAAGGTCTTCATACGCAGGTAAGACGATTGCATGTAATCCATATCATCCATCGAATGCATTGCAACTCCTGGCGGCGTTTGTGCGACCATTTGCGATCTTGCAATTGGCGCGGGAACAAGGTCGCGGCAAAAGTGTACGCCCTTCTAGGTAGTAAGTGGTACTCTTCATCTAGTGCATGCAGTACGCGGTCAGCATTTGTGATACCTCACTATGGTATATTGATCTCCATGGAGGAGGGTTGTGCAACCTGTGTACCAAGACTGCAGAGTGAGTTGGCCACGTTCCAGGTAACACAACTGTTACAGGCAATCGAATTTGATATGGCGGTAATGTGCTAACTTACCCAGGTAGGGTTCCAGTCCTGATACAGTCGTTGACCTGCAGTGCCTCTTGGATCTTGCGCTGGATATCTACTTAGGTAGGTAGGTACCTAGTAGGCATGAATATTCAGTTGACTGCTTTAAATAGGGGAAGGGGTTGAAGGGACATTCGGTAAAAATAGGTAGTGATTCGTACGAGAATACACCGGCCACAGACGAAATCCACTTTATTGAATGCCGCAGGAAATATGTATCCGAAAGGCTGCTCGACGCGGTAGGAACCGTTCCCTTAGAAGTCATGTTCTCAAGTTCATTTTGCTAGCCCTTAGCCCCCTCATCTTGGCTCTCCCTAATATTGCATTTCTACGAAGTTGGTGATTTACGTTTAGGTGCTCATGATTGTAAGTTTGAGGTCGTCGTAGGACTATTTCTTTGGCCGAGTTGGGCAGCGATCGCAAAGGTTTCAGCCCCCACAGATCCCCGCCCATATAGACATATCGTACCTCCGGAGGAACCCTATAAGATGCCATTTAGAACGAGGGCGGATTATTGTGACACGCGCTTAAGCCGCCTTGGGGCCGATTTTCTTTGCAGTGGTCGGTGACTGGAGGCCACAATACAGGCCTATCCTGTCATTAAGTTGTTGGCGATAGCTACTAGGTGCCCGATTACACTGCACGGCGATGAAGTCTCCGAGTAGTTGAAAAGTGAATAAATTCGCGATTGTTTTTGGATTCTCTAGTCCTCGATTTCAAGAATCCCAAGTAGAAAGCCATGGGCTTGGACGTAATTTGATAACAACGAAATTTAACCCAGGGTTGGACCTCCCAACCATTCGTCTTTGGGGGCATACGAGCCGTTACCCAATATCGCTTAAGTTAATAAGGGGTATGGCAAAGGAGTACCCTTCGTCAGAGCCCAAACCTCAAGACTTCCTGTTTCGTCTTGAAGATAGCTTATGGCTTATGTAGGTTAGGTTGGTTCAATTTCTAGTCGGAAAGTACCACATCCCCATCTCGGAAATGGTTCGACAGGCGGCGCGATATGTGTTCGACGTCTGGCACAAGTCTCCAATATACCTATGGCCCAATGCAAATCTTGCGCAGTTTATCTTAGTCACCCCAAGGTTCATCTGCTCCGAAACCAGATTCCATTTGACCGTAATGGAGAATATCGTACATTTGGATTCGGGCAAGTGCTACTTGTTTCAGCGTTCTCGGAAAGAGAACCTCGGTAGGTTTTCGCTGCAGCGTTACTATCTGCCATTTAGGAAGATCTCCTGCTTATTTCTTTATCGGTTGCCATAAATCTTTATATATCGCCCACTTTTGGAATCCTGCGAGAGTGATATGGCATTAGGAGGTAGGATCAATCGTTGCTTGGACATTGGAGCTTACCCATGGACTGGAATCCCTCATAGCCGCCTTTAACGGCATCGAGAAACACTCGCTTCATTCCTTGTTCTCTAAGTATCGTGACGCAAGCATCAAGTAATCGTATCATAACCGTATCCTTACTGATTGTTATAGCGGGATTACTGTCTAGAATTCGGGTTAGTTTCATAATGATCCAACCAGTTTCGACGGCTTGAGCCGTTACCAACCTGCAATGCAGATGCACGTTACACCCCCCACGTCTGAACCAATCGTTCGCGCCCAAGGCAGATCTTTTGCTAAACTGCCAGTTTCGTTGGGTGTGTATATTAAGGCTGAGGCAATGATTTCTGACCGCTCCAATCCGAGAACGATATCACTAATGCAACCGTCGTGTGCACGTGTCATGTACTGATCATACCACCCAGTATAGTCCTTGCGAGCCGATTCTCTTTCAACAAAGTCTGCGATTGAGTCAAAATCGTGGAATGTGCCTTGCCGGAAAGTGAGCCCTGCCGAGGCCGCGGACAGCCCGCCGCTTGGCCAATCATCAATTTTCAAGATCCAATCACAGATATCTTGGCCGTGGCCTGGAGCCCGACCGTCCATTTGCCAACCCCTCCTCTGGAACCAACTCTCGGACGCAGATGCGGCAGGTATCCCGCTTAGAAGGCGGGGAAACGTAGAGCCCAGCTGAATCCGATCTACACCGCGTATCCTTTTGAGTTGTCTGAGAGCGTGGTCGTATAAACTAAACCCTACCCCCCGACGCCTATACGCTGGTTTGACGATGATTATGGCAAGTGATCCGATTAGTTTCTCCCCTTCTCTGTCCACAAATGTTGTATAAGTCGCACAAAATCCAACAACCTCGCGGTTCTCGGGAAGCTCTACAACGAAATGCATAGAATAACCATCTCGTTGTAATAGAGATTGCAAAGTAGTCTTTTCCAAGCGAAACTGGTCCGGTAGGCATTGATTCCATAGCTCCTGCACGGGAGCCACGTTTAGACCATCCCAATGATCTACTGCCCAGAATTTGGGCTCAATCATTAATGATTGCACGTCTAAGCCGGTGGTAGTGGCGGTGGTGGCGGTTGTGGTTTCACCAAACAACACAGCTGCCGCGACCAGCAAATCAGACGGTCGGTATCCTTCTAGCTGCACAATCGTAGGGAAGTTCGCTTCCATAAGGCCAAGGTCATGCACGTTCTGGCACGCCACGATTATTTGTGGCCGTTGATCACCCACCATCCGTGCCATCAGGCCAATCTCAACTTGTGAAGATTGCCCGCGGCTTGGTAGCCCAGATATCACGAAGACGACAACCTTGGCCCGTTTTATGAAACCAACATGAGTACTTGTCATTCCACATCGGGATGTATACGGAACATGGCGAATCCAGGGGTGCCGTGCGGCCAAGGCTCGGCCAAATGGCTCAAAAGGATCATTGCCATCGCCAACATCCTGTTGGATGGGCGGGACTACCGGTGTGAGGAGAACCACAATATCTCCATCGCTCAGTATCTTAGAAAGGGGAATGCAAGCCTAAATTTCCATTTTCAGTCAGTTTCACTCTTAGAATAAGAAGACAGGTGAGGCGACATGATGCCCAAAACTTCCCCAAAGGAAAAATATACCCCCTAGACTAAGTTAGAAGCTATAATAAGCTACTGTAATTACTAACCTGTTGGTCCCTAATGAGGGTCACCTGAGATCGACGTGAGCCTCCTCGGTGTCCGGATGTAGTGGCAAGATGACCAGGAAGCATTTCTTAGAGCTACGAAATGCCAATCGTGCACTTCATCCCCCTTGGAAATTGGGTAGTCCTAGTTTATATATATATACATTAGCATAAGTCATAAGCATTTAGTATCTCGGAAAGAGACATTCGCCCATAATTGTCAGCAGCGTTTGACCCACAACTACGTACTGGGTAGTAGGTACTCACCAGTCTCACCGAGTGATGAATGCTTATGTCATAAGCATCATCAAGCAAGCACGAGGCTTTTATATGATATATTCTGAGAGAGAGAGAGAGAGAGAGAGAGGTTAAGAGACTTGTGGCGGGATGGAACGTTCCACACTAAGTCCGATGAAGAGAAGGATGTGGCGCTGCTATGTTGTGCCGTTTGAGTTGCCGTTTGAATAAGTTGATAGTTACTAGGTAGGCCCTCTTAGCTGTGAATTTCAACTGTCAGATAATAGACTGGGATAGTGGTTAAACGGTAGCTAGCTCAACGGTTGTATAGGTTATGGGAATAACGTAGTTACTGGTGGTAGGGCTGGGACATAACAGTGAGATTGACGCGATACAAGTATGCAATAAGCACTACCTCCGCCACGCAGTAGCAGAGTTCCATTCTTTCCCGCAGGTAGGTGTGATCTCTAACGTACCTCACATTTATACAGGCGCCACCATAGAGGTTATAAATTACTCAGTCGGAACTATATGAGGTCAAAATTAAGGTCCGCCTATCCGGTTATTTAATATTAGAGAGCGACCGGCGGTGAACTCTCGACTTGTATCACTATCCACTTCTAGATCCAGGATAGTAGGGGGGAAGCTGACGATTGTTCCTGGTGATGGATTGGCCGTCGTCGTATCCTTTTCAAAGCTCACTTAGTGAAGAGTATAAAGTATAGAGGGTTAGGCAAAAACTACGAACAGGCCTATATACTTTAGTAGGTAGTAGGAAATAGGCAGGAGTAATAAGGGAGGAAATGGTGTAAAGTGAGTAGGGACTTACCGGCTCGGACAGTGATTAGCTTTATTTAACGATGATTAATAATAATACCTGGGTTAAAGGAGAGAGCAAGAAAAATTCCGCTGGTAATGGTAACGCAAAGCTTGCAGCAGGCACTATGCCTAGTCGAATAGCCAGCCCCATGAATAACACAACATATGCTGCTTGAATATTTTCACACAAGGTGGGTAAGAGTCCAATCGTAAACCCTGGGGCTTGCGTCGCACGCGCATAGGTAGGTACTGTATATGTTGGGTGTGGTGTCCCTAATCTTGCAATCTCCGGCGACTCAGTAATATTCAAGTAATGGGCGATGTTCAGATAACTGCAGTCGTAAAAAAGGGCCATGGCCATGTTGTGTGGGGGGTAGCATTGGGAGCATTGGGTAATATGATTCCATGTATGGTTTAGCCACGGCCATGTAAATTGTAGTGTTTTATCTGCAGGGCCTCCACGGGGTACCACTTGGAAATATGTATGCGTCTCTGTATGTGTGTTGTTGATTTTGCGACACCATGACGGCCTTGCTTGAGGTGGTACAAAGCGGACAAATATTGGTAAGATTTAAGACTTCGACGATGCCCGCGATAGGTATTTCAATGGTGGATCACCCCACGCCCATGTTCACGCCCATGATTACATTTATCTGCAGGTTGATGAAGGCATGACCTCTCATTAGCATGAATCATCGACTTATTGAATTGTTGAACCACTGACTTGTTAGAAAATGTAAGGCGGTTTTGTCTGTCGCAGCTGTAAGTTGGTGGCACATGCAATGTAACAGAATGGATGTTTATGGGCATTGTTAGATGTTCGTAGAGGAAGGGTTCAGTGTTTGGAATAGCTGCGGACGTGCCTCGCAGGGAGAATACATAGTAGGTATACATTCCTACTCGCCCCTACTCGCCCCTGCTTCCTTGTATAAACTGCCATGTGCAATACGCACATGCAGGTATCGTGCCTGCCAATTATGTACGTCTTCAACTGAGTTCGATCATTGTTGATTACATACATGTATGTAATTCAATGTTAGGTACTACTATGTACCTGGGTAGGTATGTATGTATGTATTGTACATACAATACAACTCCGCCCACTACATGCAGAGCCCTGGAGTAAATATAATGTATTCCGTCAAGTTTAAGTTCTACCTAACCTTAGAAGGCTAGCACTATTTATATAGTAGCAACTTCCCCTCACTGCGCAACATCACAACTTGGAACAAACCCTAAATACCATCAGTGGATGATCAGCCAGGTACCGGTTCTAGTACCTCCAGATGTCCACATAAACAGATACATCACTGATATATCCATGTCAACTGGTATTGATTGACGTCTTAATGGGCAGATCCTCAACCTTTAACATTCCCAGTCTGTCTCGACATTGACCGTCATGTTGTCCCTGACTCCCTGTATGTACCTAGGGTAGACTCTACTAGGTATAGTACTATGCATTGCACTCACTACTATGTACTACGTAGTAATGAGCTTTGCTATATACATACTACGTATATCGTGATGATAGCAGTGCTATCCTAAATATCAATCGATATCTAAAAGAACAATACATGCCATGGTAGTTACACATGCATACGATGTCGCATCTATCGGCACGTATGTGCTGAGCTGCCGTCTCAGGGTATAGATGTCCGCCTGACGAGCGTTGATTCGCCTAATTATGTCTGCCGCGGATTCTAAGAAACATCTGGAATACATATGAATGACAGCGATCTGCAGACCAGGCACTCAAACTATGGCATCCCGACTTGTAGCCGCGCGAAGAAATCACTTATTTCCTGATTAGCCCCAACTTATTTGCATTCGTTACGTCCTCAAATAGGCATTCATCGTGCTTATATTGCGTACCAATTGTGAGTTACGTTCGGTTACCAAGTACTATGAATCATCTTCGGTCCCGACTCCCGATAATATCGTGGTTTGGCGTGTTACGTTACCTATACTACATACGTTACCAAATATGATCGGAAAGACTTTAGTAGTCGAGTTAACCTCAGCTATCGTGCTACGTACTAGATATGCATCACATAGCTGCCTAAGCTACCCTAGGTAGTCTGCAGGAGTTTTACTGTTGCCCTTCTCTACTTTATGTAGTTGCCTATCGAGGGTTCTCGAACCGATAGAGTCACAGCCCTGGAGACACGTAACCGAAACCCCCAAATCTTCAATACATGTATTCCAGTGCCGTTCTCGCGTTCCATTTCAGAGCATGAAATATCAACATGTAAAGTGAAAAGTCTGATTTGACCGAGAATTATGCCTTCGTTGGACTTTGTCTATACGACTGACTAGTTTAGGTATTTACTATAAGTACTAGGTAAGCAATATTAGCTGATTCGCTCACACGCTGACGTCGTTCCTTGAGGCTCGTTCCAAAAGCAAGTGTTGCTGCAGTTGGTGCCTTAAAAGAACCCGGAATTGTCCCTATTCGCTGTACCTGGAGACCCACAAGAACTAACTGGCGCATTCCTAGTAGGTGTAATGAAGTCTCTAGGTTAGCCAACTTGGTATACTCGAGTGGTGTTGGTAGTACCAACACCACTCACCACTCGGTAGTGCACACTGCACAGGAGAGGTATCGAAAAGAGGATATGTTTAATGTTGCCATTATGTTGGTAACACCACTTACTAATGTGAAACATATGAAGCCGGTGTATAAGCTAATAACTTAATTGCCTGTTGATTGCTTCTACATAAGCGGGAGCTATGCCAATGGCCGATGTTCGGACAGTTTCTTCACCAACCTAGGTACAACTGTAGTTGGGTAGAGAGTTCGCAGCCTCACTGCCTCTTATCAGCACCTAATCAAGACGTATGGATTTGATCCAAGGTATAGACAAACAACTTCGAAGATTTCCGACCTAGACGTATAGTAATTCCATCAGGAAGAGTGACGATGAAGGAGAAAAGCAGGTACGTGACGCGTTTGAAGGTTGACGCTATGACCAAGTGCATACAGCAGCCCTGGAGCCTACATAAGGCTTATTAGGTACTAGGCTTATTAGGTAGTTACATAGGGCTGCTAGGTACCACGTAGCCCCATATTTCAGCCGTTATCCAATCATTCAATTATTTGGCTTCATCTTAGGCGCGTCTGAGCTTTTTTAAACAACGCGCCATTGGAGTATAACATTGAAGAGCTACATGAGGTTGCTACATACATACCTAGACGTACCTAATACTAGGTAAGACGTTAACAGATCTCACACGAATTCGTATTTACCAACACATCACCTGGTACCTAGTGGGTACAAGTGTATAGTCCGAATGATTAATTGGCTTCGAACGTAACTATCTTGTAATGTCGGATAATCCCGAAGATGACGATGGATCTCAGGCCGCGAGAGAGCTTCAGGAAGCCATCTCAGATATAGTACAAGGTGAGTTCACATTTTCCAACTCGTTATAATAAAAGTCTAATAGCTATTTTCTTACTAATATTAACTTATAGCATCCAAATTGACGGCGAAGCAACGTGGAAGTAATATAAAGCCAACTGTGGAAAAGTTTGGTTCATTGTCGTATAACCAAGGGCTTCTACCAGCTGATTTAGGCCAACTCATAGACTTGGTCACTACTCCAAGCTTCCTAGACCAAGCAAGTCTAGGGAATATCGTCAGAAATCTTTACCCAGCGACATCCGTGAGCGATGACCTGGTCGTTAAAGTGATTGGCTGTCTTGGACATGGAAAGCTGAAGCCATCCCTCTCCATACAAGGGGCGCTTTTGAAATGGCTCGTTGTGATCTACCATATCATAGATAGCCAGAAAATTCTAGCACGCTCCTACTCAGTGTTATTCAATCTTCTTGACACTGCTGCAATCAGGTTTGTCAGCCTACACGCGTTTCGATGCGCCTCGCTAAGGATAATAGGAAACAGTTATGTCACTTACTAGCTCTCATTACACGACGTCGACATGTGCGACCTCACCGAATTCAAAGCCTGTGAGATGATTTTTTTCCGATGCCAGAAATGCTTAACTATGAATGATAAATGCTGACTATCCACCAGTTTATCCTTGTCCAGACAGACAGGAAATGATCCATCTGTGACTGGGTTGCTTCGGGTTTTCAAAGACTATTATCCCGAGATCATCGTCGGAGAAGCTACTCGTGTCAAGGCGTCTGCTTTCAAGGTATCTTTCTATTTCAAGCTCTTCTAACATCTATGGCAAATTACTCATAATTCGTAGCACCCAGATCCACAATGGCGCGAAAGGCTGGATGAAATCCAACTTGCTCATGCAGTCCGAAGTGCAAGTAGGACAGAACGGCCACTCGATGCATTCAGAGTAGCTCGAAGTAGAGTGAATGGAAAGAAGTCTACTCTGATCCCAGAAGTTCATACATCAAATGCTACTGAGGTATGTCTTACCCATATCTATTGACGAAGTGATAACAAGCTGACCAATCATTAGAACTCCATCACGCTAGAAGAAATTGAAAATGTAGACGGCTTTGTGAAAAACCTGGAAAGGATCGAGCTGCCAAACCAACTCATAGCGGTTCTAGGAGATCCATTACTTCAGAAACTTCTCCTCCTAAAGCCCCAATCCGACGCCCACCAGAGAGCCAGCAATTGGCTAGCTTCATATGGAGAAGACCTCATGAGCGGAGAGTCTGGCTCAGATGCTGCCGATTGTCTGGAAATGCTCCAGGCTTATGTCTCAAGTACTAGGGTATGTGAAGATTTGGCTGCAGAATGAGTTCAATGCTAATCAACCCCTGATCAGAATTTCCCGCCAATACTTTTGACTTTCTTCGCCGAATATCTCCAGATATGGGACGGCCACGAGGGTCGAGACTTGGTATTCACGATACTGTCGTATATACCATTGCTCAGCTTCCCAGGTCAGAGATCAACCCACTATACGGCTATACAAGACTAACATGGCCTAGATCTTTTTACTAGCATCTTTCAGCCCCTTGAAGCTAGGATTCTGGATAACACGACAGCCTCTCAATTGCAATTACTTGATTTCTATACGGTTTTACTCCAGCGTTGGACTATACTCCTAGCATCCCTTGAGCAGAAGTCAGTTCACACTTCAGCTATCATAGCTGATTTAGTGACTCGTGTCAACAATCTCTGTCTTACTCTCATTCAGACATTGCCGAGTACTTTGACGCACTCGAAAATTCTGGACTTTTACGATCAGACCGCACACCTCGCATCAAATCCAAAGTTATTAGCCCATACTCGGATAATGATACCCCCTTCTCCATTGGTATACATACTACACTTTAACCTATCTCCAACGATCTTATCCCGACTATGTGCCATATTGTCAAAATACAAGGGGGGGTTTCAAAAAGCCATGGCAACCTCTCGCTCTGAATATACTCCGGAGTACATTAACGAGTTCAACGGTTTCCTTATGGACGTTTGTAACTGTATCTGGCGATCACGTGCCTTCAATAACAACGATGTCAATTCCCACGGCTGTTTGGCACCTAGATCACTCGTCGAAGACCTCACATCTTACGTCGATAGCCTCACCATGGGAGGGTCCCTTTCCACGCTCTTTTCCCTTTCCTATTCACCGGTTTTAGGCCTATCGGCAATCTCGCATTTCCGCAAACTTGAAGATGAAGAGCTGGAAAGCTATCCAGGGGAGATTGCCACCAGACATGCTGGTCCGGTGACGCGTGCCAGTCTCCACGCACTGGCCAACAACGGTGGTCTAAGAGTGGGCTGGGATGATTTCCGTCTGGGCGTGCTAAGTCATCTGGAAAAGAAGGGGATGGCTGGTGTTGGGGAGCTGATGTACAACACGATGACGAATGTAATGAAGAGGAGATCCATGGCAGGTTCTAAAGAAAAGTGAGGCTTAACACTTCCGATCCGCTGAGGCCTATTCAATATATTAATTAATATAACTCGACATAGTCACTAGGTAGCTATGTTTCCGGTAATTCATTGCCTCGTTCACCCCTTATGAATAAGGCGCTCAAAACGCCAAATACAATATGATTTTTTTTTTCTATTTGAGCTGTCCAAGTTTAACGCCCTAGTTGTGATTCTAGGTAGATCCTGTTGAAAGGGTATCGACATACCATCATCTTCTAGCCTAGTCGCAAGCATCTTCTTTCTATGCTGATTTTCTCGATCCAATACGCCCAAATTGTATCATGAATGCTCGTTGAGTCCCCTTCACCACCCCCCTCGCCGCAGTGTTAAATATGCACTATGCAATGCAAGTTAAGTGCATCCTTTCTCTGACCACACATGCCCGCAAGCTCCGCAGCCCTACCTACCTACCTACCCAGCCATAACGATGGAAATTCTCGTAAATCCTAGCATATTGAAATCTCCTAACCCACTTTCCGATGTAAGCCATTCTCTATTTCCTCGACTCGCTGCTCTCCAACCCATACCCACCAAGCCCCCCCTGCGAGTACGTCAGCCCCTCCGTCCCCATCTCCTTCTGATTCCTCGGCCCCCTATTCTTCAAATCCGCCCTCAGCCACTCGAGCACCAGCTCCCCCAAGCGACTATTCCCCGTGCTCTCCGCCCGCCTACTCCCATCACCCAAGAACTGCTCCGTCGGCCCCCACTCCCGCACGCTGCCGAGGTGCATGTGCACGAGGTGGGTCGGCCAGCCCGCGAGGTTGTCGAGGATGTGCGTCGCGTAGACGATCGTGCACTCTCTTATGTCGGTCTCGCGCTTCAGCCAGGCGAGGAACTCGGCGCGCGACAAGACGTCGAGGTCGACCGTGATCTCGTCGAGCAGCAGCACGGTCCAGGGCCGCACGAGCCCCATGGCCAGCTGCACGCGCCGCCGCTCGCCGTCGCTGACCGCGTGCATCCGCCACGCGACGTCGATGTCCAGCACGCCGATCAGCTCGTCGCGCCGCTCCGGGTACGCGTCCCCGCCCACCGAGCGCAGGAGCTCGCGCACGCCGATGTCGGTGCGCACGATCGGGTTCAGCACCCATTCCAGGCCCAGGTACGTCACGCCCTCGAGCCCGTCCTTGAAGGGGTCGACGCCCGACACGCTGATCGTCCCGCCCGGGGCCAGGCGCTTGCCGGCGAGGAGGCGGAGGAGCGTGGTTTTGCCGGCGCCGTTGGCGCCGATGAGGAGGGTGCGGCTGCGGGGGGGCACGGCGAGGGAGACGTTGCGGATCCCGGTGCGGTAGTCGGGGAAGGTGTAGGTTAGGTCTTTGACGGTGATATTCGGGGGTGGGGTGGATGCCATGGCTTTTTTTTTGTCTTTTTTTTTTCTTTTTTTCTTAGGGGAAGTTTGGCTAAGGGGGAGTGAGGGGTGAGGAGTGGCACTAATGCGTGGATGAAGATGTATATGTCTATAGGGGTAGTAGTATATATTTCAAGCTTCAAAAATTGGATTTGAGAGGTTAATAGGAAATATAACGTTAAAGTTGACGATGATGCGATAATAACCTGGAAGCTTTAAAACACCGTGTGCGATGGTGCCGTGTAGGCACAGTGCTTTCCGCCGGAATACGTAGGAATATGGTGTGCCGTTCCACAGACAACGCACCCCTTTTTCCAGCTTAGAAATCAGGGGAAATGGACATATATACCTAACTCAGTATTAGGTACGTGATATAAATTACAGAATAAACGTTCAGGTTATAAGAGAGTTATTTCTTCTCACGGTGCCTAGTAGAAAGTTCCTGCTGTAACCCAGCACTAAATGATGAATAAACCGTCCTTGGCGTATTAATGTTTCTAGATTTTCAAAAATACGCAATTGGCTTCTTAAGTGAATATAGTGTGAAAATATACCCAAGTGTTTGAACATATCAAGTTCCTTGCTCACTCCATTGAACCCCTGAATTGCGTAGCTCGTAAATCGTCATTTGGCTTTCCTCGACAACAACAATACTTTGACGGCACATAGAAAGTTTTTAGTGGCATTGGCCTTTCCCTCGAGCAGTTCAGTATTAGAAAACAAGCGTAAACTAACTCCGAAAGGGGGTCGTAGCATGTCGACTCATACTGTTATAACGGCAGAGCTCTAGCTCTCATATTCCCCACTTAGAAACGAGAGACTCGGGATAGAATCGGGATCTTGCTCCACTCAAGCCTACTCCAAAGCACGCAATGCGTAGCCAGGTTCAAATTTGTTCCTACTATGTATGATACTACTTCGGCAAGTACCGATTGCCACTCCGCCCTATCTATGACATTCAAATGGAAGATGTAAATACTCACCTATAAACCCCTGAGAACTCAGACTAAGCAGCTTTTAGGACCTGGGTAAATTAACTAGAATACCACTGAAACTAGTAGACCCTTTTTGCTTATGAACTGACTATCTATCAAAACCACCAAACATGACAACTGCCATATTCAAATACATCGACACATCCGCACTCGCCAAGGACGAAAAGCCCTGGGTGAAGGTCGATGCCGACGTCGCCTCGTTCAAGCTAGCGGAGCACAAGCGCTCGGTGCGGGACCTCCGGGGCCGGGAAACCGAGTTCACCACGGACAACTCCGGGTTCGCCGTGTACACGGAGCCCACCCGTGAAACCACCTTCAGAGACGACGCCGCCATCCGCAGTGCGTACTACCAGGAAATCAAGGACCTGCTGAAGAAGCGGATACCCGGCATCAAGAAGGTGCACATCTTCGACCACACGATCCGCCGGCGGGACCCAGAAGCCGCACGGACGCCCATCCAGCAGGTGCACGTCGACCAGACCCCCGGCGCGGCCGAGGCCCGTGTGCGGCGGCACCTCCCCGCGGACGAGGCCGAGGAGCTGCTGCAGGGCCGGTTCCAGATCATCAACGTGTGGCGGCCCATCGAGAACCCCGCCAGCGACTTCCCGCTCGCGGTGATCGACTGGCGCACCACCAAGCCAGACGACTTCGTGCCGGTGAATCTGCTGTATCCCAAGCGTGAGGGGGCGGACAATGACGACAGGGGTAAGGAGGTGCGGCCCGACGAGTCCAAGCTGTACTCGACGGAGGGCTACGAGGTGAAGGGGGGCACGATGTCCGTGGCGCCGAGCGAGGCCCACAAGTTCTACTACCAGAAGGACATGACGCCTGACGAGGTCATTCTGTTGAAGTGCTATGACTCCTGGGGAGAGGGGCAGCCAAATGGGAAGAAGGGGATTGCGGTGAGGACGCCGCACACGGCTTTCATTGATCCTCAGACCCCTGAGGGAGCCCCGGGGCGGCAAAGCATAGAGGTTCGGTGTTTGGTGTTTTATGAGTAGTGTAGCTGGGTCTCGATGCTAGGACTTGATAGTAGTAGCGATAATTGTCACTGTGGTCTTGCACATATTCGAAGCAACCCGCTAGGTATCAATACCTTGGCTGACAGCGTGGCATTGATACGATGACTACGGCCATGATAATCCGCCTTCGGTAACAATCAAAGCTACGTTACTTGACTCGTCAGAATAATTCCAGCTACGTAAAAGCGGTGGTGCGCACGCCAAGCTCTTAGAATCATAATCATATCTGATACCATCTCGAACGTGGAACCGGCGCCAATCCATATCCAAGGCTTTGGACTGTACTCATTCCATCTGTTCGATCCTCGGAATCACACTTCATCCATCCTCTGGCCTGACTGTAATAGATGTCTGATTCATTCCTTACATTCATGGTCGTGCCTGTCTGGCGCATTTTATATGAGCGAAGATGCACGTACCTCACTTTGGCTGCTCGGAATTTACATATAAAGCGCCTTCCATTAGGCCCTCACCTGCTTCGCTGTGAACTATTACCATCTAATCTACAAATATTACCAAACTTATATTAATACAACCTTCTACATTTATCATCAGCATAAAGCTACAGTATAATAAGCAAAATCCACAAGAAAGAAGCGAGAATGTCGAACACCAAGGACGATAAAGACCCCATAGGCACCGTGGTGTACATGGGGCACCCGGGACACACGGGGTACACGCGGTGCACAGACTATACCAGTAGCGCCCCAAACCACACAGCTTCAACGAGCGCCGCGGAGCCCACATGTACACCCAGTTTGTTAGACCAGGTGAGCACCACAACCTACACGAGCGCTTCGAGCGATCCCACAAGACTGGACACGCCAAGCCATACATTGGACTTTCCAAGCTACATGGCGTCCACGAACACTCCCGGTTTAGCGAGCACTCCCAGCTATCTAGGCTCAGCGAGCACCGCAACCCTTGCCGCGGACAGGGCCCCGGGCCTCGCGGAACCACTTACAACAACAGAAGTTCCGCGGATTTCCTCCTCTTCTTATTCTCCGACCAACACGGACATGTCGCACATATTGATCACACCAAAGCCCCCGAGCGCCACCAAATCCAAAAAGGAGAAAGAAGAAGAAGAAGAAGAGAGAAAAAAATGCTGCCCGTACTGCGTTGTCTACAGACCCCCGACCGGGCCGCTGTTTGGCGTCTGCCCCGTGTGCTACCACTGGGCGTTCGGGGACGGCGATCCGTATGTGCTCCAGAGTGAGTGTTTGGACAAGTTTCCTGATTTCGCTAAGGAGCTTGATAAATAGTGCTGGTTTCGTGGCTCAGGTGTGCTGCCTAGTAAACGTGGAGAGTAGGCTTCTTAGGTTGTATGAAATAAGAGAGGGGAGAAGAAAAAGAGGGGAGTGTAGAATGGAGGGGCGTAAGGCTAAGGTAACATCAATCAGCCCCTTGCCAACTTCCTGGAGGTTGTTTTGGTTTAGGGGGGGAAATGACTTTGGTTGTATATGAACTGGATAATAATAATTTGGAATGCTATATGCGTTTGGTTTTACTCCAGGATAGTCGAAATAGAGCTTGGTAACTAGGTACCTAAGGTAATAAGTTTGACTTGTCCGTACAAGGTGAACGAGCCCTTGGTTCGTTAGGAATCAGCACTGATTACTTTCACTCGTGTTTCCTACGCTCCACTTCATCCTCTGACAGATATGCACCCTTAAAACTCCCACCATAGAAGGGTTGTAGGTGGGCACACATAAAACTCATGCCAGCAGTTTTCATTACATCCCCCATCTAGATAAGAGTCGTCTACCATTATGGCCGAACGATGGCGTGGAAAGTAGGCCGTAACGGGTTTGCAACCCGAGACGCTTTTTTATGCCATCTTCAATGCTCTCCAGGATCTGGTGTCATACCATGTCATTGTCATAGTGGGTAGTTCCAGGTCATTTTGTAAAGTAATTTTTTATTTTGGAGAGTAGAATTTAATGACAGGAGAAGTCTGATTACCTATGAATGGCTTCAGTTTTTATGTGTACCAGGTAGATGGGTGGGGAAAAAAAGCAAAAAAAAAAAAAAAAAAAAAAAGAAAACATCCAAAAGATTTGTGATAGGATTGAACCCGCACCCTCGGACGTCCCACAGTGGTTTTCGTTCGGAACCCGCACTTTTCGGGGAGCCCTGGTGGTTTTCGCACCTTACCACTGAGCCAACCTAGGTTGAAAACCCAGGCACCCAGGTTCTCACCCAGGAAGTGGTAGTTGTTGGTTTCCGGGGACCTATAAGTTTAACTTCGGGAGATAAGGCAGCAAGGTGGGTGACTAGCTTGAACCTGGAAAGGAATAATAGTATGGCCGGAGGCGGAGGTTGATACGTTTGCAACCTTAGATATAAGGCATCCTCTCCACCCAGCTACCGCCAGGACAGTATGTGGAAGTATTGTCAAGCTCCTATACCTACAGCTGCCCCACTCATTTATCTCGTCTTTCAAATAGAACGGAACATACCCGAATCTAGAGTAATTCTTTGGAAGTGCCTAGCCTGGAGGAAAGGTAACCTCCAAAAGAGAGGTGTAGTGCTTGAGCAGCTCACAAAAGACCTTGGCGAATGCCATGTTGTACTGCTTCTCCATTCTCATCCCGAGTCCAATATCTGTAATCACTTCCGTGATCTATCCAACCCATGTATGCCAGCTACATACTAGGCACATGGCCTTGAAGATTATATTTGCCTTCACCATTACGATGAGTCAGCACCCCCCTTTTCGAGTTTGTGAAGCTCCAGCAGTACAGCAAAGACAGTGCTTCTCACCCACCGTCGTCTCCCTGTGTGTCTGGCGGCTTGATAAAATGACCATCATGTCTTGAAGGATTGCGGGTATGGTGGTACTCATTCAGGAGGCCGTTCGGCGTTTGCCGAAGGTTCGTTCTATAAGGTTATCCATGTTAGAAGAATAGTTGGTGCGATGAAAGGGGTTCGTATGTATAATAGAAGAGGTGGATTGTTCGGTGTTTGTGTTCGTGGAATCGGTATTCGCTTATATATTAGGTACATCAAACAGTAGCAACGCAGGTTTCCCTATGTATGTTAGTATTACAACTAAGTGTGCTTTGTCAACTTCCGCACATACAGTGTTGGGTATTGCGAATCAGAGCGATCTTAATTCATGGTTTGGTAAACGCTCGGCTCAATGTGATATCTCACACTAGCTTACAAGTATACCTCAACTGCCACTGCTAAGGTGAGATGGAGTTGCAAGACCACGGGTATTACACGAAAAAGCCTTGATATAGCAACCAATACAAGAGATCTGAGATGATCAATCAAGGTGATACACAAAAAGCCGATATATGTCAAGGACAACTCACATAACCCCCTGATCTTTAGATAGGTACGCTATGTACCTGGTATATGAACGCTAGCAACAAAATAGCCTTGGCTTCTGCAAAGATTCACTCAAGCTATCATATCAATACTGCCAAGGTGCCCCCCTGCTTTTCATCGGGCTCGAGATCGGGCTCAAGGTGAAAGTCAAGCATTAAGGGCTTGTGGGAGAGAGGCTGTCTTGGTCAAGAATGATGGAAATTGACAAGCTGGTATCTACATAAATAGTTAAATGTATCAACAAGAAGATTTGAGAGAATTCGAAGTAAGGGAAGCTTTCCTCCATAACCCCCTATACACCAACAATATTATGAAGAAAGCTTAAACACATAGAAAGCCTCACTAATACCCATCATGGTTATAAGTTTTAGCGGTTTGAATGTTTGCTATTCCTCCTAATACCTGCCCTATAAACAAATGGAGCATATTATCATCACAAAGGGTCTTTCAATGAACGAGATCGCGATACCCTCTACCTTGAAAAAGCAGGGGCCTCAGCTCCGATACAAGGGTTTAAAGGGGGCATGGCTTGCCGTGACGCCATGATCTCTCGGGTAGCTACCCCGTACAACGATAGCTGTAACCCTTGTTACATGACGAACGGAATATTGGTAGTTAACCCGCATAAAGCTTTACCAGAAATGTATTTTTAAACGGGGCTTGCCTACCAGCCTCAGGGTCCCTACCCATCTACCTACCTACCAAGCAGCTAAAGTCTATTTATCGATGATGATGATGACAACCTCGTACGCTAATGCCGGAAGGGACTGGGGCTCCCTTATCCGTACACCACCAATGATGAATTTTCATCATAAAATCGGAACGATGGGGGATTAGAGAAGGTAAACCTACCTATCATTGGCCCAACAACCCCTAAAATGGTCAAGATCTCGACGATGGGCCGGTACCGAGTTGACCTAACTAGCTGCTAAGCATGGGTGTTGGAACGGCACCGCCATTTAGAGGTTATCTCGATGTAGGTTATCGAGTTCGTCAACAATAGCCTCAATTTTATTGATGTAGGTAGCACCTGTGAGTTTAGTCTGATCACACACAAGCATTGCTGCAAGATCTGGGTCAGTGTTTCTTGCAATCTAGTCAAATGCAGATCATAGCCATATCAGCTACCTACTTTGATACAACTACCTGGGCGTATCTGTGAGCGGGATTTACATAATGTGTCACACAATTTCATTGGGAATGAAATTTGGTTCGCGGTATACGCCCGAAAGCTGTGCAAACATTTTGGCTTTCTGCTTCGAGAAGTGATTTGCAGTTGCTGGAGAGCACTTGGAAATCCAAGATGTGGTGTATGGGTATGAATGTTGCTAGAAAAGTCCCGAGGCGTCATGTTAAGATTCACGACGGCTTTAGAGGCTGATAACTTACTACAGTGTACCAGGCGTATTCGTTTTCAGCACTCTTGTGTGATGATATCCCCCGTCTCCCACCTACGTAGGTGCTAATATGTATTGGGAATACTATGTGACTCTGGGTCCACTGATAATGACAGACATGTAAGCATCAACGGAAATCACCTCTATTTGAGGGTTTACTGTGTGACGTAGGTACTGTTTCCACATTGTGCTATAACTTCTAGACGGAGAATCGTGATCGCAAGCTGATAAACGTCTCTGTTTTGTATCGTAGAAAGGATTCAACTTTGACTAAAGCAGCGGCACTAGGAAAGGACGGAGCTATCAGTGCAGCAATGTCGATGATCCATTTCGCCATTGGCATCGACGACGGACTTAGCACACCGATAGGACCAGCAAAACGGTAAGGGTTGGAGAGACGTGATACGGTCTGATGTCAGGTTCATATGTCATACGGCTCAGAGGTGAAACCGATCAGATAATTGATGGTATCGGATGAAAGAAAGACTAACGGGGTAGTACATATTAATGACTACCTAACCTAGGTAAGTTTGCACATCCTAGAAGAGCCATCGACGTTATTATTCGCCTCGATCTTCGTCATCACGTGGGATCATTGGAGATGGGTGAGGTCAGCTCGCACAACGAAGGGCTGGCTTTCTGCGTAGAGTTTGCTTGGTGGCAACGGCTTGAATCGAGGCGTGTTAGATACTAAATAGCCAAGGAGTCAAAAAGGATGGGCACTAAAGCGATGGGTGGGCGGATGCAGCCTTTTTTGCGCCTCACCCCTTGATCGAGTTGGTGTCCGTCTAGTAGAGCAGTCTAGTAGGATTTGTGGAGATCTTCAATATGATACACAGAGCCTCTTTTTAACACATCGGACAGGGTACGATAGGATAGATCGATTTATTAGATATGATTGATACAAATGATGGATGTGCTCAAAATTAAGAAAAAGGAGAACAGAGTCTCGTGAGCCGGAGTAGGCGAGATGGTAAGTCCAAGTTGGTGAGTTCAAGTTGTGGAATTGGTAGTTGTGTTAAGTTTAAAGCTGACATCATCACCATCACACTTGCCGTACCTACGCAGGAACAGGGGATGGACAAGGGGGTACGAGAGCACGGACCAGCTCTGACCTCACAATCGGAACACCTGAACAATTTTGACAGAGCCCATGACACGCAACTGCCATCTGATACATGTATCTAAGCCTTGGAAATTAATAACTTGGTAATTGTAAACTTTGAATTTGCATAGAAACATACCCTAGGTAGAAGAGGCATTTCGTGCGGAAGGCATGTGCTACATATCACAAGCATCTAGATCATTGATGACTGCCTGATTAATTCGTATCATCAAGATTAACACAAGATTAACATCGTCACCGCCGTGTTTGCCCAACTTGAGTCTACCTTACCAGTTTACCTATGCAAGTAATGTACAACAAACACAACACAATCCAGATGTGGCTTTCCGAAGATCGGTTGCTTGTTGTAACTTGTAACCATGCATGGCCAATATCAGGCGCGGTAACGTAGATCTACCGGTGTTCCTTGGACCCCTATCTTACTTGAGGCTAATAATAATTTCTATCTAGGGGGTTGCTTGCTTATTGTCTGTTCCCGACTGACGTGCATCCCGCTTGATTCGGATCCAATTCCAGCATTACAATGCATGTTGGAGACTCGGAGTACATAGCCAAGTACTGTGTGTACATGTATGTATCTCAAGATTCGATGTTGGTAATCGTGGTGCACGGCTGCACGGCTGCACGGTAGATATCACGCACTAGTCGGCTTGTTGACCGAACCCTCATTTCCACCGCCTCGTCTGCGGCGCATCTACGATGGATACTTGGACCAATGTGGATTCGAGAAACTGCAAGAAAATGCCCGATTCGGCTTCAACAATGGCAATTAACAAAAATGCCATGATAGTGCTGTACGTAAAGGTATTCAGTGTTCTCTTGTCCTTCGGCTAGCGTCGATCCACGCTAGAAGTCTTAGAGCCACATATCGATCTAACAATAAAATATGTAGCCAACTACACATGATAGTTGATAGTAATTCTCTATCATGTAGGTACATTATATGTACATGCAAATAAGGATCCTTTCTGAATACTAGGTACGTAGTTAGTAGTTAGTCTAAAATTGTCCGAAGTGGGAGATCTTCAAAGTTGAGACAACCTTTTTAATTCCTACAGAAGCTCTGTGCTAGAAACCAAGGGTTCAAAGGATTTACAAGGATTTTGAGGATTACAAGGATTACCATGGTTACACAGCATTTCGAGACCCTTCCATTCGATGGTATCCTGCTCTTGATATGTGACGGACCAAACAAAGATGGTTGTGGCTTCATCTGTAGTCTTGTACTTTTTTTAATTTTTCTTTACACATGTGTCTCCTATATGTAGGTAATATGCAAGTGAAAAAAAAGAAAGGAATACGAAGCAGCGCAATAGCATACCGTTGAATTGTTCCAACTTCATTCAATGTTTTGTTTTCTGTGTGAGAGGTAATTAGATACATAGACTACATAGACCTCATTTCAATTTACGGCAACGCAACCCCTGCACGTGCTTATTACCTAGCAGCGGCGCCTTGGCTTTTTCTACATTGCACTGCATCTAATGTTACTTACCTGCTTGATTGCCTGATTTATCTGATTACTAAGTGCTAAAATTCGAATCCAGTAGCTTTGTGACGTCACCCCCATCGTCATTGGTTTCTGCAAAGGATTCCTTAGTGTTGACTTTAACTTTCTTTTTGCTTGTTTATACAATTAATTCAGCTGTCAACCATCATCATCCCTCCGAGGGGTAAGATGGGTAAGATTCTTTCGATCAGAATTTTGAATTCTGTCAGCCTGTGAAACCATTATCAGCCGGGGGAGGCCACACTTTGACTCCAGAGTGTCCGCCGTGCCTCCACTCCTCCACTCCTCCACTCTGTCTCGGTACGGAAGACAGAGTGTGGCCAATAGAATGACATACGTGATGACTTCAAAGACCTTGAGATGATCGCCAGGGTCTTTCCCAATCGTCCCTGTGGAGTCTTCTTTTCATTGGAGGTGATTGGATTCCCTTCTAGCTGGCCCCAACCCTCCGCTTTGTTCTTATGTCCTCACCCGCTAGCGGTGACCGAATGCAGAATGACAATGCCAATTCGACACAGTACCCCTTTCCACCTTTCCAAATTCTGATGGTGTGGTAGTATAGGCAATCTACTACATCCAACTACGTCGTAGCCAATCTCTAGTGAGCCTAACGAGGATGATGCATCATCAGCCTTGTTCGTGGCGAAAGTTCAATGGCCCTAGCTCAGTCATTGGCCTGTCGACTCTCACTTACGCCATAGCCTGCAGGCTTGGTTTCCCATCCCGGCACTAAAACGGCCTTCTCACATGTCGATCAACGCACATCTCACTTCTCTCACGTTGGTATCCCTAGTCCGTTTGTATGCAATAGGTGCCAGGGAAATGCCAGGAAGTTGCTTCGAGTTGAACCACCTACAGTTGTACTCTGCCCGTACATTATGTACATACCGACCTACATACATGTATATCCTGCCTATGTATTGTACATACTACGCTACATACTACGCTACATACTACAGTACCTACATACATGGTAATACCTGTATTATACTAACTAGACCCTCTAGGCCTTGGTCTATCAGAAGCCACCCCCAGCAACCCTTTCTTCCATGTCTGAGTCTAATAGTCCTCTGAAGTCAGAACCCGCTTCTAGTTCGAGTCTCCTCTTTCTCAACTTGCTTCCCATATAAATCCTTTCAGGCCTCACACTTTCTTCTTGCCATTATCCCAATTCTTCACAACCATCGTGAGATTCTAAACTATTCTACAACCTGACATCGATCCATTACTCTATTACTTCGCTCTCCGACTTGAATTTATCATCCACTCAACCCAATTCGACCCTAGCACCTCTTCTCGTGTTGAAAATATAGTATTATCAAAAACTACCCCTCGCCATGTCATCGAGCAGTTATACTATCTCCATGCCATCTTCTCTCCCCCCGCCAGTAGACCTGGCAAGCTATGCTCGGTCGATGCATCAACATACCAAGCGACAAATGGAGGCAGCAAATATGCCCACAAGTCGACGATCCGGCCGAACACGCGCTCACGTATCACATATGACCAACGGTACTTCTCGATCTCCCTCATCGAGTAGTTCTAACGAAATTCAATATCATGACTGATTGAGATCTTCGCAACTTTTTTTTTTATCTACTATTTCACAACATTTATTATAATGTTACGGTTCCATCGGCCAATAGCCGACCAAAAAAACATCGATAGCTCGATGTTTAAAAATCTTCAGCTAGATATTTGATACGGGAGACGACGACATCAAAAATTCCCATGTGGAAAGCGATCATTCCAGTACACGACATGGCCTCTAAATTTATGCAACGAGAAGGAACCATGATACCCAGTCTTCCAATTTTTATTTATTTTTAGCGAACGAGGAAACACATTCAAAGGCGTATAAATGGGCAACATTTGATTGGAAGGGGGATCAATGTATTTTTTGCAAGGTCTCCGGCCTCAGGCGTTCAAGCAATAAGTAACATGTTACTATATCATCCAGCGGGAAACAAGAAAGGAACCTTTGGTATTCAAGGCAACATTTAGCGGATTAGCATACGATTTATTATGGTTATTTGTTAGTCGAGAAAGTTGTACGAGTCAAATGAACATTTTAACGATGATCTTCCCCTGCTGTCTGCGGGATGATATCTTATCACTTACCAACCACATCACATCCCACTTTTTTCCCTCATGTCTATTGCTTCGTGACTTAGTCCATATCGCATATCGCAATACCCGTCTACTTACACTAACCCTAGGAATAATGGGTTTTCCTCTTATGCATTCTCGTACGATCGTAATCTTCATATGTAGGTATGTACGTGCTTTACAACTACTAATGTGCTGGGGAAAGGATTTTTTTTTTTTTAGTTTTTTGGTCTTGTCAGGTTTTAATATTTGACCCCGTAACTAGGAATCCACTGATCAGCATCAACCGATCATGTGCCCCCCCGTTGTTTCGGTTCGTTCGGTAAGTTCAAAGGGGATAATATGGGCCGTCCCTGAATATGGGCCGTGGGGCTAAGTCGGCCAATAAAATTTAAGGAGGCCACATAAATTCTATGTATTTTTTGATATTTTCCATTTTATCTTTTAGCCAATGAAAGGCCTTATTCTTATCGGCTTATTAAAATGATTCTTATCGGATAATTTTATTTGGATAATTACTTTAAGAATAGGCGTATGGCTCTATGGGCCCGTACGCGGTACCGCTACCAGTTCAAATATCAAATAACTTCTGCAATAATAATCCTATAGTCGTGCAACCTAGCAAATTTAAAAGCTCTATTTAAGGGCTATTGATCTCTATCTTTAAATAGAGATTTGACTTTGAATTGAATTAATCGCATTAGGTTGAAAATTAGTGTGTACTAAAGGCTCCGGACTAGCGGCGCTTAGCGCACCAAGATTAGGTACGCAATTATGCAATATTATGAAATCTGTATAAATATTGAGTGTCACGTGATATGAGCATTTTATTACATAGTAATTATTGTAATTTTAAGCTTATTTCATTGGCTGATTTATACGGTTTGGCACAGTATTAATATTACTGTTTTACACATGGCCCTTTAAAGAGTCTGCCAAAGCTCGGACCTTAAGGACGTTTTGATCCAAATTGAGAATTAGAACTGAGCTAAACCTAAGTTATGCTAGCTCTTTGATTTCATTGGTTGATTGCGAAGCTATGTTTAAAATAGTATAAAGCATTTTAACCAATTATATCAATTAAAAAAGCTCGTTTCGCTTCCCAGAATGTACCGCTTCTTACTTAAAGTAGTAAGAGTCTTACCTAAAGCAGTAAGGGCCAGCCCCACGGCCCATATTCAGGGACGGCCCATATTATCCCCTTTGAACTTAGTTACTTGTGTTTTTGTTTCATGATTTGCCTACTCTCGCAGCAGTGGGTGTGCCCCGATTGATCCGAATTGGAACGGGACGGAAACGGAAACGGAAGGAATTGGGTAGACGACGAAGATGAAGACGATGATGATGATGATGATGGAGGTGAAGGTGAAGGTGATATGGGTAGAAAGTATAGGTATTTGTAAGATACAGTAGGTAACTTGTTGGCGTGCGCTGCTGATCCAATTGACTAGATGTTGTGGGATGTGGTGTTTACCGAGGTAGATTAGGTTAGGTTAGGTTAGGCTAGGCTAGGTAGGCGGGAAGGTAGGCAGATAGATAGCTTGGTACCTAGCTTGGTATTGCTCCGGCATACTTGGCAATCTTGAAGGGTCGCCGTAGTAGAACCGGTTGGCATGTGGAGGTTTGGGTGAATATGATATAGCAGTCAGTGTATTGCTATATGTGTATTGAGTATCTCCTATTGATATGATGTGCCTACTGTGAAGGTAGGCATGCACGGGTCTAGGTATATAACCAAGTGAACTAGGAAGCCATGGCCATTGCTTCATGTTCAAATATCATCCGATTCACTTTTCCCGGCAAGCAGCCATTATGAAATTCATATTGAAGTAGATCTCAGGCTTGGTACGCTTATGTAGGAGGTAGGTATCTATAAATTTCATTCGCCGGCTTCATGGTATGCACCTCAGGCTACTTGAAGGCACAAGAACCACCCAACAGTCATGACTGATGACTTGCCAATACCAATATCGATTAAGCTAGGTACCTAGCTACACAAGCGGCGCCTTCTTCTTAATACCCAGGAGCGCCGAATGATCCTTCTTCTTCTTGACCACGCGCTTGAAGGACGGGGGCGGCATGTCCGTAGATGCCGTCGAACTTGGTATCGACGCTGCTGCTTCTGGCCGTGGTAGTGGTTTCATGGTGCCAATCTCTGTAGACGCTAACGGACCCGGCGCTGCTGCTGAACTCGAACTCGGAGTCGACGTTGATATGGGCGTATATGTGGCTGTGGATGTAGATGCAGATGTGGAAGCAAACCCCGTATTATCATAATCATACCCATCCTCCAGCACCACGACCTCCTCCGTCATGCGATCGACTTGCCTCGCGAACTCGAATGCCCTCCTCGCGGCCTCCGCGTCCTCCCTCTCGAGGCGCTCGGCCTCGTTGTCGACGGGGATTGGGACGGAGGCCTCGACGCCGTCCTGGTTGGCGCGCTCGAGGCGCGCGTTGCGCGTGCGGATCTCGTCGAGGGCGTCGGCGACCGCCATCTCCCGCTTTGCGTCGACGGTTTTGGTCTCCAGCTCTACCATCGCGTTGCGCTGCTCCTCTTCGGCCCCTTCGCGCTCGAGCCGGTCGAGGCGCTGCTCGTCGGTCTCGTCGACGCCGACGCGCCAGGGTTCTGTGCTGCGCTTTGCGCCGCTTTCGCAGGCCTGTAGGTAAAAGGGGGCGTTAGGAATGTGATCATGTGAAGGGGTGGTAGCGGTGGTGGTGATGGAAAAAAAGGGGGAGGGGGAAGTGAGTGTGGGAGCTTACATAATCTTGGTTTTTAGGGTCTGTTTTAAACGTGATCTGTCCGCTACATCGTGTGCACCGAATGTAGAATCCTGGCGGGTGTTAGTAAGTACGGTATATCCTATGTTCTGGTAGTAAGAAAAAAGTCGTTATAACATACTGCGAATGGATTAGCTTCCGTAGAGTAAGACATAGGTTAGAGGGGGGATCATCTGTACCTGAAAATTTGAATGCCTAGGTACTTTTCATCCGCTGGAGTTTCTTTTCGTGCGTTGAACTAATCATCCCTATCAGTTGAGCTTCTTTGGAAATAACACTTTTGTCTATGGCTCATACCTTCCTGCCTTTGTATATATACTCTGCATGAACGATTAGCTTCATATGTTCTAGGACAGGGCTGGGATACACAATAACTAACCTCCGCAAGAAGTACACTTCATCGAGCTGCTGATTATTAGACTCTATATCATCCTCGAGAGCTTTCCATTCTTCAGGGGAAATGACGTACTGCGAATCTGTTAGTTGAACTGACTATATACAATGATTATTTGCGGAATACTTCTACATACCAATGGTGCTGCTAGACGGACAGTCTGGACCTTTGGTCCGGTATTCTTGGGAGCTCTAACCCTCTTGATCTGGCTCGGATCAAAGTCCGGGGGATAGTATTTGGCTGGGTGAGGTTAGTATAGGACATTGCAAGTTTGATAGGGCGGTAGCTGGGTGGCACCGGAGATAGCATACTGAGAACTTTGCGTTCAGACATCTTGGCTTATGTGCTTGCGAGAATGAAGTCTGTTAAGTAGAAGAAGAAAAGTATTTGTTGAGTTATTCGTTTCTTGTTTAGGACGACTGTGATGTAGTGAGGTTTCCACGACGACGACGCGCTGAAGATGACAATAATCGTGAAGTGATAAGGCGATAAGATCCCACGGAGGTGGAACCTGCAGTGCTAACTTACAGTAGCCTAACTAACCTCAAGCTAGGTGCATGTGCACAGACTTAACTCTAAAGTGGAGATGGGAATGTGGCTTTAGTCACGTGGCCACTTCAAATTCAGCCTCAATCCAATTACTCAGCTGCGAGGCGAATGCGGCTGAAGCTGTGCAGTGCATCGCCGGATGATCGAAAAGTCGATCATCGGATCGATTTAGGTTACGTACATTTTGTTAGCTTCCATTTCTCCAGGCAATGATGCATGCCAAGAACCTTAAAAGCTATCGCTGCCGGCGGCTGGGAGGGATTCATGATTCCCTCTTTTGGGTAAGTAGTACATAGTCCTATTGGAGCCTAGACTTTTTTTACTTTACCGGAATTGGTTCACTGTAGAATGCAGTATGTTCTGAGGAGCGTTTGGGCTGGCTGCTCTCGTCATACTGGGTCATCATTTTGGTGCGGATCTAAGAAAACGCCTAGTCATCGACGACGATGTATGCATCAATATTTGTATGGCTCAAATGAAGTACCGTATCCTGGGAAGTGCGGGAAGTGCGCGGATAGGTCACATATATCTGTGATTAGACGCAACTAAAATAAACCATGTAACATCTTTGAAGTGTGCTAAGGCTAGATGGTTGGGGGTCTATGCGATTTCGATTTAGGGGGACGTCATCAGAACTCCTTTTTGGGCGGTCTGAATGGAGCCTTTCTACACAAGTCCGTGAAGCAGCCTAAGATATCCACTCGCTTCAATATTGCAGCTGTATTGGTGAAGGTAGAAGTCTGACTGATGGTCATAGATTACCTACTCAATAATTTTTATAATGTTCTATGTAGGTTACGTAGGTCTATGAGGCTCATACCTAGGCACCTACCTACGTTCCTGAATCCCAACCTCGAGCATCTCTGCTAGCAAGTCCCACTTCCCTGCAGCAGCGTCGCCACTCGCCCTCGCAACGCCTCTAAGCCCACTAGAGATGAATTTCAAGTGTCTGTCAAAGTCGGCACGTATCTCGCCAAGGATCTCGGCGAAGCTCTTCTCCCTATCTTGCATCATTGTGCTTTTGTCTTGGTCGAAGAGGAACGTCTGATCTTCCTCCTCACCCGCCTCTATGTACCTCTGGTTATCAGCTCCTTTGGACGGAGAATTTACTGATAATCGTGACAATTCTTGTGTCTCTTCTTGCTCTCTCTCGGACTCTAGCTGGCGGGCGTCCTGTAGCCTGATAGCGAGATCGAACATGTCCAAAATGCATTCCCGAATAGGGTCAAGCTTACTCCCTAGGCACATCTCATTGATCATGAGTCTTGCAAAGGTACTATGTGATGTGATCATGGCGGTAACGTCTTTTGCTTGTTCGAGACTTAAGGCAAGCTGGGTCGTAAGTGGTGTAAGGACTAAAGTACTAAGATACGTATGGAGTATATTGCAGAACCAGAGAAATTTAGATCTAAGACCATAGTAAGTTGCTTGATCTGGTGACGCATTCGCTGTACCCGCCACGTTGTCAGATGCGAGGCGATATTTGTGCAGGACGTAGCTAGCTCGCCGGAGCTGTAGTAGGAAAGTGAAGGCTGCCTGGTACAGTGCGAGACTTTCGTCCGATAAAACGATCCGAATCGGCCAGGACAGACGATATACTATCCTAAGTGACGGTAGACCTTGACGGACAGATCTTCGGATATCATTAATATCATCATTCACACCTTCCGATGAAACACTGACGGCAATCCGATGTGAATTGGCGACGCTACTAAATGCTTCATGTGCTAGTGCCGTCAGATTAAAGCGATCGTGCCAGTTCGCGTTGAGAATATCAATATTATTGAAAATCGCAGATGCGAACATATCAGAGCATGACCCATCAGACATGAGATATACACGTTGGAGTGCAGCCAAAACCGATCGGAGACCGCAAGACTCGAAGAGGGTTCGTTGCAGAGTTGCAGAAGCGGCATGATGCTTGGTTTCCATCCACCTTTCGAAAACATTGCCAAAAACTTCAGAGAAGGGGGCAAAAACACCAAAGGTGGATGCAAAGTCTCCTTTTATTTCCATGGACGCTTCTGGCAGCTGAGATCCAATCGCGTTGTATTTTCCAAGGTGCTTAAGAACGACGACGCTCTTACCAGTAGTAAGAATCTTAGGTGCTGCTAGTTGTAGAAACCTTGGTACATACAGCGTGCCGTCAGAAGTTCTTCGTAGTGTAAACTGATCGGTCCAGACCTGGCTCATGGGAACTTCACTTGACGAACTGGTGATGAAGAATGTCTTATCTCCATCAATTAGTTCTCCAGACATCATCCAAACCCGAATGGATCGAAGATAGACCTGGAAACATTCGAAGAACAACGTGGCAATGAACTCATACACCACATCCCTTCCTTCCAACTGTGCAGCTTCAGCAGTGTCAAAGAGAAGCTCGAGGTAATGAAAGGGGCGAGGATATTTTGACACTTGAAGTTGTTGAATTATGTCCGAAAGGCAAGCTAGGGGCTCCAGGTGTGGTCTCACCTCGCCTAGAACTTCGGTTAAACTCACAACGACATCTTTTTCAATAGCGACGTATTGCGATTGTAATTTAGATACTTCGCTATCAAATAATCGGAGACGGTTTTCGACTGCTTCGCGAAAGACCTGTAATAATGGGATGTGCTGGACCTGCTTTGCGAATTGGCGCAAAACGGATAACTGTCGACCGGCTTCGCTGAAGGACCCCAACAATGCCCTGTACACTTCCCAGGAGGCATGCTTCAGTTGATAGTGTAATGATGGAACTCCCTGCGTATCGAAAAGGGTGTTTTCTAAACCGTTGAGCATAAAAAGCACCTCCCGTACCACGTGAAACTCCGACACGGCAATTTTGGAAGGTCTCCCTGTTATGTCCTTTGGAGCCGCGGCGTGCCTCCAGACTTGGGCTTCTCGAACTTTATCCAGGTAGTCCTTATCTTGAGAATCAACTATAAAGCTTGTGAGAGACTTCTGATATCGTGCCTCAACCGACGATGCGGAGGTAAGCTCCGCTTCAGATTTATCAGATATGCTCTCGGCATATCCATCATCAGAACTACCACCTTCAAAGCTGACATTTTTCCACAGGTCACGATCTTGGTCCCAGCCTTCTTCCTTGGCAATATCGTCCCATTTGAGAGGTGGTCCAGAACTCTCGTCTGGTTTTTTGAGCAACTCGAGATCGCTGAGTTTGGACTTTTTGATAGGCTGATCTTCAAGCTGTAACAGCAGATGGAGAACTTCGGGTGTCCATTTGTTAGATACTTGGGTTAGAGCATCCAAACGCTCCCTTAGTGCATCAGCCAAGCCATCTCGATTGACAACACGAAAATGCTCTTCAAAGCCATTGAGTTTCGCTTCAACATCGAACTGATTTGTGCGAAGAAAGTTATGATAACGAAGACTCCTCAAGCTAGACTCCTTGAGAACATTGAAACGACCGGCATCCGACTATTGCTATGTGTAAGTGGATTTGACCCGGGGGCTGGTTTGTTTAGGATGATGTGGCTGACTCCTACGTCTACCTACCTGACTTGTAGTTGCAGTAATAACCTCAACTAACTCTTCTGTCAGTGAACTTAACGTTGAAGCGAGCGACATGACTAATGATATGCTCGGTGGGTAGTCTTGTGACTTGTTGGAAGTTCTGAATTTAGAACTTGAGGATCAGATATTTGATATGAGGAAGATCAGAATCGGAATTCAATAGAGGATAGTTATCAGAATATCAGAATATCAGAATATCAGGCTTAATAATCTTATGCAGTTATGCAGCAATTAATTCGGTTTATCAGCCATCAACGTTATCTGGGAGGTTATTAAATTCAAGCTGATACGCGTTGACGCGTCCTCCAATTAATACGGGGGTAATAGAGTTGATCAGTAACCCACAGTGTGGATAGTATGTTTCTCCACCAATTTAACTGCAATTACGTGATTATAGCACTGTGATATCTCTTATCCGCCTGCTTGGCTACCCCGTAGTTTAACAGTTTTGTACCTGGTACGACGCTGGAAGATTTTCCGACGACTACCCGTCCCAAGCCATGACCCAAATTAAAACTGGAATAACTGGGATAGTTAACTGGAACCTGGAACTTCGACATTCTGATGGTTGCCAGATAGTTCCAAGCGCCGTCACTACGGGCCACAACACCCAACAACCACTTTCCATTGTACATCTATGATAACCTGATTTTATCATCTTTTAACTACTAGATACTTAGGTATACCACAAACGACGGACCTCGACGACGACTACTGCGGCCACAATTACTAAACCAACCCTTGTTGTTCGAACATTGCCTCCCTGAATTGGAACTGAAATTTTAGTACTTTTAAACGTCGATCAAGTTCATGAGAGGAGGACGATAATTATCCACCATGGCCATCGCAAGGCCAGTCCGCGCCTTAGCGCTAGCTATCTTTATAGTCTGCTGTTTCTTTCTATACACAATATGGCGCCCGGAATCCCCTGAACGGACTATCAAGACCTCCGCCGACTTCCATGGCACCGTCGATAGAGACCCTCAATTAGATTGTAAGTACTTCTCTCCGGATGTCTGTGCTTGCGCCGAGATCCAACTAACTGTTGATTAGTCGTAGGGGAACCCGAGGGCAAGCTTGTGCGCGCAACCGAAGGATACGCTCCAGGCGTCGCTGGTACCGCACGAATCAATGCGACGATTTTGGCATTGGTGCGAAACGAAGAGTTGGATGGCATGCTACAATCCATGCAAGACTTGGAAAGAACTTGGAATTCGAAATTCAACTACCCCTGGACATTCTTTAACGACGTTCCCTTCACCGAAGAATTCAAAAGAAGGACTAGGGCGGCAACTAAGGCAGAAACTCGATATGGTGAGTAGGATATGAGCCTGCTACTTCAGCCCACCTTGCTAACCGAACACTACAGAGGTTATTCCGAATGAGCACTGGGATGTTCCATCCTGGATTAACAATGACTTGTATAAGGAATCTGTCAAGATACTCGAGGAGAACGATATCCAGTACGCGGATAAGATTTCATACCACAAGATGTGCCGATGGAACAGTGGCCTATTCTACAAGCATCCTGCCCTGAAAGATGTGCAATACTATTGGCGTGTCGAACCCAACGTTCACTTCTTTTGCGACGTCGACTACGACGTGTTCCGTTACATGAACGACAACAACAAAACTTACGGTTTCACTGTAACTCTCTACGATGCACCAAAATCTATCCCAACTCTCTGGCCGGAAACAAATAAGTTCCTTACTCAGCATCCGGAGTATTTGCACGAAAACAGAGCTGAGGGATTCTTGACCGACGGCACTCGTCGACCTGTCCACTGGGACCAAGCCAATGGTTACACAACGTGCCATTTCTGGAGCAATTTCGAAGTGGCAGACTTGAACTTCTGGCGCAGCCAAGCATACGAGGACTACTTCAACCATCTTGACCGAGCAGGTGGATTCTTCTATGAAAGATGGGGCGACGCACCCGTTCACAGTATCGCTTTAGGTCTCTTCGAGGATAAGAACAAAATTCATTGGTTGGTCAACCCCTTTCCGTTTTCATGACTGAACCCTCCTAACTATATATTTTTGCCTAGGTTCCGCGATATTGGATACCAACACATTCCATTTTTCAATTGTCCCAACTCACCAAAATGTAGAGGCTGTGTCACTGGTCGTTTGACCGACGGTGAAGCGTGGTTGAACAAGGAAGATTGTCGACCTCTTTGGTTTAAGCATGGCCACATGAACTGAACATAATTTGGAAGGGAAGGTTTAAGTTGGATGAAATACAATGGCTGCATGATATCGTCTGATGCTGTATTAATGTCTGGGAAGCCCCTCCCCTTAATGGATAAGGCTAGCATGGCGGCATGCGGTGTTTTTGGCGTAGAATGGGATGTCACTTGATAGAGGCGGATTGGTTTCTCAAGTTGGCACGGTAGAGATAGCCAAATATTGTGTACAGATTCAATTTTACGGATCGTCTGTTAAATAAGTCCTACGACCAGTTGTCGCCGTGTGTTTGTTTCGTGATCTTAATATGACCCCTTTTATGGCAAGTATTAAGTTTGGGGGGCCTCGTACATACAATAGATGCTGTTCTAATGGTATCCAAAAACGGTTACAATCCCGGACGTGCCACTGACGCAATATTGGTCCCCAAATCCATTGTCTCTCCACGCAAAGCAGCTGAGGACATTACTGCGTTCCTTCGGCTTGCCATCCTTTCCCACGAACTTCTTCGGCTCGTGGCCGGCAGGTCCCCAAGGGACCGCCACCTTCGCCTTCACCTCCCCAGTAAGCACATCGAAAGCCCATATCCTCCCCTCCCCGTTTCGGCCCGGCGGCGCACCCGTCATCTCGTCGCCCACAAGCACGTACTGCTCCTTCCCTCCTAAGATACTCTGCACGCGCAGGTCCTCGTTCCGCCACCCCGGATCCGAGTACGTCTTCAGACACCCCCCGCTCTCGCGATCCATCAGCCGCAATTTACTGTCCAACCCCCCAACCAGCAGAGCCTTGCCATCGCGCGTCATGCACAGGCTCGTCACGCTCGGGCCAATAACATCCGTCACGCACCGCCCCATCCTCACATCGTAGGCGCGCACGCGCCCATCCACGCTCGCGGCCACGATCTCGGCGCCCCGCACAACCACCGCCGTCACCGCGTCCCGCGCCTCACACAGCACCTGCACGGGCTTCGGCGCCTGGCTCCGCGCGTCCCAGACACGCACGCTCGCGTCTAGGCTGCCGCTGATTAGTAGGTTGTCCTCGTTGTTGTTGCTGTTGTCGCTGTCGCCGCCGAACGCGACGCAGTTGATCCGCGCCGTGTGCCCCTGGGCGGTCCCGCCGAACCGCCGCAGCGTCTGCGCCGACGCGACGTCCCACAGGAAGACGGAGCGGTCGCCGCCCGAGGAGGCGAACCGCGCGTTCGAGGAGGAGACGCTGAGCGAGAGGACCTCGTACCCGTGTGCTGAGTAGGTCTGGATTAGGCGGCCTTCGGGGAGGGGTTGGGGGATGGTGGTGCTGGTGGTGGTGGGGGGCTTCTTGGACAGGTGGGATGATGAGGGGTGGATGGGGGTGCTGGGCTGCGGGTTGTACAGCCGGATGGAACGGTCGGCGGACCCGGCGAGGATGTAGGTCCCTGGTGAGGCCGAGTAGGCGAGTGCGTGGACGGGGCCTGGAGTGGGAAGGTTTGGTTAGCGGGTTTGTGGGTTTGGGAAAAGGGGGGTGGGGGTTATGAGAAGGTTAGGGGGAGAAGCTTACCGTTAGAGCCTAGGAGATGGGCGATTGGCTTGTCTGGAAAAGCCATTCTATTTTTATTTTATTTTTATTTAAAGTATCACGTCGGTTTCCATGTCATGAGGATTCTCAAAAAAAAACGACTTATACGTGAGATGACGATAATATGTATCCGTATGCCAACTCAAAACATTTCAAGCCTTATGTTAGAGTTATTAGGATTTAGAATTTAGAATTTATCTTAATTCTAAGAGTATTATTAACGTACCCTCTAAACTCTTTGGGCTTTGTATGACCAATGACCTTTTTTGAAAAAGATTCAATGATTTTATAGTTCCCAAGGTTTGACTGTCTTCAACATTTGCATGTTTGAATCTCATTGGTATATATGTAGGTACACATGTAGGTATGCACTTAGAAGATATCTCGTGACAATTATCTAACTAATCCATAAAATCTTTGGGCGCTAACAAGAATAGGTGGGAATAGGTGGGAATAGGTGGGAATAGGTGGGGAGAGATGCTACAGACTGGCTACTAGTTACTAGAGTCTAGTAGTACAGTGCTCGGTGTAACTGATAGATATGCTCTTATCGATAGTGGCATTTTGTACGCTACGATTTGAAAGATCCAGAATAATTTTTTTTTTTGAACCTTCAAAGAATTAAAAAATTGCAATCCTTACTTTTCTTCTCAATTCTAGCAAGCACCTCAAAAAGCCTAGAAGATTAGAAAACTCCAACGCATAGCGTTTGCAATGCTTCAATTGGGTAGTCGAAACGCACGCCGTATTGGAGCTTCATACATATGCGCATCATGTTTTGCCGCTTCTCATGCGACAAGATCGCGGGCGCTTCGTCCCACACTGCTTTCTAGCCATCATGGCCTTCCTCTCTCCACCACATCCCGTCGACTTGCGCCCACCACCGAAACCCCACCCCCTGCGCCAGACACTGCCCCCATCCCCGAACCTCCATCCTCCGTACCGGTCAAAGCCGATACAGGTGATAGCAATGAGTCTCCTCCAGAGGAAACCCCCAAGAAGAAGAAGGGCAAGAAGAAGAGTGCGAGGAAGGCTTCTGAAAAGCAGGATGCCCCTCTAACCAAGAAGGTCACTCCCAAACTCGTCGAAGATGACCGTCAGTTGCAAGTTCTGCAAGGCGCGCTCCAGGCCTTGAAGAATGTTCTGAAAGCACAGAATATCAGCGTGGACCAGATCAGCAAGCTTGCCAGCCAGACTGAGCCCGAACTTCCCGTAATCAAGCAAGAGCCCAAGGCGAAGGGCAAGACTAGGGCTCGTCGGAGAGAAGAGGCGATCCGCAAGGCAGAGGCCAAAGCGTCTCAAAATCCTGTCGAAGATGAGGCCTCGGAGAAAGGTGCAAGCCTAGAAAGCCCAGCGTCATCAGCATCTCCAGCATCACCAGAATCGCTAGGCGTTGATGGTGTAGCGAAAGTGGACGCTATGTCAGAAGCAGAACCTACGCCAACCCCAGGAGACCAGGCTGAACAGATTGAAAAAGAAAAGGCTGACAAGAAAAGAATGGCGGAAAAACGGCTAAGGGAAAAGGCAGAAAAATTAGGTGTCTGGGTTCCTACAGGCAAGAGGAAGAATAAAAGTACAGATGAACCCTCTAGTCGTCAATCAATCCCTCGAGATTCGGCATGGCCCACGAGTCGGTATGCTAGCAAAAGCTCCATAGCGATGACTAAATCCAGTATGAAAACCATTGGCCAGCCATTCAGTGGTGAATCAGCACCACCTGAAGTAGTGCGACCATCGCCAGTATGGTCACCACAGAAATCATCGCCGAGACCACTACTGAGGGCAGTGAAAGCATCATCAAGGGTACCAACATCGAAAACACCATCGAAAACATCATCGAAAACATCATCAAAGACATCAAAGACGCCGAAAAAGGAATCCACCAAGACCCAGAATAAACCCCCCCTGGCTATTAATAAGCTCCACGCCAAAGACCTTCACATATTCCCCATCAAGACTGTCCATCCTGAGGTTCCGTCCTTGTCGTACGGACTTGAAAGGGTTCTGTTCAACCCTGGTGTTTATGCGCTCCAGGATCCTCGGTCACGGGTTTACAATTTTGACCCATATCTCTCCGAGATCATGCCCATTCAGGAGTTTGATTTCAACGCCTTAAAGCAATATGTAACATCTTCCAAAGATAACAACTTAATTCGCATTGCAAAGGAACATGGGAAACGATATACAGGCTCAACCTCCAGTATGACGTCCATGTTGTCTCACTTCCATTATCTCCTATCATCATGGAGGGCCATCAACACAGAAATGTTGTCACGGACTATTGTCCCTGATTCTGTCCAGTTCACCAGAATCATGAGAGGCCCAGCTGCAATTTTTCTGCACTGGAAGGACGGCACCTATGCCATCGATGCCGACAAGGAATATGACACAGCAAACATTTTGAGTATGCTTGGAAAGTCCATGGAGAAACTTCTTACCCTCACCAAGGAGGAGTATGAAAGATACCGACATGTCAATTCAGACCAAATCACCGAGGAAGAACGAAATGCCGAGGAGGCCTTTCACTACACCGGCTTTCGCGACTTTATGATGCGCTCCCAATTAGATGCATACGACAGGAGGATACCTGGTTCAGGCATGTTCGACTTGAAGACGCGCGCAGTTATATCTATCCGTATGGATGCAAAGGGGTTCCAAAAGGGTCTTGGCTACGAGATCCGCCAGCGATTTGGCGAGTGGGAGTCTTTTGAACGAGAGTACTATGACATGATCCGCTCTGCTTTCTTGAAGTACTCCTTACAAGTTCGCATGGGCCGCATGGACGGTATATTTGTCGCATTTCACAACACCCAGCGCATTTTCGGCTTTCAGTATATTCCTCTAAGTGAGATGGATCTTGCCTTGCACGGAACATCCAATACGCTCCTTGGTAACAGAGAGTACAAGCTCAGTCTTGGGTTGCTCAATGACATCCTGAACCGAGCCACCAAAAGGTTCCCAGAGCAATCCCTGCGCTTGCATTTCGAGACCAGAACATCGGTTTCTGCGCCATTCATGTACATATTTGCCAAACCTGTGTCACAAAGCGATATTGACGAGGTTCAAAATGCTGGCAAAGCCTCTATTGAAGCATTTGAAAGGGACATGCTTGGCATGGTGAAAGACGAAGCCGAAGCCGATTCCGAACCGGCCTCGGAGTCAGCCGCTGAAAATGATGATGCGGTCGAAGAGGAAGATGAACATGAAGAGACTTCCCTAGCTCAAGAATTGTCGAGCCTAGCTGCCTGGAAGGACGTACGTCAAATGGTTGAGGATGCGGTGGACGACGACGAAGTAGGCGTTGGCACTGTGCGGGAAGCTATCGAAGATGCATTAGAGCAGAGCGGGCTCCTTCACGCGAAATCATCTACCGAAGCGCGGGGCTATGTTGATGCCTTGCTCAGTGCTATCACAAGTAGCGAGTCTTCTAAACCTGCTGCGACGTCATCGTCAGAAACACACGCAACAGAAGCCGCAGTCGTTGATGAGGATGCTCTACTCCTAACTGGAGAAGAACCGGTTTCCTCGAGCGGCGACGAAGATTCCGCAGTATCTACCTCAGATTCTTCAGAGAGCCAGGCAGCAAAGACCGAGGATATAGAGACAGATATTGAAAGTGCACCCAGTGAAGTGTCCGAAATTGAATCAGAAAAAGCTGTAGAAGACAACAGCGACAAGAAGCAGAAAATCGAAGTCGTTGTCGAAACAGCAGGTGAAACTACTAGCACACATGTATCAGTCACATCCGAAAACGACCACAGTGAAGTCGAAGCTGAGCCGGATGTTCAAGTTTCTGTCGATCAATCGCAGGAGCAGGAGCAAACTGAAATAAGTACTTCCAAGACAGCTGAAGAGACGACAGAAGAGAAGGAGGACGAGGAGGAGGACGAGGAGGAAGATGACGATGAAGGAGATGTGGAGGATGAACTAGAGGCTGGGGAGGCGAAGAGAGACCCAAGTGCTGCTTCAACTATGTCACCTTTGAAGAATCTCATCCTACAGATGGCTCAGAGAATCGACGAGAGAGCTGTTTCGGAGGTAGCTGATAGCTCCAAGGACGATTCGTCTAAGCTTAAAGAGTTTGAGCGAATTCTTGGTGAGCTTATGGCCCGTTCCAAAGACGAGCAAGCTCAAAGCCAGCCGGATGAAACTGTCTCGACGTCAGACAAACCTCTAGGCGAAGATATTCAAAGCCAGATAGACTCATTAGAGCCAGACGTGAAAGACGCAATTGGTATCGTGGATACCTCTCCTGAACCGTCTTCGGAAAATGCCTCAGAAGAGGCCAAAGGGAAGCCAAAATCAACTGACCAAGTCGATGAGGGTGATCCGAATCTATTTGGCATGGTCCTGACAATCAAGAACAAGGTCAACGGACAGTACGTAGCACGCCCATCTGAGCAGACCCGACATGACAACTGGGTTGTGGAGTACAACATCGAGGAGATCTCCGGCAAGCGGGCACAGACCATTTACTCGCAGTGCCAGTCGCGCCGGCAAAAGATCTTTGAGGACACGGGTGACCGCGATACGGAGTGGTACAAAATGTTCCGCGGCCAACTCGACACACTTACCAAAGCAGGCCGTAAGTTCAGGGCCAAAGAGAATGCGAAAGCGAAGAGACGACCCATCCATGTTGTTGGAGAAGAGTCAGTGGCCTATGAAGATGTCTTCGGGAAACGTGATGCGGATGAAGAGGGTGCGATTGACGATATGGAAGAGCTAGAGGACGATTACTACGAAGGAGAGGATGGTCCTGGACGAGATATGACAGAAGCAGAGCTCATAAAAGCAGATCGAGAAATGAAAGCGCGACAAGAAGTTGCGAAAGACGGAAAAGGTGTGAAGGATGAAGGGAAAGCCGTCGAAGAGAGTCAAGCCTTGAATGAGATGATACCTGGGATGATATTCGAGGAGGATGACTGCTTCAGATATGAACATACGAAGGAGGGAGAAAGTGAGAATAAAGGGGAAGAAGTGGTGGTTCCGGAGGGAGAAGTGGTGGTTCCGGGGGGAGAAGTGGTGGTTCCGGAGGGAGAAGTAGTGGTTCCGGAGGGAGAAGTAGTGGTTCCGGAGGGAGAAGTGGTGGTTCCGGAGGGAGAAGAGGGGGTAAAGGAAGGGGAAGAGGCACCAAAGTTAACGGAGCATAAGGACGAAGATGCCAAGTTAGACGAGGCCCATGTTCAGTCCGAGGAGGAAGACGACGGCTCGGAAAAGGAAAAGAAGGAATAGGTCACGAAGGGATAAGGGGTAAGGGGCAAAGGGCAAAGGGTCAGGGGAAGGGAAACGCTAAACCTTGTGGACGTTCTACGATGCAACACATCGGATCGACATCCAGTACTAAGCGAGGACTAGACCTTGGTGTTATCTGAGTGACTCGCTCACTCGCTCACTGCCTTGTGGCCCGCTAAGCCCCCCCATTATTGTACAAAAGCAAATCACAAAAATCGCAGCACATTGTTGTAACACATGGGAAAATGGGGAAAATTAACGGATCAATCTTTATCAATCAACCAACCAAATCAATCAATGGAACCGATTTAGATTCATTAACAGCTCAGCAAAAAAGAAAAGACGATGAAAAGCAACAGCAACAGCAAGCAAGAAAGACAAGGAAAAAAAACCCGGTTGTGTGTAAGAAGGAAAAATTTGCTTCTTGTACTTATCGTTGTTGTATGTATGTATTGTACGAAGTCATTGATGTAGTAGACCTTATGATATCTCACTCTCCTATTACTTACTTCAAGGTCTTCAAGGTTGTTTTCTCGGGTTGCGGGCTCGTTACAAGGCTTAGGTAGGTAGGTAGGTAGGCACTATCCAGTATCACCGGATAGGAGTAGGGTAGGGTAGGGTAGGGTAGGGTAGAGGAGGGTAAGGTCGCTTTTGCGCCGCAAGGTACGCCTACCTAGGTAAGTAGAATAAAAGAAATCTCCACTTCGCGAAGACGAAATCGTAATGGTTCACGTATCACGTATCACGTATGTACCTATGTACTATATACAGCGAAGGAAGAAGGAGTGGAAAGGTATCAATCATTGAGGGTATCGATCTATCTACGCCTATGTGCCGCCAGAAAACCTGTCTTCATCCACATGCTCCATGCATAGGTACACACATAGTATTTCCCTCGGCAAGGGTGCCTACCTACCTATATAAGGTATACACCTGAAACGTACATGCGTACCTATCCTCAGCTTACATGCCTACCTAACCTGGTAGGCTAGCCACTTACGAAAAGAAGCTTCTCCTTCATCAGCATCATGCGCCGAGATCGTAGTAAATGCACTTCGTCGTGCGAAAGTTATACACGAACGCATGACGACTAGCGTCCTTAGTCTCCCAGTCGTTGCGCCAGGCCAGGAGCATGTCGTGGATCTCGCGAAGGTAGCGGCGCTCGTTCTTGTCGACGGACTGCTCTATGCGGCGCCAGGACTCGGGCTCGGAGAGCGCGGTGGCCTGGATGAGGTCGAGGACGGCGTCCGAGGTCTCGACGGCGGCGATGGGGCCGTCCTGGAACGTCTGCAGGAGGGCCGCGGCGTTGGCCTGCGCTTGCTCGATGACGTCGAGGCGGTTGAACTTCTTGGAGCGGGTGCCGGCGACGAGGACGCGCACGGCTTGGTCTGGGTTCGCGGGTAGGCCGCCGTTGTTGTGGGCGACGGGTGTGGCGTTGCTCGCGGCTTCGGATTGCTTGGCCGAGCTGCGCTCGCGCTGCGCGATGCGTAGCCAAGGAAGGAGTTGAGAGGTGGACATTTCTACGTCTGGGACGTCCTTGCGATCCATGGTTTTGACCTTGAGTACGTTTTCTTGCTTGACGACGACGATCCACGAGTATGTCTCATCGCGATTCCTGGAAGAAAGCTCTTCTGGAGATCGGGAGTCTCTAGCTAACTCAGCACTGACATCATGTGCCCATAGCATAGAGACGACTTCAATTCCGGCTGTGCGAAGAGTATGTGCGTCGAAACTGGCTACAAGAACATCACACTTTGAATTATTAGACTTGGTTGCGAAAGCTGGGTATGAGGAATATGGAGTTTGGCTTACTCGTTTGGTGTTGAAAATACCCAATGTATCTTCCTCGGCTTTCTTCAGGAACGACTTTCCCCCAGCTTTTGGTAGTCGCGCCAGCTTCTCCCACGCCAAACTAAAGCCAACTGCGTGAGGGCCTTCCCCTATTTTTGGGCGGTGTGCCTTGATTAAGCTATCATACCGACCGCCGGCCGCAAAGACGTCTTTGGACTTTCTATCGTATAGGCACTGGAATAGCATCCCACCGGAGAAGAAGTTCTCCTTGACGCTACTTAGAGGGTTGATGTAAATCTTAGCCCGGACACCGAGACGTTTCGTATACTCGACTATGTCTTTTAAATGGGCCAGAGTTGATTGTAGCTTTTCATACGTTCGGTTTCCCTCGAAGATGGCTTTGAGTTTGGCGAAAGCTTTGGCTGGGGTATCTGGAATCTAGTTAGTTCTCTGCTTCAAGTCTACAACGAACATGGAAATTCCCCCTACCTCGAAAATCAAATCGTCGAAGATCCTCAATACTTGTGGCCGATATCCCGATTAAGGGTGATCTAAGTTCAGCACGAATCTTCTGAAAAGTATAGGAGTGTATGTTAAGCTTGCTAAGCGATTCAGCAGCCAATTGCCTTGCGCTCAAATCGACGTTGCAAAAGTCGAATATAAGCTGTAGTAGATCAGAATGGCCTAAATGAAAGCACATCGGTGATGTCGAGGGGAATGTTTCTACAATCTCATCTAACACTTTGAGGACCTCAGCTTCCTTCAAAGCTAGATCTAAGGTATCTGCAGAAACAATGTCAAAGTCAACTTCACCAATCATATGTGGCTGTCCGCCGTTTTGTCTGTCACGATAAACGGTACCGAACGTAAATGATCTTCGAATCGTCGAAGAGTGAGTCTGTTTTGCCAGCGCCCTAGCATTTCCAAGCATTAGGTCGAAGGGTAGCTGGACTACAGTACCGTTCTGATCCAATAGCTGGACGATGTTTTGGCTCGGAGAGTAATGAGAAGAGCGTGGATAAAGTGAGCTTCGCGGTGATTCGATTGCGCCGTGACGGCGGAAGACCGATACCAACTCTTCTTTGACTTTAGTTTGGTATAGGAGCTCTGTGATGGTAGGGTTGGGCATTGCCATGTCCCAAGCGTAATCCTTCGTTGGTTCTAGCGGCGCGGCGAATAAAGCGGAAACTACCTTTGGGTAATACGGCGAGGCGGAGCTTGTAAGACTTGCAAGTGCTCGTCGTGTTGTCTCCGTTTCCATTTGAATCGGTAACTTTCCACTTCGCAACAACTCAATACTGCTTGGGCGTTGTTTTACATCGTGCGTAACCAAAGACAACACGATGTCTGGTTTTAACTTGTCACCGGGCTGGAAATCGTCGGGGAGGACAGAAGAGTTTCCCAGCTTTCCCAGTTTGTCTGCTCTTTCCATCCCTAAGATAGGGTGGTAGCACATCTCGAAGAATATGATTCCGAGTGAATACATCTTGAATCAGGTTAAAATGGGGCCATACAGAAGATATTTCCGAAAAAGAAAATGAAGGAAATGAAAATAGCCAGGTAACTTACATCGACTTTCGAGGTGTACGAACCCCCGCCAGCCCTTCGGACTTCAGGGGCAACATAATAGGATGTTCCAATACTTCTTGTTAAATCGCCCGTATCCAAATTGCCATTGACGGATTTGTCAACGGCGAAGTAACCAGTAGTTGCTAAGCCAAAGTCACCAATCTTGACATTGTTGACCCCATCAGGACCGAGGCCGATGAAGACATTTTCTGGTTTGAGGTCGCGATGTACGATGTTCAAACCATGGATATGAACTAGGCCCTCTAAGATTTGTCGGAATAGGCGCCATATTTCCTCAGATTCTTTGTAGAGCTGCCTTTGAATGAGATCCCGTAATGTCTTATCCAAGAATTAGCAGTGTATCTAGTAAATAACAATTCCGAATCGCAACAAAGCATGATAACTTACCCTCTTTTCGCAATACTCCATGGAAATATACATTACAGTCTTGGAAAGTCTTTGGGTACTCTTCATTCTCATAGGTGAAGGTATAGGATCCTTGATAACAGAGTTAACGTCCGATTCTTCCTCGTCGTCATCATCGTCCTCCTCCTCCTCAGTTTCGTCGTCTGAATCTGAGTCATCATATCCAAATTCTATATTGTGGTGACTCGAAGATATGAAATCCAACCCTCCAGTACTAGTAGCGAATTGGATATCAATACCCTGAGAAGCTACGCTCTGGGACTCATCGGTAGGATCTTCGGTTGATGTATCCCCTTCCGAGTCTGACATGTCGGTTATTTCCTCTAGCCAGGTATTATAGTATCGCACGACTGCGGGGTGACTTAGCTGAGAAAGCACCCTAACTTCTTTCAAGACCTCACTGAGACTAGTTTGAGAGCGTTGGGTGATTTTCTTGATAGCGTATATTTGACCATCAAGCTTCTTTCGGGCCTTGACAACTTCGCCAAAACCACCCTTACCTAGACGTGCCTCTTCGACAAAGTCTTCCCGGTATCTAGATGAAGTCGGTGCGCGAATAGAGGAGTCCTGCCTAGGACGCATGGGAAAATTGGGGGCTAAAGAACTGAGAGACTGGGGAGATAAGAGTGTAGAAGAAGTATCGTCGATAACTATGGGCGCATCAGTGGCTAGAAACTCACTGGAGCTCAACTCGAATGCCCGAGGGCGCTTTTTAGGGTCAAGCTTGAAAAATCTTGTTATTAGTTCTTGCAACGGTCTGGATAGAGAGATGGAATCCACGAGAGCAGCCGGAGACTGATATCGCCGGAAAACGTCTAGGCCAAAAATCATTCGTAGGAAAACAACCCCAAGATCCCAAACATCAGTCTTTTGGGTAAACTGGGGTCGTGATGATCCAGCAATCTCTGGAGGTAGCCAGTATGCTGACCTTGCAGAATTTGCCGACGAGATTTTCTGAGACCTGCGACAGAGGCTATGCATTTCTCTTTCGTACGCCACATCCGAAAGCTTCGGGATGATATCGCCGGTTGACTCTCTGAAGAGGAGTACATTACCAGGATGGATATCTTGGTGGGTAACTCCGTGGCTATGCAAATATCCCAGAGCATCGAGGAGGTCTGCCGTCCACGAACGCACCTTTCCAACGTCTAGTTGTCCGGCAAGATCTAGCAGCTCCTCTAATGACCCCTTTTCTGCTAACGGTGTTAAAAGCCGTGCAGTCCAGGCCATTGAAGAAGAATCCGATTCTTCATGATCGCGATCAATGCGGAAGTTTAAGAGCTCAAGGACGTTGCGATGAGATAGCTTCTTGACAGATTCCAGTTGTCCTTCGAGGGCTTGTAATTGCTTCTTGAACTGAACAGACTCTTTGGAAGTCGATCGTAGCTCGAACTCTTTAAGAGCTAGGCTTGGCCCACCTCGTTCACCCGAAATATCCGGCCAGACGCGATACGTGGTTGCCACCTGACCCTTTCGAAATTCATTTTTGCCTGTGACAGCGTTGAACAAAAATGCGATGCCATTTGAATCAACGACCTCGCAGTCTTGGTCAAATTCGATATTGCCTGCCTCCAATACATGAGATTCTTGGTTATGGCTGTTTGCCGTGGCCAGAGCCTTGTTTCTCTTCTTGGATTCTTTGACTTTCGTTCGTTGTCGATCAACTTCTTTCTGTATCATATCTTGCATCACTCGTTCCTCTTCTTTCATTGCATCCTGCTTCTTCCGCTCCTCTTCCTCTTGCTGCTCTTGGGCCAGCCTAGCTAACTCGGCTTCATGCGCTGCTCGCTCGTCCTCTAACGAGGGTAGCTCTAGTCCCTGGGCCTTCGCCTGCGCGGCGTCTTCCAGAATATCTTGAATTCCTTGAGCTAGCTCGTGTATCATCGGTTCTGACTGCTCCTCCGCAACTAGAGCTTTGGGTTTTGTCTCGATGAATTTCTGTAACTTAAACAGAGTGGACTCCTTGAGGCTCCCTTCATCTTTTAGACTAAGCAAAGGCGCAGACTTTGGATATGTTGCCGTGAATACAACACTTAGTGTAATAGCTACATCTTCGTCGGAAAAGGCCTTTACACGAATGTCAAAGGAGGGTTCCGACTTCTTCCAGGCAGCATTGGCAGCTTTATGTTCAAGATAATCATCACCATAAATTGCCTGGAGAACCATAATCTCGTCATTTTGGACGTCGGTATATTGAGTCTTGGGACCTGTAACTGGGCTCTCGGGCTTTAGCCCGGGATAGCTTGAGTCATCAGTCTTGGTGTTGAGCTGCTTCGGTCGTTTCCAAGCCATTTTGGAATATCAGTGTATTGTTCGGTGGTCAGAAATGAACAACGAACAAAGACCCACACAGCCGGAGCTGTATGTAGTCTACTGAGCTGGGGACATCTTGCAGCAAACAATTCTTTATCTAATGGTCGTATTGGTAACGAAAATCGAGGCTGAAGATGAGGAGGATGAGAGTGACCAGGTGACAAGGTCCTATGTATGTATTAATCGAGATCCAACAGTAACTACACTTCCTAGTACTAGGTACAGATAGGTGCTAGGTCAGCTGAAACTACCCCACTCCAGTGCTGATGTGGGGAGTTTAGGGGGAGTTTAGGGAATACATGTGTAGGGACAATGTGTAGTACAAGGTACAATACATAGTATCTCAGTTTGTGCATAACTACATGTAACTTACTTCAATGTTTAATTATGCTTTTATTAGTTGTGGGTACCACATGTAAGTGGAAAGCTTATTCGCTAGCCCCACCTATGGTCAGCCGCTAAAAGCTTTCAATTGCTGGCGGCAGAAAAGGTAACTGTTGTTTTCGATTCCTTGAACGTGCAAAGTAAACATTGAACATACATACTTCATACACCAACTACCTACATAGTACACATTCAATCATTCATCGTGTAATTACAATTCACGTCCAACCCTTTTCATTTCACCTTTACCTACATGTGCTTTTCACCTTTCGCCCACACACATGCACGGCGACATTGTGCCATTGTGACCTTGCGACATATATAAAGTAATTCCTTATCACGTCGAGCACGATGCTCGGGTGGGCTCTAAAGAAGGGCTTTCAAGGTGCCACTGGTAATAACCACGTGTCTGGTGCTGGCGGTGAGATCCATATAGTTGTTGTAGATATTATTCGCGCGACAGGTACTAATATTGACTTAGAAGAGGATACTACCCAATTCGATGCTCCAGATACCCCTGCGCCTGTTTTTGCAGCGCGCGCTATCAAGCATGCTATATTTGGTGCGCCTAAAGTGACAGACGCTGCTGCTGATCCGAAACGCGCCGAGCTTTCAAAGAAGAAGACCGATAACAAAATCCCCACCAACATGACTTCGCCAACTAAGCAGTCCCCGAGTAAACAACCGACCAGTATTCTATTGACTCCAGGGACCGGAACTACACGCCGAAAACGCGTCTCATTCAATCACGACGTCAAAGCTAGTAATCACATGGAATCTAGCCCCTTGGGTTCTGCCCGACAGCGAAGAACCTCACTTCGACAAGCACTGGAGAATTCTCGCTCATCAAGATCCAAAAAACCTATGGAAACCCTCAAGGAGGAAGATACCCCAAAGTCAACAACCACTGTTACTGCAACCAATACCACTACTAATGCCAACGAATGGGAAGACGAATGGGAGGACGATCAATTTAATCACGACATGACCATGGATCTCAATGATCCTCACTCGGAGTCCGGCAAATACTGGAAAGCGGAATTTAATAGATACCGCGAGGAAGCGATGGCCGACATTGAACGCATGGTGAAGTTCAAAGCTTTGGCCAAGTCTTATGCCCAGAAGAAGGATTCCGAGGCCCTCAGTCTCGCTCAGCAATTGAAGGAAGAACAGACACGAGTGGCCAAGATGGAAGAGAAGCTCGCAGCTATGACTGCGCAGATTGGAGACAAGAAACGACGTGGAAGTGATAGCGAGGATGCTACTTTGATGAAGGATCTGGCCAAACAGACCAGCCTTGCCGCCCAGTACCGAGACCAGGTAAAGGAACTTGCTGCGCTTCTCAAAGACCAATCAAAGTCGAGCCAATCTGATCGCCGACGAATCGACACATCACCAAGGACAGAGCAGACCCTTCTAGAAACTAACCGAGAGCTTCGACGAGCGCGATCTGAATTGAAACAGGTGGACAAGCTTCACTCAGAAATCAGAAAGCTCAAATCCGAACTCAGTGCAGCAGAAGATCGGGCCGAACAGGCAATCGAGGAGCGCACTAGCAAAGGGGCATCCAATTTGGTCCAAATAAAGAAGTTGGAGGAGTACTTGCGCAGGGCCAAGGAGGAATCGCGCGAAAAGGATCAGGAAATTCGCTCACTCAAGAAGGACTACAATACTCTAAAGCGTGACGCCAAATCCCGAACTTCGGAGGCGATGCAGGTGCTGCAAGAGAAAAACGACAAGATTGCCGAACTTGAAAAGAATATAAAGGCACTCCAAGCAGAGACATCTTCGACTCAAGCTACTCGGGATCTGAAATCGAATATCGAGACACTCGGCAAACCGTCTAAATATGAAGGAAAATATGAAGGAGACAAACGCGAACGCCGCTCTCATCATCGACGCTCTACCTCTGCCGAGGATAACAAGCTCAATATCAACCCTAAGCCTATGATTCTGGACATTGATGAGCCACTGGCGGATGCGATCCGCAGACCGGACACCTTCTTACCTTCCGACTGGTCCGATAGTTATAAGGATATTAAGAACCAGCTGAGAGGGGAGATGAAGGAGGTCTTCGAAGCTAATAAGCGAGAAAGGGACTCTATTATGGAAGACATTGATTTATCTCCCCCTCGACCTCTCCGAACTCGCGATACTGATAGAATTATGTCTACCATCCGCGCAAACAAGCTCAACCAGCCAATTGCTACTTCATCTCGTCACCTTACCGCAAAGGAGATATTGGAAGAGAAACTTGCAGAGGCGCGTGGAGCAGCTCGACGTGAAGCCAAAGAAGCTGAGAAAGCTGAGAAAGCTGAGATGCACGATGCTTTAGAAGAGAGGTCAGCGCTGACGCCTCGTCTTCGCACTCGATCTTACCACACTCGTCCGCGATCGTCAGGCGACGATGCGCCTCAGTACGATCTTGCACAAGACAAATTCGCACGTCTTGGTGGATCCGACCCGGAACGATCCACCTCGAGCCCCATGAACAATTCTCGATGTACGTTGCCCGCTGACCGGCGTGCTGCGGCGTTAGCTCGTCTACAACAGAAGAAACTAGAGCGACAGAAATATAGCGGTAACCGTTCTCGAGACAAGGAGAATGTCAAGCCTTGAATAAGGACTTTATAATAAGGGATGGGTTTTGTTACGAGGCTGGAGGCACCGTTTTATATTAGGTGTCTACAAATGAAGGCAATGGCGAATGGTGAATGGCGAACGATTGGCGTGATATGGAATTAGCATTGCATTGGAAAGGAGTCCTTTACTATTGATTTCCCCTTTTCTAATTGCGAATATTGGCCTTTTTTTCACCCTGGTATGGGAAATGAAGGGTTGAGGTTTGGAATCACGAGTCTACTAAGGTTAGGTACCTACATACTATGTAGTGTTGGTTAGGGCCCTTAGGGGGGGAGTTGTGGCGTGTGAAGTGGAGATCAATCGGGATGCTACTTTTTTAAGTAGTCGAGATGATAACCACATTGATTAAACCTCGGATTTGTTCAAGGTTGTTCTTGTTTGTAAGAAGATTCATAAGATTCATACTTCCTTCTTGCGACTTTTAAGAGTTACCATGAAGTTGAAGATCAATTGATTGTATACATTCTTATCAATTACGTATTACTTCCTTGTAATCTTCTTATATTTCCTATCCTCTCCTCTTATCTCATCTCATGACATCTCATAATATCTCATCTACCCCCTTCGTAAAGTACCAGGATAAGTGACAATCATTGAGTTTAGCAATGACATGACGATGGATTCAAATCCACCCATAGACGAAACCTCACAACCAGCCCTCGAATCTGAAATCGCAGACCTAGAACTCCGCCTCCAGCAAGCCAAAGAACGACTCGCAAAATCCTCAAATCATCCCAAAGCAAACCATCATGCCTCCTCTTCCATCCCCCCATCCCCCCCACCCTCACCCTTCTTCGCCTCCTCCACACAATCCGCCCACCACTACCTCCTCCTCCTCTCCGACTCAGCACTACCCCTCGGCTCTTTCGCCTGCAGCTCGGGGCTGGAGTCGTATCTAGCGCACACATCCCCTTCCTCCTCCTCCTCAAGAAGGCACCCAAGCAACAACAACCCCTTCTCCTCCTTCCTCCCCCTCTCCATCTCCTCCTACGCCGGCACCAACCTGCCCCACGCCCTCGCCGCGCACCGCGACCCCTCCCCATCCTCCATCGCCCGTATCGACGACGCCCTCGACGCCGCGACCATCTGCACCGTCGGGCGCCGCGCCTCCGTGGCCCAGGGCCGCGCGCTGCTGGCCATCTGGGAGAAGAGCCTCGGCGGCCCTTCCTCGCGGGCGCTCGCGCCGTTTGCCGAGGCGCTGCGCCGCGCGGGAACAGCTGAAGCAGGGGACCTCCTCCTCCCGCCCCCCGCGTCCGCCCACCTCGCCCCCCTCTTCGGCGCCGTCGCCGCCCTCTGCGGCCTCACGCTGCGCCAGGCCGCCTACGTCTTCATGCTGTCCCACGTCAAGGCGCTGGTCTCCGCCGCCGTGCGCGCCGGCTTGTTCGGCCCGTACCATGCGCAGCGGGTTCTGGCGGGGGAGCTGGTGCAGGCGTTGCTGGTGGATGCGGTGGAGAGGGAGTGGGAGACGGGGGTTGAGGAGGCGGGGCAGAGGGTCCCGAGTGTGGATTTGTGGGTGGGCAGGCATGAGGTGCTGTATTCGAGGATTTTTAATAGTTAGGGGGATGAGAGGGAAGGGAGGGAGGGAGGGAGGGAGGGAGGGATGGGTTCGGTGTTTTTGTCGACTTGGAAGGGGGGAAGGAAAGGTTATGGTTATGATTACGAGTTGCTATTCATGGCAGCGAGTCAACAATGAGGGCTAGGTTAGGGGTTTCGATAGGGTCAATTTTGGTTGCTCTGGGCAGTGGTATCTCTAGTTTGTTTGAAAAAAAAGGGGGGTTATAGTATATGTACAAATTTGCGTGCTTCTTCTGAACGATCATTTGCTTATGTATTTGTTCATGAAGCTGCCCCCTTAACCCCCTTCCCTTCCCTATATCAACTCTTATTCATCATCGTCTTCACTATCACTACCGTACGCCACCAAAGGTCCTGACGACGCAGCTGCCTTTGTTTTCGGGCCAGCTGATACCTGCGCGTTTTTCAACGCTGCTAATGTGCTGCTCGAGAAGATTCCCCCTTCCTGCTGCTGCTCTGCGGGTTCAATCATCGCCGCTAGAGCTGATGACGACGCGCCTGCTTCACCGTTCTCAATCATTAATCTCTGCTCTTGCTCCAACTCGTATCCCTGTCGTCCAACTGGATTGACCGCTTGCACTCCCCGTGCAAAGTAGATGTCGTCTGGCGCCTCGTATCCCTCGAGTCCGAAACTGCTCTCGATCTTCCTCCGTTTCCTCGCCTCCGGGTCTCGTCCCTCGATCTCGGCCACGAATTCCTCGGGCAGTGCTCGTCGGATAGCCTCGGCGGCCTGCTCCTCGATTCTTCTCGCTTCTCGGGCCTGGGCCATGGGGTTGGGGTCGGCGGTGGCCCAGCGGACGTTGAGGATCTCTTCGTGGTCGAGGGACTGGTGGGCCATGGCCTCCTTGGCGAACTGGGCGTTGGCCTCGTTGGTGTAGGTGATGAAAGCGACGCCGCGGGTGTTGAGGACGCGGATACGCTCGACCTGGCCCCACTCGGCGAAGTGGCGTGCGACAATCTCCTCGATGTCGTCGGTGACGTGGATGCGGCCGACGTAGATGGTCCGGTTCTGGCGCATGAAACTGCCAACGCCACCCATGTCGTCGCGGTAATCCGAGTGCTTGTCGCGCCCAAAGCAGTCTACATTTGGATTGAACAGGTCGTGTATTCCCGGTAATCGATGTAGGTATTCGCAATCTTGGCCCTTGGGGCAGATGCCGCGCGCGAAAAATAGACAGAAGTATGATCCAGTGACCTTGTCGGCGCGGGTGTATCCACTATCCTTAGCTATATTACACCGACCCTTCGCGTGAGTCTTGGATAGGTATTTATCTTCACGGTCACCGCCTGACCATTTGTTATACCATATGTTGAAGATAGTACCGGTCTGAGGAGGTGGTTCGGATGTGATGAAGGAGGGATCGACTTGTGGTCGAGCAGGACGTTTCTTTCGTATTATCTTTTTTAATTTTTTCGGTGCTGGTGCTACTACAACCTCTGTAGCCTGAGCTTGATCGAGTTCTCTTTCTTCGGACATGATGGGCCTGCTTGGTGTGTGGTGTTTTTAATTGTCGAGGATTTGAAGTAAGGCTGGAAGAGAGATGGTTGTGAATGCGAGGCTACAAATTTCCAAGATTTAAACTATGAATTGTTTGTTATGTTTCTTCTCTTTCTTCTTTTTGAGAAATAACTAGTTACGTGGATAACGGCATGCAGTATATATCGATAAGAAGCTATCAGTGTATATGCAATAAGAGCGACGCTAATAAGTTACCCCAGATCTTTCCGTCCTTTTTTAGTTTTCGGCCCAGCTAGGTACATAATACCCCTGGTTATAGCTCCAACCCCCCGCTGAATGGAGTAACATGCCTCGGTTCGGTCTCATACAAGCGAGACCGACGTATATTAACATGCCATATCTTTTGTGTCGTCGCGTACCAAAGCTGTTACTCTAATTATTAAATCATGATTTAGACCATTCTCTCATTTCCATCACTTCCAACTCTAACCAGTCTAACGCTAAATAAAACTAACCTACACAACTACATAACCCATCATGTCCTCCAAGATTCCAGATATCGTAAGCAAGAATTGACTCTCAACTTCCATACTCAATATTCAATACAATGAATCAATCATCTTACAAAACCCCTAGGTAAAACAACGTGTAAGCGAAAAGGCAAAGAAGACATTAGATATAGTCGCCAAGTTTGTTGAGGAAGAATGCATCCCGTAAGCCATTTGACCTAACCTAGGTATATGGATATATATGTACCTACAATCTAAGCAACTAACACCTAACAACTAATGCCACCAAATCAGAGCAGATCCCGTTTTTGAAGCTCAGATTGGAGAAGGTCCCTCACGATGGGAGAACCACCCTTCCGTGATCGATGACCTGAAGGTCAAAGCAAAAAAGCTAGGACTTTGGAACATGTTCTTCCCAGCTGGACACTATAAAGAATCACCAGGCTACACGAACTTGGAATATGGTTTGATGGCCGAATGGCTCGGCAAGTCGAGGACGGCATCCGAAGCTACTAACTGCGCGGCACCGGATACGGGGAACATGGAAGTGCTGGCCAAGTATGGCAACGACGAACAAAAGGCCGAATGGCTGAAGCCGTTAATGGAAGGCCAGATAAGATCAGCTTTCCTCATGACCGAGCCGGACGTAGCCTCTTCCGATGCGACGAACATTCAACTGAGCATAAAAAAGGAAGGAAACGAATACGTGCTCAATGGTTCTGTATATCACCCCTTTTATACTTGTCTAGCTCTTCTCTTACATCACACTAACAATACTTAGAAATGGTGGTCAAGCGGCGCCGGCGACCCGCGCTGTAAGATATACATCGTAATGGGTAAGACAGACGCTAGCAACAAAGACCCCTACAAGCAACAATCCGTGGTCCTGGTTCCGGCAGGTACAAAGGGGGTTACCATCCACCGCATGCTCAATGTGTACGGCTACGACGATGCCCCGCACGGCCACGGCCACATCTCCTTTAAGAACGTCCGGGTTCCCGTGCGCAACCTCGTCTTAGGCGAGGGCCGCGGCTTCGAAATCATTCAGGGCCGTCTAGGCCCCGGCCGCATCCACCATGCCATGCGGAGTATCGGCGCTGCTGAGCGCGCCCTCGAGTGGATGCTGATGCGGATCAACGACCCGAGCAAGACACCCTTCGGCAAGCAGCTGCGCGAGCACGGCGTCATCCTCGAGTGGGTCGCCAAGTCGCGCCTTGAGATCGATGCCGCCCGCCTCATCGTTCTCAACGCCGCCGTCAAGATGGACGACCTCGGCCCCAAGGCCACTCTACGCGAGATCGCCCAGGCCAAAGTCCTAGTCCCCACAATGGCCCTCACCGTCATCGACCGCGCAGTCCAGGCCTTTGGCGGTGCTGGTGTCAGCCAGGACACCCCGCTCGCCAACATGTGGGCCCAGATCCGCACTCTAAGGTTGGCCGACGGCCCCGACGAGGTCCACCTGCAGCAGATGGGACGCAACGAGAACAAGCGGAACAAGGAGGTCGTCCAAAAGATCCAGTGGCAGAAGGATCGCACGGAGGAGTTGCTCAAGCAGTACGGCGTTGCGCGGCTGCAGCCTGGGACTAATATCAAGCCCAAGTTATAGGGGAAATGTATCGTAAAGGGTATGCTGGCCTGGTGTGTTATTTCATTTTGAAGAGGATCTTGTAATGGCAAGTTGGCTACCTATCTATATACTAGCTCAAGTGAGAACTCTGTCATCTCATGGCTACTTATCATGTACGAGATTTGTATATCTGACATTGGGATGGCTTTGTAGCCACGCTTGATTACCTAGGTATACGTACTGTACTTGTCCTATACTGCGAATGTATGAACTACATACCTATGTACTTTATTAGCACATGGGATTGAGACATTCAAACCGAATCTATAAAAGCATTGATAATTTTCGAGTCGTTACTACAGCTACCTATGTAAGATCTATCTCTCGATAAGTGCATGAGCCACTATCTACCTAGGTTAGATTATAAAAAGACTGCGGGCTTCGTATCATTCGATAACATAATGCTAGTCGTGTGATACTGGTAGATAGGTAGGTATATACATATCTAGGTCGAATCGTGTCAGACTTTCCCTGATTCATAATTCTGAATAACAGGCTATCACATCTTCTTGGTTGGTTCTAAGTATGCACCTAGGTACGTAACAAGCTTGCCCCCTTTTCCCCTTCGTACATAGTAAGTCTGTGCTCGTTATAAGCCTAATGTCAGCCTTATAGGGGTCAGCTATGAACTCTCTTTCCCTAGGTATCTATATAAGCATGCCGAATACGATATGGTACCTATACATAATTTGAATACATCTACAACTCTATAGGTTTCTAATTACCATTAATTCCACCAGGGAGGTGAGCACCCACCCAGCGAAAAAGGAGGACCACGGTATAATATATTTGATAGGTAGGTAGGTATACGACTACATAGAAGTACTATATCAACATATCTAGTCACACTTAGGTGGGTATGTAGGTAGGGCGCCTAGATTGGAGGCACGACGGCAGGATGAATAGCACCTATATTTTTAACGCAGATATTCCAACATAACACGCCAACGTCCAAAAAGCTATCTGAAGTAATAGGGGAACTTGCCCTTCTCAAGCGAAACCAAAAAAGATAAAGAAGTACTACTTAATAAAAATAAAAAAAGAGCAACCTCAACAAGCGCGTCAATCCCGCCATCCACCCCCTTTTCCCCTCCCTCACCAATCCAACCCCCCCTTCCCCGTCCCACAACCTCCTCCCCCCTCCTTCTCATCCAGCACCTCCTTCGACCACTCATAAACACCCCCTCTCTTCTCAAACGCCTCGCGGTCCCAGCGGACCTCACCCATCGCCTCCTCGACCCCCACATCCAGGATCGAGCGCGACTGCCTGACGCCCCCGCTCCTCCCGCCCCCCTTATCCAGGAAACACAGGTACTCGTCCAGCAGCAGGTAGCTCGCCGCCATGACGGAGTTCGGCTCGGGGATGCAGCAGGGCAGGTGCCTGTGCTTCTCGCAGAAGCTCTCGTACTGCTCGTCGGTGATCAGCAGCTTCTTGGCGTCCCTCTTCCGCCTGTCGGACCTCGCGTCCGTCTCGCCGGCGTCGTTCTCGCCCTCGACGTACAGCACCTGGAAGACCTTCCAGCGGAAGGGGTCGAGCCGCGCGACGGTGTCGGCCATGTCCTCGCGCCAGTTGTGCGCGCAGACGACGGTGTTGAGCTTGAACTTGATCCCCAGCTCGCGGCACCACCCGCGGATGCGGAACAGCTGCGCGACGTTCTCGCCCGTCCCGCGGCCTATCGCGACGTTGGTGCGCTCGTCGAAGCTGTCGCAGCTCACCCCCAGCACGTCGACCCAGCGCCCGTGCTGCTCCATCCACCGCCGCGTCACCTTCGTCCCGTTCGTGATGATGCTCACGCTTTCCAGCCCGAGGTCCTGCTTGCAGAAGCGGCACAGCATGGCCAGCTTCTCGGGGTACAGGAAGGGCTCGCCGCCGGCGAAGTTGATCTTGCGCATGCCGGCCGCGCGCAGCAGCCGCAGCCCGCGCTGCATGTCGGCCTCGGAGGCCACGTACGACGTCTTCTCCGTGTGGAAGCAGAAGCCGCACTCTTTGTTGCACTTGCGGCTGAAGAAGAAGTTGACGGAGACGGGCTTGTTGGGGTTGTCATCGTCCGAGCTGCTGCGACGGCGCTTTTGTTGTAAAAAGTGGTAGTAGTAGTAGTAGTAGTACGCTGTGATGACAATGGCTCCGATACAGGCTGTTGCCGCTAACGGTAGCGAACCGCTCGAAGAGAGAAGATCTAGTAGCATAGTGTACCTACTACCAGTATGCTACCTATGCCTTTACTTTTCTTCTGTTATCATATCGGGACAGGTCTCGACAGAAACGGTATTGGGCTTGAGGGTTTCCCTCACGTTGTCGACTAGTACGTTCCCTGTGTAGGTAGGTACCCAGGGAACTCTCCAGTGATCGACTCTTATTATAGCTTGTTGTCTGTTTTCTCTCTCCTTTTCTTTTGAACCTTTCTGCTAGCAAGAGTTAGCCCCAAGGATAAAATGTTTTTGAAAGTATCTGAAGGTTTCTCTTACATGGAATGTAACAAGCTAGTAGGATAATGTGCTGCGATCAACGAAGGTGACCCCCCGAGGGTTGTGACGTGGTCTCTACCCTACATAGTTACATGTATAACATCCCCTCACTGCCTACATATAGTGCATGTGTTTGCATGTGCATACATATGTGTGTGCTCATTCCTATCACTGGGTATCCTTGACCTCCTCTCCTTATCTTACCATAAAACAATTCCATGCAGCTCCCCGAATATGTCAACTTTCACATCCCTTTAATTCTCATCGGTTTAGACCTGAATTACTATATGTACTACTAGGTATTACCTAGTAAGACGTGGGGCCTACTTCCATTCGCTCACACTCCCTCCCACTCCTTTCTGCCCCCTCCCATTTCCTGCCACTTCCCGATGGCCACCTCAACAGACACACAATATATATACGGGGACTCTGATAGATTGATGTCTGTTTTCACTGCTTTGTCTATTCGGATTTCGGGTTCGAGACGATTTTCGCTACCCCTCTTCGCGAGTCAATATACTATGGACTACCCCTTAATCTACCCAAAGCCCATCCATCTTTGGCACCCGCTTTCGCACTGATAGTTTGCCGAGTCACAAGACATCCTTTTACGTCCAATATACGAGTATTGAATTAAACAATATAAATATAATTAGATTTCATTCTTGTATAGTGTACCCTTGATGGTGACATTGTCACCTTTCCCGCGTGACTATTCTCTAGGCCGCCGATCAGGTATATTTCCAGCTTGCCTTTGTCATGCATAGCGTTGAATGTAGTGTCTAACAATTTGGGGTCCCCGACACCGAGAGGATAAGGATGTCCGGCTTTGAATTTTTGCTGCCAATCGTCTACCATGTCGATTGTCATTTTCTTGTTGTCGGGTAGGTGAATGACACCTGTGTCGTTCCAAACTTGGAATTTGTCGGCTGTGTCGGCTAGGTGTCGGCCAAATGGTTCGGTTCTGGCACAGCAGTGTACTCCGGCTTTCGATTCCTTCTTTCTAGCGTTGGCTTCTGCAGCTTTTTAATAGCGGCGATGCGGTCCTTGGTTATGCTTACGCCGTATCCGTCTACCTACCGAGAATCCCAAGAGGGTGATAGAAGGGTATCCAAGAAATGATCTTTCGGCGGAGATACATCTGGTAGCACCTCAGGACTGTTTGGGCTTGATTGAGATCTCGGAACCACAAAACGCCCAGCTTCCCGTCGCGTAAGTGCATATCAGGCCATTCAAGACAAGAAAGAGGAGGGAAAACAAGATGAAAGAAATAAAATAAAATAAAACTTCCTGCCTTGCTCTAGCATAGTTTTGCTTGCGTACCAGAGGCTAATGACGAGGTGTCCATCGTCCACATATGCATGGAAAAGGTGTGGTCCGTTGAATTTTGACGGTAATTCCATTCCGCCTAGGCTATGAACTCTGTATGTGTTGCCAACATGACAACTCACGATAGCCCAAGGACAATCATAGGGCTCAGGGTTGCCCTAGCACTGCTTGGGAAATCTTCGTTGACGTTCGAATAGTTGGATGTTAGTCGCGGCTCAGCCCACGGATCCAGGCATGGGCCGTCCTTGTCCTTTGTCGTAAGGACGAGCTGCGTCAACTAGTCTGCCAGGATCTCGTTCGTCTGCTTCGTCAACTCGTATATCCTCAGCGTCCAGACTGAGCTGGATGAGGTGGCTTAGCCAGTACTTCCGCGGGACAGTCCCCGACTGTCACGACCCCCTCCTTCGCGCGCAGGACCTTTTACAGTCGTTAAAAGTTCGGAGACTTGGCTTACGAGTTGAGTTTTCCACGACATTGGCGAGTCCATCGTGGTCTCCATAGCTCACCCCATACCCGCACCAGTCGGTACCGGCCCCTGGTTGAGGCGGCGACCAAAGCCGGGACAGATATTCGTCAACGGGGTTGAGGGTTTCTCGCCGTTGCCATCAGGGCTTGAACTACGGTTACGCTTGGAAGCTGTGATGTATATGGATAAGTCAGACTCTGATTCGGACTATTCGGAGTCGTCTACCAATATATACTCTTCTCCCTGCAAAATCTTTCCTGTTTCTTCACGGCCCTTATCGGACCATCCGAATAATCTCGTCAAAGGTCGACATATTTCAGAACAATTCTTAATCCATCTCCGAACAGGACCAAGTGCCCCCAAAAACTGTCTAACCTCAGTTTGATCCTTCGGCATAGGCCAGTTCATAAGTTTTTGAGATCGGCTCGGCTTCACAGCCAATCGACCATGAATCTTATGAACCATTCCTAGAGCACGAAGCCCATCACAACCAATAAAACATTTCTTAAAATACAGTTTAAGCTTCGATCAGAGTATCCTTGGCAAGAAGTGTTCTTCGATCCACATCAATTGTTCCTCAACAGCATGTGTACCGAATATATCATCGAGTCAATGTTCTTCAGCGGATGCCGTCCGGTCGGTCTAGTCGGGTATTCGCATGTGATACGAATTGCGTTCCCTGGGACATTCAAGTCGGTTGCAATTGAGGAAACCCAGGGGCTTCAAATGCAAGTTTCTGACGTGTATCGGGATGGACCAAAACGGACCAGTAGCCATGTTTTAAATCAAATTTGGACAGAGCATCAATCCTTGAATCAGATAAATGTGTGTGCAAATCTGCCAATAAAGGCAAGTCAGATCCTCTTCAAATTTACCGTAGTTAATCGTCTTTCTGGGCTCAAGCCAAGGATCTTGTATCTCAGCGTCCTTGTGGGTCGTGGAATAAGGGTTTTGGCTTCAGAAGTTAGGCTAAGCTTAATGGCGAGCGTGGATGAGTTTCTTTTTGCTGTCTATGAATATGATGGTCTTCTCAATATCCATTGCCTCTTGATCCCTCTTCTATAGGTAGTGCGGGGACTGAACGAGGTCCGGTATGCCAGTTTCCTTACGAAGATAACGAGCAACTTTATACCGGAGTAAGTCAGGACTGACTCTGACTGACTCACTGACGTTGCTGGGCGGTGTCTTATCTATGTGTCCGTCTTTTGTCATACCAGGGATTCGACTTGAGGCTCACAGATCCGTTTCGGACATACTTCGTGCTGTAGGGACCAATATGAGGTGATTTACATTCCATGCCATCAGAGCTTCGAACCTTGTACGTATTTATCAAAACCAAGGGAATGCATCCTGGGATAATTTCCATGTTGTCCTAACCGGGTCCTGAGATACTGGCTGAACATACTGATTCACTTGTCGAGCACCCATTGAAACAATTGGTTCTGCCTGGGCTTCCGAAACAGCCTGCTGTACAGATTGCCACGGCTATGTAGATATACAGCAGTAGCTACGCTACAGCAGTGGATAGCCACTCCCGTGGCTATCCGTATCCTGACATCACCCCCCTTTGGGAAGGAAAAGATAACGTCCACATTATTCATTCCTTTCACCTTTCAAGACCTAGTATCACAGGTGTGTTGATCCGTAAGGACGACCCGTGATGCCTCAATTGAAGCTACCCCAGACAGTCCTCCTATGAGGGATACATGTGCCCTTAGGCCCCAAGTTTATCGGTCGGGCGGGGTGGTGTGGATGTTGCTTTGGGGCTCTGCTTACAGCTGCTGCTTTGAGGCTCTGCAGATGGCCTGTGCTGCTGCGGCTCTGCTGCGACTCTGCTATGGGATAAGGATATAAGAGAATAAAGTGTATTAGCTGGGCTTCAGGACAGCCATGTTGAATGGCTGTGCACTGAATAATCTTGTCGGCAGAGGGGACCAAGAATCGAATGATTAATAATAATAGTCCCAGCTACACACGTCTCTTGGCCAGGAAGAGCGTAGGGCGTTCTGGGTGGATATGAGAGGTCGGATTGAATATATTAAGGGATGGTGGATAGAGTGGCGGACCGGACGCGGGGCATAAATTGTTAGTTACCTATCTGCTAGCAACTTACGAATGGTCTCGAACTGGGTTCGTTCGGACTCTTCCTTTGCCGCTTGAGCTCTGTCATCCAAAACTCGTTGGCTATCTTGAACAGCCTCCCAATATTTCCACAAGGACTCAGCAGACCTAGCATGGTTTGTCAAACTTTCCTGTCTCAGGTCGTATTCTTTCAATCCATCCACAAACCGACTCACAGCGGTCTTTAGTGTGGTAGATTCTTGATAACTGATGGCAGCCCAAGGGCCATCGTAAGATGGTTCGTGCTTCTCTTGGCATTGTTGAACTCTGAGAGCCCAGCCGCCAGGGGCGTAGGCTCTCAGCGATCCTTTCTTTTGTTGTAGAATGGCTCTGATCTTGTCTCTTGATGCTTTTGTGCAGCTACGCTGGTTCCTCGCAAACGGTGTGTTATGGTTTTTCGCCAGGTGCTCCTTGAATTCTCTCTCTTCATTTGCCTTTAACCCGTCTTGTTTATGCGGAGATATTACCTTGCCGTCGTTGGCAATATGTATACCTAGGTACCTAACCTACCATAGTACTAGGTAGGTATGCTCGCAAAAATGAATATCCTTTGCTTGTGGGCGAGATGCTTCGGAGATAAGAAGACTGACATGGACCGGAATTGATGCGGAGCAAATCCCTTATCTACCTAGTTTTGTAGCTGATGTCCGCACAACTTGGTTATCGTCTTTGCCGTCTATTCAGGTAAGGAGTAAGATGCAGAAATTCTTGGAGCTCCTTCGGGATTTTGGGCGATTCTCCGGTCTAGCCCATCGGGCGAATCTTTCTCTATGTTTAGTGGAAGGTCTAATCTGACCTTGGGATAACTCGAATCCAAGCGCTGCAACGTTCTCTGAGAATAAAATAGTCTTTTCAGGGTTGAGACCAGAGGGTATAAATGCTAATCTGGGAAAGTAATAGTAATGCAAAAAGTTAAACAAATCCGGAAACGTTTTTCCGGACGCATTATGGTCGTCGATGAACATATCGAATGATATGTTCATCTCTAATCACATCCCAGAAACGGCCTGAGAATGAGTGACCTGCTTCCCGAGTTTCTCGTGCTATTCTGGCCCAATATCCATGTTTAAGATCAAATTTCGTGTATAATCACACGGGGATCATATCGATAATTGTGAGTATCTGGTATATATATTTAAATATGTGTGTGTATGTGTGCTATGATGGTGGTGTAGGCTTTCTTGAATGGAGACGCTGCAATATTATGCCGTGGGTGGAAAAAGGCATTGTCAGTATGAAGTGCCCAGGGTGGGCTAAGAAGCAAGCAAGTTATCGAGATGGAAACTTGATCTGGAGACTTTCACATATTCCCGCAAACTCACTCAGGGCAGGAAGGCTTGAGTACGTATGTAGGTAGGTTTTGTTTCATGTGAATCATACTTGCTCTCTACATACATATGTACCTGAGTTCACATATTTGTATGTGTACCTGCTGTACATGCATGAGAATCGGAATCTTCGATATCAATTGATTCGACAGGATGTTTCACTTCATTCTGTACCACCTAAGAGTCGGTTGCTGTTGACAATAATATCAATACACAACATGATACCCCTTTAGAATTAAATGAATGTTTTCTTAACACGAACCTGTTATTGTTCATCCTAAGGCTAGGATTGCATGAACACCGGATGTTTTTCCCTGATTATAAAGTTAAAGGATTACGTGAGTGAGTCAACATTGAGTCATAAACATGATCCTGGCCTATAGGCTAAGGTGTTAAGAATGCGTCGTCTCCTAACAGACGGAGACCAGACTTGTTGAGTTGATGATACATAGGTATGTACTTGGTACAGTTGTATCGTTCAAGTTGCAATTTCTGTAGTTAGCAGAAACATTGAAGTTTAAACATTGTGGAGAATCTACTAGTTAGCTCTGGTCTCGTACATATTGTATCTAGGTACTTACATCGTGTGGATAACATTGAACGGATACGCAATTGGCTGCAAGAACACTGGAAGTGAACAGGGGGGCAGATCGGCGTGGTAACAATTGCCGTTAATGGATAACATGTTCAGGGGTCCCCCACGTCCGTCTCCTGGTCAACGGTTTTTATGTACGAATTCCATATTTTCTTTTCCAGAAGCTCCACAACTTCGATCCATATCTTGAGTAGAAAGACTCCACCTCACACAGCCTTTGCGCATCTTTTTTTTTCTCTCACATGCGCAACACTTTTTTATTGATCATAAAAACTTTTTGCATTTTACCTTTCCACAGTTCATTCTCACACAATTGCAATCGCTACTGTTTAGAATTTGCTTCTACACACTTTGCATCTTTCGACATAACAAACCCCTTACTCCATCAACCCTCAATCTTAGCTCGACCACTCTGCCCTCCTCGCAATCTTCTTCGGTCGCATCCACATTCACATACAGACCTCACGTCGCAACCTCGCGACCTACCCCACGTATTCTATCCAAAGATCAAGCACTCTCTACAACATGGGTTCCGCTCTCTCCGAGAAGGACGTTAACGCCCCCGTCCAGGTCCAGGACACCACTGTTAAGGACACCACATCCAAGACCACCTCCGCCATGAGCCTGGAGTTCCATCGCCAGAAGCTACAGTCCAAAATGGAAGAAGAGAAGTACGGCGCCACTGCCATCACCACCACCACCACTGCTGTTGTTACCAAACCTGCCATTGCGGTTACCAAGCCCACATCCGCCACCAGATCTAACACCTCCACACTGACTGGCGCCTGTGTTGCTCCTACCACCACCATCCCTCCTTGCGCTCGCGCTCCTCAGCACCCCAACAAATATCTCGTTGCTAACATGGACTCCGCCCCGGGTAGAGATCACAAATACGTCTCTCCCTCCGACAACATCATGAGCCCCTGCAGCGCGAAACTCAGTGCTCTCAAGAGCCGCGCCGCCAGCCGGTAAGTTTTTTTCTGTCTCACCCACATTCTTCACCCCCTTCCTTCCTTCCTTCATAACTCAGCTAACTCATCCATTCCTCCCACCCTCCAGCGCGAAGCCCAAATCCCTCTTCGCCCAAACGTCCGCTAAGAAGTTCGAGGGCGAGAACATCTTCGGCACCAAGAAGACCCTCCCGTCCCCATCCCCATCCCCATCCCCTACTCCCAGCGACGGCAAAAACAACAACCCCCACCAGCAGTCCGGCAACTAACCCGATTCCACCCCACTTACTGCCTTGTTTCCACACCCGGGTTCTATACAGGAAGGCGTTTTTATGATTGCTACTATAATGCCCTTTTGCTTCTTTTGCTGTTGTCCCATTTCAAAACGGGAAAGGGGACCGCGCAATGGCGTTGGTGGTGTGTCTTTGCGGGGTAGGTACTATAATGGAGGGGATGGGGGGAGGAGGGAAATGGTTGGCTGGCTGGTTGGCCCGCCTTAATCAGGATTCGAGCTCCTACGATGGGTTATACTACGTGTAGTAGATAGGCATCATCGATGATTCATGAGGTTACACATATGTTTTTTTTTATTGTTCTGTTTTTGGATGTTTTGTGAAGTGTTGTGAGAGCGTGATAGAATGGTGAGAAAGGGAGCGCACATGTTGGAGGAGGTACCTAACATTGTTATAAGCTGTGTACACTGGGTTAGGCAGTTAATAGCGTAGTCAAGTTTACGACAAGGTTACTCTGACATTGGGATAACTTCCTTTGTGTCCCTAGTTCTTCTTGATTGATTGTGCTATGCTTTGTACCCACTAACTATGTAGACCACATCCTCGTCCGCCACTAAGTGTCCGAGCCCGACCCGTTGCGGGACATGTCTAGCACTGGCGCCCCATACCAGCGCATACTTGTACGTATCCTTGAGCGTGCGGTGGATGCGATCGCAGACGTCCTCGATGGTGGCGTTGCTGCGGACGATGAGGGCCTCGCCGAACTCGGGGTCGACGCCTTTCCGCTTCGTGTAGATGCGGATGAGCTGGAGCTCCTTCCAGCAGCGCTCGACGACGTCTTGGATGCCGAGGTCGAGCTCGCAGCTCATGACGACGGTCTGGGGCTCGCGCGCGAGCTTGTCGAGGAAGTCGAGCGAGACGCTGTCGATCTTGTTGTACACGTATAGGCACTTGATGTACTTGCGGTGGTCCTTCATGATCACGTCGATCAGGTCGTCCACCGTCGCCTCGTCGTCGCGCACCAGGACCTCGCAGTTCAGCATCTTGTAGTCGCGGAGAATGTTGAACACCATCTTCTCGTCTATGTTCTTCGGCGTGGACTGGAATGTGATCTTCACGCCACCGGCCTTTTTGACCTTGAGATATATGTTTCTGATCCGGTGTCAGTATCTAGAGTGGGGCGAATAGGGGGTAAATATGCAACTCCTGTCTTACGGTGGCTCTCTGTTCAACCGAATACCAACAGCTTCCAACTCGGCTTCTAGCAAAGCTCTCTGCTCTGCTCTCTTCGTCGCATCCAGCACCATGAGAATGAGATCGCTCGTCTTCGCAGCCGAGATAACTTGTCGCCCTCTACCTTTGCCTTCGGAAGCGCCCTCAATAATACCGGGCAGATCGAGGAGCTGGATTTCCGCGCCGCCGTATTCGAGCACTCCAGGAATGGCGGTTAGGGTCGTGAAGGCGTACGAGGCAACCTCGGACTTCGTTCTTGTCACTTTGGACAGAAAAGTGGATTTTCCGACGGACGGGAAGCCGACAAGCGCTATTCGCGCATCGCCACTTTTGCTCACATCGAAACCAGCGCCGCCACCTCCACCTGCTCCGGGACCAGGTTCAAGAAGTTGCGCTCGTAGACGTGCGAGCTTTCTAAATGGGTAAGTGTTTAGTTAGACTTTAGACCAAGAGTATTATTTGGTATGAATGAGCCGTACCCCTTCAAAAGACCAAGATGATATTCTGGAAATTCACATTAGCATCATTCTATCTGTGAGTGTAACAAGAATAGTCTCACCTGTCGCCTTGTTCTCTGTGCACCGATTAATAAGTCAGTACGTCCATCATCCAGCAAGCCCGCACTGAGCGCTTACTCTGCGTCCTTTTCATCTCATCCTCAATCCTAGTTACAGTCAGTATCGAAGTATGGTCATATTGTAGAGGTATATAAGCAAGCTTACTCCTTGATCTTCTCCGTTATGTTCACCATCTTGACGACTTCAAAGTGTGGAATCCGGGGCTATTGATCGTCGGTCTCTGAACTAACTCACAAAGCCGTACGTAAACCGGCGATAAATAATCTCAGATCTCACAGTTTAAAATCGGGACAATGGTGAGTATATTGAATCAGGACGTTCATTAATCAAGAACCAAGTGCTGTAAGAAACCAAGTTCGCTGTAGAAATAAAAGATAGTAAGTAAGTATGTGAGATGTATTAAATTTAATCATGTCGTCGGTTATTGTTGCTCAAGTCTTACTTCACCCCACCAATAGCGGCAGAATTTCAATGTGGGGTTTATCCAAGCACTATTTCTTCACCACCTTCCTTATCACTTTATCTTATGTCCGATTAGCACTTTTCACCTTCACCTTCAACCTTCACCATCCCTACAATTAATATATATCTGTGTAGCCGAAAAACAAAAGGGGCTTTGGATATTTTTCACTTTCACTTGCGTTGAAATTTTATAAATTCACAGGTTCCTCTATTCTCTTAAAAGCAAGTACGTATACGAAAGCTTCGTGACTGCTATTGGATTGGATGCGTAGGTTTGACTAATAGGGGTAAGATTGTGATCCCCCCTGACTGTTCAGCCCCAGTAGATTGTGGAATCCGTAGACCCAACATTGAAGATATGAAGATATGAAGATATAAAAACAGACTCTCAAAATAACACTGGAGTTATCAACATCTACGGTCATAGCAGTCATTGATATGTTATCAGTTTGTGTGATCACTGCTTCTTGAAATCACGAAGAGCGGCGTCATCAAACCCTTCAAATGCATAAGGATAGATACAGCGACACCGTTTGCAAGAACAGGGGAAAGCCACATACAAATTTATATTTTCTATAAGTATGTGTCTCAACTTTCTTTCCTGTACCTAGTATCATTCACCATTTAAATCTTATACGTGCTGGTATTTACTATGTACCAAGTAGTTACCCAGGTACGTACCTAGATCAGCCTGGTACGTATGTAATCTTCCAAGTTGAGCCAGTCTATTTTGGGTCTCTTACGATGGCCTCAAGTGGAAAGATTCTCTGAGATATGATGATATAGTAGACACTTGCAATTAAATATAAATAAATGAATCTATTCACAGATTTCTAGCTACTGATGCAGTTGCTAGAGAGCATTTCTCATCAACAATAAGACCAAAAGGATCACCTCCGTTTGTAACCTCAATTCCGTTTGTCGTCGTTCCATCAGGCACATATTCGACGACCAGAAAATCACAGTGCATGAGAAATATGAGAATTACCAGTTAGCCTCCTGTCTGTAGCTGTTCGCACGATTTATTCTCTATCACCCAGGTGGTCGTTGCAGAGCGAACTGGTTGCCTAGGTAGCTTACCTACGCGAGTGTCAATTGATATTTTGATGTGGTGGCTGAAATGTTTTTTTCCTGAATAAAAAATCTTCTCTCCCGCAAAACAGAACCGCCCATTCAACCAAGCAACTAACTCAAATAAGAGCTCGCAAACATTCAATACACACGGTATGGATACCTAAGGCTAAAATCCTCATCACAGTGGCATTTGGGAACAATATTAATATATAAACAGGGAGCAATCCAGCATTCAGACTTCACAATGCCACCAAACAACATCATCAAACAGCTTCCTCCTCACCTATCGTTCACCACTCATCACATACTGAGAATACACACTCTACTACACACCAAGCACACCAAACACCTAAAACACGCAACATACCAAATACACAAAACCTTCCACACACACCTTTCCAAGAACAGCAAACCCAGAATGTTCTTCAAAGCAGGCCGAGCCATCCTCCGATGGTGGCACGGCGTTCTGAACCTCGAACGGCACTCTCCCCCTTCCTGGTACCGCGACCGTTTTCGCGAGGAGCTCCAAGAGTGCCGCGAGGCAAAAACGCCACTCGAGAAGCTCAGCGAGACATCTGATGTCTTCTTCGCCATAAGCCGGGCCAAGCACGACGGCTTCCCAGTGGGCGTCCTGCCGCCGTTCCGCCTGGCCCACTGCCCCGTGTACGCCTACATGTTCGCGAAGTACACCTCGCGGTGGGCGTTTTACCGTGCCGTAGCCATGCTATGCGGCGCGCCCCGGAGCCACAACATCCGGGAGGTCGTGAACCCTACCAAGGACAGGAAGCTGGACGAGGTCGCCCGGCGCCACCAGATCGACCCTGAGAGGTTCGTTCGCGTGGCCGGCCGGGTCCGCCGAGTCTGGCCTCTGTTCCCGTGATCGAAGGTATGCTTCTAATCCACTGCCCACCCAATTGGAAATTCATTTACTCATCTGTATTCCCAGAAGATGTTACAATCAACGGGTTTTGGTTGGCTTGGGCTGGCACGGGGACTGCATGGAAGTCAGGGACAGGCGGAAGGAGTTCGGGTTGCATAGATACCTAGATACCCTCTTGATGGAATTACTTCAATCTCTCACACAATTTCTTTTCTACACAACTCTGAGTGGTGACCTTTTTACATGTTTCGTGATCATAAATTCGGTATGACGCGACACTGGCCCAGAATATAGAGGCGGATCATACCTACCCATGACTGTTGCCGGCAATTCAAGTGTTGCCGACCCTCCCCGTGCCGGGAGACTGTATTCCAATGGACTTACTACGCTCCTAGGTAAGTGGAGGTCAGGCTTGATCTGGTGATAGTTAACAGGAGTCGTGTGTTACGTAACGGTAGGCACGTCGCCTTCATCAGATCGCACGAGATACATAATGTACATAGGGAAATTGGGAAGATCGGGGCAAATACCCCTCCTCCTATTCTTAAGGACATAGCCTAGACAGTCGGGAAATCCTGCTGAAAACAAAAGACTCGTATAATTGACGGTCTATCGGGGTATGGACGATCTCTGAAACCTGTGGGTTCTACCTATCGTTGTTTTACACTGTTCCCCTTTTGCTACAGATGAATATCTCTGGAGATAATCATCTGTACATTGTACCTTTACTTATCTTCCTCGTCCGTCTGATGATCTTAGCTACCTAGTTTACACAAGATGCCAAATCTGGCTTTATGATTGTTGATTGATTGACTCTTTTTCTCCTTCCTATCTCAGCGATCCTTCTGTTACAAAACATAACACCTCAAGAACGCAAAGCAAAAAAAAAGATTTCTTTCCCATGCCGTGGGCTCGCGTAAACGCCATTCATATGCAAGTGTCTCTCACAAATATAGAGACGCCAAATGATGAGAATCGTAGAGCATAAACTCTACTATACTCAAGATTGTGCACCACCACCACCAAGGAATTTCGGTACCGCCTTCCAAGCTTGTTGGTTCGGAAGTTTGATACGCCCGAAGTCTTCATCAAGATCGAGTATTACTTTCAACGCATTGCGGCTTCGGGCATGCGGCGAAGCGACGTCCTTCTCCCTGATTGTTTCCAGTACTTCTGCAACGCCAGTATGTACTTTCTCGGGTTTGGATTTACCAGGGAATGGTAATACACTCTGGAGAACTTCATATGCCGCTAGTGTGAAACCAAATTGAGGCGAAGATCGAAGGATACGAGCCGGGCCGCCCTTGAAAAAGGCCTGGAATCCCTCTTCCTTGAGAATCGTCTTTGCCGCATGTCGCAGACCGGTGTAGCTTGTGTCACCCTTACGTGCTTCAACCTGCAAGCGTGTCTTGATCACATCACATGGCGTAGTAAGATATGCTGCGGGCATACCAGCGATGGCACCGGCTGTGAGCAATTGGACGATTCCGAGCTTCTTCGTCGGGGATTCTCCAAAGAGATCCTTCTTTAGATGGCTATAGGTCGGGAAGTAAATTGCGGAAAACGGTACGTCTCGAAGTAGGCAAGCAGAGGCACCCTTGTAAAGTCCTGCTAGGCCTAAGTTCTTAACAATCCACATAGCAGAGCGCTTTTGGGCGCCTTCCGTAGCTTTCGCAACTTCTCCCTGGACCTGTAGTCGAATCTTGACAATCTCAAGAGGGTTGGTGAAAACCTACAAGTATGAAGTTAGTAAGAAGTGATGAATGACTTTTAGTGGAAATAGGTTCATAAACTTACGACCTGACAAGCACCAGCCGAACCACCAGCTAAGATCTCATGTCTTAACTGGATTTGGTTTGACTGCTTGTCCGTGAAAAAGCCGCGAACAAGATCGTTCACGGTCAGTTTGATGGCCTTCTCAGGGGCAACACCAACAAGTTGGGGCAAAACACCAGAGTACAAGCCACGGAAACCCTCGTTGGCGATGACCTTTCTGAAACAATCAACAGAGTTCTTATAGAGTCTCTGGCCCGGGTCAGCACCTCGCTGATTCTGCATCCGTGTCTTCACCAAGTCGATAGGATACACCATGAAGGCACCAAAGGCACCAGCTCCACTTCCGAGTAAAAAGTTAAATGCCGATTCCGCAACTTGTAGCAGCACAGTTTGCGTCTTCGACTTGGCCTTATGAAGGGCTTCAAGCTGCTGAGATTCCGAGAGGTTACGATATCGCCAGGAAGGGTCCACAACCTTGGCAAAATCCGTCAGGCTCAAGCGGCCGGTGGGCTCATCCAAGCTGGCAAAGTGGAACAAAATATCTGCCTCCATTGGTGTGAACAGAGAGAATCTAGTGACTTTGGCTGCTTCATTCAAGAACTCTGCTCTCGTGATCTTTCCGTCGGCACTCTTCTTGCATGCTTGTCGGATGATGAGCTCAACCAAATCCATCTCCGTGACCATATTCTGGAAAGCTCGGACATTGGCGTATGAAATCTTACTAGCGTTGGATATATTGCAGAGAGACGTAAGATTTTCTAGAAGGTGGTCTGAGAGCTTGTGCTTTGCCGTTTCTCGAATGATCCTAGCGAAGTCGTCGGGCTCAATGTATCCATCTTTGTCCTTGTCAAAGCGCTGAAAAGCTTGTCGAATTCTTTCACCCTGTAGACCACGGAGCATCTGCGAGAACTCAGGGTATGAGAGGGTGTGACGTTTAGATTTGTCTCCAATGTAGAGTTTTGCCCATTCACAGTCCCAATCAAAAGGGATATTCTCGGGTCCTTTGTTGTTTTCATACATGCGCCTAAAGTCCTCATATTTGACATCTCCTGTGCGGCTTACGTCGAATAGACGGAATGCGATCTCGTATTCGGCGTCGGGTTTCATCAAGATGTTCTCAAAGGCGGCCCAATCGCCAATTGTCACCTTGCCAGTACCTCGACGATCGGCTACGCTGAAAAGAAGGCTATACTGATCGCGGCTAATCTTATGCTATTCAAAGAATCACATTAGCGAACAATTGATTTGCTATTGGAAATATTCATAATAGCTCACATAATCTTCATTTGGCGGCGCAATAGCCTCAATGAACTCATCCGGGCCCATGTACAGCTCACCACTCTCCTCATCCTTCTTCGCATTGTTCAAGAACGAAGCACGATGTGTTGCGGAAAGGCTGGCGGATTCCTCAGAGCCGAGAAGGCTCTCCTTGACTGCCTCCTTCACAGAAGTAGGATTCGACATTTTTGAGGTGGTCGTTTTGCGACTGTGGAACGGAGGTTGTATCGGCGGACAGTGAGGGATAGACTAGTCGTTCGTTAAGGGAAGTGTAAGGTGAGTGCGGTTAATGGACTAGCGCCACGAATCGGTCAAATTTGAATAAATTATTCACGATCGTCGGCTGTGGAGTGCCGATGTAGGGAGTGAATGGTGCGTTAACTCGGGGAAGTTCGGGTTCTTGTTGAAGAAGACGCTAACTAGAGAAGAAAATTAAAGGGCGAAAGGAATGCTAAACGAACAAGTTTAACATGGGCGGAAAAGAAGAAAAGAAAGGGAAAAAAATAAGCCGTTCGTCTATTGACAAATATTAGTGAGAAGATGAAGGTAAAGGTAAAGGTAAATAAGGGTTCTGTCGAGAAAATAAGGTACGATAAAAGAATAAAGTTGAAAGTTGAGATTGTTTAAATTCCGCAGAGTGATTTAAATTTTTTTTTTCTTTCTCAATGGCGCCCTGAAATTTGTAGTGTAGTAACAATGACTCGCATGCTTCCCAATCCCAATCCCCAATGCCTGCAGCAGGTACGATTCGGTGGTTCTAAACGAAATTCGGCTTACTGCTGTTGGTAAGAACTCACCGTAACATAGTTCATCCGATCAAAAATATACCCTTTCGTCCATTTGATGTCTCTTATCGCTCAAGCGTACTAACGATACTAGTGCTAGTGTATAGCACTAACCCCTGATAAGGCTTCCTTTCGCACGTGGTGGATCGCTACTCCCGGGAAGATCCTTTAGAACGGACGAAATCCCTGCCATAATTAAGTTCAGTTCCCGAAGATCGTCATAACTTTGAATATTCCCCGGATTCTGTTGTCATTTATGATTTGCCTAGTATCAAAGTCAGTCGAAAATAAACATTCGCCTAACAGCAAATGTACCTGAACCTAAACTTCCAAGTTTCGCATACAATTTCAATATTGTACATTTGTCGCGACGGCGCCATGGTTAATGGAGCTTTGGCTCTCGTAAAGCTCGACACCTATTCGATTACCATTAACAATTATATGAAATAACAACCTCGTACAACGCCCATGACTAATATCGTCGGATGTGTTGAATTTCGTAAGTTTAGTGAAGGAAATATTAATGGGATTATAGATATGCTGTTCTCGAACCAAGCCTTGATATGGCCTGCGTGTATCGCTCCTTGTATTCAAAGAGGTTGCCATAACTATTTGCATGGTACAACATATTTCTCTTGCTAAAAGAACAGAAGCCAGAAGAAATTCATCAAGAGTGCTCTCTTGGACTGATCGCAGTGCCAGGCTAACATCTCAATTAATTGGCAACCCCTTAAGAGATATGTTCTTGAAAGAAGAAAGATGGTAAGACTGTTTCCATGTTCCGGGCCGATTTATATATGTGTCGAGCTTCTTGGCGGGTGATTCCGAACTCCTCGGCAAAATACAACAACGTCGCCCTGGCTCTAATACATATGCATGTCCCTCCTATATGATGTGCATATGATCGCGGCAGACCAGGAAGAGATCCCGGCGCGGAATTTCACCTTTTCATCACAAACAAGCCGGTATATACCGATAAATTTTCTGATCAATGGGTAAATGATTGAACTGCGTGTTGTGAAGACCTACCTAGGTAGGCTGGGACTACATCACCCAAGACAATCAATCTGAGGGGTATTTGACGTTGGATGGTACGATTTCATAACCATCCAAGAAAGAGCCTATCAATTTGCTAAGCACACCTCCATCTTATATGCCGTCGAAAGGCATGCCTACCTACCCACCCCCTTTTATCACCATTTAAGGGGCATGGAGACGTGGTAAGAATATAAACTTGGAATGATATAACTCATGCCTAGTTCTGTTTACAGCTTCTGTTTCGGACATACACAACTCCGGATGCCTAACATTCTTATCATACCTACCAAAACACGTTATTTATGATGAATCTATTGGAGTTGGTCATGGAAACTAACTGACATAGATACCTATCAGTGTGTAGAATATGCCTCAACACATGATACTCATACTATGTATACTATTCAAGCTAGGCCATACTCAGCAATCAGCTTCTCGGCGCACGTCAACCCCGTAAGGTACGCCACAGCCTGCAAATGACCACTCGCCAGCACCGGAACCACACTCATATCCGCCACCCTTAGTCCCTCGAACCCAAAAACCCGGAACCTGTTATCCACCACCACATCCTCAGCCTCCGTCTTCCCCATCTTGGCCGTGCCCGTCATATGCCAGCTGGACACCACATTGTTCCGCCAATACTCGAGGTAGTCCTCATCCGTGTCGCCCGCGGGCCCCGCTACCGTCGCCAGCGTGTCCCGCGCATACCCCTCCGGGTCCCTCACCACGCGGTCCGCGTCCCGCAGCGCCTCGATCGCGACGCGCCGATCAAACGGCGTGCCGAGGAACTTGGGGTCGAACCGCAGCGGCACAGCCGGGTCCGCCGACTGCAGCGTCACGACCCCGCGCGCCTGCGCGTTGTACAGGAACACCAGGATGCACATGTAGCTCATGCTCGGCACGGGGAACCCCGGCACGATGTAGTGGATCGGCAGGTGCGTCATGATCTCGTAGTGCGGCACTGTCGGGTGGTTCAGGTACTCCTGCTCTGACACGGGCAGGGCTTGGAATTCCGCCGAGGCGACGAGGGAGGGCAGCTTGAACCACCCGGTCGGCATCGCGCACGCGAACTTGGTCCAGGGGCCTGTGCCGTCCTTTTTCCATTGCTCGAATGCGCTGGCCATGGCGGAGGGGTCTTGGTAGAATGCCGCGCGCTCGACTGATCCTTCTGGCCGCGCGTGTATGAGGGGAAGCAAAAGGTGATCGCGCAGGCCTTGGCCAATCGCTGGGGTGTCCTGGACCACGGGGATACGGTGTTGGTCTAGTTGCGCCTTGGGCCCAATGCCAGAGTGCATGAGGATCTTGGGTGTATCGAGGGAGCCTGCGGAGAGGATCACTTCTTTGGATGCTAGGTCTGTTATCTTCAGGTCAGCCCTGTTCAATATGTTCCATGGAAGAAAGCAGACAACGACGACAATGGTGGATGGATACTTGGCTTACATTTCTTGCCGTTGGATTCAACGCCAACCGCCTTCTTGCCTTCCAGCACAACCCGCTGTACCGGAGACCCAGTGAGAACAGTCAGATTATTAGGCGCGGACGCCAGCAGGTCCTTAGCCGTCGACCGGAGCCCCCTGTTCGACGAATTCACAGCAAGGCCTATGCCGATCGGGTTTCCGGAATTGTGGTCCGGGTTCAACGGGAACCCCGCCTTCTCAAAATACTCCAACGTAGTCACTATATCTGTCTCAGCCTCCTTTGGGTATCCTACCTTCAGCGGCCCATCGGAGCCGTGGTCCTTGGGCTTGGGCGCAACGTACTTAGCACCGACACCCGGCGGGGGTGTGGGATCCAGCGACTCCAGGCTCTTGTACCGCCGCTGCATGTTTTTCCAGTCGAAAGCCTCGTCCCCGGTGACGCGCGCCCACTCGTCGTAGTCGCCGCTCGCGCCGACGGTGAAGATGCTGAAGTTGATCGAGGTCGAGCCGCCGATCCCCAGGCCGCGGGAGTAGTCAATCTCCCGCCCCCTGCAGTCCTCTTGCGGCGCCGTCTTGTACCCCCAGTTCATGTCCTCCCGCTTGAAGGTGAACCACCGCTGCCCGTCGACGCGCGCATCGCGGTCCTCGTTCGCGCTGCCGGCTTCGATCAGCAGCACGCGCGGCTTCTTGGGTGATTTGGCGAGAGTGCTCGCGAGTGCGATGCCAGCTGGCCCGCCTGTGATTACGTTGTGGCTTTTTTTTAGTGAATGAATACTAGCGTATAAGAGATCGTGTGGTGTAACTCACTGCCGACTATTATGAAGTCATATGTCGCAGCCATGACTTTCGAGGTTCTCAAAAGCTATAAATTATATTGGGTTAAAGATATAACTATCTCGGACTCCTGGAAGGTAGGGGGTTGTATATACCTATGCATGACCCAGCGTATCTTCAGAATCAAGATTTCTAAGCGAGGGTAGGGATTATAAAGAGCTGCTCGTTCGTCCGAGGGTCGGGCAACGCCCCTTTCTGCAAGATACCTGATACCATCCCACATGTCTGGCCGTCTTACCAACGCCTTGACAGGGGAGAGAGGAGAGGGATCATGCGAGATAACTACCTATAACAGGATATTGCTACTAGCTATAATGGGAGGAGCAGTAAGCCAAGATACATGTGAGGACGGCCTCGTCGACGGATCGCCGTAATCTGGCCGACTCACGCTAAGATGCCTGAGCTGTAGATCTATAGATTATCAATGCACGCTACGGCAACTCGTCCAATGGGAGTGGAGCGGTGAGATTTAGGGCTGTCGGCAATCTGCGTAAGGCTTCTATCTATCTTGTATAACGATCAAGATCGTGTTATACGTATATCATGGAAGTTGCTAAAACTCATGGCTATACCTGATCGGCGATGTTTAAGATGATCTGATCTGAGAGAAAACCAGTTTACTTTGCCACCTACGTATGTTACCCAATCTGTAGATAAAGTTAATCAGGGCAACTTTTATGCGACTACAGACCGCCGCTTCTCACGTAGCATTCGAGGTGCGAACCAGAAACTAGGGGCACAGAAAATAAGCTTACCCTGCATACTGCATACCGTTGGATCTATCGGCAGCACTGGCTAGACGTGGGGCATCACACAAAATCTGTGGCAATTCCTCCGGTATCTAGGGTCGCATCGAGAGCCTCTCAGCCACTCACCTCGTCGACGGACTCGTAGGCTATAGCCCTATTGGGAAAATGGTCCTCCCAGATTGCATAGGTGTGTGATAACAGGTATGACCAGTGATAAAGTTATAACTGGAATGGGATGAGCTGCTGAATTCTACAGACTAATATGTAGGTGGCTACCTAGCTAGAATAAAGACGGCTTTATGCATACGTAGCCCCTATAGTGTAGTCTCCGGAGTCCGGGGAGATCTTAGAGATCCTCGGAGTAACTATATGATGCTATATTATGCACCTACCTACTACCTAACTAGGTGGGGGTACCAACTTGGGTATATGATTAACACCCAGAGGTGCCTCAAATTCTTGGGATTATCTTGGCTAGATGTTGGCTTACATATTATGCAACTTGCAATGCATGTATAAGGTTGGAATTCTCCTTTCACGATGATATATAACTAAGTTCCTATCTAGGTGCATAGGAGGGCAAGTAATTTGACCTAACCTGCAACTCTTTCCTAAAACCTATGAGACATACTCAGCTAATACGTTTCCAGTCCTTCTTTTCAATACTGAAGCTTTTTATCTAGTACTTACTTATGTACCTACCTACCTACCTACCTACCTACCTACCTACCTACCTACCTAAGCGCTCATTGTCAGATTATATCGCTGCATCAAAAGGTGAATGACTGATCTCTCGTTATTTCTCCTTAGTTCATATTAGTATATCTGACACCTACCTACCTTCCTATGCAGCTATGTAAGCAGAGTGGACTATAATACTACGTTTTTGTTGCAGCTACTGCTGCAACCAAGAAGAAGAGGAAAGGAAGAAAGCTTGCTTGATTCCTAACTACAGTGGTGGAGTGCCAACATATGGCTATATGGGCCATATGGCTCTAGTGGAGCCTATGGTGCCTGAGGCACCTGCAACAGTTTTAGATCTCACCAAGACGCGACACTGGCCCCAGACATTCTATCAGGAAATTCTGGCCGATTTATGCTCGCGCTCGCCATCTGGACCCGCCCCTATCCCGTATACTGTTATACATAGCGCCTTGCTTGTGCAGCTCGTGTAAGCAAACAAGGCCGTGACTATGAGATACACAGCAAACACACTGCTATAGATCGTGGGACTTGGCATTTTGAGTCATGTAGGCAAACCTTTGACGGCGTAAATGTTGTCATATATTTTTCATTAAATCTATTTACAGATATATTGGGACCGCCGTGCTTTGAAGGAATCTGGGTTGGATGGTATAGACCGTATAGTGAGGTGGATATCCTCATAATATGCAGCACAATCTCCTGGATACTTCATTCAGGTATACTGTCTCCTTCACGGGCCCTGGAGGACTTTAAAGTGGATGGCCATAGTTGAGATCTTACCAAGTGTCTATTCTATGATTCAAAGAATGAGGCAGCTACCTGGGTGATATATGCCTGGCTGTATACTTAGGTGATATAGTAACGACATCTTCATCGATAGTACACCTCTTTGAAGAAATCCCCTTCTGTCCGAAGCTTCCCCAGCAGTGATGTGGATCTCCCTCCCGACTGTCTGGTAACGCTCGTAGATTATCTAGCATATAAACGGGGTCCTCTTACCGAAGCAGGCATGAGGGCAGCTGGAATATACACCCGTAGCAAAGCCAAGCTCCTAGCTGTAGCTTGCTTGAGCCTCCAGGGATACTGGATCTCTGAGAAGCGTGAAGATTATACAGAACATGACGACATAATGCCCTCGCTGGCCGTTGAAAAGGGCGCCATGGCCTTCCTAGTTTCTTGGAAGGTCTGCTGTCATACCATGTTGCTGATGCTCCCCGTATCCTGGATTCTTTATCAAGTCAGATGTTCTGTTTCCTTTTGAACTCTGAGTAGATATTGTGCACCTGATACTACCCGAGTAGAGTCGCACGCGGTACTATTCTCGGAGGTTTCAAGATGGCGGGAGAGGAAGATTTCACGCTCCTCGGAATCGCATTCGTTATTATCGGGCTGCGGATGTACGTTCGATTTACACAGGTTAGGATGGCCAACTGGCAGCTTGACGACTATCTCATGCCCCTGATAGGTGTAAGTCCACTACCTACCTACCTACCTACCTACTCAACGGCCTTTCGCAAAGGCCACTAGATGACTAACGTCGCGTGATCTTGAGCAACATAGATAATATTCGGGCTTGCCACAATAACAACATGGGTCGTAGTAGTCAAGCTACAAGGGCTGACAAACAGCCACATGAGTAACGAACTACGTCAAACGCTTCAACACTCCACGACGGAATACACGTACCGGGAAGCTGGCTCCAAGACGCAGGTCTTTCTTTGGTCCGTATATGTCTTTATTCTCTGGGCGTTGAAGGTCTGCGTTACGGCGTTCTACTCGCGACTCACGTACGTACACAAGTTACCCCTTTTCCCTACCTCCGTAAGTTCAACAACTGATGAAAAGCGCACCGCCAGCGCACGCTTGCCGGAACTACGGCTACGAGTCAACTTTGCCTACATAATGCTGGGCACTACGTACGTTGCAGTAGCGTTAACAATCCTCCTGAGCTGTCGGCCGATATCGAAGTTTTGGCAAATCAACCCCAACCCTGGGAGTACGTTTCCTACCCCTTTTCGTCAAACTTCTTCTGACACGTTCCTGCTATTAACAACGCGACCAGATACCTGTCAACCAGCCGTATCCAAAGCATACGCCTACGTGGTCATCGTACCGAACGTTCTCACAGATTTATACCTCCTGTCTATTCCACTACCTGTAAGCTTTGTGTCCACCAACGCCTCCCAACAGGGGCACCTACCATCAATAAGCTACGCTGACAAACTTCCATGCCAGTTACTCTGGAAGGTAAACATCAACTGGAAGCGAAAAGCGATCCTGCTCTCTCTATTCAGCGGCGCCGTCTTCTCCATGATCACCGGCATAGTCCGCGCCTACATCATCTTACACGTAACTCACACCCCCAACCCCCTTACCCAGTCCCTACCTACTTATCACACGTCAACTCTTTACTTACTCCCTCTCCCCCCAAAAACAGGCCGGTCCCAACGTCGTCATCGCAGGCAGCATCTGGGCCTGCCGCGAGACCTTCGTCGCCGTCATCGTAGCGAACCTCCCGCTTCTGCACCCGCTGTTCCGGCGGTGGGCGCAGAAGCTCGGGCTGAGCAACAGCAGCAGCAGCAGCAGCAGGTCGCTTAACGACAGCCGTAAGCATGGCAGCCAGCCGCTGACGACGTTTAAGCCTGGCCGTCGGCGGTGGAATCCGTTGGTGAGTCTTTGCTTTCTTCCTCCAAGCCCCCCCCCCCTATCATCGTTTCGTTTCTTTCTTTCTTTCTTTATTCTTTTAGGTACCATCCCTCAAACCTAGACGCTCACCGGTAACAGAACCGTACCCCGTCCCACCCCGCAACCCCACTCCCCGCCTACGGCATCCTCGTCGACGAAGAGATCCACATCACGACGGAGCCCGCGGCGCCGCCCGCGGTGCTGAGGGCCGAAAGAGCGGGCGGTGGCTTGGTGGGGCGTGCGGGTGGCCGCGAGTGCGAGTGGGATGTTGTCAACGGGCCGTCGGCTGTGCTGGCAAGGACGGTGATGATTGGGACGGTTGCGAGGATGCATTTGCATTGAGGAGGTAGGTAGGTACTGGTGTGTTTTGGGGGAAGGGGAGAGGGGGGGGAGGGGGGGTGAAAAAAGGAGTTGTATTTCGAAAAATAGATGATTGTAGATTAGGTACCTATGGATGTAATCCAGTTTGATACATACGTACCTACCTATGGTTGGCACAGGTACATTACACCTAACCCCCTTTTCACGTGTAGCCTTTACCAACGAGACGCAGCTCCGTGGCGGGCCAACTGTTCGATTTCTGTGCTCGCCCGACAAACACGTTCTGATATTCAGAGTACCCGAGGGTTGTAGGTATGCATACAGCATTAAAAGTCCATGTCATTCCTTATACATAGGTAGGTAGGTAGGTACCCGATACCACGAAACACCAAACCCAGCCAGACATTCAGATGCAGCTCTCCCCTATATAAATCATCATAATCACCTCCCCCCAACCAACCCCCTATTCCAATCCCCAACTCCAACTCCAAACCCCTACTCCTCCTCCTCCTCCTCCTCCTCCTCCTCCACATTATGCACCAACACCCCACTACTCTCCCCCCCGCCCTCCCCAAGCGGCAGCCCCATCTCGCGCCGCAGCCGCACGCGCCCCAGCGCCGCCATGTACGCCGCGTTGTACGCGGGGGCCGAGTGCTGCGCGAAGTCGTCGCCGAAGTGGCGGCGCATGTGGTCGTGGCATAGGGGGTAGATGTTTTCGTCTAGGATTGGTTGGTCGGCGGCGATGGTGGGGCGGTGGTGGTGGTGGTGGTGGTGGGGGTGAGGATGGTGCGGGTGGTGATGATAGGGTATATGTTGATTGTGAGGAGGAGCATCGTGGATGACGATGCTGATTTCGCCGGGATCATGATGCGAGTGATGGCTATGGTGGTGGTGGCCTCGACTCGTCCGCTCCTCGCTCCTCCTCCTTCGTCTGCGCCCGTGACCATCTCGATGGGAATGTCCACGGCCCGGCTCGTCGATAATTCCTAGCCCGACATCGCCGTGATCGTGGCCGTGTCCATGACCACCGTTTCGATTTCGGTTGCCCTCAATCTCCCCCGTCGTACTAAGCAGTCTTCCGACCCTGCCGTTCCGGAAACTGTGCACCTGGTCCTGCACGAGGTCGTACGCGATGCCCATCTCGCGGTCGATGAGGTAGCCCGGGTCGAAGGGGTGGGTGCCGTAGCCGGTGCCGTGGACGCCGTGGCAGGCGCGGCGGTGCCCGCACTTGCACATCACGTAGCGGTTTTCGGAGTCCGTTGAGGAGTCCATTTTGGTGATGAATACGTAGGTGTTGGATACTAGGTAGTTAAGGTAGTTTTTCTGAAATCTTTTGGGTTGATGTTGATATGAGTAGCTAAGTACTTAGAAAGATTGGTCGAAAGAGAAATTGGTAGGTTATTGCTGTGTAGGTTGGTTGAACAGGCAGAGGAAGAGCATGCGGCGGAAGTAAAAAAGGCAGATATATATACCTACAAATCGAAAGCCCTTCCATCCTAGTCAGGAAGTTGGTCCTTCGTCGTAGTCATTATTCGTGATGGTGCTTTGATCATATATACAATCCCGCCTTATACTTACTACAGTAGCTATTTTCGAGAACGTTACACGTAGGTACTTGGCGAACCCCCCTTTATCACCAGCACGCAAGAATTGGAAGCGTTGACGTGAAGCATAGCTCATGAATGGGTTCCTGCGGTGATGCGGTCTTCTTGTAGTATCTAAGCAATAACTAACCGATCTTCATCCGATGTATGAGACCCTTTTAGTTGCCTGGAACTGTTTGCAGATGGGAAAAGCTGAGTGTAGGACTTGATTCCCGAATGGCATATTCTGACGGTATTTTATACCTGCCAGTGCTTACAACATGACCTGGCAAGATACACAATCTAAACAACAAAGCGACCACCATTACAACAGCACAAATTTCATTATCGAGTACCTAATCTATGAAATCGGTAGCCCATCCACCCCTCGATGCTATGCCACGCACATGCAGAAACCACCTAAGGTATCAAACACCTCAGCCCAAAACGCCTTGCTCTTGCCTTGCCACCCCACTAAAAAGTCATTCTGTCGTCAGTTTGCAGAAACAACCCCCAACCAAGTCTTACGTTAAATGACTCCCTGTATCTTCTGACGCATATCAAGGAATCATCAAGATTGCTAAGAGTGCGTGGACGGAAATGTGTAACCAAGGACCTCTCTTTACTACAGAGACATACCAAGGACACGTGCCGCTTTTTCCGATGTGGTGTAATCCGGGGCTCTCGCGCTAGCGCCTTGCACGGGGCTGTCCGGGGCAGGTAACTCAGTGTCTACCTGGTGGTCGGCAGGATGAGGCGCCTCTCCAATGTTGAGTGAACGTCGTTTCTTTTTGATATTGCCTTGAGAGGGATGTTTGGGGGCCGTCTGGGGACGAAGTGGGGGTTCGGGGTCACTTGGAGGAGCGCGAATATCCGATGGAGTTGAAGTTGTCTCCGAGTAAGAAAGGGATGATGTCTTGTTGCGTATAGTCAAAGATTGACCCTCGGGTGTGCGACTCCGACCGATTCCGGAAGGGATTAGAGGGGCAAGGATACGCCTGTGACTATCAACATCAAAGTTCGGAGTGGGTAGAGGGCTGGCCACACGTGGAGCAGCTTTTTCGTTGGTCGTAAGACCCTTGGTCTGCGCAAAAGCTGAAGAACGCTTGTGATAGGGGTCGCGGTCCGAGTAGGCATCAATGATAGGATTCACCATAACCGTCTGGCCGTGAATCGTCAAAATCGAGTTGGTCGGAACGTTAACCCAGTTTTCTAGTGTTTCATTAGCACAAGCTATATCGATATTATGGTATAAAGTAGAAAGGTGAAGTACCTCTTTCGAAGGTTAGGGGCTCGCTAGCCACGAGGACGATGTCGGCACCTTTGTCGCGACGTTGCATCTGGTAATCCCGGTCGTTGCTAACAGGTAATTTGGTCTCCCATTGGGTACCGGATGAGTAGTACAGGCTTGCTGCTTCATCAGTCTTACTGCTCACATATCTCGTGCAGATAATGCTATGGCCGTCCGTCACCGCAAAGTTCAACAAACTTCTTGTGTCCACTTGCTCGCTTTGGATGATGTTCTCGGGTATAGCCATGGTAAGCTCGTTGATAATTTGAATCGTCTGTAGGAGGGCTTTGCGTAGGACGGCTGGTCCGAATCCATTCCTGGGTTCCAAACTTGGGTTGACTCCGAGGCGTTCTAGACGATCAAGAAACAGAGCGAACGCCCACTCGCTGTCGGTTCCACCGTGAACGGAGAGGTACCACTTGTCATGTAATCGTTCGCCAAGCTTTCTCTTGATGTGTCTCCAACCTCCTAAACCTCCATTGTGCATCCACATCAAGCTTCCATGGCAGAATGGGTGGCAGTTGTCCTCACTAAGAGAGCCTTCGGTGGTGGCACGAACGTGGGCAAATACAAGTCGCGATGCGGTCTTGGAGGCGATACGATGGAGGTTGGTGCAATTCCATGCGGGAATGGTCGAGGTGAAGAGGCAGGGTGCGGCTCCTAGCTTGGGGTCTGTATAGAAGCCGATACCGAAGCCGTCGGCATTATTTTGACCACGTCGTGTATCCTACAAGGCAGCCAGTGGGTTAGCAACGGTATATTTTGGCTGGTAGTTGCGTAGTCGGTGTTTGGTATTTGGTGTTTGGTGTTTGATTTGGGCAAGGGGTAGCCTCACTAATCGTAGTCTTGAGTCAAAAGATTGCTTTAAAATGGAATGAGTTGGGTCGAGAATTAGTTTTGAGAGTAGGATCTCGTCGCTGCCGCGATAGACCTATAGTCAATTATTAGATTAGTAAAATGTTTAAGCGATGTGACACACGAAAGTCAATTTGTGAGGTTCAAGCTACATACTAGAAACCGGCACATATTATTATTTTTCTCTCTCCTTTACACATGGAGCATGTGAGGGAGTAGTTGGTAGTAATTGTTGGTATAAAAAGTTGAAGTTGAGTTCAGAATTTGGTTGCAGCAATCATTTAAATGAAAGAATAGGCAGGCAGATATAACTAGAAGCAAACAGAAAAGATTTGTTGAGACTTTGAGTGAGTGAATTGTTGATTTGAGAAGTATTTTCTTATTTTTATTTTTTTCGGTGTTCCAGTCATCAAGAACGTGGCGTGAATAAATTGGGAGATTGCAACATTTTGGGATGGAAGTGACTGCATACATGTAGTTACTATGTAGTTACTATGTAGTTACTTGTACAATACTTCAACCCTACAATTTGGGCAGTTTAGCATAATGATAGGTACTACCTAAAATCCTTAAAATTACCAAGGTTTTTTTAGATACATTCCTAGATAATCCCAGATAATCCCAGATAATCCCTCTTTTAGTGCACTCCTTACCCACTATTACGTCGGTAGCTATCTGTTCGGTATGGCATCCGCGAGGGGAGAAGAAGTTAGAACTGGGGATGTAGCAAGGGTACTTCAGCTGTGGGTGTCCGGGGTACAGGATTGGGCCTGGCTAGAATATGGATCTTCAATGTTCTCCCACCGTTATACTATGCAGTACCGCAGTAATTAAGTTCAACGTGCTCAGCTTAGCCTACATATGTAGATATTGATATAAACCTTACTACTACGTAGTATGATACGCCTGAGATACATTTGACCAATGATATTGAAGTTTGGAGATGATATAAGTAGGCATTTCCTTGGTTGGTCATTAATATTCCAATATTGAAGCTGGAAGCCAAGTTCAATGCCATCTACTATGCCGTACATCTGTAAATTGATCTAATAACCTCCCAAGTACTTATTTAGGCATCCATGCATCTCCCTTATGCTCTACCCGCGACGTCTCTCTTCAATTCATCAACTGTTATTATCATTTTCGTCTACGTAGGTCCCACGGTTCTAATGGGAAATCATTGAGTTTCCACCCAAGAAACTTCCTACACAAGGCACTCCTTCTTACAAAAGATGTGTGTGGTGCATGTGTGTCATTATGTCGTGTGCCGTGTTCCGGGTGCCTTGTTATGTTTGTTTGCCCTGGTCCGGCCCATCTTCTCGGCACCTTCTGCATCTTGCCTTGGCTACCATTATAGTACAAACGGCATAGGACCGGACTCCGGCAGCAACCGCTATCAGATGAAGACTTGGGTCAATCGCTGGTGAGACCTACATAATACTACTTATACCCACCTGGTATAAAGCTAGGACAAACAAAATTGAGGTGACTCTGGCACATGCTGAGCTCGTCTCCAAGCTGTCGGGTTCGTACCCCGTGAATAATGATTAGTTCTTATATTCCGGGTAGTTACCTACGTACCAAATTAGGTCAGTGTGTAGGTGCCGGTGAGAAACAAGTTGCCTAAAATAATTCCTCCAGAAACCATGCTCTCACAGAAGGGGGAACTTCAAACTAAGCTTCTAAGCTGATACCAAACACGGCACTGGGTACCTGAATAGTGTGGCAGGGCTTGCTGATCACGTTTCACGCTCCTTCGAGAAAGCTTCCATCTATAAATACATATGCCGAACTGCCAAGAACGTGCTGCATTTTAATCCGTTTGAAGTTGACTAATATCAGGGGAATTTTTAGAAGCCCCCGGTCACCCAAGCAGCAGGCTGGTTGGAATCGGAATATTTCAATTGCTGCTAAGGTAGATTTTGCGAACGATCTAAAATTAAGGACGGTTATCCATTTATATCGATATAACTGGAACAAATCCAGTCGCGAGGGTATTGGATAAGGTTTGAACCCTTTCAAGTTGCCCGGTATTATCGGCATGCAGTGGCTCAATGTTTGTGCATGCGATCGGGTGGTCACGTGCTACAACTGTGAAGCTATTTCTACCTATATATCCAACGTGAAGTACTTGTGTACTATATCGAGAATTGCCATTCCCCATACGCCTAATCTAGTCTCTGCCGCTCCTCGCCCCTTTCAAGCAGTGAATCGCGCTCGCCATCCTTCGGCGACCCATCGTCTCGGTAAAGCACGTAGTGCTGAGTCATGAAGAACAGGTCATACAGCATACTCACGTTGCCCAGCGCGAACTTGACGGGGTTGCCCGTTACGCCGCTCCAGTCGCCCTGGAGCCAGGAATCGATGATCAGCTGAGCGATACTCAGCAGGCCGCCGAGGAAGTCCAGCAGGATCTGCCCTATGCTCCATCCCTTGGTGCTGCGGTTGCGGAAGTTGTACGCGAGCTGCGGCGCGTACTTGACGAGCGTGATCAGTAGCTTGACGTAGGAGATCGTGTAGACGACGTCAAGCCATGCCCACGTCGTCTTCGGGTCTGCGTCCGCTGGCCCGGATGCGACGACTGCGATGATGATGGCGACGGCGACGAAGGACCCGCTTACGACGCCGAGGATGAAGCGCGATGGTCGCGTTCCGGGGGCCCGGTCGAAGCCCCAGAGCGAGGGCAGGAAGTACTGTGTGGTTAGGACGACGCTGACGATAAAAGCGTGCGCGGCGAAGACAATGTCGTTGATTGCGACGGTCGGCGTGTGGCCATGGTTGCGAAGAGCATATTGGTGGCGGATTACTGGCGATGAGTAGAATACCTGATTGTAGATAAGGTATGCGAGAAAGCCTTGAATATGTTAGAAATACCATGCTTAGTATAGATGGAGGGGGTAGGGTGTGATGTGTGATGGATGCGATGCGGCGCAACGACGTACCAAAAGTGTTAATGAAGGGGTAATCGACAGTAGTACCCGAGGTTGATTTTCTTCGAATGTTGAGGAGAGGCTGAGAGTAGAAAGACAGCGACCAAGATAACGTATAGATCCATCCGAATGTAGCCGAGAGGAATTCGAGGAAGCCCATGTTTGCCGAAGCCGGCTAAAGAGTGGTTTTCAGCTTGATGTAACAGCACGAGAGAAGCAGTTTGGTATTTACAGTACACCGAGATAACCTAGTAGATTAGTACTAGGTAGTAGGTATGACCTTGGAGTCTTGGACTAATGAAGATCGCTCTATTGAAATGACGTGTGTGCTTTAACTTGATAACTGGAACGTTGAATATTTAAATTCCAATGTTGAAGCAAGATATCCTCTAACTATTGGAGATCGTACACCTTTACAATGCATATCTATCTGCTATGTACTGTAGTGTATTATTTAGGTAGGTAGATGTAGCAGCATTGAATGATGAGTAGTCATGTATTTTCGACGATAAAAATTAAAAAGAAATCAAAGCTCACGCCCTGCACTTTAGTCATTAAATTACCAAATTACGCCATCGTTAGTTCCTCCAAGTTGCTAACCTGTAATCCCCCGTATCACCGTTATAGCAGTACTCCGCTTACATACATGAACCTGTGGTCACATGATACTATACACTCAGGGGTTGGCTTTTCTCCTTTTTTTTTTCTTCTCAACACTTAATACATTATTTTATGATACCTTTGAAGAGATCAAGTAAGTAACTAACTCTACTTACATAGCTTGCGCTGGCCCTTTCTGCTATTTAATCGGGTAACCCGGATCGGAGCCAATGCGGGCTAGGTAATGGACACCTCTGTCAGGATGGTGTCCCAATCCGTGTAGAATATTGTACTCTTGCAACTTTCAAGCAGTTCACCGAGGGAAGGATACATGAATAGAAGGTATGTGGTGTGTGCAAGATAGTACTTCCAGTATCTTAAAATGGTATACCAACCTTTACTATCCTGTAGTAAGGACTCCTTACTAAGGAGTCTGGTAACCGAATTACCGGAGAGTTGTCAGGGGTAACAGCGCGGCTTCTTTCTCTGACTTCCAGGCACCGCAGTGTCATTGGTCTATCTACATATGTTACAGATGTCGGCATATCTAGGTAGCTACCAACAGTGTGCGGAAATAGTGGCCTGGCATTCCAGTATGAAAGGTACCCCTCAAGTATTGGGGGATGGAGGGGAACTTAAGAATACATCGTTTTCATCCCCGTATGTATCAGTTGGCCATAGTCCTTGGGTAGGTTACTATTTAATGCCTATGTTCTTCTGTCATAGAATACTTATGTATTTACATACTTGGGTATGCTTATCCTCACAATTCCTGTCTGTCTGATGCATGGCTGATGATTAGACGGAGAGGCTTCTTTGACAAGAACATTCACTCTGATCCATCCAATTACTGCGGAGCTGATTCATCTGATTCGTCTTGTAGATGCCCTGAACCTTGCCGGCCCACTGAGCCGCCCCCCTTGCGGCTTGCAGTTTCTGCATTGGGTTTACCGGTGGCCTTTTTGCCTACTTCTGTATCGATGCGATCCGTTTTCAGTTCGTTCGGCTTAGTCCCAGGTTTTTTCTTTTCGGCTTGCCTCGGCGTCGGGGCATCTTGATCGCGAGCTTCTATGCCAGTATCTGTATTAGATTTTTGAGGGTAGTTTCGTGTTGGCTCTACCGTTGTTCGGTTCGTTTTCCTCTTAACCTACCGAATAAATGCGATATAGCCGTCTTCGTTTTGTCCCAGATGGACTTCTCCTTTTCATGCTTTTTCGCCGTTACATCACGCTGCCCTCTGGATTCTGTGTTGGTTTTGCTGCTTTCCTCTCTGCCAACGTTTGAGTCGGATTGATCTGACGTAGCCGTTTGCGGTCGGTTCGTCCGTGTCTCTTTAGTTTCAAACGCTTGCGGCGTGAAAATATGGGGTGGCTTATATGACTTATCATCATCATGTCTACCCCCAAGTTAACGACCATAAACCCTCATTCCAGAGACAGCTCACCGAACCTTTTGTTGGAAGATGAAGTGTTATCCATGGGTACTGTTGTAAAGTGCGTATAGCTGTTGCAAGTGATGACTAGATGACTGTGTTGATCAAGAGAAGTGTTGTGGATCTTGAGATGGTAAAGAAACAGGTTCGTGATTTGTGCGTACACATGACGGACAGCGCTTGGATGGTTTTATATCAGAGTAAGGTGCCTGAACAAAGAACTGGATGAGTCTTGGGGATTTACTATTTTCCTGTGGATGAGTATCTAGCAAGCTTGCTAATTGTTCGATGACGACCACGGGCCCGAACAAAGAAGTATGAAATCACTACTTCCTACTAAATATGTGACAAAGGGATGAAGTTGGCTAGGGTGACCACGCTGGTCTATTACACTAATGAGTAGTGCTTTTCTGCTTGTAGAGTCATTGGCCATCTCTCAATTGCCAGCAAATACGAGAATTTTCGCAAACTGCGCGGCAGCAAATAGGAACGGGCTCAGATGACTTTTCACCTCACCTACTAGGATGTATGGGAGGGTACAAACTTGAAGAGAAGCCCCCCTTGCTTCAAAGGACTTGTGTACCAATTCTGCATGGCAAATACAATATACCTACGTAGGTAAGAAGATGTACACAAAGAGTTACTCGTTTTGTATGTGTAGGTACAGTACATTCAGGCCTAGACTCAAATCAAAGCAACCGCGAGATAACTTGACCATGATTGACAGCCCCTGACTGGTTAAGCTTGCTGAACTGAGCGCCTAGGGACTGATATAAGGTATGGTGCGTGTAGCAGGGGAAATATGCATATAATCTACCTAAGCAGGCATGCTCATATAGCTCATATAGCTCATAAAGCTCTAGCTAAGCTAATAAGTACACTGCTAAGCTCATATACCATATCTTTTGGCAGAACCGTAGGGCTGCCACACCGCATCTCTTGTAACTAGATCCCCGGCAAGCCTTAGCCTTAATCTCCATAAAATCTCGATTGAACCTCGTTGTGGGTCGTATTGCGGAGACTTGGTTGAAGGCCTAGCTGGCAATCTTTCCATACTCTTGGGCCAACTCCCCACACTACACCGAACTAGCGTTGGTACCTACTGAGCCCACATCCATATATAACCCTAACCCTTGGAAGTATTTTGTTCCATAAATAGGACCATGGAAATTGAACGTGATTATCAAGGATCTACCTGGGACCTACACGCGGGAGCTAGATAGAACAAAGACGACTTACATGTGTACCTGGATTTACAGTCTCCGGGGAGATGTTATAGATCTCCGCGCAACAAAGATGTTGCTCTACGTCTTCTAGATTCAGCCTCGTGATAGTAGTCATGAGTATAACCTGAGAAAACTTCAGGTTCAGCGACAGCGAGGTTGACGATATTTATCCGCCTATCTCTAAATGAACCTGCAAGACGAAATTGAATTCAGTTTCTATGAACCAGCTCTGCATTTATCGCAATCAAATTATCTACCCAACCAAGGTAAAATAATAGTAGATTATGTGGCTTGCCGATTTAAGAGGCCTCCTTCACATAGTAGGAACATATATGTTGCCGGCGAGTATTGAATTTGCCGCTTCGTCTCCTTGCGGCCGGAAACGATCTTAACACAGGATGGCTGGTTATATAAGAGTTGGAAGTATGGATATATTTTTTTTCGCAAACTGAACCTGTCGTGGTAGCTAGCCACCGACCTAGAAGTACGTGACGTTAATACTTGTATCTGAAGTGTACCTGGTCCTTAACCAAAACGAAATCGGCTCTTACCATATTTTGTTGGATGCCATCCCCATCAAAGCTCGTCCATTGAACAATGCAACAGGTTCTCGCTATTCTATAGATAATTTCGACGAAAAAACGAGAGTTTGCCGTCTTAATCTAGTCAGTATTGATGTTTGGTATCGTTGGATGGTCTTGATATGAAGTTGAACGTCGCTTACTACGCAAAATGCGGCTGAGATGATGTGCATGTCGGCCATTAGAGATAAGGTATGTATCATGTCTCTAACTACATCTGCACGGGAGGCGAATGCTTGGTATGTACCCAATCATTGGATCGACAGCACATTCTGCATGTATGCGTTCTCGGATGAAACGCGACTCTCGCCTAGTCACCATACTACCTCTTGGTCATTCGTCGATTCATCGAGACCCCCTTTCCCTCTTATAATAGAACAAAATTCACAACCAGGGAGTGTATGATCACGCTCAGGTGCCAACGTTCAATGGATGGAAGTCAACAGAGTTATATTATTCTATAATTACCACGTGGGGGCCCGGAATGAAGGTATAGGGGCCGGATGCGACACCTATTTCTAGTAAACGACATCAGTTTGTCTCAGACATGTATCTCCCACCGCGTTGATCCGGACTAATTATAAACAAAAGTAAAGGTATCAGGATGCTGTGTAAATTATAGCTAGAAGACGCTTTCTTCGTTGAATAATTGATAAATCTCTCCGTTGCCTCCTACTCCTACCAGGTAGGCACTCGATCCTGTGTGGCCGCAAAGGACTCCGAGCTTTGACTGCCATGAGGTATTGAACTCTCATCGAGAGCTCTCACCGTCTATTGTGTATCTCTCTGTTTCACCCGTCTTGGGGTTACCCATTACGCGAATAGTTCGTCCGAGTCGACACCGTCCTCATGTTCGATCGTGAATAGCTGGAGATATAAATGTTTGCTATGGGAGCCTGCGGGCTTCCGTGAACTATATATCCTACAAAAGTTCATTGGAACTGTAAGCCGGAGACTTCGACAAGTCGGTGGGACAATTATGTATGTACCCGTAACACTTATCTTCAAGTAAATCTCCCCAAGCACTCCGAGACGGCCGCCACCATGATACAGCATGGACACTCGGCGTATCATAGACGCTCACCGCAAGCCATCTGCAAATAGTGTGGTAGCTGGTATTAGAGCAACACGAAGCCCATAGGCTCGGTTGAATGGCCCTCTCTCTTGGCCTGAAACCCACAGGGCGTTGTTCCTGTGTGATGATCCTCCTTTTCGAGTAACGACGAGGCTGGGCTATCTTCATTTACCATGCCTATTCTCCAGCTATTTAAGTCTGCGACAGAACCTACTCGATGGACACACTTCTCAGGCTGGATATTTCGAATGGTTTCAACGTCGCACGATGGATGCCGCCTCCGAACTCGAAGCAGGTCGCCATGGGATGCTTCCAGAAACTGTAAATGAAAATGAAAGCGACGAGGGCCACAGAAACGCCCCCCACAACTCTCCCCCCTCCGAGCAGACACATCCAGAAAGCAGTTGGTGATTTGCTGCCTAGTAAAACAGAGCCATGGATACTAACTTCGCTAGAAAGCTCCAATAGTCAAGGAAATATCAACACCAAATTCGTCTCATCTGAAGAACTTTGTACGAACGAACCCCATCTTATTCCGAGATTAATATTATACCCACCCTAGCACCCCCTAAAATTGACTTCTTCGTCCGTAGCCCACAACCTGCCACCGGGCTGGGCTGGAATTGCAGCCCTACAAAGCCTGTCGGACAATCTAAGCTGCCACCGTCGATTCAACACCCTCTGGCACCGAGTCCTCATCGACGAGCAGATCAAGATAACCAAACTGGAAGAAGAACTAGCCCGGCTCGACGAAGACGACCACACGAAGACGAGCCCATGGATGCGGAGGGAGACGCTCGATACATTTCGGTGCTCACATCCGCATTGTTGCAAACACGCCCCGTACGCTGCTAAAGGCCAGCTAAACGAAAAGAAGTACGACTCGTCGTCAACACTACGATCGGAGCCGATCTGCGAGATGGGGAAAGAGGATCTCAAGGCTCACCTCATACAAGAAATTGGCCCAAGACTGAAGCGCTACTGTAAGGGGATTGCTAGTCATCCCGACTCACTCTTCTATGTTAGGTATGGAACTAACCCCTATAGCGGAGTATCTGCTTGCACACCATCAGGTGGAAAGACTACCACACATGGAGCGCATCGATTACAACAACTACTACCGCACCCTGAGGGAGAAGCAACTCATGCCCGAAACCGACGACGGCAGGTATCTTTACTACCGGGACGACTACCTGAGGACGAAAGCGAGCGGGGTGGATGAGAGTTTCGCGTTTATCTTGCACGGCTACTCGATTGTCTCTGTAAGCCCCTTTCCCACTTCCCCCCTATTCCTCATACACCTTGTCTAGCTAGCTTTCTCACATAAACACTTACTTACCCCCAGCGCATCTTCCGCTGGCTCTTCACCGACAACTCCTACGCCGACAGCAACCGCGACATCACCAAGTTCCTCTACGTCAGCGGGATACAGAAGCTGCATCGGGGGCTACTGGCCATAACCTGCGGCGTCATCCTGCTCGTGCCCATCGGCATCCTGCTGCTGATGCCCCTTTCCAAACCGGCGTCGCTCGCTGTCGTCATTTGCTTCGGCGCCGCGTTTGTGCTCGTCATGGTGTTGTTGGATAAGCAGCTCGATACTATGTTAGTTGGGTTCTCGGCCTATGCCGCTGTGCTGGTTACGTATGAAGTTCCCTCCTTTTCTTTTGTTGTTGGCTTGAACGGGGGCTGGTTTGTGTGTGCTTGGGGAGGAGATGGATGGATAGGCATCTAAAGAGGGATCTTTGCTAATGTGCTGTTGTTGGTGTTGTAGGTTCTTGTCGAATGTCACGGATGGCAGCTCTACCACTTGTCGTTGTACACCTTGAATGAATAGTGGTTTGCTTGACTTTTTGGGGAGGATTTCTGCCTATCTACCCTTATTCATGGGTAGCATGATGATGATGAAGCAGTAAATTTACCTATTTCTACGCTTCGTGATTGTGCTTCGTTCATTCGTAGGCTGGTTAGTTGGATGATATATTTAACGCCGTGATAAGGAGGAATGACTGCCCTCGCAACCTCCCTTGGGGTGTGGTATGCGGCATATAGAGTTAACCTACTATGGTACTATATATATGGATTCCTACCCTTGTGAGAGGGACAGGATCATGATCCCACTCGGACGAGATGACGGTAACAGTTAGAGTATCATTATGTATGCCGTTTAAGGTATGATATGTAGGAATCTGGTGTGGTAGGATTGCACCGGGGTGGCTTTTGTACACAGTGCATAGGTACCTTGGCTACTCATCTGGAGTCATGCTAGGTGTACTACTGGTGTATATTAGTGTTCAGATCATCTTTTGAGATATGCTATTTCGACAGTATGGGGTCACGTGACACCCCTTTCCCCGACACACATAGCTGGCTATGTATCCCCGCGTCTATACACCCACACAACCTAATCAAATCAGCCCCAAATAAATTGGGAGTAGGCTAGTTCGTTTCGCATCAATTAGGGTAGCCAGAATACCAATTTTAAGCTTCCCAGATGGCCTGGCGGCTGAGATATTGTTGAATAAGCGTTGCGCGTGTATGTATCCCCCTTTTGGTTGGCTCCCGCAAAGCTCAGTAGCCACCCCTCAATGTAGATATCCCCACCATAACTGGCCTGATCCGTAAGCAAAAATATTCATCAAATACCCCGTCCCTGGAACTATACTCTATAGAAGTTTCAGGATCACAGCCTTGATAGTTGTTGAGATATCAATCTTCAAAGGTGTAGGTCAAAAGGGCTTTGCTGTATTGATGGAGGTGAATTGAAGCGTTCTGAAGCTAGTAGAAGTGAGGTTCAAGCTCGAGAATAGCCTCACTCAGCAGCTCTGCCTTGCTACCTGCCAGAAACAATCTACACCTAGCAGAACCTTTTCTCTGGTTTTCTAAAAACGATGGTGAGATTAAATCTTTGCCTACCTACCCAAATTACCTGAGAATAGGGGTAAGGCTTATTTTGGAGCAGTCCAGTATTCCAGGCCTATGTACTAACCTTTTTTGATACTTAGAGCGTATGATATCAACGGTAGTATCATATGGCACCTGTACACGATAGGAGGTGGTGGTATCAAACAAAGTGCCTCTCTCAATGTGCCCTGGAGGTGTAAGATACATGCGATCGTGCCTGTCCGAGTCAGGCGTCAAGAGATGATGTGAAGGACAAGGGACTGTTGAGAGCACCTTGGTCCATCCATATGAGATCATGCTGTGCTAGTCCAACATGACTTAAAAACGACTAGGAAAAAGGCCTTGGTGTATCGAGGACAAACTTGATCAGATGAACTTCGAAGAGGAAGAGAATGGCGGCACGTCACAGATATGCCTGCCCTTTGATCGCGAGCAGTTCTTGACCCGCTGCATGAGCGGGACCGCGCATACGCTCCCAGCACAGTCCCCCGAACCGGACGGAGGTGGACTCGACCGCGCGACGCAGATGGAGAATCTCATTCTGACGGGGCAAATCATCGAGAGGGAGTACTGTAAGTGGTTATGAAGAAGCCAAACCAAACCAGTGGAGAGGGGAGGAGCAAGCACACCCACAACGGACAGCGAGAAACTAACGCGATGACATTCCCTAGCCACCTGACTGCACTCTCACTACGAGAAGAAGAAGTTCGCCCGCGACTCGCGGCGCGCGCACGAGGCGCACTTCGGCATACTGCGCGGCGGGGAGTACGGTCTCGACGACGAGGTGTGTGCCTTCATGCGTTACATCGACGACTTTGTCCGCAGCCAGCAAGACTACGTGTTCAAACGCTTTGAGCACCTGATCTACACGAACCGGCGCTGCGTCTCTGTAAGTGTTACCTACCAATCCGCCATTTTTTTTACATTAACCCCCCTACCAAAAAGGGGGGGGGGTTTCTCCCCCCTTTTTACCTCATATCCTCTTTACCCCTAACCCTCCCCTCTTTTCCTTTTTCCCTTCCCCCCCTCTTCAAGCAAAAGAACACCCCAAACTAAACCCCCCCTCTCCCACTTCTCCCCCTCCCCCTCCCCATCCTCCCCATCCACAACCCACAGCACCCGCGGCTTCTCCCTCCTCCACAAAACCACCTTATCCCTCTTCGCCCCGCTCCTCCTCGCAATCCCCACCTCCATCCCCTTCCTCGCCGACGACGGCCTCTCGCTCGCCGAGTACCTGATCGTCGCCGTGTGCTCTCGACCCTTGTCTTCGGGGGGCGCCATGACCGCCTGCGAGCCGCCGACCATCCACCTACTGCTCGGCGTCCCGGCCTTCTTCGCCGTGCGGGCATCTTTCTTGTCGAATTTGCGGGATTTTAGGGTTCGTTTAGGTGGAGGGTAAGGATTAAGTAAGGCAAAGTGCCTAAGAACTGATAACCCCTATTCCTACTTGGAGCACCTAAGTAGGTAGGTACCGAGGCAGGCAGGTTATGTGGAGGAAAGCCAGCCAAAGAAGTTCTGGCTTGAATAACGCACCTGCGGGGTGACAAAACGTGAGTACCATCGTATCTCTCTTGATGAGCCCAACATCAACCTCAACATTAACAACGATATAGGCATTAGCCCCGTCTAAGTACGTACACGATAAGTCTAGCCCCTCAACACTGCCTAGGTAGGTAATTACCTATGCTAGTACCTATATACTAGGTACGCTTCTACCTAGCACCCTTCACTAAACCCTCATAGTTGCCCACCACCCCTATCCCCTATCCGACTCAGACTTCGTCGGTGGGGATAGGAATAGACAGCTACCGTTCTGTCAGCACATCAAAGACGCTTCACACTTTAGACTTTCCATTCAGAACATGCTTTTATTCAATCTATTTAACCTCGCATTAGCTGGCCTGATGCCATTTCTTAAGATATAATTCCTTTTTAAACCTAATCGTTTAATCTTTTGCTCATGCGTAACAACGTAACCGTTAATTTATCCAAGTCAATATCCGCTTGTATACAAACAAGCCTCTACTCCGCCTCATTACGAGATAAGGTCGAGTGCAGCTTATGCTGCTTCATGAAGGAGACGCTGACAAGCGCAAAGAGGGTTAGACCGAGCGCGGTAAACCATACACTCCTGAAGGCTTCCATAAACGATGCGATGACGCCATCGTACCAGCCATCGGGGAGATGCTTAAGTTCATCCAGATCATCCCTGATTCGGCTGATCTCCTCCGCCGCTCCCGGGAAATCCCCGAAACGATCCCATAACTGGAGCTTGAGCACGTTCTGATAGATGGTGGAGGCGACGGTAACGCCCACTGTGGCACCAACGGATCGAAATGCGTAGGTGGCAGATGTGATCGTGGCTTGGTCAGAATGGTCAACTGCTGCTAGACAGGCGAGAAGCGTAATGGTAAGCATGGCACCGTGGCCGGAACCCAGGAGGAAGAACGCGATCATCAGGGGCCACTGCGGGGAATTCTCGTCAAGTGTCGTAAGGATGATAGCGGCAGCAGGCAGGAGTGCCACCGCAAAGATACCCAGAGCCAACTAAAATACGGTTAGAAACGATGCGCAGAGTAAAGTAACTTACCACCTCCGTTGAAGGGTAGAATAGATCAATGCCCTGAAGCGCTTTGATAGAAGTCTTTGAAAAGGGGGGTATATAATGGCATTCGAGCTGGAAAACATCAAATAGGCACTTACTGCATCATTGTTAGTACCGACAAACACAGAATGAAAGGGGAATCAGAGTAGAATACGCACCATAACGTCCAGTTTTCTTCATAATTAGCCCACTTCCAACTGAGCAAATGCATATTCCAATAGGTGCGAACAAGACCACTACTCCTGATTCTGTAGCAGATTTTCCAAGGGATTGCATGTAAAGGGGGGCGTAGAAAAGAGGCATATTAAACGCCATGGAACATAGTAAATTCGTCATACAAGATGTGAACACAGTTCGATGTAGGAGCAGCCGAACAGGAATAACAGGCTGCTTGGCGCGTGTTTCCCAGATAATGAAAACGATCAACGCCACGACAGACAGCGGCAACGTCGTGAGAGGTAGGGGATGTAGCCATGGAACCAGATTACCCCCAGCATTCAAACCAAGTAGCAACAAGATGAGGAACACGAGGAGAGAGAAGGCACCGGTGAAGTCGATGCGAGCTAGGTACGACTTCTCAGATATCTTGGGAGGTACTCGAACAAGATAGGCAACTAGACAGGCCGAAACCAAAACGGGAGGGACCTGGCACAAGAACGCTAAACGCCACCCTCCAGCCGAATGATCGTTGAGCAGACCTCCGAAGACACCACCCAGCATTGCTCCGCTTCCGAATAAGATATTGCCGACACCTTGAATAACCCCGCGATTCCGTAGCGGGACCAAGTCAGTACATAGGAATGTACTTATCGACATAAGACCGCCACCTCCGATTCCAGCGATGACTCGGCCGAGGATCATGACATTCGCATCCTGGGCAAGGCCGCAGATGAGATTGCCTGCCGCAAAGAATATATTGCTGAAAACAAGGCCAGGTCCTCTTCCGAAGATATCCGTCAGACGTCCAGAAAGAGGCTGACATGCGGCATTGGATATGAGATAAGCAGCCGCGAGCCATGATAACAGACCTAGTGAGTGGAACTCGCTGGAGATAGGGGCCGATAGCGTGGCAATAATAGTCGTATCAATGGCGCCGAGAAACACACCAACCCAGCAAGTACAGAGGATGAGCCATAATTTGAAGCCTGCTATCTCCTCGACGATGATGACCTGCTCGGTGTCGCCATTGACGGATGGAGACAACTCCTGCGAGGCACCATTCTTGTTCCGATCTTGTAGCAGCGGTGTCCTCTCATCAATTTCATTTTCGTCCATTGGTATGGGTGGAATGATCTGAATACTCTCAGACCCCTCCATGTCAGCAATTTGTTGTTATTCCACGTTGAACCTCCACGTCCAAATATGTATATGAGATACCCTAGGTAGATATATATTCTTTTGGACTCTCAACTGAGCGACGAAAGTGACTTGGTAGGTTAGAATCCCTCGAGATGATAAGTTGTGATGTATTCTCGTAGTCTCGATAAGTTCCAAGTAAGATTAATAAAAGAAAGTCATTAAAAATACATATGACCAGAAGATCCATAGATGGCGAGATCTGAACCGGGGTTATCAACTAGACTGTTAAATAATTGATCACCTAATAGCACAATCGGGGTTTAGCATACGAAGCTGAGGGAGGTAATCAAAACAACGTCCCCGATTATCGGCACTTGACATGTATGCATATATGCGCCTTTCCTTCAATGTTCTGATCCTACTGATGGAAATATTTGGACAGTTTTAGAGTTGAAGAGTTGAAAATTATAGGTATCGTTTCTTGAAGATGGCCCTGGAAACATTTACTATCATTTTGTTTAATTTCATATTTACCAAGGCAAGCTTGTCAATTTGCAAACTCTAAAGAAATGGAGATCGTTGATACCTAGATCAGTCTGTGTGTCAACGGCACAACTTGGAACTGGAGATAATCGATAAGGCTGGGTTGAGATGCATAACGTAGTACATGCATACCACTACTTTGATGCATGTATGCACTATGTAGTACTAGGTCGTACTTGTAAGCCTACATGTAAGTGAAGATGCATTGTATTCGAGAAAGGTGAGACAATTACAGTCAGTTAAATAAGTGCAGATTCGGATGACCATTTAACTACTGTATTGGATTAGATTTCTTCAATAGCTTGTCGCAACAATAAAAGGACGATGATTTGCTGGTCTCGGCTTCGCGCGCGGTTATGGCGGGAAATATGGACATCAGCAGTTATCAATGGGTGACGTAGACCGGCTTTTAGTGGGCTCATGGTCTCCTCTATTCAGGTGGCTTAGCATCGAATCTTCAGCTGGCACTGATATGAACATTCCATGCTAGTGGCTGTGTTCTGTGACAAACAGGTGACAGGATGCGCCTAACACACATGACATAAGCCAAAAGCCCCGACTAAGTGTGGCTGAGCTGAGAATAAAATGGATACCGTCTCCATTTACATTACGCACGGCGTGCAATCGCTAGGGTATAGTGTACTAGTTACGTACATATTCATCGGCTCAAAGCATTCGTATCGGCGGAGGGACAATCTAGTAGAAAACCGATATTGTAGTTAGGCATAAAAATTAAAAAAACAATAAACATCAATACCATAACGATCCGACTTTTGACGCTGATACCTTTCTTGTTTTGAACTTTTACTCTTGTAAATTTGCATCTTGGTATTATTGTTATTATTATCAAACATCAGAAACAAGCCCAGGTCTCTTTGAAACTATTTAGTACATACAATCCTAGTATCTACAATTATATACCTTATATTATAAGTTATATACCTAGTAACCTAACCTTGACCATTCAAGTCACTCTATCGTTTCAACATCATCGTCAGCCGCAAAGCCGCAACGCCGCCACGCCGCCCCTAAAATACAACCTAATCTGCTTGGCTGTTTCCCACAAGCTCCCGCATCTACTTCAAGGTATTTACCTTTTTTCTTCCAGACGTTTTTTTACCAAAACCTATCATAGTCTTACCCTACATCCTACCGTTCGAACTTATTCAACATCAACATCAGCCTTATATTTCTCTAGCACGACTTGGGCCACACATTAACCTCCGCACCGTTTAGAACTAAGGTAGCCATTGAAGATGGCCCTGTTCGAGAAGTTAGATATCAACCCAGATAAGGTGCCAAACACTAAACTCGCCCTCCACATCCTCCAAATCATCCTGGCACTGGTAGTATTCATCCTCGAGATCATTCTATTCCGAGCCCAAGATTCCCTAATAAACGGTAACAATGGTTGGCCATTCGGACTGGTACGTTGAGATATCCCTACATCTGTCAGCATGGAACATGCGAAAACTTGCAGCAGCTTACAGGACTTCCCATGATAGTGTTTCTTATCCATCCCGGCCTGGATCTACCTAGCCATGGCCCCGCGATTCGAACGGACCCGGAAGATTGCCCAACCGCACGCCATGGTTGTTACCGACACCATCTTCACTATCTTCTGGCTATCCGGTTTCGCCAGCCAAGCCGCCTACAACACCGCCAACTCGTGTGGACAAGGTTGCGCCGTCAGCAAGGCCATTGTCGGCATTGCATTCTTTGAAACGTAAGCAACGGAGCGATTAGCCCTTCGAAATCTTAACAGGCATCCTAAAAATACCCTAAGCTAACCATTTTTATATCAGCCTCATTTGGGTTGCGACAACAGCCGTCAGCGTGTACACGCTGCGCTACTACCAACGCACCGACGGGCTACCGGGATACGAGAACCTCGGGCAGAGCCAGAACATCGACCCGGACAAGGCTGCCTTCTCGATGGCGCCGCACGACGAGGAAGCCTACGCCCCGGTGCAGATGGACGACCACCATGACGACCACACCGACACGCACGACCAGCCCTACGACCCGGCCGACACCTTCACCGGCCGCTTCGACAACGACACCGCCTACCGACCGCACAGCGTTTCCCCAGCCCCGCTCGAGAACCCCTTCGACCAGGCCTACCGCACCCACAGCACCTCGCCTTCCCACACCGACCTCTACGGCGGCGCCTCGGCCTACGGCTCCCACTCCTCGCGGCCTCAGATCTACGCGCCGCCCGCCGCGGAGGACTACGACGACGATAGGCCCGTGCAATTCCCGAGCGCGAACTACGACCGCACGTTGCATTAAGCTGAAGCTAGGTCCGATGGTGTGTGGGCGGGTGATTTGCTCGCCGTTTGGCTGCTGACGAGATTAATGGTTTATCGATTCATTCTACGAGGATACGATAGTAGCAGTCCGGTGGCAACCATATCGTGGGTGGTCGAGTGAGTGAGTGGTCGAGTAAAGAGGCCGAGGAAGAGAAAGCAAGGAGGGAAATGGGCAGTATGTTGAAACCGAGGACGAGAGAGAAAAAATGAGAGAAGGAGAGAGAAAGAGAAAGAGAAGTCGCTTGGAACGGAAAGAAATCAAGTTGGGCGGATTTAGTATTTTAAAAAGATTCACGAAACGGTGATCGGTGTTCCGGACGGATATTTACATATATTGCTCATTACGGCAGCACTAAGGGGTACCCAGGAGACAGACAGTGTTTCTACGAATTGTTATACTTGTGCTTGCTTGCTCTTGCTTTGTTGGTTCGATAGGGCCCAAAGTTACGATACGACTTTTATTGCAAATACATATATAGCCAGCCTTGGGAGGAGGATTAGGATATGATAGGATGCCTTAGGTAGCTTGGCAGCAACGAATGGTTTTTTTAATGATGTGACGTTCGTTCGTTTTGGTGTGGTCTCGTTTTTTCGTTCTTCTTTCTCCTTTTGGGGGGGGGGTTGGGAGTTGGGGGTTGGAAGGTTGAAGGTCTGTTGTTTATACGGAGGTAATGCGTATGATAAGGTGATGCGTATGATATGAGTCCCTATACACTACTTATTCACATTCCAAGGATCAATGGATCGATCGATCGAATTTGTAAAGCACTTTTTGTTGCATGCCGAGTGCTGCTGGCCTATAGTATGTATGGCCTGCTAACTCATATATGATCCAATAACGCCTTGCAATGCGGTCGTCTGATATACCTAGGTTAGGTAGGTATATGAAAAGAAAATGCAACACCAGACAGACAGGAGCTCACATAACCCCCTTACCCCTTTTTATCTCTTTTCTTTTAAGCCGAAGAAGTCCCCTTCCACTTCCTTATCCGCCGCGAGATATCCGCCTCGGTCTGCTGCATGGGGTTGAGCTTGAGATCCCTTGCCATCGCCCGCGTGTCCTCGCCATGCTTATCCACGAGCCTCTGCAGCCACTCGATCTCCCGCTTCGTCAGGGTGCGCGGCTTCTTGACGACGGGCCGGTTGGCCTGGACTTCCAGCTGCGGGACGATGCCGCTTCCTTCTCCTTCCTCGATGCCGCCCCACTCCTCACCGGCTTCCATCTCCTCGTCCTCGTCGGAATCCAGCTCGTTGAGCGGATCATTCAGCGGGTTCTCCCGCTTCTTCTGCCCATCGAGTACGCGCACGATCTTCCCGTCGGCGTCGCGCTCGACGCGCACCTCGCTCACGATGGCGCCGGTGAACTTGCGGATCGCGAAGGGGTCGACGGGCTTCGTCGGCCGCCCTTGCTTCTCGCCGCGCGACGCGGCGTTGGGCTCCACGCCGCCGGTGGGGGCTTTCAGCCGGGAGACGAGGCCGAGGCGCTTGTAGTTCTGCGTTGTGGTTTCTTTTTTGTTCCTGTGGTACGAGGATCAGATGTCTGTCTAGCCTGGGAATTGCCATGCGCTATGCCATGTTGTGACATGGCCAGTGGGGATGGAATAGGCAAGGACTGGGTGGTTGGCTTGCTTGCTTGCTTACCAGTGCTTTGCGACAATGTCGTTCCCCAGTGGGTTGAGCAGCCGCTTCGATTGCATGGTCGATGAGGGCTGGCGGATGGAGGGGCGGGATGAGCGCCGCTTGCGCTTCTGGAGATCTCGACCCATAATGTTTGATGTTTGGTTTGGTTTTGTTTAGTTCTTCTTTCTGGGTTACTACTACTTCACAATACGAAGTATGAGTTTTCTGTAGTATAAGTTCGTGATCGTGGAACTCGAAATTTGTTTGGTGGTATTGTATTTTTCCGTCGTAACTTCAGCTGGTAAAGTTTCAAAGTTCGTACATGGTCCCTGGTCCCTCCAAAACTTTTTTTTAGATACGACTTGGTGATAAGAGATAGGCCCACATATTCCTTATCAGTTGTCATGGTTCTTATCTGCACGTGCCCATATTTTGAGTGTTACATTTACCTTGTCTGAGTGTTACGGCCAAGCAAAAGTTTCATCAGGAAACAACTTTTCAATGTTCTAACATTGATGAGCATTACCTACCTACGATTACTATTGGTGTCGACTATAGGTGCCTACCTATCCATACCACCCATACCGTCCATGCCATACTGCATGCCATACCACTCATGTCTATTGTGCCACAATCCGTCGATATCTCGTCACTGTGCACCCTTGGGTTCAAGAGATGGCGAGCCTCCAAGGTAGCCTAGACGAAGTCGTTATACGAGAAACTGTCGCGGTTCTGCCATATCGAGACATATATACCGTTCTTGGTATTCTGGACTCCATACGCCACTTTACCAAGCCTCGGTGTAGGACTTTTGGAATGGCTTACATGCTGCACAACTTTGCGATTGATTTCAAAGCACTGATCCACGAGCTTCATAACCTGGAATTGCTTCCTCCTAGGGGAGGACGTCCTGATATGCAAATGGAAGCTCTCCGTCCTTAGTTCAAAGAGAACAATGCAACTATAGAGGCTAAGTAGCATTTTGGAGACTGGATCTCTCCCTTAAGGGCCATGTCTTCGGTACCAACCTAGATCGCAACGAAGGCAGTGCCTTTCTGTTGGTTCCTAGACCTTGCTCAAACAAGAATTTACTCGAGCAGTCGATATCCCTTATTCAGAGGAGAAAGGTGAGCCGGCAGACACCTACTTAGGCAGTAGGAGCATCCAGCCCAATATACCCTACCTACTTCACATACCGTCTGGTGTGATCATAGCGAAATGTGAGATCCCTCATCCTATTGATAGTAAAGATAGGGAGGCTTGGCGGCACTTTGCGGCAAAGTACCCATCTCTCACCAAGGCGAAAAAGGGCCAACATGGCACGCCTGCTGAGATGATTGACGCATCGACTCACTTGAAAGTCTCTGATCCTGTAGGGGATCTCGGCATCTCTTCTTGTTCTTTCCACATGCCCTTTCAAGAACTATGCCTGAGCTACCACAAACAGTGGTTCCCCTATTTCCGCCAGAGTGCTTGCTAGCCTCTTTCGACATGTTAAGCAGATGGCTATGAGGACTGCGAGAAGAGTCGACGCAGGGGACTTGCGAACGCAACCGCAGTGTAATGTCCTCACTTCCATCCCCAGGTTGTTGGCAACCAGAAAGATGCGAGGCTATCATTCCCTAAAAAGGGGGCCACCACGCGCAGATTATACCCTTAATTAATTTCACTTGGCCACGATCGAAAAGTAATCGAAAAATGGACTGCATTCTTCTGAAGGAGGAGTTTCTCATATCGTCATTAAAATGAAGTCATTCTTGTAATTTCTTTGCATCTCAGCAAACGCCGATGTCAGACTATTCCTTCAACTTTAGTACAGCTACGCTACGCTTCCATACGGGCTAGGATCTATGTCCCTACATCTGAATTTGCTGAGATAAGCTACAACCTAGCTATTAAAGCAGCCCCCAAACAGGGCTGTGTTCTTACAAATACATTATAACTCAATTTGTCTTGTTGTGGACGATTCCCGGGTCCCAACATCTACCTACAACATACTTCATACCGTACTAGATGAAGGAAGTCCTGATTAAGTACCTACCTGGGTACCTAGGTATTTATCATGACATCTTTATGAATTTTACCCACTCTCACAACCCATACGCCGTTCTCTATTTACTAGGATCTTTCACTATGTCTAGTTCGTATGCGTCCTACCTAGGTACCTATATAGTATCGTTTCAACGATGAGTCGAACGGGGCAGTGCATTTCCCGTCCAGTGAGAAGAAGACGATGTTGCATATTCCTTATGAACAGGACTGTAACTAAATCCCTGAGTCCCGAGTTGATTCCAAAGAATGTACACCATACAGATGGAGGCGCACCTCGCCTAATTATCTACGTTACATGGCTTCCTACGTACCGATACGAAACCCCCAAACATAGTTCCTGGCTGCCTGTCAATCTCACCAAGTGACCTCAAAGCACCCAAGTACATAGTAGTGTCAGGTAGTTTTATGCTCCACCCCAACCCACTCGATCGATCGCCGACTATTATCGCCCAGTAGGCTCTCGCGATCCGAGAAGAATGCTGGGGCCCGAACAGGGCCAATCGGCAGCCATGAGAGCTTCTGGAACCCGCCGATGCGGCCAAGCCCGCAACATTGATGCAGTAGCCGGGGGGGTTGCAAACCGCATTCAACGTCGCATAACACGGGCGCTGTCTACTAGTTATAGATGGGGAATGAACCCCGAGCCGCTTTCTTCCCCCCTTAACTTTCAAGTCTCGAATCACGGAGCCACGTTCCAGAAATGGACCCCTGACTAGCAGATCCGGCGAGCTACTAGAAGTCGCAAAGAAGAAGCTAAAATTCCTTTTCCTTCGGCGGGACACAACCCATTCATCTGTGTACATTTTGCGTGCTACTACCACTACTACCGCTGCCACCACTTCTACCTACGTGGGATGTCGTCTTGCTCGCATCATCGTCAAGGCCCACGACGCTTGCCGATGGGTTCCATTAGTTTGGGGGGGCCGGTCCTCTCTTGCTGATGTTGTGCTGGCGGAAGATCTCGGATCCCGGAGTCGGTCTCTGCCAATGACTTGGTTCGTCGGATTATGAATTGGTTGCTTAATTGATCGATCTAATGGACACTCACTAGAGGCCTAGTCTAGTACCGCTAGCAATCCCCCCCTGAGATAGGAGAGGGAACTAAGAACTAGGACAGGGCTCACTATTCATCCCAAACACCCATACGATCTACCTACTATGGAAATCATCTAGATTCATTAATCCTCCCCCTATGTGCATTCGGAAGTTCTCTCCCTTGCAGTTTCGCGCCGTCGACTTATTAGCACCGGGAGCTGAGCACACCTGCCAACCATGAGCTTCTATTTGCCGGGAAGGGCTGTTTGTGGTGTCGATCAGACGATGACCTGTTAACAGGCTCTGTTTTATAAGTCCGCCAAACTCAAGAAATTACTGGGCGAACCAAAAGATAAATGCAAGTTTGCTGGCGGGAGCTGGGCACCTACCGTGGCTACCTAGTATTTTGCTATCTAGAGGTAGATCCCCCTTTGCTCTACGGTCTACCCTTTGGTACGGTTAGTACATTTATCTAAGTACCTACCGAGCAAAGGTGACTAGCCAAGGTGAGAGATTTCAGTTCTGAACGTACCGTGCTGTATCATACCCTAACCGTACAACTAAAGTTACCTACCTACCTTCCTACCTACCTGTGCAGCGACGATCATTCTAGACGGTGGGGCGCGGGTGATTTTGGTTAGTGACGGGTAAGGCAAGGAGTAGTGGGACGGGCGATGAGTGGTTGAACCAGTTTTTCTCTCCCTTCTTCTTTTTCTTCCATCTACCTAGCCAATGCCGGAATGGCTTGGGGAAAAAAAGGGGGCGTCGTCACCAGCAGCAACCAAAATGAACAAGCAAGCAAATCAAACATCACACCAGAGAAAACCCTATGCCGATGGTCAGGTACCTAGGTGTGTGGATCTATCAGTATGTGCAGCGTTTGTTGTGTTGGTACGTATGCCATATACCTACATCATAGACTGCAACTTCTTGGCTCGAGGCCTTCCTATCTATCTAAGGATATCTATCGCTGACAACTGCCTAGCTAGCTATAGCTGGAAACCTGGATGAGGATACCTACCTGCCTCGACAGGTAGTCAAAAAGCCAAGCCGTAGTATCGAAGGGTAGGTACCTGTCTCGGTACTCACTTTGGTCTCTGACCCTTTTTTCTTCTTTTCGCCTCTTTTCTACCTCGCTTAGACGTCTAGCTCGTTTTCGCCTCTAGAATCATGAATATCTACTAGGTATGTAGCTCCACTTCCTTCTCTCTCTTTCTCCTGCCCCCCTGCCCTGTTATCGTATCACGTACATTACGATCTTGTAGATCTGGCCATACTCCATTCTCCTGCGAAGCTTCTCGCTACGGGTTTAGCGTCGATACGTTTGCCCGTACCTACCTACCTAGTACTAGCCAGGTGGCTAGATAGATACCTACTTAAGGTGAGACGAAAACAGACAGGGCTGGGGAACTGGCGATGGCGTCGTTTTTTCTCGTCGCTTGCTTGCTTGCTTGCTCTCCTCCCTCATTAGGAAATGTGTGGGGAGTGGGGGGTTCGTCGGAATGCGGCGACAAGACGCAAACCTACCTAACCTACCTACCCGACTACCTACCTATGTACCTACCTTGCTACTTGCTACCCAAGTAGGTCGGTATCTACTTAGGTATGTATATGTAGTAAGGGTTTACGATATTTCTATACGAAAGGGTATTTTTCTGCCCTGGGGGTGGGGACTTGGCTACTTCTGTTGCAGATCTCCGTATCTACCTAGATCTACCATACCGGGTTTGGGGAAATTTGGAAATTGTAGGTAGGTACAATACATATTTAGCTTAGGTAGCTGGTAAGTACCCGGCTTAGGTGCCTATATCTCGTGTTGGGCGTTTCAGATCAATGTAGGTACACAGATATGTAGTATCTTCTCGGGTTTTATCTACTTACATAGTACCTACTAACATATAGTGATTGTTCAATTTTGGTTATTTTTTTAAAAAACATATCCATCCTAGTACGAGGTTCCTGGCTAGCATGCCGTACAGATGTCGATTGAGGTCCGTTCTATCCTGACAACATTACCTGCGGTGATCAGTACAAGGTAGGTACAATACCTCGGCAGACTAAACCCATTCTTCATTGCCCTGTCTGCCAAGAGTGTATACCATACCCAATCCATCGATATATTCCTAGCCTCCCTAAAGTCCCTGAATAACTACATCATCGGACCCTACCGGCATTCGTGATATACATGCCCAGAACATATATCATCATAATGCCTAGGACCTAGGGACCTGGCATGGTCATGGCGCCCATAGATCTACCTAACCTTTGGCCCGTCCGTGCCTGGCAACTAGGGTTTATCGTAAAAAAAAAAAAGATAAAAATAAAAATATTAACACGATTCAATAAGGACTCCTTTTCCACTACCACCTATACCTGAGCCCTGGAAGTAATATTCTTCACGACATTGAATGTCTTGCATGTGACCTGAGCTAGCAACCTTGGAAACTTATGTACATTAACTAGCTGTTTACTATCTATTAATAAGCTATTAATATGCACGTGTGTAATTGTGGCTGGCTGGGTACATCATACAGTTAGTTACATACCAGTTGACTTCATTCAGACTGTCAGTGCGTGCTCAACTGACTACAGCTCCAGAGCTAAGTAACCCCCCCCCCCCCTCCCCCCAAAGAATTACATACCCCCTCCAATTACAAAATCATCATCTGCAGCTTTAATAAGTTACAACTACCAAACAAACCTACATATTAGAAAAAAGAAAAGAAAGAAAGAAAAAAGCGGTAAGGTAAGTAGATAAGTAGATGATAAAGAAACAGAAGAAAAAAAAAGTAAGGGGTAGGTACTTTAGTTCAGCTTTAGGTTAAGTTAAGCTACATATGTATGCTAAGTTTAGCTCGTTTGGCATATAACATATACATACATAGCCCTGTATAGTATCAATAGCATCATCATCATCATTTGATGGCTAGTTACATATTAGACTAAGCCAGGGCTGCCAGGTACAATACCTACAATGTATTGTATTGTATTGTACCTAGGTAGGCGGGTGAGAACCTACCTAGGTATAGGTAACGAACGGTTCCTTCCCGCATTACCCCCCTACATACATACTTGCTTGTGACAGTGGTGGTGGCCCTGGTGGGTGGGTGGTGGGTGTATAACAAAGTACTAGGAATAAATACTATAACCTCCACCGCATACATCGCATAGTTAATTATTACATACCTAGGTACAGTAGTTAGGTTAGTTAATTAACTAGTTAGCACGCGAAGATGAACGTAGTTATCGCGTGCTGAGCCCACCACACACCCACCCAGCCCACTTCAATCCACTCTTTTTTGCGCGCGCGCGCGCACATGTTTCTCTTTTGCATTGAGCATTGCAAGACCTACATACCTACCTAACCTAGTACCTAACTGATATGCAGCAGCACATACATTCAACGTGGGTAAGTAGGTATGTGTGTAGTCCTAGAACTTCAACATGTAACTACAAGCCTACCTACCTACCTACCTACCCACATACATACATACATACATACATACCCACTAGTTATAACAAACCCAGTAGTTACCTAAAAAGCATGAGGCGCATCAACTCAATGGCGTGACGTCTTTACCCCCTCCCCTCCCCCTACATTCTCATCCCGGGAGATCTACCTTACGTGCGTTCCGTGCTCTGTGCTGCTGACATCTCATCTCATCTCGTCTTGTGCTTTGCTTGCTTGCTTGCCTGTCGACTTGCTCACATGCGCTTGCTCCCCGGTGGTGGTGTGTGTTGTGTGTGGTTTCGGGAGAGAGAAAATGGACATGCGATACGTGGGGGGGTGGGCTTGTACGTATGTACAATACCTTGTGTGGTATAGGTGGGTATGTACAGTATGTATGTAGGCATGTACAAGTCCACACCACCCACTACATCTCCAAGGCTTAAAAAAAACATACAATCACTAAATCACGAGACCAATTTAACGAACTACGTAGGTCTACTGTATGCTCATGTGCGCGGGTATGTGTGTGTAGTCATGTTTTGGGGTAAATCTTGTCTCTTTTCTCTCTTGTCATCAGCTCTTTCTCTGTCTGTCTCTGTTCTCTGTCTCGCTTCATCACCGTCTGTGCCTATGTATGTATGTATGTCTCTCCATTTCCATCCCCATGCCTATCTCTCTCTCTCTGCTCTTCATATGCAGCGTAAACGTCATATGCCTACTAGATACACAATAAACCCAGAACAAAACAATAACAGCCCACCTACCCTTCTCTACCCCCGCGGACCATCATCGCCGATGAGAAGGAGCGGGAAAAAGCCCAACATCCATCGACCTTCCCCTTTTTCTTAAGGGTTTCCATCTAGTAGTAAAAAAGCCCTTCCCGACATACATTTCCCGTTCGCAAATAGGTATAGGTTTAGACCATCCATCCCAGTGTTGAATAATAATAAAACAATAAAAACAATAAAACTTTAAAAATCCCTATATCCTAGATATCATTCATACCGCCGTAACAAAACAATTCCGTGATATCCAAAAATGCAGTGCAGTGATAATAATACAGTTCGTAGCCAGTAAAAACATGGTGATGAGAAGGGGAATTGGGGTGTGCGAGAAAATGAAAATGAAAATAACAGAATAAACGGTAGAAAAGAGATAAATGCCATAAAAAAAGGTGGTATAACCCTCAATGATATCATTCCCATGTGATCCCAGATTCCGTAGCATGTAAAGCCTGCCTCCCTTTTTTCTTTTGTTGTTGAAAGCAATAAGATGGCCACGGCGCCTGTATTGGCGCTCCTATTAAAACATGATCCATTCGACGTCGACACCGGGTCCCCCGATACATTTCGTCCAGTTGAAACAGCCACGCCTCATTCCAAGCTTGTTGCCAGGAGTTCTTGGGGGCTCGTAGTATTCGCCAGCCCATAGCCGCTCTAAAACTTCGATGGCTGCAAGGTTGTTCATATAGCCGCTGCGAGACATGATTTCACGGCACTTGTTGCGAACAATGTTTTGCTGTAGCTCGTTGACGCATTCGCTACCAGATACGAAGAGCGGCCATAGTAGGAATTTCTCGGCGTTACTGCCACTCTCGAGTGAGGTTGCGTAGTAGATAACTTGACTGACTAGGTTACGGAAATTGTTATGAGTAGAAGGCACGTTAGGCGCTGCTAGACGTTCGGTGTAGAGTAGGGCCGCATATCGGAAAGCTTCCGAGAGCGAGTGTAGGTCACGGACTTGGCTTTGCGTTGCCGAGTTAGGCAGGGATGCAGCCACCCGTTGAGCGTCAAACTCCCAGTTCTGGAGCGCTGTGCGTGCTTCCTTCCACTCACACCAAAAGCTTGAACGGTTTTCATCGTACTGCGGCGAAGAGCAAAGTCCAGTAGCTAATATCTCCTCCTCGTCAAGCTGCGACGAAAAGCCGTTGCCATCGTAACGGTGGTGGTTTATGCTGAAGAAGTCACCAAGAGATGGAACTGGTTGCTTGAATGAGTGTCCAAGAGGCGAGCCCACGGGAGAAGCTACTGATGGTGTTCTAATGCGCCCGGTAGGTGTTGCTTGGTTATTCCGTACTGAACGATGCTGAGATAGGAGGTTTAGGCGGCCAAGCTTGCTTATGGTCTTGAACAGCTCTCTATCACATCCAACCAAGTTCTCAGCTCCTGGAGGCAACAAGTTGGCGTCTGAGGGTAGACCATAGAAGGGATGATTGAGCTGGGCTTCGCGATCATTGATACTAGCCGATATCGAATCGAAATAGGTGAAAACAGCTTCCATCCACGCGGACTCAGTTGACCCTCTATAAGGGGCAGCACCTCGCATACTTAGTATCTTCTTGACTCCTGCAAACTGCGTGTGGAACTTTGCGACTCCAGATTCGACCATACGGTAATGGCAAAGGAGCAGTATAGTAGCTAGAACCGAGTCGTGGCACGATTTCGCGGGATCGTTCAATTGTTGGTTCAGGAGGTGAACAGCCAAGTTGCGGTGTTGGTGTTCTTCTGACAAAGAATGGTGATCGGATTGGGTGTCACCTAGTCGTGGAGAGCTGTGGATATCTAGGTCCCTGGCATGTTGACCAAGACTTAGCCTCCTTTTCATCCTCAGATTGCATGCCGCCAGAGCGCAAATAGCATGTTGTAAGCTGCGGCTACCTGATGCTAGCCGTAGAATATGGTCTCGGAATGGATTATTCGGTCCATCTACAAGCACCATGGACGGGCACATGATATTTTCATAGTAATCCATGAAAAACGGCATCTTAGCAATGAGATCATGGCTGACCTGTATCGACTGGCTCTCAAAGGAAAGCGTCGAGGTAGCCGAAGTGGGCTCCATAGCATGGAGAGTTACATCATCCTCCCGTGATAATGAGGCCCAGTGGGAACCGGTCGTGGAATGCGGGCTGGTGCCGTAAGACTCCATCTCAGGGGCGTCTGTAAGGAGTTGTCAGTGATCCGAGGCGTAGGATTTCGGAACGCGTGATCCTTACTCAGAGCATCGCTATCCGCCACCAGTCTGTGAGACATGTGTGGCTCGAAAGAGTCGGGGTGTGAGCTAAGGCTCGAACTTGGCTCGGAGGGGGTATAGACAAGACTAGGGCAGGACGTTGGGGCCCGTTGATCGATCATAATCGCCGCGGCGGAGCTCTGAGACACGGGTGAGTTCTGGGTAGCGTAGTTCTCATACACGAGAGTTGGGCTGTGGACGAAGGGAATTTCTTCCCTGGGATAAGAATGTCCCGGGGGCGATAGGTTATAGTCGACTTCGCTCAAAGATTCCACGGATGATCCTAAAGAGTCTCCCATTATTGGAAAATGGTTCATAGAGGTGCTGAGCTTGTGATATCTAGACTGGTCATGGACACCCATGCTACCAGCATATGCTGGTAGGGCTCCCCATACTCTCTGCGACGCCGATGTGGCCGTTTCACTAGGCGAATACCTTGAATATTCCGCATAGCCCCCGTACTGCGATGTAGGCACAGAATGGCCATGGTCTCCGTTGATGTCGACATCGTCTCGGTGCACTCTACGTGCAGCTTCGTCTGAGTCGTTCCACTGGGTCGAAGTTGTTGTGGCAGCAGTATTCGCTCGTGACCGGCCTGTCACTTTCTTTCCAATGGGTGCGACTGGTGGTGCCTTTGCGATAGGCAACGAAAGTCCTCGAAGTTTCCCTCTACTTGCCACACCCACTCCCCAAGTCAGCTGAGTCTTATACCCGGAACATTCATTCCCAATCTCGAGACATTGTGAGCAGTAAGGTCTTCGTCTGTCACATTTGGTGTTCCTCTTGATGCATGTGAAGCAGTCATCGGCAGCTCCCCCGGCGGGGGCCCGTCTCCTCCGCTTGCGGGCAGCCTGGGCGTCCTTCGACGAATTGGACTGTGAAGGAAGTGAGACTGTCATGTTAGGATATATGCACTTATAAACGAAAGTGTGATGTAGTGTAGCGTGCTTCTATCAACCTGGAAGGGACACACAGGGAAGCTCGGCGCAGCAGCGGTGTCGACTTGGGTCTCGAAGCAATATAGAAACTCTTGTCTTTGAGCAAAGAGGAAGGTTGACTGGTATGGGTAAATAGGTGTTAATATGGAAAAGATGGATGGCCCAAGCAAGAAGTTTATTGACAATGCATGAGAAGAGGTAGACGGGGTTGACGGGGGGTGGAGTGAAGGGACCTGATATAATTATGGCAAGTCGAGATGCGGTCTCTATATGAACAACCATACATACCTAGGTAGGTTACAAGCATACATATGTACAAGCATACAAGCGTACAAGCATGCAACTTGCAAGCATATGTACTTGACACCAGACTACCGTCTAGTCCATCGAAGAGCAGGGCATGTTTTCAAGTCGTACTCTCCACCCACTCCCCAGGGCAGTACGGGAGAGGTACACAGATACCCTCCTCCATGGTCAACCCTAGTCAAGTAGGGGAGGCGATTAATCTGCAAGTACAGTAGCAGTCTACACAGACAGACCAAACATCAGAGTAGAGCAGGGGTGGGAAGGCTACTTTTTGGGGGGGGAGGGGGGAGGGGGGTGGGTAATGGACGAGGCATCAAAAGGTTGTAGGATTGGAAGAGAGACGACAGGGAAATCTAAGGTTGATGGTTGATGGCCTGGTATGTAGATACACTGATACAGTAGTGGGTAGGTTGAGATGGGGTGTGCAAGATCGAGGGGAACGAATGGGCAGCTTGGGCAAAAGGGTGTGGATCTCTCTTTCCACTTACACGATCAGCGGGATGTGCCAGCGGTATGCTACTATGGTACCTTCATGATACATACATATGTACCTAGTAGCAGGTCGTGGGGCGTTAGAGAAGGAGGAGGGACGGGGACATGGACAGGGGCTAGGGTCACCCTGGTCAGGCCTTAGTATGCAAGGACGGGGATGAATGAGAATCATAGCAGGCATTACAAGCATTGCAGGCATTACACAGGCCCTACAGGCATTATAGGCCTTGTAGGTACCAAGTATTGATGTACTGAAGTACACTGGCCCTGGAGTTTGTTCAATTCTTAAAAAGCTACCATGTACTTCTCTGGTACCTACCTACAAGTACCAGACCTACTGTAGGAACAAGGGTGAACACCGAACGGCGAGTCCTTACCAGGCCTAGCCGCCTTCTCGAGTCTGGGGGAGGAGATCCGCTGGCACTTTCGTATTAAGCTCTCTGCTGTTACATTCGCGACAGTGGACTAGGTAGGTTAAGAGGTAGGTACTATGTATGTAGGGTAGATGTCTGAGTATCGTATCGTACGAAAGACCTTAGGAGGGTCAACTGGTGTTCATATGGCCACCTACCTAGGTGCATATCTATGCACCTACGTAGATTTTACGTTGAAGTGGCGGGTCAGGTTCGTCAGTAATGGCCTTCTACTCGCCATCATGCAAGAGATCTAGACTTCGGCAAGGCGAGAATAGATGAAAAAAGCAGCTATATTTTACATATGGTAGTCGTCGCTTGCATTACTAGAATCGAATAGGGAGCCGAAGAGGTTGAACCTTGGTCCAGCTCGTGGACAGATACCTGCCTCGTAGATAGGCTACTACTTGGTTGATAGGTAGGCAGGCCGGGAGGCAGGCAAGTAACGGGTGGGATGCTGGGAATGCTGACTGGGAACAGAAAGCCAGTAAGGCTCGACTAGGTAGTGTACAAGAGGGCAGTAAAACTCCATCGTTCGATTTTGTTGCTTGGCTAGCGGATAAGATTATTCCCCTCGCTTCTTCAAACAAATAAATTCATGAATCCTAAGCCTTCTTGTTAGCCCTTTCTGTTGGTATTGGGATGTTAGGATCTGGTTAGAAGGGGGTCTCGCGCCACTTTCAACCGACAAAGCTACCACAGAAATTAATACAGGTAAACTCGGTCAGTTCCAACACACTGGTTTAACATATGTATGTACAAGCCTCAATGGGGGAGGGGGTAGGTACGTTACAGAGGCTGGATCAACAGGCTTTTGATGTAGTGGTAGGTAGGCGGTGATGCCGCGGATGTGTGCTAACATTAGAAATTATCGTCAAGCTACCGCGGAAGGATTTCATACCGACGGCGAACTTTGAACCTCAACCCCCTCATTTCATTTTCATCTTGTTCGGCCGTGACGACGGGGCCAAACGGTGCTCAATGCTCATCCCGCTCAAGTCCGCACGTCTAACAAGCTTTCTGCAAGTAACATGTATACCTACCTAGGATAGGTAGGTAAGTAGGCATTAATGTAGGTAAGTAGGTCAATATGTAGAATCTATGTAGATGGATATGGATGGATATACCGCATCTACAGTAATGCACCTATGACAAGCTGGAGTCGCCGGGTTTCAATTACGTAGTTTAGACGCATCCCGCGCCCATTTTTCTTTCTTTCTTCTTTTTTTCCCCTTGATTTTCTTTTTCTTTTTCTCGTCAATGGGTTTACTGTACTTCCAAGTCTAAGGATGTCAACTATTATGGGCATTATGGATACGAGTCGGCCATCCCTGAAAACAAAAATCGTTACCGAGGGGTTTGAGGCGGGGTGGGGGGGTTCAGAGGGGTGCGAAATCACTATAAGGCCGTTGACATGTGCTATATTCAATTATCTTAGCGTCCCTAGTGGGAATTCTGGCCTGCATGTTGACCCCACGAACTGCTGTAAGCCACAGCACATGCACCACCTGTGGAGGTATTGTACAATACCTCCCTCCCAAAAACTCCCCCCTTCATCCTCTTATGTAAACTGTCTCTCATGAGGGTGGAAATATCCAAGTTTTATTTATGTATGTATTGATGTAGGTATCATAATATAAAATCACTTATTATATAACCACTCAAAATAAAAATTGCTCAAGCCGAAACCAACATCAAAGCCTGACAGCACACCTCATTACCTCCCTTCCGACTACCTACCTACACACAGTACTACTACTAGGTAGGTAGCCATCATCTCGATGGCTACGGAAATGCCCTCAATATGCCAAAAACCATGGCCAACAAGCTTTATAAGTCTTGGCATACTCGTGGTTGCTTACTGTATGTAACCCATGGGAATGAGTGAGGCAATGTGACAACTCCAAATCCTCAGTAATTTGACCTGTCTATGCGACGTCTTGTCTCAGATGACATTGTTTAGAGCTTTCTTACCAAGCATTTTTGTTACCTAACCCTCGACTATTCTATTGACATTTGCCGACGTCTATTTCTGGATCATATGCGTATGAAAGTTACGTACCTACTTAGGTTTTTTTCTTCCCCTTTATCCAGGGCTTAGTGTGTCGGCGTAATACAGAAACATATGCAACTTGTCGCGAGTGACGATGTTATGTTACGCATATTAGAGGAGTGTGTCTACATGACAGTTGATATATGGCACGTCACGACGAATTGAATAATGTAGGTAGTTGTGGGGTTTGCTTCATCGTTGGACGATATTGACTTCGAAGAGCCTAACCTACCCTACTACTACCACTACTACTACTACCACCACCACTACTACTACTACGACTACTAGTAGGTAGGCATTCCATTACTGCGCCAGCTGATCTCTTTGCGCATTAACAATTTCTTTAGTTAAAACCTTCGCTAGTTTTAGAGTGGGGTTTCCTATCGAATGCTCATTGCTCACTATACCGGCTTTTCTCTTCCGTGAGACATGTTGATTCCTTGATGTTCCCGCAAAGAGTGTCTGGTAATTTAATTAACTCTGGCTTTTCAGCTGACCTCTAAAGTGGCTGCATCAGTTGCGTGTGAGCCACGGCTCTACTATAAAGATGTCTCTTAATTTACAAGTTAACCCCTAGGAGGACTCGGATTGGTTGTAGGGAATAGTTAGCTCGTTAAAGTCAGACTAAGAATAAGGCTGCGGCGCTACTGCACTGTATTCCTAGTACCTAGTAAGTTGGTAGACCCCGTCTCGGACAATTGTCATGTGTAAGTGTATTATAATAATCCGAGGTGTGTAGTTCATTTTCACATACACCCAGATGAGTGGCTGAAGATTAATTACCCTACCCGCTATGTGTAACTCGTGGTACATGATGACGAGAGACAAACCAAGCCTTCCAAATACTAGATTCAACTTTCAAGACCACAGTTTGTGATTATTTGGATTACCTATACCTATACTCTGTATGGGTCTTTCTGCTTCTCGTTCTCGTTCTCGTACTGGTTCACATTCGTCATAGTGGATAATGATTATGAGATGTATATTTTTTCTATCTTGATCTGAATAGCCTTTCATTTTTATTTTTATTCTTTTTGAATTCGTATTGATTCCAATGTCGTGCATGAAGTACTACCATAGTTATACGGTCGTTGTTCTGATTTTAGTTAACCTTGTATTACTAATGCTGAAGAGAGAGAGGCTGTTACCAGGTACAATACTACTAGTAGTACCTATATGTAGAAAGACGGTAACTGGGCCGTCCGTCTGATGTTGTCACGGGATAAGGCCAAGAATGTATCGTCTTTTAAAAGTTGGTTATTCTTTCCTCATATGCTGCCGGCGGGTATGGGTATGGATCATTGAATGCTACAGTAGTAGTAGAGGTGGAATTTGACCCTCTAAGCGATCTATAGATTGACATTATGCACATATGTCAACACTTACACGGTCCTGACATTTGATCATTGGTATATGTAGACACCTGAACCTCGGATTAGATAATTGCTGCATACAATGCCATACATCAATGATACATGTAGTACATGTACTGTACCTATTAGTGGCGGTACATAAGGTACTGGATGTATTGTACTTTTTGTAATACATAGTACCAGACGTCGTAGTGGATCTCGACGGAGTAGAACGGCCTAAGATGATGCCGAGACTAATAAAAACGACGTAGTTTTCTGTTTCTTCTCCCTTACAACCATCTTTGATTCTATCAAGCTTCTATCGTTATCTTGAACCCCCGCCAT